TGATCTGCCCTAGCGGTTCCAAAGCAACCAGTGGCAGGTTTATTAACCACCTCAAAGATCGCCAATCTCGATTTCAATCCCGACAAGACTGTCTCAAGCAAGTATTGACTTTAGATACACAAGCAATTAGTCGGGGATTTTCCTGCTTCGTGGCGTCTAAACGCCTCTTTCGCCTCCGAGGCTTTATCAGTGGCCAATACAAACAACAACAACAACACGAACAGCTGAGAACCAGGTTTATCCTTCCAATGCTTTAACGAATTCAAGCAAGACTTACATTAACCTCAATGGCTAATTCTAGCTGCCCTTTGACAGTTTGACGGGCCGCCCGTTCGGGCGGCCTTGCACCTAATTAACAACCTGCCTATCACTCATTGCTCCCTGTATTTCTATCCATGCATTCGGGTTTTCTTGGACCTGGGACCTGGGACCTGGGACTTTTCAGTCTGCTCAGAGAGGACACGGCCCAAGTGCGCTGTATCGTCGATCCGCGACCTTAAAACCCGATCTCCCCTTCAGCACCGTCTCAAGATCCGACGTCATTCTTGGCCGTCGCCGTCTTGTCCTCATTAAACTGTCGTCATCGTGCCGGCCTTGCTGTGATAAAGACAGGGCATCGCAATGTGTTGCGTTAAACGGGGTACCGTATTCCAAGGTCCGAATTACGGTACGCGCACGTTCTGCCGCTGGTCTGAGCCGAGCCTCGTCGGAAGCGCAGTGGTATTGGATATGTCCAACAACAAGAAAAACGGCTATTGAAGAATTACATTCCCTTGCATGGCGGCTGGCCGAAGTGTAGTCTGGAAATGGGCAAGACCTGCGGCTTCGCAACCTTAAAGCTTTCAAATACTCTCAATAGTTCACGTCCAGCCTGCCACTTGTCAGCCATCAAAGGCCTCGGCGCGACGACGTAGGTATAGCGCAGCACACAGCACGCGGTACTCCGTACAGTGAGTGGTTGGTAGTACTTAGTGTTATCCCGCAGCACTGAGCAAATTCTTATCTCTTGCAGTTGATTGTTTACTTGATTCGCATCTCCCCAGAGACGAATGATACTGCAGATGCTGGGTTCCACGATGTGGTGAGCTGCAGCCAAAAGCCCATAATTTCTTTGAAGGTGTCCGCTCAGCGACCCAATCGCTTCGCATCAACCGGTTAGTTCGCAGTTCGTCAGCTCCAGCTCGTCTTAGGATCCCTTCACCAGCTCCTAATGCGGGATGGACCAGGGCATAAGCTCCACCACGTCACCCCTCCCAAAAACCTTCCCGACGCTACCAGAGGCTCGCCATCCCTGGAACCCTACCAGATGTCAGCGTGAAGCGTCTCCTGACCGTCGAATGAGGGGTAAAAGTCGACGATAAGTGCTCCCAGACCGGCGTGATGGTGTAATGCCTCTTGCAGGAATTCGTTAGAGAAGTGCCAAGGTCAGGACTGTAAGTATTTTGCTACGGCGCAGTCCCGGGTTCATGTCGATGCTAAAGAATGTCGTGGGGTAAACATTGGCACCCGCCTCTCAAAGTAAACAAATTGGATCAGCGTGTCGCGTCTTTCTTTGGCGTCTTTTAATGGAGACATCGCGCAATCACGTGCTGTCGTTCTAACCTCTTTACTCCACTCTAGGATTGAATGTTCAAAATCATATCAAGCTTGGCCCAGCGCAACGACATATAAGCTCAACAAACTGACTTCAAGCTTTAAATTCTTCAGTCCTACTCTGATATAATTCATGACTACCCCTTACTCAATTGGGGGATATCAAACTTGACCAAGTTTGCAACTATGCTCGATAACAAGGAAATTGGCTCTGTCATATAAGTTTTCAGGGCAAACAGCTCTACCTGAATCCAATGAGTTAAACATAAGCACACGAATACCGCAACAACATATGGAACCAATCCAACGGCAATATAAACACGGTTATTAATATCTCCATTGGACTTGGACTTGTATAATGGCCTGAATGCTGAATTCAAGATCACGTGCTGTCTTTCTACTCCTTCTCCCTTTCCCTTTAGCGGCCCACACTGCCGGGATCGGGGAACGCCAAAAGAGGCTCTAATAAAAGTACATCATCAAATCTACGATCTAGTTTTTTTCTTTGTTCGGCGACGACATGTCAAATCCATACTGAGACGTACGTACCTCTCCCTTGTCGCTACTTAGCAACATTTACTTTCTTTTTTAGTCTCAAGCCATTCTTTTCTCTCATCTCATCGGTCTTTACCGACTGTCGTTGGCTCTGGCCTGTCCTTGTCATCCTCGTCTCCGGGCTCTCCCCAGCTTGACCCCAACTAGAACTGTTTGTTGCTCAGGCGATCCACGCTTGAACTACCACTACTAGCATGTGCAGTGACCAGCCTTCATTTTGGCAGAACCTAATCCCTTTTTCACGAGTCAAAAGCTCATTTCCCGAACTGGGTAGCTGGCCACGCTGGCTCCGGGAGTGAGGCTGTAGACTCTGGACTCTAGACTCACGGATAGACGCTGGTGCATTGCATTATTATATGTCTTGCCATGACGGTATTCCGCATACCAGAGCTTCCAAGTTCCTGGCTTTTTATCCAACCTTTCAAACACGTCACTAATTTATATCATGACATCGCCTTATTGACCTCTGCACGTCCATATCATGGACTGGAATCTATAACATTTATTCACTATGCGCGGCAATGTGAGGCTTAAACTGTAATTTTATGCTTGCGTTTTTCTTATTTGTTTTTCCGTCCATCGACCCTGGCCAGACTTATACATTCATGCTAAAGACAACCATTTTCATTGTTATACCGTGGGGTTATCATAACCCCCCCTATGGTACGGATATATGGTTCATCCTCTAACTTGCCTAAACACACCCATGGCCCCTGGGTCGTACCACGGATGAATGCGTCGTTCAGTGCTACCAGCTTGGCTTTTTTCCACAAGCACGGTCACAACGGAACGGCGGAAATGAAGAGACCAGTCCAAGCTTCCGGGTTAGACTGCAACTCCAAACCCTGGGTAAGGGAAGTATACAGATAGACATAGCCTGAATTCCTAACGAGTCAACGAACCTTGGGAGGCTCCAGTGTAATTTTGAAGTCATTCACATCCTCCTGGCCCGTGGCAACGACCAGTGGATAGTAGTGAGTTTTTTTGGAGGTAATGTCGAAGCTCGGATGAGGGTGTCGTGAGCTGAAGTTCCAAATTCAGGGTAGCTTGGGGTCAGAACATTCAGGGTCCAAACGTTAGCTTCGTCGCGAATCACGAATGTCGACAAGCGCAAAGAATTTTTCACGACGATGTGGGCATTGCAATATATTCGGCGGGCATGATCGCCAACTATTTGCCGCCATCACTCGGGGCACAGCACAGAAAGGAGCAAATGCAGTATCTTGTAACATGTGTCAGCGCTGTACAAGCGCAAAATCCGCGTGGACCTTGGTGTATTGCAACCCTGAAGCTGTCCAAGCACAAGGCGTACCAAACCCAACCGATGCAGACTATAATCCATGTTCCCATATCTCCACAGCCGCATCACTACAGTAACTCATGGAATAAAATAAAGGAGACCAGGTAATTATTTTACATCTGACAGTATCAGCCTGCTAACGTTGTCCACCTGGAACACAACGTAGTCATCCAATTTAGTTTATCAGCCAGGGTCAAAGGTCAAACCCCCGACCAATGGTTCTAGAGCTGTTCTCTGAAGTAAGCGGAGCTATAACCTACTAGGCTTCATGGATTGATGATAGCTGTTCGAAACAACGTCTCGAGCTCATACAGGGTCGGAATATCTGACAATCGAGATTGGACATAAACTCTTGAAGCTTGAATATACTTGTACGAAGTCACTGCTGCAGTAACTGAGCAACCTACCAGTGAAACATGGCCTGGTTTCCACAACCGCAGATGTAACATGTAACACAGAAGTTGACACTTAGCTCTCAGCTTCATACGGCAATATGGTGATCATTCCTCAAGCTCGGCGGCCCTTGGTCCGTGGTCGGATGTTGGTGCTTGGGGAGCCTGTTGGCTGTCCGGGAAACACTTATCAAGACCCAGTCAAACTTGGCGACGTAAGACCGGGTGTCGGAAATTGTATATGACAGTTTCGAAAGGAGAAACATCGAAGCAAAAAATACACCTCCTCCTTACACGTTTCGTGGATATTCCATGTACTAAAACTCCATTAGCTTAGTGTTTAAGGAGAAGAGCAAGGCCAAGATACTCCTGAATAACTCCGCTATAGGAGGTCATTCAGCTCGGAGGCAATGATGGGACAGACTGGGCGTTACAATATCAAACATCATTGTTTGTAGCATGACACAAAACTCAATATGAATAATAGTGTTAATTAGAAAGGGGGTGGAACATGGACAGCGGTCTAATAAGTTTTCCTTCACATCATGAGTCCATCATGACACAGGCTTAGGGTAGTTCAGAACTCAAAAGTCTACGACAGAACAACACATGAGACTTGTAGTATATTTCAAGAAAGCCATTGCGTTGACAAAATGCTGTACGATATGGAACCGAGAGTATAGATAAATTACAGAAAGATATCATGCCCAGCAAGCTCAATTGAAGCATCCATGATAGATATCTTGACCTCAAGGTACGTAAGGTTGACAAAAGAACACCCCCATGCTATCAGATTACATCACCATACTACTATATAGATATACCGAGACCATAGACCATGTGGGGAAAAAAATACAAAATTCTCATCATACTGTGAAGGTATTATATATATTCATTAAGAGACTCTCGAAAGTAGATTAATTCACTAGGTACTTCTGTAAACATAATCCTAAACCTATCTATAATCGCCTTACATACCTAGGTTTTGCAGAGTTATTTCATCCCATCTCCATCAGCAGGTACGTCAGTTGGTGGGGGTTGGGGAAACTTTTTAGCGGTCAAGGCCGGCAGAATATTTTCTTGTAAAAGAATCACCTAGATATGCGCTCGCGACAAGATCAACGTAGAGACATCAAGCAAATCTCATTTCAATCATCAAAATGGGCAGCAAAAGAAAGCGTGGAGCTAAGGAAAGCTCCAACAGCGCGCAAAACCCCCTCAAACGTGCAAAGCCCGAAGACGCTCCTGCGAAAGCCGGGAAGAAGACCCCCAAGACCAAGACGAAGCAGACATGGGAGAAATCTCTTTTTGTCGAGTCGCCAATTGGCGATGAGCGCAAGCGAGAAGCTGGCCTCTACGACCTTCTAGGTAGCGAAGACGATAACGATCGAATCGAAGCTGCCGATTGCATTATTTCTAGCCTTCTAGGCGAGGAGGGTGTCCCCGAGGCCGTTCTGCAACGACACCTGGATCGTCGTCTTTTCCGCGGACTTTCAAGCGGTCGCAATGCCTCGCGCCTTGGTTTCAGTCTGGTGCTTACAGAACTACTTGGTCAGATGTTTGGAGAGAAGAACCTCGCCGAATCCAAATACCCAAACCTCACCTTCGATAAGGTTCTCGAGATCTTGATAGAAAAGGTCCAGACCATCGGCAATATCCCCGGACAGGAAGAAAGAGATCATTTCTTTGGCCAGCTCTTCGGCATTGAGTCCTTTGTTAGTGCCGGAATCCTCTTCAACGATATCTCGAGGTGGAACACAATCTTGGATCTTCTTCTGCAGCTTGCGAGCAGGAAGGTCTGGCTTCGTTCACAATGCGGATGGCTCATTGTCCAATCCATCCAGCAGATGAACAAGAAGCAGGCCGAGGCCACACTCGAGAAGATTTCCAAAGCCAATCTGGCCAAGACCCCCGAAGGCGTCGCCATTTGGCTTGTTGCCCTTAGCCGTTTCTCCGACCTCAAGGTCAAGCCTTGGCGCGATCCTCTCTCAAAGAAGTCATTCGGTGACCTTGCCGCAGTTCTGCGAGAAAGTTTCCAGGACTTCTCCAAGGACCAGCCTGAGCGTGCCCAGAAGACCAAGCAAGCGAGCTGGACTGGCCAATTGCACTACGTATGGGATCTCCTCCTAGCACATTATGTCAAAGCAGGAGAAGCTGGAGCTGCCGAGTTTGAACAGTTCTGGGCTCGTGTTGTGGATGGTGAGTTCAATCGTGAACAACGTGTATCATTAGCTGACATCTTCCAGACTCCCTTTTTGCCAAAAGCGCCACCGAAGGCCAGAAGTTCAAGGGTTTCATGGTGTTCCAAAAGATGCTTGAGGGACTCGCCCACGTCCCTGCCTGCATCGAGGGCCTCTTTAGCAAGAACCTTACTCTCTGCCTCATGAACCAAGCCGCGAAGGAGGACAGATACTTGCACCGAGCAGCGACCAAGGCCCTCAAGGCAATTGAGTCAACGACTTCAGCCCATCCTTCGACACTCGTACCCATCCTGAAGAGTCTGTTAGGCGAGAACGGTGCTTACAACTTCGACCAACGAACAAACACCAAGACTATCGACAGGATCCTCCAGAACATATCTGAAGAGACCGGCGAAGAGGCGATCAAAATCATTCAAAAACCGCTTGCTACCCTTGGTCAGCAGGAGACTGCAAAGGCCACATCCACACTCCGAGTCTATATCGATTATCTTGCCAAAACCCTCAATGCTTCGGCCTCATCTACCCCCGGAAAGATCCAACAAAACGTTTTCTCAGTTGCTCTACAAAAACTATCTCAACTGGCATATTCCAAACCTAAGAACATTCCCGCAGATGCGCTAACGGAGGGCGTTCGAGAACTTTGCCGAACTCGTCTCGAATCATCCTTCGCCAAGGTCAGCCGAAGAAGCGAGGACTATGGTACACTGTGTCTTGCAGTGTCCTCTATCGACCCTGATACGGTGGCTATGTCTGAAGAGATCAAGAATGCTGTTGAAGAAGCTCTTTCAAGGATGAAGAAGCTGCTCAAGCGCAAGGCGACGGACGATAACGAGAAGAATCTCTTCAAGAGCCTCGCTATGCTGCACGCCGTGTCCGTGTTCCAGCTCTATAACGAGGATCCGGATGCCATGGAGGTTCTTAACGACCTTGCGCAATACTCTGACCGCCTCAAGAAGGGCAAGTCTGCAGAGAGCGAGGCTGGCACATCGGAGCTCCTGGTCGAGATTCTGCTATCGATGGTTGCCCGACCTTCGTCTCTCATGCGCCAGGCTTCTCAACAAGTATTCGATGCCTTCACTCCCCAGATCTCAGCTGGAGGTCTGGAACTCCTGACTGGCCCGCTCTCGTCTGGTGAGAGCGCCAAGGGTCAGCAGGAGCTGTTTAGTACTGGAGAGGATGAGATGGAAATCGATGACGACGAGGAGGACGAAGAAGGAACAGATGCCGATGAAGAGGATAACTCAGATATTGAGATTGACTCCGATGTTGAGTTTATTGATATCAAAGAGGCAAACGATGAAAGCGGAGAGGACGATGACGATGATGATGATGAGGAGGATGAAAAGGAGGGTACATTCGACAAGCCCGAAGAACTGGACGATGCCCTTGAGAAGCTTCTCAACACCCACCGTCTAGACAAGGACGCTGCTGCCGAGTCATCAGAATCGGAGGGCGATATGTCCGACTCTGAGATGTTCGCCATCGACGAGCAGCTCGCCGCGGCCATAAAGCCTCGCATCCAGGACCGCACCAATGATGCCAAGAAGCAGAAGAAGGACGCCAAGCAGTCTGTTGTCAACTTCAAGCACCGCATTCTTGACCTCATCGACATCTATGTCCGCAACGAGACTCTCAAACCCCTAACTTTCGCTACTCTCCTTCCCCTTTTGAATCTTATGCGCACAACTACCACAAAGGCCCTCGTTGACCGCGCATGCGACATCATCCTCAAGTACCAAAGAGCCCTGAGAAAGGCACGCAGCAATCGTCAGGAAATCCAGACCCCTGAGGCGGAGGACCTGCTGATCCTGCTGGCGGAGATCCACGATGCCGCTGCTCAGGACAACGCGCACACTTATGCAAAGGCGGCCAGTGCGGCCAGTCTTATTGTCGTATCGGCCCTCATTGTTGCGGACGAGACCAAGATCGAGGAGGCAATCTTCGTATATGCCAAGACGCGATTGGACTACGTGCAGGGCAAGGCCAAACTGCAGTCGTCCTTCTTTGTTGACTGGAACAACTGGTGCCAGAACCTAGCCTCGCAAACAAAATCCTGATACCCTAATAGATATACCTCTCAGATAGCACAAAAGACATAGAGGAGACACTCCACAAGTAATTGAATGCCTGCAGATGAACATTAAATTCTATGAACTCGTCATCGTGATAATACAATTGCCTTGATTTTTCTTCTTGACAGAATCCGCTCTCTAATCCTCCATCTTGTCATCCTTTGCGTCCTCATCGTCGTCGTCATCATCATCATCGTCCTCGTCCTCAGCCTTTGCTAATCGCTCAGCCTCCTCGCGCAGCTCCTTTGGCACCTCGACATGTCGTCCCTTGGTGGGACCGTCTGGCCCGCTGATCCAGGTCATCTCCAGCTCAAAGTCTTTATCCTTGTTATCCTTCTGTGCTATGTAGATGATTCGCGCAGCCTGCTTCACGGCCTCCTCTAGGGTGATGTTGCCAGCGGGCAGGTCGAGCTTCTCAAGCTCGGCCTTGGCGACCTGTCGGCCCTTGCCTGTAGCGGCTCCGAAGTAGCCCCAGTACATGCCGCTGGGCTCGATCATGTAGAGGAAAGGACCGCCGTGCTTGCCATTGACCTTGCCACCAGCGCCAACACTGGGTCCTGAGCCGACCTCGCCATCGACGGGAGTCTCTTCGGGGGTGTCGTAGCCTCCCACGATAGCGGTGATACCGAATGGTCGAACTGAGCCGTACATGGTGTAAGCTTGGAGGTAGCCACCCATACGGCTGGCAAGATCGGATGTGGGAATGGGAGTCTTGAAGTTCTGTCGCCAGCTCTGGGCCTCGTCGCGGGCGCGGTCAACGAAGTGACGTCCATCAGGAACCATACCGGAAGATACCTGGTGGAATTAGTAAATGCCAAGCATCAGAGCTGCAGATGGGTGTTGACATACAGCACCGACATGGGCATCGATAGTAGCAATGCGCTTGTTGGCACCAGGTTTTAGGAGCTTGGATGAGACGACCTTCTCGATAGCTAGAACAACTCCATCTTTGGCTCGGATACCGATAGAGGTGCCGCCGCTCTCTACTGCCTTAACTGCGTATTCGACCTGGAAGTTGCGTCCATCGGGAGAGAAGATGGAGTTGAGCAAATCGTAACCTGTGCCTATCGACGTCTATTATAAGTAGAGACAAGCTAGGTCAGCACTTGAAGCTATCCCTCGATGACGACAGGCATGCTTGGTTTCGGTGTGGAATTAGCTTACCATGATGCCTGAATTCTCTAGTCAAGTTGATAAAGTGTAGGTGGGTAAGAGAAGAACGAATGGGGCGTGAATTGGTGAGGAGGAGGAGAGCTGCGTTGTCGTGATGCTTGCTATGGCGTTGGCTTGGAGCTTCCTTCACCTAGGCAGCCTGGAGCTGCGTGTTGCAGTTGACCCGGCGGAACACTGCAAGGCTGGAAAGTTAATGCCTGAGGTATGAGTTTGCGACGCCACGAAAGGACGCCACAGAAGTGTGCCACACAACTATACAGCCTCGAGAGGTGATATGTGGCTGTGAAAGCGGGAGTGGCTTGTGAGAGGACCCGTCTGCCCCTCCCGAGTGAATTGATTTCCCCTGCAGCTGCAGCAGAAGTTTAAGGAATTGGGAGTCTAGAACAGTAGAACTGCACATCCTTGAAGAGTTTAGCCTCTGGGCGTCGGTATTGAGCCGGAGGTAACATCCAATGTTTGATGATTACTGTGATTTTTGGTTTGGATCACGTATTTGCACTACTGTATGATATCTGATTGTTTTACATGACTTTTAATACCATACAGATTCAACTTGCTATGAAACCGATCCGATCATCTGACTGTTGCAAAATTGGGACGAACCTAACGCCAAGGCCCAATTCTAGAGCACGCCGTCAAGTTCGCATGTCTCTCGTTAGGCAGGTAAGAGTTCATAGCGTCGACCCTTGAGGAGCCACAAAATGCGACTATAAAGGTCATATATGCTGGCTAGCGGTGAGTCTGAGGTGTCTGAGGTTTGTTGAGGCCTTATGCAAACTAGCGAAGAGATCAAGCCCTTTGAGACAGGATATGCTGCTTGTGTTCGAATTATGGTTACTGAATGTACGGTATGGAAACGACAGGAGAACGTGGCCCAGGTGGTCGAAGTGACTGAACCACGTCAAAGCAACTGATTCGGAAACGGAATGTAGGTGCATTAGACAGACCTTGTCGGCGTTGATCTAAAGTAAAGCAGAGTAATTAGTGTGTGACGGTCGACTGTGTGGCACAGGCTTATTGGGTCGCACAAGGTCAATGAGACCAGGGTAGAAGCTATTGGAGTTGTGCGACTGCGAATCCTTGCGTGAAGACGTGGATGAGGCCAGTGAATTAGTTCACGGTGCCTGAATATGGTAGAGATCGTTTGTGATGGCCATATTGAATGCGTTGGAGATGAAGATGAATAGGAAAAACATGTTGCTGTAAGGTATGCTACTAACGTAGAAACCGTTGAGCTTCATGCGTAGGTGGAAATGGATGCTGTCATAGGTAGGGACCATCATGTGCCTCTGTCAGTTGTGCCTTCACTGCGTCATGACCTGGAAAGGTGCCTGAGCTGCCAAAGATAGAGAGGTGAGCTGGCGTCCCACGTTTCATTGCCCCTCCATTGCCATATTTTATGATAGAACAAACATCTTCGTCCCCCGCGATTCCCACCCTTTCTTGGCTCTTTCATATCGACAATAATCGATTTATTATTTCAGACCATCCACAAAGAAACCGCCTCCCCCATTCTTAACATTTGATACCTTGTCTTTGACTGCATTTTCGCATAAAGCGCCGCCTTGTCCCTGTAGAAAGATCGTCTCAGGAGCTCTTGTCTCCCCACTTACCACTACATCTTTTACCCCGTGCGCTCCCTGCAACTCGACCCAACGATCCACCGCCCTTAGACAAGCCCCTCCAAGTCAAGGCCTAATCAAGGGTCCTTTGAGCCAAGAGCAGGAGCAGAGAGACAAAGCTCTTTCTCTTTCTCTTTCTTCCCTTGACTCCTCCGTCTATATATCGCTTCCCTCCGCTATTAACTTCTCTACTTTTCTTTGACAACCGTCAAAAGCTTAGCTTAGCTTCCAAATATATAAAAAAGAACAAGAACTTTCTGTTCTCTTCTTCACCTGCGCTGCGCATGATCCCGAATCGCCTCCGTATATCGCTCCCTTCTTCGCCCCTTGCCACTACTACCAAGCCTTCTATCAAACATATCAAACGCCTCTGACTTCCAGCCCTATCGCCTCTTTTTCTGTGTCTGATATCAGAATTTACAACAATATATCGTTGTGTCTCTTGTCACTGAACACCACTCAGATCTTCTTCTAACCACTACACTTGTATTCAACATCCTCATTCCGGTTCATTACATTATATTGTACTTGCTAATAGTTGCCTAGATACCAAACAAAAAATCATGTCATTTGCTCACTCCAACATGCAGTCAGATGAGCTCGCTGCTCTCCTGGCTCGCAATCTCAGCTTCAACCCGATTCCCGAGCCTGCCCCTGTTCCTCAAGAGGAACCCAAGGTAGACCACGCTGAGCCCATTATCTATACCTCAGTTCACTACACCCATTCCGCCCATATCTCTCAAGCAGCTCAGCACCAGGAAATTCCTCGTCGTTCTTCAGAACCGCCCCAGACACAGGCGCCTAGCGTGGAAGCTATCCTGCAGCATTACGGCATCAACCCAGCAACACTCACACCTTCACAACTCCAGCTTTTCAAGGTTGCGGAGCCTCCTCAGCAGGAGAGACTTGTCGAGCTTTGGAGCATTTGCCCTCCTGGAAATGGTGGTGATATCCCAGCTCTTGCGTGGAGTAGCACCACCGTTGAGCATGAGGAGCAACTTGCCCGTCTACGTTACGATCGACTGAACCACCAGCAACAAGTCATGAGTCTGGATGGAACTCAAGTACAAGAGAACGATGGCAGATGGGTTCGCACTGCAGAGCCTGAAATGGAGCCATACATGGCCTCTGGCTACGAGGAGCTTATGCGAAGAGAGCGTGAACGAGAGGCTCGGGACAGCCAGCCTAGGAGCACATATGGTCTTTACTCCCATGCTACAGACCCTGCATACATGGGCCCCGACTATGCCCGAGACCAGCAGTTACTGCAGATGGCAACCCAGTACGGCGCTTACCAGGGATTCCGAGCCCCTGAGGCGGACACGATGGATGTTATGTAAACAATCATCATCTCGGAAACCATATCAGAAAATCATGGCCAAGGAGCCAATGGTCGATCAGTATAGAAGTTTGAGAGGGGATATATGATCTTTTGTGCGGTCGACAAGTTATATACGCCAACGAGCGTACAGGAAAGGAACCATTGCTGGAGGCATGGGATACCAGTTATTGTATGAATTTTATTGCTTATTTGTATGGTCATCAGGATGGACAAGATTATAACGAAACGAAATCATGGCTTCTAAAGGAAATGGATCGGAAGGCGCTGGCGGAGCGTTCAATTTTGCAAACTACTTTACTACCCGTTCCTCTCACTGCCCTTATTGATGTCCTGCAGTGCGTGCTAATACAATCTACTTTTTTGTGTCTACTATTCATACAAATCATTGAAAAGGGGGTATCAAATTCCATTTAAGCCTTGTGAAACGAATGGTTGTCATCGCGCAGTTTCTCTATATCCATTTCTAAATCTCAGTCTTCTCGAGCTTCTTTGCTAGCTCATCCACCTCCTTGTCCTTCACGGCGATGACAGGTTCCTCCTGGGCCTCCTCAGCCTCCTTGATAAGCTTCTCGGCGCGGTCCTCGGGCCCGATATCCTCCTCCTCTTCCTCCTCTTCCTCAGCGTCGCTGTCGGGCTCCTCAAGGTCCTCCAGCTCGTCAACGCCCCACTCATCTTCGCTAACAATATCGCCAGCGAGCTTCTCCTTGCGCTCTTCGAGTAGCTCTTGGAGAGCGAGAATTGACTCGTCGTCTTCAGTGAGAATGTTGCCGTTGATCTCGATTCGCTTCAGACCGGACATTCCGTCCTTGGCCGCAGTAGCAAAGGCCTTGATACCGGGGGCAGTGATTTCGTTGAACTGCAGTCGCAATATCTCGAGCTTGGTGTTTTTGCCCTTGCCCAAAGCGTTGGCAACGAGGACGCCACCCTTGGCGCCCAATAGTGAGTCACCAACACCAAGCTCCTGGAGGGAAGTCCAGTTAGAAACAACCTTCGACAGAGCCCTGGCGCCAGTGACGGTGAAAGTGTTGTCTTGTAAATCAAGGACCTTGAGCTCCGAGGCGTGGGTGAGACCTTCGGTCAGAAGGTGTGAGATACCTTCTTGTCGGATACCGTTCTGGACCATCTTGACCACCTTGATCTTGTTGTGGAGACTGTAAGCTTTTGCCCATGCCGTCATACTTCCATTCTCCAATCGATTTCGGCCGCAGATGACAGTCTCAAGATCGGGAACCTCCTTCCCTTCCTTTCGTGCAGCCTCCTTCTTGGCGTGGAGCTCTGAAAGCGCATCGGCGATGAGGATACCGGCATGGGGACCCATACCATTGTTGTTAAGGTAGAGGTGTTGGAGGGGTACGTGGGCGGCGAGGAAGGCCACGAGAGGCGCCTGCACGTTAAGACCGAAGGCATTGTCGTTCAGGTTGATTGTGTTAAGCTTGGGGAGGTTGAGCACTGAGGTGAGAAGAGAGGAGATAGCGTCGGGAATCTCGCTGAGGAGTCGACCGGTGAAGATATCGGCGAAGTTTGCGACCTAGAGGACATATGTCAGAGAATGATCTAAACAAAGATACAGGGGAATATGTACATACTCGGAGGTTCTTCTTGGTCGCAAGAATCTCACCAAGAGACTTGCAGGCGCCAACACCCAAAGTGTTACCCAAAATGCGAACTTCCTCGACGTCCTGAGATCGAAGAGGGGCAACATGGGGCTCGAGATCCTCAGCAGTGTCGAGCTTGAGGCCCTTTCCCTCGAGGGAAAAGATCTTATCGGAAGAAGCCATTCTATAAGGAAAAGAGCGAAGTGAGAGTCTCTATGAATTAAAGAACAAAGATGCCAGATCCAGCGATCACCAAATGTAAGGAAAAGGAGTGGTTCAGGTATTAAAGGGCAAAATATTGTCCAAGTTTGGTGTGAAGTCGGTCATGGTGGGGGTGGGGTCGTAGGCAGAATTAGGCAGTAAATGAATAACTTGTTTAGGCTTGGGCTGGCTACTAGGATTCATCTTTGCTGCATGGGTAATCGAACCCGACTTTAACCCGGATGTCGGAAAAATTTGGAAGACTCATGGCGGAGGTCACCTGCCCGTTCAGCCGAGCAAGGCGAAGGCAATCCAACACGTGACTTGGATCCGATCCGCATCCAATCAGCATCGGCTTATTGGAACGCTCGATAGGATTTTGTCTGATGCTGCTAATGATCTCTGCTTGAGCCCTTTTGTCCTCCGACTCCGAGAACGACCTCCCCATATCGCCGCCTCACATTCGATCGCAGCAGCGACGGTATAGCTCGCCCATAATGCTTGCCAGGTCGTGTTTGCGCTCGACGCGCACCTTCAATGGCCTCCGGAACGGTCCTTCTGCTGTCACCAAGGTATGGCACGATATCCTACCACCTGCCAGCGAGCTTCCCGTTTGCCGAGAGATTATCACCACGAGCCTCGACACGCCCCAACCACGCCAATCGCATCGGAATGCGCCTCAATTGACTGTACACCTTTGCTGACTGTCTTTTCTTCGCAGCGTGCCGCCTCTTCGACCTCCAGCGCCGCTGGCGATGCCACTGCCACCCGATTGAACGTGGCCGCCGCCGCCTCGACCACCCTCGCCCTCGGCTCCATGGCCTGGTACTACCATCTTTATGGACCTGTAGCCTTTGCCATGACTCCCGCTGAGGAAGGGTACGTTTTGCCCTCTGTTCTCGATTGCTGTGTCTATGCGTCGCTCCAATTTGGATGATGAGGCATAAATACTGTCCATCGATGATCCGCACGGTTATTGCATCACCAGTTGCTAACAGTGCCAATACAGTCTCCACGCCACCAAGTACCCTTGGGTTCACAACAAGTGGTTCAAGACCTTCGACCACCAGGCGTAAGATGCCACCCACCGCGCTGAATACGTCACATCGAATTACTGACTCCCCTATAGTCTTCGCCGTGGTTTCCAGGTTTACCAGGAGGTCTGCCAGTCCTGCCATTCCCTTAGCCGAGTCCCCTACCGAACTCTTGTCGGTTCCGTCTTGACCGTTGACGAGGCCAAGGCCCTTGCCGAGGAGAATGAGTACCCCGGTGAGCCCGATGAGCAGGGCGAGATCCAGATGCGTCCCGGAAAGCTGGCCGACTACATGCTTCCTCCTTACAAGAACGAGGAGGCTGCCCGATTTGCCAACAACGGTGCCCTGCCCCCGGATCTGTCTCTCATCATCAAGGCCCGCCACGGTGGCTGTGATTACATCTTCAGCTTGCTCACCGGTTACCCCGAGGAGCCCCCCGCTGGTGTCCAGGTCGCTCCCGGCATGAACTTCAACCCTTACTTCCCCGGTACCGGTATTGCCATGGCCCGTGTTCTCTACGAGGGCCTTGTCGACTACGAGGATGGAACCCCCGCCACTACCTCTCAGATGGCCAAGGATGTTGTCGAGTTCCTCAACTGGGCTGCTGAGCCTGAGATGGACGACCGAAAGCGGATGGGTATGAAGGTTCTGGTTGTCTCTGCCTCTATGTGGGCTGTCAGTGTCTGGGTTAAGCGATACAAGTGGGCCTGGCTCAAGTCCCGAAAGATCGCCTACGACCCTCCCAAGGAGGTCAAGACCCGCCGTTAAACGGGCAAGATCTCAAGTCTCATTTGTATACTAGTCGCCCCCTAGAGCAGCTCCTTTGTCGGCGGTGGCGGGTAGAAAAGAAGTCTGGTCTTGGAAGGAAAGAAGTTTGGAGGTGGATGTTAGAGTGTAAATCAGATGAATCGTTTTCAATACCTTATTCGACAGTACTATGACTGAAGTCATGCGAGGACGATTGGTGATGACATGTGAAGCTGTTTGAGCTACGGTGTTGGCGGTTACTGTAAATACGATTTTTGAAATCTAATAGTTGCTATTGCTGAGCTTGATTTATGTACATCACATAATCCTTTCAAAGGGTTTAGTCCTGGTTTGTCTACTTTATAGCTTTGATGTCGATCAATTGGCAGGTCCCCACAACATGAATTTACTTAAGCGAGACAGAAGAGGTACAGACAGAACAAAGTATCTCCATACTTCGGCTTATTGACCATATATATGTCCTTTGGTTCCTATCTGTGTCTCGAATCGCTGGCCTTTGTCTGTTGTTGTGGTGTTAAACTCCATATCTCATTCGACTGTCTTCTCAACCCTCTTGGAACTTCACTAAAAGTCATAGTCATGATCTTAACCAACATATTATAAACCTTTTTGTAGCGTGAAATTGAATGTAAATGGAGCACTCCATTCACGACTTGATACTGGGCCAGCAGTGGTGAGTGGACCACACGCACTAGGTACCTAAGTACCTATCGTTCGAAGTTGGCTCCAGGCAGTCTCTTTCGTGATTGGACCATACTCAACTAGCGTCATAGCATCAACATCCATATCCCGGCCTAGGAACCACTTTTCTCAAGGTCGCAGCAGCATGTGCCTTCCTTAGTTGACCAGTCACTGTGGCTCCTCTCAACCGCTCTCGCTCACTCGCTCACTCCAATCCTGTTCAATCAACTCCCATCTCAACCTCCTCTCTCCCCACGCCTCTCCTCCTCCATCATTTGCTACGCCATCCTCTTCTTATAACGCCGCCGGAATTGCTTGCTACCGTTTCTGGCCTTTCAGATTACTCAAGCACTTTTGCTCCCCTTAACCAACCTCGCTGCAAAACCTACAAGCAGCGCAGGCAAAAAGCACACCACAATGCCATTCGTCGGAGAAGACGTTAACCCAGGACGCAAGCGAAGATGGAGCGACGACGACGAGCGAGCTGCATACCCATTATACCCCTCAGAAGAGACGAAGGAGTTTTACATCATCAACCAGAGATCAGAACTTGCACCACGAAAGGTCCTTTCAACTAAGAGGGCTCGCATGAGCGACGACGAGGTTCACGTTACGGACGACCATGACCCTTCTGACTACCCTTTCAATAACTCACATCGACGACGGCGCTCATCTCAGGTTAAGGCGTTGCAGGTTCAGCCCGCTTTTGCCAAACCTCGAGTTACTAGCGCCCTTCTTGCTCCATGCCATATCTGCCACCGCAGACCAACAAAGAAGTCTGACCTAGATTCATTTGCCGATTGCCAAGGCTGTGGCGAGAGAACTTGCTACGTGTGTATCCGAGAATGCCACGGATGGAACTTGGACGGAGGGTCTGGGGTCTCAGAACAAGAAGCACTCTCGAGATCTTTTCATATGGACGATGTTGACGATGGACAACAACATAACAATGGTTCAAGCGGAGGAAAACAAACGAACAAAGGGTGGGGTGCCGTTGGGCATCGGGCCGTGGTGTGTAGTCGCTGTTGCATCGAACGAGGCGCGGAAGGAGATGTAACATGCTTGGGATGCTTCTCCAGGATGGAAGGTTCATAATTCGGGACATGTATGGCATTCACGGGCGTTTAATAACGAATAACGATGGGCTTCTCGGGCATTCAAGGGGATATATATATATATATATATATATCTGCTACACAGTGCAGGATGGGTTTGAGCCAAGGGAATACAGTTTTGGATGGGAAGGAAATGATAGGCATTGGGACGACATTAATTGCGCTTACAAGCATTTGGCGGGCAACGGTGTTTCGGGTAAAGGACCTTGATGGTCCTGTTTGTTTTGACACTTTTGAATCACGACCGGTAATCACACATTAGATAGATTATGTAGATATCAAGATCATGAGAACATTACAGCACAGAAAATTGTACAACAATTCACATTGGAGCACATATATGTCTAAGCAATTTTGTTCATTGTGACGTCTAGAGTCCCGCCATCCAATTGCCCTTTACTCATACACCGCATTAATTACACCCCGCGCTATGGTCTGTATGTCTAGTTGTACTGCATGTAAGTGGCTGTGGAGTTGAACTTGAGGTTGCCCTTGATGACCTTGTCTACCGCACTGAGGAAGTCCTTCTCTGAGGCAACCTTTCTCCTTGCGCGGATGGCGTACATGCCGGCCTCAGTGCACACACTGCGCAGCTCAGCACCTGTTGCGTTGGGACAGAGACGAGAGATGAGCTCCCAACGGATATCCCGTTCAACGGACATAGACTTGGCGTGGATGCGGAGAATGTTGGCACGGCCCTCGAGATCGGGCAGTGAGAACTCAATCTTTCGATCAATACGTCCAGGTCGCATAAGCGCAGGATCCAACGTCGATGGTCTGTTGGTGGCGAACATAACCTTGATATTTCCTCGGGCATCGAAACCGTCGAGCTGCGTGATCAGCTCCAGCATAGTTCGCTGGACTTCGTTGTCTCCACCAGCACCATCATCAAATCGAGCACCACCGATAGCGTCAATTTCATCGAAGAAGATAATGCATGCCTTCTTGGTTCGTGCCATTTCGAACAGCTCTCTGACCATTCTAGCACCTTCACCGACATACTTCTGCACCAGCTCGCTACCAATGACTCGGATAAATGTCGCGTCCGTTCTGTTGGCGACAGCTCGAGCGCAGAGGGTCTTTCCAGTTCCAGGAGGGCCATAAAGCAACGCACCCTTGGGAGGATCGATACCGAGGTTCACGAAACGTTCGGGGGACAACAGTGGCATCTCCACGACTTCTCGCAGCTTCTCGACCTGCTCTTTGCAACCACCAACGTCTCCATATGTGACATCAGGCTTTTCCTCCACGGTCATCATCGTAACGCTCGCATCGATCTTAGGTGGCAGGGGAAGCATGATCTGGTACTTGTTCCTGTCGACACCGACTCGCATGCCCTCCTCGATATCGGTAGGACTGACCCGCTCTCCAAGTTGAACGACGAACTTGGCGATTTGCTTAACGTTAATCACATATTTGCTCTTGGACTCATCACCCTTCTCATCAGCGATGATCTTTGTACAGCGTGCCACCTGGAAAGGCTGTTCTTCAGACATTCGTTGACGATCAGCGGCGACATCCCATAGATGGGGTGGCGCGAGCCCTGTGTCGGATTCCTAGTGAGGTTAGAATTGTGTATTTGCTCGACGATGAACAATCCAACCTTGACTCCAATCTTCTCGTCCACACTTTGTTGCTTCTCCTTAATCTGTTTCTCAAGCTTCTTGATAGATGTTCCGTAGGGCGCGGCACCGTAGGTCTTGAGGACCTGGATATCCCTAGATGTGGATTAGCTGACCGGCCGTGTGCTCGTCGTGTAGTGTTCGTACTCGTCTGTTAGAGGTGTGATCTTCTTCTCTTCTACCTCATCGTCGGCAAAGGTCTTCTGGTACTTTTCCCAGTTTGAGCCGGTTGCGGAAGGCTGGAGTTGGCTGTCAGTAAGGTACACGAACAAGCTTCCACCCATGTCTGGCGACTAACCATGATGAATTCCGCAGGTTCCCGATCGTCTAGTAAAAGTGCGCGGAACTGTGATGGCTGTTTATTAGAGACGTGGGTGTTGATAAGGTATCTATGTTGAGAAAAGAGAGGTGGATTGTCGTTGCTGGAGTCGTGATTGTTTGGGGTTGGAGGTGTCACCGAAGGCCTTCCGTAATCTGTGAGTTGCCTTGAGCGAGCTTCGAGCACGGACCCACGCAATAGGTAATGGCTGCTGGCTGGTCTCGCAGGTAGAGAGACTGCACTAAGCTATCCAAGGTTAGCACAGAAGACCCCTCGGAGCTGGATGATCTGTACCCCCGAACCAAAATTTCTAGGTTGACAATTCTATGGCGGAGTAGGGCAGCCAAGGAGAGGTGGGACATCAAGAAGTCCCGTCGTGTTCCTTCAAAGCCCCGCCATCAACATCACTTCTTTACTTTGAGGATTCAGGTACCGCCAAATTATTCTCAAAACATGTCTGCCCCGGCCGCAGCTCTAGCCCCCGCATCGGGTGGCCATAGCAATGCTACTTTCCGAGTATGGAGAGCTCCTGTCAAGCTTTTGAGCTTCACCCCGCTGACTGGATGTATAGGATAAGGAGAAGCCCATGGCGGTGCGCTCCTCCAACATCGTCGCCGCTCGAGGTATGGCGCCTTCGATTCTACCACAAGCCCTACTTAAACTAACGGTCGAACAGCCGTCGCCGATGCTATCAGAACCTCTCTCGGCCCTCGAGGAATGGACAAGATGATTCGAGGTGGGAAGGGCGAGACCATTATCACAAACGATGGAAACACCATGCTCAAGAGCATGGCCGTTATGCACCCTACTGCAAAGATGCTTGTCAACCTTTCTGGTGCCCAGGATGTCGAGGCTGGTGATGGAACAACCTCTGTTGTCGTTATCTGTGGAAGTCTGCTTGGCGCTGCCGACCGCCTTCTGTCCAAGGGCATCCATCCCTCTGCCATCTCCGAAGCTTTCCAACGAGCTGCCGCCGCCGCTGTCGAGGTTCTTCACGATATGTCTCTTCCAATCAGCCTCAGCGATACATCATCGCTGCTTCAAGCTGCCAACACCTCGTTGTCGTCCAAGATTGTGTCGCAATACTCGAACCTCCTGGGCCCCATGGCGGTGAACTCTGTTACAAAGACCATCGACCTGAAGACTGCCGACAACGTCGATCTTAAGAACATCCGAATTGTCAAGCGAGTTGGTGGAACGATCGAGGACAGTGAACTTATCGATGGCCTTGTCCTTACTCAGCCCGTGCTCAAGAACGCCGGTGGCCCGGCCCGTATGGAGAAGGCTCGAATTGGTTTGATCCAGTTCCAGCTGAGCCCCCCAAAGCCTGATGTATGTGCTACCATGTTCATGAAATGCTACATTTACTAACACCTTTCAGATGGAGAACACCATTCAGGTCAACGATTACCGCCAAATGGATAAGATTGTTAAGGAGGAGCGATTATACCTACTGAACATGGCCAAGAAGATCAAGAAGGCCAAGTGTAACGTCCTTCTTATCCAGAAGTCTATCCTACGAGATGCCGTCAACGATCTATCACTACACTTCTTGGCCAAGCTTGGTATCCTTGCTGTTAAGGATATTGAGCGTGACGAGGTTGAGTTCATTTGCAAGTCTACTGGCTGCAAACCTATTGCCGATGTTGACTCCTTCACTGAGGACAAGCTCGGTTACGCCGATTTGGTTGAGGAGGTTCAGTCTTCGGGATCGCGAATGATCAAGGTCACTGGCACCAAGTCAAGTGGCAAGACTGTCTCCGTGGTTGTACGAGGTGCCAACTCTCTGATTTTGGAGGAGGCCGAGCGAAGTCTCCACGACGCTCTTTGTGTGGTGCGATGCTTGGTCAAGAAGAAGGCCCTCATCGCTGGTGGTGGTGCCCCTGAGATCGAGATCGCCGCACAGCTCTCCAAGCAAGCGCGCAGCTTGACTGGTACCGAGGCTATCTGCTGGAAGGCTTTTGCCGACGCTCTTGAGGTTATTCCCACCACACTGGCTGAGAACGCCGGATTGAACAGCATCAAGGTGGTGACGGAGCTCCGACACCGACACGAGATGGGTGAGAAGAACGCGGGAGTTAGTATCAAGTCGGGAGGTGTTAACACCAACATTTCCAAGGAGAACGTGTTGCAGCCTCTGCTCGTGAGCACAAGCGCGATCGAGCTTGCGGCCGAGACAGTCAAGATGATTCTGAGGATAGACGACATTGCTTTGACCCGATAGAGTAAGATATCCCCCAAGCAGGATCTACCTCGGGCTGTATGAAAATACCAAAATGGGTTATGAATCTGCGCAAAAGTATTGCATTATTATAGATCAAATGGTGTGTAATTGACATGTGATGAAGACTACATTACTTTGATATTTGGCGTTTGTATTCGCATCGTAGTTGGCCACTTCTAATTAGGTGAGCTCTAGCTGTGGTGTAAAGGGGGTCGCACCTTCCTCATGTCTTGCTTCACAGTGTAGCTTTCCGCAACCACACGCAGCTTCAATATCACAACACAGCACAACACAACACTCGAGGGACTCTCTGAAAACAAAATACGATCCGCAGCTCTGAATTAGTTGTAATAGTTCAGGTATTCAAGTCATTTACCATTTCTCGACAATGGCCGCAGGCGACGAGCACACTTACTCAAGCGACGAGGATGAAGATGATACTCATGATGAATCCATCAACACCCAGCATCGCCTTAGGCAGGTAAGAAAGCAAAAGAGTGGAATGAATGACTTCTTACCTGTGCTTCCACATCTAGATAAAAAAGAAACGAGATGAACGCACGTCTGCCATTGTCAAAGAGTCGAGTGTTGCCATGAACAAATTGCGTGCTCGTGTCGCCGCATACCAACAAAACCGAACTAACACGGAGTATGTTTTCCTCACCAAGTCCACCTATAAATTTCATGTTGGGGCTGACTGTCCATAGGATGGAAACCGTTGCCAGCTCTGTTCTCAAAATCATCGAGGCCGTTGAGCGCAGGAAGCAGATTGAGGAGCAGATGGAAACACTCGTCTCCCAGGTCACCTCTACAACTCGGGAGGTCGAGGCATTGATGAAGATTGGCTTTCGAGGCAGAGCAGAGGGTATTAAAAAGGTCCAATGATTGAAAGATTTGTGGTTGTTGATATTCCGGCACTTGGTGGGTGGCAGATACTGGTCAGCGGCGTCGGAGCAATGTAGGAGCACAGAACACATATGCGAACATTATGATTGTACGAGGTGTTGAGCATTCTGCTATTAATCTCCAGTACTGGGATCATAAAATTGACAACATAAGACATATTCCGGACTATGCGCAACTTTTGGCGCATACTCGAGACACCACGCCACTGCTGACAGCACCTATGATTCCAGAGAGGAACAAGTGTGAATTTCCCGCTATTCTACATCTATCGTATCATGTTGTACACGGTCGTTATTCTATAACCGATATCATCCCATCATCATCTTTCATTGCTCTTTTACACCTGGAATCCGAAGCCTGTCATGCATGATCGGTATTGGTCGACTAGAGACTTGCAGTCGGCGACAGGGTCCTTTGCGTTGGAGAAGAGCATGCACTCATCGCGCTTGGCCTTCTCATCTTTGCACACGCAGCAGGGCTTTCATCGAGTATTAGTATCGAGTTGCGAGTTGTGCGCGGGTTTAAGCTCACCTTGGGCTTGTTGGTGGCCGGCGCAGCGGTAGACGCAACGTTTGCGGCGGCGCTCACGGGTGAGGCTACAGGATCAGGTCAGTATGAATTGAGGAGTATGGGTATATCGGAGTAACAACTACATACAGATTGTCGTTTGAGCAGCGTCCATTGTGTCTGTGTATAGCTCGTGGGGTTGTAAATTGACAAGTTCAACTTGGAAAAATGATCGCCGGCTAAGTTGTCGTTAAAGTTACAGGCCATCATAGCAGGCCATTCTTTTTTCCAATGGCGGAATGCGCCTGAAGAGCAGATTTCTAAGCTGTGCTGGGGTAGCTGACCAATCATAGAGTGTGTCTCTCACGTGGGGTCGCGAGGACTTCGCGCTTTGCTTCTGACGTCATTTTCTTGAGTTTGTTTGTTTTACGCTTGTCACATTCTCTATACATGCCTTGGGAGATGTTATTGTAGATTTGTGTTGAGCTGACTTTGTGGTATCATAACAGTGAGTCTCGTATAACTTATCATCCTTGATTACCTATTTGGGAATATGGTCCCTGTGATGCCCGTGGAGCCGGTAGCCTCCGGGAATTGGCACTGCAGACCCACCTGTTCAACGGCCCTTGCGGACTTATCCCGGCGACAAGGTCAGATTCTCACCCGCTTGGTGAAGTTTCTTGCGGTGTCAAAATTGTAGATGCTGTCTCAACCAATCATTTTATAAGTTAACGTCCAAATATACCGCTTTGGTCTAGACTTCGTACCGACGATCTGTTCCTGGCATTTCTGTTACAGTGGTGAGTTGAGTACTTGGCTCTTTTGAAGATGTGCTAATTGTGTTTAGACGTGCTGTGTTGGGACGCCCCTTGCCTTTTCTCAACAACTATTCTAGCAATTCTGAGCTATAAAGTCGGGACTTTGACCGGTGAGAGTGTGCTCATAAGACATCAATCCACTGCCTACAAATTCCAGCACTCAGTCATCTATTCAAATTCACTATGCTCACCGTCGAGGAAATCCGTGCTCTTGGGGAGGCCCATCCCGAGTTTGAACCTGTAAGTCCTCAACTACGTCTTGAGGAGACAGAAAGAATAGCTAACATTATTCAGATAATCAGGGCTCATAACCCGATGCTCAACGGCTGGGATATGAACACCGACCTCGATTCCTTCCGAGAAATGATGGCCCAGGTCCAACAGTATCGGACCAAGCCTGACCCGGAGACAGTCCCCTATAACTTGAAAGACTTCAAGATTCCTCTTCGGGATGGTTTTGAAGTCAGTGCCCAATCATATACGCCAAAGGGAGATGTTCCCTCTGATGGGCGCCCTGGGCTGGTTGTCTTTCACGGCGGTGGTTTTGTATCAGGTGATCTCAACACCGAGGCAGGGCTGTGTGTCGAGTTTGCCAAGCTCGGAGGCATTGCTGTCAACATCGACTACCGCCATGCGCCTGAACATGTTTTCCCTCAGGCCATCAACGATGCCTTTGATGCTACAGTTTGGGTAAGTCCAGCTCAACATGCAAGGCGAGAGTAGCATACTGATATCAGAATAGGTGTCTCAAAATGTAGACAAGTTTGGGATCAACCCATCCAAAGGCTTTATCATTGGCGGCACCAGCTCAGGCGCAGACGTCTCTCTCGTTGTCTCCCACTTGTGCCGCGACGCCAAGATGACTCCTGCTCTGACTGGGGTCTTTGCGCCAATCACCTCTGGTGTTAATAGTCAAACGGTCCCTGACAAGTACAAGGACCACTTCATTAGCATGGAGCAGTGTGCAAAGGCTCCTGTATTCAGCGCAGAGTCGATGAAGTTTGTTCACTGTATGTTATTCCATAAAATCACGCATATAGTATCGTACTAACATAGACCAGCCAAGTATAAGCCGGACCCGAAGAGTCCTCTGGCATTCCCGGTTGCTTTCCCTAGTCACGCAAGTCTCCCCAAGACCTACTTCCAGGCTTGCGGGATGGACCCTGTAAGGGATTGCAGTATTGTGCTTGAGCAGATCTACAAGGACGAAGGCGTACAGACGAAACTTGATATATATCCTGGTTTGCCTCACGCATTCTGGGCCGTATTTCCAGAGCTTGCGATATCGCAGAAGCGTGAGCGGGATGTTGTTGAGGGCTTCAAGTGGTTGCTTGCTGTGTGACGTGGACTAAGGAAAGCCCATTTCTATGAATGCAGATGACATAGACAGTAGAATTTACATTTTGCCGTGGCGAATGGTATTGATACTCATGTTCTTGGCCGCGTGTGCAGAATAGTAGGCGACGCAGGTGACGTAGACCAGCCGTGTAAGTGGGCGAAATAAAGTGATGAGACAACGAACAGTCACCCAGACAGAGAACGAGAAGACGAACGGAGATGTGAAATAGATCCACTAGTTTTCAAGTTCACTAGCATCAAAAATTTAATAGAAAATCTCTGTAATGACTATGTGAAGCCTCGCGGCTGTTGGACTGATTAATCTAATCTGATGTGGCGATACTGTATATACGAGCAGACGAACTATCGTTGAATGACTCAGCACTTAAACCGCTTCTGGCTGCGTAAATTAGCAAATTGGTGCCGCTTTCTTTACCTAACGAATTCGTGCTATTGGATTCTCTGGCTTGCTTTCCTCTTCCAAAGCCGGAGAGACTCATGGGTTGTTATGCCGTCTTTCGCACGTTAGAATAGTCCGAGGGATCAAAGTCGGTACCGCATCGATCAAATTTAGAGTGTGGTCCAATTATTTGCCCCCCTGTCTTCAATTGGTCTCGGGACCGATCATGCCTTTTTTCCCCCTTATTCCATCCAACCCCAGACTCTCTCGGAGGCGAATTTAATGAGTGAGTGAGTGGTGTGAGTGGCCGCGCGGCGAATAACAACGTCTCCGGGTGTTTGATTTTCTTTCTCCGCAGATCCAAGTGGTTCGATCACCTCTATAACCGCGTGTATTGCGAATTACGCCAGCCCTACGGCAACCTTTTGGTGGTCTACGTGCCTGTTTTGCCTAGTCAAGGTTACGATGCGGGTTACGCATGTGTCTAGATCTCGCCTCTTAGCGGATGAGATGCCCCATATGGGAAGTCCGTCTCAAATGGAGAATTTTTTATATAAATGACCTGCTGAGCCTGTCACTCTATAATACGATATCCACCACCAGCTTCGACTCCATCATTCCTCACAAACTACAACACTACTACTCTCGACTTTCTTCTACCACCTACTCTCAACCTTCATCATACGACTTGATATCAACTATACGCCAAAATGAGTCCACACCAGAACCCAAACCCATACAACAATATGAACTTCTGGGACTTCATCCAGCACTTTGATCCCAACCAAGCCCAAGCCCAGGCAACTGGTCGTGGTGTTGACCACCAGGCTGAATCTCCATTTCCCTCTTTCATGTCCGGATTCCCCTTCGCCTCACCTGGCGCCGGCGGTCCTGGCCCTCACTCTCCTCATGGCCCTCCCCATGGTCCTCGAGGATATGGCCCACGAGGCCCTCCTCCACCTCCTGAGGCCGACGGCTTCGTCTGGGGTCCTTGGTTCTCCGGTGAAGGAGTCCCCGACTCTCAGACTCGTGGCCAGCATCGTCAGCAGGCAAGCGAGGAGCAACAGCGAGCTGCCGGCAGTGAGACCCGCGAGTCTGACGACACTCTGAACGTCCCTGATCCCGATGAGGTCGCTCCCGAGGAGAACCAGTGCGGAGCCCGTCCTTCATGGGGTGGACGAGGCCGTGGCCGTGGTCGTGGCGGCCCTGGATTCGGACGAGGTCGTGGAGGTTTCCCTCATGGACCTCATCATGGCCCTCATCACGGCCCTCACCATGGTCCTCACCCTCCTCCTCCTCCTCCCTACGGCGCCCCCTTTGACCTACCCGCTCTCTTCCGCGGCTGGGCCAGCCACCCCTTCTTCCGCAACATGCGCGACCAGTTCCAGGAGAACCAGACCCAGAATCAGACCCAGAACCAAGACAAGAACACCACCGAGTCATCAGACTCCTCTTTCAACCCTCCCATCGACGTCTTCAACACCGAAAAGTCGTACGTCATCCACGTCGCCCTCCCCGGCGCCAAGAAGGAGGACATCGGCGTCAACTGGGACGCCGACCGCAGCCTTCTCAAGATCGCCGGCGTTGTCCACCGTCCTGGCGACGAGGCCTTCCTCAACACCCTGGCCTCCAGTGAACGCAAGGTCGGTATGTTCGAGCGCACTGTGACGCTGCCCCCCGTGGGAGCTGATGAGCGCGACGAGGTTGATGGTCTGGGCATCACGGCCAAGATGGAGGATGGCGTCTTGATCATCTCTGTACCCAAGGCCGAGAAGGAGTGGACTGAGGTCCACAAGATCGATATCGAGTAAAGACCAGGTAAACGGGATAGGGAGCGATACGATATGATATGATATCCACAGTTTTGACGGAGTTACAAGATAGCCTAATTTTTATGTTAGTATACGACAGTTTGAGCTTTTGCGTTTGTTTTGACTATGAATACCTACCATATAGCTAGAACATGAAAAAAATTGAGAAAATGAAAAATAACTTATATATAATTTTAGTATCTCCAAGGTGAACACGATCTATGTCTTATGCTGCTACCCTACTCTTTCAAGTCTTCCCATGTGATGTCACCCTACCTACAATCTTCACAAGTACACGGAAGAAAATATTGTATTATGCAATATGTAATTATTTACTTTATTTATTCAGTCTACCAGCTTAAAGCTGAACATGTCTTCATCTGCGTCAGGCCTATGCAATGGGTATATGCTAGAAGGTGAAAGGGTGTTGTGTCTAACACGCAAAAGGGGGCCGAGCTCTCCAAGCCCGAGGGGTTTAAAAGGTGAATATAAATGCTTTAAAGCGCTTTCGTAACGTCGGTGAAACAAAAGAGATCTGCGTGCTCTCTACGCGATATGCAATTTCCGGTGGATATCCTTCCAAAGGGAATAGGTAATAAAAAAAGAAGAAGAAAGGAAAGAGAAAGAAAAGTGGTGGAAACGAAGAAGAAAAAACCCAATAAAACAAACTCCCGTATAGTCCTCAACGTCAAATCATTAGGGTATCAGTAAATCGAGCTGGGCATGTCCCTCGATTACTGGGGTGAAAAGGAATGTGTGACAGTCGTTTGCTATGACTCCAGCTCGCGAGTGATCTCCTCACGTACGTGACGAGACCACTTGAGGATGGCGTCCTCAAAGCCGACCCAGACCTGAGGAGATGTGTTGTACTGCACACCGAGTACATCGACCTTGAGCATGATCTCAAAGCGCAGTTCAGCCGCCTTGACCCAGTAACGCAAGTTGTCTGCGCATCGGTAGGGCTTCTGGGTGTCGGTGTGGAAGGGTCCAATAGCACCGAATCGTCTTCGTGACTTGTGCACAACAGCATTGTGAAGCTTGATGAGTCGCACGCCATTCTGCATCGCCTCGAGGAAGGGCGTAGGCTTCTCGTCCGTGGCTGACATTGGCTTCCACTCTGGCAAAAGTTCAGAGACTGTGTCCATGGACAAGAGGAACGCCCGCTCGCGCTCCATCTCGCGGCCAGTCCAGTCGCCCTGAAGCCAAGTCCAACCATCCCGTTCCGCCCTCTCCGCGTCTTCGATCTCCTGCTCTTGCTCCAAAATGTCGAAAACACTGTCAACCCAGTCGTTCATCGTCTTGATCTCTTCTTCCTTCATGCCTTCCTTGAAATTTCGGGTGGCCATCTGCCTGAGAGTTTCCATAACAGCCAGTAAGTCCGCCCTGACCTGTTTCTCGGGCTTAATAGAGTCAAGACGGTCAGGCAGCTCGTGGGCTGTATAGTATATCTTTGCTGCACGGATCGCCAGGGTGACAACATCCAGTATGTGCATTCCCTGGAGCTCGAACCATCCTTGGGTATTCTCTTCCGGCATGTTGGGATATTCGGGGGTATCTGCTGGTGCCTGGTAGGTCCCCACCCTTCGTGCCTCTACTTCGTCCAAGGCCTTCTTCGCATCGCCTAATGTTTGCTCGAGTTCCAACTTGAGCTCCAAAATGGTGGGCGGCTTCGGGACTACCTTTTCTTGATGATGATAGGTGCTTACAGTCGGGGGGAGTATATCCCCCATATCACTGAAAGTGTCCTCGAAGTATTCCTCGCCTCCCTCGACCGGAGACTCGACTAGGTCGGTGCCAAAACCTTGGGAATTGAAATCAGGGCTGCTGCCTGTAGAAGCGTAGGAAGAGTCGACATCTGATCCGACAATCTTGGGCAAAGAATCGGCATCCGTGTCCAAGTCGGAAAGATCAAGGGTTGCACGCCGTTGCTTCTTTCTGGCCAGCTGGCCACCCTTACCATCAAGCAGGCCTGTTCTAGCAAAGTAGTACTGCAGATGTGCGATACTGCCGAGGCTCATCACGCTCTCGCGTGATCGGGCACTGGCAGCAAAGTCGGTTCCTTGTGGGCGCATATATCCGCGGCGGCGACTCCTGCCGTCGAAACTGTAGCTGGAGTGTCTGTTAGGGTTGGCTGACATGTTGGAAGGCTGGTGCTTCAGGGCGCTAGCATCCAGGCTCCCGGTGGAATGGCGGGAGTAGTTTTCGATGCCGAGGGAATCTCGGGGGTTGGCATCGCTGCTGCCATGAGACCACGAGGATGTAGTTGACAAGCAGCGTGAGAGCTCTGGGCATGCGCCGATTGCTGGAGTGGGCAGAGCGTCCGGGGGCGGCGACTCGCAGCGAAGTGACGGTGTCTGGTTGTTGGCGGTAGCCATCATGTTGTTTTATGCGGTGCCTTGCTGTGTAAAGCTGGATAGGGCTGAGAGTATTACAGCTTGATATTAAATGTCTTGATGCGCGATGTGTGATGCGTGATGCAGTGTTGTACGAGTAACAATCCCCGCGGGATCGGCCTTGTGAGTCCTGGCAGTGACGTGGTGTTTGTGAATAATGATAATAATGATCTGCACTTATACAGATGCACAAAGACACGAAATGAGGTCCCACACGATAGCTTGAGGGATAGCTCGGCTTGGAAATGGGGACTCGACAATCAACAAGACAGGGCTGCACGGCGGCCAAAAGATAGCGAGTGAGTGATAGAGAGTGATAGAGAGAGCGAATAGAAGAGACAAAAGATGGGCGAGTACGGACAGTTGTCGAGGGGTAACGAAAGGAAGGAGACAAGATTGGACCGGGCAAGATCAGACAAGACAAGACAAGACGAGAGACAAGGAGAGGGGGGGGGAGGGATTAGATTAATTAAAAAATTAAATAAAAAAAAGTTGAAGGTGAACGGGACGAGAGTGAAGGGGGCAATTCAATGGATGGATGATTTCCAGGGGGTTCCCAATCCATGGCGATGGGGCGACGGCGATGCCTGGGTTCAGTGGTTGGCGGGACAGGCACGGGGCGAGAGGCCAGGGTTGAGATGTGAAATTACACCTCCAAATCCCGCTGATACCGACTGGCCCACTGGCTACTAGACCACTGGAACAGCGGGGGAGCCAGACGCGTGACAGGGGTTAAATGGTAGATGGGACTTAGAATGATTCCGTGCTTTCCAGAAGCCGTCCGTGTAGTGTCAGGGAGGCCACGAGTCTCGGTAGTCGATGGTCGATGGTCGATAGTCGATGTTTTAATATTCGATATCAAAGGTCCTTCTCTGTCGGTAATCGTGATGTGCTCTTGTTTCTTGTCTTTAACAAGACACCAAGCAAAGGGGATATATATATATTTATGTCTTGGGTCGAAACACAACAGAGATCGGCATTGCAGACGCCACAGAATAGGAAAAGGAGCCAGATTCAGGAACTGCAGCAGCCTCTCTGGGTGTGAGATGCAGGTACCTCTCAGTTGGCCAAAAGAAGCTCTGAATGGAGGCCGTTGACTGGATCGGTCCGAGCAACTACCTCTTTAGCTTAAAGCGATTCGTACAGTAGTTACGGAGTAGCTAGCGTCTGACAAGAGAGGACGATGCATGGGGAAATGTCAGGGATGAAGAAATGGAGTCTATGGAATATGGAGCTTTCATCAGCGTTAACGGAAGAGCTAGAGAGTCTTTATAATCACAGCCTACCTACGATAATGAATGAACTTGAGTATCATATCCCCGGGCAACCTACAGATGTACAAAAACGGACTCTGGGTGTACTGCAGAGTCCAAGTATTACAGGACTAGCATAAACGTCCCAGGTTGACTGGAATTCGTCTTTTATCTGCACAGGGCTCGTTGCCATGGGTGTCGACAGCTGTGAGTTTCAGGCTTTATTGATACTCCATCCCGATGACGACAAGAAATAAGGAGTAAAGGCCACAGGCGAAGTAACTCTGTCACGCTTTTGCTTAACATCAATTAACGGAATGTCCCAGCCCGGATCGGCCCCCATGGGTTAATAATATCTCCGTTATTGGTTTCATGCAGGCCTCCACTATCTCCATCAGCCAATTCGTGGGAACTCCGAGTTCTTGAGCCTTACGAGGTACTGGACGTAGCCGACAATACAATTGAGTATGATCTATCGTTGCGTGGGCAAGACAGGCTGTCCTTTACCACAACAGATGAGTTGATAAGATTCGTATAATACTGCATGAACATAGAATGAGAAAAACTAAGACAATGTTAAGGAAGAGGTCCAACATTTAAGGTTAGTTTAGAGTAACTTAAGATAGATCATTATGATATCAGAGGTATTATGATGGGTTCTTCAACGCTTGGATCTTCAATATCAATCATCTGGTCTGTTGAATAGTCATATGTGCTGTGCTGGCAGCCTTATTTCCATGCTTCCAAGACGTGCATCAACCATCATGCCACATCATGGTCTTTACGTCTTTCTTTATTAAAATTCATTAGTGGTTAGTGGTTATGAGGCTCAAGCCTTGTTACAGCCCTTGTTCGAACCATGCTTGTAATGTTTGCTTCTGTGGTTCCTACTATTTCTATAGCAGTTCTTCCATCACCAATTCGTTGTCCACTTTACAAGCTTCGTCTCTTGATCAACAGTAACTGCATTCATAGGATCAGAGGACGCTAACAAGCTGTTCTATTACTAGCCGAGGTCATTAAGCAAGGAGACAGTCAATTGGAATAATTCTCAATCAAATCATAAGCTGTTAACAAGACGTACCCCTGGTCTCATCACCCCGGTAGTTCATCCCCCCATCTCTCTCCGTCAATCTGGCATCTGCAATAATTTCGTATTGTATTACGTCCTGCGCAGTATCGGTCGTAGATTGGATGTGCTGAAGAATTAGAAGTATCCGTATCCGTACGTCTGCTAGCACGATGGCTTCTTGCTTCTCTACTTGCGGAGGGCTCTAGAGGCATGGAATGCTTGAGTTTATTCTCTTGTTGCTTTAACAACGTCCAATAAACCAAACCTTCTTTACGGAGTATACTCAAGTCCTTTTACTTCGGAAGCTTTCCTTGCTATTAGTGCCCAGTTTAAGCCTTCTAATTACCGGATCAAGACTAGATAATCTTTGTTCTGTTCTCTCTCGTGCGAAATGAAATATCCATGTTCCTTTCGCCGGCCTTGGTCTCCCTCCTGGTCCACGCCGGAACCCATTGCCTGTGGCCCTTCCATTTTAGGTAGGTATCCTCATCTACAAGGCCTGCTTCGTACCTGTCTGGGCTGGCAATAATTTTTATTTTATCTCATTTGCTTCACTCGTGTCCAATCTTGTCTTCTTTTCCTCTCTCTATCAAATCACAGCTGGATTCTTTGGTCAATTCACAACTTGGACACGTCCCGTTATTTTCATTCCAATCACAGAGTACTGTCTCCGAAACATTGGCCCCCTTTTGTCCCCGCCAGACACTTTCATCTCTTTCGCCCCATCGAACGATACTGCGTTGCTCGTATTTGATCAGAGTACGTACGGTACGGACTACAGTACTTCCTTTGGTCCCCAGTTGTCTCTTCATCTTTGAGTGACACCGTTTGAAGAAATCAGACCAATCATTTGTTTCACTCACAAACCCATTTATCCTGCCGCCTATTCTGGTTCCGCGACTGCCTAGGTACGGATAGTCAAAGAAAGGTGCTGCCTTATCTACAGAGTTAGTAGCTACTAAGTCACAGGTCACAGCTCTTAGTGGACTCAATTGGCAGTGGAGGCTATTTGACGCCTGCAGGAGTTTTTGGCAGTTACAGTTTGGCTGCCTCGCATCCAATCCAATCGCTGTAGCAGTCTGCGCTGTAGCGGCTGTGCTTACTGCCCGCCCCACACAAGCTCCCGTTGACAACTACCTCAAGGCTCACTTACAACAGCCACTTAGCACATCGCAACATCCTCCACTGCATGTGCATGTGAGAGTGAGATTGAGAGTGAGTGTGGGTGTATATTTCTTGATACCATCAGCCTCTACCTACTTCGCACTCAGTCATTGGCACTCAGCACCGGCATTTTTGGTGTTCGGTTCAACTGCAATACCATGACAGTCGTCAAAGCACGGTTAGGCTAGAGTGGTTTGTGGCACATTCAAAGCAAGACAACTTATCTGAGGGAGACTAGAGACAGAGGGAGAACTTCTCAGTGCATAAGGACACCCTTTGACAGTTGCTCAAAAAAAACTTCAAGGAGGTTTCGTGTCCCATCAACTTCCATCCAATCTGTCCTGTCTTCATTTTCTGCACGTTATCGACGACGGCGCGAATACATTCCGTTTCTCGGGTCTTGATTGTGCAGACTCATTCAGCAGACCCTGGCCTTTTTTGGTACCCGGATCTGCGCTTCATTAATCTGGGCTTGTTTAGCCAATTCTTACTAGGCTGTCAATCATCCTCTCTTTTTTCGAGGGGCCAACTCCAACGATCAGATGGACCTCAGCGATTTGGGCACGACGACATCTGCCGTCAAAGAAGACGACGACGATAGCAACTGGATGTCGCAAGCTGACCCTTTCCCATCAACGCCCACTGCAAGCCCTGGAGCTAGCCGGTCTGCTGGCGGGGATCAGTTCGCCAGCGACAACTGCGACACTGACCAGGACCATGATGCACCCACGGCCAGTTTGCTGAAATTCGCTGACGTCCCTGGCCTACCGTTCAACCCCGGTTCAGCCAATCCCTTCACTCGCGCCCCAGATCCTAATTCCAGCTCCCTCACTTCCTCATCCTCCGTTATCGACACGACGACAACTTATTTTGACTCACCTGCTGCCAATTCTTCAACAGCCAACACGACCCCAAATGCATCCGCCGCAGTGACCCCAGCCGCGACAAGAACCAAAACGCCATCATCATCAACATCAACAAACACCCTTCTCCCGTTCCCTACTCCAACGTCACCCCTACCATCCTCTAGCCTTCGCAAGACCTCGCCCGGATTGGCTGCCAGGCTTAAAGCTCTCGGCTTTGGTTCGCAAAAACCTTCCGCGCAATCCATCACGCCCCAAAACGATCGCATAGGTCGTCTAAACGAAGAGCAACTCCGACAGCTCGACGAGAAGCACCAAGCAGGCTCGGTCAAAGCCATCATCGCCCGGCGCGGTCGCCCGTGGAAGGGCGCCGGCGCTTCTACCTCACCAAAGCCCGTCGCCCACGAGCCCACTATTGAACTACCGCCCTACAAAGTCGAAGATTACGAGTCTGCTGTAGCCCTGCTGCCTGAGATTCAGACACCCGAGCCCCTGGAAATGGACACTCAAAAGTACCGTCTCCCTGACCACACCAACGGCAATGGGACAAAGGTCACCCTCGATACTCGCCGTGAGCACCTCGAGCGCAATACACGACCGCCATCTCCTCAAAGCGCAGACCTTCCTCCGCCACCACCCCCAAAAGATACACCTCCGGTCGCGAGTCTTTCGCCCACTACATCTCCAAACGATTACGTCCCAAGCCTAAACTCGTACTTCACACCTGGTCACAACCGTCCGGGCTCTATATATACACTATCTCGTGCCTCTTTTGCCTCTCAGCTAGCTCAGTTAACGTCACTGAAGCTCCCAGACGCCGAATCGCTAGCAAGCCAAGTGAATGCCATTCCCACGGCGCAAGTTGCTGCAAAAGCACTTATCAATGCTGCCGAACAAATCAGAAGTTGGATATCCAAGGCATCCGAGGTTGTGGAAGGCCTTGATAGCGAAGATGATGTCGAGTGGGCTGCTGCTGGTGGTCGCGAAGGTCTGGCCGAAGTGGAAATGGCCATCACACGCTTTGAGGAGCTTGTCAAAGCTTATGTCGGAGCTATCGAACAGCTCCAGAATAGAAAAGATATTGCGAACGTATCCATGCAAGATCTGACCCGAGCCGTTTCGCAGATGGAGTCAGTCATCCAGGAATGGAGCAAAATCCGCAGAACATTACACATTGTGAGGGCGCAAGTGGAAATAGCTATGGAGTGGGAGGAGCTTTGGAATAACGTCCTTGGGGATGTGCAAGGAGAAATGGATGAGCTCAGCAGACTGGTATTTGAGATGGAGGAACGACGCCACAAGAGTCTCATGGCTGCCAGTGCGGATACCGTTGATATTGGAGATCTCGAGACAATCGTTGAGGAGAATCCTGTTCATGCATCTCGATTACAGGCTCCGAGCCGCTACAGCCTTCCGGTCTTTCCAGTAACCCCCACTTCGCCTGACACGCCTACTCTGTCGCAGGACGACTCGAGTCTGCTGGCTCTGTTCGCCCGCATGCAACCTTTGCGGGCCTCTCTTGATTTCCTGCCAATGCGATTGTCCATGTTCGAAGCGAGGGCTCAACGATCATTTCCCACAGCCTGTGAAGAGTTGAACATGCGTCGTGAAGGACTTGACGCCAGCTACAAAAAGCTGGAGAAGGACGCCGAGTCGCTGCGCAAGGAGTTGGGTGAAGATCGATGGGTCATCGTCTTCCGGGGCGCCGGTAGACAGGCGCAGAAGATGCAAGAATCCGTCGAGCGCTCTCTCTTCAAACTTAGAGAGGCTGCCGATGCTGGGCTGCATCTGACCAACCAACCGGTCATGATGAAGAAATTGGAAAGCTACGAGGCAAAGAGAATGCATTACGGGCCAGCCATTGAACGCGTTCTCTCCATTATTGACAAGGGTGTCAGTGAACGACTCACAGTCAACGGAGAAATTCTACGCTTGCACAATGACTTGCAAAATCGATGGCAGGCTCTGAAGGAACAGATGAAGGATGCCGAGTCATTAATCGAGGATATCCACGCGGATAAAAGCCATCAATTACGTGACTCCATCTCCAGCATGTTGTCAAACGATCGCTCGACCCTTGGTAGTGGACGCGAGACGCCAGGCAGCTCACCACCATCTTCAGTCATTATGTCAAGCCTGGGATTGGATCCTCACACACCAATGGCAAAGCCTCCAAAGGTGCGGGCCACACCGGGCGCTACCAATCGACAAATTCCTACAAACCGTCGCCACTCGTCACTGCCAGCACCAACATCGCAGCCAGGTAGAAAACCAGGTTTCTCTCGTCTTTCCACCATATCCGCCTCCTCATCCACTACCAACCTATCCGCCAGCCAGATCAAGCGACCAGACTCGAAGCTTGCACATCGCCCACGTTGGAACGCCTCAACAAACACGGCGGATGTTGACACTGGTCACAACTTCAAACCTCTCACACTAACAACACCAAGCCCGTACGCCAAGAGCCCTGTTGCTCATAGATCAGCTGGTTCGACTACTCCGAACTCTGGTAATTCAAGACTGCCGACATTGCGCAGCCCCCTTGGCCGGGCATCTTCGGCATCACCCAGAGTCGATGAAACACCCACTAGAAGCGGACATTCAAGACTTTCATTCCGGGAAAGGCTATCATCCTCTAGTACGAACACACAGCCCTTGCCAAAGCCCCGTTTAGCCTCTCATCAGTCAACGACGGCTCTCTCTGGTAGGCGTTCATCTCTTATGGCCTCCAGATCCATTGGGGTTGATGGAGACAACCGACCAAGCAGACCTGCTAGCTCTCTCGCTACAGCATCGAGGAGAATTAGTCTTCTCCCTCAGCCAAGATCAGAAACAGGGCGGGCCAGCCCCGCTGCCATTGCGGGTGCTCGATCGGCCATGCGTAAACCAGCTGAGCCAAAGGATTCAAAACCAAGGTGGAGGCATTGAAAGCTGTAGATATTGGCCCTGCCCACAGCACAACAACACATTCACTCTCGGAAACAGGAATAAGACTTCTTCCTGTTTCTATGTAACATATGTTCCAACAATTTGACTTCGTTATAATCAGCTTGAGGCCTCACGACTTGGTCTTCAAGTAAACAACGGGCCTGGCGCCATTTACGAAAACCCAAACACTTCTTTTGAGCAGCATGGCGTACCAGGTTAAGATCGAGGCGGTTGACGGAGTTTGGGATACAGTTCCTGGGACGACAACCTTGAATCCTGTTTCTTTCTAAGGACGATATCGTCCTGATCATGAGTCACAACTCTTACTGAACGATTTCCTTACCTGCGTGCCAAATCACATGATGTGGTGTAGTCAGGTCGGAGGAAAGGAAAAGAACATAGTAGTATAAGTGCTCTCGCCGTCACTGGTAGACATCGAGCGCTATAGTTATTAATTTATGAGCTGTCTACTTAGGTGTAGAGAGGACTTGAGTCAAAGAAATACAAGGACATTAATCCAGTCAAGGCCGGTGTGCAAGAAGCGATTGGAATCTTGTTCTTAATTTATCTTCATTTTCGTGATGAGTTTGTGTCAACCAAGCCTTCTTCCTTCCGAGGCCACGGCACAGCTATGACTAAACTAGCTATCATGGTGTACAAATGCAAGCTTGAACTGATTGATGCAAAGCTCCGTTATGTGCTGCGTCCCAGAAACGCCATGAGAGTTGTGAATGTCAAGTCAAATCAAGTGTAAACCCATAATCGCCGCCCATGCAGAACAAACCACCATCAACTCCCAGCCGCTCATAACAGGGTTGCTTTCTAAAATGCATAGCTCTCGATTGTTGTAAACTCCATTAAAAGGGGGTATGATCTTTGAAGGGAGAAACGAGTCCCATGTCGTTGAAATGTTCATCCTCCAGTTCCCCTGCCTTATATACCCATTCCGCTCCCATATCTCTCCGTTCTAGTCGTAACGATTCGTAAATCAAGAGGGACCAATAAGTCTCCGCTCTACATGGGCATCAACCCAATGCCGCTCTTCTTGAGGGGTTTGGCAGTGCTGCCAGAAGCTTTACCTGCCGTTGGTGTGCCGCTAGCTTTACGGCTGGAACTAGCACCAGTGCTTTTGCGTTTCGTTACGCCACCCGAAGCCCTCTTGCTCGGGTATTTCTTCCCGCTCGAGTATCGTTTGCTCGCTCCACTGCCCTTACTAGATGATCTCGGTTTGCTTTGTGTCTGTGTGCTGCCGAGGTTCTGGAGCCTGTTGTGGAACGCCTGGACATCTGCTCTCGAATTTTCGTTGAAATAGTGTGAGTCCTCGCCGTCTTCATCTTCCTCGGCATCATCATCCATCTCAACCTCTGAGCTGATCAGATCAACGACATCCTGCCCTTGGCCGCCGCTTCTAGGGCTCATGGCTTCTTGGTAATGATTGTGGTGTTTCTGTAAGATACGAAGGATCCGAGGCCCATATTCCTTCACTTTCTCAGGGTCGATACCGGGAATCCTTTGCATCTTGTCAGTCGAGGTGGTCCACTGAATCGCCATCAGACGGAAGTCTTTTTCCGTGAACAGAGGCCTCCTCAAACTTTTCTGGTTACGAATCTTTTCCTCTGTTTGTCGTGCTTCTCGAACAAAGCTGTCGACCATGTCTCGATGTATTTCGTCCAGTTCTTCCAAGCTAGTGTCAACTGGTATCGGAGGGCCAGGAGTACGGGAGGATGGTCTTGCAGGGCGATGTTGCGGGAGCTCATCGAAGGCATCATCATAATCATCTTCGTCACCTACCACGAATCCTGCATCTTCCCACGAGTATGCTGATGTCGTAGCGTTCCCCCGATCACTCGCCGTTGTTCGTGATTTCTTTTTCTGTCGGCCAACCGGCGAGGAAACATAGGTCGAGGGCATATTTGGAGCCTCTTCCTCACCAGCTGCCTTGCTGCCCTTCTTTGCTCGAGGCTTGGGCGCTTTCTTAGGGGCACCAGCCTCCGGTACTTGAATGTGCAGCATGAGCTTTCGTTGACCTGAAAGGAACAACCGGTGTGTTGGACCGAGACGTAGATATTGAATCGCCATACCATGGCGGCCAACCTGATTGTCCTCATTAAAAGCCTTTTCAGCCGACAATTTATCGATGACACGAATAAGCTCATGTTTCTTGAGGCCCTTTGCCATGCCGTGCCACTGGTCTGAAAGTTCTGCTTCATTTTGAGGGTACTTCTTTCCCAGGAGAATGTCGGAGCATTGCACAGCTGTGATACGGTTCTGGGCCTGGACAACCTGGATAGCAGCAATGGCGTACTCTGAGAAGTCCTGCTGCTCAAAAGTCAAACCAGCCTTGCAGTTGTCGCAACTCTTCTTGCACTGCTCTACTGCGAAGTCTTCGCCGAAATAGCGAAGAATCTCGGTTCGTCGACAGTCCGACTTGTTGTCGCAGAACGCCGTGACCCGGTTGAGCATAGACATCTGGCGCTCTTTTTGCTCGTGACTACCATCTCCATCTTGAATCAATTTCTTCAGGACTCTTATGTCCCCTCTTCCGTAGAAGAGAATACAATCAGAAGGATTACCGTCTCTGCCTGCACGGCCGGTCTCCTGGTAGTAACCTTCCAGACTCTTTGGAAGTCCATGATGCATGACAAACCTCACATCAGGCTTGTCAATGCCCATTCCAAATGCAATTGTTGCTACCACAACCTTGACTTGTCCTCTTTGCCACGCAGTCTGTACTTCAACCTTTTCCTGAGGGTCGCAACCTGCATGGTAGAACCTGGCGGTAATTCCACTATCGGAGAGACTGTCCGCAACCTTTTCGGCATTCTTTCGCGAAATAGTATAAACAATTCCACTCTGGTTCGCATACTTGGAATGAATGAGCGAAGCGATGCTGTCGATCGTTTTCTCATTGGTAGTCTTTGGTAGGACTTCGTAGTACAGATTCGGGCGGTTGAAACTTTGCGAGAAGGTCTGGCAGTTGTCCATACCAAGATTGTGTCTGATATCGACGATGACATTTTTGGTGGCGGTAGCAGTAAGAGCCATTACCGGCACTCCTGGATACTTTTGCCGTACTTGGCCAAGGATCTTGTAGTCTGGTCGGAAATCATGGCCCCATTGACTGACACAATGTGCCTCGTCGATGACAAGACGTGCAAATTTTCCCTTGCGGTGCAGCGTTTCCAATCCGTTGTTAAAATTCACGTTCTTGCTCACCATCTCAGGAGTGACATACAAGAGTTCAAGGAAGTGTTCAGGTTTTTGCTCATTGAAGGCGCTCATCACTTGCCTTTTGTATTCTGCTGAGCACTCTCCGTTGAATGCAACAGCCTGTATTCCCAGAGCTTTCATATGATCGACCTGATCTTGCATCAAGCTGAGTAAAGGTGATACGACGATGGTGACACCACGAGTTCTGCCACTCTTGACAACAGCTGGCAATTGGTAACACAGTGACTTGCCGCCGCCAGTGGGCATTAGAACAAAAGCGTCTCTCCCGCTCAGCGTAGCGTTGATCGCCTCTAGCTGGTTACAACGAAATCCCCTCATCCTGAATCTGTCTTTAAGCATCCTCTGAACCTCGGGAGACCATGGATACTTCATCAGATGGGCTGGGATTGCTTCTGGGGCCACTGTGGTTGGCGGCTTCTTCAGTGACGCTCGTGACTTTGCCAGAGGCAGCACATTACCAGATGTCTCTGAGAATATTTTTCTCGGATCTTGTGAGCCAGGAGCCAGCGATTGACGGGTCTCATAGTCCCGAGCAAAAGCAAGCATCTCCTCATCGTCGCTGAAGTCACTGAATTCATCGCCCGCCCGGTGATGCGTTCCCTGGGTCGTCCTACGATTACTTGTCATGTGTGACAGGTTATTGGAGACCCTGGCCCGTGGCGGAAGTTGGACGTCATCTAGATCCGATAGTCCTTCGTCGCCGTCGTCAAGCTCCGCTTCTAGAAGAATAGGATCCGTCTCCATGGGCCTCATCGTTGATTTTGGTTGGTAAGAGGGTCCTGATGCTCTTGTTGATTCTCTTGGGAAAGGAATGGCACCGAAATCGTCGTCCTCCTGCGAAAGAACACTCATGCCTTGTGACGCTTCGATTCTTGAGGCCGGAGGGTTCCAGGCAGATGTCCTGGGCAGTTGGGTCTGGTGGACGACTTGCGTGCCCATGTCGTTGCCTGAAATCGCTCGTGAAGGCATAGACATGTTGACGCTGCTTTGAAAGACAGGTTGAGTACCCAATACAACAACTGGCGCAGGGGCGGATACTGGTTTCCGAATGGTTGCGAGAAATCCATCGATATCCAGCCTGGCATCCCTGATGGTCTTCAGAAGACCCTCCTCGACTTCTTGGATCTCATCGGTAAGATCATCAAGTCGGACTTCATCATCGTCCGTATCGAGACTCTCCTCATAAGCTTGAGCGATCTGCTGGGCCAGTTGTTCCCGTTTCTCACCCAACACTCTATAATCCTCAACAGAACCGGCGAGTTCAGCAATAGCCGCTCGTTGTCGCTTCAAACGCTCCTTCTCAACCTTGACCTCTGCGCGCTGCGGCTTCGACCATCGTTCGTTTATTGCTTGTGTAAATTTCTTCCCGTTTTGCTGAATGAGTTGGTCGACGAACTCGCCCCATTTGGTCAATGAGGTTGAATCGGAAACTAGTTGTTTGAGAAGAGTAGGTTCTTGGCTTGAGTGCGGAGGATCTCCGTCGGAAAACTCAAGAACAGAATCGTCAGCCACCAGCTTAGTAGACTGGGAGCTGTTTGCTGTGTCGGCTCGTTCCACATTAGCAGTCGAGTCAGAGGAGGCTTGTCGTTGCGAGGCCGAGTAAAGATTGATCCGGGCTGCAGAGAGTGGTACCGTGTGAGTTTGCGGCTCGGTATGCTCAGTCTTGGTTGGGGAACCTTGCAAAATTGTAAGAGACTTGTTATGGGAAGGTGGTGTAAGAAATTCGTCGTCTGAGTCGGGAATAACAAGCTCATCGCCTGTAGGATCGTTGGGTGGTAAGGATGGCGCTCGGATGATTGGCTTCGTGGTCGCAGAGCTTGCGGGATCTTTCAAGGGACTGGCAGCTCTCTTGGGACCCCGGCTAGTGTCGATCACTGTAGATGCTCCTGTATGGGATCGCTCACGAATGAGTTGACTGCGAACTCTGGCTGATGGTGACAACATGATATCCTGTTCTTCTTCGCTGATTGCTTCGATTGTCTTTGACGCATGGTCAGTAAAGCCATCGCGGGTTCGACGAGTTCGAGTACTAAGGGATCCGTTATTTCGTCGGGCAGATCGAGTCGGACTTGGGGGCGGAGGCTCAGTGCCGAGAAGTTCGTAGACATCGGGAATATCGCCTAGGTCGCTGAACTCTTCCTTTGTAATCTCATTACTCTTCCTCTTTCTACCACTTGAAACAGCTGGCTCGGGCTCTGGTCGGGTAGCATAGTCTTCACGCCATAGCTTTATGTCACTACCAAAAGACAGTGAGTCGGAAGAAGCAAAAGTATCGTCGGTCAAATCCATGTAATCAACGCCGCCAGTCTTGAGTTCTGGGAATTCAGGGCTGCTCGTGGGTTGGCGTTGGGTTGGGGCGGCCACTGGGGCAGCCGTTTTCTTGGGTGGCGACTCATTCGAACGTTTAACGGGAGTATCTTGTCGACTTGGAATCTTTGGCGTAAGGGATGAAGGCGTAAGAAGTTGTTGTGGCCTTGAAACAAGACTTGGCTTCTTTGCTTTCGAGCTCAACATAAGGCGTCCCATGGTGTCGTCGTCGTTTTCGTCGTCGTCCAGTATCACCTGGTCCGCCTGCCGCAATGTTGAACCCAATTCACCCCGTCCATTGGTAGTATTTGACGCGTCGCCTCTCGGCCGTGGGACTTCTTCGGGACGAAAAGACGTAGCAGCCTGTAGGCTTTGCCGTGCTTGGGAGTCTGAGTGTTGAGATTGAATCAAACCGGTCTGGGAAGAATCACTGCAGACTGGAAAAGATGGTGTAGCGGGCTTGGAGCGGCCTCGGTCGTCCAACAGCCAGGACAAATGCTCAGCAAGATTGTTGCGAGTCATGAAGCCGACACGATAATGTCGGAGCGTCTTTCAGCTGCCTTTGCTCCAAACATCGAGTTGTTAATACTAGGAAATGAGTTGTGACGAACGGAGTCGTAGATTGAATTCGTAAAGGCCTTGCTTGTTATGCCCCAGGCGGCCCGGTGGCTGTCCCGCTTTGGCGCGTCACGCGTCTGGTAATAGAGTGGAAGGTACGAGAACACGTGATTCACCACATCTTGTAAATTGTCGATGAATCAGCCCAGAGCCATTCAAAAGAAAAATTGATGAGCACTCTCTCGTCTCTGTTTTCTCGATGATTTTTATGCGATTGTTAAATACCTAGGTAGCATTGAAACGCAGGCGTCGATGCACATGCGTCGGTTTCCTAATGGTAGCTCAATTGCATGACTAGACTCCCCGCAGTATCAAACGGCCACCGGTTGCTATCAACGCATCCAAACGTCTACATTAACTATCAACATTACTCCTCGCAACAAATAAGAGGCAGACGACATATGGCCTCGATAGATATCCTATAGTTATGAATGATATACGTCTGGGTGCAGTCTCAACTTTTCAAATACTGAGAGTAAACCACAACTGTTAACCACACAGGTAACTTAGAGTTATTGGGTGGCAATGATATGGAATGCGATTTTCGTTACCCTGGAGTTGTATGTGGTGCAAACGCACGCAGTAATACAGTAAGTGAAATAGCCCGCCAAACTCAAGACATATTCGGTTTCTTACTACGTCCTATTGATCCAATCATCTTTATGGCTAATTGTTCGTTTGAGCAAGAGGCGGTGTTATCCGGTAACAACTTAACCCAAATAGTCCATCGCCGATGTATTCACGATGTTATGCGTATGTGCCAAAAAGTGCGAATTCACGCATTCTCACTAATGTCAGACCATTGAGTGTGATGATTGATCATGATCTTCACACGACTAATAAGAGTTTCCTACAGAAACCAGGCATCAGCGGGCAACTTTCCAGGGTATATAGCACATATTGTCCAAAGTCACGAGCTTTCGCGTTTGAGATCCTCGTTGTTTTAGGCAACACAGGCCCCTGTACGCCATGGACCTGCAACTAAGACGCGTTGTGGAACACGATCTAGCCTGGCTAGCCTGGTTGCCTGTTTAGTTCGACAATTATAGTAAGGTAGTGGGGTAAGACCCCTCCATCCCCATTTAGGGACAGTACGTAGATTGAGGGCGGTATTGACATTCAGCTTCAGCTGGTTTGTGGAGAGGGGAGATATAAAAATGTGAGAGAATCCTCTTCAATTCTCTCGAATATTATTTAGACAGGTATCTGAATACTTCATTTTTCACTCTGTCATACCTGCTTGAATTTACTTTACTTTACTCTCCTCAGTCAACAACACTTTCTCTATCTCGCTCCTTCCCTTGGTACCTACCTACCAAGTACTACCTACCAACTTATACACTCTCACCATCTCCTCCTTCACACATTCCCCCCAACAAACCAACCACTGCAATCATGGCGGATCTTCCAAAGCTCCCTGTTCCTCACTCGGAACTGCCCAAGTATATCTTTGACCACAAAGAAAAACCCATCGCCGAAATACTGGAGCCGTACCGCCAGTATGAAGCAAACTTGCGGACAGTCTATGCCCAGGATCGTCAGAATCCAATTCTTGAGGATCCCTACATCAATGTGGTTCCCCTCTTCACTGAAGATACCAAACTCATCACGACACACGCTAGAAACCTCGAGGCCGAGTCCGAAGAGGAGAAGTCCAAGTACATTATGGCCCTGCCGGATGATAAGCGTCGCCCTCATGACTCCCCCGCCACGGTGGCTGATCTGGAAGAGTTTCAAAAGAACTTCAACATCTTCTCAGAGTCGTCCATGACTGATATGGATTGGTCCAACGTTGTAGCTGCTGGCTCTTCTGTTGTCAACTGTCTTCTCCCCGTCCCCAAAGAGTTCAATACGACCAAGCGTAAGCTTCGCGAGTATTATCACGAGAAGTACTGCCCTGCTTCAGATGTCGATCTCTTTCTCTATGGGCTCAATCACGAGCAAGCTCTTGAAAAGATCAAGCAAATCGAAAAAGCTGTCAAAGATGCTATTCTGAACGAGGTTACCGTTGTGAGAACCAAGTATGCTATCACCATTGCCAGTCAGTATCCAGTTCGACATATCCAGGTTCGTCAAATTTATGTTCCAAGTGTACATTAAGTTTTCTAATCCTATTCAAGATTGTTCTTCGAGTCTACAAATCCGTGAGCGAAATTCTCACTGGCTTTGACATTGACGCTGCTGGTGGAGCCTACACTGGAGACCAAGTCTATGTCACTCCAAGAGCTCTTGGAAGCTTCATGACGCAAATCAATCATATTGATCTTACTCGAAGAAGCCCTTCTTATGAGCATCGCCTCTCTAAGTACGCAAAGAAAAACTTTGAGGTCTATTGGCCTGATCTCGATCGAAAGCAGATCGATCCGACTATCTTCGAGAGAAGTTTCAGCAGAACACTCGGCCTAGCTCGCCTCCTCGTACTCGAAAGACTCCCTACCACCACAGCCCGAGAGACCTATCTTGACAAGAGACGTGACGAGCGAGGCCGACCCAGGGTTTATAGGAACCATCAGGTCCTTCATGGTAACATCAAGGACTATCACGAGGATGAAATTTCTGATTGGCTCTCCGGAGAAGATATCAGTAACTACCACACATTTACAGTTCCTTATGGACAGCACTTCAACGCCAAGCGGATTGAGAAGCTCTGCTATACTCGAGATCTTCTTCTCAACGCAGAATGGAATCAATCTGATGATCGACAAGTATACTTACACCGTCACCCCGCCTTCTTTGGACGCGTTGAAGACGTGATTGAAGATTGCTGTGGCTCTTGCCCGGAGCCTGTCACCGACGAAGAAAAAGAGGTTGCAGAGAAGGAAGCCCAGATATACATCAAAGGCAGAGTATCATTCCTTATCGATGACCCTGGCCGGCAGCAAATTGGCTCCTTCAACCCCTTGACCGAACAGGACTGGACAGACATGGCGTACGTCGGCAACGTGACGAGACTTTGCCAGTCGATTGTCGACGGTGATGTCGACGACGTATCGAATTGGCTTAGCCAAGAAGACTCCGACCCAAACAAGAGAGACTACACTGGCAGGTCGCCTCTACATCTTGCTGTCATGATGTCAACCCCTGAGGTTGTTAAGTGTCTCGTTGAGCATGGTGCTCGACTTACTGCTCGCTTGGCAGACGGCAAGAATGCTTTGCATTTAGCTGCCGCACGAGGTGATGTGGAAATCATCAAGATTTTGATGGAGAAGTCAATCGAGAACGAAGAGGCCGAAGAGGAACGTCAGGACAAAAAGCGCCAAGCAGCGAAAAGTTCCAAGTCCGACGTCAAAAAGGAAGCCTCGAGAGATGAGGCTTCAGAAGAGGACAACGACGAGTCAGATGGTGAAATCGTTGATGATGAAACAACTGATGTAGATGCTGTATCCATGACGACTGGGTCTTTTGTCAAGGTCAAGCAAGGAGAAGAAGACGAAGTCGAAGATCTGGTCCCTGACGAGGCGCAAGACGAGCCGGATTTCTTCAATGTTGACGCTTTGGCATGGGACCTTCAATGTTCCCCCCTCCATCTCGCCATTGCAGAAGGCAACGAGGATGCTGTCAAGCTACTCTGTGACGTGAGTGCAACTACATTGCCTTGGCTGAATACTTTGGGATATCCTACTGACATTTACCATATAGTATGGAACAGATGCGATCCTTCCCGTGAAGGGCAACGACGACAATCGTGCCATCTTGACACTGGTTCTGGCTTTGGAGCTCCCCAAGAACAAGGCGAAGTCGATGGCCAATCTTCTTCTCAAACTCGGTGCTACTTCTGCTCAGGCTGATACAATAGGCTGCACTGCCTTCCACAAATATGTTGAATCTGGAGAGGAAGATCTCATCGACACGCTCCTGGATAACGACAAGACCGGTATCAAGGCTGCCATCAACCATATGATCTGCGATTCAAGCTACTGGAACCCGGACACAGTCGCACCGATAAACACTGCTGTTCAGAATGGTGATGTGAGCTTAATATTGAAGCTCCTGACTGCTGGTGCTGCGGCTCATATCAACTTTGACACCTGGCTGAAGTCTGCCAAGGTATCCGGCCTGTCTGATCGCCTAGGAAATCTAGAGCAGAACCAGAAGTATTACAAAGAGGGCGTCGAACAGCCGTTGATTACCGCCATCCGATCTGGCCATACGGACATTGCAATCAAGCTACTCGAGAACGGTGCTGATCCCAATTCGTTGAACACCGAGACACAGCGTTTGATGGTCAACGAATACCAGAGAAGCTACACTAAAGGACGATCGGTTCTGGACCTTGTTCGGTCTGCATTGAAGAGACTTCGAGGATATACTCCCGAGAAGAAAGAGCTAGCACCGCCAATGGAAACTCCAGGCCTGGAAGAGTTCTTAAGCAAATTCACTGCTGGGACATATTCACACTGGGTTATTTCAACAGAAGTTGACGATGCTAAGAAGAAATTTGCTGAAAGACGGACGAAATATGAAAAACAAATTGAAACACATACAGAGCCTAAAGGATTATCAGAAAAAATTGACGCAATCAGGGAGCTTCTTACAGGCTTCGAAGCCGTTGAGGAAGCTCTCACAAGCCGAGGTGGAAAGACGTTCAATGAATTACATCCTGATATCAAAACAGGTGGGAGGAACAACACCACGAGCTATCATAGAAGCGACGAGGATGAAAAGGCTCCGAAACCCTTTGACTATCACTTCTCATTCAACAATGACCGTGATATGACCGAAAAGAGGAGGGATGCTTATGTCGAACTGCAAGTACCCCTGAAAGACTTTGATTGCATTTCTAACCTGACATAGTATGGAAGGTGCGTGGGTGGGAGATTTGGACAAGATCAAAGCTCTTTCTCTTCAGGCGTGGGGTACGGAACAAGATCAACCTCCTTTGAAGATCGCTGTTTCGGACAACATGGGCAACACTCCCTTCTCAGTAGCCTTCCTTCGAGGACACCATGGAATCGCAAAGGCTTTGCTTGAGATAATCAAGGCACAGTGGTCTCCGCCCAAGACGGATAAAATGCGGTTCAGAATGGAGACTGGTGATGAAGATGAGGAGGACGATGAAAACTCTTACAACTCCGACGATTCTGGCGACAGCGAACCACGGATTGTGTCAGAAAAGGTGCAGCAAAAGTTCACCATCGACGATATCGGACGTGTCTCCATGGAAGTTGAGTCTCATACTAAGCCATTGCAAGCCATATGCCAGGCTGTTCCCTCCTGGTTTATGGAAAAGGGGCAGCCTATGTACGAGAAGCAGTTTCGAAGTTTATTCGTGCATACTTTTGCCAACAATGACACCGCTGGACTCAAGGCTCTTCTGGATATGGCACAGCATTACTCAGGTCAGAAATTTGAGGGCGATGATGATGATGACGAAGACGAAGATGGTTCATCTAGCCGCTTTACCTTCCCCCAGGCGGACTTCAAATGGGCAGTTGAGCACGGTAAAACTCAAATGCTTGCTTTGGTGATCAAACGGACGGGTGCAGGTATTCCCCTTGAGCACCTTGTCAAAAAGAGCGGCGTAGAACTCAAGCGAAGGCCTCGATACTACCAGGGACTCACAGTTTACGGCAGAAAGAGGCAAGAAGTCGAACATCAACGCTTAATAAACTTGGTGCTAACTGTCAATGCAGAAAAGATTGGGCCACTGCTGGGCGCGGTATGGTCATTAAGAGCACTGGTCTCAAAACCCCGCCTCTTCTCCATGCTGCCCTCGAAGGTAGCGTAGAGAGTGTTGAACTCTTCCTTGGGGACGCTCCTCATAGGATGTACAGCGAATTTGCTAAATCCAAGGCCTCAAAGGAGGATTCTCGATTCAAGCACTTGAAGGAGAGCCCCGGTGGCTTCGACCGTGCGATCTCCAAGTGGCTCGGAGCTGACAGTAAGAATATTACCGAGTTAGTTTGAATACAGCACTAACTTGACTTGCAGATGATCTTGTGATTCATTGCGCTGTCCTGGCGCAGCCTGGAGATAAGGCTGACGAGCTTCTTGAGTTTCTTGTCGAGACTTGCCCGGATTTTATTGAGAAGAAGAACTCTGAAGGTGACACGCCTCTTTTGGTGGCTTGCCGTTTTGGACGCATCGATGCTGTGAAGATCCTACTAGCAGCCAACGCCGACCAGTCTGCTCGGAACCAGAAGGGCGAAAATATTGTACACGCAGCGGTTTCTTGCAATCCCAAGGCCCATCAACTTCGTGAGCTTCTTGATCTCCTCGACCCCGATCTCCGCAGCCATCTTTTCCTACAGCGGAGGAACCTGAGCGAGAATGGCACCACACCTCTCCATACTTGGGTATCACAAGCCTCAGGACGACAGGACGGCAACAATTCCCGCAGTGACTGGCGCAGATACAGCAGCTACGGTTATAACATGCCATACAATCGCGACGAAAAGGAAATAGTTTTGATGCTCAACCTCCTTCTTGAGTACTCCAAGGGTGAGGAGCTTGAGATGCTCAACGGTGCGGGAGATACATGTCTTCACACTGCGATCATGACGGACATGCTTGCCGTTGTCCGGGTTTTGGTGCAGTTCAAGCCTAGTTTGCTCTACCGGGAGAACGCTGTTGGACGAACCCCTGCTGAGGTTGCGCAAGACCAACTCACCGGACAGAAATTCACCATGCCGGATAAGCCCAAATTGTATAATCAAGACCACGTGAGAGATACTGTCGAGAAGAACGAGGAAAACTTCGTTCACGAAGCTGCTGTTGAGGGTCGCACATTCGAGCAAGCGAGAGAGTTGCTCCAAGGGTTAGGACTTAGCGACACCTACAAGTCCATCGACGTTCCCATGATTCTGGCTTCCATGGGAGTTGAGGAGCACCACAGTGAGAAAAACAAACTTGATGGTCGGACCATCGATGAAGTATTGTGGGATCTCTGCCGCACCGCGATGCAGAAGCACCCTGGAAGTCGCCGGCTAGTGAGCCTGAATGAGGCCAACGATGTTGCCAAGAGACTAGGTGAGAAGTACTCAGCATCGAGGTACTTCAGCGTCCAAGCTCGGGTTGATGATGAAGACGATGATGGCGAAGAAAAGGAAGCCAACAACACTATTGATTTCGCAGTCCAGGAGATGAAGTCTCGTCTGGGTTGGGCTTGGAGAACAGAGTAGGGCTCAAAGGAGGAAAGACTTCAGCGTCATTGTTTTAAAGCTTGGTCTGGAAGGCAAGACATTATGCGGGCTCCAGCAAGTGCTTCTTCTAGCCTTGAATGAATATATACATGTAACGACATACTTACCTACTAATGTAACTCAGTCTATCGGTGCTAAGTTAAAGTTACAGATTTTTGTAGCGTTAATGCAAAAGTTTGCCATACATGTACTAGCCAACTACTCGGTTGATGTATTATTAAGGCTGAATGAATAAATGTAACTTGTCGATAGGAGATGGTCCTGACAAGTAGAAGAATGTTATAAATAAACCAGCGGAACTCCTATATGTTTGACATATCCTCCAATTTATAAATTTGACAACCGGCAGCTTGAAATTGAAAATCTTCCTTATGAAGCATAGATAACAGCCTGGGGCGAACCATCACCCCAGATACCAACAACTGCCATAGCGAAACCGAGGGCAGAGAGAGCTGTTCGGGCGATGTAACTCCGTGCAAGACCCTCGACCTCAGCTCGCACTCCCTCGCCGTTGACGTCGTCGATATCATCCTCACTGGCAGGCTCGCTGTGGGCATCGCCTAGAACCTCGTAGCTAGCTTCCATCTTAGCACGCGAAGACTGGCGTGCTGCCGAGGAAGTGACACGTCGTGGAGCAGGCGTGGGAATAAGGAGAGGGGCGACAGAGGATAGAGTAGCAAGAAGGGCTGTGTAGATAAGGTAGGGATGGCGAGATGAGCGAGGAGCGATAGCAAAGCTGATGAGGAACGGCGCTGCGGCGAGAGAGGTGAGAGCCAGAATAGGTGTTTTAAGAGCGTCGCTGAGAGATGCGAGGCCGTGGGAGGCTGAGGAGGATGAGGGAAGTCGGAGAAGAACTGGGAGAGCGAGGGACGAGATGGAGTAGGAGACGCCCTAGATAATGAACATTAGCAGGTGTACTGGGATGCATTTGATTGTTGGGTAAGTCTATATGCGACGAGACTTCATGATGGAACTGTGCAGTGCTAGCTCCCTATGGGCCCAGAATAAAACCTCTATAGGATTCTGAAAAGGTTCGCGAGTATGACGATGATAAAACCTGGGTATCACTTGATACCAAGCTATTAAGATGGGAGAAAGAAATTAGACATACCGTCAGCAGACCAAGCGAGACAGTGCCCACAAACTTGAGGAGCGAAACGCTCGTTCCAGTCGCAGTCATGACTGATAGCTTTTTAATTGAGCTCGGATATTAATGGTATAAGTCTCTTGCCGATGAATAGGAAAGAGTGAAGGTATCTCAAGGAGGGGGAAAAGAAGAGCGAGAATGATGTGACGGTCTGGGCTGCGAACGGAGCAGCGGGAGACGAAGATTGGGTAGTGACGTTGAGATGTGGAGGGGAACATCAGCTTGCCACGTGTGGCTTGCAAGAGGGGCCTTTGTGGCGCAGGAGACGCGGAAGCGCCAGACGCGTCTAAAGTGGGGTGGAACAACGTCGCTTAAAGCAAGCTGTGCTCCACTGCAGAACAGAAAACTGCAGTTCGTGATTTTCTGCAATTTCTTCTTCCTTTCCATCTCAACAAAACAAGGTGTAAAAACGGCAACCAACGATCAACCAACTCTTTACCTCCATACCCGTAAGTTTTACAGTCCCATATTCTTGCTATCTACACAATCTCGCATGATGAGTTTATTGTTTCAAACCCTCCATAATCTTATAGGAAGAGCCGTCTGAGACTGCCCTCGAAATATGTACCTGACAGTTAAGCTCCTGACAAGACGCTCTCCTTTTGTCTCTGCTGTGCGCCGCTTTCGGGTGTGCTGCACGCGGAGATGATACTGAGCTGGCGGTCGGTGAGCCTGACAGGTGCGTCGGGGGCGGTGGTGCTTATAAAATGGGTTTCTGATGTTACGAGATGTTGTCACATTTTTATACTTGACCATTTATCATATGCAAGTCGCTGACAAACAATCACAGGAGTCTATTCAGTCGATGATTAAGATTCAGGCAGGAAACAAGGAGTTGGAAACACCGTGATGTTGGTCATGATTCGTCCCTTCGTGCATTACCCCATAGTCTAAATAGTCAATGTATCACTGTTCTCTTCCCATCTAATAATATTCCCATAACGCAGCCATGTTGGCTCGTTCATTTGCCAAAATCAGTTAGCTCAGTAATTATCTTACATATCGCTCTCACTATCGTCCACAACAGCACGTCGGCTACGTGCTGTTCGTCTTACTGCCACATCATCGTCTGAAAGCTCCGGCTCAGGCCTCTTGCCGGTCTTCTTTAAGATATCGTCGAGGTCGGGAATGTCCTCGCTTTCCTGCGTTCCTGAGAACTGTGTGCGTACGAAAAAAGGCTCCATAGCCTCATCCTCTACGCCTCCTGCAGTCGACGAGGATGATACAGGTGGAGAGGTAGCTGTCAAAGACCTATGTTCTCGGTTGCTCGATGCAAGGTGATTATCAGAAACGATAAAATCCAATAGGTCTTCGCCGTTGTCAGATCCATCTGTCTCCATAAGGTCACTTTCGCGGTCGCAGTCATCGCCAATTTCGTCGCTGTTAAGTCCACCGGTCTTCCGTTGAGCCTTGCGTTTACCCTTGGCTTTTGGCTTGCTGCCTGCTTTTGTTCGCCCACGAGCCCTAGGTGTAACTTCCTCCTCTGCATCCTCGTCTTCTTCATCAGAGAAGCCTTCCTCTACCATAGAGCCGAGAGCAAACGTTTGCGGCCCTGCATCGGGTGACAATCTCCTTCTCTTCGCTTGAGGCTGTGCTCGCGATGGCGCTATTTTGTTCTGTTTCTTTTTGCTTGACGCTGTTGTTTTCACCGGTCTGGCTCGTGTCGTTGGCGTGTCTTCCCCTGACTCAGGCTCGGACCCAGCAAACGCGTGTACTGGTATCTCTAGATAATTGCTCGTGTCTTGGGATCGACATGGCAAAATCAAGCTTTCCTGATCATAAGCCATCTTATTCCACATCTTGACGAAGCGTTTGGTGCGTGTCCCATGCTTGAGTTTGAACACTGGTCTCAACTGCCTTTGCAGCTCTGGATGTGCTGTCATATCAGGCATGTCCGTCTCCTCAACGATGCTATGGTTGAACGGAAGGTCGCGGTATGCCCGGTTGAGCTCCTTAAGCTCTTCATCGCCAAGAAATACCTTGCTGAGCTCAGGCACTGTGGCAAGGTCATCATACTCCGGGTTTCGTTTAGACTTTGCTTGTTTTCCTTTACCGCCAACTTTCAACATGCTTGCCACACTCTGGAAGCCTGTCTCAACCCCGTCAGGCATGTGGAACTTCTTCGGGGGTTTCTTTTTCCCTGCTGGTACTCGGCGCTTCTTGGGCTCAGGTAATGATGGATCCTGTGTATTTTCGAGAGGGATTTCAACGTGCCGCTTGTCCACCTCTGGTCGGAACTCCCTAGGAACAATCCTTGTTGAGAGGTCGAATCGGAAATTGAACCGACTCCCTTCGCAGATCAACGTTTGCATCTTCTCATAGTTGTCCTTGGATTTGGCAAACTGATCCTCTTCCTTGCCACGCATTAGTAGTAATACGATATTTCCATCCCTTTTTCGGCCGGTTCTTCCCATCCGTTGTAACATTCGGATTGGGGACGCTGAAGAATCGTAACACACAATAAGATCCACTTGACCAATGTCCAGTCCCTCTTCACCGATCGAGGTTGCAACAAGTACATTGAATTCGCCCCTCTTGAACCTCTCAAGTGCTTCAATCTGCTGTGCTTGTTTCATGCCCTCTCCCCGCTTGCCGTCAGCTTGGCCAACAAAGACACTGGCTTTGATAAGAGGCCGATGGCCGTTCAGCATGCGCACAATATTCTCAGCAGAATCTCGATATTCACTGAATACGATTACCCGCGTTGCCGAGTTCTCGCCTTTATCCATGAAATGATTCAATACAGTATCTGCCAAGGCCGTGAGTTTGGGGTGACCCACGAAACCATCCGTACGAAGCCATTTGGAAATTTTATCCATCATTTCCTGAAAAGAAGAATCTTGAATGAGTTGGCGCTTGTACTTGGAACCTTTTTCTCCTTTGCCTTCCTGTTCACTACGCAAGTCGACCAAGTTGTCGTAGAAAGGTTTGATGCCGTGGAAATTCAGCAGTTTTATTGAGTGTGCAATGCTGGTAAGAACACTGAAAACTGCTCGCATCATATGTTGCACGCCTTGGTTAGCATGCTTGCCTCGAGTTGCGAACCATTCCTTTTGAGACTGCATCAGCCCGAAAGAGGTCATGGCCATTGGACTTCGCCCAAACCAAATATTTTGCGAGCTCAGTTTATCGGTCATTGGCTTCAAGGCCTTGGTGAAGAGCTCACTGACCAAGACCATCTCATCAGATGGATTGAGAACCACCTGCTCGAGGTTTCGTTGGTACACATATTGCCGAATGTCGATCGAGTCTTCGGTACGTATCTCGCAATGCGAGATGCCCAGATTGTCGATAACTTCTTGCACCGTTTCGATCTTCGAACCAGGTGTAGCGGTCAATGCTAGTACTCGGAAGCTCTTGGAAAATCGCCTGATAAGCTTTGTGACCTTTGCGTATGCATACTCGCCTACTGCACGATGTGCCTCGTCAATGACCAGTAAAGCTATGGACTTTGGATCTGCATAGCCGTGGGAGATGTCGTTCAATAGGGTCTGTGGGGTCATGAAGAAGACTCGGCGAGCCTCCCACTCGTCGACACGCAGGGCTGGAGGGATGTCGCCTGTCAATAATGTCGTTTCTGACCGAGGAATGCCAGCAATACTGTAGCAAGCTTCGACCTGTTGCGCCACTAAAGGCTTAGTTGGGGCGACGAAGATGAGCTTCGCCTTCTTGGTCCACCGATAGAAATTAAGCATGACAGTTGCCGCAATAAACGTCTTTCCAAGACCAGTTGGCAATGCCACTAGAGTGTTGTTGAATAAACTATTCTTGACAATGCTAAATTGGTAATCTCGAATAGCACCCAGGTTTGTAGGATAGACCCAAGTCTTCATTGCCTCATGGTCAACTTCATGGTGGGTAGGGTCCTCCCAAGGAAGGTCGACACGAAATGCCTTTGCAGAGGCGGGCTGCGAGGGCCGCGGGCCATCACTTGGTAGGGAGCCACCGAAAAGGGTTGTCTGACGCCAATTTCCGGAGCTCGTTCGGTTGAATTCTGTCCGAGCAGCTGGTCCTGACGAGGCTGCTGCTAACGCTGGTGGTCTTGACTGGGGCGGTTCTGGAGATGAGAACGCATCCGAAGGAAGATCTTCTAGTTCCAAGATTGCTGCCTCTGCCGAGTTTTGTCGGTTTGAAGGTTTCTGAGCCACCTTCTGCAAAGATTTTGCCGTGCCTTGCCCATTCATGGAAGATGAGACTTGGTCAAGGGCTGTCAGGAAGTCCTCATCGGCAATGTCGTCGTCAAACTCGTCACTATCCATGGTGACTAATCAATGCCGTGATGGATTGGCTAACCTTTTAGCTGTAGTCTGAATAAGGGTCTCAAATCATCATGAGCAATGAGAGGTTTCGTTTGTGACAGTCATTCACTTCCAGCGAAGATATCAAGCATGAGCTGGGATCGGACCAAGGAAGGGACGCGTTACCATTCGAGCCGTGTCACATTCAAACGCGATATCACGTGATATCACCTCCAAACTGAGGGCAACAGAATAGCCCCAGCTCCTTTGGCCGAGAAGTTCTTGTTAGCCTTAGTTTCTATTAGATTTAAACTTCGATCCAAATAGCCCTTTGTTCAAAGTTATACCCAATCACAAGCATACCAGCATCTATCTGATCATCAAGGCACAATGGCTGAATGGCTTCCGTCTGAATCACGACTAGGCGCTAGTCTAAATCGGGCCGAGGCTTCCTGGTGCATTTATGCCCGCCCAGAGACATTCAACAGTGGGGCCTTAGCAAAACGTCACAGCTGCTTCGCAAAGAGAACTTCTTTGTCTTCTACATCATTTTAGAGCTCCGCATCACAATCAGAGCGAGATCTGCGTCCAACCACACCGAGCTGGAGCTCTAAACTTTCACGTTCTCATCAACACCAACACCGCCGAATCGCCTTGGCTGTGCTAACTCATCGACCGCCCTGTCGCACGATTCTCGACCGACCAACGCACGCCTGCCTGCAACAGCGGTGCAGACAACCATTAGGCCTTTGTCGCGCCATCTGGAACAACAAACTTGCCGATTTGAACAACCTCCATCGCCAGCTTGTCTGATTCCTTGATCCTGGGTTTAATCACAAGCTCGATCAACCTAAACATTTGAGTCGCAAAATCAATCTTCTGTTCGCACAGAGCTGCGATTCAAGAAAACTGCGCTTCTGATACTTTCAAACTACCAAAAAAAAACCACCAAAAAAAAACTATACCACTTAAAAAAAACATTACTGCTGCTGCTCGCTTCACATCGTCTCTTTTCACAATGGCGCCCCGAGGTCGTCAAAACACCAGTGGGCGCGAGACGCGGAATGCCCGCAAACCGGCCGCCACCACCACCAGGGGTGGAATTCAGAAGCGCAAGGCTGGCCGCGTTGATGGCGATGGCGATTTGGACATGGACAGTGCCGGTCGTCGTGCTAAAAAGGCTGCAGCGGAGAGCAAACCCACACGGTCCAGCACCCGAACTTCAACGCGTGGAGGTCCATCCAAAAATGCACAAAATGTATTGAAGCACCTGAGCAATGGCACTGCCGCATCACTCGCTTCCCGGATCTCAAACGCCTCTTCTGGCAAGGGACCCAAGACTCGATCTCAAGACATGACGGGTCTAACGTTGCTGCGAGTTGGTGGCTTGAAGGAAAGTAAAGCGGCCACCAACGCTGGCGGAGGTGTCAACGATCTTCTCGGCTTCATGGAGAGAAAGGCCGGATCATTCAGAACCGGTTCCAAGCGAAAAGTCACTATTAGAAAGGTAAGTTTTATCATTGACTGAGCTTCAGGTGCGGAATATTCGACTCGACTATGCGAGACTCGGAGATTTATGTATCGATTTTGAAACGCGTTCTGCTATATAATTATACACCCCCGCACCTCAGCTAATAACATTCGACAACGCCTGCTAACTCGGTGTAGCACCATGCTGTTGGTGACTACGTCTACATAGGTGCGAATGGGGAGGATGCCGAAGAGCTAATCAAGCTTAACACGTTTACATTTGCTGGCGCGGCTTTGGAAGTGACCCATGTGGACGAAATCCCAGACAGAGGCCGGACGGTCGAGTCCAAGGAAACTCAGGAGCTTCGTGCCAGACTTCAAAATATCCTCAGTTCAAGGTACATTGGTGACAACAAGCTTCTCAAGCTGGATGCTCTTGCTTCGGACACGGAGCTTGTCACTCTTGGCATGTTTGAGAGCCGTGAGCGTGCTCTAAAGACATTCAAAGGATTGATGGCTGTCTGTGACAGTCTTTTCAAGACCGCCAAGGAGAAACAAGATGCGATCGAGAGCATCAGTCTGGCAAGTAACAACATCGATGATGTTGGTCAAGTGGAAATCGTTGCCGTGACCTTCCCTCACCTCAAGAATCTGGATATGAGTGGCAACCAGGTGGCATCCATGCAAGCACTTCAGCCTTGGAAGGGAAAATTCAAACACCTTGAGACTCTCTTCATTACAGGCAACCCCATCGAAGCTACAGATCCGACCTACCCATCAACCCTCCTGGAATGGTTCCCGAAACTGCAGAACATCAACGGCAACCAACTTCGCACGCCAGAGCAGATCGCTGAGCAGGAAGCTGCTCTAAGACCCAGGCCAATCCCCCAGAACGGACCCGATTTCCGAGATGTCGGTGGTGTTGGCGAGAACTTTCTCTTGGAGTTCTTTGCTTCATACGACAACGATCGGCCTGGTCTGGTATCTCGGCTGTATGATGAGGATAGCCGCTTTTCTATCTCGATCGATACGCGGGCTGCACCAGATCCCAACGCGGCTGCGCCTGCATCATGGGCTTCATATATCAAGCTCTCCCGAAACCTGACCAAGATCACCATGCCTAACCCCCGGATTCAGCGACTTTTCCGCGGCGCCGCGACCATCCAGGATGCATGGAAGACACTCCCTCTCACTCACCATCCCGATATCAAGCAAGAACTCAGCAAGTACATCATGGACTGCCACCCTCTGCAAGGACTGGTGGACCCTAGCGGACAAAACTCCGGGGGTGTCGACGGTTTAATAATTGCAGTTCACGGCGAATTCGACGAACAAGATCCCATTACCAACCTAGCAGGAAAGCGCAGCTTCTCTCGCACATTCGTCCTTGGGCCAGCGAAGCCAGGGCAAGGAATGATCAGAGTTGTCAGCGACATGCTGTCGCTCCGAACGTTCAGTCAACTCCCAAATGTTTTCGCGGCGGCTGCCCCAACTCCTGCTCCGGCATCGGTCGATCAACACCAAGCGATGATCGCCGAGCTATCCAAGCAGACAGGCATGACAGCTCAGTACTCCGAGATGTGTCTTACCCAAGTGAATTGGGCATTTGACCAGGCTCTAGTTATATTCAACGAGAAGAAGGTATGTGATCATATTCGTCCTGATAGGTAGTGGCGATGGACTAATCAAGCTGCAGTCACAACTCCCTGCTGAAGCTTTCGCTCCCATGGGTGGACCATAGTTTGGAAACTCCTGTGTCGGGGCTCTCAGCATGACTACGCACCAGCAACATGACTACGTACAGCACATCTAGGGCTTCTATAGAATTGGAGGAGAATGGACAACTATACCAAAGGGGGTGGGTGGTAACTTATACCAGCAGCGATGATTCAGAACCTTGTTGGAGTTGGTGGTCCTTACGCGTATTGCATGATAAATGGTTTGGGGGAGACACTACTGTGGATGAACGCACATATTCGTGGGCGAAACGTCCGTTTGCATAATTATAATATGATGCTTTCACAGAATGAACAAATTGCATCGCCTACTACTAACCCTATACGAATAAACTGTGACATGATGTTCAATAAGGTCGAGGCGCTTTCTCGGCGTACCATTGGGGTACAGTGGTGTTATGGTTGGGAAATTATGATCGTTCAACTTTCCAGTACATGCGGGATACTCAAACAGAACGAAACTTTCACACAATATGTTTACTTGATACAAATAGGATGCAAATCCCGACAGATAATTATTGTCTGTGGCTACTAAGTTCTAACGGCATTGTTGCCATTATTTCCTTTATGGATCACACTCCACCTAAAATCCAACCACGCTTCTTTATGGAGCGACGATCTGCTATTCCCAGTTGGAAAAAGAACAATTAGAACATGCAGATTCACCGGCGGCTTTAGCTCAGTTGGAGAAGAACATCGTTCGAGCGCTAAGCCTTAGGTCATTCTCAGTCAGGTGTTCTAGTTATCCAAGACAACATGCGATCATTAACTGTGAGATGTGAGGCAAAGACTGAGGCGTTTTGAAGGAGGTATAGACTTGGTAGGTAAAAGCCCCCAGATATCCATATTTATCGTGTATCATGACAGAAATAAATATACTCATTCCATAGCGCGAAGTTGGTCATTTACGCAGCTTTCATTAGGAGTAGAACCTGATAATACAGTATGGTAGAAGTGGACATATCGTCTGATCTGTTGGTTCATGCATTTCATTTCAAGGCCAGATCGAAACAACCAATAGAGGGCAAATGCTCAGCAGTAGCGTGTACCCGAGTGCTTTGGTAGATCCAAGATGGTTAAATGGACCACTTTGCGCAGTGACATGCAGGTTCATCCCTTCAAGATGAACGAGATCACAACACGGCAAGGGTACGGGGATACATGTCAAGAAACCATCGTCATGACCGTTGAGACGACGATAAGGATCGGCAAGGGAGATTGCCCCAGCCGGCTATCTGATACATGCTCATCCGACGATTCCAATCAACTTGACGCAGCAGAAGTCTTACTCGTACGCGTCTCGTAAGAGAGTTTTTAGACCGAACCCGATAGATGAGAATAGGCTCATTCGGATGGAATTCAAGAAGGGCAGGTAAAAAAAAAGAAGCCAAGCTCTTGGACCAGTCTTGAACTAAAGGGGGCCAGGGGACTTCAGGTTGGGTGCGCAATGGCGCGTTTCAGATAAGAGCTTGTGCATTCAACCACGGACCCTAGTGGACACCTGTTGCTATGGTTGGTAGGATGCCGGGTAGAAGCATGTCGTCTTTCACTTGTGACGGTGTCGAATCAGCGAGCGAGCTTGTGCGATTCAGTGGTTGATTTCTTCCACACGATATTGGGCAGAGAGCACACTTGGAGTTGCTTCTCTCAATTCCGCGCCATTGGACGGTAACAGCGTTCACAATATGAATAATATGACAATTCGCTAAGCACGGGGATACGGAGAATATAACCACACGTGTGTTGTATGAGAACACACGTACAAGTAATGCTCGGGTTGTGGGGGATCTTACACAAGATGTATCAGAAAGAAACAAAGCGAGAGAGTGACATGCATGCGGCCCGTTTGGACCGGCATGTATGCGGTACCTAATCGTTTAGCCTCAAGTCTGGTATTGACGAGATAATTATTCCTATAATTCTATACGAACATTTCCATAGTATTTATTTACTAGATTAATTTTCCGAGGCATATGTTCGACCGAGCAGGCGTAGGGACCCACTCGTCAGCCTAAGCAGATCCATCAACACGAGAATAGTTGTTGTACGGACATTCTCGTATACTATCGATTCTCAATCCAAATATGATATGCTCTGCCATGCAAGATGAACGCAGGAGCTGCTGTGGACATACTACGATCGGGGCGCGGAGGGAGAGCAGAGAATGGTCTGGCTTGAATGACGGAGCTACTGGGCCGAGAATTTGAGATATAATATGTGAAGTATCTAATGCATTACTGCCATGCATGTATTATGCAGATGATGATATGAAAATGCCTGGTCCAAACATTCCATACCCGCCAACATTATTACCTTAATAGTAGCATTCATATTGATACTAGGTATTCAGGATATATCATATATGTCTAATGTTTGTATAATATTGAATATCCTGAACCTATAACATCGTGCAGATAGCTTATGTCCAACGGTCCACTGGCGTCTGGTAAAAATGACGAGCTGCCCAGGTTCTGATATTTGAATTGGGTACAGAGTAAGCCCCGGGCTCCCCTATTTTAATATCCCAAAAGTCTAGGTAGGGTGGAGGAGGCATGGAGCACGCGCCTCTTTTAGAACAGACCCCTGATTCGAAAGGCTCTAAGGTGCTCTTGCTGTCCTGTAGAATCCCACCATGCCCTGGAGGCACAAGGCACTGAAATGGGCGATTCATGCCACCAATCGGTAGGTCACATTCGCTGTCAGGACCCCTGCAGATAGGCGTCAAGGAGGGTTTGGCGATGAGTCGCACCAGCCAATCAGAGACTATAGCCCCTGGGCGGCAAGTGCAGCGTCTTGTCGAGGCTAGCGAGGGAGGGAAGGAGGGACCCGCCGTACCTGCAGGATGCGCATCTTGTATGGATTGCTGTTGGCTGCGTCTCACCTCACCTCGTGGTTTAGGTTAGTTTCTGGGCTCAACTCCGCCTCTGTCCAAGCTCACGATAATGGATGAGCGCCATAACAAATCACAACCAGACCACAACCGATTGTCGAATCACAAGTTAATCATCACTTTCCCAAAGTGCACCTAGCTCAAGGCCTGTCACAATATATTAATTACTGGACTGTGCACTGACAAGATTGCCTCTGGCTCGTGTACTGCGGCGTACTCAGTGGCTGCTTGCAGGGCCTTGAGCATCAAACCCCTGCTCGTTTGTGTCTCTCCTGTCCTTTTGCCTGTCTCTGAGACTCCGCCTTTGACCAGGACCCCCCAGTCTCGACTCTCGACTCTCTGCTGCCAGTTCGTATCATACGTCTCTTCCCCCCAGTTCAGTTCTGCATTTCGTCTCTCGTCTCTCTTTTCTCCCCATCATCTGCTCCGTTGCTTTTTCTGCTGTTGCCTTTTTCGCGCTTCCTTCTCCCACACCCATTCCAGACCTCGCAACACCGTCTGGTACGAGAACGTCGAGGATTATTGCCAATCGTTGGATTCCCTCCTTTTCCAAGTAGCGCCAAATTACAACACCGACTTGCATTCCCAACCAAACGACACGACGTTCACCCACCTACCCACACTCTGGACCCGGATTTTATCCTTCGCCCTCGATTACCGCGACGACACCGATTCTCTCGAGGCATATCGCAGTGATTTGCATTCACGTCGGCGTCTTCCTTTTCTCACTCACTCGCACCCGTGGTGTTGAGAACTCAGCCACCGTTCCACTCCTTTCGACGCCATCAGCTCGTCTTGCTGCATCCGGCCAGCTCTCCCCAGATATTCAGTTCATCAGATCGTCGCCACATCCGCTAGCCTCAACTCTGTCTGCTTGCGATTGACCTCGATCATTCCTTGTTTGGGACGACTTCTCTTCGATCTTCCACGCGTGGACATTCTCTCCTGGATTTGTTCTTTTGATATTCTTTCGAACCGAACTCAACATCTTTCCACCAGACCTATCAACTGCTGGCTTGTGATTTTATCATCGACTTTATTTGGAACGCGAATAACATCTACCGACAATTTGAACCCGTCATGCCATCGAAAACCTAATAACTTACTGCCGACATTGTTTTGATTTGAACTCGCCACGATGAGTTTACCTGAGCCGCCGTCCTCCGTGGACAGTGGTTGTTCTGTCGTCCACGACAATACTCTTTATGTCTTCACACCGACTGCCTTCATGTCCCTCTCACTTGAGGAGGGAGCAGAATGGAAGGAACTGAAAATGGGGCAACAGGTCACCGGCGGAGTATGTGTCGGTGCTGCTTCCGCGTTCTTTGTTGTTGGAGGTAGCGGTGGTCCTGCGGACTATAATGGTCTGCAAAGATACATATTCGCTGATAAGAAGTGGGAGAATGTTGAAATGCAGGACTCTAGATTCCGCAACCTTCAGTACCACGGTGCGACATACATCAAGAACACTGACCAGATCGTTGTATCTGGCGGTAGTCAAGATGGCAGAGATATTGCCTCGAGCGATTCCTACTTCTTCACTGCCTCAGGACCATACACACTACAGTCCACGGCCGGTGCCATTTCAACTGCCGACCCTCTTCTTTTGCCCTGGTCTGACGATGAAGCATGCATGCTTGCTGGTGATGGTTCGAGTACTGGAGTCGTTGTTTTCAACCCCACGAATGGCTGGACAGATAAGAAGACTACATTGGCTGCACCTCTTACACCTTCCAGCAAAGCCCTCGTTTTACAAGGAGATGATGGCTCCAAGAGCCTCTATGTCTTCGATCTCTCAGCGAGCCCCAATACGGTCCGCCGTTATGTTGTTTGGGGCGACAATAATGCACCTGGCCAGAACGCTGTCGACCAGAACGCGAAGCGCGATCTGTCCCAGAACAACTGGCCTGCATACAACTCAACATTGGCGCCTACGGCGGCACGGGCGCAAGGACAATACTCTATTGCCCAAGACTCCAATGGTAGAGTTGTGTTTGTTGGCGGCAACAAAGACGAGCCTCTCGCTTTCTTTGATATGAAGGAGAACTCCTGGCTGGATGCCGCTAACATTGTTGGCGAAGACCAAAAGATTCTCTCGGCAGAGACGTCTACCGCCACCAGCTCTACCAAGACCAAGACCAAGACAAGCTCTACCAAGACAGTGTCAACTGCATCGACCGAAACAGAGTCCTTTACCTCGGACTCTTCGTCTACCTTTGCGACTTCTACTGCCTCCGCTACAGCGACGGACGATTCGTTCGCATCTGAGACGATATCTGATAGCTCGGCTACTAACAGTGACGTTGCGCCAATTGGTAGTGGAAGCAGCAATAGCCACTCTGGTCTTAGCTCTAACGCCATCCTCGGCATCACTCTCGGTACGATCTTGGGCTTCATTGCCTTGCTTATCGTTATCCTCTTGCTCCTACGTCGCCGCAAGAAGACTCGCCAACCTTCGCCCGAGAGCGCGCCACCACCCAGACAGGAGTTTCCTCGTGACGAGAAGGATCCCATGGGACTTGGTGGTGGCCCGATGTCACCTTTCCGTACCCACCACCCTAATCAGTCTGCAGAGTCATTCTCATCCATGGCCATCCTAATGGGACGTGCCGGCAAGAACAAGCCCAGCATTTCCCGAAAGCTCAGTAATGGCTCCAATGGTACATCCGGCAGCGTTGATCACAACCAACTCAAATCGTCTATTAGCAAGCCCGTCTTGCAAGAGATGCAACACCCAGCCTTGCAAGGACAAGATACTCGAGGGGTTGCGTTCGATCCCACTGTTGTTGAGCCTCGACCCCGTAACGGACCCCTCGAAACACAAGACGGTTTGCGTAGGAGCTCAGGATGGAACCGATACTGGTCAGGCGGCAGCGCACTTCAGATTCTGGGTTTCGGTGGTCCTAAGAGAAATACCGCTGCCTCAGACAGTGATTCGCACTATTCGGATGCCGTACACCCCCGCAACCCCCGAGCTACACAAGATTCCGCTACTGTCCCTCCCTTGAACTTCGAGTTCCGTCCTGAGATGAACCGAGTCAACTCTGGAAGCCCTGTTGTTTCAGAGTACAGCAAGAACATCCCTTTCAGAGACGGAGTTGCTGCCAAGATTGAACGCCCAATCTCAAAGGCATCTTCTGGCTACTCAAGCGGCATCCCAGAGAGTGTAAATGAAACATGGGACCCTGATTATAAGGACAAGCCCTGGGGCACCGACAGAGCGACCAGCAGCATTTACAACCCAAGCTTTTACTTCGGAGCACCACTGTCTCCCAGAGTTCCACCTCCCCAAACACCACCTTCCGGTGTGAGCACTCAGCCTCAACTCGCCATGTCGGCACAATCGTCAGACATGAGCTGGCTGAACCTTGGTGACCGGTCGCGCAAGTAGAGCAACCGCAGTCTTTATGAACTGATGAAGTCGTTCGAGTCTTGCTTGGTCGTTGCGAGCTACTGAGATATCCCATGGCGCTTTCGGCGCACGCATCCTTTCCTCCTTGTCAGAAGCGAAAAGTCGTTTCAAGGACAAAACCACCACTACCCGGAGCACATGCATTATGCTGTTACCCCATATACGTCGGTGCATGTACATATTAGCACGCACTCGATCACACTCACTACCCAATCCTCCTGGACCTAGAGTCCGTAGGAGATACTATTTTCTTTTACTCTTTTTGATAAAGCATCGCATGAACCGACGCCGGCATGTATCCTTGTCGGCCTAATCTGTCTCATATTCAATTCTGTCTTTCATTATGGCGCCGTTTTTTATCTTATTTGTACATTCTAGACGTTGACCCGGGATTGGTCACTATTTCCCAGCCTTTTCTGTGGATCGTCGTTGTCGTTGTTATGATACCACCATCTCCTGATGTATGTAATTGGCTTGTTTAGCAAAAGGGGACTTGGAGGGAGAATCAATGTTGGGGGAGATGTTAGATAGAGGAGAAGAGGGATGGAGAAAGATGTGTCGCATGAGAAAGTCATTGACACGGAAGGAAAGGGAGCGTGGCTGCTGGTCGAGGTTGAACGGCGGCAGCCAATTTTGTTATGTCTATGTATGCCTGGATGTGAAGTTGAGGCGGGCAAGGCACAGAAGCAGGAGGCTACGAAGCCGGAACTTCTCGCAATAAAACAATACTCGAAATCAACACCCAACGCTTCCTCTTATATATGTCAGTGATGGCTGAATGAACCAAGCTGGAAGTACAAATAGTCTTGTGTACTGGTCAGAGCCTAAATGGTATTTCCTTGTGAGTATGTATCGGTGGGATCGACTTGAACATTTATGAGCTCTCCAAGGTCAAGAACTTGCTAGCTTACTGTCTCCAACTTCTCAACCGATACAACTCAGTCCAGTAATTCGTCCGTTCCACTGGGATGTGTAGCCACAAACGCCCCTTTTGCCAGGGACCCGACTGTTTGGCTCTGAATGTCGCTACACACCATTCCAGTATCAGAGTTTCGACAAGCGGCGGGCCGGGCCTTTTCTTTTTGTGATCGTGAGCACGTGTGACCGCATCAAGATACTACGTAGAAGACTGTTGATTCATACTCCCGCATGTACCTTTATTGTTGCCATGCGTTACTAAAAGATGTGCTGGGTTGTATGCTGCTTGTATTTGGAAAGCAGGCTTCAGACCACTTTGGATTGTTCCATCTTCAGATAGTGCTCGCCTTGATGAGGTATCTACATTCCTGCATACTCACAAGCTCCACCATACTTGCAGTACGGACAATCTGGAAATATAGAAGATTTCTGGAAGAATAGTAGGAGAGCCTCATCCTGCAGGCCGAGGAGTTGACAATGTGGATTCTAAGGCACAGCAACCACTCGGTTGAGCCTCATCCCTAGGTTTCCTGTGGGGGGCCGGAGCGAGCAGCTCGGTGAGTACTTTGGGTAAGAAGGCTCATGATTTGTACGGAAGAGATGATCTCCTGCCGCTGTCAGGATATTCTGACAGACAGATAGATTCATGGATCTAGACGATGGATCAAGAAAATAGCTCCAGAGTGAAGGAGAAAAATCCGACTTCCGATGAACAAGTATAATTACGATTTGCATCGTTCTGTTTATCAACTAAAGACTCCACTCATTTGATAACTTCACTGTTTTCAGAGCATCGTATGTATAATATTCATTATTCCATTGCTCTCAGCAATCAACATCTGGCCAATCATGGCTAATTGATACTGATCCTTCTTCTCAGGAACGATATGTCACTGGGGAGAAGCCAGAGGGTCTCCAAGCTCCATTGCCTACAATAACCGTCTACGTTACCATCAAGACTTCTTAGTCCAGTGGGCCCCCTCGAAGCCAAGCAAAGAAATGGAACACACCTAGCGTTTTAAGGGTCCTCCTGGGCTGTTTGGCTAGTGGGCTCGAAGCGATGGTTAGAGTTTGAGAGATTTTCTCAGCCTCCATCTCGGCATTGAAGTTATGATTGTTTAGTTAGTAGATAGACTAGAGAAGCTTAGCATGGTAGATTTTCTTCTTCTTCGAACCACAGAGGACACCTTCTCTGCAATGCAACTACATCTGCATGTAATGTAAGGTACGGGGTACACGGGATCAAGTTATCCGTAAATTTCTCCGTACCGGAGGACCCCAGCCAGCGCAGAGCGTTAAAATTAAGGTCCAAAAGTCTCTAAACGCTACCCCACTAACAAGTTAACTACTATAAAAAATCATAACACTACCTAATTTTCTTTTATCTATAATTAATTTAGAAAATATCGTAAAAAAATGGGATCTTGTCTATCTTATACGTAAATCGTTAGCTAAATTATAAACTTAACGAGACAGTTAGAGCTTTAATAGTTAGTATAGTAAAGACGGGATTGTTATACCGGGATATTACCGCCGCCGTAAAGTGCTTACCTAACGCCGTTTATTATATCTTTTAACGCTAGAAATCTTAATAAACCTTAGTTAATAAGCCTCGATCTAGGCGTCTAAAGAAATTTACAATTTAGTAGATTTAATATATTATAATAATACTTAAATATAACCGTAGAATTATATATAAAGTGCTTATTAATTATCTAGGTACCTTAATATTATAAATAACTTTATATTAAGTTATTTACCTTTATTACAGTTAAAAATAGAGGGTAATATAGTAGATTTTACTATTAAAGGAAATAGCTTATTAGTAATTATTATAGTATTAAGCTTAAATAGAGAATATTAAGGAATTAATAGAGGTATATCTATTTAAAATTCGCTAATAGATATTACTTAGGAATCTTTAGCTTAACTAATAGTACCTTTAGACTATTTTCTCTAACGAATTATCTATATAATCTTAATTAAACTATAAATATAGCTAGGTCTTCTAGAAACCTTATAAGAAGTTTATAAAGGAGTTAATAAACGTTATAGTTTATAGAAAGTTTAAGTTATTAATTATAGTCTAGGGAGTAATCTAGAGAGGTAAAAAGTTTAATATTATTATTATAATCTATAATTAAACCGCTAAGAGGAAAGGATATATTTTAAAGAGTTATTAAAAGGCTTTATTAAAAGGTTTACTTCCTATATATAATAGTATAAGGAATTTCTAATAAGATAACGTAAGAATTTATATATCTAAGTTAATAACTAAGTGGCTATATATATATATAGTTATGTAGATTAACTGGCCTGTATATTTACCTAATCTTAACCTAATTAAGTATATTTAGAAGTAATTAAAGTTAAATATTAAGAAGATATTCCCTTAATTAAATATCCTTAAAAATAATAAAGTTGATAAGGTAAAGTTAGTAAAATATATTAAGTTAGCGTAGGAAGTAATAACGGTTAAGTAAATTAATATGCTAATTAAGTTACTGCCTTGCCGACTTAAAGCCTGTATTTATATATATAGTTAGTATATAAAATATTAAAGAGAAAATTTAGGGCTTTATTTTGGTATATAAATTATTTTTATTAGATTTTATTTAACTATATTTTATATAAGTGAAGTTATTACTGTTAAATAATTAGTACGGTTATAGGGTGGGTGTTTAAAGACTTTTAGAGCGTAATTTTAGTCAGATTGGGAGAGAAATATCCGGAGTAAATTCGCAAACATGTGCATGGGCCATGGAGGATGGAACTTGAATGGCCGAGACGTTGGGGCCTTTGAACGGGGAAGCTCAACAAGCTTCTGTGCATCGGGGAAAGGTTTCTAGAGAAGAGAGGTCCACTCAGAGAATTAGAGCCGGATACAACCCGAGGAGAAGCCAGAGGAGAGGGATATTTCGTGTGCAATTATATCATATGTGTTCTGGATATTCCTGCTTAGATATGGACATGAAAACATTTCAGAAAATAGACGTAAACAAGGATAAAAGTATAATTAAAACAAACAACAAAAGCCAAGACCACATCCCATCGCATCGGTCACCGAAACAGAAACTCAAGCAGACACAAGCAACTCGGAAGCAGCCCCAACAAGGGCCCCCTGATACTGTAGTACCACGGCCAATAGCCATTTGCAGTAACCATGCCATAAGCGAGCGACGTCAGCCATTAAGCCTGGCAAAGTATGAGGCTTTGCAGGCTTCAGTTACCTCACAGGGCGGGTAGAGAAGCCAAAGGCAGTCAGTTGAGTCTAGAATCGGGTCTCGGAGACACTGACGCATGGACCACGGATGTCCACCACTCACCAGTGAGAATGGCCCGTAACTCTGGACAGGAAAGAATCTCCATCGGAAACCTTACAGGGGCAATCCCACGCTGGCTGCAGCCACCACAGTTTGTTCATATAAGGCAATGAATGTCAAGGAAGGTGAAGATGAAGATGAAAATGAAAATGAAGGTGAATGGGATTGACCTGTGGAAGAGAGCATCACATGTAAGCAATACAATTCCATCTCAGGCATATTACAGCATCATCACACATTAAGAGTTTCCATCTTACTCTCCTAAGTTAAGACCTCACACCGTCAAAACAGAAAACCTCCCCCGCGTGAGCCATGCTCGCGAAGGTCTGTCTTGCGAGCCCTGCCACCCACCGGATGGATGGGCACCAAAGAAAAAGAGCTTGTAGAGCAGAAGAACCAACCAGACATGGCCATTTACGATATACCCCTGCAATGCATCTAATGAAATAGCCCTCCCACCACCTTCCCCTTGAACGATGCCCTTGAACGATGCCCTAGAAGGTCCTCTAGGCCTCTCTAATAAGTCCCTCTGTTCTAGGTATTGGAAGTCCCCCAGCTGACAATGTCCTGCAGCGGGGGATAGGTAGATGATGGAGTGGACATCCCACTCTCCAAGTACTGATACTTTTGTTGATCCCTGCTCTTTGTTTTATTTGAGAAACTCTCTCTCACTGGATATCTATTCCATGTTACAGAGGCTGACCTTTCTGTATGACTTGCTCCATCATTTAAACGAGCAAAACAAAATAAACATATCGTCATTTGGCTCCTCCCCCGCCCTCCACCCTTCACCTCCAGTTCCTCCAGCTCAGTGAGCACAGGGCAGGGCAGTTGGGAATGGGTTCGATTCTCCACAGGAAGCGTAAGAGACACCCCACTCTCACCTGCAATGAACTCCACCCTGTCGACAAAAAGTCTCTCTACATTACCTATTTTATTTTATTCTATTCTCATACTGGAGTTGGAAACCAATTGCGCCGCCCACTTCGACCTGTGCTAAGGTTACCACTAACTGACCATCCACCAACCACCAACCACCTGGGTACCTTCAAGACGGGGACTCTTCAACTCAACTCGACTCTACTCTACCGATTCCTTAGTTGGCTTCGACATCGGCGCTGTCTCGTCTTTTGTCCCGTGCTTGCGCTTGTGTCCTCGTAGTTTTTTCCCGAGCCTCTTTCTTGCATCTGCAGTTACAACATCATCACGAACCGTTGACAATCCATCCCTTGACGTTGCCTTCTCAGCCGTCACCCCGTTCGACCTTTTGTCGTGGCCTTTTGCACTACAAATCAATCAGCTTTCCTCATCTTGCGCTATCACAAGCTTTCTCTTTTCAACAATATTGCCAGATATTTCCGGTCCATAGGTAGTCACCGCTGATCACCCGGTTATTTGCTTTCCGACCCCGACTCTGACTCCGACTGGAGCGCATCTTAACCCGAATATCGACTGCTTCCGTTTCGTGAATACTTGTCATCTATTGTTCTTCTTCACATCTTGGGAGTATATTTCTCCGCTCTTGGTGCCGCTTCGACAACCTGCGTTCCTTTTCTGCAGCCTTACTGGCGCAGTCTAATACCCGAACCCCTCTTGTTCAATCTTAATCAGATAAACTCTATCGTAACCCAACCGCCTGCATTCGACGCTCGCCGTCACTTCGGCCATGATGAGTTCTGCGACATGGAACGGACAAGACCAAACAATGGCGTCAACCGGAGAGGATGATTTTCACCAGTTCCTCGATATGAGCGCCATGGGAGGCCTGGGCGATAGCATGCACTTCGACTTCCAATCCTTTCAAGATAGTTCGGCGCAGGGCCTCATAAATCAAACGCGCGATGCTCCCGACACAATAATGACCGACAGCGACAACCCGGGCTTGATGGCCACGGCTAATGCGATGCCAATGTCAACGTCTACTAGTCAATCAACTATCCCGGCCCATATGATGACGCCCGCGAGCGACCCCATTTCCAACATCGACGCCCAGATTCAGTATCTTCAGCAACAAAAGTTTCAACAACAGCAGCGGCAATTACAAGAGCAGCACGCGGCTTTCTTCCATAGCCACAGCCACAACCACTCAGTGCCTCCTACACCGCAAAGTCTTGAGATGCCCAACAGCGGCCAGTTCTACTCCCAGGCTGAGCAAATGCCATCATCAGGTGCTTACGATAGAGGCTATCACCAACGCATGAAGGAGCAAGATGTAAGACCATACTTGTGGTGCCATTGTGGCATACAGTAACCTCCGAAGCCTTGATATGCTAATTAGTTCCTAGATGGCATTTACGCCCCTTGTCTCTCCTGCGGTTACACCTCTAGATCCTAACTTCTCGATGGACAATGGCTATACTATTCCCAACACCTACTTTAGCCCTCTGACTTCACCAGCTCTGCATGCGCAAAACGACTCCTCTACAATTTACGATCCACGCCACACTAATACCAATAATTCGCCAATTGACGTGGATCTTGATAGATCTGCTGGTCCTGTTGCATCTGTCTTGGATCTACCTAAGAAACCTGCAAGGAAAAAGGCCGCAACTAAGTCTCGAGCCAAGACCAGCATCCGAAGCTCTCCTATTGTGAAGCCTCAGCGTCGGAGAATTGGACCCAGCCCGGCTATTGTCTCCCAGGTACTAAGCGAGGTCGAAGAGAACAACGGCTCACTTCTTCCCATGTCCGCGACTTCAACCGAGACCTCGGCAGAGGAGAATTCATCAGTATCACCTGAAGCTCTCTTGGAGATGCCCCCACCTCCAATTCCCAACAGGAGATCGACAAGCAAATCGCCATATATTCAAGCGCAATTGAGCAACCAGCAGACGCCTGTCTCGGCCCCTATGGACTTGCACCCGGCCCCAGCTACTCCAGCGTCACTCATGAAACTACCGGCATCCAGGACAAACAAACAGGCCACAGGACATACCGAACCTATGGTTTCTGAGCATATCGAATCGCTCGAGTTACCTGAGTCGGTATCCAGCAAGACTATGACCCCGGTTATCTCGCGCTCTTCCGTGCAGTCTTCTTCTCTAGAGCCTGCATTCGGCAAGGGATCCAGCTTTCAGCCATTGCCATCTCCTGTATTCCCCAAACGTTCAGGACCGGCCTCGGCTAGTGCGAGCCCTCAACTGGCTCCCGGATCGACAGGCCCATCTGCACGCAGAACTCCTCAGCTCGCCCCCAGAGCAGGCAGGAAACGATCAACGGGTTCTGTCCACGTCTCACCCGCTCTGTTGCCCAGAATCTCTCCCAGTATCAAGCCTCTGCTACCTGGTACCCCTGGCATGACGCCAGCGGAAAGTGCTGCCTCACAGCTACTAATGTCCAAGTCCAATTACCAGAACATTCTAGAGGGTAACAAGGTCCCGGGTGTGTCGTACCCTAGCGAGCTTTCAACAAATCTCACATCAAAGCGAACATCACACAAGATCGCGGAGCAAGGACGCCGTAACCGAATCAATTCAGCGTTGCAGGTCATGGCTGGGCTCTTACCCGGAGGAGACAAAGCGAATTTGATCGAAGAAAGCGACAAGAAGGACGGGAAGCAAGCGAACGCGCAGAACAGCAAAGCCAGCGTGGTTGAGAACGCCATCGCACACATGAAAACCCTGGAGAAAGAAAATGCGGATCTGAAGAAGGAAATGGAGGAACTGAAAAAGCAACTGGAAGGGCTGCAAGGGTCGACGGACGACAAACAATGACAAGAAGACCGAGGTGTATTTGGCTGACCGCAGGATGCATATAGGCGTTGGATAGATGGAGACTCTCCTGGAGCATAATGGGTAGGTTTAGTTGTCAAAAGGGGGTCGGCTCTCTGCATTATATCCACAAGGGCGGCAGCAATATTTGTTTTAGCGTTTTGTTTGGTGTCAAGGTGAGGCGGAGTATTAGATGGGTGCGCCTTTGGGCCTTGTGGGATGGGTTAGGTGTAGAGCATGACGGAAAGAGTATGGATGACTTGGAAACGAACGGGTTCACATGAATCACAGGGCATGGATATACCAGAATTGAATAATAACGGTCAAGCTAAGAAGCAAGGCCGAACAAGGCATGACATGGGTGAAAGATCCAAGCTCCAAGCTTCTAGCTTCTGCTCCGTAGCTCTAGGGCGGGCTGCTTGAGATCTAGCAAAGCAATTTTAGGTGAAGATTAGTGAGAACAAGGTAGAGATAGACCGATTTAAGGGTCTAGAAATTGTGTTTATTGTTATGGATCTGTTATTGTTGCTTTTGGGCAAGGACGTCAGTGTCTAGCTGCTCCATGACTTCCACCACAAGCTTCAAGCTCTCCATGAACCCATTGACGGCTACACGGAGCATTCGATTGGTTGTGGCCCTGTATCGAACCTCGAGGAGCCGTGCATCGTCGCCAGTTGCAGATGCAGATGCAGTTCCAGCGGGAGAACCCTGCGTTGATGTTGACGTCGGCGCTGGGACAACGGTGAGCTGTCGCCTGACGAGTGGAGAGAGTTCCGGGTCCACCTGAATAGCCTTGAGCGCGGTCGTAGCCAGTCGAGAGGTGGGAAACGGGACGTTGAGAACACTGGACAAGGGGGTCAGGGGTTAGCAGGTGTAGCGCAGTGTGATAGTGCAGAGTGTAGAGTAGAGAATGACAACAATAACAACAACAGCCTTCAGCCTTTAGCCTTAAAAGTCGTCATCGTAACAAGTTTAAGCAGGGGGGGTTGGCTTGCATTGAGCAGGGAAACTCGGAATCGGGAGTGGCGGTCATGGTTGTAGGCTTGGTAGGCAAGCGACCGCTTAATCTCTCGTTTCGCGTTTCGTGATCGATCCGAAATCGCAAATCGATTCCCGATTTCTTGTTTAAGTTCTTTCTCTTTTTTCCTCCTGTCGTACTGACTCTAAAAATGACGAAGCTAGACTGGTCTTTGCGGCGACAAGGAATGTAGATCTAGGCCCAAAACCGAAGGGAGAGGAACGTTGACCCGTTATGCTGGGTATGTTTTGGGATCTAATGGACAGGACGAGGCTTCTTTATGAGATGGTGTGAGTAAAAAATGAGTCCAGGTGCGAGAACTTCGTGTGAGTGAGTGAGTTGTGACTCTGTTCTATGAAGAAGAGGTTTCTGCTCTGGGCGCGGGGATTAGATTGGTTGGCAGCGGGGGAATCTCTAGGCGGAAATCGGGCGGTAAAGATTGACGTTATGGGGACGGGACTGAAGATTCATAGACACAGCCACAGAAGCCACAGCCGCTCACACTACCTAAAGTTAGCCTAGTATATCTGGTTTCCATCATAACAACAGCCAAACAACATAGGCCTAAAGATCCGAGAAGCACAGTCTACTGCAGGTGTTGTTCAATTTTAGGAAATAGGGCTTGCATGTTTGATTGCATATGCTCTCCATGTTACACTGCTTGCATTTTTAATTGCTCAGAAGTCAGCAGTTGCGTTTGAGTTGCTGTATAGTGCTGGTGTGTTATGCCACCCATAGGGTAGTAGAGATGATCAATAATTATATTAGTAGCTGGTTGTGCTACTGTAAATATTGAGATAATACTCTATACGAAGGAAGCACGTGAGGAAGTAGATGTATTGCTCGTGTGTATCCGTATTACTCTAACAACAGCATCATCCAAGTGTTTACTACTGTCGCGTGAGAAAGAAAACGAAAGGGCGGCGGGCTGTATTCGATAACACGGGCCAGCAACTAACAGCCCTGATGGAACATGTACCTAGGTGCAGCTGGGAACTGGAGCGGTCTGTTATGGCCCTGGACGCCCCCCAGAGCCCAGAGCTAGAAGCCCAAAGCCCAGGGCAGAGTGGGCGCTAAGGTAAAGGTCCCGTCGTCGGTCACTGTCACTGTTGCTATGGCAATGGCACGGGGAGCAACCTGTTTCGGAGCAGGGGCCCAAAAACAACGACAATGGCCCATACAAAAGAATCGCTAGCCCAGGTTCAATCTCACCTTACATCAACATCGTCAACCAAGACCTTCAACTTCAATTCTTTCTTCCTTGTCTCCAAATTTGTCTTTGGTGCTTTCTCTGGTCTGAGCTGGAGCTGGACTTGCTGAACACCACTCTTACTTGCTCCCGGTCAGCGTCTAACGCACGCCATTAACCATTTTTAACGCCGCCCGCTGCAGCTTCCCGTTAACCGCAATTGATCTCCGTCACCGCCTGCTTTTCGTCGCTGTCGCCTGTCACAATTGAGACATCGTCACTGCTTCAATATATTGATTGCGTGTATTTATATATACTCTGACGATATTCCGGGTATTTCTGAACGCTCCTGCATTCTTTATATCCTTCAGGACGGGTTCAGCGCCCTCCCATCCCTGAAGCGCAAGTCAATATCAACATCAATAACAACAACATGGCGCCTTCCACCCGGCAATCGCAAAACCTGGTGCAGATAGTGGAATACATCCCAGGTAATTAACACTGCACACTGCACTCTTCATAACCCACATTGCATACAATACAATGGCCGCTTGGATTTCCTGGGCCTCGTCGCATTGTTATCCATTCAATTCGTCGGCGCAGCTCAAGGTGGACCCTTACATCGTCGACCTCAACTTTCATGTCAACAATATGCTTTTGCCAATGTCGGTGCTAAACTATATTCCAGATCGACTCTATCTCGCCGCCTACCTCCAAGCTCCCACAGCAGACACTCCGTTCCCCTACCCCGAGGAGCCTGCTTCTCCCAAGAAGCGAAGCCAACGACTTGCTGCTGGCGCTACCCCGCTCGCCGCCAAGTCATCTCGACCGCAGCCCTGCTACTTCACCGTCGACGATACCCTTCTTTACAACGCTTTTCACCATGACTTTGGTCCTCTCCACATCGGTCACCTGTACCGCTTCGCCATTCAGTTCCACGACATCCTAGGCGCAAAGCAGAACAAGGACCGCCCCATTGTCTTTTACAGCGCCGCTGACCCCAGAAGTGAGCCCATCTCTATGAAACTGTGCGCATCGCAACGAGACTAACATTGATTCAAGGTCGCGCAAATGCTGCCTGTATGCTCGCATGCTACATGGTCCTCATCCAGAACTGGCCTCCTCATCTGGCCCTTGCCCCGATTGCGCAGGTCGATCCCCCTCTGATGCCCTTCCGAGACGCGGGTTACAGTCAGGCCGATTATGGCATCAGTGTCCAGGATGTTGTCTACGGTGTGTGGAAGGCCAAGGAGGAGAAGTGTTGCGATTTGGATAACTTCGATCTTGACGAGTACGAGCGCTTCGAGCGTGTCGAGCATGGCGATTTCAACTGGATCACTCCCCATTTCCTGGCATTCGCTTCTCCCCAACACGCGCCTGTCCAGAAGATCACAGAGGACTCCGACATGTTCCCGTTACTTCCACGAACACTTGCTGCTGTGGACGCGCATCCCAAATTGCCCAAGCCTTTCAAGAACGTGTTGAAGCACTTTTCCGAGAAGAACATTGGCTTGGTTGTGCGACTCAACTCACAACTTTACTCCTCCTCATACTTTGAGGCTTTGGGTATTCAGCACCTCGACATGATATTTGATGATGGCACATGTCCTTCGCTCACAACTGTCCGCAAGTTCATCAGACTTGCTCACGAGACCATCACTGTCCGCAAGAAGGGCATCGCTGTTCACTGCAAGGCTGGTCTGGGCCGAACAGGCTGCTTGATTGGCGCTTATCTCATCTACCGCCATGGTTTCACTGCCAACGAGGTCATCTCATTCATGCGCTTCATGCGTCCTGGTATGGTCGTTGGTCCTCAACAGCACTGGCTACACTTGAACCAGGGTACATTCCGCGAGTGGTGGGTTGAGGAGAGGATCGAGCGCAGGCTGAGGAGAGAGATGGCTGCTGCCAACCCCGTTCCCAGCACACCCATTCGTGCCATGCAAAAGACATCACTACGAAATGGCCAGATCTCAACGCCTCCAAACCGAAGTCCCTCCAACCGCACACCGCTGAGCGAAGTCGATCACGACCGCCATAACATTGGGGTCCAGGAAGACTACTTGCCAGCTCCCACACCAGGCCAACCAAGAAAGACAGTGAGGGATCGTCACCACCCATACCAACGGTCTACCTCCGGTGGTATTGTTGAAGTCCAGTGCTCGGTTGAGCAAGAGGCTGAACATATCGCTACGCATAGCCAGCCCCCGACTGTTGAGTCGGACGAAGAGCTGCATCTGCGCATGCGCCGTCATCGCAAGGCAGTTTCCCAATCACCAGTTCGCAGTGAGAAGACAAGGTCGATTAGCCAGACAACAGCTGTCTACACAATAGACAACGACGCATCACACGATGCTGAGAACATTGGCTCGGCGCGCAAGCATGTTGAGCGGGTTTCAAGTACCCCCGGTGTCTTGACAAAGGTCCGCGGTAGCAAGCGCCAACAGGCTGAATCCCCTCTCCGAGCTAAGGACTCTGCCGGTATCCGAAAGACCAGCGGCAGGGTAGGCAGTGCTAGCCACGGCACCTCGGTGACAGCGGCCTCAACGGCTCGCAAGGTTTCTGGAGCTTAGAGAGTTCCGACCCAGCGAACCCTGCCGCTTCAGCGTTGCAACGCGAAGCGCAGCAGGCAATAATTGTACGACTCTACATCACGATCATGATTCACGTACGTCACGGGCGATGTTAACGTCTCGCATGCACCGGCGCTTCGGGCTCGAAAGGAGATGAACAAATAATGGGCGTTTGTGTTCAAACCTGAAGATACTCCAGTTTCTGCAGCATTCAAGCCACTGGTTGAATAGTGTTTGTCGCGGCCAAAGCGAGGGCATTCGAGGAGATATGACCAGAGCATATTGTCTTGGAGGGAAGATTGAAGGCATACCGGATTTCAAATTTGCGACGGCGTACAGGAAGGGAAGGGTTTCAAGTTTTTGCTATTGTGTATTTGTTTTATTAGGCATTGCATTGGTTGTCTCTGGTTTCTTGGTTAAGGACGAAGAGGGACAATGAGGAGAGAAGGCAGCGGACCTTTATGACTACGATATATATGTGTTTCTGAGAAGTGAAATAAATTCTTCATACTGCCTAATTCACACATGCTTTCCATCAACTGGTGACCAACGGCATGTACTCTTCATTCATATCATATCATCATATCTTTTTCTTCGTATCTCATGTCACGTCAAGTAACTCGTTACACCCGGATGCCTTCAAGGCTCGTTACAACCTCTTCTATCACCTTGGCAGCCTCAGCACTCGTCATCTCCTCACTCACAGCCAAGCACTTATCCACAACATCACGATATCGTCGACCAACCTTGCTGCCCAAACCAGGAACCAAAGCTGCACGTAGAACCTTGTCGCGCCATCGATCGGTGGAGTAGTGTGGCTTGTGATATGTTTGAAGAACCTTCCACAGCCCGATTTCGAGGAGAACCAACCCTAAACTATAGATGTCCATGGGTTTGCAGTGGGAGTAGCCGCGCAGGGAAGCTGGATGGCGGTGGAGGTTAAGAATAGACGGATTGCGCGGTGCCACGGACAGCGCTGTGTCGAGATCTGGTCGTGAAGCGTCGAAACCAGTCAGATAAGGCTGCTGTATATCTGGCACAAGCGCTGCTGCGGCAGTTGATGAGTGAGCAGACGTGGAGAAAGCTGATGGGAAGAATAGAATGTTTGAGCTACAGAGACTCTTGTGTAGCCAGTCAAGGGAATGCAGAGACCACAGTGCCACAGCGAGCGTGTGTGCCAGACGGACACGATCATCGAGGTCCGGGGTCTTGAGATCTGCACTGGCAATGAGGTCGTGGAGCGTCGAGAAGGACGGTGACGGCGCTTTGTACACGAGACCGTATCTGCAGCGCGAAGCGTCGTCGACGTAGCCCACGCAGTCGATGCTGTGAAGATCAGGGTGACACTCTGAAGCCGAATGCATCATACGAGCGAGATCATCAAGGCGACGAACGTGAGCTACACGCTCGTCCACGTCGTCGCGATCATAGTCCACCCACTCAATCACCACATCCCCAGCACTCTCATGCCGCCCCTTGCTCCGACCTCCCCCGCTGTCGTCTCCGCTGAGGTCAAGTGCAGCACGGGGCACCTTGAGAGCAAAGGTTGGCTTGAACGAGGCCTGGGGTTTGGCGTCGAGGTTGATGCGGAGTTTCTTGAGGTTGGCCGAGGTGGTGAGCTTGGGGTAGACGCCTGTCGAGGCTGTCTCGAGGAGCGAGAGCTGGGTTATATCGCGCTGGGCGGACTCGAGGAGCTGGTGTGTCCAGGCGCGTTGAAATGATGGGAGATGGGAGGGCGGGAAGAGGCGCTCAAGGCCGTCGTTGAAGTCTTGAGATTGGATAGATTTAGTCATGTTTTTATTTCGAGATGGCTGAGGAGTTGGTCATGTACCTCGTAGATCCTTCAGCAAGTTTACGAATTTCTCTTTATCTACCCATGAGTTAGTCTCGGGGTTTGAGAAGATAGACTCGAAGAGCTCACCTGCTATAACCCATCTTGCTCTCAGACTCATCTCCTTTCCCCAAGTCCTCTCACTCATCGATTTTGAAACTCCGTTAGACTTTCGAATCTCATCATCTTTAGAGCTCCTCGAAGGCGAAGGCGATTTCCTGTGCTTTGTCTTACCTACCTCCAAGCTAGCACTGCTCCTCCCAGTGTCCTCATCAACCAGCCCGTATCTATCCTTGAGCTTCTTAAAGTCCGTCACAGCGCTATGCAGCTCCTCAAGAATCTGCAACGCCAGACTCCTCAGTTGGGGATTCCTCGTGCTCTCCAGATGAGCCTCGAGCCTCCCCTCAGCGACGCCCCAGTCCCGACCCCAGACGACAAGACGCATCTCCTCTATGCGGACTTTGCAGAGAAGTCTCTGGCTGTCCGTGTCGAGGTTGGCCGCTGCTGTGAAGAGGCCGTAGGCTTTGACGCAGCCGTCGAAGAGTTGACCTAGTACGCCCACTACTGCGAGGGCGGTCCCTACAATTTCAGCCATTGCGTGGGTGAGGGGTCGGTGGCGAGATGAAGCTTGTGAGAGGGCGCGAGTATACACAATATACCGACATTTGTTAGTGTAGTTATATGCGTGTGAGAATATCCTTAATTGATCGATTGATTACAATCAGTGGTGATTAGGACAGATCTAGACAGGTTATGGATCGATGCTTAATAAGCCCTGAGGGTTATCACAACTCATGATTTAGTGGGAGAAAAGCCTGCATAAGAACATATTGGAGTCTCTATCGCGTGAATAATACTAGGGATATCTTGGGTCGAAGCTCTTACTGTATTTCATTGATTGAATAAAATTTTGATATTTTCAGCGTATTTGTCTGAACATATTTATTTGTCTCAACCACGTCAAAGAACCATCTTATCACTTACCCGCAGACGATGAAATTCATGTCCAGACTTCAAAGCTTTGATGTCAGTTATAAGTTCATCCATTTACACAAATCAGACGCTTGTTTTTAAAGAGGGAGGACGTCAAAGCGTACAAGATGCACTCCCATGTCCCTAACATATGATGCTGTCTTGTCAGTCAGTTCTCTATTGTAACGTTTGCTGCATCACACTTGTAACATACTTTGCTACAGTGGGTTGTATCAAAAAGGACAGAGGCTTGTGGCACCAGAGTGATGTCCCTGTTATAGACGAGGACGCTGAACAGCTGGTAGACTTGGGGGCTCCTGAGATCAAGAAGCATAATTGGCCGAGTGAAGCGTGAAAAAAACATTGTTGAGAAGCATGGCATCAGGACGATTTGTTAGAGAAAGGAAGAAGACATCGTAAGACTTTGCCCCTACGACGCATTGACTATAGCCATCTATGAGACCGGCTGGATTTTCCTTTCGGCTGCTTCAGCATCATGTTTGGTTTTAGTCTCAGGTTGTAAAGGCCGTGAATCGAGTATGGCCGAGTATGTTGATGTTGGCAGAAGGCCCAGCAGCGAAGCCGAAGATACTAACCAGAAAACGCTTGATCGGCAGTTTGATCAAGGTGACCCTTGAATAGATAGATGGTGGACATTGCGAGGGTGTATTGCAGGTACAGGCAGAATGTTTATCCTCCAACTCAATATTGACCACCTAACTGCCCACATCCCGCGTGTGCATCTTGGCAGGAATAGTACCAACGAGCAAGACGGAATGAGACATTTTGGTATGTAATAATGGAGAGCAAAGGGGTCGCCTGTGTGCAAGGATGGGTGACAGCTTGGAAAACCTCGGGCCAAAGAGGACCAGGATCAGATAGGATGAGGTGATTGATCTGATAAGATTGATATGATACGCCAATAAACCACTCTAGACATATGAAGCAAGGAATGAGTAAAGTTCAAGGTGAACCGCCGTGCATCGGAGGTGATCTTCACTCATTTAGCTGTGTTTGTAAGTCAATCCCACGTCTTGGCTACCGGGAAAGCTCCGAGTACAATTTCCTTGCCTGATAAAGCCAAGCATTTGAGGCATGTTTACAGTTTAGCTGTCTGACCCTGACTGCAAGTTAACGTTGTATCGCCAATCACAGTACAGGTACAGGGATATCTCTTAGTGCAAGTAGACCCTTGTGTATGACCACAGTACGTGGAGATCTGGCGGAGTTTAGGCCTGGGAAAAGCCGGAAAAGTGCCTCACAAAGATTAGCTTTGCCCTATCGGAGGAAAGGGACTTCGTACCAAGTTCAAAGTTTCCGAGGGGCCTTTTTATGCTTATTCCATCGTTAATACAGCGGGGATACAGGTTTACACAGACTGGGTCATCAAGAGTTGACTTTGGTTTATAGGAATCTCTCCATACACTTAAACAATCCGATACTCAGACATTCTCCTCGTACTTATAGATAGTGACCAGTGACCAGTGACCAGTGACCAGTGACCAGTGACCAGTGACCAGTGACCAGTGACCAGTGACCAGTGACCAGTGACCAGTGACCAATGACCAATGACTAGAGAATGGATATGTGTATGGGCACGTACGTACTACCAAAACAACTCTTGCAAGCCCTGAAACGGACCCTCCCAGAACATTGCTTCATCGGTTATAATACCCAATATAGAATACAAAAGCGAGATACATGGTTGGAGTGGAAGGATCTCAAAGTTGCATTTTGGAACAATAAAAGTGGGAAAGGTTAATATGATGCTTATTTCTCCCGCAACTCAACCACTTATCAGATCCGCTGGCTTCTTCCTAAGACCTTGGCAAAGACATCAAAGCGACAGGATCAATCTAATCCGCCAGAGAGTGTCCAGGGAACTCACAAACTCTCTCTCTCTTTGCACATGCCAAGATGCTGATCTTGTCAGTTTATAGGAAACGATATCTTAGTATCGTCGTCACTGGCTCCTGAGTCTGCATCGTGGCCCCTCCGTTGATCAGCGGCAGTTCCATGATACAGAATGCGACTCTCTTGTTACATTCAGAGTTTAAATCAGTATCATAGCCCTGCTCTTGGATCTCTTGGTTAGCATATATAAGAGGGGAGTGAAGCACGTAGAAGCATGTAGATGGACAAGAGTCTGTAGATGCTTGAGACGACTTCTAGTTTATATACCTTCTTGAGGATCTCTAGCCACAATACCCGTATCATCACCACTTTTACCAACACAATGAGTCAAGCAACACTTCACACCGAACGCCTCGAGCTACGTCCTCTCGGGCCCGATCACGGAGACCACATCTACCAACTGGACGCAGACCCAGAAGTGATGAAATACATCGGATATGGCAAACCACTCACAGCGGACGAGTCAACTATTGTACACAAGCTTCTCCTCGAGACAGCTTCGTTCGGGTCCGGCCTTGGCTGCTGGGCAGCATTTGCCGGGGACGACTTCGTAGGCTGGTGGGTGCTGGCACCGAGCCAGAGCAACGATAACCCCCCACAAGTCAACAAGAAGCGAGTTGAGTTTGGTCTACGTATCCTCCCCAAGTTCTGGGGCCAGGGCTTTGCAAAGGAGGGTTCTCGAGCGCTGGTGAAGCATGGCCTTGAGGATCTTCACCTGGAAGAGGTGTTTGGTGAGACTATGGCTGTGAACGAGGGTTCAAGAGCTGTCATGGCAAATATTGGTCTTAAGCATGTACGGACATTTCACAACAAGTACGATAACCCCCCACCTGGTATTGAGGAGGGCGAGGTGGAATATCGGGTTACGAGAGAGGAATGGTTATCTCAGCAAGTGTGCGCGGCATAGTTGGTGATGGGGCACCGGAATACAGTTTTAAACAACATCTGAATGATACTTATGAGCGTTCTTCATTCTTTCCCAACATACTTTATTAATGCTGTGTATTTTCTACTGGTCTTCTGGATCACCATGGACCTCGTTCATCAGGCGATTCCGTCTGAGACTACATCACAAGACGCACGATTATGGAACCTACGAGCTATATCGCGCATTGTATCCAACTAACGCTGGTCACACGAATCACTCGAAAATAACAGACGACATGCTTTGGATCTGGGCGATACGCATCGAGTATAGCTTTGCTTGACGAATGGCTTGGCATACAAAGACCCCTGGTGAAGGATGCCTGATGGATCGAAAGATAACGTCTGGTATCAACCTCTTCGGGATTAACCGCTTGGTTAAAGCCTGGCATGTTCAAACTACTCCTATTTCAGTTCTTCCATGGGGGATTGTTGTCTTGACTGTGGATCAGTCGTGTCATATGCATAGTGTGATGGATGTTGTTGCAAGGTTTTGGCTAACAAGGTCGCTAAGCTGTGAGATATCTGGTCAAGGTGAGTAGTTCACGATATAGTGGTCTAAGTGATGGAGTGTCTATTGATGTCTAACCACCGTAACAAAACAACAAAATAAGCTTGTACATGAAGCATATTCCAGTAGCTTAATACAACTCCATAATGAGAAACGGATGTCAAGGTTTACTTTTCCTGGCACAAGTGGACTCGGACGATCCCAAGCATACGCCAAGCCGCTTGATAAGACCAGGGTCAAATGCAACAAAAGTCCGGCCAACAGAGAGAGATATTGAACCCCTGTATTTGATCTTATCCATCAATCAGATTAGATAAAAATTTTCACATGTTCCCATCCTCCGGGTTCGGAATCACTCCCCCCCTCCACTCCTCCTCCTCCACTCGTTTGCCACTTGTAATCTGATCTTGACTATGCCAGGGAAGCTTTGCCATTCGTCACGGAAACTGTCCCATTGTGGAAAAGACCACCTGAGGGAGAGAAATATCAGTCGAGTCGAGTGCAGAGTTTCTGTAGCTAGCTTCTTGGCTCCGAGGGTTCGTTGGGCGGTACGAAGTATATTCTGTATAATGGATCATGTACAGACAGGGGGGGTGCTTCGAGAGGAGAGCAATTCCGGATCAGAACCGACGCATGGCGATGGAGAGCTCATAATTGTCTAGAGCATCTGCCCGTGTCAGTGTTACATTGGTCTACATAAGTAATGCAGTAGCTCCCTTCTCATATAGGCTCTGCTCTTGGTCCTCACCTCTTCACATCACTGTTGGCATCAATCACATATCTGAACACTATCTATTAGTGTCAAGCTCAACAGCAATAATGTCGGCCCTGGCAAAGATCCGTGAGGGCCTCGCCCGTGAGGACAATACCCCTGTGGCTCATACTCTGGCTCCTCATGAGAAGGAGATCCATGAGACTCCTGAGATCGTCAGCGAGGCTGGCCCTGGTCATGATAAGGAGGCTACTGCTGGTGCTCTTCCTCCCGATGAGAAGGGCAACGAGTCTGATGTTCCCAGCGAGGATGTCCAGACTGGTGTCAAGGAGATCCAGGCCATTACCCTCACTTGGGGAAAGGGATCTCTGGCTGCTCTGCTGTGCCTGTAAGTGACCAACTTTGAGACTGACTCTTTGATATGTAACAAACCTGACCACTCCGCCAACAGCATCTGGACTCTCTTCCTCATCAGTGGTTTCCGCGGTTCATTCTACCTTGTCCTAGTCCCCTATGTCACCAGCGAGTGGCAGGCTCACTCTCTCATGACCACCATCCCCATCGTGGCCGACGCCATGACCGCAGCCTGCTACATCCCCATGGCCAAGGCCCTCGACGTCTGGGGCCGCGCAGAGGGCTTCCTCCTCATGAGCGGCTTTGCCACTCTGGGCCTGATCCTCATGTCTGTCTCGCAGAACCTCCCTACCTTCTGCGCCGCCCAGGTCTTCTACTCTGTCGGATGGGGAGGCATGATCTACGCCGTCGGCGTTCTCGCTGCTGATGCCTCTAACCTGAGGAACCGAGGTTTGGCCTTTGCCTTTACCTCTTCTCCTTACATGATCACTGCTTTCGCCGGTTCCAAAGCTGCTGCTGCTTTTGTCGTCGATGTCCAGAACTGGCGATGGGGCTTCGGTTGGATTGCTCTTGTCCTGCCCTGCGTCACTATTCCTCTGTTCCTTGTCCTCAAGGTCAACCTGCGCAAGGCTTTCAAGAAGGGCACAGTCGTCAAGACCCATCGAAGCCGTGGTTTCTTTGGAAGTATCTGGTGGGCCTTTAACGAGTTTGACGGTGAGTAACCCACGCAAATGGAGTACCTCCAAGCACCTAAATACTAACAACCGTCTAGTCATCGGAATCTTCCTCTTTGGTGGCGGTCTTGTCGTCTTCCTTCTCCCCTTCAACCTCGCTGCCCACGCCCCCAACGGCTGGAGTACAGGCTACATCATCGCCATGATCGTCGTCGGTTTCTTCACCCTCGTCTTCTTCGGCGTCTGGGAATATTGGCTCGCCCCTGTGCCTTTCTTGCAGGGCCGTTTCCTCCTAGATCGATCCGTTGTAGCCGCCTGCATGATCGATCTGACATACCAGATCTCTTACTACACCTGGAACTACTTCTTCACCTCTTTCTTGCAGGTCGTCGTCAACCTCGACCCCGCCGAGGCTGGATACGTCAACTCGACTTTCCAGGTTGTCTCTGGAGTGCTTCTCTTCATCGTCGGCTTCCTCATCCGAAAGACAGGCTATTACAAGTGGACCTTTTACTTCGCTGTCCCCATATACATCTTTGCTCTTGGCCTCATGATCCATTTCCGTGCTCCTAACCAATACGTCGGATATATCATCATGTGCGAGATCTTTATCTCTATTGGTGGCGCTGTCTTTATCCTGGTTATGCAACTTGCAGTCCTCGCCGCCGTGGCCCACCAATACGTTGCTGCAGCCCTCGCTACTCTATACGTAGCAGGAGGTGTTGGCGGTGCAGTTGGAGGTGCCATCTCCGGAGCAATCTGGACAAATACCTTCCTCCCTCAACTTATGAAGAGGCTCCCTGAGTCCGAACTGGCCAATGCCCCTCTCATCGCCGGCGCCATTACGAGCCAGCTGGCCTATCCTGTCGACAGCCCTGCACGTCTTGCTATTCAGGAGTCCTACGGCTATGCTCAAGTCAGGATGCTTGCCGCTGGTGTAGGAATCGCCTCTTTGTTCTTCATCTGGGTCCCCATGTTGAGAAATATTGACGTCAAGAAGCTGAAGCAGACCAAGGGTCTTGTTTTGTAAGCTGCGGATGGGTATTATTAGTTGTTGGAGGACAATGCATTATATTGCATCCCAGCCTGTAACAACCACATCATAGAGTGGCAATTAGAGTCGCCGGATACATTAGTAACTAATTAGAAGAGGTAAGCTGGAGGTGAAAAGTTAATGGAATGAGTCAATCTTTATTTTGCTATCAATCATGTCGTACGAGTATCTACATGTGTGTGCGTGAACTTTTGCATCCATATAAACGTATATATAAGTAACTGACAACAACCTTCATCTCTGTAGACCAGTTCTTTCATACCAAAGGTAGATAATCATCTGCTAACATATTGGAATACTTAACACGAAACAAATAGACAATATGATTTCTTCCTTCCACAGCGTCAGTAAACCGCCTCGAATGATCTGCGATCCATAGCCAACCACCTCATACAAGTTCGGTTCAACAACACAATGACCCCTAACTATCTTCATAATCCACTTCACCATCAACCTCAATCACATACGACCATACCTATTAGAGAACTCGGGATCCCGTCCGCTCTCCCATAGATAAGCTAATAAGGGGCGGATTAGTAGTTGGGTCGGTGACGACCAGCGAATCCCCGCTGTTGTATGTTTTTTGCTCTTTGCTTCATCTCACATCATCATGTTGTGATGTTGTTTTTGGTGTTGGTTGGTGTTGGTTGGTGTATGAATAGCATGCATGTGTTAAGTCGTCCATTGTTGGTTGCCTCGAGACGTCAAACTTTAGTTATATAGACTAATCAGTACAACCAATAGCTATACCAGATCAAACACTTGGGCACTCAAACAGACTTTGACTTTCGTTTGCATTCGACGCTGATCATTACATGAATATGGATAACAAACACCCGGTTGAGGATCCACTTAATCCCTTTGTGATTCAACGTTTGTTCACGTCAAACAAACATCCAGCAGAACAGGTCAGTATAAACACTTCCAACCCAATCGACCATCAAAAGTAATAGATCATCCATGTATTCATTGTCATGTGACATGCTGTAGAAGCAGATTTTATAATCCCCATATCGCTTCCAAATTCGGTGCTCATCTCCAGCCACCGTGTACTGTAACTCGCTCGGCAATCATGCAACTCGAGCGCAACCTTTTTGGATCATTGTCCTTCCCAATATAGCAAATAGAAAATGCCCTGCCAACGCCGGACACCTCGGCAACACACCCTGCGCTGGATGCAGCTCGCTGGTCCTGGATCCAAGCCTGGGCTTAGTAGACCTTCTTCTTCTCGTCGATGCTGAACTGGCCTGGGCCGCTGTTGACGAGCAGCAGGAGTCCACCAACGATGGACAGAATCTGGAAGAAGTCGTACTTGGCAAAGTCCTTGTGGGGGTGGTGCTCGTGGAGCTGTGTTCTTGATTAGCTTTTTGAAGACAGAGTAACAGGTGCTGTGAATTGCAGCTTACCGTCCAGAAGTTGTTGACCAAGAGGTTAAAAATGCTCAGAATGACAACGAGAAGAGTCGCACTGTACTTGGCCTTGAATCCAACAACCACCATGACACAAGAAATGCCACCAAGGGACGAGACAATGACGCGCCAGAGCGACCACTCGCCACTGAAGACAAATCCGATGAAGAGGAAGATGAGCAGAACTCGGCCAGCCAGCTGGAAGTACATCTTGCGATCCTTCTCGTCAATCTGGGGGAGACCAGCAAAGACCTGAGTCTTGCGAACCCACGAGTCAGACAGGACCATGACCAGGCCACCAATGACAGACAGGTTACGGAGGAAGAAGTTCAGATCGAAAATAAGTCCGTAGCCCAGAGCCTGAGTGATGACGACGCCCATGAGACCAGCGACGGCGTAGTCGGAGTGCTTTCGGATGATGACAAGAGTGGAGCAGGTGAACATGGCGATGATGTTGACAAGGAGGAACAGGTGGGTGATGCCGGAAGGAACTGTCAAGTGTTAGAACAACCACCTCGTCCCGGGAAACAAGGCAATGCGCATCTTACTGTGGCGGTAGTCCTTGAGGTAAAGCAGCTGGTCGGACCACTGAGTGACGATACGGAGAGCATCCTCAAAGAAGGTGACGACAATCAGGAAACGGCCAATGGCAGGGAGGTAGCTGTCAACGAGGACAAAGGTCAGCTCTCGGAGCTCCAAACGCGCTTACAAAGGAGGTCGCTCGACTCACGGCTTGACAGGCTCGCTGATGGTGTCGAGCGCATCCTCAATCTTGCTGGTATAGGGACGAATCTGCTCGAGGAAGCCCTCGCTCTGCTGAGAGTCGGCGTTCTGGGAACCACCGTAAGGAGCAGGGCCGCCGAGGCCGTAGCCAGAGTTAAATCGCTGAGACATGGCTACCGATTGAGGTTGGGTTTCGTTTCGAAGGAAGCTTGTTTCACGTGCAGACCTGCTGGACGAGACGAAACACGACGAGTTTCTCGGGAGATGTTGTATTGACTGTTGAGGATGTTGATCGTCGTGAAGAGGAAAAAAGACTCCAAGCAAGGCCGACGACGTCTTTTTAAAGAATTGGAACCGAGGGAGGAGGAGGGGGGAGGGTTGTTTGTATTCGACCAACGAGGATAGCAAGAATTGCAAACGGGGTGGTTTGACGAAGCTCGACAAACAAGAGATGTGGGAAAAGAGAGTGAGTGAGGAAGGAAAGACAAGAAATGATCAAGACCAAAGATCAAGGATCAAAGTTCAAGGCTCAAGAACGAGGCGTCGAGGCGAGCTGTCCTTTGTGGTTTCAATTGAAGACGATGACCTCAGAGGAGTCGAGAGAAAGAGAAATGAGTGCACTGTAGTATTAACGAGCTGGAGGGCAGTAACAGTCCCAGTCCCAGGTAGGGCCTGATTCAATTGTACAACGGTGTCCTTTACCTAGGTTCCATGAGATCCCGTGATGGAGCTGCTTGTCGTCCCACTTTTAAGCTCCCTTTCCTCCCTTCCTATTTGCGCCTGGACTGAAACTTTGGAGACATGTTAGCTACTGCCGAATAGGGCGAGACGGGACTCAAAGGTACCCGGGAGCTGCGAACTCTACAGCTGCTCCAGGTGTTCTAGGTGCTCTAGGTGCCCGCTCTAGGTGTTCTCAGACCTTCCAAGCTCCCTTTCGTATGTAACAGACTGTACCTAGTGCCTTCCTCGAAGCAAGGGCCCCAGCCACCTCCATCACCATTCTGGTTAGACTCGGGAACTAAGGGTTCCAATAATGGAAACTTTTGCACAGGACGCTACCTCAGTGGCGCATCCTTCCATCGCATCACATCATCAACCTACAGCCTACTTACATACGGTCCAGCACAGCCCTAGGCTAGACTCGACAAGCTAGGTAGGTAGTAGTAAGCTCTCTGTCTTCGTATTATATTCTATCGTATCTTTATTGTCCATACTCCGTACTCCGTACACATGTCGTCTATTCGGACAAGTCTCAGTCGCTATTTAGGTTGCTCCTCCAATCAGGTACTTAGTTGCCTTAGCACCAACGAGCCGGGTCACTTGGACAACTCGGTCTTCAACATCAACAACTCTCCTCTCAAGTCGTCGGCTTCTTAAGTTCCAGCAATGGACCAAGTGGGTAGTCCTCGAATGCGTCCATAAGCTCCAACCCTCCCTTATCATCATATTTAACTCTTCCCATGTTGACAGCATCTCGCATCGTTTCGCCTAACACAGTACGCTCACCTGTAGATGGATCCCATTCCCAGCCCTCCTTCATCCACATCCATCTCAGATATGCCCTGAGTTCCTTATCATCTGGACGAACCCTCATCCATTCTGGCTGAAACTCGGATTCTCTGCCCCCGCCGTTCCAGTCTGTCGCTCGACCCAGGAGCTCGTCCCGACAGAAAATGCGCCAGCTGTCTAGAGCATACTTGCCTTGTGTGAGATGCCCGATCTCCCAGGCCTCTAAGTCTTGTGCGTTCGCAACTTTGCCAAAGGCATGTCGGCATTCTCCAGTGGGTAGACGTAAACTCGACAAGGACTCAACATCTCTTTGGTCGTATTTCTTGACTTTATACCGTACACCAGGAGTTGGCGGAGCAGACAAAAAGACTCGAGCGTACTTTTGCATCAAATTTAAGCGGTGATCTGCAAGGCCAAGATGGCGTATCATGTCAATGATATGTTCTCTATTTTCCTCACAAGCAATGTCCGCTGGACTTGGGAACATCTTTTTGACCTGATAGAACACGGGAATGGCATTAATGCCCTTTGTTTTGATCAGGAATGTCACCACAATCAGAAGCCAGAATGGTTCGTGCGCGAACTTCTCTTGAACGAGACCAAACTCTGGAGAGGTGAGTGGCGCGAAAGGAACCGAAGGTATCGTTCCGGGCAGGGATCGCCTCGATGCACGAGTGACCACTGAAGCGAGTGTGAAGTATGGTGATTGTGTACTGCTAGATTTGGTACTCGAGGTCTTATCGTCGTGAACGACTTCTTGCGGGGAACCCTGCTCGTTGGTGAGCTTATCAGCAATCGCACTTTGAGAAGCATCGGATTCAGATACTGCTGGTGTAAATGTTTGTGAAGGTCCAAGAGGTAATTGAGTCAAAACACTCCATTTGTTGCTTTCTTTCGGGCACTTCTCCTGAGGCTGGTCAGACCAATAGTAAGATGTTATAACAGGGTTCTTTGCCTCCGACAACGCTGCCGGGGACTGCTGTCGTCGCTGATCATCCTGTTCTCCAGAGACGGGGACGAAGGGTCTGTCCTCAAGGCTTTTGGCAATGGCTATAAGCCTGTCGGTCGCTTCCCAAGGCTGAGACTCTGTATCTGGCGGAAGATCCCGTCCGCTCAGCATGCGCCATATATGTGTGAGAAGATCTTGTCCGTCTAAACTGTTTTTGTCGTATTTGTGTGATAGTTGCATGGATTCGGCGCATTTGATCAGATAATCCCAATCTTCAGCGCCTGCCAACAAACTCTGCTGGAAAAGCTCCTCAACCTCGTTCGGTGGTGCCTGACCGGACTCGATGACGTCGGCGAGAAATTCCCGGGCACCTGAAGATACATCGAATACGGAGAGAACGTTGAGGCCGAAGCGTGACATTGTGGGGATTTTAATGTCGATCAGACCTTGTCGCAAGCGAGAAAAGATGAGGGGAGCAGCAGCTCGTGTACCGTGAGTATGCAACGGGATGTATCTTGCTCAGGTAAAGGCAGATTTTCAAAGAACTGCTGGACGATAATAGCTATCGAGGCCGAAATTCGTGTGAAAACATTCAGTCAAAATAAGTGAATTTCTGGTTGTATTCATGAAAGCCATAAACTACAACTTGAATGCAGTGTGAGATGGAGTAAACTGAGTTGAGTTGCTGAAAGCATTTCAAACGTCAGGCAACTGTACTCTGTAGCTGATAATGAATAGGTGTGGGAGAAAGTGCCATAGATCCCATCGTGATTTCCCTACAGTGCCCAGCATCGCAGTCAAGGCTATTGTTGCTTTCAAACTCTGGCAAGATCTTGTAGGTTTCATAAGTCATCTCAATTATAGAGAGCCTTCTAGTATCATACGCCGCTATCACCCACTGAGTCAGTGCCGACGGATAAATCGGGACTCCAGGCTGTGGACCCAGGGTAAGTCGGTAGTCCCTGGAATCAAGCGAGATTTAGACAATGAAATGAGAGGAAGAAGCGAATTGATGATGACTTGCAATCAAACAAGACAACCACATGTTTTAGCAATAGTTAACGGGCGTGTTCTGTCTACCGACATGACCCGGCTATGAGTTTGAGCAGATCATTCAACACCTTGCAAATAGCTGCATCCAGTTACCTAACCTGGACTTGCTGTCAACTGAAGGTTGTTAACTGATCCCTGAAAACAAAGTCCTCCACGTGTCCAGGTGAAGGGGTTGTGCAGAGCTGCAGTAATACCTGAGCACGCAAAGACGCTACCAAGCAAGTCATTGCAGGGCCGTTTGTTCACATCTTCGTTTTTATCAGAGCGCACCTCGGCTTGGAAGTGCCGCCCGACTCCACGTCTCGATGCACTTGCATGGTGCCTTGGCTTATCTGCCTTGGGTACTTGGCCGCGCCTTATCATGATGAGCCTCAAAGTAGCGTTGGGTTTCTCTTCAACGTGGCCTGGGTATGGATAGATGCGGTGACGGATAGGCAAGAGAGGACAGCTGGTTGGGTCGCGTGATGGAGGGGAGCGGAACAATATATGTTGTTGGGAAGCATCCGTGCAAACGCGCACGATGCAGAATACCTAGGTAGTAGGTACCATAAGGATTGTCATACCTAATATGGACGAAGTAAACGCTATCTACATTATGTACGGAGTATAAAATAGCGTCTTCCTTTATCACCATATCCGTATCTTTGCTCATCTATCGATAGAGTTTGTCCCCTTCTGCAGAAAAAATAGAACAGGGTCCCCCAAGTGACGCTGTTGCCGTGTCCGCCGTCCGCCTTGAATCACGCCAACCCCCTGCTGTCCAATCAAGAGCCTCGCCTTCTCGCTCCGCCCGAGCTGTGGTCCGACTGGCGAGTCACGTGCAGAGATCTTGCCTTGGTCGCCGTCCTCCCGTCTCCGCTCCGCTCAATTCCATCTTTCTCTCCGTTCCGTTATACCGACCACCGCGTCCTCTCCGTTCCTACAGAACCTGTATCAGCACCATCAAATAATCATCCAAGAGATGAGTAGTCGCGGCGGTAAACTAGCCCCAGAAGTCAATCGGTGAGTCCCTGCCACTTTCCGCGTCTTGGAAGACAACCACGATTCATCATTTGAAATCTTGCGCCTCCTTCATCACATCGCATTCTCGAACCCCCAATCGGCCCTTGCGACACATGCCTGCGCTCTCTTGACAGTATGCTAACTATTTCACAGAGCTCTGTTCGTAAAGAACTTGAGGTATGCCAGGAATAGCGATATCAACATGCGCCCGATCCCCGACTAATCGATTTCGACTTGTAGTTACAACGTTACTCCAGAAGAGTTATTCGACCTCTTCGGAAAATTTGGCCCAATTCGGTATGCACAGACCCCGAAACTCACTCGACAGTCCCTCCCGATGACAACAATGTTGCCGAGCCGAGTCGAGATGCGCTTAACGAACTCAATACTGACGGTCTCTTGTAGCCAAGTTCGACAGGGTATCGCCAACAACACCAAGGGCACCGCCTTCGTTGTCTATGAAGACGTAACCGACGCGAAGCAGGCTTGCGACAAGCTGAACGGCTTCAACTTCCAAAACCGATACCTCGTTGGTACGTCTTTTTTTCTCTCCGGCGTAGTCTCTATCCCGCGCCTGTACTGACCATGATTCACAGTTCTATACCACCAGCCCGACAAGATGGCCAAGTCAAAAGAGGACCTCGAAGCCCGCCGGGAATCTTTAGCTCAGCTCAAGAAACAGCACGGCATCGATTGACAATCCGACCGGTCTGTGGATAGCCTGCCTAGGAAGTTGACTTCCTCGTCTGCAGGCCGGTCTTCGTCTTCTTCCAAATCTCCTTCGCCTGATCCGAAGACGATCCTACGAAAAGGCAGGACCCCGACCAAGAAAGCAACCACCAAGAGCCACGCATCCTCCCGAGTTGTCCGCTTCGACGACGGACTTCGACCTGCACTGACCTGTGCATGATGTACCATTATTATTATTTTATCGCTTTTTGGAGGGGGGCTCCTGACACGAGCCCAAATACGCATCAGCTCTGAGGTGGTTTACTATTGGTTCGGACTCGCTTGACACACACAAACACCTCTCCTTTTACGTACGGTCCTGGGAATTGGGTGCACTGGGGAAATTCAAGGTTGATTCAGCAAGTGGCGATACGACCAGTCACACACTGCTTTTTTAAACATGGCCTGGGATAGGTCTTGATGATGTTGTTGTTGCCTGTGGTTAGCTTTTGTTGCATTTGTGCCTCTTTTTTCTTATCTTTTCTTTTTAAAACCTTGGATCTTTCCATGGAAGTCTTGGCCATCAGAAGCCAAACCCCCCTCCTTCGTTCACCGTTGCGATCTGCTTGATGGATTCGAGACCATACAGACCCGAGACGTATTAGTTTAGTGGCCTCGACTTTCCATCTTGCTCTGGGTCTTTGACGTTATGCATTCTACCAAATTTGATATTGATAATGGAGAGAGAAAACCGATATGACAGTGGTAACTTAGAATGAAGTCAGTTTGATTCGGTAACGAGACGGAATTAGTTCAAAGACTTTTGGTTTCTGGGTGACTGTTGATTTGTAAATGGTATATTTCAGGCCTGAAGCCGCCTCGGTGTAGAGCCACATCAACGTGACGCATACTACTTTATCGACTTGACGACCTCTTGGCCCTACCCATCAAGTGAAAACCCAAGCCGCATAATGTAACGTACAGTTTGATTATAATCCGGAGCAGGCAGCATCGGTGCAATGTGAGATATAATATCTTTGTGCTCCAACCACAGTTCACGAACCATCCAACAACCAACTTCTCCAGTTCGGTAGTCAAGACATGCGAAAGACGCCACCAACAGACACTTGGATTAGCTGAATGTGTCCGTGAGCAATGGAGAGTTGGAGCTGTAAGTTCACAGACTTGAAGATCGACCGATGCCATTGTGAGATGGATTATTGGTTCAAACTTCAAGGCACTCGTTGGTTCTGGTAGAAGCATACCATCGTATCGATCACATAAACAAATGAACTAGACAATGTAGTTACCTACCAAAGAAAACAGATACCAAAAGCCTTACCATCTCACCTCTTCACAACTACGTAGAGTCCTCTGAATGTTTACTTCATGAAACCAGCTGAGCAATCCGCCAGATCTTCAAGAAATTTGTCGCTTAGAAAATGCCTTGCCAGACAAATCCAACCGGCCTTTGCTAACGGGTCGCCTTTTGCGGCCGCATCAGCCGCGACCCGCAAAGAAACAATAGAACAAGTAGAAAAGAAACACAAGAGAGAGAAATAGAGATATCCTACTTGCCTGGGTCGCCGATGCGGTCGCAGTATATCAGCCGTGGAGAGCTGTGACTGGCTCTATAGCCGCCAGGCGGGTGAGAGGTGGGCTTGTGGCTGAGCTGTGGGAGGCTTTGAAATCGAAGGGGATTGGAGGTTGAACCAACAGTAAATAGGCAAGGCAAGCATTGCTATTGAAAGGGAAATAAGGAGAGACAGAATGTGGAAGTTTATCTGGGGGTTTATTAAAGAAATTGTATAGCAAGTTTGTCATGTTAAGTTATGAATCGCTTTGTGTTGATGATGGCTTCGTCTGATCGATATGAGGTAATGTAAACCGACCTTCAGCAAGCCTCGATAAATCTCCAATATCAATCAACAGAAAACTCAATTAAAACATGCATGCACTACTAACCATCTATCGAAGGATCCATTCCCCTTGATCTCAAGTGGATATCCCCATCGTCATGACATGTACCATACCACCTTGAACTTCACAGCCACGGCTGGGGACCTCATAGCTCACCTGCCATTGTTAGTGGTGGTTTACATTTATTCAACACACATTATTTACTATAGTTTACTATTCTAACTTCTCCATGATGCCTTGGGACCATAATGTGTCCTTGTCCTCGGCCTTGAGGCTCATCACCAACCGTCAATGGCCGCAGCTAGGGTCTGTCTCTATAGCTACAGCCTTGTTAGTTCGTTAGGCACGATATAAAGCTATATCATGGCCACCTCAAATATTCTTGAATACACCATCACCACATTGCAGCTTCTTTCAAGTCAATGTCTCCTCCTTCATCTCGCTTTAGCAGACTATCTCTTACGAGCATGTCTCCAGAAACCCGCTCTCGCGTCAGGGCGCAGTCCTTCGAGGAGGTAGAGCAGCCTCATCACGACGAATCGTCTTCAGAGTCAGAAACAGATTCAAACAGTTCTGAGTATGAAGACGGTAGCTCTGAATATGGCCAAGAAGAGCCTTCCATTATCCGATCGCCCACCAAGCTCACATATCTCGTGGATCACCTTCCCGAAAACACCCAGTCCATTGTTCGCGATACCTTCAAGGAGCCCCCCAAGATTGCTCTCGAAAAGTGCCGTCGTATAGACGACACATATGCCTTCCAGATGACAGAGCTTGTTACTCGCTCGGTGCGAATTCGTGCTCCAGAAGATGGCACTTCCAAGCTGAGCTGCTCATGTCGGGACGATGGACAGCCCTGTGAACACCTCCTTTGGCTACTGGATCAGATCGTCAAGCAGACTATGTACGATAACGATCTTAACAAGCCCCTCAAGATGAACTCAGCAGGTCATGCCGAAGAACTGGGAGATCCTTTCCAAAGCATCTCCAAGTATCGTCTGGATGTTCTTGCGGATGGACTCCATTGCCATTTAGTTACTCCCGACTCAGAATACGACAACGAACCAGATACCTTCCGCGCGCAAGAGGTTCGAGAGATTCTCTCCTCTGTTTACGATATCGATCCGAACGAGTTTCGTCCAGATATCTTCGGCCATATATCTCTAGGGAAGAAGACCATCAAACCCAACGACCTCGAACAAACCATTTTCCGAATGCTCCTGGACAACCATCATTTCTTTCACTATTTTCGCTCTCTATCTCGTCCCTACGGCCTCATCAAAGACCCATTTTACAAGCTCACACAGCGCATAGATCGTGTCGTTCGAGATTTCGATGCCGCAGACCCTCCCTCAGATTCTGAATCTCCTCGTGATGTACCATGGGCAGCTTCTCACATCCTCGGCTGCGTTCGACGTATGCGCCAGGAGATATATGCCCGCGAGAAACCTCTATCAGCACGCGAGGCCTTATCTGCAGCCCGCAGTCTCACGCATATTTTGGACTTGGTGGTGTCTCGCAACAAAGACCAGGGCTCAAGGAGTGCGCCCCGTGTCGAGCGCAACCTCTACTTACGCCTGATTGGTGACCGCGACCAGGACTTTATTCTAAATGTTTTGAATCTCATTCCGGAGGCTGCAAGTCAGTTTCTCCATAACCTTGAGGCAATTCTTGAACGGATCGAGATCTACGGTGCGCCAGCAGGTTATGTGCAACGCTTCAGGGCGATGCTGAGGAGGCTGAGGACGTCGAGCACAGGATCTGGTCTGAAGCGGTCTGTTCAGGGGCAACTAGGCGGTAGAAAGACGAGGAGGACCAGATGAGATCAACCGAAGGACCGGTCCTACGTGCGGGAGAAAGCACTACAATACCTGGTTGTTAACATGAATATCTTTACGAAACCAGCACTGCCTATCTAAAATGCTGTATTAAGAAAAACTGACTAATCTGTACTTACTGCTGGAAGACCCCAAGGTATCAATCTCAGTTACTCATCGTCCGATAACTTGCTTGCTGTTTGTTGCTATGCTGTGGAGTGGAGATTGCCGTGTAAAAGAATGAGTTCGCAGTAAAAAATCTATCAAAACATGAATCCCGCCTCGTCGCGAAAAGTCTCAAGTTCCGCAAGAACTTCCTTCAGAGTAGGTCGATCGTAATAGTTCTCTCTCCAATCGCCCCTCTTCATACCCTCGATTCGTTGTCTGAGCCACTGCTCCGATGCATCGATCTCTCTCGACCACCATTTCTTTGCAATCCGCTGCACATCGTCTGCAGTAGAGAGTCCCGTCTTCTCGAGCTCGCGGAGCACTAGCTGGTTCCTCTCTCTTACAATCAGTCTACTAAGGCCAGCCTGCCGTCCACGAGTGCACCGATTAATTAGACGCTGCATCGCTCCAGGAGTCTTGGTGTATCCTGGAAACTCGACAAGCGGCTCCCATCGGTATGAAAGCCAGACCGCGGCTCTTTGGGGAGCACTATTCCCTTCAAAGATGCACCACAATACCCGACCAAGCATATACACCTCGCATGCCTCCTGCTCCTTGGGAGTGAGACATGCCCAGGGGACGTTGTAGCCTTCGGAGGGCCACTTGTACTCCTCAGTCTCTCCCATCGTCTGCCACTCGGGAAGCATCTCTGTCAAAAGGTTCGAATACTTCTCACTGACCTCTGCCGGGATTTCTTCATCAATGGCAAGCAATCTCACATACTCAAGCGCGTTGACCTCGGGAGCGGCAAACTCGCACCAGACTCCACGCTGTTCGAAATCAACCATGATGGCATCTCTAGCAGCAGAAAGAACGATGTTGTCTAGTCTGAGATCCGGATAGAAGATACTGGATGTCGCACGAAGATGTACCAATGCTGATGCCAGCTGGATCGCCCATTTTGTCTCGTCGGCCAACGACACCATGTTGTGAAGCTTGAGGAAAGGAATCAGATCACGCAGGCTGCCGTGAATATGGTACTCAAGCGTGAACCCGATAACAGCCACTTTGCTACCGAAGCCGCATTTCTTTGTAACCAGATGTACGGGCCGAGAAACAATGTTAGGGTGTGGCTGGATGGTGAGAAGCTGCCTGAGTTCGTGATAGAGGTACTTGGTGTAACTGGTAAGGGCCTTGAAGATCCACGTTTTGCCTTCGATTTTGACCAGACAAACACTGTCGTGCAGCTGTGAGACATATACCACGCCATCGAGATTGACTGTAGGAGGTAACTGAACATCACTACCCCAGGCCTTCTCGAGAGAGGATACGGACAAGAGTTGGCGCTCCAGGTAATGAGTTCGTGCGATAATGACCTCTGCGGCAGCAACGTTCATGGGCAAGTTTTTGAATACGATCCTGGAACCGAACGGAATGTTCGTGAAAATTTCTGTAGGATCCTGCTGGTGGGAAGTCCAATATTGTAGAATACGGAGCACATGCTGAGTGATGCCGAGATGCGCAATACGCTTCGCACTTGTGGTATGAAATGCCACATCAACATCAAGGACATTTCGAATGTCGGGTGAAAGCTTGGAAGGCTCGGGGATGAAAACATCCATCCGTATCGGAGGCATGGGATCGATGAATAAAGGTACAGCGTAGAGCTGGCTTCCGAAAGCAGTGCAGCCATCAATGCGCCAAAGAGGCCGCTCCAGTGGGCTCAAACTGTCAATACGATTCTTGGGGTTCAGCAGTGAGTCTTGCCAGCCAACAGACTGCGCGCTCTGGGCCTCCAAGTTCAGATTATGACTTGGTGGAGGGCCCGAGAAAGCTGCAGTAGGGTGGATAACATCGTGGATAGATTCCTGGCTCAACTCCATGGCATGGACCGGTGAATGCGCTCGACTGAGAAAGCCACAGACAGTATTGAAAGGCCGCTCAAAGTCAGCAGCGGGCAACGTTGTACGGGAAAGCAGCAAGCACCTGCACGATCAATGTCTTAGATGCTGCCCGACGCAAACTGATGGTTGTCGGTGAGGGGTTCCTATCCCGGATGCGAGGTAATAGAGCCAGAGGCTGTAGAGGCAGTTTGTTAGCGAAGAGTTGTTGGAAGCCGACAGTCGCAGAGACCAGCAATGGATCGATCCAGGATGAGGTATGGCTAGACTCAAGAGGAGAGTCTTACTAAATCAAACAGAAAGCGCGTTACAGACGGACAATGTAGCTGATAGAGGGAATGATTCGTAGCTGTGCGACAATACCACAGGTAGATGCCCCCGCCAGATTGGGCCACTTTAGGTGGTTGGCTTGAATGCTCACCTTGCTGTACTTTTTGGTCATGCTTGCTTGATCACATGATCGAAAGATTGAGACTGTTGGCTTGTGAAACGAGAGTGACTGATCATAACTCGTTCCTGCCAGGCGATGAAGAGTGAACAACACCGAAGGCACTTGTCCGTGATGGAGATTGCCTGCCACATTCAAACTTCATAGAGCAAGACCCAGTTTCTAACTTACCTTGAGTTAGTTGCTACTGTAGGTACCTACCTAGGTAAGGTAGCCCCCGTAATAGTTCGGCGCTTGGCGGAAATATCCCAAAGCTCCACTTACCTCAAAGTAATATTGCAACCTGCCCAACACCAAATATAGAGTGATTTCCATGTCGTAAATCTGAGGCACGTAGGTATCCGGTATCGTCTGAAAACATGGGACGGCATCGTGAGTCTGGAGCCGCTACCCAGTGCCCGGTTTGTTTGGTGCCCATGTATTTCGTAGGGACTGTTACCCATCGCCATGCATTGTAACATAGGTACGCCTGTATCATCGGGCCTCTGCCATTCCATCATCGATAGACTCATTGACTCTAGACATTATTGAAATATGGGCGTAATTAATGATGGGCTCGAATATTTGCATCGTTTGGGCCTCGTAATGATATTTCATGGCAACATCAACTATTGAATATCTGGTCGATAAACGGATGGTCACTAGAGGGTCTGTAAGCTTGATACTCTCTAGAAGAAAAAAGAGTACACGGTCATTAAAAATCGAATGATGCCATTTTGCAAATGAACAGCCAAAATAGAACAGCAAAAGGTTTTTGTAGCGTGCGTACGACGCGATTTGTGAAGGAGAGTAGAATTGAGTATCATGGAAAGAACTCTGGCATTGGGATTCTTGGATGCTAGCCATGGCTCTCAAATGATATTACATAAGGGAGCTGGTATGGTAATTAGTTGTTTGCCCAAGGAAGAGTTCTCTCTGGTTAAAGAGCCATGAACTCTACGCAGTAAGCGAGACCGATGCACAGTGGGTGAAAAGCCTGAAACCAAGGTCAAGGTCAAGGGCGATCAGGGCAAAGGCGAGAGCGCATACACTAGCGACTCGGTCAGGGCTCAAACAGTCCATATTATCATCACGTTTGGCAGTAACAGCACATATTTCTCGCTTCCACAGCTGAATGCCGGCGTCTGCTCATCAAGCGCGGCCAACCTGAGTGTGGGGGATTACCGGATTTCTGGTAACAAGGGCTCCTGGCAGACCGGTGAGCAATCATATATGTTGTCCCGAGATACCGACCACTTGGGTACCGAGCGTAGGCATCCAACGTCATCTGCACTGACAGGCGTGCCTTGAAGCAAACTGCATTCCCGATATTTGATTTCTGATAGCAGGCAGTGCTAACCGACACCGAAGCGGGAGAGGCGCATCGGGGAGCCATAATCCATGAATCGATCACCGGTTGTTGTCCAATAGCGCTGCGACCACAGATTGCTTGCTTTTCCACTCGGAAGAGGAGACTTTAATAGTGCGCAAAGCCGACATTTGCAAGTTCCAATACATAAACCGGGCAAAGCTCCCGAGTGGCTGAGCTGGATGGGCCGGTTGCCGTTGCCGTTACTGTTGCGTTACCATACCATAAAAAGGGGGGGAAACGATGACCATAACTGTTAATGGATGTGGAGCACGGGGATCTTTGGATTGATAACTGGTCGACGGCAGCTTACATGGCTAAAAACAAAATGGGGCTGAGCGAATGACGACAAGCAACGCAAGGGACTCGACTTCGTTCGTGTAACCATGGCTTCTTGCCTGCATATGTATGCAAAAGACATAGTCGGGGAAGCGAGTTCGAGATCCCACGATTGATCTCCTACGACTTCTGTTGGGGGTAGAGTGGCAGACCAGCTTACGTACCTACAGTAGTACAGTGATAGGTACTTGGAATGATACCTTACGTTCTGTCTGGTGTGGTTCGGTTCGTCTTGTCTTGAAGGCGGGAAGACCCGTTGGCGGATAAAGACTAACGGTATTAGTGGAAGCGCGAGCCCGTGTAGGTCATCTATCCTCGTGGCATCCATGCTCATGTTCACACCAGCTCGAGACTTCAAACTCAACATGGGCGCGTAAAGACAAGGGACATGATCGGTGAAGACCCTAGATTGTTCGGTCTGGGCCTCTGAGGCTTGTTTGCGTTCTGCGTTCTGCAGTAGTAGGGTACTAATATTGGATACGACCGCCCGATGTGGAGGTCAGGTCGAGACTGTCAAGTCAACGAATGGCTGCCGTAACCGTTGGCCAGCCACGGACCTTCCGTTCGAACCACCATTGAGCGTTTCGTACTAACTCAAAGCAAACTGCTAAACCTACCTTGAAGGAAAGCGCATCCGCCACTTAGATTTAACTTCCAATCACGGGGTATTATCCAGGTACCTCTTGCACTTGGAGTAACGCCTAGTGATGATTCCTGCCACCTGCATAGTCTCCAGCGCCATTGACATCTGTCCCCCAAACCAACGTCATAGGCTCATATCGCCAGGAACGCACCATCATCGTATCTCAACCACATAATGACTGCATATTGGTGAGAGAAGAGACAACATACCACCCGGCCAGCCATGGAGACCAAAGAGATATGCAGATTCCTCATGCAATCCGATGCAACATAACCTCAAGGACGAGCCAACACTCATGCAGAATCATAACCAGAATCAGTGCCTTTGGCTGGACCATGCCTGCCGGCGGCTCAAAGACAATCCCATCCATGGACTGCATCGTGCCGCTAGTGGTCCAGCTCCGATATTGGATCGCACACCTACCTACTGTAGCTCATCTGTGAAAAGCTCGCAATCATAGCATGCATACGGAGTACAATCTGATGTCGATCGGTCCGATGTGCAGTTTCAATGTCCGGCTACGGGCAATGGTAATTGCTGGTCTCACCGGTCTCCGCCCCTGCCTCGCGCCTTGTACCAACCAGAACGTTTGCGTGACGATAGCACACTTGTGTCTTATCACATGGGCAGAAATCAAAGGCGACTCAAATAAAACCGTACGCCTCGGATTACCAAGAGGTGTTAGCTGCTATCGCTTGTCAGCCTTGGTCAGCGAGATAGGTTAAAGAGGAACCTGGAGGGTTTGGAACAACGACTATACATTTGTAGGTCTACGATGTCTGCCTACACTCGAGGATACTGGGTGACCAGGACGACCTACCAACCCTAGACATTAAGTATTGTTCAAGTGTGGCCTTCAAGGTTTCATTGCATTCCCTCGGACATTGAACGCATCGTCTTTTCAGTTGCTCCGTAAATGGCCGGTCCGATGGTCTCTCAAGACTAGGCCCATGGCGACTGGAGGATCAAACTGGCCCTTCTTCGAACCTGCTTGGCATTTCCGGCTAGGTTATGTACTTCTGAGAACCTTTGCTAGGTTGCAGAATTGACGATGTACCTTGAACCTGGGGTGCGATGCCCAGACGGGTTGGCGTTGCAAAACCCCGTGAGAGAGAGAGATAAAAAGCAAATTTGAGGATAGCACGCACATCCAATCCTAGCTGAGCGGTTGTGCAGCCATGACCAACATTGGTCAGCCCCATGTCAATCACATGGGCATTTTAATGCACGAATTAACTTAACCGTTGTCATGACTAGGCTCCGTGGCTATGGAACTATGAATCGATTCGGAGATTCAACTGATTAGAGGGATTAAACCCGCATTATTGGAGACTGGAGATCTGTGATCACGCAAGAGTCGAGCCACACTTTATGATTTCTAACCAAAGCTCCCAAACCTATTCACAATGCCATTGTTCTTTTTTTCTATTTCCCCGCCGGAACTGCTTCCATTAGCATTTACCAGATCGGGACTTCCAGGCACACAGTGAACCGGTAGGGCGGGTAATATCCCAAATCTTTTGCCCACGCACTGCAATCAGTGCAATCAGAAGGGCCCCTGCCAATCCCATGGTACCCCTCAGACCGGTCAAAAACTACTCAGCACGAGGCCATGTCAACGCTGTCCTCACCGAGTCCACTTTCCTCTCTCACAGACTCGTTCATCATCACCATTCCCAGCAGACCGTCGAGCCATCGCTTGAATCGCTCAACGCCCAGTCACTACGACCACCACACCGCCAGCCGCATACTTGCTCAGCCTGCAGCCCGCACCGGCCGTCATCCATACGATCGCGGCCGCAAGCATACTGTACAGTATCGTCTTGATTTCGCTCAAAGCACCAGCACCATCAGTCACTCGCTCTACGCTCTGTCGTCAGTACCACAACAGCTCAGCCCGCCTTGTTGCTAAAAAGTAAACGGGGTGGACAAGCTCCACGCCTTGTCCCAACTGTACTGTGCTGTGCTCACGCTTTGGAGGTTGAAGCTTGAAGCTTTGCAGTTGACGGCTGCGGGCATCACACCAATATCTCATCAAACTTACGTCCGTTGGCAAGGAACCTCAGGAGCCTGATTCGGCTCATCTTACAGCCCTTACTTATCGTTTCTCCCTTTGTCTTCCCTGGACCTCTCGCCTCATCATCACATCGATCTTCTTTACCGGTTGTCTGAGTGTTTTTTTATCTCTCAGCCGCGGTTTTCACTCCGGTCGTCGCTGGCGCTCCACTCGGCGCACTACGGGGGTTTCAACGTCAAGTGCTCCGGTGATGGCTTTCGTGGCACCTTAGCCTACCACCACACTCCCCCTCCCCTCTCACCCCGGCGTCGCTCGATTTTGACCACTGTTGCTAAATTCCAAACCGGGCAAGCCAGATTCTCCTTTGTCATTGCCTGTATTTCGTCGAGTTTGATCCCCGCGTGGTGGTACCCTGACTTTTGACTTTCGTTCCTACTGATACTACTGCTGCTGCTGCTGCTAGGCAGTCTTTGTTCCACACCCTGTCCTGTCTCACTGCAGCCATTATGGTAAGAGTTTCTCTCTCCGGTTGGCGGCAAGCTGCATGGGGTTATATCATCGATCCCCCGTCCCATCGTTCTCTTCGCATGGCCCCTGCGCCTGTTGCCAATCACCCCCGTTCCCTCTTGTCGCCGCCCCATCGTGGCTCTCGTGCCATGACTCCCGGACAAGCATTCTCTCTTTGATCTTGCCCCCCAGGCCCCTCCTCATCAGACCCAAATGTGCGGTGAATTGATTTTTTTTTATAGAATCTGCAATATCCTTCCAAAGTTAAGAGACCTCTCCTCCACCCGGGGGTTGACGATCAGGTTTCTTCATCAATATCCTTCACCCCTCCCGTGGATCCCAACTACAATATTCTACCATATGAGATCCACCAGAACCTTGAAAATCTAGCAAGTTTTTATGGAATAGGCTCCGGTTACCAAATACATCAACTCCTTGATCAAGAGCATTGTAGAAAGAGAAGAAGGCTTGATCCATCTATCCCAATGACACCAGAGAATGGACCAGCTTCGTCCCAAGGACCTCTGATAAAACTTCCAATATCAGATCCTTACGATCAACGTCATGAACAGTATGGAGCATCTTCAGGCTGGGACGAGTGTGGACAGAGTTCGATGCCATCTTCAGCTTCACCTTTGGCGCGGCGTATGGCGGACCTCACTTTGTTCCTCTGCCCGTGCTGTGGCTGGGACTCGAGACATTCAGACGGTAAGTAACCAGCTCTCCTTTTCCACTCAATTCACCAAGCATCTATTATGATGTACCAGAAGCCACTGCTGACGCCGTAATTGAAGGCTACCAACAATTGCCCAGCGCTGCGCCAATAATTCCAGGTTCAGATGTTCCTTATGTGGCAGAAAAGCAACCGGCAATGACAATGCCATCTTCTGAACCGTATGACAGTACGACTCTGAGTGCTGGGCAACAAACAAATTACAACTATCAACAGCCGGATTTGAATTTCGTCGCGCCTCTTGTCAGTTTCCCTCTCATCCCAGAGCAAGCTCCGTTGGCAGAGCCCTTGATAAGTGATACTGTGTCAAATCAACGACCGTCTCTTCCAGGTGGAGATTTTTACACCAGTCAAATCTTTAAAGACGAAGCACAGCTGGACAACCAAGGAATGATGTCGAATCAGCATCTCATGGTCAAGACATTATCTCAGGTTGAATACAACTCAGAGCCCAGCCTCATCGATACCACTGCTCTTACTCATCACAACATGTCACCAGTCGACACTGTTTCACAGTATGGCATGCTTATCAACGGTCAGATAGGCGAGGATGCGGCGCAGAATGGGTGGTCCCTGATGGATCAACATCCTAATTTTGACATTTTACTTCCCAATCAGCGGGGAGGAAAGAGAGGTCCCTTCAAAGATCACAACCTTCGTGAGAAAACCGCCCAAACCCGAAAGATAGGCTCTTGCATCAGATGCAGAATGCAGAGGATTCGTGTAAGTGATAACTACCCACGTGTATCCAGACAGAAAAACGCGATGCTCCTGCTACAGTGAGGATTCTAGAGGTTGTATGTAGACCACTAACCATATAATGCAGTGTGAGAACAACCCGGAAGAGGAGGGAGGACCATGCTTGACATGCAAGAAAGTCTCCAACTCGAGAGCGGGACGCTTTCCTTGTCTCAGATACAAGATCACAGACATCCGGCTTTTTAAGCCTGGACAAGTTCCAGGCTACGAATGGACGCGACGATGGACCAATAACATATCTGATCCCATACAGAGTTGGGCAACAAACGAGGAGCCTAGAGTTATATACCTCTCAGAAGGGCTTTCGAACAAGTTTGTCAAAGTTAAGGTCCAGCGATTTATTCCTCAAGCTGGCGACAAGCTGGAGCGCACATGGGATTACAAAGGCGTCAAGAAGTCGGTGACAATACCTCCCTATGCGATGGTGAATCTCGAGGAGGTAAAGAAGGAGTACCTGAGTCACATCGAGAACAGCATGCAGGATGCTTTTAACAGGTTGCTTGGCCCGCGTGAAGGACTGCTTTTTCGGACGTACTTACGTGCTTGGAAGATCTTTCGAGATCCATCCACATCGCCCGAGTGTGTGGACCTTATTCACCACACCCTCCTGCTGTGGATGTCGATTCGATTGACAACAAGGTCAAGCTTCATAGTTGGGGAAGAGACTTTGGGCATGGAAGAGAACATCCTGGACGAAACCAACCCTAACCATGGCAAAATTCCTCTTCCGCCAGTGCTTGGCGCCCAGATGGATCTCGTCTTGATTCATCATATCCAGACGAAACTGCGAAGAGAGTTACTAGACAAACTGCAGAAGATGATGTCAAAGAACAAGCAGAGCACATGGCTAGTAACGTATCTCGTAATCTTCATCCTTCTGCACAACACAGCTCTCATCACAGCACACGATGCTGGATACGCAAAAAAGCATGGCATGAAGGTAAGAAAATCACCCTCGACGCCACTAGGCACACAAGTGAAGAGTTGTGGACGGTTACTGACCAGGACTGTACTTGCAGCGACGTTTTGCGCGTGAAGAAAAGGTGAAAGAATATCACCTAGGTGAGTTGACATACTATCTTGCTCACGAGTTGAAGTGCTTGCTGACTCGAAAATGTGAAAAGGAGCCAACATCTTGCTTGCACATTTCCACTACTGTAACAAAGGTATTTACCCGTTTTCGGAGGAGTGCAAGGATCAAGACTTGCGCACTCTGGCCGGCCTTGATGAAGAGAAGATCAAGTTTGTGCACGCGACTAGCAGCTTGGCCAAACGATATGGTGAGTCAATCTCAATGTTTTGCACCTTCTGGCGATTGTGACCAGGACTCTGAATTCGGTGCTAATGTCAAACTCTGTATTTCAGCGTTGCAATGGGAGGAGCTTCGAAAGGCAGCCGCATATGAGCATGATTACTTCTTCGTCAGTCAATTATTCGAAAACAACTGGCAGCCTCGGACAACGATATGATCTGGCAGATAGATTGATTGCATGTCCAGGAAAAGATCACCATATGATCGTTCTCGGTCAACAAGCAGGAGGTATGACGTGGAAGGGTTTGCACCAATCGTGCAGGTGCAGAATTTGAGTTCTTTCGTGTAGATGCTGTACTCACAGCGGGGATGCAGGAAATGAGACTGTATACAAAACGAAGGAGGGGAGGTGTTCGGGGTCGATACGAGCGACAACCACGGTAACGGCCATGACGACGTCAACGATGATCACGATAACGGGAATCATTTGGTAAATGCTTGAGCTGATCTGGAAATGAAAAGGCGGTCAACGGCGGGCGAAGGCATAGAGAAATAATGGGACTGGTATAATGGGAACTGGAAAGGCGTGGATTGTTGGGGATTTGTGAATTGGATTGAGTATTGAGGCAATGAAGATAGCCAAAGAGATCGATCGTTTTTGTTCAACTTTGATTGGCCGCCACGTCGACAGATTTATTGAGGATTATCGGAGTGGCGGGAAAGCAGCAGAAGTGATGGACGGAAGGACGATGTGCAATGCCATGCAACGCAATGCGATCGAGGTAGGAAATGACGATAATGAGGCAGGGATCGAAAGCGTAGGCAGAGCCACCAAGTGTGTGTGTGTGTGTGTGTGTGTGTGTGTGTGTGTACGGCCCCCTACAGAAAGAGGCGAGAGGTGCTGCCCGAGTGTTGACCGACAACGGGTTGCTGCTTTGACGGCTTGTGCGTCGTAAAACGCAAACGCGAGGCGGATGAAGGTTTATATGTACCATGCTACCAAGGTAGTTGGGACTTGGTCACTCAAACGGAACCATGCCGGACGGGCCGGGCCTGAGATAGCGGAAGATTGAAGCCGTAACCGTAACCGTAACGCAGAGGAAGATGAAGATGAAGAGGCAGAGCCGAAGCCGGAGTCGTTGGATGGACGTTGATGATAGCAGTCTGAGAATGTAGCAGTAGCACAGTATGCTGTGTGTATGTATCAGTTGGTGTACGGTTCGTTCACAGATGTTATGTGTTATCTGTGTTGTGTATGTATCCGCATGCTCGCCCTCTCGGGAAGAACGGAAAGCAAGAAAAGGTGAGGGAAGGGAAGGGGGAATGAAACGAGATGAGATGAGATGCGCGCGCATGTCTGCACATCCCTTACCTTGCGTTGCGTTTGCTTTGACGTTCTTAGATGCCCAAGCCCAATGCTGTTTGACGTTGGTTTGTCATTTGTCACGGGGAGCCAGTAGATGGGAGCCGAGACACTAGAGCTAAGCGGGTGGCGACGGATAGATCCCGGCAGCCAATCATGGCTGGAAGGTTGGTTGGCTAAGTTCGACTATCTTGAGAACCAATATCGACTGCCGTAGGGGGAACACCCCTGATCGAGTGCCGTAGTCGAAGTACGTATCCGTAGTTGAGTCGAGTTGGGCTGGGCTGAATCGAACTGAATTGAACTGAATTGACCTGCACTGGTAGACTGGTAGGCACATTAGTCTGGTCGTACACGTAGACGCAGGCCAACAAGGTACAGATAGTCGGTACTGACCCTTGACTGAGGGGGGAAAAGGAGCCACTTTTCAAAACAGAACTAAGATTAAGAAAGCCACCAGGGATCAACACGAAAGAGAGGATCGTCGTGCAGTTGGTTCAGGTTTGAATCTCTCTTAGCCTGTGCCCATGCTTAGCTTTTGGTGTTTGCTTTTCTTTACTCCGTAGTCTTGAGTCGAGTCTCCATACTCCAGCTCAACTAGTTAGTTGGAGCCCATATTAGCACACCCATGCGAACTTAGTAGTAAGCCCGCACAGTTCGTCTCTGTTTTCTTCTCGTTCCTTTCTTTTTCCTATTCTAGGTACCTTACCGCCCATTAGCCCTTTCGCTTTCTTGTCCTATGCGTACCTTTCTTTCTTTTCTTTTTTCTTCTTCTTTTCTTATCCTTTGCTCTTCTTCTCCTTCTCCTCCTTCTTTTCACCCCTGCCCGAACTAAAATAGTTGAAGGTGTCTAGGTTCGTTTCCTCGAGGAATGAGAGAACGCACATCGTGTTGAATTATGGCAGTTCTCTCTTTCGCCTCATCTCGTGTCGTATCATCTCATTTCATATCGTCTCGTAGACCTGATCCCCCGTTCCCGTTTCTCGTTTCTCTCCCTTGTCACAGGGCAAGGTTAGGTACGAGGTATGGTATCCGTAGTCTAGAGTTTAATGTTGCTATCCAGGACTTTGAGCTTTGAGCTACCAGTCGCAAGCGAGAGAAGCAGCACAGACAGTTAATTACCACACGGACACTAGAAAGCCCAACGGCAGGGCGTTTTCTCTCCTTCCATCTCTCATCTTTCACCCATGGAACCATAGTCCAAGCCTCCATGGAACAGTGATCCGCGGTTCCCACAGTCTGGGCTGATATCCACAGTAAACAGCCCACTGTTCAACCCCATTATAACCCGGCACCTGATACTTCTACCCAGCATCCAATAATTCCACTACCAGGATATCTACCATGGGTGTCAAGTGCCTATCCGCGTCGCTGGGTTTTGTCCCATCCTACTGCCGCCGCGTATCTGCGACCTGCCACGAGTGAACACGGGTACGCAAGTACCCGATCTACCTTTTTGGCTTGAACCTAGGTCCTCCCCTGCCTTGCCTTGTACCTTACCTTAGCCCCAGAACATCCCTGGTGTAAGACTCTAAGCTACAGTTAGCACTGGAGATCGTCTTGAGACTGAAGTCACAAGAGCAGAAACAAATAAGGAAAGAAGAAAAAAAGTAGTTTTATTTTAGTAGTCTTCTTTTATTGGGGTTTTCTTTTCACTTCTCACGTCGAAGCCAGAGCAACGGGAACAAAGGACAGGGAAGAAGGTTACACGACTACGGCCCTCAACATACTCTCCCCGTTTGAGCCGCTCAACTGCTAACCTATTCCTCGTAACTACCTATGAACATGGGAGTATCAATTTCCAAAGTTCAAACCGGGGGTTACTATCGTTTCTCGTAGAAGTCGTGGGGAAAAAAGGTATAATTACCTATAATGGCCTCCACTGTCCAAATGTTCTTTGACCCTTCCACAGCAATCTCATCTCAGTCTTAATTTCAGATCTCAATTTCGGTCTCCCAGAGCCGTTGATCTGCTGACCTCTTATTGCAATCTGCCGTTCACTTGTCATCGTCATCTTTGTCGTCGCCGTTGCAGTTGCAGTTGCAGTTGCCGTTACCATATCGCACCTGCCATCACTTCGCCATTACCATTATTATTGTCATTGTTACACGCATCAGTCGTTACCTCCTTCCCTGGATTCGCTTGTTTCTCTTTTCTTTCCTTTTCTCGACTGTAAACTGCGCCTACTGCTCGAGATCCCAGAAGGCCAGAACCAGCATCGATATATCAAAAACGCCTCTAACGTCACTCTACTTCACTCGTGAGGCTTGCGACGATAGTATCAACTCCTCACTCCTTGTCTCGTCATCTCCGCCTCCCATCACAGCTGGGCCCGAGCAAGACATTTAAACAGGCACTTCGCACCATAGAAAGACTTGATTCCTTACCTCTTCTTGCTCATCTCTCTTACACCCCCAAGCATCCCTGCCTACCTACCTATCTATCTATAACTACAACCCATCCTCTCTTCTTCTATCTCTAACTTGGTCTATCTGATCTCCCTTGTCTCGTCTTACACCGCCACCAGACAGCGGCCCGTTGCGTCTCGTTAAGTAGGTCCTGGCACAAACTTTGCCATTCCTATCATCGTGGAAGATGGCTGGCTGATGCATATACCTCTAGTACCGAGACGCCCCCCCAAAACTAAAACCACTAACGAACTCTCCCTCAGAAACCATTGATATGGCTTCTATTCGACCCGGGCCTCTCATTGGCTCAAGTTTCGCCGTTGGGCTAGCTCCTGCGGCCGCCGGATGTGTCAGTCGCGTGGCAGAGGTACCGGCCGGGGTCCCTGAAGGATGGCCCAAATTTCTCCCCCAGTGCATGGCTTGGTCTGGTGGCCAGTTCACGGATCAATCGGACTTCATCCATACTCTAAGTGAAGCTGAGAAACAGGAAGCCGATGGTGCCCTACAGACTTTCAAAGGTAAGTTTCCTAAGTCTCCCCGTTCGAATGCAGGATGTGGGCTAACCCCAAACAGCCTTGGAACTCGACGGGGATTGTGTCTCCAGAGACAACTTTCCCCTTCCTACTCTAGGACCTCGATTGGATCGAATTCGCCGAGATGTCCATCAAGGCAAGGGCTTTGGTGTCATTCGTGGTCTAGACACAAAGAAGTACTCACCCGAAGATCTGACCGTATTGTATCTTGGCATCCAGTCGTACATTGCCAATCGCCACGGTCGTCAAGATCGAAAAGGCAACATGCTGGGTTAGTCCTGTCTATCATGGTCTACCGGCCATTCTCCCTTCGGCAACTGACTTGTCTTTAGTTCATATTGTCGCCGACAACTCATCCAAGCTCAAGGCTGGTCATCATCGTCATTCCACCTCCCCCATTGTAAGTTGGCCTTAACAATCTTGGTTGCAAGTTCAAGAATGCTAACTCCTCCTCCAGAACTTCCACAATGAGGAAGCAGGTGATGTTGTCAGCTGGCTCACACGTAGTACTGCCGCTTCAGGCGGCAAATGCATTATCGCTTCGGTCTACACTGTCTACAATGTTCTCGCCGCCAGTCGCCCTGACATGATCCGCACACTCTCTCGTTCTGACTGGCCATTCGCCCTGTAAGTCACCGCACATGATCATCTGCGTTTTCTCTTTTTCTTTTCTCGATCAGAGACAAGGAGTGTATCAGCTGACATAATTTGCCGGGATAGGCCCCGTTTTCAGTGTCGACCGGTCCTCTTTCATCATGAGGGGAGAGTGATGATGAACTTTGGTCGAGTAGCTCTCACAGGAAATGCGGTTCACCCACGTCCCGCCAACCTCCCTGCCGTTACCCCACGCCAGATGGAGGCATTGGACTCCATCGAGAATATCGCCAAGGCAACACAGCTGGAGATCAGTACACAGGCAGGCGACATTCATTTCATCAACAATCTGACGGTTTTGCATCGTCGAGAAGGTTTCGTCAACGGTGAAGGAGCTCAAGAGCGTCGACATTTGGTGCGCGTGAGACTTCGCGACGATGAGCTGGGATGGAGTCTTCCTGCAGACCTCAAGGAAGAGTGGGACGCCGCTTTCAACAAGGAAGCGCCCAAGATTTGGCACATCGAGCCCATGCCCGACGGCTTCTTCCCCCTCCGATCTCAGGCCAACTAAATTTACGCCTCTGGGTCCTGCAGTCAAGGCAACTGTGGGGTGAATACGCTTACATGAACGCATGCTCATGAAACATGACGAGATCATTGAATACTCGTCGGTATTGGAACAAAGGCGCATGACAGAGAAAGGGGCGTCTTGGGACAACAACAAAAAGTTCTGATTTGCATGGGCATGGTTGACGGTTGCATTCGGTTATTGAGTATGTTTTTATTTGGTGTCACGGTCACGGAAAAGCAATAAGCATTGTCTCTGTCTCGGGCGAAGCTGTGTATCGGTATATGGCTTGGTGGTCTGGCTAGACGGCGGAGGATTAATCAAGACCTGGGTTTGAACTTTGAGATTTGCACAGATACAGATTAGGACCTAAGAGCTGGTGAATAAAAAGTGTCGCATGCATAGATCGAGATGTTCAGGAACAGGGAGTTGTCAGATTGATATGTGATAGCGAAAACAACTTCGGCAATCCCACCTTGACCTAGCCTGGCCGTACCCAGTTTAATTGGCTTGTGTAACCTGGGGAATAAGCTGGGGGTGTCTCCTGTCATAGATATGTGCCGTACTCCGTATATCAAGGAGTATTAGCGGTAAAGTGAGCTATGTATATCATGTCAGGGGTATGTAATTGGTATGGGCATATTTGAGACTGAGTTTAGATCTTGTCATCTCGATCAAGATCAAGATCAGTATCTGTAGGTAGTCTAATAATCGGAAGTGGTAAGGAGAGATCAGAGACATTTGTGAATAGATAAGTGATCAAATTCTGTCATGTTTTATCGAGTTGGGCAAGTAAATGAGGCTGGCTGATGCTCGTGGTGGCAAGGATTATCGAGACGCTTATAAGGGATTTATCCAATGCGAGAAGATACCATCTAAACAGCTGTGGCTTGAGCCTCCGTAGAAAGTCGGGTGACACAAAACGAGCGTAAACGGTTGGGCCAGGGCACATACTATCTCATGCAGATAAGATGAGATGGGTCTCAGATGCGGAATGAGCTCGGAGTGACGATAGTGCGATCGATATATGAATTTCTCATCGCCAAAGGGGGAGGGGCATTTTGATGAGATGCGTTTAGTTTCAGATGATTGGCTGCCCTGAGAGACTGAGACAATCGATATAACCAGGGCATTGGTTCGGAGACGAAATTCGAACCCTCGACTGCTCCTGGTCTCAGATGTAACACTGACAGGTCACTTGCTTCAGGCCAAGTTTATAAGATTGGACAGAACAGAACTAGAAAACTTTCGCGGAATTTGATCTTTGCTTTTTGTTGGTGCTACTGTTACTGTGACTGTTACCGCCACCGCCTGGCGTGTTCGTTGCGCTGGTGAACTTGCTTTTGTATTGTATCATCATTTAGATGTTGTCTCCGGCTCTCCGCCCTGCTTTCTTGCTTCGCCTGGCAAAAACTAGGGACAGTGTTTTGAAAATTAACCCTGGCATCAAGTTGATAATGGCGGTCAAGATATCCTGTCACATCAATGACGATAGAAGTCTTTGCGACAGGTAAAAAGGGATAGAGAGAAGACATGGGGGTTTTGACGGTTGCTGGTTGCTGGTACTTAGTGAGTGATGGCTTGGAGTGCTTACGGCGTGGGGTGATTGACGAATCAACTGTTATGGAGAGAATCCGAGTCTGCACTTCTTGTCTCAGATGGCTTGTCGTTTACACAAAGATGATGAGGTTTGTGGTGATGATGATGAAGCCATGCTAGGATGGATCGATCAGAAAGGATCGGTTTCAGGAATAGATGTGTTTGCGACAAGTGAAAGAGAAAAGAGAGCACATGAAATCGGGAATACGAGAAAACTGGGTATGAGTAACGAGAAAAGAGACGACTCCTGTTTGTTTCCTCGAATACAATAGCTGCATGGAGTGGAAACACCCTGAGGCTGACCGAGGCCATCTCAAGTGATCACGGGAACAGCGGCACTGGCGGCTGCGCCTGGCATGGGAATGGTTCTAAGCGATCAATCCACTAACAAGCACCGTGTTCTCCACAGTGCCGGGTCCCCTTGGCGGTTGTCTCCCTATCTTTTCATCCTGACAGCGCTAGATCAAGCCCCCCAGCGTCTCGGGCAGCTGAAGATCGGGGGGCCTGGGTGGAGCCATGCCCCCCCTGGTCGGTACTGGAGGCGGCGATACACAGTGTCAGTACAGAGTGCAGCAGCCCAGTTAGCCACTTTTCCCCTTGCACCGCCCCTCTCTTTCCCTAGCCTCGCCTCAAACCAGGCAGGGGCTTGGATTCCGACGCCTCATCCAATCTTGGAAGAAGCAACATCAAGAGTTGCTAGCAAATCCGGGCGAATCAAGCACCCATCAGAACTCAACGCTCGTCGTCTCAGGGCGGTCTCCATTCTTTTTGATTTGTTCTCCCTCCTTGGACCTTCCTTTTGAACATTCGACTCTCCGGGGGCCTAGATTTGAACCAATTGTTTGTCAAGGCTACTCCACCGTGCCAAAGGGGTACATCCCATAGCCCATACGCAACGCCCCCCCCGTTTATGCTAGCCATACAAGGCATTTATTGAGGCAGGGCAGTTACCGTGCATCGCAGCTCAGTAAATTTATCAGAGCTGCATAACCGTTTAAACATCTAGTCATTATGGCGGCTGCTTCAGGAATCCTCAAGTCAATACCCGCCCCAGGCTCTTCGGGTTACCAGCCAGTGCATCAAGATGAGCGTGATGGCCGAGACGAAGGCTACGGTGGGCCTCATGTCCAGCCAATTATCCCTCGGGGCCCAATCCGCGCATACAGAAACACGGTTCTTCTTCTCTCGGGCCTAGTCGTTGTTCTCATGGGCACAAACCTCTATCTCAGCCTTCCTTTAGCATTTTCCGGCTCTGGCTCCGGCTCCGAGTCATGTCCGGGTGACCCACCCCGAGTGCCCCAGTATTTCCAGACTTCACCGGAACTCTGGGCCGGCGTCACTGCCACTGGCAAGCCGGCCTTCATGGCCCAGACTCATGCCTTCGAGCCCACGGCCACCTTTGTTCCCAATGACCCGCTGCAGACTTCTATCCCTATCGAAGGCATGAAGGAGGGCAACCGAAGCATCTTCCAGATGATGGGTTACCTGAGCCCCTACTCCCCCTCCACAGGATTCGGCGTGGATGAGTATCCAATTCCCAAGGGTGCCGAAATCGTTCAGGTTCAGGTGCTGTCACGTCACGGTGCTCGATATCCAACCCCAGGCTCAAATGTTGCAGCCCTTGGTGAGCGTCTTGCCAATGCTTCGGCCACTTTCAAAGCCAGTGGTTCTCTTGAGTTTCTGAATGACTGGAAGTATGAGCTCGGCAAAGCCATTCTGGTTCCAAGGGGTCGACAGGAGTTGTTCGAGTCTGGTAAGATCTTATGCTTCTTAACTTCTGGCCACGACACTAATATTGGAGTATAGGTGTCTTGCACAGTTATATGTATGGTAGCTTGTACAATCCTCAAAGCAAGCTTATTGTCAGGACTACGGTATGTCCTGTTTCTGCTCACCTACTCAAGTTCCAACATCTAACTGTGTATCTAGACCCAGGATCGCATGTTGAAGTCTGCTGAAAACTGGATGGCTGGCTTCTTCGGCCTGGAGTGGTAAGTCTGTGCCAAATACTGAAGACTCGAGACAAACTAACCGCGGCAGGACCAACAATGCAACGATCGAAGTGATCATCGAAGCTCCTGGCTTTAACAACTCACTTGCCGGAGGTCTAAACTGCCCCAACTCGGCCAAGGCGGACTACGTGACTCCTGTAGCTACCTGGTACGAGAAGTATCTTAAGGATGGTATGTTCAAAGCAAAAACTGAAATAGAGAAACAAGGACTAATCAGTTTGACAGCAACTGACCGATTCAACGATGTCACCGAGGGCTTCACATGGACGCCAGCAGACGTTTGGGCAGCCCAAAACATGTGTCCTTACGAGACTGTCGCCTATGGTTTCAGTATGTTCTGCGACCTATTCATCTACGAGGAGTGGGAGCACTTTGGCTACTCAATCGACCTTGGATTCTCATCAGGCGCGGGCTTCCAAAGCCCTGTCGGCGTAAGTGCACCTCCCCAATGACTCCAGCAAGGCTAACACTGAATGCAGAGAGCTACTGGTCTTGGTTATCAACAAGAGGTCATGGCACGACTCAAGAACCACACTCTTGGCTACTCAGGCTCCCAGATCAACACAACTCTGGACAGCATGGAGGAGACTTTCCCCCTGAACCAGAGTCTTTACTTCGACTTTTCTCATGACACCAATATCATCTCTGTTCTGGCAGCCTTTGGCCTACGCCAGTTTGCTGAGGATCTTCCCACCGATAAATACCCTGGCGACCATCAATTTGTTGTATCCAAGCTGACTCCCTTCGGCGCCCGCCTGGACATGGAAATCATCAAGGCCCCTAAGCCCGTTTCGCCAGAGAGAGATGGCTATCTCGACGGCGAGGAAACCAAGTACATTCATTTTGTCCTCAACCAGCGAACAGTGCCCTTGGGCAGGAGTTTCCCAGAATGCGACGTCAACCGTAAGGACGGTTGGTGTGAGTTGGATACTTTCATCAAGGTACAGGATACCATGACCGATAAGGCGCAGTTCGAATACTCTTGCTTTGGAGATTACTCGAAATTGCCATACGGCAAGGTTACGGACGGAGTCCCCCCTTCTTGAGGCAAGGGATACATAAGATAGTATCTAAGTGTAAGATCAGATGTCATTTATGTTTTGTATAGCATGGAAGTGCCATTGAGTTAAGAGCTATTTGTTGCATTTGTACATTTACAAGGGTTATAGCACATAACAGGGTAGATATGTTATATGTTGGCGTAGTGAAATAATTTCACCATGAAACTATTGTGTGCGGCTCGACGGTAACAGAACATTCACCAAGTGCATGGCTGTGAAGATATAGTGATCTGATTCAATGACTATCTAAAAGTTCAGATTGCACGGTTATATGTACGTATCCAATGATCTGTTTGCTTTTCCTAAGCTGTACACATCTACCGGGCGGGTATTAAAAATATAGAAGGCATATACGTCGAAGATGTGATAGATCCGTAACGCCTTTGCCGGCTACTCCCAAGTTCCAATAAGATAAAGAAAAGACACAAAACTCTCGCAACAAATAAACCCTCTATATCAAACAAGGCTAACGTGACTCGCAAAGAAAAGGTTGCAATTGGCAAGCTTAAGCATGCTTCTCGTCAATCACCGCATGAGGTGCAATGACATCGGGTGTGTTGAGAGAAGGGGTTTTGCGAGCGTCGTCAGACTCGCTGGGATTCATCATGGACTGATGCTCCTGGATGCCGTGGGTAGGCTCAAGAACATCACCATCCTGGGCGGGATCGCCACGGTGAGGACTCCAAGCAAGGAAATCTCGGCGGACCTCGACGTAATCGTAAGAGAACTCGCCATGCTGGTCGTCGTCCATACCAAGAAGCTCAGCCTCCTCTGAAGCACGAAGCTTCAGACCAGGGATGAAGTCGATGATCTTGGCGATGATAGCAGACATGACGAAAGCGTAGGAGGAAGCCCCGACAATGGCGGCGATTTGCCAGCCGATAATGACATAGTTGCCATCCATGAAGCCACCCATAACACCAGTGTTAACACCGTCAAGGCCGATGATGGAACCGCGGGCGAAGAAGGCGTTGAAGATGAGGCCGACAATACCGCCGACACCGTGCTCAGCGAAGACATCGAGAGAATCGTCAATTCGGATGAGGAACTTGACTGTAAGGAAGTTAGCTACTGCTACATGATGCAAAGGTGAGGAAAAAGCTTACTCTTAGTGGCAAAGTTACAAGCGACACCAGCGACAACACCAAGGATGATGCTGGCCCAGGGGTCGATGAAACCAGAAGCAGGAGTAGCAGCGACAAGACCGGAGATGGTACCGGAGCACCAGCCAACCATGGACCACTTGCGAGCCAGACGGAAATCGAGAATGCACCAAGTCATAGCAGCAAACATGGCAGTGAGGCAAGAGTTCCAGCAAGCCATGACCGCACGGAGGTTGGCACCGAAGGAAGAACCACCGTTGAAACCGAGCCAGCCGAACCAGAGGAACATGGTACCAAGGGTGATGAGAGAGATGTTGTGAGGGCGGAAGTTCATCATCATCTTCTCGTTACGTCGGCCGAGAACCCAGGAGTAGGCAAGAGCGGACATACCGGAGCCAATCTCGACAGGAACACCACCAGCGTAGTCGAGAACACCGTGGGTGAAACCCCAGCCGTTGGGGTTCCAGACCCAGTAGGCAAGAGGGCAGTAGACGAGAGTTGCCCAGAAAAAGATGAAGACCATGCTGGGAATAACACGACCTCGCTCAGCAACAGCACCGACTGTAAGAGCACCAGTGACAGCGCAGAACATCATTTGGTAGAAAGAGTAGAGCAGAGCAGGGACGAGAGGAGATCCGACCGAGGGAGCGCCCCAGACCTTCATGAGACCGAAGTGCTTAAGGTCGCCGATGAAAGGGTTGTTGGAGGTTGTAGAGAAGGCGAGGGAGAAACCCCAGAAGTACCACTGGAAGACGATGACGGAGAAGGACATCATGACGACCCAGAGCATGGAGAGAGCTGATTTTCTTCGAGCAAGACCGGAGTAGAGAAAGGCGATACCGGGGACCATGAGAAGGACGAGACAGGCTGAGATGATGATGAAAGCCTGGTCACCGGATTGGTACCATTGGTTGAGGTTTTCGGTAGCTGGAGAAGAAAATCATATTAGTCTCTGGATTATGATACTGTCACGAAGCTGTGACAGTGGGTTTGAATGTTGCTGGCGGTAAAGACATACTGGAATCACCACCAAGCTCTTCGTTGGTGCCATTGAAGACCGTTGGCGGTCCAGGGAGAACGTAAGACATGTTGATTTGTTGTGTACGAGGTGTCGTCGGGTTTTGTTTCGTATGCTCGGGTGGTGGCGTTAGTTTGTCGATGAGATCGAGAAGATGAAAGTATCGATGAGATTGAAGAGATCCTTCTCAGATTGGTAGGTAACCAAAGTGAAGCGAGGAAGGAGGCCTGCAGAGGAAGAGGTAGAGGAAGGAAAGGTCCACCAATTCTAGTAGGGTATGGGAAACAACCTAGTGAAATAGGAATAGAGGAGGGATATGGAGAAGAGAAGCGAGAAATGCAAGAGGATATGAGACGGGGAAAGACTTTAATATATTTGTTTGACGTGGGTAGTTTAGTGAGTGACTGCATTCTATCTACGGTTACAGAGCACGGTACTGCTTCGACTCGACCCATACCCAGGCCGGCCGCGGGTCCCCATCTACATGAGCCAATAAAGATAAAAATAAGAAAACGCCATGGACGGTCCTGGGCGTGGGACAATTCTGTTGCAGATCTCATAGGTGTTGGTACTGGTGCTGGTATTGGCAGAGATAGAGGCGCGACACACATTTTGGAGATGACATGCTAATTCGAGACACACATAGAGATAGCAGCTGAGCTGGGGGGTCCCCAGAGACCGGAAGAGATAGAGATTAGAGACAAAGCAAGGCACAAAGATAGTGAGAAAGATAGGTACGTACCGGGGGACAGCAGGTGCTCAGTGCTCAGTGCTCAGCCTTTCACAGGGCTGTACGAGTACTGTGATACAGCCCAGAGATTGATCTGATTCCCTCTGTAAGTCTGTAGTAACCAGTTGGACACATACAAAAGATGAAAACCACCATGGCCATGGATGTTTATCGGTACGTACCATCCATGATAGAGATAAAGATAGCGGCGTCTACCCAGCCAAGCCCAGGTACCGACCCTAGCGTCTTTGCGCTTATACGTGTTCGGTAAGGCGTCTACTATATCGACTCCTCTCTGCGCCGTTCTCGGCTGGTTCCTGGGATCCTAGATCGAGCAACCACCCCTGCTCTTGGTCCTTCCCGGACAGAGTCCGCATCTGCTTTTTGATGCACGCCCTTCGAAGAGCAAGAGCAAAGAGCAGAGTCCGATCTTGACTTTTGTGGTTGATGCAAGCACTGCCCTAAAGGCGAAGGAAGGAGGAAGCTTACCGTGCGTGGAAAGCTTCACAAGCCGTTAGTTGACAACTCAATATCCAGAAATAAACAGCCATACAAAGTAATCTTCCATTTATAACCACATTGGTTGCCAATCTTCATTCCTCCCTTGTGTATCGGTTCCATGTATGCCACTAATCCATAATCCAACAACTGTATCTAAGACATCGCACCACGTCCCACAAACGGGGGCTGTCAAGTTGGGCAGCCATTAAATTTCACCGAGCTCATATGCATAACAGCAGACCCTGGACTCTCTCACTTCATTGGGTCAACCGAACCTGGGGGAGGCAAGCAAAAGAGAGGAAGAAAAAACGAGCCAGAAAAAAACACGGGAAAATCCTCTCGACCCTGGGTCTGGGGTTTGGGGTTTTGGGGGGCGCGCGCCGTTGACGTGTGATATCGCAGAGAGACGAAGCGTGGGGTTTGATTGTCTCAAGACCCTCGTCTACAGATTGCTGCCACGTTTGAGAATTTGAGATTATCTTTTATGGGGGAGAAAGCTGAAATATAGTGTAATATTTTCCTTATTTTCTTTTTTGCTACGCATGAAATGGATCAGACCAAACTCAGCTGATATGCATGGATAAAGATTGAACGGTTCCGAGTCTAATCTGCACAACTGAGAAATGTTGATAGGGGCTTGACGTAGATGTCCAAACTCCAAGCCTCGCCGTTGTCGGTTGATGTTCACCACTACGTAGCCAGATCGGCTCGTTCCCCGTGGCGTGATGTGTTCTTCGCTAAATCACAAATGCTTGTAAGCTGTGGATCGATAGGCAAAGAAAAGACGGCATCTTGATCGGAAACAAACTTGTGCTCGCTGATCGTCGAGTGTAAATGCGGAGAAGGATCCAAGAGGGAGGGTTGATCCGATTTACCAGACGAGGCTAAACCACAAAGAATTATTACATTACGGTGGTCGATGTGTAAAACCGTTCGATTGCATTACCTACCACAAAACCCCATGCCCATCTATATCTAGGTTTAAGTCTATGTCTATATCTGGGGTACCGATGTGACATGGCTGAATCATCAGCTCGTCTGTTTGTGTCTGTTCCTTGCATCTTGGCTATCGGGTAACAAATCTGATGAGGAGAATGTTGAGCTGAACAGCTCATCTCAGCCTTGGCTGATACGATGAGTTAGATTTCAATGTGCGATAGGGATATGGGAGAGTGGTAATGCATCTCTGTAACTTATCCAGATCGTCTTAGTAACAGACTTGGCGAGATATCAAGCCAATGGCTCGATCTCTTGGCCATTCATTGCACCTGCAACAAATCGTTACCAAACATTCAGTTCCAAATTCAAGAAAGAAACAACCTTCTTTTGCTTCTTTTTGAGCTACTGTACGTCTCACACGTGAATAAAGCATAATTGTACGCATCATACCGTTGACGTGAGTCGCTGGCGTCACTCAGATAAGAGAATTCAGCGCCTGCCATTGGGTCAAAGAGTCGGAAGCCGTCCCAAACGAGTCATCCCAGTTGGGAGTTGGCGTCCTCTCACGTGTAAAGTGCCTTGAGTGCACTCTAATTTTCTACTTTCCTTATCAGAAGGCTGTGAGGTAGTTGGTTTTAGTGGGGGGGAGGAGGCTGGCTCGGTACCTTCCAGTTCGTGTGAGTAAAAAGGTTGTTTAATGAGAACAAGGGTTAGATTGCTAAATTCATGGACACATCAAAACTCGCTGGCCAATCAGACACACGCACTATTTTGCCAGCGGACATTCTCATCCTTTGATGTATCTCAATTATTTGCGAAACGCGTGTAAAGTTCTTCTTACTTGCTATTTGTCTTCTTTTGAGTCTGGATATCTCTATGGTTACCGCTTAATGGACGTGCATCCGTACTTCTGTAGCTCTCTCCCATCACTTACTTTTAATTCTCCCGGACTTGGAAATCCGATCTTGAAACCCAATTCACACCTTGGCAACTGGCTTACATACATAAAGGCGGGTTTGTCCTGCATCTGAAAGCTTGGCCCTTGTATTCCGGGGCATCCCGGTAGAACGGCGAGCGGCAGGCGGATGCTGTGTTCCGTACCGTTGCTTCGGGGGCATTTGGGTCCGCTCCGAGTTTGGATGCCGGGACATTTCTCAGCACAGATCAGATATATCCGTAGATGTAGATAAACAGATACAGCAGATACGGTGAGTATCTCGGTGATTCCGTTCAAGCAGGGTATGGTTGTCTTTTGGCAATTTCACTCATGAGCCTCATTCTGTAAAACATAAATATCTATCCAACATCTTCAGATGCTTCATGACGTCTTCAATGAATATCAACAACAAAAAAACTTCAATACCCAGTTAAAACAGCATCATCCCCAGGTTTTAACCCGTCCAATCAAAGCCCCTCTCTCACACAAGCCGATGCTGATCAGACATGATGCTCTCCGTCTTATCTGCCCTTGCAGTTTCTCGGCCAATCAAGCGCCACTCAAACATCAAATCAACACAAATTGCACTTGGTAATGTCGTAACAAGGTTTCTCTGCCCGTCCCTCCCACACACACCTTCTTTTTTCCCTATCTTTACTATCCTCACTCCTCCTCTCTCTTTCTCTTCTTTCTAGAAGGCCACCTTACTTTTTATTGCCCTACGTACTTTCCTCTGCTGTCTTTGCCTTCTCCCCGGGTCGGGCTGCGGGGTGGTTCTGCTTCGTCCCGCCGACCCGGAACCCCGACATACGGACCTATTCACGTTCTGCATTTACACTTACATTGGATTAGAGTAAACCAATTCATAATTGTCAACATTCCCGAGGTATGGAGTAAAGTAAACTGGAGCAAGAGCCTGTGCTCCGGCCTCGGCTCCAGCGTTTGTTCTCCAACATCAAGCCTGCTTCTCCCGATACTTGATTGTCCCTAATTCCTTGTGTCGTTCTTATGACTCGTGATTTACCAACTCCAAGTACCTCGTGTGTGTTCGCAAGCTCTGCTCGTTCATATGATATTGTCCCAACCACTCAGTCGACCATTTGCTACTCAAGAAAAAGCCAATGCCCCCCGATGAGGAATGATCAGATCCACGTGTGCAGTAATAAGACAGTCCAAGAATAAATTGCCTTACCTACTACGCCTATAATTCCGAAACGCCAGAATCCCCTACCCTAATCCAAGAAGCACAATGAAAGCGTCCACCGGGTATCGATGAGCCAGTAGACTCCCAGGGAAGAAAACAGAAGAGAGAAACACAACTAAGCAGAAACGCCGTGGCTTCAGAAAATGCATAGCTTGCCCGTTTGCTCCTCGCGCGTCAGCTCATATGACAAGATGTCGTGGTTTCGATAGTGCAGCATCAGCCGATATCGCCGGGGCATCGCAGGCCCTCCACCTCCGACCTTACCTCCGATATCATCTCCCACCTGAATTGGGCCCAAAGCCATTCCGTGCATAGGTCGCAGAGTCTTGCGATGCTCCATCTCGTCAGATCCTGTCGGCAGCACCCATTCCACCCGAAATCCGTGCTCCCAGTTCCTCTCGTCGCGATCCGTACTGACGGCCTTCCGTGTCAGTGTCAAAAGCACAACACGTCCGGTGGGCGACCCAATGGCCATGAGCGAGAGTTCAGGGGCCATGGCAATCATGTTCAGCCTGCTCGTCGCATGGAAATGAGGATGTAGCCCAGGGTCTCTAAAGCGCCCGAACTTGAGAGCGTCCGGGCAAATGACGCCAATTTCCGACTGCGAATTCCTGCTGAAGAACGGGGAGAACGAGCGCAACTCGATGTCTTTCTCGTAGGTGCGTAGCAGAAACAGCTTTCTCCCCAGATCTGTCAAATGAGCCTCTGACGCTAAAGAATGCTGGTTGGGCTCGCAACGCCTTGACAGGAAAGTCATCATCTCATGCGCGTTCCGAGGAGTTGGGTAGACCTTGTTGTTGTGAGGAAAGTATGTCATGTCTAGCATATAAGGCGTTGCTTCATCGTGTTGAGCGGCCTCGCCCATGTATTTCTTTTCGTTTCGACGCTCCCTGTTGAAATCTTCTTGCTTCAATATTGCATCCCAACCATACAAGTTATCGGGAGGACTAGCTGCTGACTGGCCAGCATTATGCCCTTGGTCCTGTTTTTGTGCCTGTGCCTGCGAATGCGAATGCGAATGCGCATGAGCCTGGGCATGGGCCTGGGCTTGAACCTGGAAATAGCTCAGGGTGTTCCAGTCTGTAGCTGTCACGATAGCGTCTTCCTCCGAATCGACTATTGAAGCGACTTCCGAGTCACCATGTTCGATGCCTTCGTCTTCGCTTTCCTCCTCTGTATCTTCAAATTCGTCCTCGCCTGCATCATCACTTCCGTCGCTTCCCATTAGATCTACTGGTTCCTGCATCGCAAAGCCTGGCTGAAACATCCCGGGATCCCAAGGGAGATGTGGCGGTTGGCCAGGCTGATTCGGTGGTCTCAGCCTACTATGCGGGTTATCGGGAATGTTAGTCAGTGCGTTTCTGACATTCACCAGTGGCTGACTGCAGCCATTGCTCGCTGGGACAAATTCGAGTCGATTCGTAGGCACGCCAAATAGTTCCTCTGTAGTCTTGACTTTCAGAAAATCCCCTTCGTCGAGGGCAAATATTCCCCATCCTCTGGATGGTCCAGGGTAGAACTCCTCGCTTCTCAGTAGATCTGAACATAGCGGCTGGAGAGCTATTGGGCCTTTGTTCCCTTGCCAAATATCTGCCAGCCATGCGGTTCCTCTGATATCAACTGCGCAAACCCGCTGAGCGTTGCCTTGGAAGTCGTTAACAAAGCATATGTTGGGCATGTTCTCCGCCTTGGGAGGCAGCCGAATGACGATTCGCCAATTCCGAGTCCGTGTCTGGATATTCAGCTGCGCCATACGGGACCAGCCCGCCCTGCGGTTTGGAGGATCCTGTGTCAGAGCCAGAGCAAAGACTACGACCTCGTGACGGTTCGAGCTGACAGCAATCAGGCGGGATTTCTGATGTATAGCCAAACCCCAAGCTGACCTCCCAACATTTTCGTGAAAGAACTGTTTCGGAACCGATGTGTGCAACGTGTCGGTTGTCCCACGACATGAGAGTATTCGTTTGGCAATCTGTTGGGTGTAGTACGCAACCACATCGCCATCATCGTAGCACGCCAGAATTATTTCTTGATCACCAAGAAGCCCGGTAATCATCTGGTTCACCGTGTGCGGCCTTGTATGATCCATCTCACCACCCACTAGCCGGGCCACGGTACTCGCTTTGGGCTTGAGTTGTAGGTCGGGTTGGCGCGGGAGTGCCTGGCTCGGAGCGGCGCGGGGTCTGTAGACGAATATTCGGCCTTGATAAGCAGAGAAGTAAAGCTAGCAGAGGTCGTCAGCATCGGGAGGAGAGGATTCGAGGATAATTGAGCGTGGTCGCACATTGTACATCTGGGATAGAGCAGTCAGGTTGCCTCTGAACTTCTGCATGGAGGGTATCAATCGATATATGGAAGTTCTGCCGCTCCTTTCGTCGTCCGAGTCGTTTCCGGGCCAAGTGAATGGTAACTCGGCGTTCTGGGGATGCATGCCCAACGTCACCCGCTCGCGATCCCGCACGGCGGCTCTGGCTCCATCGCCAAACTATTTGATCGCAAAACAGGCAGAGTCAGTAGGAGAGATAGACATAGATAGCATAGATAGAGATGCGAGGTAATAACATGATGTCATCCTATAACCTTGACCTACCCGATCAGTGGCAGTTTGCGCATAGCATTTCCCGACGGATATTGGCTGGAAGTTGCGTTTATTAGGTTGTTGGCTTTCCATCAGCATTCAATCATGCGCGGGGAGATGGCCTTGCCGAGGTGTTGCAGCTAAGCATAGGCGGTTGTGATGGGGCGATAGTCGCCAAAAGGCGATGGAAAGGTGCTCTGCTGTGCTGTGCTGTGCTGTGTGCTGTACGCTGCTGTGAGTTGTTGAAGGACAAGAGAGATGAGAGTGTTGTGCAGAATCTTAGTACTGAGTACGAGTGCTAGTACGCTGCACGATGGTGCACGAGTTTAACAACACAGAATAGCCTGCACAAGCACATCCACATGCACATCCAATCCAGCTCAACCTCAATCGTGCTTCTTGTGCTCTGTAAGAAGATGATCCAATGCGAGTGACCAAATCAAGAGTCGCGGGGTGCGGTCCGTCAATCCCTGTTATCGATAAGCACTTGGTAAGCTGTAGCTGTAACTTTACGCCTTGCAATCAATTGCACTGCACGTAGCATCCGTAGACGGTGTAAGGTGTGAGAGAAACGTTGAACTCTATTCCGTTGTTTGTCGCAAACATTCGCGGGGCTTGCGATGCAGCAGAGTGGAGATGCTGCAGATATCGGAGTTTCATTGATCATCAATGTTTGGTTTGTCTGGTCTGGTCAATGACTCGGTTGTAGGTTAAAGGGACGGTTAAATTGTTATGCCAAGGCTACCATTTCATGATTGCATATATGTATAAGGTATATCCTCCAAATTCAATAAATCCAATCTCATATTTCTCCATTGTCGTAAACATATATCATCAACGTGCTCAAGCGGCCATGAGCCCCAGCATATCCTTCATGCGGTAATCAAGCACCGGTGTCTTCCAATCATCCTGCAACAGCCCATACCTCTCCGTTGCGTTCCCCTTTGGCTTCCGCGCGTTGAGTGCCCAGTATCCAAAATCAGTGTCCATCTCCTCGAGGAATCGCATCAAGTGCTGCCAGTAGTTGGCGTCGCCTACAGACGGCTGCACGGGCGCGCCAATCTCACCAACCCACACGGGGGCGATCTGCTTCTCGAGGATGTACGCCCAGTTGTGTCTCATCGTCTTTGCAAACGAGGCGTAGTCGCGCTGGAGGAAGCGGCCCTCCCAGCTCCCCCAGCCGGACCAGGCGTAGACGTGTGCTGAGTATACTAGCCGGTGGTTGACGTCCAAGAGGATAGGACGCTTGCACACACTGGAAAGATCGTTGGAGGATTCTGTGCCCTCGACGATGACGAGCCAGTCTCTGTTCATCTGAAGAAGTCGGTTGCCGCATTTCTCAGCGGCTGGTGCCCATTTGGACCACGGCATAGTTCCCCATAGACCGCGGATCTCATTCCTCAGATCAACACCGATGACAAGAGGGTTGTTAATATGCGGTAGCATAATGGTCTCCCAGTGCTGAATCCATTCTTCTTCTGTCTGCTTCACACGACAGATGGGACCCAGGTGGTCGTTAGACCAGCCCGCATCACAGGGATTCGCACCACAACACCAGGTAGCACTAGTAATGTGGTTGTTGACAATCACAGCAATGCCCGCCTTCGTCAAGCTTTGAACGATAGTATGGAAAATGTCCAGGGCTTTCAAGCCCACCAGGTCGGGGTTTGCACGAAGGTGCCTCTCCTCGATGACTGGGTTCTCCATGACCAGCTCGTCAGCATAAGGTAACCTGACGCTGTTGAAGCCAAGTCTCTTGATGGTCTTTGCAATATCGTCGCGGTGTTGGATATCTAGTCCTCCAGCAACGAAAAATTCATCACTGGAGCCGTACCAGTTCACCGAGGCCAGCTTGAAACGGCGACCATTGACGTCCACAACATCCCGGCCCCTCGTCCGTAGAGGCAGTGTATAGTTTGTGATATGTAAATGTTCTGGAGGTGGCGGCAGCGGACTCTGGCTAAATCTTTCACTGGCTGCATCAGGGATCCAACTTCGGTGCAGCGCAGTCTCAATATTCCAACGATAAACGTATCCAACACCAAGGCAGAGCAACACCGCAGCGAATAGAATGGCACTACTCGGGCTTATCAAGCAACTGCACATCTTTGCCCGAATCCGAGTCCGAGTCCGAGTCTGAGTCTGTGTTTGCGTCCTTGTCTTTGGCTTCTCGTAATCGGCAAAATGAACATGTCGTTCAGACTTTGTCGTCGCTTCTAGATCCGAAGGCTCGTCTTTGGGGTGGTGTTCATATCCACTTGGATGCCCATTTTCTTCCTCAATGGCACCATTTTCTTCAATATCTGTCCAGTCGTTGAGTAAGTGGTGCCGTGAGGATTGAGAGTCGAGAGTCGGAGAGCGGGGCCGTGGTCTGCCGAAATAATGCGGCAATCGGATGGCAGACCACATGATGGTTATTTCCTGTAGCTTGAGGCTAAAGTCACGTTTTCTCGGCCTTCTCGTAATTCGTTATTGATTGTGTATCAATATGTGTTTTCTGTTGATAGTAGAGACAGCAATTCGAGGTTTCCGGTATAACTGCTTAGTAGTTTTGGGATATCTATTGACGATACGTCAATAAAACTGGTCGCGAATATTCGAATGTAAGAACCACATATGAATGACGACTCAATCGCAGTTCTCCAAAGGTATCAATCACGTACACGTGAGAACAAGGCACGAGCAAACACAATAATTACCACACGAAACGGTTGTCCCGGACCTATTTATCATACCTCGAGCTCTCACGCAATCATGGAACATGATATCAGCTCGATCGCCAAGCTCCATGGTAGCCTCCCCTTCCGGCTCATCCGGAAAGAATACCTCTTGCATGGCGCTGTGACTAAAGGGGCGTGGTTGATGGGGACTGGCTACGAGAACACGCGACAGGGCATTGGATAAAGACTTCAGTTTCGTCATTGGGTGAGCTTAACTTGACTTATTGACTAATCGGCATGCTTCATCAGCATCACAGAGAATGAAGGTTGATGATTGATCATAGCGCACGGATCTCTCTCCTCTTTGTAACTTGATATCATTAAGTAATTGACGGCTTATAGCCTTTGTCACCGCTATGAAAATGCCATGATCTGGCGTGTGAAAGATGCCCAGGCCAGGCCAGAAGTGAGATGTCAGACGCATGGCGATCCTTGGCATCTCGATAAGAGCCCGCATCGCCGAACTCGAACACGATGATTCGTTCTCGGTATTCGCGCTCTTCGCTACATCCTTTTCCGAATCCGCAACTTCCGAAACTTCCTCATGACTGATTTAGTCCTGCTTTGCTCCCTGCCTGTCTTGCTCTTGATGTCGTACTGTTGTTATCCAAGATGTCTTGGATCTGCCGGCATTGTTACGGACTAAGGAGTCATCTTAACTCCGTTATTCCTCGCCTATACCCGCAGCGAAAGACAGACGCAATGTCTGAGACAACACTGTATATACATGGAGTCACAGACTCATCATTATATACCCCCTCTCCACCCTCTCCTCGGTTGTGAACCAAGCTGGTTCTTGTCAATCGATGTGCCTTGCACTGCTTTTTCTTTCCTTCTTTTCTTCCTCAATGCCAGATCGTACACGTATCAACGCCTCGCTGTTGTATTGATGGGGCTACCCCATCGAAGTTCGAACAAAAAAGAAATCCCAGCTTTTGGTATCATTATCCTCAGCTCTTGTGGAAATGGGAAGGTTCGGTAGCCGGTCTTTCTCGCTTTGCGAATCATTGTTGATTGCGCGATACCGTGTTGTGACCGAAGTGTAGTTTTGGTGTGCTATCCGAGGCGGCGTAGATACGCTGTTCTCTCAGGTATGTATAGATTACAGTAAGTAGTTCATATTAGTTGCCATCTTCTGGGCTTTGTCGTGTGGGTGATCAACCCTCGTTATGTTCGGTTCATGCCAAGAGGGTTCATCTCCTTGTCATAAATTGGGACCGGAAATGATTCTTCGTTATCGTGCGCCGATGTAAGCGGTGGCCTCGGGCTGGAATATGAGCGTGCGGGTGCATGATAGCGAGCAGTTCGGCCAAAGTAATCGGGAGTTCTTCGTCCGCTTTCTGGAGACTTGACTGGAGACACAGGTGTTACTGCAGCGCTCGAATCCCTTGAGAGCATCTCGTACGAACGTGGATGGTTCTTGACGTCAAGACGTGCGTCAACTGATACGAATTCCTTCTTCTCTCGAACAAATGGCTTCTTGAACATGTCAAACCAGCCTTCAATCATGGACCATCGTCCTAGGAAGAGGACCAGCCAAAGACCGTTCAACTGTGATACTGTCAGCAATTGTTTCGTTGTTGTTCAAGTGTAGACACATACCGCTAGGAGAAGCAAGACGGCCGTCACAGTCGCTTCATTGATGACCAGCGTAGACGCCTCGTCAAGACAATTTTCCTTCTTGCCTTTTTCTTCGTATAGACACATGATGAATTTCGTTGCCTTGGTAGGGTCGTCGGCAACAGATTGAACTACGTTGTCTTGGAAAACGAAGACGACGGAGAAGAAGATGACATCGGCGATGATGATGAGTACGATGGCAATTCCTCGCCATTGCAGTGCAATGACACGGCGGACTCGACGGTAAACCTGGCGCGGGGACATGGTCTTGATGCTTTGCGTGTAGGTAGGCAGACTGGAGCCCGCAGATGATGCCGCGTTGTCAGACAAGGATGCCAAGTAGACCTTGATGCAGTAACCAAAGGTAGCAAAGGTAATGATGACAGTCATACCAGCAAAGAGTAGGAGCGGAATCCAGAAGTCGGCCAAGCTGTTCTCGTGATTGATATGGCATGTCTTACCAAAGCGGAACGAGACGCCGCTGAAGACCAGGGCTAGGATTATACCTAGGATGGGGACTCCCCACCCAGCTGCCTGGGAAAAGATCATAAAGTTCTTTCCAACGAGCACTTGCCAGCAAATTTGAAGGTGAAGCGACACTGCTCTGAGAAACACCCACATGACACCGGCCCAGCCTCCAAGAAGTAGAAAGGTGCCAGAAGCACCACAAACCTTGCTGGTATGCATGCTGTGCGGAGTGATCTCGTTGAAGCACTGCTCCGGCTGTGCTGCGAGAGGAATCACAAAACCCATCTACAGTTCCAAGTGTTAGCGGCTTGGAGTCGGGGACAAAACAGAAACATATTGAGATGTCACTTACGTTCATGAGTAGAATAGCGACCGTCAGGCATATACTCAAGTAATGTCGATTCGTCTTCTCCACAGGCAGGAATGCCCATGAGAGAAGCAGGAACACGCAGCATACTTGGCTAAGGACAGAAACCCAGTTCGCGACCGCCGTCAATGTATCGAAGCGATCCGGATAAACCCATTCTGTCATAGGACAAGGCAAGCAACATTGCACGCTTCCGACGGTTTGGCAGAGCCGTCCATCGATGACTACGCAATTGTTAGATGAGTGACCCGCGTATCTTCAAGATCCAGTTCGCTTACATCCACCTTCGGCAGGAAACGTTCTGGCGTCGTAGAACGGCGGAGGGCAAAGGTTGACGGCTGAGGTGGTGTTAGCCATGATGACGACTAGGCCAATGGCGCCGCTCCAACTGAGAGAAATATTTGATATAGCAAGGCGTTCCGGATAATCTTTTGATTTCGTTGATATCCCCCAATCTAAACCCAGGATGTCTGAGAATCTCGAGCGTCACCCTTGTCGATCTGGATCCAAGTGAAAAGAGATACCGGTGTCGAATTTGTTGAGTGCTGTTACGACATAGCAAATGGTCTGTCAATGGCTCGAAGGCGTGTAACCGGACGGCAGCACCGAGATGGTTTCAATGAGGACGCACTAATACTGCGTACAGGATACAAAAGGTAGGACAGGAAAGGAATGGTATGATAAATGGATTATAAAACAGAAAGAGGAGAGTTGTCAGACAGATGGCACAACGAGACCAGGAGTGCGTTCAGCACGTATATTCATGAGTCGACCAGCGAAGAGAAAGTTAGTCGATCGAAATGGAGGGCACACAAGTCATATAAGATAGCGGGATGGAGGGAGATGTGTATATTTGAGCAACACCACTACCGAGTTGAAAGCACTGACAATGGGGCATCGAGAACACGACTTGAAGCGAGGGTGGAGGCAACAGGGTCTGAAATCTTTCCAACATCCCTGTTGCTGCTGCTGCAAGAGTTTCTTTCTGTACATCCTGCATCTATCCCACCCATTCGGAGCATCCTGGGTCAATTAGGCATGGCAGACCGGGGGCAGGGGTGCAGCATCGGGACCAATAGGGCGTTGATAGAGGCTGCGCCGACGAGTCTTCAGGCGCTGCAGACTGCTGAACAGTATGGTACGAAGTATCATTGGGGGAGGTGGCCTGTGATGATGAGCGGGCACCCATTCGGAAGTCGTTGGGGAGGGCGGGCTGAGAGGGGAAGATGTGAGGTTGCAGGGGCTACTAAACTTGGGAATGACCCACTGCTGTGCAGAGCTGTCGTCAAGAGGCACAAGATGTTCCTGGGCCTAGGGACTTTTGGGGTGAGGGCTGCAGCAGATCCAAGTAACCAAAGTACCCCAAAAAGGGCACATTCTGGTACCATACTGAAGCCTTGGGCCCAGGGGCAGAGGCAAGATGCAGAGGCGAAGCTTACCGGAGCCGGACGTTTCCAAGTGGAGCAGAAGCGTTGTCAACGAGGCAGCGAGATCCTGAGGACCTGAGCACTAAGGACCTGAAGCCCTGGAGCCCTCTGGCCCTGCGAAGTGGAGCTTGATGGAAGAGCGGGGATTCAGGGGTCGTCCATGCATGTCTTAGCCATCACGACACTCTCCTGGCTTTTACTTAGCTGGGCTTGGTTCATGTCCTCCGAGCCTGGTACTGAGATTTGAGCGATCAGTGACCTCACTAATCGTTAACGGTGAGGTTCAGTCTAAGAAAAACATCAGTGCGCATGCCCAGGTATCAGGTCGACCGTTGTTCGAGTCCGTGAGCCTAGGTCACCAGAGCTATCTGCAAGAGTCAGTTCTCATTATCCATAGTCGTACTCAGAAACTGTGGGATCATTGAGTATGCCATTGGTAGTTTCTACCAAATACCATAATTATTTGGCTGAAAGTGACGGTGTGCACGCGAAACGACAAGTCTTCCACAGCAGGCCAACGGTCAATGTTTCTACGCTCGTAAGTAATATGCTGTACATACCAATACCTGATGCGGGTTCTTTATTGGTGGGTGATGTACGCAATCAGAGTCGCGTACTGGTACCGCTTCCATTGGACGCCGTGGAATACACGGTGCTGACAGGAGGATGTGAAGAAAAGAAGGCTTTTGCCAAGCTTTGTCGCATCTAAACCGGGAGTGATGAGAATCAATCAACGGTGTGTATATTCCGGGCTTAGCCGGCCGACATCGAGGCCATCGGAGGCACTCATTGTTCGATGTCCTTTACAGCGGCCATGGCGGAGAATGATGAGAATATTCAGCTAATTGAGACTGAGTCAGGTGTTGCAGCCACTTTAGCAGCCTTCCACCACCTGCCGTTGTCAATTAGAGACATTCTCGGAACGTCCAGTCGACCGTGCACCGTTTCAAACTTTGGCAAAGCAGAAATGAGCCTGCTGGTCAGTGGAGCCCAAACTAAACCTAGAACTGGAGTTGGAGCTGGATTGCCAGACGAAGTTGTATTGCGGTGCGTTGCGGTGCGTTGCGGTGCGTTGCGGTGCGTTGCGTTGCGTTGCGTTGAGCTGAACTCGGTGGAACCAGGAACCAAAGCTTAATACATAGGTAGTAACCAATCAGGTCAGTACCGATCTCCAACGGGCGTTGTTTTGTTGTAGTTGGATAGACTAAGTTCTGTTTAAATGATATGGTACCATTTGACTAACAAACAAACAACAGTCGAGGATGGTGAGCTCGTGATGTGTTGTGTTGAATGAATCAAAGTCGAGTGTTTTACGATCGTGTGATAGGGACAGACAGGCTAACAGGGTACACAGAGGTTGGCTTTGATGGGCAGGCACCGATCTAGTGGGACTCCTTCCCCCAGATGGGCGCTTCACCCACAAAATGTTTCCTGTCCACAGGGCAGAGACACAGTGGAGACTCGGGGTGTTTCCAGATTTAAGCCTTCTACAGTACAACTGACAAAGTTTATTAAACATCAACCCAGAGAAGGTCGCCATTTTGCTTTTTTGGTAAGAAAAGCTAGAAGCATCTTCGGCAGATACTTCTCTCTCATCCGTTACCTACCTAAGTACCTACCTAGGTACAGTATGTTTCTGTATACGGAGTACCATTTGCTGGGTTGGTACCTAAACAGATGCTGATCTCTACCCATCCCAGTTGTTATCATCACCAACAAATCCAGTCATCGTCCATTATCAAAGTCACGAGACTCAATGAAGCGGTTATAAGCGAGCTAAAAGGCTGACCTATCGATAATGGGCGAAATCTTTAATCATATATCGACATGCTCGAAGACATATCATTCGACCTCTCTTTGACGCCACTACCAAGAATCAAAAGCCTGCGCGGCAGACTCGGCCACTAAAACTCCAACGGTATGCTTCCTGTCAACAGAGAGAAGCCGTCCTCTGACTTTTACTGGCCTCTCGGCCCTTCTCGCCCCCCTGTTAGCCCCTGTCAGTCACTGTCACATCCTTGAGCGGCTCCCCTGGTACTCCCGCTCAAACCCTACGGTCCCTGCCCTTGCCCAGACTCAGACCCATGCTTATTGCTCCTGGGTGAATTGGGGTTTTTGGTTGGTTTATTCCTCCTTGCCACTCAGGAACATCATCACCTTGTTTTTGTCTTCAAATGGTGCACCACAGTTTCTGATTCGCGTCTAGGTTTCTCGCTCCCCAATATATCCACTATCATCAACATCTGCGGGTCCAATCACTTGAGAGTTATGTTTCTCAACGAAGTGTATTTACCCTTGACATCATTTAGCATGATGAAGTCCATCTATGAACAAATCATGTGCTAAATACATATCAACCACTATTTGCTATAGCCATGGACTCAACGATATAGACCTCGCAGACTCCTACCAAGCCACCTTGAAGCTCAATACCTCTCTATCAGAACAGAATCTTATTCAGGGGATCTTACGGGAGGGTTTCAATAACAGATCTCAAGGCGCATGCGATCGAGCGCCATCTTTTTCGTTCTCTTTCGCCAAGTCAAAAACAAGTCAGCTTACGCCATCTGACTGCCACACCCATGCCATCAGGCCATGTTTTTTTTCTCCCTCTCTCACACTACAGCTTTATAGACAACATCCGAACTGATCAATTGCATCGTCGTAGAGAGTCAGGTGTCAGCATTAGTATTAGGAATTTGCGGGGTGCACTCCTCAGTTGCCATCCTAAACAGGTACCGCACAGCTCTTCCTGTTGATGAAGCACCAATAGCAAGTTGGTGGTGGTGCGACATTCAGGTACCCTCAATGCAGGTACAGTAAGTGCACTACCTACCTACCTAATATTGATGCATCTCACTCCCCGGCAAAGTTGGCAGCCACTTCCGCCGTAGCTTGCAGAGACTTCAGACTTGGTGGTGTGGCATATTTCCTTTTACGGCCACTTTTCGGTCCGTTGGTGAGACATCTTCAACGGCATTGAGTGCGAAAGGATGCATCCATTGTTCGTGAATATCATATTCATATCACAATACGTAAAGGAGACTGATGCCAATTTCGGACCAAGAAGGATCTGGCATTGGACAACTTCGTGATAGGTCCGCCGCTAACCGAGTCTCATTCATATTCAACATCAAAATTACTCCTTACGGCACAGCAAGCCATCAATTCGGTCGACATCTCACTAGGACTTCCTTTACATATCAATTGCTTATCTTCCCCACAATCTATCCCCAGACTGTTCAATATCCCTCACACCCATCTGGCTAGTAGCCGTGAAGAGGGAGAGCCCTACGATTCCCAACATTCAACATCGCGAGCTAGGGATCTACTAAACAGGAAGTTACTTTTCGATACGATGTTCGCTAGCCTTCCAAAGGATTGTCTGACATCCAAGGACGGAATATCTTTGATTGCTTCAACGCAGGGCAACTTTGGGCTGGCTGCTCCATACGGCTCAGATTCCTATTCCAGATATATGGCGCATTTTTCACTTCTTGCCCACATTTTTCTCAGGCAGTTACCTGGTCTAGATGTTGCTTATTGATAATCATCTAATCGATAAAGCCTTTTAGCCGGACAGGTATCGTAGGGATCGGAGGGAATTAACGGCCTTATGTTCCGCATGAAAAAGGTTTTGGATCGCGTGCTTGGCATCTGTCAAAAGTGGCCATTATTCTCTTTGGTAATGTTAAGGGCCAGGCTTCTTCACTATTGTCAGTGGCATGATCCGACGTCTGCTGGCATGGTTTGATGCGCCTCAGGCCTGCATCAATACTACAAACCGGCCCTTGCAGGTATACTCGTTCCGCCTCCACAAATAGTGGGCGTGATGCCAATTCGGGATGTCATCAAGGATCTAACGGTTGCATCGTCTCTCAAACCCTTCCCTGGCCTACGGATACCGGGTCTATCGATACCGGCCTATCGATATGAAGTATAAGCACCAATATCGGGTAAAGACCGATGTAATAGCTGACCCAAATAATAGGTACGCTGCAGAGCAGGATGCAACTTGTACGGTAATAAGCGGCGGGTTCTATGATATGCCCACCTATGTATAAACGAATTGTTCCACTTGCTATGCAGGTTTCTTATCTCTGGCTAATTCCAACATATAACTCAGCATCTGCGTTATTACGTGCACAACGCTTCCACCGTTGCAGCACCGTTTCGCAACTGAGACTGTTGCGAGTCGTTGTGGTTGCGTGGACACATATATCAAAGGGAGTAACCTTTCCATGGTTGAACTCAAATGCGTTACGAGCCAAGGTGGCACAGCAATTGAACATATGGATACAGTTACGTACCCGGAAGGGTGAGCAATCAATTCATGTACAGAAATTCGGACTAACACGCATCAGGATGGTTCGCGACTCGATGTGCGTTTTACGAAGTCCGCGATAGCCCAGATTGCGCATTGTCGTCATCTTGTTGTCCAATTTCCGACTCAGAACTAGAATGTCCTTGAGCATTCAAGTATTATTCTAATTTGTGACCAAGTGCAAAATGATTTATTATTAGATGTACGACTAAAAGAGTATGTGGGACCCAAATACCACACTACGTACCGAAAAGCAAACAGGACGAGTCTACTCCGTACCGTCCACGAGGCTTCATTTGGAAGCTGAAACAGTAGATAAGAATTGAAACTGGTGACGCCCATGACACGGTCCTCAGACAAACCCACTTCAGAGTTGAGTTTCCGGCTTGGCTGAGTTAGCTGATGATCCGAGCCCAGCTTGTGGAGTTTGATGAACCCTTGCGTTTAAGTGCGAGGCTAGCTCTATTTGGCCTCAACGCCGAAGAATGATTGACATCGATGTTCTCTGCCTCGTCTCACGAACTTGAGAACTCTTGATCCAGATGGTTTCTTTTACGACCGGCCGGTTACTAGTAGCGCTGTGCCTCCAGGAAATTCTGTGATCCGGCACCGGGCCTCACTTAGACCCAGTGCCCAAGAGCTAGGCGGACGATCCCACGGAGCAATTACCACTACTCCTGACCCTTGCGGAATTCGACTCGGCAGGTTGTACTGGAAATCGCTGGGTTTTGTTTTAGGCGGATTGAGCCGGTGATGTTCGAGCAGCATTTACGGTCCAGGAGGACGGACCTGATAGCCGCAGCAATATGATCTTCACTATTACTCCGCTATGGTTGCATTCTCTCGAGTGCAACTCAAAAATCAGACATTTGGAGTGATAGGTCGTTTGAGGCGTCCTGTCATAACCTTCTGGCCGCGTATTTCGAATGTTCAATGCTGGACATCACGACGGAAACATCCGTGATGCTTGTCTGATAGCCTGGCTGTTCAGAAGGGTCAACTTTTCTATTTTTCCGTGCTTTTGAATGACAGGGACGGTGACTTGAGAATTGAGATGACAGTCGGCTAAAGAGTTGAGTTTCATCTCTGTCCCATGGGTCTGTGGCTTGCGAGCGAGACAACTGCAGCATTATCACTTCGTCGTAGTGCCGTCTGTGTTTCAATCGCGTAGTTTAGCGACTCCAGACTAGGCAATGGAGAGCGATGCGCAACCCGTCTGCAAACAGTGCGCTCTGGAGATGCTACGCGGGTTGAATCGCAACAACTGTGGGTTAAGATCATAGGCCCTGGGGATCAAACAGCCTGAGATAGCAGCTAGATACGTATTGTTGACCCTTCACTTGACCTGTACCGGCAGGTCTTTCCGAAAGGCGACTTGGAGCCCGACGTTCTGGAAGCGAAGAAGCTTCTCCTCGCTGCCCATGGAAATGCAACTTCACCACGCGATCTGCGCTATTAAGAAGTGAAAAGGAGTGTAAGACAGGCGGAAAACCCACATGAGCTTCCTCTTAGGATCACTTGGACCGAACGAGGGTGTCGAATCCCTGCGGGTGGAACAGACGCTCGAGGCAAGCCCAAGTCCGGGCCCAAAGAGCTCCAGAAGATGTTTGAGACCCTGGTCGACGAAGCCGCGGACGGTTGATCCTCCGCTGTAGCGGATGAGAAGGTTACGCGAAGTGGACGATGTACGGGAAGGATGCCGTCGGTAACTCACGATGAGGTGGGTAGTTAATATATCAGCGACATAACTTTAACGCAATGACAGATATAGTATTAGAGTTTCATCTTGAGTCCAATGGACCTCGAATATAGTACATTTGGATCGAAGTTTCTAAATAAATAAGTGAGAGTAAGTCTGGGCATGTTTCTGCTAAGTGAAATTTCATAATCAACATGAAGTCTGATGGGTTGAATGTGACGTGATAGTTGAGCTTTGTGAGGAGTAGTACCTGGCAGCGGTGAAGGTATCCAGTCGTTTCTCAATAATTCATATGATTTCAACTGAAACTCAAGTAGTCCTGAATACTTCTTGAACAAGATGGTCGCGGCTCTCTTCAAGATTGAATGTCTTGTCGTCAGCAATAGTCAGTCGAATCGACTAAAAGAGGGAGGATGCTACAGGGTAACTCATTTTCATAGTTTTTGGCAAATCATCAAGCACGTGACATGCAGGACATATCAGAACAGCTCAACCGGAACGAACGCGACATATCGAATTGGTACCTAGGTACTTGGGTTTGACGAATATGTGTAAATACTTATGTGGGAATATACCACAGAGTTGGGTATATAGATCTTTTGATATTCAACGACTTGATCTAACTGTGTGTGAGGCGATGATCCAGTTGCTTTCTTCATACTCACACTGATCAAATACACTCAATATTCATACACAAGGTCAATCAAGCAGAGGATTAATTCGAGGGAACTAAAAATTAGAATTAAATTTCAAACCTGTTCGTGATTATTCATATAGCAAAACTTTATAGTAAGAGTCGTTTTCACTATTAGATGATTAGGTTGGATCAAAAGCTACTTTTGGGTTGCGACTTGCCCCGCCACTGTTTGTCATTCTAGCTTCACAGTCACACACAAATGACATAACTTGCGATCATCAACTTACACAACATCGATCAATCCAGCCTCGGAAGCATCGATAAAATTGAACTAAAATACTTGGTGGAACAATAGCACAGGAGCCTCTGGTCACGCAGTGTCGCGTTGTATCTACGAGCTGCAGAATTTGCTCAGCTCGGTTGAGTCACATCATATCACTTCACTTCTCATCTCATCACAACCCCAACGTCAGCCATGGGCAAGGAAACTCCACTTATCTCTTCTCGGAGGCTCTCTAATGCCGAAGGTGATCCAGTCGCTGTTGTTCGCGTGCGGAATCTGCAGACGACGATCCAGGGACCTAAAGATGCCTGGGGTCGAGGTTCTAAACAGCAGCCTCTGCTGATATCCGCAGAGGTCTCGTTGACGCATGCATTTCCCTCTTCGTCTTCACACGACAAGGTCGCTTCCGACACGGTACACTATGGGCTTCTCAGTAAATCCATTCTCAGCACGCTGGAGAAGCTGCCCAAGTCAGCACTGTCGTTGAGTGATATCCTTAATAGGCTCTGGGTTGATCTCACAGGATATCTGTACACTGGAGTGAAGGAGCCCTCGGCTGAACACACAAAGGCCTTTCTCGACACAAGCCTCATTCGTCGTTTATCCGTCTCGCTTGTTCTTCCCAAGGCTTCGCTGATGGGCAGTGCCATCAAACTGTCAGGATCCTGCCTTTTCACTGACTCCGCCATCACTGCGCGAAGCCTGGAGTTGGGATTGGAAGGAATCAGGGTACCTACACTCATCGGCGTTAACAGCAACGAGCGTAACGCCAAACAAGTCGTTATCACAAACATTCGAATTGACGAGTATGAGACCTCTCACGATGACTACGCTGTCATCGAAAGCATCGTTGTCGATGTAGGTTGACTGCCAACAAGCGAATCATGAAGGATACACTAACACTCCCCCAGGCCATGTCAGAATCGTCGTTCGAAACCCTCGAGGCTCTAGCAGCAAGTCTTGCTTTCCATATCGCCCGAGAACTCAGGACTAAGCGTGATGATTTCTACGGAGAGATCATCCGCATCGGTCTTGAGAAGCCAACAGCTGTGCCGCTTGCCGAAGCTGCTTGCGTGGAGCTGACGGTCAGAACTGAGAATGTGAAGATTGAAGTCTCCAAAACCAAGGACGTCAGATTCGATGATACTAGAAACAAGGTTGCAGAGGCTGGGGACGGCATAGGAGGCAGCCCTAAGAGCCAAAATGGCAAATCGTAGTGCAATGGTATTGGTTTGGGTGAAAAGAGGAAATTGAACCAGGAAAACAAAAAGGTTGGAGGTACAGGTATATATTGTTTTGGTTATGTCATGTCGTTTTCAACTAGCCGGATTCTCTTTCAACAGTCTGCACATACTGTACATAACTCAGGATATGACATTAATCAACAGCATGATCTTCTCAACTCTTGAATCTGCTTGTGGAACTCCATGGAATGCAAGTCATGTCTAACGAAACTTGACGGAAGTGACAAATCGCACTCACTTGCTTACCTCTACTCCTGCTCGAGGGATATCTCCATTGGTAACTGTCCGTACGAAGTCGGGATCTGGGTTGAGGAGCATGACGTGTAAGTGCTGCACAGCTTTGACCGACTGTAGACCCTGCCAGTTCCTGAACCAAAGAACCTATACTCATGAGTCTCACGATAAAACCAAATATAATAACAAAAACAAAAGACTTACATGCTGCTCTGGGACATGCGCCCTGAATGTCCTTGTCACGAAATCATCAATCTCCTTCCTCGCCTCATCCGTCAAATCTCCTGTTGCGGAATCCTCCTCGAGAACAAATTTGGTCCACACGACAAGATGGACGATTCTCGGATCTATACCATACGGAGCGTCGTTCCATAAGATCTTGTAGTCGTCCTCAAACTCGAAGGGTACTCCGCGCGGTTTCACAGGAGCAGCCCACCCAAGCCGGTGGGCAAGAATGAAGTTGGCGACACTGCCGTAGTTTTGTTTAAGATGGAAAACAAAAGCCTTGTAGCGTCTGAGCTCCGACGGGACACGCTTGAACTTCTCGAGATGGTTTGTCTCGATAATCTCACGAACCTCGTCCCAGGTCGAGATATGATATTCCTCGTCGAGTGTGGAGAGAATGCCCTGATCTTTCTCATTGGTGTTATGGAGAAATTCGGGGCATTTATCAGTTCTTTGGTCCTCAGGAATATTATAGTTCCAGAAGGGGAGAGTGGTGGCACTACCCATCGTTTACTGGACTTGTTGGAGAGTCGAGGTGAGACGTGAGACAGAGTTACGGTGTGAGTCGATGTTGGTAATATTGACGGTGTAGTAAAAATTCGAACTATAATCCAGAACTAGGATTGATTCGAACGGGCAAACCCTGTCTTATAGAGGTTTGCCTAAGACTTTGGCTAATGGTCTGAATATACACAAGTGTTCGTGTTACGTTGAGCATACTTGGAGAGGCGCGATTGATACGGTCAACTGTTCTCCACCAAGTCTGCACCAGCACCAGCCATAATGAAGAGGGCATGCATGATAAGGCGAAGAAAGACATGATTTATTATATGCCACTCTATAATCTATACTACAGTCTATCTGAACCGCTTATGTGGTCTCTCAGTCGGAACAATCCTACACGTCAAAGGTCTCTAACTTGTTTAGAAGCTGTGAATTGAACAACGCCATATAACTAAGAGTCTTCAATTGGCCACACCAGATTTGAACTAGGCGGGGTGTTTTAACGTGTCACCTCCACCAGACAACGGCTCACGAAGGAGTTAGAGGTCCGATGAACCACTATTCTGCGTATGATTATCCTCCAGCCTCCGTGGCTGTAGGTTTCTTGTCAAGAAAGCCCGGGGCAAACAAGTCGTCCATGTTGTGATGTTGTGATGTTGATTTCATATCGACATTTTGCATGTAGGGTAGCATGTTTTGCTTTGTTTGTATTCTTATCCAATGCCAAGACCACGTGGAGTTAGACAGGATATAATGCTATGTAACTTGTCAGATCAAGATCTACAGCTGCCAGCAGACCTCTAGGTTTGTCTTTTTGGGCTGTTACTCCGTATTCCCTCATTGATTAACGGAAAGAAACGGGAGAGGTCTCGAGTCTCAACGATAAACCCCTGTCTCAAAGTTGCGAATGGTTCACCTAGGCCTACAACATTACCCAGCATGCTCTGATACATAACAAATATAGCCAGGCCTTTTTATGATTGATTGGCTGTTTCTTGCTTCTATTTGACGGACGTCGTCTGGGCAGTTCAAAACGAGATCGACCGATGCAAAAGATACAGTAATTAGCGTTAGGACTGAACATGGTCAACCTTAGTCTACTTGCACCCACTCTGCTCATTTCAACTGGGCCTAGCCTACGAAAACTCCATTTGTTCCTAGAGCTTCAACCAACCAACTGCAGTGATCTAAGACGCTTGTTGTGGTTCTCATGAGGGGGACGGGAAGCTTTGGCCTTTGGGAGCTTTGGCCCGTTGGAGAGAGAAGCGGGAAGCTTGGCTTTGGCTTGGGGCACAGGCTCGTTGGGGGATGGGGATGTTACCCTTGCAGGGTCTTTACGAGAGGGATTGGCAAGTATGAAAAGATTTTCATGAGAAGTCGGATTTTTTAATAAAATTTGATGAATTTTCTAAGGTGTTGAGCGGTTTGTTTGCGTCTAAAAAGGGTAGTAGTACACGGAATGAGCGATACCATGATGGTGGTGGTGGTGTACCCAATGCCCCGAAACCAATCATGATACCACCTTAATCGCTACTATAAGCATAGTTTTGCATACTTTGATGATATGCTCGGCTGTATTACGCATATCCAGGTCCTGACTTTAGTTTCCGGAGTATCATATCGGCAAAGGACCAATCTCGAACCTCCAAACTCTCATACCTTGAGGCTTGAGAGCCCAGGTGCTAATAATATCAGCGGTAAATGGATCCCGTCTGTTGAAAAGGGAAGCCAAATACCGGGGATCCTGGCTGGTTGACCCGCCACAAGGTGAGTGATCGCTGGTAAGTGGTGAGTTGGTGGGGTTTAATCCCCGTTGATGGATATCGTGAGGTGAAGTAGAGATTGAACAATTACGACAAACTCCAATACACGAGATGGGGGCAATAAGAGGGTGAAAAGGAGTATTTGTAACCAGAAGCTATTGAACCTCATCTCCTCCTTTCCAAGCCATCATAGCTTGGAATACGTAAAAAGGCATGCGTCTAGATACAGGTACCAGGTATGGGAAGAAAGCCTCCATTCCCCAACCAACGGCCAATGGCTGAGGTACCTGGCTGGCAGGTTGAGCTGACCTAGACTAGGTATTGACAGTAGTAACTATTACTATTTTACCGAGTCGAGACGAGACGAGATTTTGTTCGTCCATTGCGAGCGAGGCTGTCACCGCAACTTCATAAATTTCGCCTCCTATCTTTGGACTCACCAACAACAAAAGAGGCGACAACTCGGGAAACATAGGAAAACGGGAATGGAATTGGTTGAGAGACATGAAGAGATGAAGAAAAAAAAGGACAAGAGTAAAAAAAGACTAGACTCGACGTCACTGTTACCAAACTTGTCACCTAAATTTGAGTGGCAGAAATAGAATCAATAGCTCTACGCTCCTATCACTGTCCGGCTTCTTTTGTCCGCCTCTAGGCCCAAGCTCGCCACCCCCACCACGTTCATAACAGGAAGGGAAGGGAAGGGAAGCTGCAAGTCGGTGGAGGGCATCACCGCCCCGCACCTGCACCTGCACCAGCACCAAGTAGCTCCTCCCCTTTCCCTCCAGGTTAATTACCATCGCCTTACCTCATTCCTCTCGCCGACTTTCCACTACCTCCTTCCCTTTATCACACTCTTCCTCTCCTCCAAAAACCAGACATTCTTCCGTGTTACTCTCTTATTCATCTTTGTTAATCTTCCACAACCTCCTTCACAATGGCCAGTGCAATCAAGAGTGCGCTGCCTACCCACCTCATGCCCAACAGCGGCGATGAGCAGGGCAAGGAGCGTCGTCATGGCAAGACTCGCAGCCACATGGTGAGTCAAGAATCAATGTTCAATTCCTCAATCGTCGTCTCGAGAAAATTGCAGATGCACATGGACATGGACTTTGAAGGGGTGAAGCTCAAGCTCCGTCAACCTTGGAGCCATGACCATGATGCGCACTCTGTACTCAAGTCACAGTGTTGAACTGTAGTTATCAAGCACCTGGAGCCTGCAGTTACATGAAACCTTGCATCACACGGTTGTTCTCAGATCCTCTGAGTAAATGGCGCTGGTTTTGCGCTGCACTTTCACCCGTTTCTCGAGGCCATTTAAGCCCTCGACGATATTGCGAGCCTCCTCCCTTCATCCAACTCCACTCGAGACACTACATCATCAGCAGCAATCTGTGTTCTAATCCGAACATTGCAACCTTGTTAGCGCATTGTACTGACCCATCATGCTCCAGGCTTTCGAGAACACCTCTACCAACGTCGCTGCTGCTCAGATGCGAAATGCTCTGACCAACCTCGCCGAGACCGTCAAGGACCCCGAGCAGAAGAAGGCAAGTCTCCAATCGAAACATGTGGATTTGCTAGATCAGCCAGAGCTAACCATGTTTTGCAGCTGTTCGAGACCGAGATGGATAACTTCTTCGCCCTGTTCCGACGATACCTCAACGACAAGGCTAAGGGCAACGCCGTGTATGCCTCCTTTCGACTGATATACTATGAGCGACAGTTTGCTGATAATATTATAGAGACTGGGATCGTATTGCCCCTCCCGCTCAGGGTCAGGTCGTCGATTACGAGGATCTTGCCAACTCCGAGTCTGTCCAGTTCCTTAGCAAGTTGGCTGTTCTCAAGCTCAACGGTGGTCTGGGAACCTCCATGGGTTGTGTTGGTCCCAAGTCCGTCATTGAGGTCCGTGATGGCATGTCCTTCCTCGACCTTTCCGTGCGACAGATCGAGTACCTCAACCGCACATACGACGTTAACGTTCCCTTCATCCTTATGAACTCGTTCAACACAAATGACGACACTGCTGCCATCATCAAGAAGTATGAGGGCCACAACGTCGACATCCTTACCTTCAACCAGTCCCGATACCCCAGAGTCTACAAGGACTCTCTCCTACCCGTCCCCAAGGATAATGATTCTCCCATCAACGAGTGGTACCCCCCTGGCCACGGTGATGTTTTCGAGTCTCTGTACAACTCTGGCATTCTCGACAAGCTCTTGGAGCGAGGCATCGAGATTGTCTTCCTGTCCAACGTCGATAACCTGGGCGCCGTTGTTGATCTCCGCATTCTGCAGCACATGATGGAGACCAACGCCGAGTACATCATGGAGTTGACCAACAAGACCAAGGCCGATGTCAAGGGTGGTACCATCATCGATTACGAGGGCTCTGTCCGTCTACTCGAAATTGCCCAGGTCCCCAAGGAGCATGTCAACGAGTTCAAGTCGATCAAGAAGTTCAAGTACTTCAACACCAACAACATCTGGCTCAACCTCAAGGCCATCAAGCGTGTGGTGGAGAATGATGAGCTCGAGATGGAGATTATCCCCAATGGCAAGACCATCCCCGGTGACAAGAAGGGCGAGTCCGACATCTCTATTGTCCAGCTTGAGACTGCTGTTGGTGCTGCCATCCGCCACTTCAACAACGCCCACGGTGTCAACGTTCCCCGCCGACGATTCTTGCCCGTCAAGACTTGCTCCGACCTGATGCTCGTCAAGTCCGATCTTTACACATTGAAGCACGGCCAGCTTCAAATGAGCGCCGCTCGCTTCGGTGATGCCCCCTTGATCAAGCTTGGTGGCGATTTCAAGAAGGTTTCGGACTTCCAGAAGCGAATCCCATCCATCCCTAAGGTGTTGGAGCTGGACCACCTCACCATCACTGGTGCCGTCAACCTCGGCCGCGGCGTGACGCTCAAGGGCACTGTTATTATTGTTGCGACAGAGGGAAGCACCATTGACATTCCTCCTGGATCAATCCTCGAGAACGTTGTCGTTCAGGGTAGCTTGCGCCTGCTTGAGCATTAAGGTGGTCCATTGGGGTTTGGTTGGTTGTGTTGCAGACTGGTTCTGGAGTTCACTCTATCACGATCTTTCTGAGTGGATGAAATGAATCATAAGTAATATATCATGAGGAGGAATGGAGACGGATGAACAAAGTCTCCAACTGACGGACAAGCGCCCAGGTTCAGCGGCGATTTGAATTTTGGGCAGGGAACTTGGAAGATACACTTTGAGTATGTACGTACTTGGCAAAACAGCAATAGCTCGCGACCTCTACATAGGTGCAGAGCACTTTTTAATTGAAAAGGACAATGACAATTCTCGCGAAATGAAGAAATTCCTGGCAATGCATCTGAGCATTCGATCGGCCCGTGATGTGACAAGCCGCCAAACAAATAAGCACTGGTAAAGTTTCTACAAAAGTTACGTCAACAAGCCAACTGGGGATGTACATGAAAGGGTGTTACATAAAACTTGAAGGAACTTAAAGGTCTGTAATATATTTAGGTAATATTATATAAATTAAATACCATTTGTTATAATTTACACACAATGATGCAAGGTATTAAAAAAGGGAAAGTATCGGAACTTTTACACGCCCGCTGAAGAAGTTCTCTACTGTAACAAGATCGGAGGCTCGGCGAAGTACGTATCCTCATTTCGGACCAGTCCTTAACCTTAACTTTTTAGTACGTACTTGCACTTAACCAGCCGCTCCGATTACGCTTCGAGCCGGTCAAACGTCGTCGTTAAACGCGCACATGACGACAACGTTGGGAAGTATTAAAGTTTTGAGTTTTTTTCTTCTCTCGCACTTTCTCGAATCATCGTCTCATGGGCGAAAAGTTAATTATTTTCGAGAGGTCGGGTGGCTGATGAGAATCGCATGGAGGCCCGAGAGGTGAAGGATGACAGTGTTCAAACAAAAGTGTGTTTGAAGTTGAGACGCGGGGTGAACGCCCTGAAGGGTCAGTGTCAGTGTCAAAGCCACTCCAAGGAGGCTGGGTGCTCAGGTGCAGATGCAACCAAGAGTGATTGTGTTTCTGTTGTTTGTCAACTTCGAAATGAAGACCTAGAATCGGGACAAGGTGCTTGGTGCTTTGAAATCAAAGGACCTGGATCGGCACTCATGATTCACGTCAATGAGGCATTTCCTCCAATTTCTAATGCCGGGCCGGGGTCGTGGATAGCCTGATAGCTACAACGTACTTTGCACTAAAAACAGTTGCCCATCTCCGTAAGGTTTGGATCCTATCCTGATGGAGGGGATATAATCCGGGGCGATGGTGCAGAGTCTCAAGGGGGAAAAAAGTCTAATTTTAGGACGTTCAGCATCCAACATATTGAACCGAATGCGCAGCCGGAGAACCAGTGTCTAGAAGAGCCCAAAAGGTCAGCATATGGGATAGGGGAAAGAAAAGCCGTCCCATGATAATAATATCGTGAACTCTTGGCGAACAGGAGAACAGTCTGTATCAGCCAAGACTATGGCTATCAAGTTGGTCCAGATAGTCTAACCCGGAGAAGGTAGCCCCGACGTTCCATTCCAACAAGCGGCAATGCACGTTTGCATATTGTGTGTGGGGTTGAGGGAGATTGTGTCAAAAGGGGACAGCGTTGTTAACTTGATGGTTAATGCGACGTTCGGCCCGGGCTTTGAGGCTTGATGAGCATGGCCAAAAGTTGGGGACCCCAGCCTGATTACTCTTTGGCTGTTGTGATGCCTGCAATCGATGGTTCCGTGGCCAGGAAGAGCTGTTGATCCTGGATAGCATGATAGATCGTCATGCATTGTCCTCGTGCCTTGACTTTTTCGATTCAACTTATACCGCACGTCTCTCAACCGGCGTTTCTGAGGATCGATGGTGCGGAAAGGCGAGACAGCTTTAGCCTACAATGCTGTGTGTTCAGACGTTTGTGAGTTAGTTAGGTCGGAAACACTCATAGGGCACATTACGCCCATAGTAACCAAAGCCAACGGCTGCAGAACCATAGCCGCTGATGGTCAACACATTTTGAGTAGTGTGGTGGCGCAGAGCATCCATGACCTGTTGTTCTTGCACAATTACCAGACACCACTGTGCTTCCCAAGCCTTTGTCTCATGAGTAAAGATGTTTCTGCATCAATCATGATGAGAATAGAAATCAGAGTTTCCCAACCATCCTTCAAACTTAAGCCACGAATGACAACGCCAACAAACATAAACATGGTGCCACAGAAACGGGACCGGTTGTCGAAGCATATCGGCATATGATACTAACCGTGCTACCCGTGGAAGGCTGGGGGCAGACACCATCTCGAGATAAGTTGTAGCCTCGGATCGATTTAGTCGAAAAGTGTGTCGTGCGTATGCCATTGCGTACTTGCCCTTCCTTCGAAGTTCATGGCATGAAGGCCATGCTAGGAAGCTCTGCCAAGTTTTTTAGTATGCATCAATATATTTTCTTGCTTCGCTTAAGTATGTACTCATGTGGAATGAAATAATATGATATTCTCGATCACCATAATTCGCCAAGCGTCTGGCAATCCGTTGGTGATACTTGCAGATGAAGAAAGTGTTGACTGTGTAAGTAGTCAAATCATGTCGGTTTGTTGTCAATATCTCAACTTTCAGCTACAGCAACAAGGCGATGGCGCACGCTACCAACGGGGGATTGATGCACCCCAATTTGCGGCTAGACGCAATTAGACGCAGTTCTGAGAGAAGACTACCAGCGGGCGATGCGCTACAGGCGCTGAGATGGCGATTTGTGATCGGTGTGGGTAGTCGCAGTGCATGATTCGACAATTGACAATTCCCAGAAGGCTAGAACGCCCCTTCTTCGATATTTCCAAGAAACTTATTGGAGTCATGGCAATAACTCCAAGTGCTTGCAGGGACTATCAACAGACCAAGGGGGCAAAGTCATTAAAGTGCTGCCCAATAAGGAAAGGTGCACGCACCAGGGACCAAGTTTCCAATAGCGGCAAGGATCCAGACCGCCGATGAGGCCTAGATGAATCAATAATTTAGCAGTCGGCTTGCTGAAAATTTCCTGGATGTCGACCACGACCGTTATGGGTAGGGGTTTGGTTGCTTCCACCGTCGCTTCCACCGTCGCTGGCTTCTCCTTATAGCCCTATGTTTATTGGCCATAATGGGTTGAAGAAGTTTGCTTGTGCTGTGAGTTGATAGACAGAATATGAGATCATGTCTTAATCCGTTAACTGTTTGTCTCTGTCATGTTTAACTTTTTGACAAGACATGGCAGAACCTACCGGATCAACACATAGCAGAACAAAGACACGGCTTCCTTGGCTAATCGCTTTATACCGGAAGCTTACGACGACAGCTTGTTTAAGGTGGTAACCTAAAACCATGGCGGCTATCGCTGCTAATAGGATGGGCAATAGGGTAGCTGGTCTTGCCCCAGAAAAGAGGTGCACCACTCCCGGTACACACCGGAGAGGCGCGGTTAAAAATGTGCTGGCTGATGTGAACACTTGCCAGTTGCCACTAAGACAAGGCTGACAAGAAACCCTGAAAAGGTCGGAGGTGCGGATCGAATTTGGTAACACAGCCAATAGTAGAGGAGAGATACGCATAGATCAACGGTCGAACCGTCGAGGGTTGACTCATGGTCAGATTACACCAGATTGTCCAGCTCGGTGATGAACAGTGGTGGAAAGAGACCGCCAAAGGCCAACAGCCAGCGATAATACTGTGATATGATCCAGCCGGGGGAGGAAGTCAAATTGTGATGGGTCGAGGTCGCATGTCGCTAAATTATGCTCGATGGGCGCGTGCCCACTCTGGCTGTCAGGCACAGCACTCCTAGAGGTTGTTAGTTGGTCCTGCAGGCGGCGGAAGTGAAGATCCTTGGAGAAACGGACTTATGACGCCCACAAAAAGCTTGGAGCATGAACTACAAAGAGCATAGCGCTGGCATGCAGGAAGAACGCTAGGGCGATATGGCTAATTTCCCCAGCAGGGATCAGACAAAGCCCGTTCTGGTTCGGGAATTGAAAGGGCATGGCTGGCCTGCCAGTGGATGGAATGTGATGATGAACCACGTAGCGAGATGGGCCAAGCAGCCAAGGAAAAGTGGCAAGGGTCTAGTGAACAGGAATATGGCTTTATCAGGCCAAGCCATTCTAACGACAGGGTACGGTACTGGAGCTCAACTGAGAACGGGGGATTGACCGTAGGCCATTGGAAGTGGGAAGTGAGAAGGGGGAATGGGCCATGGGCCATGGCCAGTCAGGTGGGAAAGAACCTGGGAAGGAACCTGGGAAGGGTCGGCAAGTGGACCGGGAAAGGAGGAACGGGAGGAAGAGGAAGAGGAAGGAGAGTCAGAGAGACAGGCTCTTTGACTTTCTCAGTTGAACCTGGGGGAACTCTATGGGAAGCTACGACAGAGCACAGGCAACTGTTTACTGCTCTCACTGCTCGGCTGCCGCCTTTGCGTAGAGAGTCGACACGCCCCTCCCCCCAGAATACAACGCACACCCCTTCGATAGTAGGTAGGTAGCCTGGTGGGAGGTCTCGTGGGATTAGGTTGTATTAGACTGGATTTAGGTGAATTACCTACCTACCTAGGTTGGCATCCATGGCGTTTGTATGTGCAGTATCTCCTTTACTACCTTTGATTGCTCTCTCAATATTGTCACTAGCTCAGAGTTCCCTTCATTATAATAAGCCGCCCTCCATCTCCGTAATTCTCCCTCTTTTTCCTTCTTCTCTATCAACGCCGTCTCTTAGTCAACTCACTACCTCGTTGTGCCTCTTCACTACATACTGTAAGTCGACTCACACCTGCTCTTGGGCCTTTCCTTCTATACGAACATCCACATCTACACGCTATCTATTTCCTTTGGACTTGAAAGCGTCACGTAAGTGAAAGAGAGTTGGGGGTAATGGCAGCGAAAGGATATTCACTGGCACCTGCTGTCACTGGCAGTGGCATTGCCAGCTTCAGGCAACTGCCATTGATTCAGTCACTCGACATCATGAATACTTCCTCTCTGCCTAGAGTTCTTGTTTACATCAACTCGCGCTATTCAACTTCTCTTATCAACGACGATATCACAACATCATCGCTCGCACTATTGCTCATAGTCTCATTATCATTCTCGCTTTATCGAAATAAGTCAGACCGAACATCGACTAACTTTGATTGCTAGTAATACCCAGTCATTCTTTCAATCACACAAAACTCACCAACCTTCAAAATGAAGTACACTATCGCTACCATTGCTGCCTTCGCCTCCGTGGCCCTGGCCAAGCCTGCTTTCCTCAACACCGACTTCTCTCTTACCGAGGGCAAGCCCTACACCATCCGCTACTCTGGCTGTGACGATGGCTGCACCATCATTCTCCAGAACGGACCTTCTGACGACCTCAGCGATTACAAGACCCTGACCGGTATGTTTCTAACCTGACACAATCATTATATCTTCACCATACTGACATGCAACAGCTTCTGCCGATGGTGACTCTTTCACCTTCACTCCTTCTGAGCTCCCCACCGACACATACAACTTCAAGATCACCGACAAGGCCGGTGAGATCAACTACAGCTCTCAGTTCGAGTACCAGGGTTCTTACGCCGCTCCCTCTGTCACCAAGTCTGCTACCGCCACCAAGTCTGCTGTTGTTACCTCCGCTGTTACCACCGAGGAGGCTACCACTCTTGCCAGCGTCACCAAGCCCGCTACCACCCTCGAGGAGACCACCACCGTTGCTAAGCCCATCATCCCCACCCACGCTCCCTCCAAGAACGCTACTGTCACCCCCATCGCCACTCCTTCCAAGACTGGCGGTGCTGGCGGCGAGACTGGCGTCCCCAGTGTCCCCGAGAGCGGTGCTGCTCGCATGACCTCTTCTCTGGCCCTGATTGCCGGTGCCGTCATGGCCATGGTTTACCTCAACTAAGTTTTTGCTTCGGTTGCGATATGGACATGATATTAATGCACGCATTCACTGGATGAAGAAAGCGCGGTTTGATGAGATTCAAGTTTCAGGTGTATAATTCTACTTTAATGATGGCCTCTGTTTTATTCTTTTCCGGTTACCCCCTATAAGGCGTCACGGCTGTATCCACGGATGAAGCTTGCGTTGGCTTATCTGGGAGGGATGAAAGCCAGGTATTTAGAAATCTATTAGACTCAAAAGATGGTCTACCTTTTCCACAATCTTGTTTCACTCATAGTGACTGTAATCGTACAATCGACACTTTGCCAAGTGTATCACATTCCTCAGTAACTTGGCAAATGCTAATAAGGTTTCTTCCGTTCATGGCACTTGTAAATCTCCATATAAAAGCTTCCTTTACCCTTCATTCAAACTCTGATGTCATGCCTTGATTGTATGTGGAGAAGAAACACTTTGATTGTGCCTTTTCTCTCACTCCGAGATCCGTTCAGTTCATCCCAATTGCCAATCTAATTTCCCACATCCAGGGATCTCTGACCAACGACATACCCCACCCGCATGCAGGTTCCCGGTCTGATCTGCCATCCCATGCCTCACGGCCTAATTCCTGTTTCAGAGTATCTTTCCACCGGGAGGAACTCCCCCAATTGATCCTTGAGCCGGCGGGCATGCAACCTTGTGTGTAGGGGTTGTTCCCTGCTATAACGATTCATGATATCAGTGGGCATTTTGCATCCTGCATTTTTGCCTGTGCGTGAGACATGTTCGTCAAGGGACTGTATGAAAGAATTACCGCACTTTTATGGTTCTTTTGACATTTGACTAGTCACTCCGATGAATACCAAGATGAGTTGAAAATAGTGATTCAAATGGACGTCCGACATCCTGAGGATTGCTATAATCCCATCCGATCATGATGTTTACACAACGCCCCTTCAAGAATTTGTCCGAAACTCGTTGCACGCCGGTAATTAAACGCTCGTTACAGGGTTCTTCCAGCATTGGCAAACTGCTTACCGACAAGACAAAGAAATACGTATTTATGTACATGTTGTGTGTCATGGACAAACATGCCTCGGGATTGCCAGTGCTGATCGTTCCCTTGTTGTTCTAACGGCCTTGTGTTACATTTCACAGGTATGGATGGAGAATGGATAATAGCCTGCAGACCAGTTTACAGTTTCAAAGAGTTTTCTTCCTGCTGTAACCTATCTGATCTCATCTAAATGATCTGACTGGGTGCACCCCCTTGCGTCAGAAAACATTCTTGTTCTTTTGTGGCTGTGCCGACCCTGTCTTTCTTTAAGTCAACGCCGAAACAGAAACATAAACACAAAAAGAAAGAATGCTGTTTTGCAGGACAAAGCAATGAAAATAGTCAAGGCACGAAGTGGATATGTCAACGCTGAACGCCTTACTATGCGTGCATGAGTTCAGATGAAAAGGAAGAGGGAAGATCCTATCCATGAAACGCACAACGGTTAAACATGTGGTAAACAATATAACAACAGCATCTGTCAATGGGTGAGGGGAACTGCCGGCTGGGAAATCAACAAGGACCATTCATGTCTCAGGGAGATTCCTCGATGCTGCTTATCTTGAAACAATTGGCAAGGGAAGTAAATAAAAATCCTTTTTGGTTGAAATCATCCCTGTCGCGGAATAATTCCCATTTTGGCGACGAGGGGACTGGTTGCAATGTCAGCCCACGCTCCAATGCCACAAAGTCCTTGGCCGTCTTGTGCAATGGTGAAGTTGTTTGAGTACATCCACACAGTCTCACTCATGTCGTCAGAGGCACGGCCGCTCACCACGTGTGAGCTAGGACCGGAGACCGGCTCCGAGGGCTGGGTATCCTGGCGTTCCAAATGGAACATGTTGGACGCCGTGAGGTCGGTGACGGAAGGGGTGGAGACCGGAACGGAGACGGAGGTCGGGGCGGGGCAGGTGATTTCGGAGGCGACGGAAGGGTTGATGATGGTCCAGTCGTCCATGGAGACATCGTCAGCTTCTGCGTAAGAAGACCTGATGGCTGCAGTGCCTTCGAGGATGGTGGATGCTGAAATGTTGGCAGAGGGAGGAGCAGGATGGTCGTAGTTGTCTTTGTCCATGACTTGATCAAATGAATAGAAGTTGACGAGAGGAGCGTCGTGGTGTTCGGCAAAGATAGATGAGGTGAGGGACAATGATGAATCCGAGTTACTCTCGACGTATTCAGTAAAATCCATGGTGATTAAATGTGTAAATATCTCTAAATCGAGTTTAAACAGGAGAACGCCTGCGATTTTCCTGAAGATATGTCTGTGTGTCTGATGTAATGCAATGTTGCTCTACGTGCTCGCAATGATTCAGGTTTGTGTCGGTGGCCAGTAACACACAACTGCTGTAGTTGGTTCGCCCAAGGCAAAGTGCCGCGCAGCGTGTAGAGCTGAGGTTTGAACCGAGTATTTGGGTTGGTTGATCTGTAATAATTGTGGTTTAAATCGCTGACCCGAGGAAATGGGTGAGGCCGGAGCCTTATGAACTTTCGAGCACATTGCTACAACACCACGAACCAGACACTGCATTAGCCTGGTACCAAACACCATCAATTCGTCAATCGCACCAAATGCCATCGTCGGTGTGCTGGCGTATCCCCTTGCTTGTTGGTACATCCATCGACCACGGTCTAGATCAAACAGCCCTAAATAATCGATACGCAGAGACTAAGCTTAATTCTCGTAGTGACACATGCAACCGCCCAGGAACTCACCAGAAACTCTCATAATCTTGTCTTGGAAGTGGTGCCATTCATTCATAGCAGAGCCTCCTCTAACCCATTTAGCCTTAGACGAGAACTGTTGATTACCAGTTGAGGCTGATCGCCTCACTTCTCTTGACGCCCGATTAGAGAGACGACTGTTTTAGGAAAGGGGGAACTTGATGAGTTGGAGAGACATCGAACGACATCAGTCCTCGTGACCGTTAAGATATGTGTCTCAAGCCTTATAGGGCGTAAAGAGGATGACGACGACGGTTCCATTTCAGGTAGTTCCAACACCTTAGTCGCCCAATCCTCGTATACCCAAATCAGTTATGGTGTAATCCTCTTCTTTTCTTACTTGGTGTAGTACAGAGCATACGTCGTCTGTACAGGTCCCTGGTTTAGTGACGTCGATACTGGAGAGTGACGTGGTGACAGTCTCACCAATGAGGGTTGCATGATAGATCCGCCATTGGCGAATGATATGAGAGGCATTCTGTTTGAGATTCTTTCGCCATCTCGTAGACCACCTTGTCGGAATAGACACTAGCCGACAAAGCTGGATCTTGTCGAACCGAAATCTTCTAACCTATGAACTCAGTACGCAAGAGTGCAATTGATTTCACTACGTAAATTCGGCACTGTAGAATTGGAAACAAGGTGACTCACTCCCGATATTTTTGACGTAACGCACCAATAGTATAGCCCGGTAGGCCCCTGATACGGCGTTTCTTCAAAAGAGAGAACAAGACGACCAAGTCTTCTTGTATGCTGATTGACATGTACCGCGGGCCCAGCCATGTTTTTCAGATTTGAGACCGAGTTCCCGTAACCGAACATGGGCTGCGACCTTGTTATTAGCTTGTGTGGTATCTATTGAAGGATATATTAGAAGTATTGTCTCTGGCGCTAGTGGTTTGAGCAAGAGTACTGCTGCCATGCAAAACCCTTTCTAAGAGGGAAGTAACTCGTTTACGTCTGACGTTGTGTGCGATCGTTGTCGACGAGGAGTTCGCGAGGATGCTGATAGTGAACTCATTCATACGGAGATACGGGGAGGTAATGTCGTTGTTGTAAAGTGATAAAATCCCTAAAACTGGATAGCAAGCAGAGTGGAGGAAGTAAACTGGTCTTAGAAGGCAGAGGTAGATATACGTTTATTGAAGTACGGTTCAGTCCTTCCTCCGATACCTTAGTAGGTACTATGTAGGTAGGTACCCAGTTAATATCGGCATTCCAACGGAGAAAAGTAGGAAAGAACAAAACTGTGCTAAAATATATGAGGCAGTCCCTACCTACTTACCTACCTAGTTATGAACTCCTTCCCTTGAATATGCTCGTCAAGCACTCAGCTCCTTTGCAGTTCGCACATGTAATAAAGAAACAAAACAAAGCAGGCTAATCTTTATGTATGCTATAATGTCCCAATTCCTTCAGGTAGGTTACCTAGTATTTATGTATTCAACTTTGACCAAAATCCGTACTAGTCGAAACAGACTGACTGTTACGCTCTCTTCTTTCAGCTTCCATATTGGCTGTCATGCTGCCCTTGCGCCGGAGACCAGGGGCCTTTAGCTTTCTTACAACCTGATATGACCTGTCGAGCTCATTCTCGACGGCACATCTAATTCGCAGGGCGGCCACAGCAGGCCAGACGCTCCTTTCGCCTCGAAGAACCCAATAGTTGAGGGTTTCTCTGGTAGGTGTCTCCAGCAATCGCACAAAATCTCCAGCTGTCACTTCCGGGACGAGGACCATGGAAGCGGCAGGGACTTGCTCGTCGACGAGGAAGCGACGGATACCGGTTGGTAGCAGATTCAGAGTATCCAGTTGGCTGAGGCGGTGTCTTATTTCCAACCCAACCATGCGTACTAGAAATGCGGATACTTGCGTTGTCTTGCTTCGCGACTCAACCAGAGATGGACCATGCATGTCGGACTGAATAAAGGGGATGAGGTACGGTCGAGCTTGACTGACGATGAAGTGGTTGACGTTGAATAGCTCAGCAATGCGCCGTAAAGGTGAGTCCCGGTCCGAGTATGATGTGTGAGTCCAGTGTCGAAAATCGATTGTGTTGGCCGGTGCCCATGGCACAATGTTACCGTGGGCATCTTTGCAGAGCATGGTCGTCTTACGATGGCCATAGAGAGAGGGTGATGAAGCATTTGACGCCACAGCAGCTGTCCAAATTAACTGGTACAAGTTAGCAGGTATGGAAAATGACAGTCGTCGCGAACATACCACATTAGGTGCAGTGAGATAGTTGAGCAGCGTCGGTACTCCTCCCTGGCCTTCTGTCGCAACTGTGATGTTTAACACCCGTTTGCTTCGATTATACGCCTCCTCAAACGTGAGATCTCCCACATTGGCCCTCACGCACTCTTCCAGGACAGTTACATCAAGGAAGTAACCTTCTTTAGAAAAGCGTCTAATTCTCCGTAGCAAAGTCGCCCACCTTGACCGGAAAGCTCCAATAGTCGAAAGTTCACCATTTTCATGTCCATTCTTTGGTGAAAAGGCTGAAAGATCGATACCATCGCCACTCAAAACTGCTGGCAGCTCATCTTCGGTGTGAATTGCGACAAGAGCAGCAATCAAGGCGCCTGTGGCCGTACCGGTGATTATACGTGGAAGTAGCCCGCGCAAGAAGAGAGCCTTTACAACGCCTAGATGACACATGCCAAATATGGCACCGCCTTGGAGGACGAGGGTGCTTCTTCCGAAAGCTTGCCTTGTATCATGAATACAGTCCAACTTCATCTGCGTCGTCAACGATGGTCCAGCACCATGTACAGCCGAGGGAGTTGTAGGAAGGGTGCGGATATCCTCTACTGCTTCAGCAATCTGTGTTATGTATTCCTCTATAAGATACTTGGTCCCGGCAAATGATCTGTTGTAGAGCTTCGGTGAGGTGATGTTTCCTAGGTTTCGAACGAGGCCGGATCTCAATAGGTTAACAAGCTGCTGAAAGTTGCCATCTTCTCGTGCAGTCGCAAGAGAGTCTAGACGTTCTGCAATAAGCCTCCAGTCGTAGTATTTGGACGCTGGGTTGTTTCTCCTATGATGGCGTTAGCCGAATTCGTCTTATTAGAGGACTATATCGTAAGTAGACGTGCCATAAATCGAGGCCGAGGAGGTTATCGAGATGTAATGCAGCTTCTTCCCAATCCTCAAAGGCCTCAGCTGTTCTCAATAATTCCAGCCACAACTCAACGGGGCTTTTGCGCGTGTACCAGGTTCGAAGCTTCTGCAACGGCATAGTTAGAAACGACAACGTCGCGCGTTACTTGTGAGAAGAATAGACAGGTTACCCTTTGCCAGAAGCCGGCCACGTCCACGACGACACCCCAGACGGTGACTACCACCCCCATGATCGCGTTACCGAGGGCCGATCGCAAGCACAAGCACAAATCACCATTTGTAGGAGGCCGGCTAGTTTCGTGGTTTGCGACAAGATCACACGCGACCAATGAGATGGGCCATGAACTCTAGATCTGGCACCACAGATAGAACCGGTAAGGAGGCTTGTTCTAGGGGTTTAGGTTATATGGTTAAAAAGACAAAACGGTATTTGATAGGATATGTAAAGTAGAGGTGAGGTTGTTGAGTTTCCTGGAACTCCCCGCAGGTGTCCAACAAAGTAAGGTAGGTAGGGATAGGTACAGTAGCGACGCTTTACGCTAAATCGGCATGTGATTGCCAATGAGATCACCAGTTTTCAGACATGGAAGCCCGGAGATTGAGCCACACTCACATGCTATATAATGGATACAATAAAGGAGTCTTTAATGAGCGTTGGATAAATAAGAATACTCGCTTAGCTGCAGCTCACTATCTTTCGTTTAAGCATATGCAAGCACAGAAGATTGAGTTCGACGAATATGGCTTCGTCCCGTACCGATGCCGATAGGTTTTGGAGTTAAATAAAAGCCGTAGTAGACTATTTTAGTACGGCCATCTGCTTCGAAAGCCAGATTGATATTTTGAAAGAACACCATATTATACAGCAATAACCACCATTGCTTGCTATGCAACCATCCTCTGGTTGACTTTTCTAGAATCCCCAGAACTTCCAGTCTAATCGTCGTCATCGTCAATGACATTCCTTCTGCGGGCTCTCCCTGCCACTCCCACGTCGCTACCCCCATCTTCGCTACGATCCCTCGTCCTCTGCCGTTTAGAGCGTGGCTTCTCGTCTTCGTCGTCGTCGAGAATCTCCTCTTCATCATCGTCATCGGCTCCGCTTTCCTCTGCTTCGTCGTCGCTGTTAACAATGAAGCCGTCGTCGAGAGAGTAGCCTTCGTGTCGACCAACAGCATCCTCGAGCTCCTCATCAGACTCTTCGTCTCGTCGCCTTCTGGGCTTGCCAGCACCGGGCGCACCGCGTTTGCGAGAGCCTGCTGCACCTCGTCGGCCTCCTTCGAGGTCGCCGATGGACAAACCTCCACGCGCAGCAGAAGTTCGACCGTAGCCACCGTCCATCTTCGCAGCAGCGTTCTCACGTCGTCGCTGAGCCTTCATCCTCTCCTTCTCAGCCAGCTCGGCCTGCTTCTTCTGAAGTTCGGGGTCGCGGGTAGTCTTGATGATCATGTCTGTCGCATTCGCGGGCTTGCTGGCACTTGCAATTTGCTCAGCAAGGATAGAGAGCGCATCGTCCCCAACAGATTTGTTGGGTCGAACGTTGTACTGCTCTGTGATATGTCCGACCGTCATGAGGATGTTGCTGTGTAGCTCGGCGGCAGCGGCGTAGTAGTGGCCATCGTGAGCTTCGTTGTAAGGCTTCTCTGGGGGCGGCGCGAGCTCCTTTCTTTGAATTTCGTAATGCTCTCCGCCAACAGAAATCGTCACCGATCCGTCACTCCAGTGGAAGACGTTGGTGTTGCTTTTGAGTTCGTCTGTACTATGGTCTCTTCGAACTCGGGCGACGTGTTTGGGATGTTCGGCTTTGGCATTCTCCATGTCGAATTCACTAGGTTCGAAGGTGTCGGGATTGTATTCTTGGGGCATGATCTTCAGAAACTTGGGAATTCGGAGAACTCGCAGCTGAATAACCAACGTCAGTGCCTCGTACGTTGCGCGAAGCTAGCAGAACAGAAACACATACCGCGCCATCTTTAGGCTTAGGAATTCGATGTCGATAAGTCTTGATATTGAGAACAACCCGATCTTTGGTTTGAACTTGTGCTTGATCGTCCTCATCGTCGCGATCGCGATATCGCGCGTAGCTGTCTCCTTCTGGGTCCGAGGCAAGCTCGTCGTCCTCATGGACCGGTTCCTTGGTTGGTACAATATCATCGTCGCCATCATCACCGAAGAGGTCATCGCCACCCTCGTCGATCTGATCAATTGGTTCGTCTGAGTCGGACATGGTGAAGATTGAAGATTGTGTGTTGAAGGAAAAGGTAGGTGGATAGAGTTGAGAATTAAATGTGAACGAAACGGGTTGACATTGGCGCGCAAACCGAGCGAGTGTCTGCAGTCCAGTCGCGAGGCTTTGACTTTCCCGTTCAACTGCTTCTAGGCCTGAGGTTGATTGAGCACCAGCCACGCAGCCACTTTGTCGTTTTTACAGCCACAGCCACAGCTCAACACAGTACAACCCAACGCACTATCTATTGGGTACTGTACTGCCACAGATGAGATGAGAAGAGATGGGTTTTGTTGGTCTCCTCTATTAGACTGTTGCAGGTCAGTGGAGAAAGGGAAACGAAGGATCAAGCGCGCTGCAGCACCAGGAGTGGCACTTTTCTGTGAGGTGCTGGTCTCTTGAACTCTGAAACAGGCATGGTGCGCCACGCGCTTCAGGTGACATGTGAGCACTGGACCAGTTACAGCGCAGCGCAGGCAGAGAGCAGCAGGGAGCATGCCCAGGACTTCTGGAGACGGGAGACTGGAGCGGACGATGCGCTAGCGTGTGGCGCTCTTCTCGAAAGTTACGGGGTACTTAGCCGCTATTCATCACCCAAATTCCCAAATCCTACCAAGCCCAAGCCCAAGCCTCGACACCGACACCTCAAAAACCCCTTTCTCAAAACGACACCAGCTCCTGATACTGGATCTGATATTGATCCTCACAACAACAACAAGCGGCTTCATTCAAAGGCCAAGAGGATAGTGAAGAAGGCAGAAGCAACGAGAGCACCCGAATAACGACTTGTCCAACCTCAGGGAGCCCCTCGCCCGAGTCCTTCTCTATCGTCTATCGCATATCGTCTATCGCCTCTCACTCACCATTTCACCCCGCCTTTCTTTTCCAAGTCAAGTCAACCATGTCGAACCTCTTTTCCGGCATGTGAGTACCAAGCCATCATATTCTATTCTTGTTCTTTTCCTTTTCCCTCTCGTTGTTCTGTGCCAGTGCAACATTCCTCCCCAGTTCATTGATGATTCCTTGCTACATTCAACTCTCAAGCCACTGGCCAAGTATTTCGAGAGTTTGCTTGAAATGGATGTACACATTACACACGACCAAACTCTCATCTACTCCCCCATGTGGTTCGGTTCCCCTAGTACCACATCCAAGACATGTCTCCCCAAGGTCGTCAAAGGGCTGTTGAAGACATTCATCTTACACTTCTGCAACCTCTTGCGAGGAATGATTGCCCTCTTCTAGCGCCCTTATCACGATAAACCCAACTCTCTTCAATATCATGAATAGCATCTCAATCATATATCATCCCTAACCTTGCCCCTTCCCCGTCCTCTCCCTTCCCTTGCAAGAACGCCACGCATGGCGCTTTTCTGCAGCTGTCACGGGCGGACCTAGCAATGTTTCAACTAACTGCACCTATCTAAGCATAGTGTGCTGTCATGTTAATTCTTTCTCTTTTCTGCCCTCTCTGTCAATCGATCAATCTTGACTCTGCTCTATTCTCTCATCTTTATTTACCTTTTACTGATAAATCACCATCAGTAACGCTCGTTTCCGAGGAGGTAAACCCTCTTCTGGTTCTCAAAAGAGCCCAACTGGTTCTACCGCCAGCCAGCCTCCCCCTCCAGAGCTGCCCAGAGAAGGGAGCCAATCTTCGGCTACTTTGGCCCCCAAGGTTCCTCCTCTGCCAAACTCCCCTTCGCTTGCTCAGACCATTGGCATGGACGACTCCAGTGGCGTTATGAGCGGCGACGAACTCATCAACTCCTATCACCTTCCACGACCTCTTCCTCTGTGGCTCAACGCCCAGTACGCCAAGCACATCGTTAAGGGTAATTTTATGACATTGAGTGCTCGGCCCAAGACTGTCGAGCAAGGCGAGTGGATTGCTCATCAAGGTAATATCCCTCAATATCAAGCAACTTCTTATACATACATATACTGACATCGCCTAGTCGTTGAGCATTATCGCAATCTATGGAACTTTGTCCGAGTTATTCACGAGAAGGAGGATGATGGTACAGCTGTCTGCAACTCAACTAGCTGCCCGCGCATGTCGGCTGGAGCGTAAGTAACATGAACTCATCCTTTATAGCCCATGCATATACTTACCCCCCGCTAGGAACCACTCCTTTACTTGGCTCAACCGAAACAGAGAGCCTGTTGAGCTCCCTGCCTCTGAGTACATGACTCTTATGCAGCGATGGATCTCTGGCAAGATCGACGACACTAACATCTTCCCAACTGACCCCTCTGGTGTCTCGTACGCCCACAACCCCTCCATCACCACCACACCTTTGTCCCAGCTCTCAAACCCCGGTGAGCCTGAGTACATCGGAAAGCGTTCAGGTTTCCCAGATAAGTTCGTCGACATCTGTCAGATGATCTTCCGCCAAATGTTCCGAGTCTACGCTCACCTTTACTGGGCTCACTTCTCCGAGCCTTTCTACCACCTCAACCTCGAGAAGCAACTCAACAGTTGCTTCTCTCACTTCGTCCTGACCGCTACCGCCCTGGATATGCTCAAGCCCGCTGAGCTGGAGCCCATGCAGCCATTGATCGATCTTTGGGCTGCCAACGGAACCTTCCCTCCCGAGTCCAAGGCATACGAGTATTCCAACATCCGAGCCGGCGAACGACTCCTGCAGCTCTCCACTGCCCCCCAATAAGCGCTGACGGATGCCGATGTGGCTAAGACGTGTAGCGTGACACAAAAGGCGGAGAGAACAGGGTTTCCGCTTACTCCACGGATGGGTTTCAAATGTATACAATCTGGAAGGCATTTATTGAGTCTGGCGTCAAAGGATTGATCAGCCAGACACGATAATCGAAGGAGACACGATAAAGCATATTCCTGTAGTGACAAAGAACTGCAGACTGGAGTTTTAGGGCCTCGACCAAGGTGCTTCGTAAGGGAGTTGATGGCAATTGGGGGGGGGGGGACCAAAGACCGAGGGCATACACACGCGAACTGGTGACTTTGCGGTTTTTGTATCAAACTGAGGCTTGTTTCTAGTTCCCCAAACACGGATAGATTTCCAAAATTGGAACATTATTGACGTAAAAGCCTGAATAACATGATCCCCGCTGTCCACATCATAAACCTCCGCTGGTACATTACAAGATAGACACTCAAGTCAACCAATGCTTTATTCAGCCGACACCTCAGCCAGACTTTGTTTTCTTATTGCACTGCGCACTCACCTCGCTGATTTTGTATTCTACGATAATAGGACGGTCTTCCTTAACGATGAATCTGCCCGAGCCAACATAGACCTTGTCCTGCAAGAGTTTCAGACCAGGGGCATCAGTCTCGAACCTAATCTGTATAACTAGAACTGTCAGTATTTATTCTGTCAATATTGTCATATCAACTCTAGCCATGCCGAGCAGGGTGATAACAGGGCGACATTCGTGCTCATGGAAGAACACAACTCACAGGCGTTTCCAAACCCCGTCGTTGTGGCATTTGCATCTCCTCGGATTACCTTCCCCTCATCCCCCTCCATATCTACGACGCCATTGTAACTGAAGCGTAGCATAGCGCCTGATATATCACGAGCAACGCTCGAAACTTCAAGCTTGACCCATTGCCCGTCCGGGTCACGCCGTAGAAAGTCGCTACCCTGAATGAATGTTGCCTTGAGAGGAGGTTCGTAGCCGGGTTCAGAGACAAGCGTGCCCACGTCCGGAATGAAAGGGATGTTGAGAAGGTTGGAACTTATGATGAGAGGATCATTGATGGCGATCTACCAATAAAAGTGTCAGTGGTTTCCAACTACTTTAAAGACAGTTATATGGGTAGAGAAATGTGGCATCTAGTATTATAGATGAAACAGCTCCCGAGTAAAGTTTCCGCAGAGCTGAATAGAGAGACACACAGGGGGTATAGCAAACTGCTATGTCGACATACTTGCGCTGTAAAAGCAGGGATAAGTATAGGGAAGTTAGTCAACTTCATGTCGAAAATGGCCCTGTTGAATGTGAAGTATCGTTCTTCTCACAGACAAGAAGCTGAAGAGTTGGCCACAGGCCTTTCTATACCTTTGGCCAAGTTCCACTTCATGTTCCGAGACGAGAATGAACGCATATGCACACGAAAACAGTGCAGCGAGGATATGCACCTCTCGTCTTGTATCGTATATGCATTCCCCAAGTCCACGGCAGAGGAATTGTGTGTGGCGGCCATACACTGACTGAGTGAATTACGTGCGAGTCTTGACATTTCGACTCGTAGCACACGTTGTAGTATTGCCCTCCCTGTACGAAGAGTATCTACCGAACCAGATTTGCTGCCCAGTGATAAGCCTCTTTTCCCTGTGCGACTTGGAGACATAGATACTCTATGGGGTTCTTAGGGCGACGGTTAAGAGAGTACAAGACACACCAGAATGTGGAGTACCTAGGGGAGAAAGACACAAACGACCTGATAAGGGACACAGAAGCATACCAGGCGATACTTGAGATCTAGATAGCGATGGGGGAACCTGATCTCAGATGGTGTACGATCAGACCGCATCGCCAACGATGGTGGATAAAGGCACCGTGGCATCGTTGCTGGTTTGGCCGTGACTGAAACCGAGTCCGTGGCATCGAACACTCTAAGATAACTTGACAGAAACAGGTTGTAGAACGCACAATCGCGAGTGATGTATGCCCGGAGTACCAGTTACTAGTGAAACATCGTTCGCGGCGCAATGCCACCCAAGTTCAGCTCTTGAATACGCCGGGCTTCTTCCTCGTAAGACTGACCAAACGTGAACGTTCGCTTTATCATGCTGGACTATCCCATGTTGTCATTGGATTGGTGACGGCGACATGGTGTTGTGTTTCGTACGTTGTATATCTGCATTGAAGCTCTTCAATAATCACTGGTCAGGTCTTGGCGACACGGTCCCTCCACCACATTGATGATTTTCATCGTTGAGTAAACGAATTTGTTGCGCCATCAGGTTTGAAGGCCGGAAGCTATGACGAAGCATGTTAAAATAGCCACGATTCTGGTGACGAAACCTAGCTATGTGTGAAAGAACGAATATGCCATTTACCCTGGAGTAACGATATACTCCTTTGGCGTCCAGAACTGCACCTGTCAGATCACTACTTCGACGTCAAGAAAGATCCCGCTGAACGAGAATTTGTTTCAATATCGGAGCCGTCCTCCGTTTCATCCCGCCTTGCTGGGTACCCCCCGCTTACTCGCTCTAGAAAACTTAGAAAACGTTGACGTACCCTCAGCTCGAAGCCACTTGTTTCAAATACACATCTTGGTGTGAGATCGAGTGGCTAACAAGCTCTTCCCAGCTATTTAGAACCCTGACAGATGTGGCAAAGTATACTCACCGCCAGATCTTTCTTGCGATAGCCAGGGTTGGAAGAGCTGATCTGTTGTGGACAACAGTCGTCATGGTTGAAACCCAAGATCACAGTCAAGCCTTCTCAATGCAAGCGTTTCATTATCAGAAAGCTTTGCAGAGTAACGCCACTAGGTTTCCGGGGGCATCGGGTAGCATGACAGGACCAGGCCGATGCCGATGGCACCTTGATTGTATTCTCTCACTGAGTGTTCGAAGTGATGCTGATGGTCCCGGCAAAGGAAGCCCGTACACGGTATATTTTCATCGAATATACCCTTAAATAACACATTGGTATGGTACTGACCAATCTGCAATGTACAATGTTAAAAATAGTCAAGAGAATTGCTCATCTGCAGGTGTGACTTGATCTAAAGCAACCTGCGGATGATATCATGTATTGCTGTTTTACGAACCGGGCTTACATGCTTGACTAATGCACGCTGCCGTGTTTAAGAAGCAAAGTTTCAGAGTTGGCCTGGATACTCGTTGCTATCAACGCCTTGACTTCAAGCAATTGATACTCTCGAGATGCAAATGATACCTCAGCCTCGCAAAATACGCTTGATCGGGATCTTAATTGCACTTGCAAGACGAGGCTAGTCCATATAGAGACATCTCGGTATGTTTCGTCCTCCAGAAGGGAACATAGTATTTTCTGGTTCCAAGACGTTGTGAGCGTCATCGCTGATCTTCGGCTGCGACATGCCTGTCCCACGATGACATTTCCAGGTGACCAAGATTTCGTGGCATCGGCGGAATCATCCCAGAATGTCGCATGTGCCAACTCTCAATTCGTCTTAGATCATATCCGTAGTGTGAAGCGTTTTATGATGTGGTCGCTATCATGGTTTCAGATGTTGAAATAAGAGGTGGGGATTATAGACGCGGGATCAAATGTGTGTCGTAATTCATTCGTCTTTTCAGAAAGTCCCCAGCCACACAGCCTTGTAAATGCGTAACACATTGATCGAGGCTGGTTTCTTTCAAGAGCTCAGATGCTTGCTTGGAAATAGCAATTTCCAAGGGAGTGGATCGCTATGCTAAATCTCAGAATGAGAGCGCGGACCCAAACTTGGACAGGGATTCCTAGACCGCATATTCGGGAGGCACGTTTTGCCTCAACGACGCCATGAGAACGAAAAAGACTCGCAGGTTAGTCGTCAATCTTTTTTGTCGCGTGCTGGAGTGCGCGCAAGATCCGGTTATTTCTTGGAATAGTTTAAGGTAAGCCGATGTGTAGTAATCAAGCGCAACATGGTAACTCCTAGCATAGCGAGCTCCATGCGACGAGATCCTCATGTCTAAATGAGAGGCGATCAGGGACTACCTGGGATCAAGGATCGAGGAAAACCGTCGGCTTGAGCTTGCCGTTGATTAAGGTAAAATTCCATAGAAGCTTCGTCATAGCAGGCACCCAAATTTGGATATCTCTCGACTTTCTGGCATACGGCACACTGTATGAATAGAGCAAGGCTTGAATCAATGTTACAATGTTAGCAGTGGAACTGAACGGCATGTGCTATCTGAAACTGACAGCTGGATTCGGCGAGGTCTTCCGCTGTCATGGGGGCTAGAGCATATGTCCGAGTATCGCAGTCCATCTTTCGAGTCATAATAGCGGTATCCGCTGCTCACCAATGGACTGTTAAGACAGCTGGGCAATGACATTGGGCGGTCTTCATATCGGTTTCATGTCGGAATTGGCAAGTAATGGCCCTAGTGCTGTGATGAGAAGGCCATTCAGAGTCGCAGCAGACCCTGTCTTATTGATCCTGTCTGCCTCGAAAGGTGATGAGGCTCTTGGGATGGCCGAGACGCACGTCTTGGGGACCACACATGGGGTTTGAGATGTTCCGAGTCGATGAGGATACACTGCATAGCCCACTTGGGCCATGGATAACCGAAACTGGCTAAAGTGTATGCACCATTGCACGGAGAGGAAGCCTGATTGCTTGGATAGGCAGTTTATGGGCGCAGGCCAAGCAAGGTCAGCATTTTGGGCGAATGAAGCACCAGAGACCTCTCGCCCTATTCAAACGATTGGATATCGTGACAGATTGGGCAGTTTTGGATAGCGCCGCTCGTCTACCCAACCTGACCCTCCCGGAATATGGTCCGAAAGTCCATGATAGCGACAAAAAATAGTCGTACACTTGATACGAACTGATAGAGGCCGTAAGAGATGCTCAGACTTATGGGTATGACGGCTGGTAGACTGCAATCTTGCCATGAGTTTGGCAGGGTTGAAAAAAGCTTTGAGGAACAACCGAAAAGATATGTCAGTGCCATAAAGAAGCAAATCGAGTTCTGGAAGGCACCTTATCGGAGTCGATTCGCTTCAGAGTCTTGTCTGTGGGATTTTCTTCCACGTAAGAAAGGGTCCTTGAGTTCGAGGCATGGGTCTGAGTGCACGCCGAGCTCATGGTGTTTGAACCATAGAGCAGCCAGAGCCATGACGCTAAAGCATCTGGGATCTGTCAAAGAGTAAGTCAGCAGGGTATGATGGACCAAGGAGTCTACCATTTTTTCCTGCTCAACTAGGGAGAAGACGCGCACGCGTAACACACCGACAAAACAAATTGCTCAAAAGAGAAGCACCACGAGCGACCCATTATGCGACCATGAAGCACAGTGGATACATGATATCAGGCTCAGGAGCTTAGTGGTTAGAAATAGGGTTGTAGAGGGCGTGCAGACGCGCATAGGTGGGAGCGTGTGGGAGCTGTGGTCGCAATCGTCCTACCCAGCCACCTACAGTGACGGAGGCATCGAAGTAACAGTGCAGGATCAAGAGAGGCATCTCTTGGCTGATGAGCTATTGGAGATTCCGCAGGTGAATCGGATGATAGCAGATGCTTGAGGCGTGATACCGAAGATATCCTCGCAGGCAAAGATGGTATTTGTGCATTTTGTGGTGTTGTCTACCATGATCAGCAAACGGCACTTGTCGGAGCCTGTGAAGTTCCATGGCGCTGAGGATCCAATGTTTTTCTTACAATGCTGAAGCTTATACGGATACCTGGGGCATCTATTCAGTCCTCTGATAAGCTAAGTCAGCATGACTTTAGACTAAGATCTCGATTATTGGCAGTCAAGCTTGCTAGAAAGATACGTTCCTTGCTCACGAGATCTTCAAAGAGCAGATACTGCGCTCCGCTCGGTTAAGATCAAACCTAGGCCTATCACCGAGCGTTCCATAAATTCGCATGTGAGATGCTGTAAGGGGTCTGGGAGTCAATCGGACTGCTTTCCCTGGTGATGGATGATTTTCAGGATGTGGACAACTCGCGCCAGGATGAAGCCAGTCGTGATATCCATTCTGAGGCAAATCCATGGTGCCGTGGCGTGTGCTCTGGCGAGGCTGGGGCCGAAGGGGTTCGCGGTTTCTCGCTAGAACGAAAGAAGAACAAAAGTATCCGCAGCTTCTAAAGATGGAGTGGAAAACGAGGTGTTGGACGCGGTCCTCGCGTTTCGTCTTGTGTTGTCTCGTCAGTTTTGCGGCTTTCCTTGTTAATTGAAGAGCTGGGTGAGTTATTCGCTGAAGATGGCCAGGGCATTGGGTCCAGGCCTTTCCGCTTCCAGCACGCATCAGTACTTGGGAAGGTACTTCGACATGCTCTTACCCCACGGCGCATCCAGACTGTGCAATAGGAAGCCTGCCATTGGTTTTAGTGGCTCGCGGTTGATGCAGAGTTAAGGCCCCAAGCCCTGAGAATTAGCGTATGTTTTTTTGGTGCCCAACGTCTTGGAATTTTCCATTGTTAGGTCACTGAGCTCCTGGCTGTTAGGTTGCTAAACTAAGGTGGCCGGGCCGGCCCAGCAGCGCCCGAGGCTAGACCTAATAAAATTATCAATTAGTCGAGCTTAGATATTGAAGTCAGTGCTAATTAGAAGTGATGATATCGCGAGTCTGAGTACAGAGCAAGGCATCTTACCGTCTCATTAGGAAGTATTGCTCCCTTGCTAGAGGTGCCGATATCTACCTAACCCGGGGAGTATCAAGTTTAGCACATGGCTTCCCGTCGTTAGATCCAGTCGCATGCGCGGTCAATCTACCAGGGTTTGTGCCGCTCTGTAAAGGCTCCCCCAGGGCATAATGGTCCTTTGCTTTTTCCCTGAGCGGTTCTATAACATGTTCTTCGTGTTCTTTGGCTGATATTCTGCTACTCTTGTCGCGCCGGCAGTAGACTGCCTTTCCCATGCTTCTTGAACCCTTGCAAGCTCGTAGTCAGCATACAGCCATGACACCACTTAAAGGAAGCGACTGGCTCTCGGAAGCGTGGGGTTGCTGGGATGGTGACAGGGTGGGCAGGTTTACAGTCGCAGACATTGACTGCTGAAGCAACAAGAATATCACCAGAGTCCAAACATAGCAAAGCCCTACCTTGATGATGGCCTCATCACCCGAGAAGCACCGCCCATGACATGAATCGATCGCGGCCTAAGGGGGGATAGAACATGATGGTTGATGTACGATATGTTACAGGATGGAGCAGCGGTCAAGTGACGACGGCCCATATCTGAAGCTAACATGAGCATACGCCGTTGCCTTTGTTCACACGGGCTCCATGGCTGACAAGAAAGGACGAATGACGACCATGGTAATCCTCCTCTTGGGCCGAGCTCGGATGACACATGAGGAAGATCCCCTGCTTGGTGTGGTTAACTAACCTTGATCTGTCGTGGGAACGGCAGCTCGGTTTAACATCTGGGGATCAGGATCTGATTACTGTCATGGTGTAGCTGCCCGCTGCCACAACCACAACCCTCCATCTGCTTTGCGGAGTGCTGCCCTCGTCCTTCCCGTCCATTAGACGACTGTTACGTATCGATGGTTTCCACCGCAACGATATTTGATATGGAGTCGTCTGTTACAGATCTGTCTGGGGGCAGTGAAACCCATCACCGCTATTATGACTGACAGCCTATGTCGGCGATGTTAGCTTTGGCTTTGGCTTTGGCTTCGACTGTGGAAGATGGCCGATGAAGAGAGAACACTGGCAAGTCTATTCCGTTTGGCTCTTCTCTCCTCTCATCTCGTCTAGTCTGGATGGTCTTGATGGTATCCTCAGCCTGGTTGGACCCCAAGTTTGCCTGGCCGATTGAGGCCCCCCAAGCCTGACTTGCGCCTCCACACCCACATAGATCTTCCGCTACGCTGAGCTCTTATTCCCATATCACATTGGATACCTCGTAGACGGCTAAATCGACGAGAGCCGTGCTCGTCCAAACGTTTACTCACTGGCTTATACTAATTCATTCATATGGTATTGTTCTCATTTATCTATCTATGTTCGCTTCGCGTTGCCTCTCACTGTAGTCACACCCTTCGTAAAGCGCTTATGGAATATATGTAGCCATTGTTCTTGAAGCTCTCATTGAACCGGACATGTCTTCCTATACCGAGGGAGAGCAACGGCCCAATCCATGACCCGGCCTCTTGTGGGTCACGTCCATCCCCGTCCTCGTACGTAGTAGGCTCTTCCTCATCCGCACCCTGGATTGATGTCCCGTCTAAGAGGTCCCCTGCGAATCCCGACAAGAGCAATCCATGCCATGACCGCGTTTCTCCCAAGTCTAGGTATCGCAGTCGTTGTCCAAGATGCGATGCGATGCTTGGATGGGCAGCTCCACAGACGCAATTGCCGGCTGCTTGCCCCGGGTGAGTACATAATCGTGGATATTCCTCGCCTTGATCCCAAAGCAGTAGTCTGTTTTTCAACAATCATATATCGTCTTTTACTTCCCCAAGTCATCCATCTCATCTTGGTTTTAAGTTGCAGACTTGTCAATATCTGAATTACATATTGCACAGCACAGTTTATACGCCTGTCTCACTTCAAGCAACACCACAAAAAGGCAAAACACCAGCCTTGGACATCAGCACCACCAGAGGCCTAGCCCACACCATCACAGGACATTTGTACCCTTTTGAACGCGCCGGTTTCTCATTATCACTGTTGTTGTAAGTGCTGCTCTCTATTTGGACATTGTCCGTTGCGCCGCGCCGGGGTAGGTTGGGCTGCTGCACTGCACTGCACTATACTGCATTGCAGGTAGACAGTTAGAGTTTCCAGTCGCGCGCTTCTTCTTTTTTACTGTTTCCAATTCCCATTCCTCGCCCGTTGTTGTTGGCTGTATTTCAGTGAGTACCAGTCGTTGCGCTTGTTGCCATTCCCGTCCCTTCCCGCAGTGGCCGATCAAGTTTCCGGCTTCCCGCCCGCACACGCCACTACCTATTATTCCATCCCTCCCTCACCAGCCGCTTTGCATCTTCTTTTTTATCATATCACCACGCTCCATTTTTGGGGTTTACCGCCTTCGAATATCCCAAAGGATTTTCACGATTCTTTTTTTGGAGTCTGAATACGAAGCATATTTTGGATAAATCAAAGTCGATTCGTTTTGTGCGGCGAGATCTAAATAACCCCGTCTTTTAAGTTCTGCGGCGCCTTGAACAACGGTTAGCAGCAAGACGAGATAAGATCATCTGGGCCTATCCATCCCATCGTCCTCATCGTCTTTCACTTTCATTTCCTACTCCTTCAATACTCGAGAGGTACGAACCATGTCCCCCGATCTTGCACCGACCATTGAGTCACACTCTCTGTACCTTACACTTTCTTTGGCCATGGCCATGGCCGTGGACGCTTGACCCCACCCCTAAAGCACCTGGAAAGCTGGAAAGCACGGCTTGAGCCCACTTTCTTCACCTCACACGCCCCCCTGCCGCCTACCCTGGTCTTTCCTTCCTTCCCTCGACCTCAAGTGAGGTGAGCTGCTGAGTGAAAACTTGGCAGGCTGCCAAAAATACACACCCGTCCCCGTTTCGCCCTTCACCGCTGCTGGCTGCTTGCTGCCCACTGCCCACTGCCCACACCAAACATTGTTTGAGTGTCTCCCGCGCGCAAGGGAAAAAATAAACCGATGATACCTTATCCTGGGTTTCCCTCTCCCTGTCCCGCACTTTACCTTTATTATTTGCCGCGTCCCTCCCACAAAACCCAACCTCTCTTTCCCTCTTGTGCCTCAGTGTGCTCTACCTCACCCTGAATATCAACTGCAATTTTTGAATTTGGGTTTCCATCTTCAGATTCCCTGTGCCCTTCCCTTCTTGGCATATTCTCCCTTCCCTTTGCAGCCTTGCTTCCATTGTTTCTTCTTTTGAACAACCCCACCCATTCTCGTCTTCTTCTTATACCCATCCACATCCCCACATCCCTCACTCACTCACTACTACACTGCCCAAAATGACTTCAACATTCCAAATGCAACAACCATTTTATCGTCCAGCTTCTCTAACCGTGGATACTCAACACGCACAGAAGTACTTCGAAGACGAAGACAACAGTGTACTAGACGACAACATTCTCGAACACAACACAATCGATTCCGGCTTAGAACTATCGCCCCCCATGGCTGACAGTCGTCGAGAGTCTTTTGCTGTCGGCCCTTCGCTTTTCTCACCAAAGACGGAAGACTGGCAGTCGGTCGACATGCAGTCCGTTCCCTCCAACAATCCTTTTTACGATCAGCACAGCAACAACCCTTTCATGCGCATTGACCAAACTCAACACAACGCCTTTGCTTCTGCCACCAACTGGGCACTCGGAAACAACTCTGGCGCTTGCACTCCTCTTCATCCTTTTGATGGTGTTTCTGCCGAATATGACACAAATCTTCCTCTCTTTCAGCGACCCATGACTGGCCCAACACCGTTTTCCAACCCTGGAAACATGTTCTCGTCGCTCCATGCCGGCAACCAATCCATCCCCACTTCTCCCCAGAAAGAGTGGATGACCCCTCAGCAGCCCATTAACAAGAACAAGATGCGACCTGGCAGCCCCGGTCTCCGCTCACACAACGAGATGCGCCGAGGTGATGGCATCAGGAAGAAGAACGCTCGCTTCGATATCCCAGCGGAGCGAAATCTCAGCAACATCGACCATCTTATTTCCCAGTCTACTGATGAACAAGAGATCAAGGAGCTCAAGCAGCAAAAGCGACTGCTCCGTAACCGACAAGCAGCGTAAGTTCCGCCCCACTAAATAAGCATCAACAATATTTGTGATGTGATACTAACTACCATCAGCCTTGACTCAAGACAACGCAAGAAGCAGCACACTGAGCGTCTGGAGGATGAGAAGAAGCATTACACCGCCCTCATCACTGACATGGAGGACGAGATGAATGAGCTCCGCACCAAGCTTGAGCAAGTCCTTCTCGAGAAGCAGTCATACACCAACTACATCGAGAACCTCAACCTCGAGAAGGAGGAGATGATCCGCACCCACACCATTGAGACTGGTGAGCTGAGGAAGAAGGTTGGCGTCCTTACCGAGCATGTTCAACGACTCGAGAGCGCCGTTCCCGCGACTGCCGACAACGGTTTCTCATCCGGCTTCGACGACATGGACGGTATGGGCATGCCTGGCGCCTGGGACGCATCCAACTTCCTTCACGACTACCCCGTCGAGCCCGAGGTCAAGCAGGAGATGTCTATTGTCCCTGCTAAGAAGAATGAGAACAGCCCATTCGCCGAGAGCGAAAAGCCTGCCCAAGGCGGTCTTCTCTTCATGCTCTTCCTTGTCGGCGCTTTCGTTCTCTCCAGCCGCTCTACACCATCGATCCCCCGTGTCTCCGAGGATGTTAGGGCTGCTTCGGCCACCCTCTTGGATAATGTCCTCAAGGATGCCGGCGTCAACTCTCAGTCGGCCAGCATGCAGGCCGCCCCCCAGCCATCCGGTGCTGCCAACTGGGGCAACGCCATTGGTATGAACGATATCACGATGGACGGTGTCGCGCCTTCGATGCTTGCCGAGCTCGGTGATGCTCTCACTCAGCCAACACAGGAGCAGACCAACGAACAAATATTCTCTCTGTCGGCTGCTCAGTACAACAATGTCAACTCGCAGGACTTCCTCCACAATGCCCCCCAGAGGTCATCTCCCAGCCAAGGTCGCCGAAACCTGGCCGACGCACTCGCAGCGATGCGAACCACAGACAAACAAAACGGTGTAGCCGAGGTGTACACGCGCTCCCTCCTCTGGGACCAAGTCCCTAACGAGGTTGTGCGCAACTTCGCGAAAATGGTGTCAGAATGCAACAACGCACAGAATGAGCAGCAATGCAACGAACTAAGGACATGAACGACGACATGAATCAAAGATATAAAAAATGTCACGACGACGAAACCACGGCTTTTCTGCTTTGAACGGCTTGATGAAGTTGCTTTCCTTTGTACAACTTATTTTTCCTTTGTTACCAACTTTTTCCTTCAAGTCGGCTTTTTTTCTTCCTCTTCGCGGGGGATGAGCTGCCATATACTCGACGTCGCTCTCGCGCACTTCAGACATGTTGCTCACGCACCCAAACGGACGGTTTTTTGTCTTCCATTTGTTGTTTCTTGCGGATTTCCTATCTTGGGGTCGTTATTTTGATTTCCTACGGATTGAACAAGCGAGCGTGCATTGATTTGTTTTTGAGTGAATTTTCACGGCTTGAAATTGGATTTCCTGTCTCGAAATTGGATACCTTTACTACTTGGGTAACGGCGAAAGAGTTGTTGGTGGGAGTGTGAGGCTTGGAGGTGGAAAGCAGCGGCGAAACAGCAGCCAGCAGAAGCGAAGCACGCAGACTCTACGAAGGAGCCCAGTCCATATGAGTCTGGATAACATCACAGTGCATGGGGGAGACAGGAACGGATACGGATATTGGTGGACGGAGGTGGAAATTGGCATACGTCGAAAGACGACAATGACTGAAATGGTCAATGATGACGACGAAACGAGCGCGTCGATGATCCATTTACTTGTTTGTTTGGAATTTTATTCGATTCTCTGAAGCAACATCCAGTCCCAGGTGGGCTGGTTCGTTGTACGATATTTTATGGCATGAATGAAATGAGATTAGTACTTATGAAGCGAGCATTGAACAAAGAAGATTCCTCTCAGTATAACATAATCTCTTGTGTTTGCAAGTGATGGCGATGTTTCCCTTGGTGGTAGTGTCAACACCAGCTACCTCGTGAGCATGTATGTCATATCACTCACGTATATATTGTGACTGCGCCTTGAATGTGGCTGATCAGGATTTACAGTACATACATAGTAGCATGCTCTTAAGCTTAGGCTGACAATTGATGCACTCTAAACCGACCATGCATGACCTAAAGAGGAAAGCAGGGCGGGTGTTAGTTTTGAAACCAGGATTGGAAACAAAAAAGGTGAGACATGTGCCAGACCGGTCGATAATAGGCTGAACAAGGTGAGTGAGTGGTGGGCGTTAGAGTACCTAAGGGATCAAGATGGTGGTTTGTCTAAGACAATGTCTTGCCAATGCGCGGCGTTGGGACGGCACGGGATGCGGAGAGGGATGGGCTAATATTTGGGGGTGATGAGATAACTGTAGGTAGTACCTTAGTTACCTAAAGATACTCACTGTAGGTATTAACTGCCGTCCCAATGCTATCCTGTATCTTGATGTGATATCCGCAGATCTGACTTGATGACTCGCTGTAGAGAACTAGAGAGAGATCTAGTGGCAGGCCTCACATTAATGCCGATTGCCTATATAATTCTAGATCAGACTATCTTCAGTGTTTTGCGCCACTATGGCTTTGCTCTTCCACAAAAAAGTACGGGGAATCCTTGACCTTGCATCGCATCCCGCTGTGGCTACTGTGCATCAATTGCATGGCAGGCGTTGAGCTGAAGCTGCCGACAACGTCTTCTCTGTCCTCCTCGTGCTTCTGGTGTAGTAAAGTTACTGGACTTGAACACGGCAGTCTTGTTAGACGTGAGACGGGATTGTATGGAGCTTTGCTTAGCCATTGACGAGCTGTTACAGGCGCAGTATAACGTTGACCACTACCTTAGTACCTACCTAGGTACCTAGAAATTCGTTAAACTCTGGCATCATACCGACAATGAGAACATTCGATATTGATCCGCTTCTGCTTCCTGATGCGATTACATGCGCTCTTCACTCTGCTCTGCTCCGAGTATAACTCAGCGCGCTATAGGTTCGTCGTCATCATGCGGGCCCCGACCTGGCCGTCTTTACTGGCCGCATAAGCTCGCGGATATCCAATAGAATACCATAGGCTCGCTGTCGGGCGAGGTTGGGCATCAATGGTAATTAGCCGCCTTATGGGATCGGTAAGGCTCTTGTCACGGGGGCGTGCAAAAGGTGGGAGAAGAGACAAGAAGGGTCGAGGTTGGATATTGTTAAGAAATGCGTGAACTACTATCGCAGGAAGATGTGGACTATCGACATTTATTAGAAACATCTCACAAGACTATATACCTACTATACGACAGTGTGCTGCGATATGTACAACCAGGCACAAAGACATAAGCCTTGTGCTATATATATATACCTGAAATAAAAGTTGCTAAGACACAAGCACACACAACTCTCCAGCATTGTCCGCACAGCCATATTCAACTTGTCAACGTATATCTCCCCTATACGAGCAAATAGCTCGCGACTTGGACATATCCAATACGCTATAAGCAATGTCTGGCCATCCACTGGACCAGCCGAGTCCCTATCACCAGCCCACTTTCCCCCTTGTGCCTTCATGACTTACAAAGCGTGTATCGCGGATGCACCTGTCGTTACAGTGGCACATGGCTGCCGTTGCACTACTTGCGATTGCCCTCGCCCGGAGGGTCGTACTTTTCCTTCCAGATCCTAATGCACAATTATTTGAATCAGCGTTGCCCCCCTTACAAATCGTACGTTGCATGCTTGCAGCTCCAACACCGATCGATAGACCGCTCCTCGTCGCACCGGCTTCTGTGGTCCCTGGACGAGGCTCGGAGTCGACGAGAGCCTATCGACACAGACCGCCACAACAGCAGTGTGAAGAAGAAGGCATCTAGATGGAGCTACCCGGCCGGGTGGACTTACCAAGAGTTCCCTAGTGTTTTGTGGCCGGCCTTCTCGGCCAGTCGATAATACCGGGCTGCTGCAAACTGTACAGGATATCAGCCTCATGTGATGGGTCGGACAAAGTGATGTGGGGAGTTGATGGTGAGTGTCGATTCGAGAGACTCCGACGAGAGGACTGCTGAAGCGGTCGATGCCTGAGTTGGATCGCAACGAGTTGGGCAGCCAAGTTCACGGACGAATCAAGTAAGCTAGGCTCACCGAGATTGTCGACTCGAACACGACTCATGTACAGGACAGCACGGAGCACTCTTGAACAACAGACAAACAGTGGTAGATGGAGATAGAATGCGATATGGTGCAACATACCTTGTCTTTCTTACACCCAAAGCCCTCAACGTAACACCAGGCAATCTCATTCATGGCATCTGTCACATGGTGTTAGACTTTGTTTTGTCCGTATCTATGTTTGTGCTTGTGTATGTATACACCTGGTACAACTTACCTGTGTCTCCTAGATTCGCCGCAGTCTCATAATACTACACGGCAAGCCAATGGTTAGCAATTGATCTCACTCTCGGGATCCCGTCAGTGAACCTACCTGCTTGGCGGCGTAGGCGTCTTTATTGATACCCCAGCCATGTCGGAAGCAGTTTGCCAGCTCGAAAATAGCTAGGACGAGCTCTCCCTTTGCAGCTCCGCCCTTTTTCATACCCGCCTGGAGAGCCATCTGCTCAATTGATGCGGAATTGGAGGCTGCAGCTGAAAGATACTTGACAGCGCCCTCTGGATCCGGTGCGCAACCCCATCCGTGTCTGTACAGCACGAGGCCAAGTTAGCATCAAGACATATAGACTATTGGCTTCGGTGGCTTATAATGATACCATGCTGAGCGTTGCTGGGCGTCAATACAGGGTTTGAGTTTCAACTGCCCTTGAAACTTCAAACCTTGCAGAGAAGCCCCGGTCGCTCAACCCGTAACATTGGTCCCGTCCACTGTCATTATTTTCTTCTCACCTTAAAGCAAGGCCGTACAGCACTTGGCTCAGCGGATTATTGGCGCCTTGGGGATCAGCCAGCCGTCCGAACATACGCGTTGACAGCTCCAGCCTTCCTTCTTCGTGAAGACGAATTGCCTCCTGGATGTCCTGATCGATCTGCTGCGACGAGACTGCATGCTCTTCCTTGTTGCCGTCTGAGGGTGTCCCTGGTCTGCTGTTGCTCCTGGCGCGGTTGTTCTGGCCCGCCAGCATAGTCGCGCGCTTCTCCCACTGCGACTCGTCCTGGGCATCGGTGGTGACGATGTCGGGTAGGTTCTCGGGGACGTTCTCGGACGAGGGCGGAGCACGCTTCAGGTGCAGACGCTGCGATAGACGACGGGCGCCACTCTCTTTCTTTGTCTGACTGGACTCGGAGCCAGAGCGGGCTCGGCCGGAGCGGAAGACATCGAGAGATCGTCGGGGCTTTTCTTTCTCTTTCGCTTCTTGGACCGCGAGGTGTAGGTTATCGACGGACTTCATAGACGGCGGGTAGATGCGCTCTTGGGTTGAGGTGTCGGAGCGGATGATTGTGAATTCGGGGGCTGCTAGATGGTTGACGGTGTCATTTTCCGGGGGCTGGCCTGTTGAGAGGTCATCCTTCTTCTTAAGAATATCGCGTATACCCATTTTCGTAAACTGCCAACAGTACTTTGTAGTCTAGGAGAGTTGGTAGGTAGAGTTGCGATCTGTATATTTGATGACAGGCGAGAAGATGAAAGAGGCCCGTTCACAGGATCTACAGAAGCGATACGCGAAACAAATGTCCCCGATTGAAAAGCAAACAGAGGATCAGCGACACTGGACAAGATAGCGAGATAAGAGTATATGGATGATGTCGTCAGGAAAAGCTGTTATTAAGGAGTATTCAAGATAGTGGCACACATTGTTCCATTCCTCCAGGCACCGCAAGCGGGTTGAGGCTGAGTCGAGGCTTTGCGCTCTGTTGTGCCAGGGCAGCGCATGATTTGACTGATGTGCATTGTAACAGGCAGTTGATTGCTGATCTTTGTTCTAGTTAAGCGCTTCTTACTGTATTGATACCAAGATCAGCAGCCCCTGGCGCCTGTTTCGTTTCGAAATGTAAAGTCGTGATAGTAGGTATTCATACCTTGGACAGATCTCTAAAGATGTCATAGCATTCCGAATACAATCTGCTAAATGCTGTACCATTTCTCGGGCAGTAAAACACACAGTAGCCACCACTAAAATATCATCATATCAGCCTGTAATCAGAGCTGCAGGGCTCATGCTACTAATATTAGCATTCTATCCGAATATGTCAGCTCTACTGCAGGAAGCTGACAATGCCCCTCACTCATCTCATTTGACAATGGACAGCGCTTTGACCATTGGCTCCCTATCCCCGCCAAAGTCCAAATCAAGGGTCTTAGTCTTAGGTTGATCTCATGTCAAGTCATGATAATTAGTAACCATAAACATCAGATTCATCAGACTCAAATCTCATGCTCTTTACAAAACTCTTTCATTCAATACCTAACTATCTTAGGTATACTTTCAAACATGGAGGTGTTTCCTCTTTTAGCCGCCTGCTTTTTCTCTTTTTCTCTTCTCTTTGTTTCTTTTTCCTTTGCTTCGTTTTTCATGTTCTTGGCGAATCATAGCCAAAAACCTTCAAAGACGCCGAATATTCACGGGTATCTCGAGATTATTTACCAGAATCCCAATCCCAAGCTCCAGACGCCAGATAAAGCAGCATGTTGTAAGTCGAAGTTGCTTGTCTCTACTTGTAAGTTGTAGTAAACGGGCAAAATGACTAGATCTCGATCTAGTGTCTAGATCGACAGGAAGTCTTTCTGTTCCTCAAAATCGGAAAGGTCCGAATCTGCGTCAATAAACTCGGCAACTTCATCTGAATCAACATCATCAGAATCCGCAGCCTCGTCGTCACTGGAAATATCTCCAAGAGGCTCGCCGTCGGCCTTGGTCTTGTTTCGGAGGACGCTTGCCCTTTCACGATGTGGGAGTTTGCATCCCTTGACCTTACATCGCCCTGTATTGCTAAAGTCAGGACACTCAAAAACGTGGCGTTCAGTACAGTCTGCCCCCTTCTCGCAATACCCGTTGAAGCCAAAGCTTCGGCATACTGGGGCTGCTGGGGAGGCTTGGGAGTGAGTATAGGGACAGTCAGCCTTGGCGCAGTGGCCCTTGGCAAAATGCAAGCAGTTGGGGGTGCGTTCAGGAGTCATGTCATGGGAGAGATCGCAAGACTCGCCGTTGACGCATTGCCCATCTTTTAAAATATCTTTACAGAGCGCAACCTTGTCTGGATTGTGGATGAATCGGCACCGTGGACCTTTGGTGCATGAACCTATTTGAAAAGTACTTGTTAGTTTCGTCCCATGGCCACTGGGCCGGTGCAGATGATGGAGATGTGGATCGCCCCAACTCCAACTCCAGTCTTGGAAAGAGAAATTACCAGTCGTTGAGAAGATTTTGCAAAGTTCGTTAATCTTCTTGACCGCGCCGGATCGCCTAGGGCCTGTCAGCAACTTCGTCCCACTGATGGGCATTACGTACCGCTGGTCGTTGACAAATCGGTTTGCTACGAGGTTTCCTGTCTTTGTTCGGTAAAACTTGACTCCAGCAACAATAGCCGTCTTGGGGGTTCGAGAGGAGGAGTTGGGTGCATCTGCGACAGGTAAGGCACAAGTGGTGACAGAACCCTCGAGTTTGCACGCACCAGGAATCTTGACAAGCTTCTTGCCACCGTCCATAACACGGAATTGGACGCCTTCGATTGTGAGTTCGTTGCGGCCTGCGGGGTTAGTCTGCGCGCTGGAGGCGGCAGTTTGGTGTTTCAAGAACTCGCTGAACTTCGCTTTCTCGCGGTATCTGTGTCCGTTGAGTTTTCTCTGGCGCGTCTCTTCAATCGCTTTCGCTCGGTTCTGCGTATCTTTTTCGTATACGTTTACGTTGATGAGTTGACGGTGGCGATCAGTCCTTGAAATCCAGCCGGGAGGTGTTTCAGCACCACTGCTAGCAGAACGTGAAGTCGTCGAGTTTTCGCTGTTTAGGTTGAGCGTTCGATGATGGTGCGTCGCAGGCGGTCGTCCGATTCTATTGTGACGAGGCGGATACGGCGAACTAGCATGTCGATACGAGTTTTCTGGAAACGTCAGTCGCGATTTTCTTTGCGTTAAGGATTTTACGTACGACGATGATGGGCCGGGTGATGATTCGCGATAGGTCGAGGGCCTGATTGCTGGCTCTTGTGGCGGTTGATCTGGCCTGGGAAACATGAATAAAGGACGTTGCTTGTTAACATGGACAGACTGCACAAACCTGCAACTTGACTGATGCGGGCCAGGAGTTCTCTCTCTTCCTCAGACATTTTCGCGACAACAACTATGGAACCTGATTTTTAAAGTCTCGTATTGAGAAGTCACGTATCGATCGTAGGGATGAATTAGGAGTTTAAGGTTGTGAATGTTGCAAGTTGATAAATGCGATGGCGCTGTGACTTGTAAGCGGGCGGCAACATGCATCATCGAGAGGCTGCCTTAGTCATCCACACTTGCAGTAGTTCATTGGCCCACCACCATCTCACCTTCAATACCGTCGCAAGGCTGAGCTTTGTTTGTTAATCACCCTCGAACTCGATTCTGATCAATTTCCTTAATTACCAACGATTTTCGCATACTCGAGACGCGCCAGGACCTACGTCTCTATTCCTTCATCTTTACTTCGCGTTTATCACGAGTGTCAGCCGTACGAACGATCATTAACTGACCGCGACTCGAATCGATACAATGGCTTCTTCATGGGATCTTTTGGATCCCGAGGAAGAGGTTGAGCTTCACAAGACTCGCCTGCTTAACGTGGAGGAGAAGCCCTTCAAACGAATCACAAAGCGCCTTAACACTATATCACAACTTCTTCTATCACCCGATACTGTCCCTAACGGAGCCAACACAGCCGAAGGCATCAAACCTAAACTTCATCAGCTCAAAGAGGACGTGAATCTCGATTTCGACGCTTTTGGCAGCAGTATTACTCGTATGCAATTCCTCCACGACGCCAATGTAAAGGAGCGCGAGCGCTACAGGACCGACCAGCATCGTATCCTTGCCGATTGCCAGGATGTCCGACAAAACAATATCAAACTCAGAGACCAGCTAGAGGCCGCGCAAGCCACGCTCGCACAGCGCAAAAAGTTTGACGAGCTAGCAGAGAAGATCACATCAAACCGCATGCTCAGGCCGCGGGAGGATCAGATTATTAACCTAGTCAAACTAGAGGACGAATGTCGGGAGCTCGAGCGAGAAAGCGAAACCTATAGTGAGACTTGGAGGGAACGACGAGAACAGTTCAACAGGATTATGGAGGAAGGAATGCTCTTGAGGCGACAAATTCGCGACGAAAAGGAAGAGGTCGATCGAAGAGAGGGTATGAATGAGGACGCTGAGGATGAAGCCGAGGTGGACAAGGTTGGCCAGACACCAAGGAATGAGCCCAGCGGCAACGCAACACCTCATCCGGATGGAGACAGCCAGACCAAGGCTGATGCTGACGCCGGAACACCCAATCCAGACGCTCTCAACGGAGGGAGAACACCAATGAGAGATACACCAGGCCCCGACACGCTTAAGCCGCACTCTAGTCGCATTGGAAGGGGAGACAGCCAGGCACCTAGCAGAGATGCTTCACCCATACCACCGAACGATGAGCACAAGGCCGAGTCAGGAGAGGACATTGACATGGAGGATTCTGAGACTGGTCGGGTGCATGAGGACGGAGGAGCAACCCCTCAAGTAATCGTGGAGCCGCCTGAAGAAGGCGATGACAAGATGGAGGTGGACAATTAGCCTTGCCGTTTAGATCTGCTGTAGTAGTAATTTCAAGATACCCTCAAGTTTATGAAGGTTCAGAAGCGTTTCTTTTTTGTGTTACATTTCTTCTACTAAGTGGTATCGTAAAGCAGCCCTTCCCCTCCTCTTCTTCATGTCGCCATCAAGTCTTTGTCTATGTTTCCTTGGCTTTCGCCAGTGCCTCTTTCGCCTGTTGCACCTCATCCCCAGAAGCACCAAGCTGTTCGCTCATAGCAAGCTGCTCCTCCAGTCTCTCGACGGCAACAACGATCCTTTCTCGAAGGGGTGCGAATACAGCCTTAGTTTGTTCGACAGCGGTTTGCTGGGATATTTCGTCAGTCTCTATCCCAAACTTGAAGAATGGTTTGCGGACTAACCTGCTGCTTGAGCATATATGAAGCATTCTCGTCCTTATCGACGCCAGAGTCAATCTTCTCCTTCAGGACTTTGATCTTGGCCTCTTCCTGCTCGATCTCCTTGTGGTATGAAGCTTCTTCCTTAAGAAGGCGGTTAACGGAGCCTGTAGCGATAGCGATTTGCGAAGGCGCCGGCATCGTGAATTGATGCGGGAGGTTGATTCGGGATAATTGGAGGAGGTTAATGCAGCAGTGATTATCTCGAAGGCAGAGTCGTTTGGTTAGGTAACGGCGAAGGAGGTTCTGTTATTCGGGTGCCTGTTTTGTTGCTTGATGCCTGGAGTACAGGGAAGCAAATGAGATCATGTTCTACATGGGGTTTGTATGGCGGGGCTGTCCCTACTACAGTAACTAATCACTCTTTAGGTACACTTCACCGCGTTCCGCACAGTTATAATAACATATATAGACAACATTTATACAAATTTGAACCGTTCTTTTTTAACAATATACTAAGTTACCTACACAAAGTCCAACAGACCTCGTCCATAAAAAGAATCTGCCGCACCACAGGTCGATCTCTGCCGTTTTCCCGTATAGTCACGATCCGCCCATCCAAGCAAGTACCGCATGCCATGGTATCTCCCCAAACGCCGACAACACCATCTAGGCGATCCTCGAGTTGACTGCCCTAGAATGCTGGAATTCAATATTTTACATGACCAAACACGCCGCCTGTCCAAGTCTTCGTTATGATATGATGAAATGCACGCTCGCGTTGAATCATGCTGAGACAGAAACTGCGGGAACAACGACTGCGGCGTGCTCGGGCTCGTTAGGGGTGTCGTTGTCCTGGGACATTTCACCACCAGCCTCCCTCTCGGCCCAAGCTCCCCAAAGTCCACGCTTGGCCCTTATTCGGATGTCATCACCCAGACCAGATCCCTGCTCAACCTTGATAGCATCCTTGGTCGCGAGAACCAGGCACTCAAAGAACATCTTGGTAGCATCAGCCTTGCTGGTCTCTTGTCTAGGGCAGAGGCTCTGGAAGAGGACTGCTCTCTCAGTGCGCTTTCCTGGGCTGTCGGCAGCATCATCACCGAAATGGTCTCGGAGCTGGTGGACAACATGCTTGGTAATCTGAGAAACGGGGCCACTCTCAGCAGGATGGACAAGAGCAATGGTTGTGTCTTCGAAACCTGGCATCATGGTAACCCCTTCTTCATCCTCCATCTCACCCTCGCCAGGGATTTCGTGGCGGCTTTCCTCAGGGGGGATGCTCATTTCGCCGAAACCACCCTCGAGGCCGAGTCCGGTGTCTGACCCAATGTCGAGCATACGTGGTGATTTGGATGCACCGTGATCACTCTCAACATCGGCAATTCCGCCATCTCGCTTGCGCTTGAGCTCGTTCATACCACGAGCAGTGTCGAGAGAAAGCATACCGCGCAACTCTGGAGCCCAAGCCGAGCTTCGCTCTTCCATCATGATGGATGTAACAAATCCGCCCCGCTTTTGCATATCCATCAGAGCAAGAAGATTGGCATCGCGAGGGAGGAATCCAGCCTCCCTGATGATGTTGTCGCGATTGGCTTGTTGTTGCTTGATGTGGTTGCTAGAGAGGGCAATCTCCTCATCCGGTGTAAGAACCTTCTGCTTCTTGGCACGCTGCGCAGGTCGTCGCACAATATGATCGTCCTCGTGATCGGGCTCATAAAGGTCTGCCATTTGGTATCTTGAATGTTCTTGTTCCAGTTGTAGAGCCTGATCAGCGTCGATATCGGAGAGCGGTGACTCGGAAACTCGTGGAGGAGGGTAACCGGGAACTGCGATGTCGGGCATCTGGGAAATATCATCTGCGTGGAAATCGATCCCCATATCTTCGCCCATGACAACATCCTCACCGTCATGAATAATAACATCATCCCTAGGAAGGTCTATAGTCATAGCACGGTCTTGGTCATCTTTTTGAGGGAACTCGAGGTCGGTATCATCAATCTCAGGGCCAGCGGCACCAGGATCTTCTCGTCGACCACCTTCGGGCTCTAGTGCGGTCTCCTCAAGTCCGAGATCGTCAAGACCAAAGTCCAATTCCAGATCAATGTTACCCAGTGGTGCTATCATGTCATCGTCCATTGCCATACCATCATTGAGGAATTGGCTGTTGTCGTAATCTTCTTGCAAGTTGATATCCCTCTGGCTGACGCGTCCTTTGCGGCCAATTGGTGCAGCGGTCACATCTTCGACTTGGGACAAAAGCCAATTCGCGTCTGGTGGGAGAGGTAGCTCAAAATTGTCGTAGGGTGTAATCTTGTCCGGGAGCGTCAAAGCTTCGCGGTTAGGAATTTGTAGGTTAACAGCCATGTCATTGTTTCCAGAAGATCTAAAGGCCTGGAGGGGTTAGCAAGCGCGATCATGCGACGCGTCACTGAAGGGACTTACCATCTTGATCTTCATCATGGCTTCATTGCAATCATCCAAAAGGTAACGCGTCTTTCGCTGGTAAATTCGTACAACACCCAAGAGTAGCTGACTACTTAGACGCAAAGCCATGGGCGCCTGGTTGGGCATAATAATGGCCTCCACGCTATCTGGAACATTGGATTGGAGAATGTGATTCTTTGAGAGCTTGCGTTCAAGGTTGGCTGAAAGCCAGACGCGGGCGAGCGGCCCGCTCTTTTGGAGCAGAGTCTCTGAATAAAACATGTTGCCGTCGCGCAACTACGCAATGCACAAAAGAAAAGGCAGTGGTAGCGACGCGTCAAAAAAGGAGAATGGGATCCAAGTGGTGAGGTTGCTGCTAAGCTAAGACGGCAACGATGGCGGTGGTGGGAGAGCAAAGTTAGGTGGATAGACGCCTGTACCGGGGGCGCGTCGGGTAAACAAGCTCTTGGTGGCAGGATAGCTCTACGCGCAAGAGCAGCGTCGCGAGCACCCTAAAAGCATAAAACAATGCGAAAGAATCGCGTAAAGTAGCAAGAACAAATGCGACCAAAGTTGAAGTGATAGCGACCGTTTCGGAGAGCGAGGCAAGGTAATAAGGCGTGTGCGCGGGCGGGATTATCGCGACGTAAGGCAGTCAAGGTATTTTATTAGAAGGGAAATGGGACCTGGACCTTGAAGAGGGGGGAAGGCCGTGGTCGTTCTCCAACGGTAAATGGCGTGGCTGGGGGCTGATCTGTGGCAGGAGAGAACCATGATCAAACCTGCCTAGAGTGGTGGGCGGAAGGATGTTAGTCCGACTCAGGGCCACTTATCATTGGTCAGTAGGGATCATCGGCTAGCAGTGTCTCCCAACCAACATGCCAAAAAAAATGTGGATGACGGCTCGTGTAATTGAGTGCTTGGAACCATCTCTTTTGTGCAACCAAGGTCATCAGTCCACGACTCCAATATTCATCAAAGACAGGAGATGATGAGTATGAAATTGATGATGGTTTCTTTAGAAGACGGCCTTGGCTATTCCTGAAATACCATCTTGTTATGTGAATTGAACATATCGACTTGTTTCTCTTACCCATGTCTACACGTAGAGTCAGGTTAATATTATATCATAGTGTCTATGGAGTACAATGGAGCATCTCAGACCGCATTCATCTACCTACTACCCAGTAGAATGTGAAACCGCCAACTGTCCGATCATATCAATTGACTGTAACACACTGTGGCTTGCCTCCCCAAACCCTCCAGGCACACTGCCATTGGTTTGGCATCGTCAATCTGCCATCGCTCACTCCAGGTACCAGAGGGCGAACCTTGACTCGCCTGCCAAGCCATCTTTCACCTCTGAGCTGATGCCACTGGCTGCTGGGCTTCTAAGTCGATATGCAAGCCCCTGGCAGCCTTGCCGAGCCTCGAAGAGTACTAGCTCCGACCCGCTCATTGAAGGACAAGACACCTGGCTCTGGTCATTACATTGCAGTACGGATACATGGTAGATTTCAGGTCTCGTCTAGTCTACCGTAACTCTGGGACTACCAACACATCGTCACGTTTGCTTCTGCCATTGCTGGCCTCTTCTTCTTCCTGCATTGCCCTGTTTGCTCATGTTTGAGTTTTTGCTTCAATAGGGCTGAAGCCGGCCGTTTCCTTTGGTCAAGTTCGAATTGCCATCTTTTGGATTACCTTTTCTCGTGGCAAATGCCCTGACGTTCCCTTTACATTCAACTACAGTGTCACTTTTCCTTTTATGATCTTGCGCATTCGCTTCTGAATCAACACAACCGCCCATGTATTCGACAGAAACGGCTCTACAATTATAAACCACCATTTGAGCGCTATTCTTTGTCGATATGCAGCTGCCATGGGGCGGCCGCGACGGTCCGGGAGATGACACCTTGTTACCGACATCCAATGTCCCATTCATCACCGGGCTTGTGGGGGACAACACCGATTTCAAAGATGGTGATCATTCACAGCGCCCGAGTCGCCATGTTCGAACCACATCTTCAGATGCACGGGTGAGTCTTACATATGCGCATTTGGCTCATATCCATGGTCTAAATCCATCCGACTGACAACTTCGCTAGAATATGGCCACCCAGTTCTCCTACATGACCCCGAGCGAAGCAGCAGCGAACTTGCGAACGTCCCTCACTGTAGGCCTCACTCCGACTGAAGCCTTAACACGACTCGGCGAATATGGTCCGAATGAAATTCCTCACGAAGCTCCCGAGCCGTTGTGGTTGCGATTCGTCAAACAATTTCAGGAACCCCTTATTCTGCTACTCTTAGTCTCGGCCGGTGCCTCGCTGCTCCTAGGAAACGCGGATGACGCTGTCAGTATCACAGTGGCTGTGACAATTGTTGTTTCTGTTGGGTTCGTGCAAGAATATCGTTCCGAGAAATCTATCGAGGCGCTCAGTCACCTTGTGCCGAATCACGCCCATTTGGTCCGCGGCCAGAACAAAACACCATCCCCCTCAGGAAGGACTTCCATATGGCCTCCGCGCACCGATGATACCGATTCCACCTTGACCCCTGGCTCTGTGACCCCAGTTAGCGATGTCTTGGATGCAACATCTTCCAAGGTCATGGCTTCCCAGCTAGTGCCTGGTGATCTTGTTCTCTTTACCACTGGGGATCGCATTCCTGCCGATATTCGCATTACTAAAGCTGCGGACTTGTCGATCGATGAATCAAATCTCACGGGAGAGACAGAGCCTGTCAGGATAACAGTCGAAGCACGTAGTCGTGGGTTTGGCGCATATGGCACGGACAAATCTCAGTTGCAAAGGTCTGCATCCCTTGCCCCATCCGATCATGGAGACTCTCACGGAGATGGCGTTCACAATATTGCCTACATGGGAACACTGATCAAGTCCGGTCACGGCCAGGGTATTGTCTTTGCAACTGGAGGGCACACGCAGTTCGGTACCATTGCTGCCAGTGTCTCTGGTACTGAGAGTCCGCGCTCGCCACTTCAATTGTCGATGGACGATCTCGGTTCGCAACTAAGTAAAGCATCTTTCGTGGTCATCGGTCTCATTTCAATTGTCGGTTGGCTTCAAGGCAAGAAGATTCTTGAAATTTTTACCATCTCAATCTCACTTGCGGTCGCTGCAATTCCGGAGGGTTTGCCCATCATCGTAACTGTCACCCTTGCTCTTGGAGTGCACCGCATGGCTAGGCACAATGCGATTGTCCGAAGGATGCCAAAGGTCGAGACTCTAGGTTCTGTCAACGTAGTGTGCACTGATAAAACAGGTATGAGAAGAGTGTGCCATACGTAAAACGAAGCTAACAGTGACTTATTAGGTACTCTTACTACGAATCACATGACAACAACTCGAATGTGGTACTTTGGAACCCAGGATGCTGTACAAATTGAGTCTGATAACGAAGACATGAATGCCAATCCCGATCTTAACCAGGCCACCCTCCGGGTACTCCGTATAGGCAACATTGCTAACGATGCACGACTCGCCCAAAAGTATACCGAGCATGGGCAGGCTGCAACAGCTGTTCTTTCTTCAACGCTTGGGCGCGATCAGGTTTCCACATATACCCGCTGGGTTGGGCAACCAACTGACGTTGCCATGCTGGACCTCCTTGATCGCTTCAAGGAGCACGATGTTAGAGATTCTATCGGCCCACGAGTGAGCGAGACACCTTTCAGCTCAGAGCGGAAGTGGATGGGAGTCACAATTGGCTCGGAGACAAAGGGAGATAAGGAATACGCATACATGAAGGGCTCTATCGAAAGAGTTCTGGCAGCTTGTGATACCTATCTTGAAAAGGATGGCAGGGAAATCGTACTAGACTCGGCACGTCGCCAAGAGGCTCTCCAAGCCGCCGAGGCCATGGCCGTTCAGGGCCTTCGAGTATTGGCATTTGCCAGCGGTACGGTTTCACGCCCTTTGAGGAACAAGTCCACGGCACGCAGCACCCCTGGTTTTGATCGAAGCGAGAGTCCATTGTCTCACGCCCCTGAAGACATCTATAAGAACCTTACCTTCGCCGGTCTCGTTGGCATGCGTGATCCTCCGCGACCCGGTGTTGGACGCTCAATCAGACGCTTGATGCGAGGTGGTGTCAAGGTCATCATGATTACTGGCGACGCCGAAACAACGGCACTTGCGATCGGAAAGCAGCTGGGCATGAGCATTGCGGTTCCCAGTGGGCATATGGGTGGCCAGAATACTGTGAGATCTGTTCTACGCGGTGATGAGGTCGACAGAATGTCTGAGGGCGACTTGGCACAGGCTATGCAGCATACGACTATCTTTGCACGAACGAATCCGGACCACAAGCTGAAGATCATCCGCGCCCTTCAGTCAAGAGGCGATATTGTCGCCATGACTGGTGATGGTGTCAATGATGCGCCAGCTTTGAAGAGAGCTGACATTGGTATCTCTATGGGTCGCCACGGAACGGACGTTGCCAAGGAGGCATCAGATATGATTCTAACAGACGACGACTTTTCTACGATTCTTCGTGCAATTGAGGAGGGCAAGGGCATCTTCAACAACATCCAGAATTTCTTAACCTTCCAGCTCAGCACAAGTGCTGCCAGTCTGGCCCTTGTTTTTATCTGCACCTGCTTCGGCTTCAAATCTCCGTTGAATGCCATGCAGATTCTTTGGATTAGTAAGTCTAAGCATTTGGTTTCTGTGATCATGTAGACTAACCACCATGCAACAGATATCATAATGGATGGTCCTCCAGCCCAATCTCTGGGCGTTGAAAAAGTAGACGCTGATGTCATGACCAAGCCCCCTCGAAGACGAGAAGATGCAGTGCTTACTCGACCACTTATCTCCCGCGTGCTTACATCGGCTGCTATCATCACTGTTGGAACGATGCTCGTATATCGTCGCGAGATGATGGCTGATGGACAAGTGACTCGCCGAGACACAACCATGACGTTTACTTGCTTCGTCTTCTTTGACATGTTCAACGCTCTGAGCTGCCGATCTGAGTCCAAGTCGGTGCTTCGAGGTGAAGTTGGACTCTTCTCCAATAATTTATTTAACTGGGCTGTGGCTTTAAGTATTGCTGGGCAGCTGCTTGTCATCTACTTCCCCTGGCTCCAGGAGACTTTTCAGACGGAAGCGCTTGGATTCTTCGATCTTGTACGACTAGTGCTTTTGTGCAGCACGGTGTTTTGGGCGGATGAGCTGCGAAAATATCTCAAGTATGGGAAACGGCGTTTTGTTAATGGATACAGCCAGGCGGTGTAATGGGTGACGTTATCTTAAGGTGGATAGGAATAAGGCATTTAGAGAAGCTTCGTTGTACATAACGCAACATGCATACATTGTACAAGGCGTGACTTGACATAGCGATTGCGCTGGAGTCGTGTGTTGGACACTACAAGTCCTGAAAAAGTAGACCGATGTTTTTGTCGCCAGACGTATTATGTATTTCTATCGTATTGTTGCTGCTCCTGTATGAAGTTCAAAAGCCACCCATGTCGGGGTGCAGGGTAGGCAGTTTGGCCCCCAGAAGTTCAATTGCGGGGAGCTCTCCCTGAAGGCTGCGTGTCACCAAGTACAGCGTCTCCCAGAAGCTGCGAAGTGAACTGCTTTGCGCCTGAAGCTACACGTCACTCCTTTATTCGCCCTAATTGTAGACAAGAAAGAGGTCGAGGGCAGAAATGCGCCGCCCGAATAGGACACCTTAAATGACAATGTCAAGCCTTCCAAACGGCATCTCCCACAACGAACACCCTGTTGTCGAACCTTCTATCGCCGTTTCTACTTCGTCCCTTGATAATGCCACCACCGAGTCCGAGATCCGCGATGCGCTCGCCGCACTTCACGCCCGCGAGGCTTCCATAACGTCCCGTCTTGATGCCCTCGTCGCTTCCCAGGCCGACCTTTCGCGCGACCTAGGACGGCTAGATCTTCTACGAGCTGGATTAGGAGCACAGGTCATCGCTACACGATCGGTTGGAAATGATATGCTAGCGACTGCAGCAGATACAGCAGGTCGACTGAGCGACAGAGTTAAGGAGCTGGACCTGGAAAAGAGCAGAGTCGAAAAGACGCTTGGTGTAGTGGAACAGGTTGCAGAGCTTAAAGCATGCGTTAACGGTGTGGTCGGTTCCATGGGCGCCCCGCAAGACTGGGAGGCTGCCGCTGGATACATATCGAGAGCAAGTAAGATACCAGAGGAGATCACCAAGGGATCGTTCGCTGTTGGTATAGTACCCAGTGTTGAAGTGCCCGACCCGCCGTGGGTGACGCTGGAGGAAGCCAAGGAGAGTCTATGCGGCCTCTTCCTACGAGAGTTTGAAAAGGCAGCGGAGGAGAGTGACGGAACCAAGGTTACTCGTTTCTTCAAGCTGTTCCCACTGATTGGACGATCCGATGTTGGACTGGATGTCTATGGACGATACGTGTGTCAGGGTGTTGCTGGAACAGCCCGGGCCACACTTAAGGATGCCATGAATGGCCAACGCAGAGAGGGCTTTTTCTACGCCAATGCCTTGACAAAGCTGTTCGAGCACATCGCTCAGATTGTGGAGGGTCACGGTGGACTTGTGGAACGACACTACGGCACCGGGAAGATGGTTCGCGTTATCGAGCGCTTACAGATGGAAGCAGACGTCCAAGGTGGTATCATTGTCGACACCTGGAGCGACGAAAGAGGGATCGACAGGAAACTCACAGACGTCAGAAGTTATCCGTTCTCGTTCCTAGTCCAGAGCTTTTTGCCCCAACCACCTCGTGGCGGTACACCAAGGGTGAACTCGCCAGCTATTGGGGCAGGTAGCAACCCTCGGGAGAGCGAGGACGAAGGCGTCAACATGAGAGAGGTCGACGGCTTATTGAGTGAGATTGCTGTGATGCTTGGGCGCTGGGCGTTATACACACGATTCCTGGCTGGTAAATGCAAGGTATGGTCTACTGTCCAACCCCTGAAGATATACACGCAAACTAACATATCCTAGGATGCCGATACACCAGACGAGGCCCCTCTTGTCACACCAGACGTATTGGTCAAGTCAAACCTGTACCGCAAAGTATCTACGAAACTCACATCTCCTTACAACGTCATGACTACCTTCTTCTTCCGTCGTTCTGTGGAAAAGGCGTTCCAGCTCGACGAGTACCCCACTGGCCTGTCACTAAGCTTGGGCAAGCACATTGAAGGTAACGCTCCATATATCATATTGGCTGTCGACGATGTCATGTATATTGTGAACGCCGTCGTCCAAAAGTCCATCTCAACATCACAAAGAGATGTGATTGCCTCCGTGGTACCAACTATTGGTCGAGTGCTTGGTTCCGATTTTGTTGGCATGGTCCAGCGAAAGATGCGAGATGAATCGTATCCTAGACCTGTCGTTCAAGGTGGATTACCCTCTGAGGACAAGATTATTCAATTCATTGTTCTTATCAACAGTCTCGATATGGCCAATGAGTATCTTACCAGAATCATCACTGGTCGCATAGGAGAGACAGGTCACCTTCCCAACGGCGACGCCCAGAATGGGCCTCTCAAAGATTCGTTCCCCTTCGAGCGAGATGTCATCTTTGTTGCGAACGCTCTGCATACTCTTCAGACGTCGTTCATCGGGAAGACGACTGAGCTGCTCAATGAGGGTATCCAAGTACTCTTCAACCAGGTTGTTAAGCTCAGGCTAAGACCCGTCCTTACGGACACATTCCGTGATGCGGACTACACATTGTCGGAGGACGATATTGCCGAGATAGCTCAGCTAAATGACGAAGACGAGGATGAACTCCTGGAACAAGTGCCCCGACTATTTGAGCACGGTTGGGATCAGCTGATGAAGCCCATCTCACGCCTGATGACCCCCGCAACGTACACTATACTTCTGGACATCACGGCGCGTTTCCTCTCCAAGATATGGGAGAAGAAGATCATGGGCTATGCAGGCCGCATCAACGCTCTTGGTGCCATCCGTCTCGAGCGTGACTTTATCGCGTTGGTGGACGTCGTCTCTCGCGGAGACTACGCCGTAAGAGAGGTGTTTGCTAGAGTTCTACAACTTCTTATGGTGACTAACTTGGAAGACGACGAGTGGGATGAGATCATGGCTCAGGACGGAGAAGACGATGGTATTGACTGGGTCCTGAACGAGGAAGAGAGGAGGAGAGCGAGGAGCTTGGTTAGAGGTTGATATGGCATTTAATGATGTTTTGATGTGGAAACAAAAGAGATGGCGTTGATTAGAGAAAATAATTTAAACTGTATAAACAGAGTTACTGAGAGCGAGTATTTTGTGGTTTCTGGTTGCTGGCATATTCAGAAAGTTTATTACACTTGATAACCTAGGCTGACTCGACGTAACTGCATATAAATCTCATCAAGCAGTTTGAATAAACTCAAAGCCATGGCTATTACATCGACCTGGTATCAAATCCTCTCAAACGTTTACTCGTACTGAGACTCAGTGGTTATTTTGTGTGTCTTCTATAGACGGAGTCGTCGTTTCACGGAACATTAGTGATCAATCACCCTAGAGCGCCACTGAATAAACATTTTAGTGGCACCTTAGACAAACTCCAGAGCCTAAACACAACAATTTTCGATTGGGCATTGCCTCTGAGTCACTCTCAAATTTCAACCCTCAAAGCCTGGCCAAAGGCTCCATTTTAGCTCGTCATGATGAGTGAGCATGAGGCCCCAGTGAGATGAAAAAATCATTTTCTATTGTCCGGCTATCGCGAACACTTCCCCACAAACGTCTATATCATAGTCTCTGGTGGCATTTTCAAACCCTCCCACTTTCAGAGAATAGAGACTTCTATTTTTCAAGTCGTTACTCACACAGGAGTACACAGCAATCATTCAAACCGAGGAGCCCACTTACATCACAGAGATTGGTTTCTCAGGCTTCGTCCACAATGGAGACCAGGATAGTCAAAGTCCCTAGCAAGGGCTCTCTCGGACACTTCAGACCGGGTGATGGTCTTGCAAAGCTGAACCACTGGGAGGTTCAGTGCGAAAACAAAACTGCTCTTAAGGCATTGGAACATGCTGCGCACGAGTTACGGACCAAGGATACGCCTGTAGCGTTCCCAACGGAGACTGTCTATGGCCTTGGTGCAGATGCTACTCGAACCCCTTCTGTCAAGGGAATATACTCTGCAAAGGGGCGTCCATCAGATAATCCTCTCATTTCGCATGTTTGCGATCTGGACATGTTGCGACAATACATCGGTCATACAGATGAGACTGAGGATCCTATACCAAGCCGCTACAGGGCTTTGATAGAACAATTCTGGCCTGGACCCCTCACCATCCTACTGCCTAACCCAGTGCCATCAAAGCTGGCGCCTGAAGTGACTGCAGGCCTAAAGACTTTTGGTGTGCGAATGCCTTCTTCCACCCTCGCCCTCTCCCTCATCAAGCTTGCTGGTGTACCCCTGGCAGCGCCATCTGCCAACGCCTCTACCAAGCCCTCACCCACAGCGGCACAGCATGTAATGGACGACCTCGACGGGAGGATAGAACTTATTCTGGACGGGGGACACTGCCAGGTTGGCGTGGAAAGCACGGTTGTGGACGGACTATGCGACCCTCCTGTTGTACTCCGCCCTGGTGGAATCGGACTGGATGAGCTACGAAGCTGTCCCGGCTGGGAAAATGTAACGATAGCCTACAAAGACAAAAGTGAGGAAGGAAAGGCTGCACCCAGGGCACCAGGTATGAAGTACAAGCACTACAGTCCCAAGGCTACAGTAGTGCTCTACGAGTCGAGTTTCGCAAAAGGGGGTAATGGAATTGCTTTATCCGATTTGGAGGCAGCCAATAAAGCAGTCAATGGCTATGCTACGAATGGCGAGCAAAAGAGCAGGAGAATTGGTGTTATTCGTACTCAGCGATGGAATTCAGGGGCTGGACTGCGATGCGCCAACTTTCACCACCTCACAAATGTGCAAGGGGTTGACGAGGAGGATGATTCGCCATTCCAAGTATACGAGGGCGATCTATTGGATGACAAGGAGCAACCTATAGGAACAATTCTGGACATCGATCTGGGCAAAGGCACTGAGGGGATTGCGAGAGGGCTCTTTGCGGCGCTCAGGGAGTTTGATCGACGAGGCGCAGACACCATTTTCGTTGATGGCATAGAGGATAAAAGCGACATCGCCGCAGCGGTCATGAACCGGCTCCGCAAGGCGGCGTCAGAGACTAGAGCATGAATGATCATATCAATTAGAACACCAGCACTCTGTATGGAAATCCTTCCCTTTCTTGACCCTGTATCAACCAGATCAGACCAGACCAATGGCGCGGCGTCTTCCTTTTTGATTGTAGATTTGCATGCGGCGCTGGATATAACGACAAAACTCCGGAATCTCTAGACATAAACTTCCACTCCCTTTTACAGACCTTGTCGGAGCCAGTCCGCCAGTTTCGACTTTCCTAGCTGTGCCAGGTTGTTGACGCCCTGTTCACTAAGGTCGATGCGACCGACGGGGAGATCCTGGGTGGGTGCTCGGCTGACGCGCTGGACAATGATGGTGGGATCAGTCTCGAGAATGATTCCATCGTCGACAATTTCGTCAATGGCGAGTGAAACGAGGTCGTAGTTTTCGACAATTGTCCTCTTGTCAACGGATTGCCTAGATTGCGCAATGGTTAGTGGATGCTGCGTCGGAATTGCGCAAGCTTGTAAAGGAAGGACTGACTTGAAGAGGAGGTGAAGCGAATCCCTCAGAGCAAGGATGGTGTTGTAAAGCAGAATCTCGTTCTCATCGACACTGCCAACAACGTACATCATGACATCTGACTCCATCTTGTACAGCACAATTCGGTTGTCATAGAGAATGATGTCGCCGGTCTGCTTAGCAGTCTTCTCAATAAGACCCTTCTCAAAGGCCTTTTGCGACTTAACATCGGAGTAGGGGTTGGCGGAGGCGCTTGCGAGAGCTATTTAGAATAGTTGTTAGCTATGTCGTTGCGCCCAGTGGTATTACAGCAAGGGAAGCTTTAGGGGAGGATGGATGTACCATTGGGCGCTGAGTGAGGCGAGTGGAAGTACTTTGCGAATATCCGAGAACCGTCCTCGGTGCCGAGGATCAGGATGGCCTGAACCGTGAAAAGGGACATTCCTGGAGCCATGATTGCGATTTTGTTGTATTGTTGGCTTGTAAGTGATCTACCTAGACGGTGGCCCCTCCAAAGACAGTCTACAGATGCCAGCGATGCCACACTGCGAAAGAGGGATGCCAGGACCAACGTTTGACCGCTCCGACTTATCTTATCTTATCAGCGCTACCTACTTCACATACCTACCTAGGTAGACCATGCCCGGTTCAATTGGCAGTTGCAGCTCGCGTCAAGCACTTTACGCGTGTGAAAAAGGAGACGCGACTCGTCACCCAGCCAATCCCCTCCCCCTCGTTTTCACATCAATTTCCCAACGTCAACAGTAGCAAAAGACAAGGATCAAGCCAAGTTACCTCTTCTAGCTACTTGTACATCCAACACCACACAACATAACCGAAGATGCCGTCCCCTACGAAAAGGTCGACACGCAGTTCAGCGACTCCCCGCCGTTCCAACCGCAATAATGAAACAAACGAAACGCCCCGTCAAGGAAACTCGCAGCTTGAGGCACCTTCGAGTCCCCCAATGGAATACCAATCTTCGTCACCTGGGCCCAGCAACCAGAATGCTCTCCGTGGAGATGTATCATCGCCATTTAAGCAGATGACAAACAGTCAGAGCACACGTGGTCGAAGCGATATTCCCAGCTCTCCTTTTGGGCAGATGGCAGATACCCAAAGCGACATCGATCCCCAGAGAACACCTCGAGCTAACCCAACTACCCCGGCCTTCCATGGAGGTGAGGATTAGTGAAGCCTTCATTCACTTCATTCTCAATCGACTGACCAGTATAGGTTCCTCGCCCATTCGTTATGAACCCAGCTCCAGTCCTGGAAGATCTCTACGACATCAGTCTGAGCTTCGAAGTGAGACCAGCTTATTCGTGAACTCCCAAGCTGGGTCACCTGCACCTCATCGACGAGGTGATATTAACTCTGATGCTGCAAGAACACCCCGTGCCCCTCGCCGAGTTATTCTGGACGATGCTGGTCGGGTAGTCAGGGAGGCCCCCCCTGTCAGTTCTGATGCCGCTTCGTTTACAAACAGAGACCCCAACACCTCTGAGGCTGATGTTCTCGGTGGACAAGGACAAAGTCTTATTTGGGGTACAACCGTTTCTATCGATGATACTTTTGCATCGTTCAAGGACTTTCTCCGCAATTTCACGCAGAAATATCGCATGTACCGCGACGGCGCCTCTGATGAAGATGTTCAAAATGCTCCTGATGCTGAAGCGAAGCCCTACTGGGAGGCTCTGGAGAATATGTTGCTCTTGGGTGCAACAAGACTCTATGTCGACATCTCTGATCTGAACCTCTACCCTCCTACCCGAAAGTTGTGGCATCAGATTCAGGCATACCCCCAGGAAATTGTTCCCGTCATGGATCAGTCCGTCCATGACATGATGGTTGAGATTGCCCGTGCAGAGACCCTGAGAAACCGCGCGTCACAAAGCAGTGCTGGTCACCAAGCCTCGCAACAGAGCACCCAGAGCTCAGAACCTGTTTTCCCTAGCTCAGATAGGCCTGAGGAGGCATCCACACCACGAAACCAACCAGATCAACAGCAGGCTTCGCTGGAGGATCAGGTGTCTTCGTCCATTTATGTTGTTCGACCCTTCGGTTTGGACAAGACTACCAACCTGCGAGACCTGAATCCCTCTGGTAAGTTACATTCACCTTCACCTGCATTCTTGAGACTAACACGTAGCAGATATGGATCGCCTTATTTGCATCAAGGGTATGGTCATCCGAACAACCCCCGTTATCCCTGACATGAAAGACGCTTTCTTCCGTTGCAATGTTTGCAATCACTCTGTCAACGTTGGCCTTGACCGTGGCAAGATTCGTGAGCCCACCGAGTGTCCTCGTGAGATCTGCAAGTCCAAGAACTCCATGTTGATCGTTCACAACCGATGCTCCTTCGAGGATAAGCAAGTTATCAAGCTCCAAGAGACCCCCGATGCGGTACCCCCTGGTCAAACACCTCACTCAGTTTCAGTCTGTGTTTACAATGAGCTTGTAGACTTTTGTAAGGCTGGTGACCGTGTCGAGCTGACGGGTATCTTTCGCGTTAGTCCTGTTCGTGTTAATCCTCGCCAACGTGCTCTCAAGAGTGTGCATAAGACATATGTCGATGTTTTGCATATTCAAAAGGTTGACAAGAGACGCATGGGTGCCGACCCCTCCACGCTTGGTGTTGCTGGCGAGGAGGATACCGAAGGTGGAGAGAATGGCATCGAAGAGACCCGAAAGATCAGCGTCGAGGATGAGGAGAAGATTCGGGAGACAGCCGCTCGTGACGATATCTACGAACTTCTTGCTCGTTCCCTGGCCCCCTCGATCTACGAAATGGACGACGTCAAGAAGGGTATCCTGCTGCAACTGTTTGGCGGTACCAACAAGACGTTCCATAAGGGTGGTAGCCCCAAGTATCGTGGTGATATCAATGTCCTCCTTTGCGGTGACCCTTCGACCGCCAAGTCACAGATGCTCTCGTACGTGCACAAAATTGCTCCTCGTGGTATCTATACTAGCGGTAAGGGATCCTCCGCCGTTGGTTTGACTGCGTATGTTACGCGTGATCCAGAAACCAGACAGCTTGTTCTCGAGTCTGGAGCTCTGGTTCTGTCAGACGGCGGTGTCTGCTGTATCGATGAGTTTGATAAAATGTCGGATGCTACACGCTCCGTACTCCACGAAGTAATGGAGCAGCAGACCGTCTCAGTTGCCAAAGCTGGTATCATTACTACTCTTAACGCACGAACCAGTATTCTCGCCTCAGCAAACCCTATCGGCAGTCGTTACAACCCCGATCTCCCCGTCCCCCAGAACATCGATCTTCCACCTACTCTTCTCTCTCGATTCGATCTTGTGTATCTCATCCTGGACACTGCTAACGAGAAGACCGATCGCCGCCTGGCTAAGCATCTTCTGTCGCTCTACCTTGAGGACAAGCCCCAGTCGGCCCCTACCGACAACGACATTCTGCCTGTCGAGTTCCTCACCCTTTACATCTCATATGCGCGCTCCAAGATCCAGCCTACTATCTCGAAGGAAGCTGCCGAGGAACTGGTCGAGTGCTATGTTGCCATGCGTTCTCTAGGACAAGATGTTCGTGCCGCCGACAAGCGTATCACTGCAACCACCCGTCAGCTCGAGAGTATGATTCGTCTCGCTGAAGCCCACGCAAAAATGCGTCTTGCCGGTGTTGTCACCCGTGCCGATGTCCAAGAGGCCAATCGACTTATCCAGAGTGCCTTGAAGACCGCTGCCACAGACTCGCAGGGTCGCATTGACATGAGTCTCCTCACTGAGGGAACCAGCGCTGCCGATCGCAAGCGTCGCGATGAGCTGCGCACTGCTCTACTGCGCCTCCTGGATGAGATGACAGCTGGTGGCAACACAGTCCGATGGGGTGATGTTGCTCGCAGACTGAGTGAAGGTGCCAGCATTACCATTGAGCAATCTGAGTTCAACGAAGTGATGAGGGCTTTGGAGACCGAGAATGCCATTATGATCATGGGCGAGGGTGCAAGAAGAACCGTCCGAAGGGTGACGTCTGTTTCATAAAGAGGACAAAAATGATGAAGCGTGTGCACAATGTTGAATGATATACCATGTAGACAAGAGGAGACGAGACGACGATGATCCCCTTGGGTTTAGGGCTGTACGATGAACTTTCTGGCTGGACCAGGCATTGGGCATACTTGTGTGGAATAGATAGATGCTGTGATATTTATTTTATTAATGCATGACGATCTTGTCAACATTGTGTTCTGAAACAGTTGTTAATCTCCATTTGCAACCCCCTCCTTAGCCTTGATAGCAGCTCGAAGAGCATCTCTTAGTGTATCGATCAGGTCCTCTTCATCCTCCAAACCAGCTGAGATGCGCACACTCGCCTCCTTTACACCTAGCTTATGCATGTACTCTTTCTCTTCAGCCTTCTTTCCAAATACCACCATGTTGTACGCAAACATGATGGTGACATAGCCGCCGAGATGAGGACTCGGATAGAAACCCGCCCGGTTGTAGAAAGCCGTGGCGGTTTCGACATTGGAGAACTCAACTGTTAGGAGACACCCATATCCAGGCTCTGGGAACTCGGATGTTCCCTGACGCATAAGGGAATCGTAGTTCCTCTTTGTTGAGCGAAGACTGGGATATTGCACGTTGGTGATAGGAGAGTCGGGAAGGGAGATGGCCTCGTGGAGAAAGTTTGCCATGGCGAGAGCGTTTCGGTTGAGAAGTTTTGTGCGTTCGAGGAAGTCTTTGGAGTTGGAAAGCAGAACCTCTGCATCTGAAGTAAAAAGCTCGTTGTGATGGGACTCCTTGAAAAGAGGCTGGAGAGTCTGATAATGGGCGGATAGAGGGTTGAGGACAATGGAGCCGCCCATGACATTGGCATAGCCGCTAAAGGACTTTGTGAGAGAGGAGAGCAAAAGGTCAGATTGAGCGAGGACATCTATGTTGGCAAAGCCACTGACTGTGTCGTCCACGATGAGGAAGAAGCCGTATTCTTCAGACTTGAGAGATTTAGTGATGCCAAAGCGTAGGCAATAAATGACAATGAACTTACAAGTTTCTTCAGGCGATGTGTATCAGGAGTCTCTAATGTCGGGTTTCCTGGGACTTCAACAAAGACATAACTCACAGCCCTTCCCTCCTGTCTCTCATCCTTGAGCCAGTTTTCGAAGAGCGCGAGACCTTGTTCGTCAACCTTTCCAAAATGCTTCATTCCCTGGGGGCACTCCTCGATGAGATGATGATATGTGTTGTGGAAGATAATACCTAGCACAACTGCAACGCCAGGGCGATGTTTAACCAAGAGGTTAGTCGAATGGAAAATAGAAGCCATCCCCGTCGGATATAGGAATACGTCGTTGGTCGTACACTTGACCTTGTCTGCATCTATTGGGGCACGATGTAGAAGTTCCACGATTCTCTCCCGAAGAGCATTATGGGCTTCGCTCTCAGGAGTCCAAGTTGGCGTAGGGATAGCCTCGCTTTTAAGATCAAAGGGGATTTCTTTGATAGAGTCCATGCTTTTGAGAAGATCTTCAGCTCCGCGTATGGAGATTCCGATACCTGGGTTCCGCCACACGAGCATCATGACAGACATTGCTTTAGGATCAGCGAGGACGGCGTATACTCGATGACCTGCTATGTCAACACACTTGAGGATCACATCCTGAAGGCTCATTCGTTGCTCCCCGCGGTTCTCGTGGGTGACATGATGGAGAGTGAAAGGCCAAATCGCAGGGTTCAGAAACACCAGCGCAGTTTTATCACCATGACCAAGATGTTTTGCAACCTCTTGACCAAGCTGCAGTTGTCAACATACATATCAAGAGACAAATTGTAGCGGCGGACTAACCTGAGCAGAATGATGCATAGGCATGAACCGAGGATAGAAGTGGACTACCCGCTTCAGAGGGGTATGGTCGCCATCACGAATAGCGCGTGCAACTTGCCATCCTGAGAAGTTGGTGATGAGGCTATAAGGAGTTTGCGGCGGCGGCGCGTATCCAAACTCGGATTGAGGCTTGAGGATGACCATGTTTTCTCAATTGATTTAATATTGAGTGAAAGAGTTGGGTTTCACATCGTGACTATGCTGCACGACTAATATAGGTAAAGATAATGTCACATAAACACCACCTATGCATGCCATTCCCCTCATCCAATGACCTGACATCCTGAGCTAATGCACTCTGAGTTATACCTGTTCTATTCTAGACGTTTACTGTAGTTATTTAGCTATGGTACATCCTACCACATTTGAGCTTTCCGTTGTGGGGGCGTTTTCATAGGCACATGTTCAACTTAATTAGGTTGATGTGAGTTGAAGGTTGACGGCCTTGGCTTGGAGAGTTTAGTCACAGCCAATCACCTATGACCTCGGTAGAGTTCATTAGTTGCAACAAAGCTGCAGCTCCGTATTAACGCGGAGACGGACGAATATACCGAGCTCCAGGTATGTAGTTACGTCCATACTACGTCGCGATATTGATATAGTCTGCGGCTACCACAAGGAAAATACAAAGTAATCATCCGTCACGAATAACAGGCATTTTGACTTTTATTATTACTCAAACACTTTAGACTAATGACATCCTATCCACCTCTTCGTTTAGAATACACAAGGGAAACCCAATCGAGGTGCACCCACATCTCCTCATCTGCTTCGTACGACTGTTTCCAACATATACACAAATGTTTAACCAAAACAAGAACGCCGCCTTTTTACCAGATGTTTCTTTCCTTGCCTTCGAATGCAAAGTTCAATGCCACTCCGAGGAAGAGAGACACGCAGAGTGCGGTCGGGCCCCAACGGTCATAAAACTTAACAGCCTTGCGTGTTCGAATGCCGTTGCTTCGGTATAGGTATGTAAGCACAGAATAACATAGACTAAGAATAGCCAGCAGAGTAAACACGCCGGCTACCCAAAAGTGGGCTGGTGTAGGATGGCTGCCGAAGTTGAGCAGCGTCACAGCAATTGTACCGATATAGATAGAGAACTCGAGCTGCCATATCTTTGTTAGTTACTGACCGCGTGAGTGATATAAGCTCACTTACCCATCCAAGGAATGTTCTCTCAGCCGCAAAGTACACCTTGGGCTCAACACGAACAGGCACGTAGATCTTCTTGCCATGAGGCGCCTTAAACTTCTTATTCTGAATGGGATCCGACCCAAACAGAGCTTGCAATCGGTCGCTACGTGGCACTTGCGTGCTTCGAGGTGCTGGTACAGCACTCTTGACGACGGAAACCGCGTGGTGTCCAAGAGATTTACCCAGACGTCGTCCCTTTGTGGAAATCAAAGTCGAGTAGTAGTGCCATCCGCCGATTCGCTTGGCGTGCTCCAGTTCATAGTTCTCGTCATAATCGTCGTCCGAGTCATAAATGGGATAGTCCTCATTCGCCTCAGGAAGGTTTGCCATCTGGTCTTCCACGTCAATAGGAGGAATCTCACGGAGTCGCCCGGCGCCTTGCGTGCTCGACTCTCCGTTCGTTCCGTTGCGACCTGAAGCCTGCATCTCCTCATCGTCCGAGTCCAAGTCCTCCTCATCATCAGATGTATTTGTCGTTCCTGACAATCCAGGTCGTCGAATACCAAAATCGTGGGTGACGGGCTTGCGGATATCGACATCCATCTGGGGCATCCAGAAAGGCAGGAGATCAATTCTGTCGGGGAACAAGGTCGCTGTACCGTGAATGAACTTGGAGAACTTGGGAACAGCCTCTACCAGGTGTGATGAGATGAGCTGGCGAACCCACTCAGGAGGTTCCTGGCCGGCTTGTGTTTGAAGCTTGACCTCGAGAACGGCATAAGGGAATCGTTCAACATCTTCAGCAGGCAGCTGCGAGAAGGGGAAATCGATTCCGATATCCATGCGTCGCCAGTTGTCTCCAGAGCGAGTTCGGCCATCAAGATTGTCTTCGCGCACCATTGTGAGCTCCGTATCAAGCGAAATTCGTACTCGGGCATCTGCAGGGAGCTGGAATGCGGTACGGTTATAGAACGATCGGCAGACAGGCTTGTAGCCCTTCTTGAGTACCGAGTACTGGACCTCAGATGCTAGCCGCTCATCCTCGGCAATAGCCTTCTCAGGCTTCTTGCCTTCCTTACGGGCCTTCTCAAAGATGGCGCCGGGGAGGAGCTCTCCCTTCATGTACGAGTTGACGTTCTTCTCCTTCATGGCGAATCGAGCCTTTACAGACTTCTCACCTGTCCAATCCTCACGATGCGTCTTGCGCTCAACGAAAATCGTCTCGGTCTTCATGCCTCCGTACCATCGCAGTCGAATAGCCTCAGCACCCTCGGTCTTCTTCAGTCGGCCCTCATACAAATCCCATGTTTCGGGGTTGTCGTAGTAAATCGACGTGATGGCTGAGTCTTGGGGGTCGAAATCCTTGTTGGCGTTGAAGACAAGAACTGGCAAGTGCTTGAGGATGATGAGCTTCAGTTCTGTTACGTTGTCAGGATGAACCCAGTATTTAGTCGTTTGTCGGATGAAGCTGGCCTGGCCTCCACCAGCAGCACTGTCACCCTTGACGGGGTTTCCGCGAGTTCGGACGAGGTCGTAGAGCTTAGAAAGCTTAATGACAGAGGCATCGTAGTTCTCGATGTAAAAGGGCTTGGCCTTGAGTCGGCTATCGAAAACAGGCTTCAGGTGCCAACCGGTCGTTTTCTACAATTATGGTTAGCCAACGCTGAAGTTGGCAAGGGAGAGGAGAGGTGCTTACATCGTGCTTCTTAATGATCTTGTAAAAGCCGGTATAGTTGAGTTGAACAAACTTGGCAAGATCGTGGACGTCGGCAATAATATCACTGAGGTCCTCTTCGAGCAGCATAAACTCCTCCTCAGTTGGGCCATTCTCGCCGAGTCCACGCTCATTCAAGCGGCTCACGACTTCCTTTACTTCGCGCTCGCTCACAGCAATACGACGGGCAATTTCCATCGCCTTTACCTTTTGCTTTGTGTGAACCTTCTCGAGCTCGGCCTCGAGCTTGCCGACGAAGCGCGTCTCGTCATCCTCCGACCATTCTGGGCCCTTGCCTGCGGTCTTAATAGGGCCGGTGGATCTTTTGAGTTCGTCCTTCAAACCATCGTAATCGATATAGTACCACTGGTACTCGTGAATAACGCTGGAGCGAAGCTGCTCTCCGAACTTCATGACTACGACACCGGGCCGGACGATATGATGTTGGCCGTGGCGGGTGCTATGCCAAGTTCTGGAACGGGTTTTGAGGTCTTGAACAATCAGCATGTGCGCATTGAAGAGGCTAGATGTAACACCCGAGCAATTGAGTTCGAACTACGCGCGTGAAGGATGAAGGAGTACAAGGCGATCATGCCAGAGGCAGTCAGGTCAATGAAGTCAATTGATCGATGCTGTTGATGCTGCACTGCTCCTTGATGGTGGTGTATGTTCCGTTATGGTTGCTTACCTGTGACGACAACAAGAGGGAGAGTTCAAGACAGTGTTTTGTTCGGTATGGATGACGGTCGAGAATAAAGAAGAAAGAACAGCCCAGGGCTGACGAGGCGGCAGGTACGACTGTGCTATTGTATCCAATATGCAAGGTAACTTTAGGTACGTAAATTGTTTACGAGACGAGCGAGCACGAGGATGGGCCAGGTTTCCCTGACTTGGATTGAATTTCGGTCGCTTGTTATCGTCGGCGTCGGTGTCGCGCAAACTAACTTTAGGTGGTGCCTTGAGTGGAGCTGCAGGCCAATCTTGGTTTAGTTGGCGTTGTTCTGGTTCAAGCTCTGTTCGAGACAGCTGCGAACCTGAGACGATTGGCGAATCATGTTGGGTCCTATAGCAACGTGCACGTCACTCCAGATACGACAACCTAAGTACCTGAGCTGCCATGGGAATTGAGAAAAATGGCGCTGAAGAGTCGAGGATCCGCTATATTTTTAGCGGCCGTTCTTCTATCTCAATCAAGCTTTCATCCCAGCCCATGCCCAGGTAAACAAGTGCGCCAGCATCAATAAACTAATGCGGCAAGCAACTAACACGAGCTTTGAGTAACCGCAGGCTATTGGTTGTGTTCCATTCGCCAATTCAGCTGCCAGCTATCCATAGTGAGAACCTAAATAAAATGTACATACCAGGATTTCTCCTTCATGCACGCGAAGAATGCATCGACAAGTCGTCAATTGACGTCCCTCACATCGCCCGTTCCTTGCCCTGCTGTAGTGGATCGATTGGGCCGGGGAGACTCGGTAGTGGAGCATATGGATTGAGGCTCGGTGTCGAATTCGATAGGACCCGTCTTTTGGCAACTTCAAGACTCTGCCCGTGGCTACCCCGTCGTAGCCCATCGAATTATACCAATTGGGCCCCAGCGCAAGTTCATTAACAACAATTCCTTTTTCCCCTCTCAGAACGACACTCGGGAAATCGGCTCGAACCTTGTTATATCCTTCCATAAACGGATGCAACTATTGTTCGACCCTTGTCGTGTATCGCAGTGTCTTGTCCAACCATCATCTCTGAACGTCTGAAGCTCGTGTGCCCCTCCAAGTGACCCCGCGACACAATTTTTTATTTTTGTTGCCCCTCCATATCAAGTCACAATGGCCGCGAAAACGCCAATCGACGATTCTATGCCTGCGCGCATATCTTCGGATTGTCCAGACGAGATTCGAGAGGTTCTATACCATGCTTGGGGCCATGACAGGAGCGGCTTGAAGAACCTGCTCAAAACCACCGGCAAGGCCAATGCTCAGGACCCCAAGACTGGAGAGACACCCTTACATGCAGCTATCCGTGCCTGCGGGCCTGCCTCCCCTGACGACGATGATGATCAGGAGGAGGATGGTTCGGTCGAGTTAGCCAAGGAGATCGTTCACGATCTTTTCCTTAGAGGCGCCATCTGGAACGATGTCGACAGTAATAACGAGACACCTGGTTGTCTCGCCCTCAGACTCGGACGCAAACCTCTTTACCAGCTCTGCGTAGAGGCTGGAGTGCGAGCAGAGCTTCTCTTTGCTCTTATGGGAGACTATGAGGAACTATCATCCGGTTCAGAGGACGGCGACGAAGAGATGGAGGTCGAGGAACAAAATGACGAGGAGGCCCCTGAGCTAGTGTCTACCGAGGACGCAGTCGCTCCCCCTGAAGAACCCAAGTTCATCCCTCCTGATGCGAAGGAGAAACAAGTTACAAGCGAGGAGTATCTCAACTCGAAGCTGGTCTATGACGATGCTAAACTTGTCGACTCCGACCTCAACGGTGTCATGATGGCTTGGGAGACGGACATTATGCGTCGTTCTGTTGCCGCGCTTGTTCCCGACTCGGCCCCTGGCAAGCGCATCCTTAACATCGGCTTCGGCATGGGTATAGTTGATGGCATGTTCGCCGACCTGAAGCCTTCGCGCCACCACATCATCGAGGCACACCCCAGCGTCCTCGAGCACCTATCCAAGGACGAATCTAAGTTCGGCCCCGGCTGGGAGAAGAGCGGTCCTGAAGAGGGAGCTTTCAAAGTGCATAAGGGGAAATGGCAAGATATTGTGCCAAAACTACTCGAAGATGGCGAGATTTACGACGCCATCTATTTCGACACCTTTGGCGAGGACTACTCACAGCTGCGCCACTTCTTCTCCGAGTGTATCATTGGTATCATGGATCAGGAGGGCAAGTTCAGCTTCTTTAACGGGCTTGGAGCTGATAGAAAAGTTTGCTACGACGTATACACAAAGGTGGTTGAGATGCAATGCGCTGATGCTGGTCTCGATGTTGAATGGAAAGAGAGCAAAGTAGACATGTCTGGCCTAGACAAGGCTGGTGAGGGAGAATGGGAAGGCGTACGAAGACGTTACTGGACCCTTGATGGTGAGTTTTCACATGTAGTCAGCCTTTGGCTAGGAGACAGTAAGCTAACATTACTTCACAGAATACCGGTTGCCCATTTGTACATTCATGGGTTAGGAGTACATATCAATCAGAAGAAATCATGGACTTGTCTGCGACATGCCCGCTTTTTTGGTACTTCTCAAGCAACCTCTCGTCTCTATTCGATCGTGCTTAGATTCAAGTACACGTCTATCTCATTTTCCGGTCCATCGTTAATCGATGATGATGCCACCACACGCCTTCGCTTTGCCCATTACGCTATTGCTTATTTGAAGTTCTCAGGATGAAGAATACCAGCCATGTTGCCCTCGTTAATTCGCTTAAGCGTCAGGGCGGCAATCAGGGCGGCACCAACACCGCTGCCGTCTTCGGCAGTGAGGACCTCGATAGGATCCTCTTCCTTCTTACTCTTCTTCTCCGGCCAGTCAAGGATCTCTCGCAGGGCCTTGGCACCTCGCTCCTTGAAGTAGGGGTACTTGTTGAACACAGAGCCATCAGCACCGACGTGGCAAGATTCGTAGCCCTTCTTCTTGCAGATAGCAGCAACACCGCAAGCCGAGAGTCTAGCAGCTCGTGTGCCAATGAGCTCGGCGGTTCTGCGGATGAGCTCGAGCTCGGGGCGTGTGCAGGTCAAGTTCAACTTCTTGCTGAAGAGGTCGTATGTCTCTTGCAAGTTCTCCCAAGGGTCCCTAAAGATAAAATATTAGTGATGCGCGTAGTACCAGGGTCTTATATACTTACTCCTCAATGGCAGACAGGAAAGAGGCATCCAGGGAGTAAGGCTTGCGGAGCAGAGCAATATCCTGGTTCTCAAAGATGTGGATGTTCTTGTTGTCGTGAAGATCGACAAGGATGAGTCGGAAGATCTCACCCAGGTAGAGACCAGCAATCATCTTCTCGAAAGCCTGCTGGCCAGGGCGAGGAGACTCCTTATCAATGATGACGTCGTAGGGAGTTCGAGGAAGCACCTTGTGCTCGTTGTCGAAAGCTCCCCACTCGCAGTTGATGGCCATGGGAAGGTCAGCAGGCAAGTTCAGGTCGGCAATTTTGGGGATGGAGCCGCAGTCCTCCATGTATGCGGCGTTACATCCTGTGCCGAAGATGCAGCCGATCTTCATAGCGGTGTCTGTGTAAGCGGAAGCAATCAATGTACCAGTAGTATCATTAATGATAGCTGCAAGCTTAATAGGAACGCCCTATTCACCAGTTAGTCACGCACCATGAATATCCGGGACCAGTCTAACATACGCGAGCCTTGAGAGCCTCCTCAAACATAGGAACAATGTTCTCGCCCTCAACACCATCGATGTCGAAGCCCTTGGTCCATCGTTGAAGAATACCCTCGTCGATGTAGTTTTGAGTGGCAGGGTACGAAAATGTGAAACCGAGGGGGATCTTCTCCAGCTTGGTGCAGTCTCCATGATGAGTCTCGAGGAACTGGTAGAGACACTCGGCAATGTATTCCCAAAGCTCTTCAGAGGTGCCGGACTTAAGCTCCTCGGGCATGCGGTACTTGGATTGGATGATGTCGAACTCGGACTTCTCGTCTGTGAGGGTGATTTGGCAGACTCGTAGGTTTGTGCCGCCCATATCCAGGGCTAGGTAGGTTCCGGTCTCATAGCCATCGGGGTATGACATAACCCAGGTAGGGTTCATGGGCTAGGAATATCGTTAGAAGCGGAAATTCAAGGCGTATACTTCAGACTCACGATGCTACCACCCTCAACAGTGAGTCCTAGTTCACATTAGCCGAGTCATCTCCAAGATATCACGCATATGGAGGACTTACCCTTGGCGAGTTCAGAGATGAAGTGGTTAGTGATCTCCTTGAGCTTTGCGGGCTCTACGGTGAAGTGCTTCTCGAGCTTTTGAATCTCCTCGGCGAGGTCCTTAGGAACATCGGCCATGGATCCTGTCATAGTTCGTCGTTAGCAACTAAGTTTTGATATTGCGGAAACCTTTCGCGGTCAAGATGTAGCTTGAAAAGAGGTGCAGGATTTGTGGAAAATGAAGTTTGATAGAGAGGGCGGTTCGTCTCTTCTGCAGTATAGCAGAGGCTGTATAAGCACAGCATCTGTACTATGGCCGCAGAGCAGTGCTTGCCAGCTGGCAATCTCGAATGTATAGCCGTGGAGTACGGGCTCACGTAATACACCGTATCTGAAGAGTCTTTGTCCCTTCATACTTCAATGTCACGGTTGTACGAACTGTCCATTATCATGGCTGTGTCGGGTATTTGTACAGGATCATGGAGTTGGTCTGTGTTTCGTTCAACCTCGTACGGAGGATCGCCGCACTGTCGCGACTTCCAGAGACGACTTCGTCTTCGCATCGAGACTCATCCCCTAGTATATGATCGGAGATGGAGCCAACATCGTCATCGCAACGTATTTTTGTTGGTCCTACCCCACCACGCAAGCTCTCTATCTGGAAGAAGCAATAGCTGGTGGTTCAAGCAATTGACGCCTCCGAACAATAGGATATTGTTGTCTTAGGTCGCGGGGAACACAAAAGCAATCCGAAATAAACATTCGAGAATACGTACCCTTTCGGGAGGGAGGACGACGAGGACCGAGGCCGACCATTTTGAACAAGCGGTTTGGTTGACTTTGGCGTTGGCGGGGTTCGGATTTGGCGGGGTATTGTTTTGTTGAAGCTGCGTAGGTAGGTATCGCAATTGTTCGGTAAAAAAGTAGGTGTACGAAAAGAGAATACTGTTGTAATAGGCAGAAATAGGATAATCGATAGTAGGTTGATCTCGGTAGGGGACACAAGGGGTTTTTAAAGCAGTCCAGATATGGGATGGGGAGGGAGGGAGGTGGACCTTACGTAGGTAGTAGGTACCTTAGGTGCTAACTCAACTGGAGAAGTGAGTCGAGGTTGAGCCTTGAGGGAGTTGTCTTCTCAGTCTCAGGTCATCAATCGGCCAGAAAGAAAGTACAGTTACTTGCATACACGCACTGCCATGTACTCTATTTTTGTGTCTTGTGACCAATTGGCGAGATCCAAATCATTCGAGGTCTCCGCTCCAGCTGTCTTGACTCTCAATGGAGCTCCCTTACTTTGGAATACGTACCTACGTAATGTCTGCATCTGCTTCATCGCTTTGGCTGTCTCTCAGGATACCTACACTACCATCTGTGTATTGACCGCTTTGACGGCAAAAGGAATAAGCAAAAACAAAGCTACATCTTCTCCTCCATGCTAGCCTCAAAGTCAGTTTAGGTTCCCAACGCTTATGCTAGAGCGCCGCTGTGGCCTGAGACTGGTGTGGATTGAGGTGCCTTTCTCCTCGACTCCGAGCCCTGGTGTTGAGCTCTTGTCGGGCCGTTGACGGAGGGGTCTTTTAGTGTATTTGATCACACAGCACGATAGGAATTTCAGCTGTAGATATTGGATGATTCCCTATTCAATTTTTTTCTCATAATTTTTGCAAGAAGCAGAAATTTCTGATACACCGACTATGCGCATGTCTCTCACTCAGTCTTCATTCAGCTGTTATGTACCAGGAAGCATGGGGGTCGACAATGCTGAGCCTGGACAGCTTAAACTCCAGCTTGGTAACATGATGTCAGGTCCCAGTAAGCCACATTCGTGGGGGGGTCTCTAAGGCAAGGTACTTGGTTCTTCTCCCATTCAGGTACCTCAGTCTTGTTGGCGAGAGCTTGACAGCCCGCCCTGGACAGTCGGGTCGAGATTGATTGGGCCCCCGCCTTTCACACAACGAGCTTTAGCTAAGGATACCGGCCCGGATCCGGCGCTACGATTCTCCCGACAGGCAATCTAGCCACGTTTTCATTGGCCACGCGAGCTAGCTTACCCTGAAGCTCCCGCTGACGCGCCAAATCCAAATGGGCAACGTATGCTTTTTGGGGAGCTGTCTCAGGTCTCAGGAGGGACCTGTGAAAGTTGAGGTGTTCTTCCGTGAGAGTTAAGTTTGTGAGCTTGCACAACCAACCAATCCTTGACCGTAACTCCTTCGGCACTCGGCCATCAATAAACTCCATACTTGACAGCTTTTGGATCCTCAGTTAATGAGTGTATCCCCATCTCAGCCGTCGTCATGAAGCCGTCCGCCATCACCACGGCGCTCTTTAGCTTGGTCTCCGTCGCATTCGCTGGCGTAACCACCGACTCCAAGACATCAAAGCTCATCCTGCCCGCCGATTTCAAGCCTCCACAGGTCTTCAAGAATGCCAATTTGGTGCACATCGTCTCCCTCGAGAAGAACTACGTCAAGGAGCAAATCAATGTCCTCATTGAGAACGTTTCAGAGCAACCTCAAACAGAGTACTATTTGCCATTCTCCGCCGACCAGCTCTCTCGTGTAGGAGGTTTCGAAGTCAAGGACCGAAAGGACGCGAACACCGGGCCTTTCGCGGTCGAGACTGTTGAATACGACCCCCTCAGGTATGCGTCCTCGAGCTCGACTTGATGCGATAGAGTACGATACTAACTTGGTTGTTCTTCAGTGACGTCCAGTACTACCGCATTCGATTGCCCGCGGCGCTCAAGGCCGGTGCCCAACAAACCCTTGGCATCACTTACTACTACCTGAAGGCCTATTCCCCCCTTCCCGCGGCTATTCCCCAGGACGCCCACCAGTACCTCGTCTACGACTTCTCCGTTTACGTACCGTCCGCCTACGTTACAAAGAAGCAAAAGACCGAGGTCAAGGCTATCTCGGACATCGCCGATTATACGAAGATCCCAGGAAGCGGAGATGTCAAGGAATTCCCTATCCAGAAGGGCTCCAAGTTGTTGACATATGGACCTTTCGATGAGAAGCCCGCCGGTGCTCTCTCTCCTGCACGCGTTCGCTTCCAGTACAGCAGACCTGTCACTCATGTCAAGGAGCTCAACCGCGACATCGAGGTCAGCCATTGGGGCGGCAACATTGCCTTCGAGGAGAATTACGATTTGTACCATCGTGGTGCCAACCTGTCTGCGCTGTTCAACCGAGCTAAATGGGCTCAGGCTGTGCATTACAACGCTGCTACCCATGCTCTCTATGAGCTCCGAGTTCCTCTTCAGGTTGGAAGCGAGGATGTTTACTATACCGATGTCATCGGCAACGTCTCGACATCTCGATTCCGAAGCAACAAGCGCGAGGCTCTACTTGATTTGAAGCTCCGATATCCTCTGTTTGGCGGCTGGAAATATCCCTTCACCATTGGTTGGAACTCTGATGCTTCCAATTTCTTGCGCAAGACCGCTACTGGTGGTTACGTTCTTCGAGTTCCTTTCATCGAGGGTCCTAAGCAGCTCGAGGGTATCGAGTACGAGCAAGTCAACATCAATGTCCTTCTTCCCGAGGGCGCTGAGTAAGTCAACATATACCCAGCCTTTGTATACGTCAATGTCTAACCATGCTATAGGAACGTCAAGTTCTACACCAACGTCCCCCAGTCGTCCATCATGTCTACCTCTGTCGATTTGACCAAAACTTACCTCGATACTATCGGCAGAACACATGTGACCATTAAGGCACGAAACTTGGTCGACGAGTTCCGGGACCGACAACTGATCATCTCTTACGACACGCCCTTGTCGGGCACTCTTCGGAAGCCTCTGGTCGTCTTTGCCAGTGCGATGGTCGTTGTTTTCACAACCTGGGCACTGGGCCAGGTGCAGGTGGGATTTAAGCCCCAGAAATAGACACTTAGAATAGAAATGGAAAATGTGTCTTTTGATTGACATTAGGGGTCTTCATCTTTGTATGAGCCGTAGGAGCAGCTCTCGGGAAAGGGTGTAAAAGTGTAACATAGACGAGGATCTCATTAATGAATCAGGTGTTCAGCTAAAGAGGTAAAAAGAGCATGTGATGATTGAAAACTCGCTTGGCTTGGGTCATCATTTGACAAAAACGAGGCTTTGACTCAGCAAAGCCACCACCAAAAGACAGGGCCCAAGCCGTTGCCTATATCTCAACATGGTGGATAAGTCTGTGTTAGTATGCCAGACCCAGCCTCTTTTAATAGTAAACTCTGCTGCAGGCTCTAGGCCTTTGTGTGTGTGGAGGGACCTTGTCTCTATTTGAAATGGCTGAATGGGGTGTGCGAGGCAGGTTCCGAATGGTCATCCTGGTCCTTGACTGGGCCCCTCTTCTTGCTCCTTGGTTGTTGCGTGCGCCAGGTTGTGACAACATGGGTTAGCCAGAAGAAACCGGGCAAAGACGCCAGGGACTTGGGGTTGGACTTGATATAAGATTGAACAGAAGAACCCTCCTCGGAATTCGAAACGTTCTTTCTGCTTTTAAGCACTTACCAGTCGCATTCCCTACAAAACAATCGCTTTTTGCTGCAACGTTCAATAGCCAGCTCAGCTACCTACTCATTCATACCCTATCGCAACCAATCTATTCCACGCGTAACAAACCCTCATACAACCACCAACATGTGTTTCGGCAGTGAGCCCAAGCCCAAGACCACGTACTACTACCACGAGGAGATCACTCCGTCTCGGCGATACACAGGTCACCATCACCATCATCATCACAGCAGCAGCCATCACCACCACCACTCGCGCTCTCCTCGAGCAAGCTACACCAGTGTCTCTCGACGGTCCTACAGTCACAGCCCGCGTACCAGCGGCCCTGTCGTCTATGAGCGCTATTGATCATCTGAGGAGACAATGTTAATTTAGAGAGGCGATGACGTTGTACTGAGCAGGGCGGTACTTGGCGTCTGTGTTTAGCGGCTTTGGCAGCATGTTTTATGTGTTGATGCGGAACGTATGACCATGATAGAAGATAATAATCTTGTTTAGGAATAAGGATCAGGATATGGATTGCAGATGCAAGCAGGGCGTTTTTGTCGAACAGGAATAGGCGATTAGCCAATAGAGCAACTACATCAATTCATCTACAATCTATGCTAGTTGACACAGAAGAGAGAGATCAGCTTGACATATTGAGACGCCATTCGATCGACCAATTCTTCCTCGCACGAGCCTCGCCCTTTTTCTTTTTCCTCTCCTCCCTCGTCCTTCGGGAGCTACGGATCATCGTCATCTGGAGCTGTTCCTCTCCCCTCCGGAGCCTGAGAGCACGCCTCTAGCCTACCTATTGACGTATCGTTTGGGAGCCTTTGGGCGGGGTGCGGAGTGTCCCGCAGGGCTGGATCGTCGCTAAAGTGTCCATGACATCACTTTGCATTCCGCCACCGAGCACCGAGAGCTCTCAAAGAGACTGAAGACCGGGACTGAGACAAAGCGGTTACTCCAAAATGTAAGTGTAAGTGCAGCTGAAAGCATGTACCTTGTGTCGCTCAAAGCAGGGCAGGCCGCAGATGTTGTCGTCAACGTCAGTTTGAGGTGAAGGGTCCTTTTTATCTTGTTTAAAGCCTGAACAACCCCTGCGTCTTGGGTTGGCAGCGTGAACTTCCTGGAGATCTTTTACATCCATCCCCCTTGTAACGCAGACCCAGACGATCGATTTACACTGATTTACGGATACCCGCAGCTGAATTCTTAACTCGCCTTGTTATTCATACCTACCTACTCTTGTAAGCTCTTGCCTGTTTTGTGCACACAGTCATGATGGCGCTACCTGGTGTTTTGCTTTGACTGGCAAGCAAGAAGAGGGCAACGTCTTGCAATATGAAAGCTGACTCTTTTGAAAGAAGGCGTACTCTGTCCAAGTCCATATAGCTCCTTCCTTACCCAACACTGAGTAATATACCAAGCTCACGGAGCTCAATCTATCAACATGTAAGCTCAACATTTGCATCCATCGTCATACTATTTCGTTTGTGCCTCACGCCTTTGCCGAACTTACTGAATACCTACCTCTACCCACCTACCGAAATACAATGTCACGCTTCAGCTTCGACGCATCTGCCTCACGCAATGAAACGCTGTGTTTTGAAAGCCCGGTTGACGTTAAACCCCTTCATAGGAACCGAGCACTCTCAATCCGCTCCAACAAGTCCAGCAAGGCCAAGGGGAGCTCAGGTGCCTCTTCTGGTGGTGCCAAGCATGGCTTCTCCTTCAACTCACTCCGCGGCCAGGTCCAGCCTGAGCTGTCTCGTAAGCTCTTCCGTCTGATCAAATCCGAGAACAACCTTATTGGCGCCCACGAGACGGCCGGCCGTGAACGAGTGTCTATCGCAACTCAGCTGTCAGAATGGGGTGAGCACACTGGAGATGACAGCATTAGCGACATCTCAGACAAGGTAGGAGTTGTCTTGAGTGAGATGGGTGAACAGGAAGATGCATACGCCCATGCTCTCGATGATTCTCGTGCTTATCTGAAGGCTATCCGAAACACCGAGAAGAGCGTGCAGCCTAGTCGAGAAAACAAGGACAAGATTGCCGATGAGATCCAGAAGTTGAAGTTGAAAGAGCCTGGTAGCACAAGGCTGCCTGTTCTCGAGCAGGAGTTGGTGCGAGCCGAGGCTGAGAACCTTGTAGCAGAGGCCCAACTCACAAACATCGTGCGTTATGACTTACACTGTATCATTTGTGGCTTGAGGCAGGACTGACAATATCCAAGACCCGACAGAAGCTCAAGGAGGCCTATGCTGCCGAGTTTGCTGCCACTATCGAACGCGCTGAGAAGCAAATTATTCTTGCTAAGCACGGTCGCCGTCTATTGGAACTCCTCGACGACTCTCCCGTGGTGCCTGGCGACACCCGAACGGCATATGGTCATTCTTCCCAGGCCCGTCAAATCCTCAACGACGCCGAGGACGACCTTAAAGACTGGCGACCCGAGCCTGAGTCATTCTCTACTCCCATCCAGGGCCGGTCCCCAACCCTAGGAGGAAAGGGCAAGGAGCCACTGCAAGCTGAAGAGACATTGTCTCCTGTTCAATCTGAGGCTCCCACATTGGAATCCGAGACATCTCCCCAGGAGCAAAGGGGTATTAAGTCCTCCGTTTATGCTGAGGTCGCTGGCTAAATCGACAATACAGAATATTCCTAAGGGGGCTAGTCCTCGCATAGTTGATATGAGACTACTTCCGTCGGCTGTGTTTGTTTGCTTGAGCAAGTGGGAGATTAACTTGCTGCTGTAGCAGTGTGTCTGGCCTGTCACTTGTTTGCAGTACGGATACAGGGTATCGTTTCCTGGGTTTGTTAATTTGGTGTGCCAGTGGGTTGTCTTTGGGTTGTTGTATGTTTATATCCTACAAGTACTCTAATTTTTCCTCTCAATTGGACTCAGATAATTTGACCTGTGTATTTGACCTGTGTATTTGACCTGTGATAGTTTTAGTTAGTGAACGCAATGGTTGGGGTCCGAGGAGTTGTAAGTAAACCAGAATGGATCGTCCTTTAGCGTCAACCTTGACCTTAGCCTTGATACCAAGAAACGTTGAACCACTCAGCACCAACCAATATGGGGTGATTGTTGTCGTGGGTCAACAATGCACCTCTTTGATGTTCTGGCTTGAGAATGGTTGGACGGTGTGGATGGATGGGGTCTCTAGTCTAGGTATGTATATCTTGGTGTTGGACAATTAAGACGGTTATGCTCCGGGTATGGACCAAAAGAGATTTCTCGTGAGGTGATGAAATGATGCACCATTGTCATATGTCTATTTGGCGTACCCGAACCTCTCTGAACCAATTCCCACAAGGCATATATGATAGTGAGCTTGCTACAGTAATTGGTACAGTTTTAGTACAATTGTAGATGAAATAGGCGCATTCATCATGACCTTGATCGGGCTGTCGGGCCAGACAGGCTGTGTGAATATGACCCGGCATTGAAAACTAGGTACATTTTAGCACAACCGAGACCCATCATGACCTCTATAAACAGTTAGTCATTGGTCAGTATCTTCCGTTGTCCCGATATCAGGTCCCGTCTCTGTTTTCTGAAACCATTTTCGCTAACTAGCCCTCGAAGAAAATCGACCTCGGTCTCTTTGACGCTTGACAGCCGATGACCGCGGTGTAAGGCCCTGCTCAAACACAAGGACGGACAAGGTTTCCGTGCACGGCACTCACCGTATGCCATTGATTTAACCTCCCAATATCTTCCTCTTCCCCCTTCAATTCCTTCTCTCCGGGGCTGCTCCACTTGCAGGCGGCCCCCACAGACAATTTGTATTGATGATACCTTTACTGCTTCAGAGGTCGCTGCGCACTACAGCCACTGGAACATTGCTGCACGCGTCCTCCGCAGCGCCGTTGAGCTTGCTCTCAAGACCGAGATCGCAGCTGTCGCCTTCCAACCAAGTACAAACAAGGATACAGGTACAGGCACAGGTACCTGGCCGGGCCAATTACATGTCATCCTCAGCAGCACGCAGCCTTGCCGCTGCCGGTGTAGGTTCTGGTACTGGTGGGAGAAGTAACAGCGGTAACGGCAATAGTGCCCCGCCCCCTCCATCCTCTTCTTCTCACTCGACTGCTACGTCAACCTCCAAAATTTCTTCCCGTCGAACAGCTCAGATTGCTCGACACTTTTCCTCCTCCTCATCACCCACCGGCCCAGTCTCACAGCAAAAGCCCGACATGGCCTCCAACTACACCGTCCGCAAGGTTGCGGCTCCCAACACCTTCGAGCACCGTGTTTACATCGAGAAGGATGGCCAGCCCGTCTCCCCCTTCCACGATATTCCTCTTTACGCCAACCAGGAGCAGAACATCCTGAACATGGTTGTCGAGATTCCTCGATGGACCAATGCTAAGCTTGAGGTATGTCTTGCTGAATCCTATCGTTTATCATGTATCCCATCAGCAACACCTCGTCGACACCTTCGTACTGCTTCATCCAAAGCTGTCGTGTGCCCCGAAATTACCCCTCCCCTCCCCTCAATGTTGCGCAATCGCTGCCCAGACCGACAAAACACGAGCAATTGTACTAACATGGCTTCACTCTAGATCTCCAAGGAGGAGCTCCTCAACCCCATCAAGCAGGACATCAAGAAGGGCAAGCTTCGATACGTCCGAAACTGCTTCCCTCACAAGGGTTACCTGTGGAACTACGGTGCCTTCCCCCAGGTAAGCCTACTCCAATCTTACGTGACTTTCTTGCGCACGCATCTAACTTGATCATCAGACCTGGGAGGACCCCAACACTGTTCACCCCGAGACCAAGGCCAAGGGTGACAACGACCCTCTCGATGTCTGCGAGATCGGTGAGCTCGTTGGTTACGTTGGCCAGGTCAAGCAGGTCAAGGTCCTCGGTGTCATGGCTCTCCTCGACGAGGAGGAGACTGACTGGAAGGTCATTGTCATTGATGTCAACGACCCTCTCGCTTCCAAGCTGAACGACGTTGAGGATGTTGAGCGACACCTGCCCGGTCTTCTCCGTGCCACCAATGAGTGGTTCCGTATCTACAAGATTCCCGATGGCAAGCCCGAGAACCAGTTCGCTTTCACTGGCGAGTGCAAGAACAAGAGGTGAGTTATTTTAATTCGTCTTAGTCGAGGTATCGCAAAACTAACAGTTTCTAGCTACGCTCTTGATGTTGTTCGCGAGTGTGGTGAGGCCTGGGAGCGTCTCATCACTGGCAAGACCCCTGCTGGCGGTGTTTCCACGTAAGTTCCTCCCCAACGATGGTTGACATAATTAATACTAATATCTGTACAGTACCAACGTCGCTGTCCAGAACTCTCCTTCTCGCGTTTCCCCCAACGAGCTTCCTCCTCTGCCCGCCAACGAGGAGCTCCCCGCCGAGAAGATTGATGCTTCCATTGACAAGTGGTTCTTCATCAGCGGTGCCTCTGCTTAAGTGTTTATAGACCATCTTGTATAAAAAAGAATAACTCTGGTAGACATATAGTCTTCACAAAAGTTGAGCACAAGGGTTGAGCACAAAGGATAGTCCAGAACAATCTAAAACTTGATGCCAATTGTCGTAATATTATACAAGACCCTGTTTTGTCCCGCTGGGACTGGGATTCGTAAATGTACATGAGTCGTTCCCTCAACGCCGTCGATGCATGATAGTTATACAGTATAGCGGTATTCTAATCGGTCAAATCGGCAGCCTTCTGCAGTTGGCGTGAATGTCTGTCTACCTCCTCGACCAGTCCCTTGATGTTGGTTTTTTGGCAGTCAAAGTTGAGCTCCTTGCCATCCTCTGTATTTTAGTTAGACATTGTTCTTTAAAAGCCGAACTACAAGGCAACGTACTGAACTTTACTCGCAGGGAGCTAGGCTCTGTGGAATTTCGAGGTAGAACCGTTGATGTGATTGTTGTTCCGTTGGCTCGGGCGTTCGGAGGCATGAATGTGAGGAAGAGGCGAGCGGGCTTTGCGCATGTCGAGAAAGGGTTGAACTTGGCCGAAACCTCGGTCATGAATTTGGTGATCATCTTGAAGGCGGAGGCGGAGGTACAGCGTGAGGAATACTGGGCGCAATTGGTAGACTAAGGGAGTCGAACGCAGTCGTTCATAGGTACAGCTGGAGTCTCGTGAAGCTGAAATTTCGGGGTCGAAAATGTACCTCGATACGTGCATATTGTTCTAAAGGAGGTGGCACCGGGCAAACTGCAACGTCATGATGCTAAATGGACCACGTTTCGAGATTGACTTATACTGCACCCGCCAAGTTCCCCCTTTGACATAAAGCTGTAACTTCGACAAGCTCAACATGTCTTTCGAGGGTCTTCAGGAGCGCCTGACGGCTTTACAAGAGACCACTACCCAGCTCCAAGAGCTCATCGATCGACTTGCAACGTTGAAATTCCAGCCTGGCTCTGTGCCCCTGACCACGGACGAGGAGAGCAGCGAGAGTGGAGAGCTCAGTGCAGAGATTACAAGCACTCTGCGAGAGGGAGAGGAAGAATACGAGCTTTTACAGGAAGAGGTGGAGTTTCTACGTGGCCAAGAACATGATAAGGAAAGGCTGAAAGAAGGTGTTGCAAAGATCGGAAAGGAGCTTGACAGGTATGATTTATTATTAACCAAAGCTAGAGAGATGTATCTAACATGTACCAGCTGTCGTCTTTCTTTCCGGAAAGCACGGCTAGCCGCAAAACACAGCCTTGCGCAGGCGCAAAGGCGAGAGCGCGAGATACTCCTTACATCCTTTTCGCAACCTACATCCGAGAACAACTCCCTATACCCCGACGACGAAAAGGCCACTCGGCCCTCACGCCATCACCACCACCCTCAGCAACAGCATTCCAGCCTCACGGAAGAGGATCAGCAAACCGTTGGAGCAAGCGCCAATGTAACCAATGCTCTCCGACGCACACACGATCTGATCCAGGCAGAGCTGGCACGTAGCGAGTTTGCGCACGAGACGCTGGCTGAGTCATCTGCTGCACTGAAACAGCTGAACGAGTCGTATACTTCTCTTGATACGATGCTGGCGAACTCTAAGGATTTACTGGGCACGTTGTTGCGCTCGCAGAAGAGTGATACGTGGTATCTTCAAACAGCGTTTTATATGCTAGCTACAACACTTGGATGGTTACTGTTCAGGAGACTACTGTACGGACCTATGTGGTGGCTTGTCTGGCTGCCTTTGAGGTTAGTGTTTGGACTGGGAACCTCAGCGGGCAGCGCAGTGATGCACGCAGGATCTGGTTCGGGCAAGGTGGAAGAAGCTGGACAGCCGAGCAAAGGTGTTCCAGTGGATGGGCTGCCAGGTGATGACTTGCCTACCATCAAGGTTGGCACCGGGAAGGAGGCTGAAGTGCTTGAGGAAGTCGATAAGATTGTGAATGTTATCAGAGAGGCGGATGAGCTTGGGAATATGCCTGAGGGCGAAGAGCATGATACCGGGAACCCCAAGAAAAGAATGTGGGAAGAACCTGAGGCTGTCGAAGAACAGCGTCCCAGGGATGAGCTATAAGTCAAATAATGATTTTGTTTCACAGCAATATGAATGCTCGGGTCTGTGTTCCGAGACAAGCTATCTCATTTTCTGAAATGGATGTATCCCTTGATCTGGAGTCTTCATTCTCTAGATGAGATTTGTCTTGACATCCATAACAATCATAAGACGGAATACAATCATCGTACGAAGGCCCTGTCCTCAAAGTTCTAGTGAAACCTGACTCCGTTCAACACTTCATCTTATTTACTTTTCAAAACGGCTGAGCCATTTGCTTTGCCGTTAAGTTCAAAGCCAATTACATAACGTTAATAGCTGCCGCAATTTGACCCGTTTTTATATGCTAACACTACGAGACACAAAGACACATACTTAGGAATCATATTAACAAAAGCTAGTGAAAGAATGCTCATAAATATTTGTTATTAATGGCACTTCCTCTATGTTCGTTGGGGAGCGATCTGCGCAACCTCGCTGATCCAAGGGAGGCCGAGCTTCTTCATTTCAACAGCGAGCTGGAAAAGATAGTCGAGACTATACGATGTTAGTGAGATCTAGCACGTGTTAGGGGCGAGATGTAGGTTCACCTCTCGCATTGAGTCTTGGCCTTGTGAACATTATCACCCCAGACATAGACACCATGACGACGGACTAGGACAGCATATGTGTCGGGGTACTTCTCCATCGCCTCTTCAAGATACTCAGTCAAGTCCTCCTCGTGGGGGGTATTCTCGATGACGGGGATGCGAAGGGTATCATGGTAGCCCAGGTTGCCCGTCTTGTTCATGCCCCGACCAAAACCCTTGATCTGCTCAATGTTGTTGATCTCGAACACGCGGTCTTTACCAGGACCCTGAGTCTCAAGCAGGAGAGTGACTAGCACGGCCCAGTGCGAGTGAGTGTGAATACAGCAGCCAGCTCCTCGACGGGTAAAAGCAGCGAGGAATAGGGGAGTGCACTGCGAGGGCTTGTAGCAGGGAGGTGATCGCAAATAAGTGCGCTGGTTGAGCTTGTTGTGGTTTGGATCCTGCTCGGAGAGGGCCATGACATAGATGTCGGTGTTCTTCATAAGCTCTTTCTGGACGCCTGAGGGGGCGATGTATACGAGATCGCTGCAGCCATTGTGTAAGTATTGTGCTCATGAGTCTCAAAGCACAGCACAGCGAAGTGATGAAGTACGAATTCAGCTTATAGCAAGAAATTGACTAGCGATATTCTTCAGGTCTTTTCACTCGAAAAGATATAACAAACGGGACACATTGATCAGGCGAAGGGCGAAAGAAGGATACAAACACTCTTACTTCCCCAACTCATCATGGCGGGGTGGCGGGGTAGAAGACATGATGAAATTTCAAAAGCAAAAACAAACAGATAAACGGATAAAACATACTCATCTCGAATAGAGCACCCACCTCCAGTTCCAGTAACCCAACCCAAAGTCCAGAACTTTGCGCATAGTGACGGAATCAGGTTAGCTGGGTGGTTAGGGTCCTCAGAGGTGATGAGGGCATCGCCAGTTGGGCGCTGCTCAGCCGAACCGTCAGCCATTTTGTTCGGATCCGGAGTCAGTCGGAACGCCGTAAATCTTTGGAATCTCGGATCGGGGCGGCCGAGACGAGACGGGACAACGGAGGGTGCTGTGGTGTCCGCTGGAGAGAGACAGAGAGCAAATAACGGGCTTGTGTGCACGGGAAATGAGACGATATAGCACGGTCAAAGCATTGAGCAATGCGAGCCCAAAATGCAATGGCCAAAATAATGGGTAGTTTCTTGTCCTGTCCAATCCTAGACCAACGTCGCACTTGTTTAGGTTGTGGATTCAGAGCCTGTTACTGGCTAAAGGCAGCAGGTAGAGTTCATCTGGTGCCCCTGTGCAATCAACTGTCACCGTTTTGCACTCTTCCTTTCAGTCTTTGACTCTTTACCTCCATCCAACGCCAACATTCTGGCCAATTGACGTAAAGAGAGCTTTCTCCAAATCCATATCGGGGAGAGTGTGAAGTCTAAACAACCAGAAACAATAGCTTGGAAACGTTGGGCGCTTGCTAGACCTGACTGGGCAGACCTTATTTCCCCCGGTTTCTGTGGATTAAATGAGGCATCTCTACCGGTTCAGTTATGATTCGAAAAGAAGCGATAGGACTTCTTTCACCTAGAAGATTCTACGGATACATAGCAACTCAATGTCATGCGTACTACGTAAACACAGGCTATCGGCCTTGGATCTGGTGTTGTATTGCATTGCATCTTGGTGTGAGAGTGAGCTATGAATAGGAACGGAGACAGAGCAGCCGAGAACGATCCAAAGTTACGTTGTCTCGCGGGTGAAGTTTTGAACAATGCTCGAATTATAGCCAAATATCGATGGGGGGTGGATGATAGAGTTCAACGCATGAACCTATGGGCTCATTTCATCTGCAAGACTCCTCAGGTTTTGCATGTACAAATGCCTTGGAAGATACCTGGCTTGTGTATCATATCATAAGAGCGTTAGAAGTGGGTAATTAATACTCGTTTAATGAGTGCGAGAATCCGTCACATTCTCATCTCTTGTCTTGGTTCTTGGCCTTGGCCCTGGCCCTGGCTCAATTGACCATTTTCAGCTCTCCGCGCCGTTGCCGGGAAGCCTAAAACCCCCGATCCTGGCACAGTAGCAGTACTAGCAGTTGCACAGATGCCCCTAATAAGAAAGAGGAATTATGACTATGGGGAGGGGGAGGACAGGGCTCGTATAGAACATGAGCCCGGCACAGTCATAGTCACTCATAGTCATAGGTTATTAGAGTAGATACTTCACACCCTCAACTTCAGCTTTTCCGATGGTACGCGCCGGCAGACGCGCTTTGTCTCTTTGAGGGAAGAGGGCACAGAGAGAGTTTGTTTAAAAAAAGTGTTGAGCGCTCCATGGTGACAGTGTGTCAGTAAACAAAAAATATATCACTCATACTCCATTTCCGAATATCTCGGCCTTTGCGAAAAGGATAGCGCCAGGGAAGAACGCAGCCAGTCTTGTCTGTTACCCTGATACACTGTGAAGGAGAAAAACAGAAAAACATCCATTGCATGTTACATGGAGTGTGTTTTTATTTACTTTGTATTGGCTGAATTGCACTTGGTGCTGGTGGTTTAAGAAGCCCGCTCCCTCCCCCCTGTCGTAATTTAGAGGGGACCTGGTCTATTATTGTCTGGCCCATGGCCGCCCCCTGAGACAAGCCCGAATCCAATCGACTTTGAGAGATCCAACGCTAGTGAGGGAACTTGACGCTGAAAGTGAGAGAGACAGTGAGAGAGTCTCTGTACGATTTGACGAAATATGAGTACGAGCGGTAAATTGGGGGCCCAGGACTGTGATCTTTGTGTAGGCATACAGTACGAATGGCGAATATCTATTTAGACGACCAAAGGTGGCCATGTCCCTCAGCAACACGAGGTTTTAGAGGCGAAGCAGATCATGATGGATGGGCAAAGTGGGGGATCTTTCCAACGTGTGGGTCTTTTAGTCCCTTTTTTACTCTTGACTCCCTTTCAACGTCTTTTCCATAACATCATGGACATGAATTAACAACACACGGCCCTTTTACCGAGTTTGCCTCTGCTCATTCCTCGATCATCTGAGCTCCGAAAATAATTAAAAGAATCAACCGAAGGAAGGGGAGGGGGCCGCCAGACTAAAAGTTCAAGATCTGCATCAAGCCGGGATTAAAGGGACATCCCCAGCTCGCATACAGTAGTCGTTTCTTCCCCCAGTCAGTTCAATGTAAGTCTGCAGACTCTAGCACTCTACAAGCCAGGCACGGCAAATTAGTGGTTGGTCTTTTGGATCATGGCTTGTAATTTTAAAATTGAGGTCGGTGGGCTTCCTGGCTTCCCCAGATACCAGTCCCAAGTCCAGTATGGATTATGGATATGGAGGCCAATATCGATCGGCAGCACATCATATCTCGTCTCCTCTTCTCGCTAACTGCAGTTCGGTTGCAACTCACTTTAACTCTGTCTTTGTCTCTGTTGTTTACCCCAGCCGCGAATCGGTGGAACAACACGACATAACGCAACACAACACAACACACGACGTGGACATGCGGGATGGGCTGTTTGCGCGGCAGAAGTAACAAAACTCACATCCCCCTCATTTTTCTGTTGCTATGATACGGCTTATGTATGTATCATGCATACAGAGTATAGCACAGTACAAAAGTATCGATGGGTGCGCATTAAACAGCCCGCACCCATAATGGATCCCTTTTCGAGTTCCATTTCTTTGCACTTCCCATCTTCCTCATCTGCTCATCAACAAAATGGGGCCTGATTCTCCCCCCATGTTCCATGTTCCCACTAGACTAGCCTTTAATAGCACATCTCCCATACAGGTGTGTGAGCGACCTGTGATGGGTCCCCTATCTCCCGACGAGCCGGGGGGTCTAGCTGCCTGCACCTGAAGGCCAGTCTGTTGACTGTTGGTGGTCTTTTGGCCTGTGACTTGTGACTTTTCACGGACGGCTTCTCCTAGCCCATCTTCCCTTGGCGAGAGGGTCTGGGGTCTGGGGGTCTGAGACTTTTCGCTCTGCCTCGATCTAGTGGACTTGGGTGTGGCCTCGAGCCTTGAGGGGTGTACGGTATGACTACCTACCTACTTTCCTACCCCTTTGCCATCCATCCGCTCATTGAGTCCTGTTCTTCATAAAAGGGACATGTCCTGCCCCATATCGCGTGCCCTTTTTCTCCCTTCCTCTTCACCCTCGCTGTCATATTCGTCAAAGTCACTCGTTAGACAAAACCGTTCGCTTTACACTTTCGCTTTAAATTACATCAATTACTCCACTAATTCTAATACCAATAACCCCTTCACCCTTCAAAACCATCAACATGCGTTTCACCTCCATCTTCGTTGCCGGCGCTTTCGCCACCATGGCCGCTGCCCAGAGCAAGACCTCTGGTCTCTCTCCCGCCCAGGAGTCCCAGGCCGAGTGCCTCGACGCCTGCGAGGCTGGTGATGTCAAGTGCCAGTCTTACTGCATCACTGTACGTTGATTGACTTTGTTCTCCATGATCGATATATACACAGAAGACTAACACAAAACTTGACAGGTCCCCTCTCCCAACGAGGCTGACATCGAGAAGACCACCAAGTGTGCCGCCGACTGTGACCAGGGCAGCGGTTCCGCTTCCGACACCGAAAAGTACTCCGCCTGTGTCCAGGAGTGCATCGCCGACAACTACTGGAAGTCCGTCGATGGCAGCCCCCGTGCTACCGGCTCTGCTTCTTCCGACGACAAGGTCTCCTCCGCTGTCAAGTCTGCTGTCGAGAAGGCTACCGGCACCGCCTCTGATGAGGACAGCACCGCCACTGCTTCCGCCGCTGAGTCTGATGCCACTGAGACTGGTGCCACCAAGACCGCCTCCGACGCCGCTGAGTCTGCTTCCTCTGCTGCCTCCGCTGCTGCTTCCGAGACTGGCAACGCCGCCAACGTCCTCGTCGGTGGCATGTCCTTCCTCGGTCTCGCCGCTGCTGTCCTTGCTCTCTAAATTGGGTAACCAACTTTGGATATCTGGTTTCATGAGACAGTGAAGGATTTAATGGTTTCTGCTAGAGCGGTAATGATTGGAGTTTTGATTTCAAATGTGATACATGTTGGGGAGCATGAGGAAAGGCCTCACGGACCTGATCAGTTTTTTCATGGACAAAGTTTTGGGAAACCTTGCGCGTTCACATATGGCTCGACATGAGCATGAATACAATACCTCTTCTTTTTGGCGCTTTTGCGTAACCTCATCTTTCTGCTGTGCTGTTGTTTTGAATTACATGTCACTGTCACACACGACCACTGAGGTCGTGCTAGGTGTGGGGCTTATGTCTGTGATTGGCTTGTGCTTCCCAATCGGGTGCATTGAGGCGCTAGTTTGTAAACAAGCGAGATGACGGTCTTACGACCAATGTCAATTGGAGGCCATCGGAATTGAGCCTGATATTGTGATATCGCAGGATTTAACAGTAGCAGATATATATAATTGCTCGTGCTTTGACATTTTACGTTCGATGTAAATTGCACGACTTTAACGTTCATCATGAACCTGATAATGGCCTCATTCACACGGTATCCGTATCCCAGTTTGATTGCACGTCTACCCTTGACGCCACAAAATAATCTCCAATTTGTCGCATCTCTGTCACATGAACCCCAAACTTCAAACTCAAACGTTGGTGCATAGCAACCCGAAACCCTAGTCTTCTCTTCAGCAACCCTCGGTCGTAGGGTAGCTGTCATAATGAACGGCCTTAACTAGTTGCTACTGATGTCACTAACAAATACAGAGGAGAGAAAGTACGTTGTATTGTTTCGAGATGGTCCTATCAATGGTCCGAGTGAATGAATGTTATGTATGAGCTGGCCAATTGATTGCAATGGTTCAATAGCTGAAGTAAATATTGCCTATGTTCTAATCAAGCCTTTTCGTTTTAATCAACGGAACAATACTCCGTAAGCCTTCAACAAAAGAAGTACCGCAGTTATTCGTTCGGCTTGAACAGAACAATCCACCTATTGTTTCTAAACACCCTTGCAAATGTCACGGATCCCAGATCAAACTTTATTGTTAGGATTAATGTCTCCATAGCACGATACATGAAATTAATCACTGTAGCAATTCGTAATTGATCCGCCAATCGTCAACTCCAGGTCCAGTGCCTTCTGGTTCTCGAGCCTTCTGTGGGACAGTTATCAGTTATCTGTAAGTGCCAGGCCGAGGCTACCTTTAGCTTGGCTGCGAGCCTCGAGGCTTCCATTGATTTCCCCGCCTCCAGGCAGTGCCTGCCCTGACTGCCAGAGTCCCTGACAGTCGGCAGCCGCACCTTCCTGCCTTAGTGGCCCCGGGCCATCTCCCCCCGCCCTGGTCCTACTGTTAGCCTGTTACCTGTTACTGCACCGGTTCGTGATCCCTGAAGCTCTGAGCTTCTACGTGTCCTCAACACTAACGTAGAGAGAGCTCTCCACCATTTGATAAGACGCCACCTCTCGCTTCTTCATTCTTCCCGTTCCACCTCACCACTCTTGGAACTCTCAAATCCTCGAGCGCCAGGAATCCACTCACTGATTGTGCTATTTTATTCCCTTCAGTTGCACTGAACGTCCTCTGATTGTGTTTTCTTTTTTTTCTCCGTCTTGCGCAGCCCCTCCAGTGACGTACTATACTCTTTTTCCTGAGCTATCTCGTCACTTCTTCCATCATGAAGCTGAACGCTGTCGCGGCGGCCATGTCGGCTGCCATGCTTACGGGCAACGTCCACGCCGAGGACGTCAAGGAGGCTTCTCCCTCCGTTCCCGACAAGATTCCCACATTCACTGTAAGTTCTTGACGCCCATCCGAGCTCCCCATGATATCCGCGTAATCTCGTCATGAGTAGCTTAAGTCTTGACCAATTGACGGCTAACGCATGATTTTTCAGCCTACTACACTCAAGGCCGACTTCCTTGAGCAGTTCACCGACGATTGGGACCAGCGATGGAAGCCCTCTCACGCGAAGAAGGATACAACCGGTTCCGAGGAGGAATGGGCATACGTTGGCGAGTGGGCCGTCGAGGAGCCCGTTCAGTACAAGGGAATCGACGGTGATAAGGGTCTTGTTGTCAAGAACCCTGCTGCTCACCATGCCATCTCGGCCAAGTTCCCCAAGAAGATCGACAACAAGGCCAACACCCTCGTTGTTCAGTACGAGGTTAAGCTACAGAGTAAGCATGACCTTCATAGCCCGCTGATGATCGCACATGCTGACATTTTTGCTCACAGATGGCCTCGAGTGTGGCGGTGCTTACATGAAGCTCCTCCGCGACAACAAGGCTCTTCACCAGGAGGAGTTCGCCAACACCACCCCCTATGTGATCATGTTCGGTCCTGACAAGTGTGGCCACACCAACAAGGTTCACTTCATCTTCAACCACAAGAACCCCAAAACTGGCGAGTACGAGGAGAAGCACCTCGACTCTCCTCCCAGCGCCAAGATCACCAAGACCACCGAGCTTTACACTCTTATTGTTCACCCCAACAACACCTATGTGATTAAGCAGAACAACGAGGAGGTCAAGACTGGTAGCCTCCTGGAGGACTTCTCTCCCGCTGTCAACCCCCCCGCCGAGATTGATGACGCCAATGACAAGAAGCCCGAGGACTGGGTTGACCAGGCCCGCATTCCCGACCCCGAAGCCAAGAAGCCCGAGGATTGGGATGAGGACGCCCCCTACGAGGTTGTCGATGAGGAGGCCACCAAGCCTGAGGACTGGCTTGAGGACGAGCACGTCACCGTCCCTGACCCCGAGGCTGAGAAGCCTAATGACTGGGATGACGAGGAGGATGGTGACTGGATCGCCCCTACTGTCCCCAACCCCAAGTGCGCCGATGCCTCTGGCTGTGGCCCCTGGACCAAGCCTATGAAGCGCAACCCTGATTACAAGGGCAAGTGGACCGCACCTTACGTCGAGAACCCTGCCTACAAGGGTACTTGGGCTCCTCGCAAGATCAAGAACCCCGACTACTTCGAGGACAAGACCCCTGCCAACTTTGAGCCCATGGGAGCTATCGGCTTTGAGATCTGGACCATGCAGAACGATATTCTCTTTGACAACATCTACATTGGACACTCCATTGAGGATGCTAACAAGCTTGCCGTGGAGACATTTGGTGTCAAGCACCCCATTGAGAAGGCCCTCTTCGACCAAGACAAGCCCAAGAATGAGGACAAGCCCAAGTCTCCCAGCGACCTGAACTTCATGGATGACCCTGTTCACTACATTACTGAGAAGCTCGACCTCTTCAAGGCTATTGCCGCTCAGGACCCCATCCAGGCTATCAAGTTCGTTCCCGAGGTTGCTGGTGGCTTTGCCGCTATCCTTCTTGCTGCAGCTGGCTTGATCGCCGTTCTGTTCAGCCTGGGCAAGTCCTCTCCTGCTGTCAAGGAGACTGCTGCCAAGGCTTCTGAGAAGGCTAAGCAAGTCAAGGACAAGGCCGCTGAGGCCAGCGCTACTGGTGCTGAGAAGGTCAAGGGCGAGGTCAACAAGCGAACCACTCGCAGCCAGTCCTAAGGAGGAAAAAGACGTTGAAATCTGGATGGTATGGTCGTGTGGGCAGAATAAGAATCAAAATCAGTCAAGGTCAATGGAGATAAGAAGAGATGCAGTTTGGAAGAAAATGTAAACAGTTCTCATGAATGATTTGGCGCATCAGACAGCGATAGGGATATCAGACAATTGATAGCTTTTTTTTTTAGGTTGACTCAACTTGCTTATACTTGTCATGTCCGTGTTGTTTTTGAAAAGTTTGATATCAAGGAAGTTTTGTAGATACTGTAGGTACAGTGCAACAAGTAATCACAAGTCTTCACCGAAATCGGCACTCTTCTGAGATAACGGTGTCCGTAATTAGTTTAGGTGAGACGTTCTGAATGCGAACGCCCTTTGTCTAAATCCATTTCCACTTGTAATTCTTGGAAAGTGTCCCCGACATCAGATAACTATCGATGTGGCAGGTCACCAGAGATAGATACAGTTCCCGATTAGGCAGGCGAAGGGAGACGAGGAATATAGTGAGAGCTCTAGTTTCTTTCCGGCAGTGACCTGCCTCTCTCGACCAATGAGAGACTAGAATTGTGAGACCAACCGATCAAGCCCCGGAAGATGGGATCCATCGGCATAGTCGGCAACCGGCGGACACACCGGCCCTGAACCGGCGCTCGTTCGGCAATTACCCCATACTTTCCAGAAATGTCAGTCGCAAGTGTCTAGCTGTTGCTAGCTTATCATGAGTTGCTCTTGCCGTCCCCGCACGGTGACGAGTGGGAGACGTCTTTGGCAGTGACCTTCCAGATGAACCCCTCCAATTGCCTCCGCACCGGTAGCACAGCCGGTACAACTTTCCTAGTATAAAAGTCTAGGAGGCCCATGACCTCTTGAATTCTAACTTGGTTGTTGGTTCATTGGAAGTTGTCGAGGACAATTGCTCTTCCTCTCTTTGTCCGGTTATCATTCCTCCTCACTTACACCGTAACCACATCTCTTCACCACCGGCATCATGCGTCGCGCCATCACTCGCGGCTTGGGTGCTTCTAGCCGTTCTACTCCCGCCCTTTCTCGATCCTCTCTTCTCGCCTCGTCCAAGATCACCTCCAGCGGCGCGTCACACGTCGCTGCCAGACGCATTCATGCGACTAGCAAGCAGCTTCAGCCTGTGACGGCTGCTCTGGCTTCCACAGCCAGCAACTATCCCACCACCCACGCAAAGATCGAGGCAGCCGATACCCCCTACTTCATCGACAACAAGTTCGTCTCGTCCTCAACCGACAAGTTTATTGACTTGCACGATCCCGCTACCAATGAGCTCGTCACCCGCGTTCCTCAGATGACTGACGCTGAGATGAAGGCTGCCGTTGAAAGCGCCGAGAAGGCCTTCAAGTCGTGGAAGAACACTACTGTCATTAGTCGACAGCAGATCATGTTCCGCTTTGTCCAGCTCATCCGCGAGAACTGGGACCGCCTCGCTGCTAGCATTACTCTCGAGCAGGGCAAGACATTTGCTGATGCCAAGGGTGATGTTCTTCGAGGTCTTCAAGTCGCCGAGGCTGCCGTTGGCGCCCCTGAGCTTCTCAAGGGTGAGGTACTAGAAGTCTCAAAAGATATGGAGACTAGAACCTACCGTGAGCCTCTGGGTGTCACAGCTGCTATCTGCCCCTTTAGTGAGTAACACGCCCTCATTACCATTGTGCCTCAGCTAACAAGCTCTCAGACTTTCCTGCCATGATTCCTCTTTGGTGTATTCCTATTGCTACCATCACCGGCAACACTCTCATTCTCAAGCCTTCCGAACGCGATCCTGGTGCTGCCATGATCATTGCTGAGCTTGTACAGAAGGCTGGTTTCCCCGAGGGTGTCGTCAACATCATCCATGGTGCCCACCGCACTGTCGACTTCATCCTCGACGAGCCCGCTATCAAGGCCATCAGCTTCGTCGGCGGTAACAAGGCCGGAGAGTACATCTTCAGCCGTGGTTCTGCCAACGGCAAGCGTGTCCAAGCCAACCTGGGCGCCAAGAACCACGCTGTAGTCTCTCCCGATGCCAACAAGAACCAGTTCCTCAACTCCATTGTTGGTGCTGCTTTCGGTGCTGCCGGCCAGCGCTGCATGGCTCTGAGCACTCTCGTAATGGTCGGCGAGACCAAGGAGTGGCTGAACGAGCTTGCCGAGCAAGCTAAGCTACTTAACGTCAACGGTGGTTTCGAGCAGGGTGCTGATCTCGGCCCGGTCATCTCACCTCAGAGCAAGGAGCGCATTGAGAAGCTTATCGAATCTGCCGAGAAGGAGGGTGCTACTATTCTTCTCGACGGCCGCGGTGTTAAGCCCAGCAAGTACCCCAACGGAAACTGGGTCGGTCCTACCATCATCACCAACGTCACGCCTGACATGACCTGCTACAAGGAGGAGGTCTTCGGACCCGTACTTGTCTGCCTCAATGCTGAGTCTATTGACGAGGCTATCGAGCTAGTCAACAAGAACGAGTATGGTAACGGCACTGCCATCTTCACCAGGTCTGGTGCTACTGCCGAGACCTTCCGCAAGCACATTGAGGCCGGCCAGGTTGGTATCAATGTTCCTATTCCCGTCCCCTTGCCCATGTTTTCTTTCACTGGCAACAAGAAGTCGATTGCTGGCGGTGGTGCTAGCACTTTCTACGGAAAACCCGGTATCAACTTTTACACTCAGCTTAAGACTGTGACGGCGTTCTGGCAGAGCGCTGATGCCGTTGCCAAGAAGGCCGATGTCGCTATGCCCACTCACCAATGATCAAACCATGTTCTGGATAAGAATATCTTTGGACCATGGAGAAAAGTAAATAAATACAAGAGGCGGAAGATAGAAGAATGACTTTGAATGAATATCATAATAATTAGCAAACAACAGCAAAACTGTTGGGCTCAACCGAGCTATTGACGAAATTTAAAAAAACATTTAAAACATCAACAAATCGCATTTCACTTGTGCTATATTAGCTGTCTGGCATTGTCTTCACCTTGATACCTTTCCGCCCTCCATTTTAGTGGTCATGGGTCTTCCTTAAGGGTGTGACTACTCCTTCGTGGACTCTAGGTAACGAGTTTATGACAGAATTCAGTGTGGACAGTAACTCAGGACTGCCCACAAGTTTCATAATATGGAAGTCGGAGGCATGATACGGAAGACCTGATGTGCATACAGTAACAGAACAAAGAACAAAAATGTGTCATCAGAAATAAAATAGCTTGCATATGGTAGTTTCTAACTATCTCGTGTCATAACATGGACAAGGTCGCACTTGTCCGGCAGCAGATTTTACTGCCTCGTTCCTCTCTTTCATCCACATCATTGCTCGTCTATAAATGTGCCATATCTTTCTCCTTCCTCCTCTTTCTCAGAATGGCGATTATCCAACTCTCTTTCTCTCTGTACCTGCCCTGTCCTGTCTTGTTCGCCGATAAAGCCGATAAGGCAGGACGAAGTAGATCGAAGCTGCGCAACGCAGAGACATTTGTTGCCAAGGGTATAAAAAATATAAACAACTCTGTGCTTCCGGATATACAAATTCGATAATGCCGATGTAAACGGGGATTTCCCTCCCACAGGTGACTATCGAGAGTTCTTGGGTAGAGTTGGGATATTTGTACGTGGTTGCGTGGGCGCAGGATGATCATCTATCGTTAACAACTGATCGTCGTCCCTGGGAATTACTGCGTCGGGAGTTGCATAAACCCATCGTAGTATTCATCGAGCCATCGAGCTGCTTGGACACCAGATTCGTCAATACCTGAATCCCACCGGCCTATCGAGCCAACATAACCGTCGGGGCGGACATTAACGATGGCCACCTCGCCAGGTCCAAGGCTGCCGAGCCACTTATTAGTGCAAAGAGAGCCGCGAGTGTCCTGGTCGGGAATATCGTCAAGGTAGAAAGTCCATCGGCTGTCTTGCAGAAGAGGTGGAAGGTCTGAGATCTCAATTTCTGTCTTGGGCATAGTTGCTGAATGGTTGTTAGCAGAGGATTTAGAGAAACACGATATTTTTGAGAGACTTACTGATAAGACCAAAGGTGAAAAGGTGGCTGACATGAGTGTATCTCTCAGGCCGGGAGTAAACATCCTCAGGAGCCGAAGTACGGGGCTGTGAAGCATATGATGCGCTAGCCGCAGCAGATAGTTTGCTAATAAAAGAATCGGTACTGGCAATGGCGTGACAGAAAGTCTGGAGGAAAGGCGCTGACTGTTGAACGTCCCACATGAGAAGATAAATACGGAATTGGCCAAGCATGGGAATGTCAAGCTGGATGTCCACGGGATTGGAATCGATATATCGAGTAACCTTGGCGGGAGGGAGGAGACAACCTGGCTTGGCATCTCCCATGACAAACTGGTTGTTTCCAATTCCAGGTCTGTTAATGGCATTCTCACCGTACTCAGCGCCAATACCAGAGATGAAGCGGACGTTTGTCCTGAAGTTTTCAGCCAGAGCAATTGCATCTCCCCCGGCAATTTGGTTCGCATGTTCATAGTCAAAGTTGACCAAGTCAAGGGCAATCTTACGCCGCTCCTCTTCGTAGCTCTCCAGCAGATTTGGCTTAGCCAAGCCTCGGACAGCCAAGTTCAACTTCCATGATAGATTCCATGAGTCGTGCATCGAGGTGTTCATACCCTGCGCCGACTTGGGAGAATGCGTGTGACTAGCGTCACCAGCCAAGAAGGCCCTGAGATGGCCATCGGTGAAGCGGCTGGCGACTCTCTGGCCAACCTGATAACGACCAAACCACTCGACGTACTTCCAGTCTAGGTGGAACGGCGCCATAATCTTCTTAGCGCGCTTCATCATGAATTCCTGGCCCAGGTCGCGGCGGTCCAATTTGGCACCAGCCTTGAGCTCAATATAGAAACGGGTCATGTTCCTCTCTCGAGGTATGATTAGAATTGAACCATGCTCTTGTGAGTAAACGAGCGTCTTGGACCAGATGTCAGGGAAATTAGTAATAAGTTCACCGTCGAGAACACCCCAAATGGCGGCCTGCGACATGCCGACAGCCTTGACATCAGGGATACTCTTGCGGACCTTGGAGTGGGCACCGTCGCCTGGCAAATATTAGTTTCTGAACGCACACTCGGTGCTACACAAGAACACTTACATCCAATCAGGTATTGAGTCAGGACAGAGCGCTTGTCCTGATTGACGTTGGCACGGCAGTTGACCTGAAGAGGACCTGTCTTGTTGTCTGGGACGCTGTACGACTCAAAAGCCATATTCCTACGGACCTCCTTACCACGCTTCTTCATATCCTCAAGAAATAGTCCTTCAACCATACCCTGGTGAACGAGCAGAATGTAGGGGTCAAGGACATCGATAATAGGTGGATAGTGGACTTCGCGACCAAGTCGACGAAGAGGTTCGTCCGCTGTGCTACGCCAGAAAGCAATATCAAAAACCCGGACACCTTGTTTTAGCAAAGTGTCCGATAGTCGCATTTGTCTGAAGGTCTCGATCGTTTTTGGTTGTAAGCCATCGGCTCTGCGCTTGAGGTCAACGGGTTGTCCTAGTGGAAGAATCGATATGTACCATCTTACCTTCCCACAGGCGTCTGATCGGCTCGATCATCGATTACCTCAACGTTGACGCCGTATCTGGTCAAGTTTGCAGCCAACATCAAACCAGCAGGGCCTGCGCCAACAACACATACCTGGCATTCCAGGGGAGGCTCAGGAAGGCTTCGGAGAAGAGCAAGAGGGTCTTGGAACGGAGGAGGCGAGCCCTCCTGGCGCTCACGAATCGCCGGAAACGGGATCTCGACTTGATCCATGTCGTCGGATTGTACAATGCTAGGTACCATGATACGGTAGGATTTAACCTATGGAGTACAGGATCATGGACGACCTCCGCCGGGTCAGATAGTAGACAGAGTGTCGTCCTGCAGAAGTTGCGACAAGCAAAGGTGTCGAGAGAATCTGTGCCCGGAACTATAAGGTATTGCAATCGAGTAGGTTGGCGACAACAACGAGGGGTGTGCGAAGTACAAGGGTGGTCTAGGTGATATCGTTCGATATGGTCCGTCCACTTGTCAAGTGCCGTGCGTATCGATCAAACTCGGGGCCTTATATAAACTCCCCGATCTCGTCTGATGGAATTGGTCGTCGAGATTGGATTTGCGAAAATCGAAGACGTTGAAGAGGTCTTGTAAGTTTCGAAGAGGGGTCGTGTAGTCGGTATTAGTCGGATTCGATGTATGTAGAATCGATCGACAGCTGTACGGGGGTTGTCTAGGTCGCGGGGCAGACCGACCGACTAGCTATTGGGCAGCTTGAATATGGGTGACAAGTTATAACTGAGGTGACAAGGGCTGAGCACGTTGACTACGAGGAGAATGGCCTAAGAGGGCGTAAGGACGACGATAGCGGGGACGAGTGTACGGACAAATGGACGAGAAAGCACGGATGGACACCGAGGTGAAGAGAAGGAGAGAGAGAGAGGCTAAGTATGAAGCTATTCCGAGCCTATCAAGGTCAGATATAGGAATTAGGAAACACGGCGCCCACGGAGTGGCAGGTACCGGTATTCGGGGGTGATGGGAAGCGACGACCAGGGGGTGCTACGAGGGGTGGCCTAGAAGCAGAAAGAGCTACAGGAATGGCTGAATTGGATGGGAAAGGCCAGCCCAAGGGTTCGAGGGCAACAAGGGCAGGTGCGAAATGGGGTCACAATTGCCTGGAGCAGAAAAAAAAATGGCATGACATGATTATCGACAGCAGGCCCGGAGGCAGGCGACGCCAGACCTGACGAGGAGACAAGAAATGGGCTGATTTCGCGGGAGATTTTGTTGGCGCGCTGCCACACGGTCCACTCGACTGGGTCTAGCTTTCCAGGGCCCTTCCTAAACTCCTTCCTTCACTGCTTCACAAGCTCCGCTCACTCCTTTTTACTGGATCCCACCCGCTGGAACGTGGGAACTCGGAAGGGGTCCACACCTGTCTTGGAGCGCCCCGCTTCCTTTACCTAACATGTGATTGGATGATAATTGAAGAATTGATTGTTCTTTGTCAAACCCAAAAGCCCAGAGAAGGAGGAGGGTTGGGGAACGGGAATAAGAGGATATGAGAGATGTCATATTAGATATGGTCAAGTTTGTTCTTGAAATAAAACTACTACCAAATAATTATTCCAAACCCCAGTAGATAGATAGACCCTCAAGGAAACATTAGCTCATATGAAAAAAGACAAGTTAGAGGTTAACGTTAGAACACAGACCAGGGTGGCCATAAGCCTAGATCGATCCTTAAACACTACCGCCATCTCGTCCTCAAGAATGAATGGCATTGACACTTTGAACCAAAACCAAAAAGACGTTGAACCCGTGCCACACTCGTGCGGCTCCCAGTCCTGGGTGAAATCGTGCAGCTGGCGTGAATATTGTACTATGTACGTACTCCCACTACAGCAGCCAAAGTGTGACAAGGTACGGAGTAGAATCATCCCTTCTCGTGCAACAGTCAAATCCGCATCTGCCAATTCGTCATCTCGACTTACCCTTTTGAGATGTAGCGCATCGACTCGGCTGCGGTCATGACATGAACGATGGAGCATCAGGGTCTGATATGGCATGTTGTTAAGCTCCATTGCCTGTGCAGTATCTCGGGGTTCTCTCTCCCCAGGCTCACTTAATATGAAGACTTCCGTTCTCGGATGGTATTATTAAGCATTGACGAACGAATGATCTATCCCTTCGATGCCGGGGTTTAAAGGACTTTATCGGAGGTTTGGTGATTAAACTTGGTTAGCATATGTAGTGTCACCAGCTGAATCAAAAAGTCAAGGAATTTGGCTGACATTCTGTGGCAGAGCTACACCGTAATTTGTATTTATATATAGGAACCGTTTCATTGACTCAGATTGGATCTGATAGTGGTACATAGATTCAAACTGATACATGCAGGGCTTGCTTGTCTTGCACCCCGCCTATCTGATACCGGCATGTGTAACAAGAACAAAAACATGAACAATCTGATGCTCATGGGTCAAGACGATACAGACCAACGCAACGCAACACCAGAACTATCTTCTTGATCAAAATAAAAGAGTTTCATTTTTTCTTTCGTCTGGGGTGGCTTACATCAAGCACAAACCCTGCCTCTCTAGCCTGCAGATTATCCTAGTTGTAGTTGCTGTCACAATCCCAGCTGTTGAGCTGACAATGGCACCCTCACCATGTGCAGCGAACGATGATCATCTCATGATACGGACATTTTGACACACTGGGTTCCTTGCTTGACGTTGATTGGATATGCATCTTTCCGGAATTGGCACATCAACAAATATGTGGCGTTGACATTTAAGCCAATGCTCTGGTGGTACATATATACATTGATACATCCTACCCTTCCGTGTGTGATGCAGTGTAAGCAACGTCTTCTCATCCTATCTTATCTGCAATGGCATCGTCACCAGAGTTTGTTTATTCATCGGTGTACATTCTGAGTCCTAGATTCTCATCGTTTGACTATCAATCGAATCATTTAACTCATTTCATGCCTGACCATCGCTCGAGTTGGGCCACAAGTTATATGCACATCGAATCCTTCACTGCTGATATCAGTCAGTTTGTAGCACCAACATACCATGGCATACATAGATACCACCAGCCAAATGGGACTTTGTGTGAAATGGGCATGGCGCATGAGATGTCTTATCTTCCCACAGGCACCATACGATTGACATCAAAATTTAACTGTAGAGCACATCGGCCAGCAATATTGATTGTATCTCATCTCTTCCACATCATCCACGCAATAAATAGATTTAGCAGACATTTGATCATAGCATTTCGTCAGTAGCCTCAACTTCGAACTTGGTCTTAGTTACCAGAGACCAGAACCGTACTCTCATCCACGTTACCATTGGCCTGCTTGCCATTGCTATCACCCTCATAAGTGACATCCACATCTTCAATAACTTGACGACCGCTGAAGTTCTGCATATATGACTGTGCCTTGGCTCGCGTGGGAATAGTATACCAATCCGGCAACATGCGCAGAGCAGGCAATATGGAACCTGTCCCAGGAATTATGACATGTCCACTGCGCCCTGAAAGAATTTGCTTGACTACTGCGTCAGCCACCGATTCAGGTGCAAGTGGTGGCATGAAGAAGTCAGTGTTCTGGTAGTAGCCCTTGAAGAGTGCGGTGTTGGTGGCACCGGGGTGGACGACTACTGTCCTAACTTTGGGCGCATTGTATCTTGTAGTAAGCTCAGCAGTCAGGCCTTCGTGGAAAGCCAGAGCAGCTGCCTTCGAAGCACCATAATCAACAAGATTGGGGATCGTCAACCAACTCGCATACGACGTCAAGGTCACGACCATTCCGTGGTTGTTGGCAACCATGTTAGGGACGAACGTCTTGGTCGTCCAGAACGGCGCAAATGTGTTGACATCAAATGTGAAGCGGATGTCACTTGGCTGAGACTCAAAGATGGTTTTGCCCCTGGCTACTCCAGCAACGTTGATGACGACGGTCGGGTGTCCGACTTGATCTCTGATCTTTTCGGCGACGGCCTCGACGTTTTCAGGTGATCGAAGATCGCATTGGAAGTGGTGCACATTGGCCGCTGCAGTGATTCAGTTAGTCTTCATCTTTTACACAACGGTATTGAACTGGCACGTAACAAGGGATCACACACCAACTTCGAAGGACATAGGCTGAACATCTAGGACAACCACCTTGACATTCATTTCCTCAAACAACTTGACGATTTGGCCGCCAATACCTCCAGCACCGCCCGTTACAAGGACGATCTCGCGACCCCAGTCATATTTGTCGTCGACCCAGTTGTTTCTTGTCTTATCGGACCACCAGCCACTGACCCATCGTGCAAGTCCAAAGTATAGGAGTGTCTTTAGGTGAGAGAAGGCGCTCGGATGGAGGATCGAGAGGTCTTGGCCCTTCTTGGTAAGGCGAGCGAATAACACGAGAGGAAGCAGAAGAGCTGGATTGAGTGCCGTTTGTCGAATGATTCTCATCAAAACGTCGGCGCAGAAGCCTTCGCGTGGAATGAGTCCTTTGTGTATTGGCATGATGGGGAGATACGTGGTGGAGATGGTGTAAGTAAAAGTTATATGGCAAGATTTCAAAACCACAAACAAGGAGGTGTCTGTTTATGGCCTTACGAACAACAGAAGGAGTCGAGGAAAGAAGTAAGCATTTCAAGGACGCGGGCCCAAACTTCTCACGCCTCAAATAGACACCCTTTATGAGGGGAAGAGGTCTTTGATATTGGACATGATGGGCAACGCGCATGTAAACCGAGGCTCTTTTCCACGAACAGCTACCACTTCGCAGAGAACTACAGTTATTTACAGGGGTAAAGAAGACAAGAAATCCGGGGTAGACCAATATGGATACGTTCTTACGTAGTAAGAAAGCTATTCGCCGGCGTTTCAGTTGCAACCAGCTCCTACCGAGGAGCGGCATTGCTCGCGCCAAGCTTGATCTATCATCAGTAACGAAAATCGCATACGGATAGTCTAACTTAGTTGTCGGTGTAGCAAAGAACCCCGCAATCCAATGGGCTGCAGGTCGGCTTTTATGCTAACGGGGATTATTCCTTAATTGGCAAATGCTGGCTCATGGCGATGTGGTGACCTTCATGGGTTAGCGGAATTTGAAGATGTGTGACGCCTTATTTAAAAAGAGGCGGCTTGGGACTGGGTTTGCGACTCTACCACGTCTTGACTTGAATACCGGCAGTTTTTGTAAATTGAAAAGAGGAAAAAGGGCAAATAAGAATTCTTTAATCTTTATTAACAGAATTAAAAAAAGATATTGCTAATGCAGGGTATTGGATTGTCACACAAAATACAAAGATGTTAGAAAAACACAACCAGGAACAAGCTCACAAATCCAGCATATGCCACCATATTCGGCTCATAAACAGGCCCTTTTGAGTCCTTGTCGCTTGCATCAAGCTCGGTTGCATCTCCTGGCGCAAACAAGACACCCACTTCGTTAGCAGTCTCCACGTCGATCTCTTCCGGTGAGAGCAGCTCATTCGATAGCTCATCGCAGGACGGACGGTCGTCGTCTTCCGGGATGGAATTGGTAACAGAGATTGGAACGTCAAAGATGGTATAGTAGTCATCACCGTTGAGTCGAAAGTTTTGCCTGATGGAAATCTGCATCAAGTCAGGTTGAGAAGATACTCAGAGTCATTAGGGTAGGAGTCTGCTTACATTGTAGACACCGCGATCGCTGTCCTTGTCTGGTTCTCCGTCCCCAACGAGACAATCTGGCCAGACCCAGTTGACATGCTTCACTGTGCTGCCAGGTTCTTGCGCCATGATCTCTCCGAGACTCGCGTTGTTAGCGGTCGCCGTTCCGTTGGAAATAGTAAAGTTGCGTCTAGTGTCGTAACTGTAGAGAAACATCTCGATACTAAAGATCTGATTGCTGTCGTCATCATCGTGAGGCGGCAGCGGCAGCTTCCCGTTGGCGGTTACATCTATAGCGACATGCAGTGTATCTTGCACCACTCATGTTAGTGTTGTGAAACTATCCTCAACGTTGTGATGTCAACTTACCTCCTCCAAGGGGCGTATTTGGCTGAGGGGCATCTAGTACTACAAAACCAGGTGTAAAGATCTGCCCATTGGAGATAGTGAAGTTCCCCGCCAGCGCTCGCCCAGCCAGGACCAGCACGGCTGTGAATTGTCGTGATGATACCATCGTCAGAAGTGAAGCGTTATACGCAAGCCAGGCGCAGAATGGGAGCGGGAAATCAGGAGCAGAAACACCAAAAGCATCATCACGGCGTAGGGTTGACTATATCTACTTTCTGAAACCGGAGATTGGACTTGGCCGAGTCTGCAGCGAGATGATTAGATCCTTGGTACATGTTTGAGGAAGGGGTCCTTCATAGGCGGAATTGCAAGGGTTGTTCTGCCGGGTAATAAGGCTATTCGAGGGCTCGCAGAATGAAGTAGACAGATCAAACGAATTCGAATCATACTACGGATACGTATGTTTAGTTTATGGCTGCAATGCTCATAATGTGATTTGGTACATATAATTGCTGTCCATAGTCTTTGTCGACCCATGCTAGGGTTGCAATATCGCTGCATATCTTGACTATCAAACACATTAAAGTCCCATGACGTTAGCGTAGAGACAGGGCTTATTCACTCAGATGTCTACATTGTAATTGGGGACCCAAAGCTATTCAAAGATCAAAGCTGCATTTTTATGCGTTTCGTTCTATGATCTCTCTCAATAATGCAATTGTACTGCAGCGGAATTACTTCCATGAGGTGTTATTCATGACCCTTCTAAAATGAGTTAGCAGAGGCGCTTACGGACGGAGCCCTCCGACAGCCAAGCTCTATGGATTAGAGTAGCCTCTTACAGATTTGATCTTTGTGGAGCTCTTTTTTTCAATCATGACAGACGATATCTAACGATAGGCGAAAGAAATAGTATTGATTTTTAGCTGTTAGTATTGATAATTGCTGATCCGAGGCTATTGTCGTTGCCCGAATTCTAGCGCCAACTCAGCTTGTCACTCCAACTGGACCCCTCCTCTCCTCGCTAACTCGACCTCAGTTCTCAGAGCATCTTGAGTCAATCAACAAAACACGCCATCCTTGTTCTTCCTGACTTCCAGTGTTTATACCAGATAATTGGTATCACTGCATCTCAACCAACCCAGCGCAAACACACGCACACACATATAAACACCATGCGGTTGTCGAGCCTCATCTCCCGGCACGGCTCCGTCCTGCGGCGTTGCGCCGGAGCCGGAACTCGGCCGATGTACTCTCAACGCCGTCCTATGAGCTCTTCGTTGGCCGGTGTAAAAGAGTTGCTCAAGGTCTCTGAGGAAATCACCGATGCCGTCGCCACTAACAAGCCCATTGTTGCTCTTGAGTCAACCATCTACACCCATGGAGCTCTGGGCAATGAACTCGCCCTCCAGCACTCCGATCTCGTGCGCAGTAATGGAGGCATTCCTGCTATCATCGCCATTGTGGATGGTGTGCCTACCGTTGGCGCAACAGCATCTGATATCCTTCGCATGATTGAGAGCGGAAGTGCTGTCAAGGCATCAAGAAGGGATATTGCCTACATTGCAGGAATGGTAAGTCAAGATAAGCACCGACATATTCGCTAATGTCGATTCATGGCATAAGTGCACCACATCAAGAACTCATCAATGTGAGCGGACTACAGTAGCTGACCAGGTTCCCTTTTAGGGCTTGACAGGGCAGAAGATTCATGGTGGCACCACCATCTCCGGAACTATGTTGCTGGCAAGGCTGGCAGGCATTCGGGTCTTTGGCACTGGTGGTTTGGGTGGTGTTCACCGTGGTGGCCATGACTCTATGGACGTTTCTGCTGATCTGACTGAACTTGGCCGAACCCGGGTCGCCGTCATCAGCAGTGGTTGCAAGGGCTTCCTCGATATCCCCAGGACACTGGAGTTCCTTGAGACGCAGGGCGCCCACGTCTCGACCTTTGCCGATGGTCGATCTGGAAAGATTGACTTCCCTGCTTTCTGGGCTCGGGATAGTGGTATCAAGAGCCCTTCTGTTGTGCAGACTGAGAAGGAGGCTGCCGCCATCATCCTTGCCCAAGAGAGGCTCGGCATCGAGTCAGGCTTGCTCTTTGCAAACCCTATCCCTGAGGAGTTTGGTATTCCTGCCCCCGAAATGCAGGCCTACATCGAACAAGCCGTCAGGGAGGCCAACGAGAAGGGCTTCACTGGAAGCGCCAACACCCCTTATATCTTGGGCAGGCTCAAGGAGCTCACGGGAGAGAAGGCCGTCATCGCCAACAAGGCGCTTGTAACATCCAACATCACCCGGGCCACCAACATCGCTGTCGAACTCTCACGGTTGTTGTCTTCTGGTTCCGAGCCAGTCAAGACTTTGTAAGTGCAGCGATGAATGGTCTCGGACGTAAATCTAATCGTAGCTATAGCAATTCATTCCCTGTCGCTCCATCTGCTGCGCCCACTGAGCTCAAGGATCCAGTAGTAACGGCTGACAGCAAAGTTGATATCCTTGTTGCTGGTTCTGTAGCCGTTGATCTAAGCTGTGACTATGCCCCGAAGTCGGGTGATACTTCGCCAGTTCTCCATACCTCGAATCCATCCAGTATCAGCCAGTCCATTGGAGGTGTCGGCCATAATGTAGCGCTTGCTGCCCACTCTGTTAGTAAACATGCTCGGGTGCGGCTCTGCAGTATGGTTGGTGATGATGTGTAAGCCTACCTCCTCGTATGTCAAGATTTGGACATCACTGACTGATGTTGTAGTGCCGGCAAGACTATATTGAATGGTCTCAAGGCTTCTGGCCTAGACACCACATACATTCGGCAGCTAGGTCATGAGTACCATGGTTCGAACAGAACGGCACAGTACGTCGCTGTTAATGACGCAAACAAGAACCTGGTCATGGCTATGGCCGACATGGGAATCTTCACCAATCATTCGTTCCCCGAGTACTGGAAATCTGCCGTGCGAGGAACCAAACCCAAGTGGTTGGTGGTAGATGGCAATTGGAGTGAGAAAGATATTCGAGCATGGCTCAAAGCTGGCCAAGACCAAGACTGCAAGGTCGCCTTTGAGCCAGTATCAACTGCCAAGTCTATGAACCTCTTCTGTCCTCAAAAGGGCCACCCAAAACTTCGAGTCTTCCCCAAGCCTACAGTGGACATAGCATCACCCAACAGCTACGAGCTGGCCGCCATGTACTCTGCAGCTCGCGAGAACGGTTATCTTGAATCCCCCGAGTGGTTTGACATTATTGACTCTTTCGGCATGCGAGGTGCCCGAGATCGTTTTGTCAGGATGACCTCGGCAGAACTGACAGATGCTGGTGTCCCTGTGCAGTCTGTCCAGCTTCTTCCTTACATCCCCACGATAGTCACAAAACTTGGTCCTCAGGGTGTTCTTCTGACTACCATCCTCGGCAAAGATGATCCTCGGTTGAGAGATCCTGATTCGGAAGAATACATTGTCGCTCGATCCACGAATGACCATCCAAGTGTCGGAGGATTGTACATGCGACTGTTCTCCGCAGCCGAGAAGGTTCAGAACATCGTATCTGTTAACGGTGTTGGGGATACGTTCTTTGGTGTTTTGATTTCTGGTTTGGCTCAGGGAGGTAAAGTTGAGAATCTGATTGATGTTGCACAAGCAGGCTCATGTTTGACACTCAAGTCTCATGAGTCTGTGAGTCCCGACCTGTATCGATTGGAGAAGGTGTTGGCACAGGCTGCAGCACAGTAACTGATTATGACCATGTAAATACCCTGATTACAGCAAATTGTATCTTTTCCAACATTTATCTCTCGTATGTCCTCCTCTCTTTGGTATAAGTGCTCTGGGTTAGGGTCATCAGCCTTCCCGCCGTAAATGCTTGTGATTGGCGTGAGCCCCACCACCCACCAGGTCAAAGAGCCTATCATAGACAGTCGCGTGCGCAAGGCTAGCAGGACCCTCTAAAAAAAATTCCATGCAGTAAACATTTTGTCCAAACCAGAACCCGCAAAACCTCACTTTTGGGTTGAGACAAACGACGACAATGGCGCCTCCTCAAGACGAAGAAATGCGGGGTCCCTCTTCCTCCTCCTCTTCCGAGGGCGAGTCTCAGTTTGAGTCAGAAGATGAGGCTCCCCAGAAGAAGCCGACTATTGCGCTCTACGATAAGGATTCGGACGAGGAAGAGCTGGAGCGACTTGTTCTAGGTAACAAGGCGGGTTTCCGCGCGCAATTGTTCAAGGACGATGGACTTTTCGATAGCACCTGGGATGTAGAGGGTAAAGAGCTTCAGCTTGCTGAGCGAGACCCCGGACTGGAGGATATTGAAGATGCAGACCTGTTCATGTTTGACACCGGAGCTGCACCAGGAACTGCACAGATCACAAAAGCAGCAAAATCCACCGATGGAAACGCCCCTGTTTGGGAAGACAGCGACGACGACAGACTAGCGATCTCACTCGCCGGAGCTACTCGGTTACGAAAGCTGCGACAGACGGAGGCCGAAGATCTTGTTAGCGGAACAGAGTACAGCAGGAGATTGCGACAGCAGTATCTTCGACTTAACCCCCTTCCCGCATGGGCGCGCGAAGCAGATGGACGACCGAGCAAGCGAAGAAGATCATCCGCTGCGTCTGACTCTTCGGCGGACGACGATTCGGACTCGGAGATCTCTGTGCAGCCTCTTGAAAAGTTCCTTCGTGACGTCAACAGCCTGGCCGGAGCTGGATCGACCAAGAAAAGACGCCTACGACCCGAGGTCATTGATATTCAGCGCACACGAGAGATCCCAGACAAGCACAAAGCCCCAGTTGCCTGCCTTTCCTTCCACCCCGAGTACCCGGTCCTCCTCTCCTCCAGCACCGCTTCTGTTCTCTACCTTCATCACATCGCACCCGCCGCCCATCCGACGCCCAATCCCCAGTTGACCTCGGTTCAAATCAAGCAAGTCGACGTTCGAAGGGCCGAGTTCCTATACCCCCACGGCGACAAGGTCATCTTTGCTGGACGACGAAAATACTTCCACCATTGGGATCTCAAGACGGGAACTGTGCAGAAGACGACGCAGATCCTCGGTCACAGACTCGAGCATAAGACTATGGAGCGCTTCAGACTTAGCCCCTGCGGACGATATATGGCAATTGTGGCGTCTACCAGAAAGGGAGGCGGTATTATCAACATTCTGAACACAACATCTATGCAGTGGATCGCAGCCGCCAGACTATCGAGTCAAAACGGTATTGCGGACTTTGCTTGGTGGAGCACTGGAAACGGAATGACCATCCTTGGTAGGGATGGCCAAGTCGGCGAGTACAGCATGGAGAGCCGCTCATTCGTAGGAATATGGCACGACGAGGGATGCGTCGGCGGTATTGTCCTCGCCCTGGGCGGTCATCAAGGCCCTGCTGTACTGGGCGATGATCGCTGGGTCGCCGTAGGTTCCAACAGTGGTATTACCAACATCTACGACCGCAACGAGCTCGTCGTTCTCAAGTTGGAAGAAGTAACCATCAAGGAGCGCCCTACGCCCACGCGAGTCTTCGAGCAGCTCGTCACCCCCATCACACACATTACGTTCTCACCTGACGGCCAGCTCATGGCCTTTGGAAGCCAGCACAAGAAGGACGCGCTGCGACTGGTGCATCTGCCTACCTGCACGGTGTACCGTAACTGGCCTACGGAACAGACACCTCTTGGACGGATCACGGCGGTTGCGTTTGGGAACCAGAGCAATTTGTTGGCGGTTGGTAATGACACAGGAAAGATTCGGCTTTGGGAGATTAGGAGTTAGGTACCTTATTTAATGGACATAAAAACGGCGCATGATTATCTACAACCAATATCCTCTATTCTCTCAGGAGTGATTCGTCCAATCATCGGTACAGTCTCTGATATCCATTCTACACCTTCGACGTGTGGCACCTTATCGCGAGTTAAATATCTCCTTTAACAATGTTCGCAGTGGACTGCCCTGAGGCAGCTGGCGCTTAGGAAAGACAGCATGATTCTTGAAGGTCCATCTGATAAGTGCATTTCTGCTCTTGAAGAGCATGACTCCATCAGGCTTGTTATCGCATTCAAGAAACTGCTTGATATTGACGTTGACGCTTTTAAGTGCCTGCCATCATGTCAACATCGATCTATACAATATTGGTATCCATGGACCTACCTCACGGCACTTGGTTTTGCTGGGAAGATCACTGGTGACACCTAGATCGGCACACAGTCGTTGGGAGTCTTCCAGGGTGCCCTTCTGGAAGTAGTTGTTCCACTGTTGCAGGAGTGATAGACTCTTGTTGGTAGAGTCGGATGAGGTGCGGGGAGTAAGGGTCATGGCGCCGAAGCCAGGAACTATCTCGCTCTCTGACTCGTCGTCAACGGAACGAGCCATGATCGATTCCAGTCTGGGGTTTCGGTGGGTTGTGAGAGGTTGTTTGGATATATGTCAGCTGTTGGTTCAATCCAGTGTAGAGTTCTTGAGGTAAATAAGCAGAGACTGAAGGGTCAAACTAGAAGAGACAGTTGAGGAAATCCAAGGGTATTCGCCGGACAGAAGTAACTAGATGATCTTTCAGGCAAACAGCAATGTGAATAGCCTTGTGGCATTCACCGCCGTGTGTCTACTGCAAGTTACCGTCTATGTGGGATGCACCTTGCCGGCATGTTTCATTGTTCTCTCTTCTCACATGCCATCAAGCGTTCTCATGCTCAACCATTCAACCCGAAACTAGTTGAAGGATCCAGTTACCGGTACCAGTACTGGATCTCAAACGCATTGAAAGAACGCCCGCAACTCCAAATACATTCATATATATGATTTTAATAGTATATGTACTATTAGGTATGATTCATGAGGAGTACGGAGTACCCCCTCTGTATTTAAAGTTGACTTTAGGTTTCTTTGAACCTAAGTGACACACTCTGAGAATGTGGCATGGGTAAATGATAATCCACATACTCATTGGATGAACTGGAACGAACACGAGTTCATACGATGATAGTATATTCGAAAGGCTTCCAATTCCGAACCTGCAAGGTCGAGCCCATGTCATGTCCGAGATGTCACTCTAAACTGTAGTCCATGATAGCTAGTAAGCAAGCATTGAATACGTCTGGATACGCCCAATTACACCTGTAATCGCTTGGATACGCCCATACGCTTATACGCTGACAGAATCGATCGGACTCTTGGTTATGGGGGAAAACATCTTATCTAAGTTTGGTCGATGCCGACCAAGGTCATTACTAGCATGTTGTATCTCGAGGCCCTTGGCGTATTCGCAAGCGAAGTGTATGCAAGCCGTCCGTTCATAGTGAAAGCAAGAAAAAGTCTGTTGAAGCATAGAGAATGTCAAGAATTATATAAATCACAGCGTCGTCCTATTTCCTGTTTCAGATTATGTCAATAAAAGGCACAGTACTCTTCCATCACAATGACTTTCAAACTTGCATATGCGATTCTTGTAGCAGCATCGACACTCGTGGCCGGTCAATCTCTACAGGCCGCTCTTCATACAACATCATGGAACTCTACTTTCAAACTCTCGGCAAAACAGCTGGAGCTAGCCAACTTGACCCAGGACATGGGCGACCAAATCAACAACATCATCAACTTTGATCGAACCCTGCTCGCGAATGGTGGCCCTTTTGAGGACGACTTCTATAGTCTCCCACCTGATCTAAAAGTTCCAAAGTCTGCCGGTGAACTTATAAAGCTCCAGGAGTCGACTGACCCTAAATCTTTCACAATTCCCGCCCCGACAGCCATGTCCCGGTTTCTCTATTCTACCACAAATATCAATGGCACCCTCGTACCTGCTTCAGCGTATATCCTTTGGCCATACACTGCCAAAAAGGTAAAGGGTGTCAAGGGTAAGAAAGTACCTACTGTCGTCTGGACTCACGGTACGTCCGGTTGGTATCCCTCAGGGGGTCCATCTACCCATCGAAGCCTCTTCTACCAGGACTTCGTACCATACGCACTGGCCCTGGAAGGATATGCTGTCATTGCGCCTGACTATGCTGGTCTCGGCACTGGAAAGTCTTGGGATGGGACTGATGTTCCGCACCAATATGGTATCTATCAGGCGGGCGGTGCAGATGCACTCAATGCCCTGAGGGCTGCTCTGGCTGCGTTTCCGGAGAGGCTCACACATAACTACGTCAATATCGGTCACAGCCAAGGCGGTGCTGTAGGATGGGGTGTATCCGAGCTTCTAGCTCAGAAGAAGGGCCAGTTCCAAGATCTAGTCAAGGGCCATCTCGGCACTCTCTTGTTCGCTCCACCTATAGACGGATTCGCTCTTCCACCCAATAGCATACTTGTCTGGGTTGGCAAGTACCTGAAGCAGGTCTTCCCCGAGTTCGAGCTCGGCGACTGGCTTACGCCATTGGGCATCGATCGAGTCAAGCTCTTCAACGAGGTCGAGGGATCGCAGATGGTCAGCCAGTTTCTCTTCGAGCCCGAGGAGGCAATCGTCCAGCCCGACTGGAAGGATACTTGGGCAGTTCCAGCCCTCAGGCAGCTATCTACCCCGGGCAAAAAGCCCTGGAAGGGACCTATGCTGGTTATCCATGGCGACAAAGATCCAGCAGTAAGCTACAACACCTCGTTAGTCGTTGCCGAAGAAACATGCAAGAAATACCACGGCGACCTTGAGCATATGCGTGTCCCTGGAGTTGGACATTTCCCTAGTATGTATGCGACCCGAGGCATCTAGCTCGATTGGCTTGAGGATAGATTCGAGGGACGTCGGGTCCAGAAGAGAGGCTGTGCTCAGTCTGTTGTAGACCGGTTTCTTCCGGAGGATCATTATCAACCTGCGCCGAACTCTTTTCCACTCTGGGCCGGTAAGTCTCAGTGGGCCTATGAGCTTCCTCAGGGTCATTAGCTTGGGTGTGAAGTAGGGAGAAGATGAACACAGAGTTGTTTGGTCTGTTTACAAGATAGATTCGCTTATCCCGATTGATAGTGCGAAGGGAATATTGAGTAAGGAGGGAGGTCCGCGATGGGTCTAGAATGTTATATGGATTTCTGATTTTTGATTCTGGAAGTGGCATTTTCTCCTTGAGAGCTTGACTTATTTATGTCTTTCTCATCCTGAATACACTCAATACCGGTTACTCTGGTCCTTCCGGCAGTGTTATTTGATTGGTCTTTTACATTCCTCCAATGTGAATCTTTCTTTGTATCAACCAGACTTTATTCTATGGAATTACTTGCCTTCTAACGACAGACTTAACGAATGCCTATTCGATTGCATTTCATCAAACTTACACAGCTTCAGGGCCCGAACATGATTCAAGACTGCTTGTGCCGAGCACAGCCGGTTTTCAACGACCATGTGCTTAGCAGTTGGTGATTGTCAGTGCGACTCGCATATAATCACAGCACAGGACCCTATTTGGTCCTGAAGCAGACACCAGGAAGCTCAACATTCCGGACCAAAGCCGAAATACAAGACGAGCTGTATTTGCGGTTCCGGTTCGGAAGGGACGCGGACAGGTTCGCTCACGTATATGGAAGGATGGAGCCGGCCGTGAATGCAGAGGTAACTGATATCAGTAGGATCAAAGCCATTATGACATGATACAAGTGCAAAACAGACATCATGAGATGTATATAAGTATACATGCTGGGTGTGGTCGGATCGCTGTAGGGTAAGGGAGCCAGAGCTGACCTGAGGATCCGGGGAGAATCGGGTGAGTGAAAAGACCAGGATCATGAAAGGTCATGATCTCGATTGGAGGATACTTTTTGGGAAGCAGAGGCCTTCCAGTTTGTACGTGTCCATGATAATGGTGATCAAAGATAGGCAATGGAAGCCACACGTTGCGATAATAAGCACACGCTCAATTGGTCAAGACGTCGCTTCAAGAACCTCAAAACGGCCTCATTAGAATGAAGCAGAGTCCAAACCGGGATCTTAAGCGACAGCCCTGCAATGCACGCAGTATTATGCGGAGCGCTATGCAATGCAGAATCTTTACTTTGCTGCACCTCGTACATAAATGCCGCCGGGGAAGCCTGGAGTTGGTGCGCAAGCGTGGTCTGACTTTTTTATTATCTGTTGGATGGTAGCACACCCAGATTCAATGGTTGACGGATTCGTGAGTGGCCAGATCGTGACGCGGAAACTGCTCGTAAGGGAGTTATTGGAAAATTGTTCATTTAGTTGTAGACGTGGTTGCTTTCAAGGCGTTGTTCAGCTCCTCATTATCATCTCCGGCTTCTCGATGAGGAATGAAGTGGTGTGCACGGGAGAGAACAGAGTTTCAAGGCTCAAGTTGTGGTTGGCCAGCTTCATCTTTGTCATCCCTGAACGACAACTCCCCACGGGACGATGCTGAGACAAAGCTCAGCTGTCAACGAGGATTGTGACATAAAAATAGGCAGAAATTAATATTAAGAAAAAGGGACATCAGTCGATTCAAGCTCTCAAATGAAGCTCACAACCAACCAGGACTGCCGGAAATAGAATAAGAAACTCTGACATGCCTGACCAACCAGTCATATGTTCAGGACTCATTTCACAAGGTTGCTTTACTCGAGAAATATTATTATTATTATGGAAACTCCTCCATACCATACATCCATCACGTCAGCTGTGATCATCCAGAGCTGATATCCAAGTCCATATCGCTTGTTGCTTGCCCTTGTAAGCGAGTGCAAGGATACAGAGTACATACAACTTATGGATCCGACCAAAACCTTCTTTTCTTGCTTCATGTACTCTGTAACTGCAAGGATGATATTCGATAAATATGCAGGAATTCATCATAGCCCTCGTTCTTTTCCTTACTTGCAGTGCTGTACCTAGCCGAAGCAACTAAGCACACAAGCATGGACAACAATATCATGCTGTAGGTCATAAAATTTGATCTCAGACAAACATTCAGCAGCTAAAAGCTCAAACCCAGATCCAAGTCTGGCATCATCTATATCCTGGAACTTTTCAACTTGGAGCCCTCACTTATCGAATGATAAACAGAATTAGGGACCAGAGGTCAGAAGTTCGATTTTACAGTGGAGATTAATTGATGCAAGTCCCCACTGAAGCACCAGAAGCTCGGACCCAGCCTCCAACTTCCAGGGATTGTCGACCCGCGCTAGCATAGCCAGGGAATATGACTTGCACACAAATGCAGGAGGCAGGTGCGTGTTATCGGATCGTGGTAGCCGTTTACCAAAATTCGATTTTGTCGTGGGGGCTGTGGAGGGAGGAACGAGTTTGGCTTGAAGAGAGAGGGAAAATGGAAGGAAGCCTCAATTGCTTAAGCCGCAAGTCTTTAGCAGTTACCTCTCCATTCCTCACCAATACAGCATCGCCCTAACCACCGTGAGGCTGAGAGATCTTCAATCCTATAGTCAGAAACATCACGCCATCGATATCACTTACATGTCCGCGCTCCCCAAGCCGTTACTTTAAACGGCAACCATCCATCTCAGAAGGCAAAGCCCCCCGGCCACGCCCAGCTCGCCGTGGCATGATCCCAAACCTTGCCTACCAAGAACACTCTGAGTCCACAGAGCACCACCCCCAGTGAACCCCTCCCCACCGGCGCGTCCCGGTAGAGGATTGCTGGATCATGACAAGATGACAGTCCACTTTGTGAAAGACACTGCGAGATGCGCCGGGTCTTGGGCAATCTGACCTGGGGGGACAATCGATCCATGGCCTAACACGAGGAGCATTGTCCATAGCAGCCGGCCGCAGACACGGGATCAGGTTCGGAATGAGAGCAACACCAAAGCAAGAATCCAATCTTTAAGAAGGCCCGCCACGCTTCATGCGCCGTGCTAGGCCGTCCCCCTCCCTCCTTCATGTTCACCAGTGAAAACCCATCTTTGGCTATTCGCGATCATCTCAAACATTGGTGGTTCCCTTTCTTAGCTCAACCAGCCAGCCACAGCCTTTTGCAAATAGGATCTTTCTCCGTGTACGAGTTGGTGTTCCATTCAACTTGCGCCAACGCACATCCTTGGAACGCCCTGCCGCTCATTGATCCATCCATTGATATTGATATACATTTTCTTGTCTGCCCTAGCAAGCATCCAAGACTTTTGGACTCCGCCTGCGCCTGCGCCTGCGTCTTAGTCGATCCCTCCCAGATTACTATCAGTAACCCCGCCGCCGTCTTCCTTGCCGTGGTCGTTGCTTTTCATTGCGCCCAGGCTCAACTTGAATATTTTCCTCATCGACATCTCTTCCCTGCCGAGTTTCTTGTCGCTATCGACGATAACCGTACTGGATCTCACCTCCTGAAGACGCCAGTATACAACCACACAGTCCTCAATGGACCCTTTGTGCCACTGAGCACCACCGAAACACTCGACTTACACGCCTTCTTGAACGGCGTATCAAAAAATTAAAGAACGTCCATCTAAGAGCTTGACCCAACATGCATCTCAGACGGTCAAGCAACTCAGCCGATGGCCATTCTGTCGCATCGTCACCTTCGTTCTCCCTATCAAGTACGAAGCGTCGGTTCCCTCTTTTGAGCAGGAGAAAGAATCGACATTCGGATGTCTCGCAGTCTTCCATTCCTCCTGTATCATCACAACCTTCATCACCTTCACCCACCCAGAAGGTAGAAAAACCTGGTCTTCGAGTGCATATTCAGATCAAGTTCGAAACCCCACACGCCTCTGAACATGTCCGCGACTATGAATCTTCGTCTCAATTCAAGGCCACGGATCGCATTTGCCAGGCATTGCTTTCGCGCCTGCAGCATTGCTCATCAGAGCTTATCACACGCCATGATAGTAACGCCCTTGATCCGCTCCGCAAGCCACATCGTGATGTAAAGCCATTGCGTTATCGCATCACATACTGTGTCGAGCGCGAGGGTCTCGTTCTTATAGAAAAGTCATTGCGCTCTTTTCAGGAGTTTGAGTTGACACATGATGATGCTCGTGAGGTCGTTGCCGCTACCGACCGAATCATCGGCCTCTTTTTAGTGCGGCACGACCCCGGATTCCGGTGGTCTGAGCCCTCTGAGACCGAGGTGGCCAGCCCGGAATCAGAGACCTTCCGGCCGTGCACCGGCCGGCCTCAATCTCTGGCATGCATTCCCCGGTCCCATTTTGTTCACAAATCTCAGAATTTCGAGTTTATTTCTGGATATTCCGTCGAGCTTTTCTTGCGCAGCCGTTGCGCCACCCGCTATCCAGAGAACCGGAATGCTTCAATCAAGATAGATAGCCGTCAGCCATCTCCTCTTCCTCTTCTGCTTGGCGAGGAGTTGACAACTCGGGTTTCCAACCTGATCATCGACCCCGTCGATGCCTGGAAACGTAAGTTTGACAAGCGTCATAAGTCTTGCACTGGTCTGGAGGGCAGCGGTGGCTGCTCGCATATTGAAGATGGGGCTGTTGATATTATGGTCAAGGTGCGCAACCATATTGGCCCTGATTACACCTATCTCTCCCATCGTATCCAGACGAGTAAGGTGCTCTTCAATGACCATGATGGTCGTGACTTTGACGAATTTGCCAACCAAGTCAAGGCAAAGTTAGAGAAGGCCCGTGACATGACAGACAAGTCTATGCGCTCTCTTGACGACCTCACTCTCACCATTCGTGAGCTCCGCGGTAAGAATTGGTCTGTCCATGAGCCTCTTGTTGTACGCCTCGATCCCACAATTACATACTGTCGCCAAACGATGGAGGCCGTCATGGAGCGATTTCAAACAGGTATTAGCAATGTCCTCGAGCATCATGAGGACGCTCTTGCTACATTGACAATCCACAAGCGAGGGCAACTCATCTTTGATGGCTTCCTCGATGGCGCTGGCGGTGGCGACAATGTGCATTACGAGAAGTTTGCTACTCCGGATCTGGAGCGGAAGGCCTTGGAGGCTCACTTGAAAGAACGTATTCGTTCGGACATCACAATGCTGTGTAAGGATACGTGTGCCGTCGACTGCCCTGACACGCTTCCAAACTTGCGGTTCAAGATAAACGGAGCAGCTGCCTCTCATATCGGAGCAGGCGTATCAAGGCCTCCTCTATCGACAGCGGGCTCATCGTCTGCTGCCCCCACTACGCCCTCACTTGCTGCCTCTCCTCTCCCCCGTCAGCCTTCTCAGGCGTCTTTCAACGGCTCCTTTGCGAGCACCCGCTCTGATAATACACTTGCCAAAAAGGTTGCTATGCAGAACCTAAGGGACTCTGCGGAGCCTCCATCGCCGGTTACCCCGTCATATGATTTGCGCCGAGTACCGTCCGGTGTTGAGATGGCCAAGAAGCACGGCTATATGTCTGATTTCATGGTAGAAGACGAGAACCAGTCCGAACCCCCATCTACCCCAAGCCTGGCGGATACTGATAGTATAAGCCCTCGAGACAGTGTCATTGTAACCCCATCACGGGTCACGCCCCATGATCAGTCCAATGAAGGACTTCGAATTGTCGAGGATGGGCGAAGGATCATCTATCATGAGCAGTCTGACATGGATGCAATCGCGAGCGGAATGGTGGAATTCCACCGCCCGATTACTGATGATGACGAGCCCATCCAGCTCACAAAGGAGAAGCATGGAGAGATTCCTGACAATAAGGTCACCCGCCAATCTCTCGATTCTCCCCTTCCCAGCCTCCCTAGAAACGCGGACCTTCATTCTAAGTCAAGGGAGAAGGAACTCAACGTATCCAGGGAAGAGCCAGAGTCTAAGATTCCTATGACACTGGAACACCAAAAGGCAAATACGACTGACGAGAAGCTCTTGGATAAGAGTGCTCCGGAACATCCTCCAAAGCAGGAGGCTGAAGGGGCTGGCAGGAACGACATCGTCCAGGCTCCTCAAAAGGTTGAACCTATTCAGGATCAGGCCAATGCTTATGAGGAGACAGAGATTACTCGAAATTCTCAGGGCAGCCAGTGGGAGCTGGTCGAGGCCGTAGAGGCACCTCGCGAGTATGCTGCTGAAGTTGGGGCCATCTCTAAATCCGAGACTAGCTTTGGAACTACACCTGCGGCCAGCATTCGTGACGATACTGAGACTAAGGAGATTACCACACCCGATGTCCTCGTGAGTACTGCTGCTCAGGAGCAGTTGCCCCAACAAGGGGAAGAGGAGGCACAGACCTTCAATGACTCTGAAGTACAGACACCCAAAGCCGACCCTGTTGTTGCTGAGACGTCGGATATTCCACACATTGAGGCTGCACAGGAGGCACATGATATTTCTGTACTAACCTATTTCCCCAAACCTCCTTCTATTCACTCTCAGACGGAGGATCCCAGCGAGCTACCTCAGGTCGACAGTGCTCTGATATCTGAGGGAGCAACAGCCCCCAGTGATTCTAGTATCTCTGCAGAGGAGGAACCCAAGGACAAGGAGAGCCAAACACCACCTGTAATGGAACATATTGAGGGTACACCTTCGCCTTCCTATGCCAAATCATCTGCTCGGCCTTCCATGGCTGTGGATACTAAAGAGAAGGAAGAGCGACATGCTCAGGCCGCAGACATGGAGGTCGAGTCTTTCCCAGAGATGGTTACTCACTTCTTGGAAACCGTCCCCGAGGACACTCTTCTCGAGCCTACTGCAACTGTCGCCGAGGATATTCAGGTGATCTCAACTGAGTCACCTGAATCACAGGAGGTGCCTACATCTCTTGACGAGCGTCCTTACATGCCTACTATTGCCTCGGCGCCCCCGGAGAGGCTTCCGCTCCAACAGGATTTCTTCCCTTCCACAGAAGAGAAAGAAGAGGGACAAGAGTCATCTCGAAAGTCATACAACATGTCTGACTTCTCTGATGCCCTTTCTCGACCTCGGGCCCGGCCTCGTACCAACACACTCCCTGAGCGTCGTTACTCAACAGCCTTGGCTCTTGAGATTGACCTAAGCGCTCACCACGATCCTGATGATGAGGAAGACTCGGCCATTGATGATGCTCCTAAGAGTGCTAATGGCACATGGCGTCCGTACACGCTTCATAACCGCCAGCCGTCAGCTGGCTTTATTGGCTTGCCAGAACAGCGTCGCCTACACTCTGTTGGACTTCGTAGCGCTGTATTGCCCTACCGTTGGCAACAAATGCGCCGTGAGCAGGCTATCTGGGAAGGACGTCCAGGTACATCACATAGCGAGGCATGAGTCTGGTTTTCGTCTTCTCCTTCTCAGTCTCACCATGATTTGCACTTTCATTAGAACTCAGTCCAATTAACATGTAAATAAAGAAAACAAGTAACAAAGCAGTGATACTGCCAGGTAGGAAACAGGATGGGATAAGAAGAAAAGGAAGGCCAACTGGCCAACATGACCAGCAATGGTATAGCTAGGCAGGGGCGTTTGGGATCCATCTTTGTTTTCATATGCATGCAAAGCATTATTAGACTTGGAGCATGTCATACTCTTCAGGATACCATTTCGGATAGTATATATAACGGCTACATATTCTGAAAGATTTGTCCCCTTTGCTTTTGACAACCTTTGAATGCATAGTGAAGATGTTTTGACCTCGTTACCAAGGGATAACTATCCTATCATCTTTCCAGGCACCAGCTTGTCCATTAGATCCCAGAATGGTCACATTGAAGAAGCTAGTGGTACCTGGACCAGTTGCCTCAGGTAACCAACCGTCTGATGCAGTTCGGGAGTTGTGACCTGGACAGGGAGCGTTGATTTTTCACCTCGCATCGCTCTTCTGCCTGATGGTGTAGTGGATGGAGTGTGGGCATGATGAGCGCTGGATTGCCATGTGCGTGCACCCTGAAATATAATCGGTGTTGCGGCCATCATAAGCTTTTGGGGAGACACATTCATGCCATATTCTGAGGTGGCGCTGCTCTTGACCAAAATCTTGTCATCATCGGTTATGTAGCAGCTGCCATGCTCTTATCCGCGAACATATGAAGGATGAGAGAGAGCATGGAGGGAAGATATGGCTTCTTGAACTATATCAGAACGACGGCCAGAGATAATGATGTGGTGGTCGTTATTCCCGCTAGCAATCTTCTTTGCGATTTAGAAACCGGAGCTTTGGTTAGCACCAGTGATTGCCATTTTGGAAAGGTGGTCGAGCTGGAGATGAAGTGATTTTGAGTGAGTTGGGAATGCCAGGGTCAGCTCTTGTCGTATTCAAACGTATCAAACAAGCTCAGCATCTCCGACATCAACCATTTGCCTTGCACTAGACCACCTCAAGATAAGGACATCGCCATTCTCAGCGGGTAGGGTTATATCGGCATTAGTTCCTTGGCCGTGGACGTCTTTGTCTCTGAGCATGCGAATAAAGACCGCCGTGTCCAGATCTGGCGAATCGATCATGCTGATGTTGCCTGCCGTATCATTGAGATTCTGCAGTTGCTGCGGGAAGGACGCCAGGAAGGATGAGAGATAGTGGTTATGCAGGAGAGCTTGGTGTCTCGTTGCGTAGGCCACTTCTGTCGGAGAGAGCCTGTCTCTGAGCTCTTGGCTTGAGAGGTAGTACAAAGTGTGTTTGTCAACCTGAGGAAAGTCAGTCTGGGTTACTTTATTTGGGGGGTTGGGGAGCTTACTTTTGCTATGCGAGCTCGTAGGAAACTTCGAACAAGAAACTTGTATCGCTCAAGCTCTGTCTGAATAACGATAAGGGCAAAGTTTGTCTTTGGGTCCATGTCACCTGTCATGTCCTCAACCTTTTCGATCTGAGATTTGATACGTGCATTGACACGCTCAAACAAGCCATCTGTTGGCCATCTATAGTACCAAAATAAGTAAAAGCATAAAACATAGCAGTGAAATACTTACTCGAGAAGCTCAGGGGCTGAGCGCTCAGCAACCCAGAGACGCGTCAAAGCTTGCAGATCGCGTGTCTCGGTAGGGACGCCGCGAGACCTGGGGTCGACTTGGCGGAGAATATCATCAATGTCCATTGTGAGAGATTTATTGAAGTATAAGATAACGAGATTAAAGAGTCTGGTGCTGAGAATCGGAGTCAGTATCTCGTTGTTGTCTGACCGTTGAAGGCGAGGACCTCATGGTGGGGTCTGTTTGTTGTGTTCAAGCACCGTTTCTGTGGGAGCGGGGCCATTCGCTCACTATAATCCACCCCACCATTTGGCGTATACTTGCCTACAAGATAGGTAGATATATCATGACAGGTTTGAGTATGAGATGGACGGAATGTATAATCGTTTGATTCAGTTTAGGCATTCGATAAAAGCAAAGCATATCACATCGCTAGCTGTACCATTTTTATATCCGAGCTTCTTAAATGCCTGTCCGTGTCCAGGCCCAATTACATTATATGCTGATCAGACTTAAAGACAATCAACTGGAAAGAATATCCTTTAGTGTTTTCTTTTCTTTCCCTCCTCAGACGATACGCTGTTTTGCGCTCTGATTTCGCTTCATGATGGCTCTATGTGCAATATGTCTAGTGTCTGCCAGCATGTACAATACATCGGCATGAACTAAGACGATGACTACCCTTACTTGGTAATGTAACTCTCACTGAACCTTCTTGAGAGGCTTGTGGGCGTTTCTTTGAGCACCTTCATAACCGTTGACTCGACCATACACCCACTTGAGACCCGACGAGGAGACGGTGACCAAGACAGCCGCAAGGGTAAACAACATAGCACGTTGAGTAGTGGAAAGAAGTTCAAATAGGGGATAGGGGTACCTGGTTATGTGTAAGTATTTTGTGCATTCAAGGGTAATAAATATAGAAGAGCTTACCATCCATTATGGCTGAAGCAAAGCTCGACCCAGTACCAGTAGCCAAATGCAAGAACAGTGCCAATTGTCATGACTCCATATGCTGGGATTGTCCAAGGTGGGCTGAGAAGAACAAGATCCAAACTCAGGAGTACTGCAGGGGCCAGGTGAAATCCGACATCAGGAATGATGTCGATGTAAATGTCATCAGGCATGAGGAGCTTGGGGTCAATGAGCCTCAAGCCCCAGTATAGAATAGAGATGACAACTTCCATAGGCGTAGCAATAACAGCAACGGCGTTCTTGGCTTGGAAGAGCGTATGGCTCGAAGTGATATCAGCCAATGCCCCAAGAACAAAGGCAAGCAAAGATACTGAGAGGCCAATGATGGTGAGGAATTGAAGATGCCATCCGTAGGACTTGGCAATGGGAGTGTCCCAGACTGTAAGGAAGTAGAAGTTGTAGCTGAATGAGGCTATGCCAATGATGTGAAGCAGTAGCGAAACATCTCGTGATGGCGACGTGAGTCGTTGAAGAGGGTGACGAGGTGCCATGCTAATCGTTGCCCAGCGATATTATCCAGATGAAGATGTAAGTCACAGCTGAAGGGTTGAAGGTATTCTAAGAGAAATGGAAGAAGATGAAATAATAAATATTGAATACGTTCCATTATTCACATGATAACTAAATTATAAAACAAGGAAACGGACTCGTCCTCGGAGCCGGGGTCTCGGAACTCATGAGAGCCCGTTTATGTCATGACCTCAACAGTGGACCTGGGGCCTGAGAGAGGCTCTTGACAGTGGGACCACTACCTAGGGGATCACATTCAGCCACAAGTTGAGGTCGCGCCACACGAGGCTGTGTTTGCCTAGACAACAATCTTTAGTTTGTCGCAAACTGTAGATCAACCAGAAGTTGCATCTCCAAGCTTCCTATATCCAATTATCGCAACATCCCGCTCATTTGAACAGTGTCTTTGAGATATTTCAATAGCAAGTATGGCTTCAGATGACGACAATCGCTCACAGAAGCGTAATCACTCAGAGTTTCGCGACGATGCTTCAGGTACCAATCATCAATCATCGCGCTCCCATCAACGGTACTAACAAATTATATAGACAGCTCCTCCGACGATGACATGGGCCCTCAGCTACCTTCACAAGCTCCCAAGAAGAAAAGAAGAGTCCTCCCCCACGAAAAGCTTTACGTCGCCGCTTTACCAAAGGCACCACGTTACTCCAAGTCCTTGATGCACAAGGAGCAAATCCTCTTTGCGACATGGACGCCCCTGACCGAATTTCTTATCACCTCCTCGATAGATGGCGTCGTCAAGTTCTGGAAAAAGATCGCCCAGGGTATCGAGTTTGTTAAGGAGTTTAAAGCGCACGACGGCGAGATCAAATCGGTTTCTGTGAGCAAGGACGGACGAAGCTTTGCGACTGCTGGTGTGGACGAAACTGTAAAGATCTTTGATGTTATCACGTTCGATCTATTATCTATGGTTTCGCTCAACTACGCTCCCAACTGTGTATGCTGGGTTCACACCAAAGGCGCATCCTTGCCGCTCCTGGCCGTCTCCGAAGAAACCAAGCCCCTGATACATATCTACGACGGAAGAGGAGAGAAGGAGGAGGCTATCCACACAATCAAGGGCTTACACCGAAAGCCTGTTCATTTGATGGCGTTCAACGAGGCATACGATTGTGTGGTTTCCGCTGACGAGGGTGGCATGCTTGAGTACTGGCGACCAAGCGGCGACTACGACAAGCCTGAGGGTGTTTTTGAGTACAAGAGCTCAACCAACTTGTTTGATTTCAAAAAGGCCAAATCCGTGCCCTCGTGTATCTCCATCTCTCCCAACGGCAAGAGCCTTGCAGCCCTTTCTCTGCCTGATAGAAAGATTCGAATCTTTGACTTTGCAACAGCCAAGCTACACCGCGAATATGATGAGTCTCTACAGGTTGCTGAAGAGATGCATCGTTCAGGAACAGGGGCTACTAAACTGGATAATGTTGAATTCGGGCGACGAGCTGCCCATGAGAGGGATATTGAGTCGCAGACGCTCAAGTACAAGTCCAATGTGATTTTTGACGAATCAGGGAACTTCATTATCTACGGTTCCATGCTGGGAATAAAGGTTCTCAACACGTATACTAACCAGGTAGTCAAGGTGTACGGCAAGGATGAGAACTTCCGTGCTGTCAACATTGCCATATATCAAGGACAGCCTCAAAAGAAGGGAATCACGACAGTAGAAATGGGCGCTTCCAGCAACCCTCTTTTACAAGAAGCAGAAACCCGAGACCCAATCTTGGTCGCAACTGGTGTTGGCAAGGTGCGATTTTACATGTTCTCCAACGAGGAGGATATCTCCAAGTCGACACGAGATGTCCAGAACGAGAAGCCTACAATGCTAGGCCACAAGAAGGACACACAGGCCAAGAAGACCGAGACCGGTACCGGTGCCATTCTCCACACGACATACGGCGATATTCACATCCGTCTATTCCCCGATGCAGCACCGAAAACTGTTGAGAACTTTGTCACACACTCCAAGAGCGGCTACTACAACAACACAATCTTCCACAGAGTGATCCGCAAGTTCATGATTCAAGGCGGTGACCCTCTCGGCGATGGAACCGGAGGCGAGAGTATCTGGGGGCGTGAATTTGAAGATGAGTTCAGCAGTCTCAAACACGACAAGCCGTTCACAGTCAGCATGGCCAATGCCGGACCCAACACCAATGCTAGTCAGTTCTTCATCACGACAGAAAAGACTGTGAGTTATTCCCCCTTCTTCATTTGTGACGAATCTTTGCTAATTTATGTAGCCTTGGCTAGACGGGAAGCATACCATATTTGGTCGTGCAACACAGGGTTTCGATATCATTCAAAAAATTGAGAACGCGCGGACGCACAAGGAGAAGCCAGAGGAGGACATTAAGGTGCTTAACATCGATATCATATAGTAATCCACTCGATGCTGGGCAGGCGTCAATAGACAGATATGCAGAGCTTATCTGCAATATCAAAAGACACATGTTTTTGGCTCGCTATTTAACTGCTGAGGGTAAATTAAGGCCCGACCCTAGAACTTACATCTCATGTCGTTGACCAATCCCACTATCTATCCTAGATCTAAGGGCAACTTCCACCGCCTCAAAAGAGTTCCCCATTACCTACTACCTATGGTAGTAGATATGTGTACAGAACTGACAAGGAGTGACAGTAAACAAAGACTTCTCACACGATGCTAGATATATATGCTATACTAAAATCTTCCCCAAACATCCGAACTTCACTACAGCGGCTGCTCACAGTCGCCAAAATCGTCTTCCGTAGTATAGTGGTCAGTATGCAAGCTTGTCACGCTTGAGACCCGGGTTCAATTCCCGGCGGGAGAGTTCCAGCCACCTGCGACACGCAGGATCGTTTTTTGCATTGTTTTACAGTTTTGTAGACCTTGAGTTTTGATGTTTGTGTCAATAGGAGGCTTTGGCTAATGCACCCACTTACCTAGGTGGTCACCATTACCCCTGTCTGTTTGTGTCCTACAAGGACAACAATCCAAAGGCAAGGGCCACGGGTGACATTTGGCCAATTGGAATAACAACCTTGGCTGTGCACTGGGGCACGTAGTGAGTCAAGTGCACGGATTCTCGTCCATTGTCAAGCTTGATATTGCAGAGCTGAGCACTACACTTCTGCGTTGGTAACTAACAGAGTGGCGAGCAGCCCGTGCTACAATTCCTATTTCCACTTGGTTCCAGGTGACTCAAGCTTAAAATTTTGGACCTTCCACTTAGACAATGGGTACTTGATCCTCTGTCAGGTTTGCACGCTCGTGGTTGGTACCACTTGAGATCGCTGCTAAACCGGCCAAAAAAAGGTGCGGGGCAACGGCCAGCTCCCCCAATGAACGGCGAAACAATCGCAACCATGGAGTGACTCTCTTGAGTGTGGCACACCGAGGCCGGCGCAAAGGGCGAGGAAGGAGCAGGTCAGGGTCTGGAAACCATAAACCATAAACTATAATTTATTTTCTTAGCCTTTCTGCGTCGAGACAGTAACATCTGATCTTCTTCTTCTCTTCATATTCCTCTCCTCATTCTTCTCCTTTTTGTGCTGTTCTCGTACTTGCGCAATTGCATTTCTCTCTTCTCTCTACATCTCACTTCGATTTGCACCCCTCTAACCCCACCAACGCCGTCACCATGTCTTCTGTAAGTCCGCCCATCACTCCAAGCTCTGTGACCTTGATTTGAGGGGTGACTCACGATAATTGTAGTTCTTCATTCCCAATAAGAACGTCGGCAACCAAGCTGATTCCGAAGATTGGAGAAGTAAGTATACACTAAGCTATGATTTTGGCTTGGGGCTTGGGCTTCCTGTTGTCGCTGCGCATGTGCTGACTGTTTTCCAGTCCGTGGTTACAACCCTCTGACACCCCCGGATCTGCTCCAACACGAGATCTCCCAATCACCCGAGTCCAAGAAGACAGTCATCCAAGGCCGCAATGAGACCGTTGCTGTTGTCAACGGCACCGACGAGAAGCAGCGACTGCTCGTCGTTATCGGCCCTTGTTCCATCCACGACCCCGCGGCCGCCCTCGCCTACTGCGATCTTCTCTTGAAGGAAAAGGAGAAGCACAAAGATGAGCTTCTCATTGTTATGCGATCTTACCTTGAGAAGCCACGCACAACTGTCGGCTGGAAGGGTCTGATCAATGACCCCGATATCGACGGCAGCTTCCAGATTAACAAGGGCCTGCGAATTTCCCGCCAGCTCTTCGTCGATCTTACTGCCAAGGGCATGCCTATTGCCAGTGAAATGCTGGATACCATCTCTCCGCAATTCCTTGCCGATTTGCTCTCTGTCGGTGCCATTGGCGCCCGAACGACCGAGAGTCAGCTCCACCGTGAGCTTGCCAGTGGTCTAAGTTTCCCTGTCGGCTTCAAGAACGGCACCGACGGTTCTCTCAACGTTGCTATTGATGCCATTGGTGCCGCACAGCACCCCCATCATTTCCTCTCGGTCACTAAGCCCGGTGTTGTCGCTATTGTTGGTACTGAGGGTAACAGCGATTGCTTCGTTATCCTTAGAGGCGGCTCTAAGGGCACCAACTTCGACCCTGAAAGCATTGCTGCTGCTAAGGAGGCGCTCAAGAAGAAGGGTGTTCGACAGCGAGTTATGGTCGATTGCAGTCATGGCAACTCTTCCAAGGACCACAGGAACCAGCCCAAGGTTGCTGCCGAGATCGCTAGCCAGATCTCCAAGGGCGAGGATGCTATCCTGGGAGTGATGATTGAAAGCAACATCAACGAGGGTAAGTTGCGACCTAATTTTTCAAGTCCCGAGTCTCAGCTAACACATTCAAGGCAACCAAAAGGTACCCGCAGAGGGCAAGTCGGGACTTAAGTACGGTGTAAGCATCACCGATGCATGTATCAGCTGGGAGGATACCTTATCCACCCTCGATACTCTTGCGCAAGCTGTGAAAGACCGCCGTAAACTCTCAAACGGCGCTTAGATTCAATGTTTATATTGAAAATCTAGTTGTTCCGCACCTGGTGCCAAAATAGTTCCGCAGGATTGGGACGACATATTGTTGCGATAGCTCATATTTGGTTCAAGGCTTGGAGTTTAATGGGTAGTTGATTTCAAGGAATAGATAAAATTATGAAACCAGTGATTCAAAGGAGGCAAGTCTGACGCGCGAAGAGTCAATGTGTTTAAAATATGATAAATGTGTTTTTTGGCTCTATGATTCAGTAATTTCCCCATCAGAACCCGAGCGTATCGCACACTGTCCTCAGAAACACGCACACTGTGAGATCTTAGCTGTTGAAGCCTCTTTGATAACTTCCGCTTCGTTTAATTAGCACTGTGCAGCCAAGCTTCCAACCGGCGTTTTTCGAACAACGACAACTCAGCTCAGTATCTCGACTTATCGCCTTCCTTCTCAACAAGGAATCCATGGAAATTTCCTTATCCTGATCATCAACCAATAGCTTTTTCTCTGGCTACACTACTTACATCCTCTATATTCGCTTCCCCTAAAACCTTCGAAACCACTTTCACCTATCGACAAAGGAGACGCGCCTCAGGGTCTAGAGCGCGATCATGGCACGCGATTCGTCACCCCCTGAATCACCGCTCTCATCGATGGACGACTCAGAGCAATACGATGAAGAAGTCCACGAATACGACGAATCGACACTGCGACCCTCGAAGCGACAACGACTCGAAGGCGGTTCAACAACATCATCAGCCATAGTTCCCGATGCCGAGCCAGAAGCTGTACCAGAGCCAGATCCCCTCGAGGGCATGTCAGACGTTTCCTCAGACACTTCAGGCGACATCCCTAGCTCCCCTATCAATGCGCGTCTCGATGAGGAGGATTTCCAAGAACAAGTAACGAAATGCGACTGGGACGGTTGCCCAGCGGGTGACCAGGGCAATATGGACAAACTCGTCGAACACATTCACAACTCGCATATTGAGAACCGACAGAAGAAGTATACGTGCGAGTGGATGAGCTGCACACGAAAGGGTCTTCCTCATGCTAGCGGCTATGCCCTCAAGGCGCACATGCGCAGCCATACAAGGGAGAAGCCATTTTACTGTTATCTACCCGGTATAATCATCCACGTCCACTTGCTACCTAACGTTGCTAATTGTTCGCAGAATGCGATAGGTCGTTTACTCGGTCCGATGCATTGGCCAAGCACATGCGGACAGTCCACGAGACAGAAGCCCTTCGCCCATCCGATCCGGTCCCTAAGTCGATGCAAGCCGGACCGCAAAGCAAGGGAGGAAAGATCAAGATTATCATGAAGACCAATCAGCAATCGAAAGGTCTCCACGACGATATGGACGATCCTGCCAACGGAGACGAAGCCAACGCCGAGTATTTCACACCACTCACCGAGGACCCCTTTACCACTGATGAACTTGAACTCCCTGTTGACAAGCTGTATCGAAAGTGCTACTGGGAGGCCAAATGGGCCGAGGAGGTCGGTGAGTCACTCACAAAGGAGTGCAAGGAGTGGGAGGATGTCTACTACAAAGAGTGGCTCGAGAAGGAGGTGCTTCTTTCGCAGGTCATCAAGAGTGAGGTCAACTGGCACGAGCGACGACAAGCTATTCTTACAGGGGTTGCCGATGTACATGTCCCTGGCGCTGTGGAAAGTGTTGAGAACGAGAAGACAAACGGGGCAAATGGCGATGTCGAACATGTCGAACCGACCAACGGGTCACAAACCACAGAGATAGCCGCTTGATGAGATTGCATGATGTACTGCGCGATTGGCAAGCCTAGCCTTCTGCATGTCGACTTCAGAGCTTTGTACTATAAAAACCTTACACGGAAAGGGAGTTGGGAGAATTGGTTACGCAGGAACTGGGAGCCTTATGCGGCGCATGGGGATAGAGATCCCCAAAACAGCCAAATGAAACTATGATTTTAATTCTACACCACACAAATACACACATTCTGGTAACACGTTTCTCACAGAGCCTTCTTCTTGGCCCTGTACGACTGCGAGTTCTTGAAAGGGAACCCGCTTGTGCTCTGGTCAAACTTGTGGTACCGGCTCGTCATGGCAGTGTCGCCGGCAAACATAACGCAGTACAGTCCAAAGGTTGCAAAGATAGCGCTGCCGATACAGCCAAGAAGGAAGCCTGTCTCGCGCGTCCATGCGAAGCGGCCGTAGCAGTAGAAGGCACTCGTTACGTGGTGTAGTGTGGAAACAAGGACTGCAGCGGAGGCATACGGCGAAGGCGCACCGTCGGGGGCTTCTGTTGTTTGGTTTGTTAGATAATGCGATAAAGGTAGAAAGTAAGAGAGAAAGTGATTACCCTTTGAAGTAGAATCGAGAGGAAGAGCGCCAGAGAGGACAACTATAGTGAGGCCCAGAGCAAGGAGAGCAAAGCCAAGTGATCGACCAAAGTAGGTCTCGAGGGCTAGAAGTGTGTTAGTCGCGAGATCGTATGGTTACTGATAAGCAATCTTACCGGTAGATGCTTGAGCCTCAGGCTTGAGAAGAGAGCCTACAAAGGAAGGGAAGAGGATGAGAGGAAGTGCCTGGGTGCTCAACCAAGCAAAGTTCCCGAAGCTGTATGAAGCGATGGCCTAAGTGGTTTCAATGTTAGTTGGTAGATCTCAAGTTGAGGGCGAGAATGGATACATACACTCATTGTTAGGATTGGTTATGAGAGTATGAAATGAATTGATATGAGGGCAAACTATGGTAAGAGATGTAGTTGCTGTTGCTTCTGCTGCTGTAGCTGTAGCTGTAATTGAAGTTCAAGGGAGCTTTTGAAACTGGTTAAACGTCAAGGCCATCGACGTCACTACCGCATCCAAGGTTCGGATACGTATCCCATCCACTGCATCCGGCCAACCCCCCACCTCCGAACCGATATCCGACTGCTGCAACCTGTGCAGCTTCTACAGTGGGCGTGTAAAAGTTCCGATAATTTTCTCTATTTTATGTAAAATTATCTAAATTATAATAAGCTCTTTTTAATTACTATAATCTTATATAATCTTTTCCTAAAATTATATATCAAGTCTTTAATAATACCACATTCTATATATGTATTCTATTATATATCTCTTATTGGCTTATTGCCGGGACTTTTGCCCGGAACTATGTTTCGGGCTTTGCCACCAGAAAAAGAAGAACAGAGCCGCTTTCTTTAGTAATGGCCCGATGTCGCTTGTCCACTTTCCCTGCAAATCACAGCGCCTTTATTGCCTATCGATTACTTTAGCACGGCCTGATACGCCGCTTTCGCCGTGTCCGATGCCCCGAGGAGTTGCACAAAACTAAAGTCAGTGACTATCAGTAGCACTTGAGGTCTTATCTTTCGATCGCAAACCATAAAGGGTCCTATTGAATACACCAATCTTCCTTCCTCCTTACTATATCTTGTCTGCTCGTCTGTCGCAAAAGATTTGCACACGTTTATTTGTCAGCCAGTTACGCCCAAGTACTGTACCCATAAAAAAATTCCCGAGGGGCAACTCTACATCCAAAGTACCTACGACGGCTGTTGCCCATTACTAAACCATCCCTCCCATAATTGGAATAACTCCTTACATCCCACACACAACATATCGACGAAGCAACCGGCGCCATGAGTGCCATTCTTTCCGCCGACGACCTTAACGACTTCATCTCTCCCGGTGTCGCATGCATCAAACCCGTCGAAACCCTCCCCGCTGCCCCGCCCCCGCAATCGCAATCGCTCGAGACCGAAGTTATACTTGACGGCCAGCAGGCTGCTACGAATTCAAATGCGCCCGCCCAAATCTCACTCACAGACTGTCTAGCCTGCTCCGGCTGTGTCACATCTGCCGAAGCTGTCTTGGTGAGCCTCCAGAGCCATGCCGAAGTTCTCACAACGCTCGATTCGGCACCAGCTTTGAGGTTGGTAACAGACGACAGCGGCAAGTTCAGAGTTGAAGGCTTGGAAGATGAGAATGCGAAGCTCTTTGTTGTTAGTGTGAGCCCTCAAACAAGAGCCAACCTGGCGGCAGCATGCGGCGGGGGAGTCTCAGAAGCCGATGCCGGGCACATGCTAAATAACCTGTTCCGCGGTCCTGAAGGTATTGCCAGTGGCGGTAAATACAATAACGAGTTCACATGGGTGGTCGATACCAATGCTGCAAGAGAAGCAACACTTGTTCTTGGCGCAGACGAGGTCCTCAACTCTTCGAAATCCTCGTCCGCAACCCCAGCCAAGCCAATCCTAGCATCATCCTGCCCTGGATGGGTGTGTTATGCCGAGAAGACACACCCCCATGTTTTGCCTCACATATCAAAGGTCAAATCGCCACAGGCCTTGATGGGTACATTGCTCAAGACGACACTGAGCAGGACATTGAACATAGCCCCCAGTCGTATTTGGCACTTGGCTGTGATGCCCTGCTTCGATAAGAAGCTTGAAGCCAGTCGAGAGGAGTTGACCGAGGAGGTCTGGGCTGAGGGAGAGATTCGGGGACGAGGAGTTCGCGATGTTGACTGTGTTATCACAAGCAAGGAAATTCTTATGCTCGCCGAGTCGAGGGGCCTCGATTTCTTCAGCATACCCAAAATCCCACTACCCAGCCATAGGTCGATACCATTCCCCGATCCTAAACTCCACGATTTCATATTTCCCCGGCGAAACCCAAGAAACCTCCCACGTGAGGCCGGTACATCGGGTGGTTTGTTATATCATATCCTCAAAAGCCGAGCGGCACAGACCCCTGGTGCAGAAGTGGTACATACTCGCGGTCGCAACGTCGATGTTGCTGAGTACACAGTGGTGGTCAACGGCGAGCCGGTCTTTCGTGCTGCTCGTTATTATGGTTTCAGAAATATTCAGAATCTTGTTCGGAGATTAAAGCCAGCCAGGCCCTCTCGAATGCCTGGTGGCAAGCCTTTTGGGAGTGCTCGAAAACCTGCGGGCAAGGCAGCCTCCCTGGAGTATAGCTACGTGGAAGTTATGGCCTGCCCCGGGGGCTGTACCAACGGTGGTGGTCAGATCAAAGTCGACGACCCTGTTGTTATAGAGAGAAAGAAGTATTCCGGAAACCCTGGTCCTCAAGAGCAAAAGCTTTGGCTGTCAGAGGTTGACGAGGCCTACTTCTCGGGAGATGAGGCAGGCGCTGAAGTGAATGGGTCTGCTGAGGTTGTAGGAGGTATTTCCCATTCTTACATAAATGATACCCTGGCGCACTGGGCGGAAGTTACAAGCATTGGACTAGATGGACTGGCGTTTACGACGTATCGTGAGGTGATTAGCGACGTTGGAAAGGACACCACCACAGATGAGACGGTGGTGCAGCTCGCTGGAAAGATTGGTGGTGGATGGTAGAGTCTCGTCGATAGAAACAATCAACTACCCTTGCCACCTCGTTGTGCAAAGCCAAACCCTCCCCGGCCACTCCCGTCTGGCCCTTTTGGTGTTCGAATTGGTGCCTGCGGCTGTAATTGTTGTTGTTGTTGTTGCTCATCGCGAGGTGTTGTGCTCCTCCCAGGCGAAGAATATTCTGCTTGTCGTCTCTGCGGTACCGGTTCAGGCTTGGGTGTGCAATTCGGGTCGAACAGCTCGCGCCCAGAGCCTGAAGCGTTCTGCATCCTCCGCGGAGCATCAAATCCACGGTTATCAGGTTGGCGGTTTTCAAGTTGGCGGGCATCGTTGTTCCTGTATCCACCTCTTCCTCGGCCACGACCGCGGCCAGTGTACCCATCTGTCCTCGGCGGGGTAACTGCGCCAGGTGACGATGTTCCTGACGATGGGTTTGATTCTCCGAAGATCTTGGCCCTGGCTTCCTCGTACCGACGCTGTTTCTCCTCTCTATCGCGTTTCTGCTTCGCTCGGATCTCCTCGGGGCTCATTGGTACCTCCTGCCTCGGTTCGTTATCGTCATCAAGTGAAAGTCCAGACATGCCTGCTGTGGCACCACGCTTAGCGATGATGGGTTTCCGGCTGAGTACTTTGACCTGAGGCTTGAAAGGAGCTGTGAGAGGAACTCCTGAGTTAGAACCAGCTTCAATATAGTGGAATGTTTGCGGAGCATCACTGTCGTGTAAGAAAGGTCCCAATGTCAGCAAGCTACTTGGGTATGTTGTCAGTGTGGTGAAAGGTCTTACGCAGATTCCCATAGCTTGCGATTCTGCTCAGCATGCTGCGCCAAGCGTTCTGATTTGGATAGAGGTGCTTGAGGTGTCGTCTGTTCAGGTTCTTGAACCATTTTGTCTGCTTTGGCCTCCCAATCATCCTCCCAGGCGTCAGGGACTGTCTTTGTGTTCTTGCCCATGATGATTTTGTTTCTTTTGTAAATGTTGTTTTTGCGATACGTCAATGCCGTCGTCTTCGTCGTTGGAATATATGCTTTACAGGCTTGTTGAATATCGCGAAGTTGAGCATGGGGTGAGGTGAAATAAGGCGGTTCTATCCGTGGTTTGTTTTGAAAAAGAAACAAGGATAGGCTGAAGGAGCCTGGTGTAGGTGGGTTTGGGCTTGGCCCGGAAGCTAGGAGCTTGCTTAGAATGGAATTCACGACACAAAGCAACTGCTTTCTGTCTTCTGAGGGAAGTGCATACTAGGTAGGTACCTATGGAAAGCTTAAGGAAGGCCATTACCTACAGTGGGGATAGCAAATACTCACTGCATATGAATCCCCTGGGTCGCTTCCGTTAACCTAGTACTCAGGCCTCTTCTTCTCGTTTGGAGTCTGGACACTCGAGCTCTTGTAATTCATGTATTTGAATGTTGCGGGGTGGCTTGTCATTCTGGTGGGGCGCGCTGGGCTGAACAGGGCACGCTGGCTGGCAGTGCTGGATCCTGATCACAGCTGGATTCAGAGAGGTACCTACTCCGTATAGACAGACACGGGCTACGTAAGAATCTATGTCACCCAGGGAAACAAGTTCTTGTCTTATAATTAATCAACTTTGCCAACTTTTTTTTCCTATTCAGGGGAACATCATCAAGGGATATCACTATAATCGTTTATCGGAATCCACGGAACAGCTCGTTTTTATTCTAATTTTTATTGCCTTGCCCTTCTTTTCGAGACTTCTATAACCGCTTCAATGGCTGGTGGACCGCGTTCGTCACCTATCAATCAACAAGAAATGGCCGACCGAGCTGCCAATACTAGCTCAAGGAGGACGATGGAAGACAACGAAAACATGCGTTCAAGACTGGCTCATCAGAATATCAGTATACGTTTGTTTCCCTGGCGGGTGCTATTTGGTGTTGTTGTAGTTAACAATAAACCTAGTCAACTATCCAGATCCGCTCAAGCCTCGATCACAACTCAAGATATATCCCCAAGGGGTGACCCAAGATATGGAAGATAGATGGCATCAAATGATCGAGCAGTCCAAAAATTAGTCCCCTTTGGATGCCACGATGATGAGAAAGATCTCTCTAGGCGATAATACTCGACCCAAGCTGTGGACCAGGGAGAAAATCACCAACCCTTTTCTTAGCAAGCTCTATCAACTATTTCGACTGCTGTGCTGTGGAGGAATATGCCAATGATGAATATTTAATTTACACTCGACTATGCTCTGCTTCAGTGTCTGCAGTACTTGGGAAACAGCGTATAACATACATACCAGTCCTACCACTTTTAATTGTTGCAAGATAATGAACCGCTACTTTTCTTATTTGTGTTGCCTTTTCATCTTTCAGGTGTTTTCTGTTTGCTTAATTTACTTGCATCACGCATATGCCCAAAGTCTAGGGAGTAAGGGCAAAGCTTTCCCTTACATACATGTTTATATATCACATTTAACAAGTATAGTATAACTAATGATCACGGCCTGGTAGTTTGTTTGCATCATGGGATTCGTGATTACCCTGAAGTGTATATCATGTGGTTATTCAAGCCGAGTCATGACTAACAACATAGGCATGCATTCTTATTCAGTATAGTTACGGCCAGCATCATGGACCAGAATATCGAAACACGGAGTATTACGCAATAATCGGGTGTGATATGTGTTTGCGAGTGCCATTATGTATGCATATAATCGGCGACTCAGCCCTAGTACAATAAGCTGACTGTGGAAAAACTTCCATCCATAAGGCGCCTTGCATCTCAGCTCACCATACATACACCTAGCGAGGCATGCTGCGCTGCTGACCCCTGGCATGTTCCACCTACTCGCCCGAGACTAATGTCACTATGTTCTATAAGGCCATGGCTAACAGGTTGAAATGTTGGTTTAAGGTGTCACAATCGGAGTATTGCCCAATAAGGTAGTCTGCTGTAACACAACAGCCACATGGAAAGGTTGCAGCAACAGCTGAAAGTCGATCAGTCATCACACTCAGATCAGGCTTGTGATGAGTAGAGAACTGCTGATACGTGCAGCAGCCTATGATAGAAGAGTCCAAAGTATGTCGAGCAGATACAACGATGTGATGGTGCACGACAATGATGATTGGATAAAGCTGGTGACTCTGCTCATATGCATATTATAAACCAAGGGATAGTTGCCCATCGATTTCTCTCTCATGGCTGGGTCAAGCCTTCTTGATATGTCTCTTAAAATAATGTTATAAACTGTAGTATTGAAATCAGAGTTGTCATCTACATAAGTGGAACGCGGCTCAGGTTGTATGCGTACCTTATGCAAAGGTGTCAATGCAAGCCTAGACTTAGATCCGGAGCATAATTAGAACCAATGTAGTCAAAGTCTTAGATGACTCGATTACTGGACGAGATACCCTTGCTCAAGATAGTGGCAACATTCACGTTACAATCGCTTACTTCGCTCCCGGCCAAAGAGACAAGGGATAACGTCAACCACATGCAAAAGGCAAAAGAAGCTGGGCAGAAACAAGGAGTCTCGTCGTCCGTATCCGTATTGTCGGTTCGCCAGAGATCCGGAGTGACACTAGAGACATTCAAGCCGCAGCCAATGATATATGTCGAGGTTGATGCGGCGAGGTTGGTAATACTTAACCGAAAATGTCTGTGGCGATGGTGTACTAGGTGGGTGCTACAGCTTCAAGTTGAGTATTCCGTATGAGCATGGGAGATGGCTGGAGCTTTTCCATCTGATGGAACATAGACTAGAAATAGACCCGAGCCGAAAGGAACCATAAGCTTAGTACATGCAGTTCTTGTACAGTACAGCCAAGAGTCTTTTTGGTGTTGATAGCCTATCATGGGATGTGCTGTGTATAGATACTCTAGATATTCCACTGATCAGCTGCAGTTGAACAAACCCCTGCTCGATTCTGGTTGCAGCGGGGTTGACACGGATACAAGGACAATTACTGATGCTTCAGAACACGCCTAGAACCCTATTTCCTACTGGGAATAGTTCGAAGAAACTTTCCATATCTAAGAATTCGTTCTACCAAGGATACTAGACTAGACTCACTGGTAGGCACTATGCCCGAGTTAGTAGCTTGTGTCGTCCAAGGCCTTTGAGAACCGCGGACAATATCATAATCAGTTGACCCAATCGAGCACGCACATTTCGCCAAGAGTGAGGTGTCGCTGATTACATACTGATGATGCGAAACAAGGGACTAGACGCTGCTTCATGCAATCAGCGATGAAGAACTTATTGTTGAACCCCCACCAGAAGTTCACCATCTCCACCTTTATTGGAAGCTTGTTCGTCTCAAGATGGGAATATTTGAATTACAGAATGGGGATCCCTTCCTCCATCAGTCCGGCCTCTCCTCTAATCTCGTCTCTGCTTGATCTGCTCTGCTTTGCGCTGGTCACTGAAGTTGGTTCTCACCAGATTCGTAAGGGTCCAATACGCACTGTGGAGTGTTTGTTGTAATCTGTGGATACGCCTCAGCGTTGGGTGCGTATCATGATTCAGTTGAAACCCAAACCAACTGGCGCTGGCTTAGGCATGTCATGTCATGGCATGGCAGCTTTTATTTGATCTTCCAGAAAGACACCGCTGTTTCGTCAATAACCAAGGAAGAAAGACGGTGTATCTATATTTGATTTCCGTCTGCAAGGCTTGTCGTATTGCTTTGCTGTTAATGTTATTGTCATTGTTGGGAGTTGATGATACTCATTACTAACCTAGCAAGGTACTGGCTGCACCTACGTAGTAACTCGTAAACTCGTTTCCTAGCATCGCTGATGTCATGGACATTGCTCAGCGCATCTCCACCTTCGGGCTTCAGCTCTTCAGGCCTATCTCCAACTGCTGCAAACGTATCTTCGAAATCCCGTTATCGGTTTATCAAGAGGCGGGGTTGAAGCTTCGACTTTTTTAGTCATTACGTCTGTTTACAAACCCGAATACCGAAACAAAAATAATCTCGACAGATGTGGCCTCGCAAGCAGTTTTTTACTGCAGCACAACAATTTTGTCTTTGAGTTACTGTATGAATCGGATTTTAGCAATAATAGAGGTGTTGTAAGCACTGAAGTCCATTTCCGCCCCAAGCGTGGCGAGGTAATCTGATTAATCAGTTAATCGATCCATGGATGAACCTCTCCCGTCTCACCCAGCAAAGTACCTACCAAACTAAAGAATTGGTTGGCTGGCTCCCTCCAAATATTTCTCTGACTCTAAATACAGTACCTTATGGCTCTTGCAATTTAAGATTGTTTATTTTAAGAAGGAACCGAAAAAACAAGAAAACCCAAAGCTTATACGGCGTGTTTGAAGTTTTGTAAAAGAAAACCAACCTAACATTAACAAACCTCCCACTGGGCGTAGGCGCACTGTACTGTGCAAAAAGAAACACCCCCAAGGCCAGGTCGCCCACGCCCACCTCACCTTGGCCTTGCCCCAAAAAGACGTCTAATTATCATCTCCATCACTTTCTCTCTGCCCGAGGCGCGCCATCTAAATCCTTTCCCCTCTCTCAACAATAACCATCATCTTTTTCTCCTTCTACTACGCTTGACTATCGTTTCTTATCACGTCCTCAACCTATCCTCGACTCGAGTAACGAACCCTGGGCCAGCGACGCCCAATCCGACGACGTTATACGATTCATCTCACGCAATATACCCGCTTCGCCCCTCTCTTCCTCCGCTGCGACAATTCGGCCCTGTTTTTAAGCCGCGGTAGCTTTAATAAAGCTCCTCGCCGCCATGACCGGCCCTGAGACTTCGAATGCGGGAGGAGGTTTCGATCTTCTACGACGAGCAACTCAAGCAATGATGTCAAGGTTCGTGACTCTTTTTTCCTCTGTCGATTTGAGCTCCCCCAGTTTTTGCTTTGGATCTGTTTTGCTCTGCTTTGCGCTGCGCTGTGTGTTATTGTTATTGCCTATCAAAGATGATCATCCTTTCATCCCGTCTTTTTGGTACGCTCGATATCGAGACCCTGGGATCGAGTGCTATGCTGGCTAGCTTGGCTGGTTGGTGGCAGGGCCCCTCACCAAACATAGCCAGTAGTGGTGGTGGCGACGATGACGGCCGACGACCTTGCAGCACTCAAGCTCAGCAGCTTCAGCGACGCCTCCTCGAGTCAAGGTTCTATTCCGGCTAGAGCTGCCTGCTGTTCGTCCCTGGACTTCGACACCGCCCACCGATGGAACCCACCTCACTTCACATGGAAATGGAACCGCTTCCGGCGCCTACAGCTGTTCGCGCAGGCCCGAATCCCACAATTGGGCGTTGTTGGGCGCTGTCTAGTGGACGGCTGCCCTGTAACTACACTGCGCTGCATGCACTGCAGGGTGCTGCTGGCTTTGCGTTGTCTTGAACAGCTGGGCAGTGGGAGCATGGATTCCCCATAGCGGTCGAGCCTTTGCCTTGGGATCGCTGGCAAAACCCGGCAGATATGGATAACACGAGTTTCGATCCTTGCATCGTCAAGCACCAAGCACCAAGCAAGCTGTTCTATTACAACACAAACACGCATATGCCAACCAAGCAAGGCACTTTCATGCTTTCAACTTGAATTTCGCCTTCCATTGCAGTGGAACCGAGCATCGGCCGCCGTCAAGAATTCACTCTTGGTGGCCCTAGACAGCCTGCACGGCCTGTTTCAAACAGACAATCGAGCGAGCTTTCATGGTCGTAGCATCGCTTTGATATTCCCATATCCACATGCAAGAGACAGCTCGACTTCTTTTGCCTCCGGTTTTATCACGACTAGGCCTGACTCGCCTTGACTGTGATTGGGTCCAATCAACGGCTGCCCAGCCTCGGAGCCAGTCCCTGCGTTCGGCCCCGCTATCAAGTTTCTGGTTTTCCACGTTTTGCTCCTCTGCAGAACCAAAAAGAAATCTCAAAAATCAAAAGTTCGGAGAAAAGTCCTCAAGAAGACAGCTCATACAAAGAAAAGCTTTTCTTGAACAAGCTTTGCCTTTACCCTGGCCGCACAGCATAGGGAGGGTATTCATTACAAAAGTCAAGGGAATTGGTCTCTTCATCGTCCTCTTCTCTAATTTACATTCAAGTATCAAGTCTCTCCACTTGGTCCCTTGACGCTCCGTCTTACACGGCCGCTCTCGGCAAGGTCTCCCATCCCAATCCCAATCCCAATCTCTACTACTCGCTCGATCGCTCGCTTGCTGGTCCTGGGTCCTGGGTCCTGGCGCTTCATCCGCATCCACACCAGCGTGAACACACCACTGGCTACCTTGAGATCTAAAAGGCCTCTGCCCATTCCGTGTTTTTCTCGTCATAGTCGCATCGTCAGAGTCCACCTCGACCGCTATTATTGCTCGTCGACTTTGGTGGTCCCTCCGACTCCCTCGTCCTTTTCGGCCTTTGCCCTGTTTGCCCTCTAGGTGACGCGCTTGGCAGCCGTCATGAACTAGTGTTCCCACTTTGCTTTTCCCCGCGCAGCTGCTTCGGCGTAGAAGCATTTATTCACTCACTGGAAATCTTTTATCAAAATGCATGGGGTTATTAACCAAAACATCAGGACTGCAGACGAGGATGGCGCCGATCAAATCGGTATTGAAACTCCTCGATCTGGTGTAGCTACTCCTCAACCCGATCTACAGGACAAACGCTTGCCAGGCATTATGAGCTACTTCGGTCAGGTTCGTAAATACCCTTTTACGCCTTTGTCAAATTCCAGTTCGTCCCAGAGTGATACCACTCTAGACCGGATTTTATCTCAGTCCACTCCACCTACCGGCCTGCAGTTGCAGACACACACCGAAGGCCCTCCTGGCGGCTGTGACTCCTCGGCTTTGGATCGTTCGCTTCTTAAACTTGAAGGCTCTGATCTCATACCGAGTACCATGGAGCGGGATGAGCATAATTCTTCGAACCCCTACCCAACCCCACCCACTTCTCAGCCCTCGTCCTCGGGGGGTTCTATTTCCCAGGACATGATTTCTGCAGACTCAGGGGCCCATGGCAGGGCTGCTGTCGAGCCAAAGTCTCTTACACAGCCGTCGCAATTCAAGAAACCCACAGCCTCGCCTTTCACCACCACCCACTTTCAAACTTCTAATGACCCATCACTACCTGAACTTGACTCCTCCAAAAACGCATCACCTACCAAAGACTCCATTATTCCTTCGCACCCAGAACCTGGTGCAAGCTCAGGCGTTTATTCAGCTACTGCCCCCGGCAAGTGGCATTTTCTTAATGGACTCAAAGAGCTAACTCGTATGACGTTCAAGAGCGGCAACTCGACTCCCTCTCGAGCAATGTCGGCTGCTCGACCTTCAGGCTCCGAAAGGGCCCCCTCCTCTGGGAGAACCAGTCATGACGGCGCTGAAGTCAGCGGCGCTCAGACTCCGAGAAGCTCTGGCGGTGCGCAGGCGCCTGCGGCCAAGGGAAAACTAACCATCAAGATCAACGAAGCTCGAGGGCTCAGGAAGAGTCGGGATCCGTATGTTGTTGTGGTTTTTCAGCGCAGTGAGCTCATCTCAGGCGGTCCCCACCACATGGATGAGGACGAGGACGAAGACTTTAGCATCGACCCACCCCCCGCTACTGGCGGCATTGCCATTCAGCGAACAGGAAGCGATTCTGGGCGACCCTTGGCCATTCCCATGAGGAGCAGACAAAGCAGCAACACCAGCAACAACGAACATGGCTCATTCCGAACCCGATCTGGGCAGGTATCATTCACCAACCCGAAATGGGATGCTGAAGCAGAGTTGTAAGTCCATTCACTGACTGAGGCACACAAGTACCATTACTGACATAAAGAAGCGATGTGGTGGACTATGACATGTTAGTTGATGTCTCCGTCTACGACCATGGAGCGAATGGCGATGAATTCCTTGGTCATGTTGATTTCCGGGCCAGCAAGGATCCTGGCACCACTGTCGAGGGCTGGTTCCAGTTGCAGGGCCATGCTGATACAATGGCAGAGAAGGCGCCAACCGGAGAGATCTTTCTCGAGGCTATTTATCATAGAGCTGAGAGAAAGCAATTCGGTCCTACTGACTTCGACATCCTCAAACTTATCGGCAAGGGAACCTTTGGCCAGGTTTATCAAGTGCGAAAGAAGGATACTCAACGTATTTATGCCATGAAGGTTCTGCAGAAGAAGGTTATTGTGCAGAAGAAGGAGGTCGCGCACACTGTCGGTGAACGAAACATTCTGGTCCGAACTGCCATGTCCGACTCACCTTTTATCGTCGGTCTCAAGTTTTCTTTCCAGACTCCATCAGAGCTTTACCTTGTTACTGATTACATGTCTGGAGGTGAGCTGTTCTGGCATTTGCAGAAGGAGGGTCGATTCGACGAGAAGCGAGCCAAGTTCTACATCGCCGAGTTGATCTTGGCCATCCAACACCTTCACAATAATGATATCGTTTACCGAGACTTGAAGCCTGAGAATATCCTTCTGGACGCCAACGGCCATATCGCTCTATGCGATTTCGGTCTCTCCAAGGCCAATTTAACGAAAAATGATACAACCAACACTTTCTGTGGAACTACCGAATACCTCGCGCCCGAGGTTTTGCTGGACGAGTCCGGCTACACCAAGATGGTGGATTTCTGGTCGCTAGGTGTTTTGGTGTTCGAAATGTGTTGCGGCTGGAGCCCATTCTATGCCGAAGACACACAGCAAATGTATAAGAATATTGCTTTCGGCAAGGTGAGGTTCCCTCGAGATACCCTTTCTCAAGAAGGAAGGAATTTCGTCAAGGGACTCCTCAACCGAAACCCTAAGCATAGATTGGGCGCGACCGATGATGCCGAGGAGCTGAAGAGGCACGCTTTCTTTGGAGATGTGGATTGGACTCTGCTCACCAAGAAGCTTATCACTCCTCCATTCAAGCCCAAATTGAAGTCTGAGACAGATGTTTCATACTTTGATCCTGAGTTTACGACCGCGCTGGACCAGAACGGCTCACTGAACGAGCGAGCTGCGGCATTGGCTCGAGGGTACGCCGCTTCAACACCTTTGTCTCCATCTGTACAAGCCAACTTCCAGGGCTTCACATTTGTAGATGAGAGCGCACTTGATGATCACATGCGGGACCGAGCAGGACTTGTCGACGAGGATATGGACGACGGCCACGGCCGCAGACACCGCGATAACGACGACTGGGATAATCTGGACGACATTGACCTCAGGAAGGCAAACCGGATGAGTGGAATCGTGAAGACTGGACACGATGATCACATGGTGGGAGGCTCTCACTTTGACGTATAAGGCGGCAATGGTCTTTTTTTTTTATTCTTGCTCGTTTTATTCAAGTCAAAACTCCACGGCGTTTCAACCATGCTGGAGATCTATCCATATCTCTACGTGTCATAACAAAGAAGCAAAAAGTAATATTTCGCAAAAACCAGAAGCTTGCCCTTTCCCCTGTTTTGCATGTGGGCTATGGATGTCTTAATTGTGGAATTATTTGCATCAGAGGTCGGCTGGTATTGCATTGCATTGGTCGTCGTGCTGTTCAGGTCTGATGGCGTTTTACGGTTATGTAAAAGGAGAGGCAGAGGAGAGGCAGAGGAGAGGGGAGAGGAGGAGGGGATGTTGAAAAAAAAAGGAGGGATCAAAGTCTTTTTGGTCGATACCTCTCGGAGCGCCTATTCACCTAGTTTGATTCATAGCAATAACAGGACGGGCCATATGCAGTAATGAATTGAGAATGTCACAATTTAAGCCGTGTCTAGATTATCATCGTGCCTTTTCTTGTCCTTGTCCCAGAAGGGAACTTTGTTGTTCTCTTTGAGTTTAATCTAGGCTTACCCGTGTTGGATATAGTAGCCTATGATAGAGTTCGAATGCAGCCTTCCGTGCTCCTTGTGGTTGTCAATGACGTTGATTGCCACCTGACGTCGATAGACTAGAGGTGGTGTCGCAGAGCTCGAGGTGTTAGGTTGATGATGCATGTCATTGAAACCTGGTCATTGAGTGAGGGGAACGGTAGAAGTCATGCATGTCATTGATGTCGGGAGGCATATGCGAGGTTAAGTGATGGTCGATACATGAATGAGCGTCACGCAGTTAGCACGCAGTTAACGCCGGAGTTAGGGATCTCTAGGAAGAGGGTGGGCTTGCAATATAGCGACCAATGACTGTAGTCTGTAAAATTGATTCATTAATTGCCATTCATGTAAATCGTGATGCTACGGTATGAGATCAATACTTGAGAGACAATTGTTGTAACAAGTTGCTTGTGCTTCGTTTGGCGTTCGCAATTAGTTCCTACAGGCAACCAAAAGGCTGGATTGAATTCTAGGAAAAGTATACACAGGACTCTCATCCCCAATCCACTTTGGTTCTTTCTGCTCCTTCTTAATCGCTCCGACTCTCCATGCCCGGGCTGAGTTGGTGTCAGCCTCCCTCTTTTTCTATCCTCAATGTGACGGCTGCTGGGCGGTGAGAAAGTTTACCCCCAAAAAATTTGCAGCTGTCCCGGATAGTTGATGAGCTTCCCCAGAAAGGTTTAAGAAAAAAAAAGCGCTTTAGTGGTGAGGCTCCTCGTCCTCCTCGGCCTCGAGCCAGTCGGCAACCTGGGGGGTGCCAGCGCCCTGGGCGGCGGCGTCCTGGCCCTCAATCTCGACAGCCATGCTCTCGTACTCCTTCAGGTTGCCGGCAAGGTCGGTCTCCTCGGGGGAGGTGGGGGTCTTGGGGATGTTGAAGGTCTGGACGTTGCCCTCGGCATCGGACTCCTTGACGACGGGGGTCTTGTAGGCCTTGAGCTCCTTGAGGTAAAGCTCCTGGACGAAGTCGGCTATTGATGTATGATGTCAGCAATTGAGCAATGATGAGGTCAAGTCACATTTTGGGTCCGATTGAACAGCGAGGGTGTCGTAGGTCTTGGGATGGTATGGCGGGTAATGTTTTTTTAACAGCTCGAGTATTGATATATGATTCTGATGCTGAGTGTTTGGCGACGACGTCGGAGCTTCGGTGGAGTGCAGATTCGGCTATAGGAGGACAGATCCGACCGGGAGAAATGGACAATCGAGGTGATAGAATCGCCACGTCGGAACAGGTTTTGAAGATGTAGCAGCAGACGAGAAAGACAAGATCTTACCTTTCCGGGAGACGGTAGGAGCAATGAAGCCCCTCACCTGGACGGCATTGGGCCGAGCGACACGAGAAACAGCCGCAACGGCGGAGCGAGCGCGCTATAAATTGGGGAATTTCATCAGCAAATTTGCCCTCGCCGACATTCACAGAAGCAGAAGGCATCAGTTTCTTACCGTAGCCCTGGAGAGTTGGATGAGCATTTTGAATGGCTGGTGGTGGCTCAATTGGGGGTGACTCCGGGGAGATGGGAGATGGGCGAGCGATTGAGGGTTTTGGGTGGAAAAATCGTGAGAGGTTGCACTGGACCATGCGTCTTCGCCCCCGGTTAGAGCGGTTCGGCCTTGGGATCGTGGAGTTTGTGCCTGAGGCAGCAGGGATAAAAAGTGTGGGCGGCTGGGACAGCCGGAGCATAACGGGTATGAGACACGTGACCTTGACGTCGAGTGATTGGTTGTAGGTTTCCTTGCATCTGGTGCTGATAGAGAGTGAGCCTTCACTTACACGCAACATTGCTACCGATTTTGCTGGTAAATACTTTGCATGTTTCAAATCCACCGAGTCATAATACTACACGCCATATCGTATCTCCTGACGTACAGGTGTACTTTCAAGTAATACTTTCATGGTGGCCAGAATTGTTGAGTTCATCCACAGATAAGGATTCATACAGAGCCATGCTTCATTTGTTGTATACTCAATTGATACATTTACCATTATCTGTTAAGTTCATCTGAGACTAAAAAGAAAGCAATAATACTCAAGAAGAACAAAATGACTAACAGCGCAAGTAGCCGCTTCCCAATGTCACATCCATTGCCTGTAGCCTGGATATCACTGGTATCACAATTCACAAGATCCGAAACACCCGTCTAAGCACCACAAACTCTGCCATCTTTAGCATCGCACAACAATTATCGTCCTTCCTCCTGAGACATCTGAGGCGAAATTTGCTTCACGCGAGAAGCCTTCCTCTTCCTCTCACCAACAAAGACGGCGCCGAGGTAGAGCACAGCAGCAATACCGGCAATGACAGAGTACGCGACGATGAAGGCAGTTGATGAGCTCGCAAGCTTGAGACCTAGGCCACCGTTGATGATACCAATGATGATGAGTGCACGGCCGAACCAAATATGAACATGGCTGATGATTCCTCGTCCACCATGGCTAAGGAAGTGTCGGTGGTGCATGTAACCAAGGATGGGCTGAAGGGTGATCAACGCACAAATGGCCGTTCCGAGCCTGGTGTGAGCTTGGTTTCCCCACTGGAATAACAAGTTAGCATTGACGGCCGACTAGCGATGCGAGTGCATCTGAGGACAAAACTTACCATGCCTGAGTCCTTGGCATAGACGTATCCGAGACCGAACCCAGCCCACATGAGGAGCAGTGTAACCACCTGCCAGCCGGCGTGAATGATCCACTTTCCGAGGATGGGCATAAGGATGGCGCCCAGGGGATAGCCAGCGAGGAAGACGATTGACATTACGATACCGTGAGCCAGCATAACCTTGTCGTTGCCGCCACCGCTTCCTTTCTGTGTAACAGCATCAGAACCAGAGCCAGAGCCAGAGCTAGATTCGGAACCAGAGTTTGAATCTTGGCTGGCCGAGGTGAAAGGGTTGCTGTCCGAGGTCATCGTGGCCTTGTTGAAATCGACGTCGAAATCAACATGCTTGTCGTGCTCTGAAATTCGCTCTTCCATGCTTGTCGAGTCCAGGGAATTGCCATTCTTCCACGCTGCTATCCATGGGTTGGTGCCCTTTAGATCAAGCTCAACGCAGCTGTTGCATCGGATATTGGCGATCATCTCGTTGCCCTGGACTCCAGAGCCGTCGAGAAGCTCGAGCCCTTTTCGTTGGGTATACTTAGGCATAACCTCGCCTGTAGCTCGTCTTGGGCTGAGGGTGACATTGCCGTTGCCGTCTTGATAGATGATGAACATATCAGATCCAGCCATTTGAGCTCCAGTGCCTAGTCCTGCCCATTGTGCTGAAGTTGGTGCCTTGATCTGGAGGTAGAAGTTGCCGGACCCTGAGCTGGCGGAAGCCTCTGGGACACCCCAACGGAAACAAACTTCACCGTTGTTTGGGCAGAATGAGGGTGTTATGGCGAGTGCGCTGCGGGCAGCTGTGAGAGAGAATGTGTTAGTTAATCTGGGATGGAGATATGGGTACTTGATATAGAACAAAGGACTTACACAGCACCGCTAATAGGGAGCTAAAAGCCGACTTCATGGTAATTATATGAATAAAGAAAAACCCAATAGAAGGAATTGACAGTGAATGAGGAAGTTTCGGTCGTGATTTGAAATCTTACAAGAGGGGACGCCAATGATCATATAGGTAATAAATGTAAGCACAGATGGGAACGGGGGACAAGGGTAAGTAAGGTATGGAATAGGATTTAGTTAGCGATGTACTATTAAACGATCACCCAACCGCTGGTTACAGTTAGTCTAGGTACGTACGCTACGCGCCGCAAGGCCTAATAGTCCAGGGCCAAGGGCCAAGGGCTCGAGGCTGTGCTGAGCTGTGTTGTGTTGTACTACCTTAGTTTAGGTGCTGTACAAACTGTGATGCAACTGCAATGCAACGGATCTCGTTACGAATTCGAATACCAAGAAACCAAGCCCCAAGGATAATGCATTCGGCATATGACATTGCAAGTGCCGCCATTAGTTGAGTTGAGTCTTGTAAGCGAAGTTAGCGAACATGCGAAAGCTCTCCCCAGCTCCAACAGCTCGTTATTCTCGGATCCTCCCTCGCATTCAAATTATCTACCTCGTAACTAAGTTACTATTATTTTATTATTTTAGGTTTTGCTGGCAACTGTCACTGCCACTGCCGCAATCCAGATAGCCCTAGAGCCTAGCTCCCCTATGCTATATGCTAACGCGCGTTACAATCTATCACCAATTGACTGAGGCTTCAGGACACAGTCATGACATGTAGATGATTGGCCAGAGACTGCGATTTCACAGTCGAGGCATCATAAAGGCTGAAACTAAACTGTTCGCTTTTGCCGTGATCCGAGTGAGAAGGAAACCAATGCAGTCTCTGTTTCAGACCTTCAGTGACCTAGACTGTTGGAATGCATACAATCTACCTACCTGATTACGCGCCATTCTCCAGTAGAGACGATTCTGATACAATGACCTAATGAGCGGCCGACCCCTACAGGCCCCCTACAATGGATATCTCCGCTGCCGCCAGAAAGAGGTGAGATCTGGTCCCCCTCCGCGTCGGGAAGACTCTTTGCCAAATCAGGCAAAAGATCTGATTATGCTTCTTCCAACGGGTAGATTAATCATTCCGAGAGGGGACATCCCACGCCGGTAGATATCATGTCATCCCACGTGGAGGACCGATAAATGGCTGTATACTGTATAGTGCACCATCAAGCTTTGTGAATAGCATCAGTGGAGTTGATAACTTGACACGCAGTTGTTCTACTGGTCGTGTCGTATTGCGTTTGATAACGTCGCACAGACAAATACCACGGGCAAGGAACAAGCCCAGACAAACCAAAAACATAGCCAGCCCAATGGCATTATCCCAATTTGCAAGGCACTACCAGGGTCTGGAACTCTGGAACTCCCATTAGCCTCGTCGAGTACGTCAGCTCCTTTTTCCTTTAACCCAAAAAGTTTATTCTCCAGACCACTCTCTTTATTCAAGGGCTAGGGTATCACGGCAGTCAGTTTCTCGACTGTTGATCCACGATCCGCCTTGGACGTAGTAGCCTCAGAAGGTTAATTAAGATTATTCAATCATCACCAAGCAGTACCATCGATGATGCCAAGATATTTCCTAGTCTTGACTCTTGAGTTGATGCCTCGATGGCATGCAATAGTCGACGCCTCGTGCAGGATGATTGCGCGGCCCTCCCTTTCGATGTTGCGCTGCGGGCGATCAAAAGTCTACGTATACGAAGTGTCTTTATTTTAAGCATATCAATGCGGTTTGCTATTCGATTCCAACATGATGTGATGATTGAGAGCCAATCTTGTTAGGTGAAGCATTGATTAAGACTTAAACGTACCACGTTGTAGTTACAATGGTCATCACTCTTGATGTACGGACTATGTGCGGATATTCCAGCATACGGTTGTCGTGCATTGTGCTGAAGAATGCGCCAATGGTAACTTGCTCACGTCTATCAAACCCAGTGACTTATTCTTGAGCCGCGTATTCGAGTAGCTGATGATGTGAGATGCTATTTATCCGTCTTTATGTGCGCAGTCAACTAGATATCTCTCCTGCCAATACTCCGTACATCGTCAATATCAGTTTCACCTCCATCCGCTTACAACCCGCCAGTCTGGCAACCTGCCCGGGGCCCTGTGGCGAGTGTTACCCTGCTACGTAAGTTAAGGCTAGGAAACTTCTAAGCCCCCCGGCTAGCGTTAGCTCCGTCCGTTATTTGTCACTTCTCTCGGCTGTTATCACGTATTTGGCAGTTGTTTGCACAATCATAGAACAGGACCAGGGTTACAGATTCATTCATGCAAAAAGAAACTCAAAATTTAGGGACTCAAGAAATGAATCAAGGATCTACGGATAACGATACCATCAAGTGACTGCAAGACAACCATCTAACACCGTCTCTCTGACCTCCTTGTAGCTGCTGTAAAGCAAAAAGCCACCAATCACAATACGCAACAATCTTGAATAACAACCAATCTCATCAACTCCTTCGCCCATTCTCTCCATCACCACACTCTCTCAAGATCAGTCCACAAGTATCACCTCTCATGTCTGCGCAAATGCCGCAAACCGATCGTTATTCAACAGGCTTGAAGATGCAACGAAGCTGAACCCGCCAAAGAGCTCGTCCTTAGGAAGGCTTCGGGGCCACGCATCCTTGTTTGGCAGCATCGGGCTGATGGATAGCTCAGTGAACTCCGGGGCGAAGTTCTCGGCTAGCTCAGGGTCCGTGATCATGGGCTGAATTGGTGGCTCGAGCTCACGCTCCGCAAGCTTCTTCCAGTCAATCTTGCGGAAGAACCGGTGCTTCTTCATTGTCACCAGATCCTTGGGCATCACCGCCCCGAGACGCTTGCTGGGTTCTTTCCGGAGGAGTCGAGTAAGCAGATCTTTAGCATCGGCACTCAAGAAGTAAGGAAGCACCAGCTTCTGCTTGACGATATTCTCCTGGATCTTGGCGTGGTTTTGACCACGGAAAGGTGGGTTTCCAGTCATGAGATCGTATCCAAGTGCTCCAAAGGACCACCAGTCAACTGCTTTCCCATACTTCTTTCCAAGCACAACCTCGGGAGCCATGTACTCGACGGTTCCCAGCATCGAGTTACAGCCCTCTGACTCTTCGATCGAAACCTTGGAAAGGCCGAAGTCGGTCAAAAGGAGATGGCCCTCGGCGTCCAACAGGCAGTTCTCTGGCTTGAGATCGCGGTAGACCACACCGAGATCGTTGTGCAGGTGTGAGATGGCCAGGAGCATTTCTGCCATGTAAAATGCGGCCACATCCTCCGAGAACATCTTCTCAGTGTTGAGATGGGTGAAGAGCTCACCACCCTGCCCGTACTCAAGGATGAGGTACAGCTGCTCTTGATCCTGGAAGGCATAGAACAACTTCACAACGAACGGGTGTTTGTTGACAGATTCGAGAATTTGACGCTCGGTCTTTGTCTGCTCAACAAGCTTTTTGTGGACAACTAGAGAGGCCTTCTTGAACTGTTTCTGGGCGTAGAGTCTTCCAGTCCCACGCTGCTTAACGAGAAGTACGGTACCATAGGTACCCTTGCCAAGGCATCGCAGCTGTTCAAAGTCCTCCGACGTCATCTTACGATTCGGCGCAAGGCCGCCCTCTATGGTTTCGAGAAGTCCACTACGCTCTCGAACACTTTCGTCGGCAAAATCATGCTCGAGATTAACTTCGTAACTAATAGAGCTGTCTGAAATCTCGCTACCAGCTTCGCTGCGAACATCCTCTCGGCTGTGGGTGCGGCTGATCATTTGCTTTCGAAAGTCGAGCGCGAGTCCTTGTTGACTTCCGGAACGACTCATAGAGTGGCAGGGAGATCCTCCGTCGAGGCTCAGAGGCTCCATCTGCATGCGCAGCTTGGCGATGCCTGATACTGCAGGGGAGGATGTTGCGCGGATGGTAGGGCTGCAGTTGGCGCTTACAACATCCTTGATGAGGGCTCGTCCGGGGTTCTTGCGTCGAGAGGTCGGGATCTCGCTGTGTCCATGATCGGAATCTTCATCGCCCGATGTAGCAGGTGTAGTCTGAAAGCCGCGGATGGTGGTGACCGCGGCAGGTGCGTGGCTTATCATGGTGGGCGGTATTCAAAGTGGTAGTTTGGGGTTTGGAGGATTGGGAACGGCACGGCTATGGCCGGATAACTACACCACACAGCACTCGCCCGACTTGGACAGTGGACAAGTGCAAAGAGCAGTGTTCGTGCTATTCAAGGGAATCCTCGTCGTCGCTCCGGATCTGCGCGGGGCTGTGATTCGAAGTGTCGCTCAATCTCGTAGAAGTTCGCGACACGCATCTGGTAGCGGAAGAAAGAAGTACGGAAGACGGTAGGCTTTGCTATATGCATTTGGCAGCGGTAAGGCGTCGCGGTTATGTTGAACTGTTGTTCACCAAGTATGGTGTGAGGAGGGAAAAAGGACAAGAAGGAAAGGGCCGCAACACAAAGGATGGGTCTTATTATTCAGTAAAACCGGGATTTAGTTTTGGTGCACTGAGCCTATTTCCTATTACAGTGCGCGCGCCACAACATAACCTTGCGATTTTCAGGCTCTCCGATTTTTTTCTTTCCTTTTCAGGCGGGTCGGTAAGAATGACTTGCGCCTGTAAGTCGGCTGGGTCGTCGGATAACCCCTGTCGATTTGCCCGAGCGTCCACTTGGAACGCGGGGAGGAATTAAAGGCTCGAGGGGCCTGGCAAATCCAGCAAGAGGGTGATGCAGACAACCACTCAAAAGCTGGCTATTGTACGTAAAAATAGCCCCTGAGAGGCTGAGACTAGTCGCTACAGGTCATCATAAGGCACACGTTAATTCAGGGGACAGCGCCAACACCAGCACCAGCACCAGCACCAACCTGGCAGCTGGAATCCGATATTTTATTAATTGAGGCCCAAGCCATGGACCGTGGGACCCGAGGGAGACAGAGTTTGTCGCATTAATTATGTTGGTGTCCCCCTTTTTTCTTTGATTTTGTGGCTGTAGCGCATAGACTTGGCTTCTCCCTTTGACTCGTGCTGTGTTGTCAATAACCTGAATCAATAAGAGGCAGCAAACAAACAATGAACGTGACATGTTATTATGCGTTGGCCAGGCTGATAAACGCAGTCTTTCGTGTCAGTGTCAGCAGTCATCACAAGGCACAGGATAGGGCATGATTATCTCGAGACACTGACAATCTGACATCACCAATAACCTGACATGCTTGGGGTATGCGGTGATCGATCCTGCAGAAGACAAACGGTTGGTCATAATTAAATGGAACTTTTGGCTTGTGATTCTTCAAGTGCCTGGCCCATTGAACAAAAAAGCAAGCCCCGGTCGATCGCTGCTCATCGGCCATCGGCCATCGGCGAAATAAACTACCGTCGCGGCTACAAGCTACGAGCTACAAGGTCGCGTATGGAAATTTCACGTCTGCCAATCCAAGACCGCGCGCAAAACGACAAGGTTGCAACGAGTCATCAGCAACCGCCTAGTCCCTAACCATTGATATCACCGTCTTTACGCCTTTGTCCTGGGAATACAGAGATCCACACGCATTGACGCTCTTCCACTATAATCGAAAAAACTATACGCGCACACTTCGAAACCTATAGCCAAGATGATGCACCCATCGCGGCAGGCGTACGTCGAGGACACCGAGCCTCAAGGCATTGCTCTAGAAGATGTCCCCGATGACCACGATTATGACATTGCCATGGGTGGAACTGGTGTTCCGTCCGAAAAGGCTTCAGCTATCCTCAGCCAGTTTAATCGCAAACGTCTTGCTGCGACGATAGCAGTCCCTACCGATGATGTACGAGTTCGCGCCAAACTCCGAGAGATGGGTGAACCGATCACCCTATTTGGAGAAGCCCTTGTCGACCGCCGAGATCGATTGCGAGAGCTTCTTACTATCCAGGCTGAGATGACGGGCTTGGAGAATGGTGATATCACAATGGAAGAAGCTGGAGATGAACAAGACGAGCAAGAGGAAGAATTCTACTCAAGAGGCGGACCTGAACTTTTACAGGCACGGATAAAACTTGCCGAATACTCTTTACCCCGGGCAAAGCAGAGAACCCAATTCCAGAAAGCCGAGTCCACCATCCCCCTACGCACGCAGGTCAAGTTTCGCAAACAGGTCAAGGAGAGATTACAGGCCTTCGAGCTTCAAGGCAGTCAGACGGTTGGTGAGCGACACGTCAGCATGACTCGCATTTCCCCCAACGGCGAGCTGGTCGCTGTAGGTAACTGGGGTGGCCAGGTCAAGCTGGTCGAAATACCAAGCTTGAACCAAAAGACAACCTTCCGCGGTCATACCAACAAGATCAGCGGTTTGTCTTGGTTCCCAGGCTCAACTCTTCAAGAGCACAACGTTTCACCTGATACTATTAACCTGGCTTCAGGCGGTGCTGAGGGATCCATTCACTTGTGGTCTCTGAACCAAGATACCCCCCTATCTACACTGGAAGGACACTCGCAGCGAGTTTGCCGCATCGAATTCCATCCTTCCGGACGTTATCTGGCCTCAGCATCTGAGGACACTTCATGGCGTCTTTGGGACGTTGAAACAACTGCAGAAGTTCTCCTGCAGGAAGGTCACTCAAGAGGTGTGTACGCCGTCAGCTTCAATACTGACGGATCTTTACTCGCAAGTGCTGGTTTGGACAGTATTGGTAGAATCTGGGACTTGCGATCCGGACGCACAGTCATGATTCTTGATGGCCATCTGGATGGTCACATTAAGCCTGTTCATGCTCTAGACTGGAGCTCCGACGGACACAGGGTGCTATCTGGATCAGCTGATGGCTGGATTAAATGCTGGGATGTTCGAAAAGTGCAGAGGACAGGCGGAATCGGTGCGCACACCAGTGCTGTCTCTGATATGCGATGGTACAAGGGTCTCGATGATCCTCTCACCGGTGTTCCACCTGGTGTTGACGAGAAGGGGGCACAGCTACCTAAGAAGTCGGGCACCTTCTTTGTATCAAGCGGCTTTGACAGAAATGTCAAGGTTTTCTCAGCCGACGACTGGACGCTGGTGCAGACACTTAGTGGCCACACAGGTCCAGTTGCCAGTGTAGACTACAGCAGGGACGGCAAGTGGATTGTCAGTGGCGGTCACGATCGCACGGTCAAACTCTGGGGTCGAAACGATGGCGAGGGAATCTAGGGAGCTGTTGAAAGAATAACAATCCCTCTATACAGGCAGACAGGATGTGCTACTATGAGATACCCCGCAAAATCATAATAATAAAGTAACTGAACAATGAACAAAAAAGAAAGAACGAATGAAAATGATGTTTGCATAGGTACGATATCGTCTCTATTGTTCATCTCAAGTGGAGCACTTGCACTTATTGTTTCATCCATTTGACACAATTGCTCCTATTGCTGATTGGATCACGCGCCCACCCACTTTCATGATTAGATAACGCATAGTGGCACTAGTTCGCCTGACCCCCTGCCGCCAACCTCGTTCAAGATCAGGTTCCTTTCAGTACCAAAGTTTAGTCTGTCTTTATCACTTTCAACTTCAACCTTCCAACTCTCAATTTTAGTGACAGCGCACCTTAATCATCATCACTACTTTCCAACAAAAGTCGATATTTCTCATGAACAAGCGTCGGATCAGTTCTACTAGAATCGCCAATCCGACATAATAATCACCGGCCATGGCGAGCATCGATCGCTACAGGCCTCCCAGGGAAGGGTATCAACCTCCGACCCTGCCCGCCAACGCTCGACCGGAGCGCGAATCACGATCGCGATCACCAAGACGACGCGATGCCATTCCTCCTGCAGTTCCAACTCCTCCCCAGCACTCCACCAGAACCTCTCCCCCACGACCGCAGGCACGCCAGACCCAAGCATCTCCTGCGCGATCCGACGCACAACCCCCAGTAGCCGGTCCCAACCAATGGTCTTTCACAGCGGATGAGGTGCGAAGCACGCCTAGTATCGTTGAGGGCATCACTCCGACAGATGAGAGAATGCGCAGGGCAAAAGGTGTCAATTTTGTTTACCAGGCGGGAATCATGCTGGACCTTCCACAGATAACGTTGTGGGTGGCTGGAGTGTTCTTCCATCGCTTCTACATGCGCTACCACATGTTACAAGAAAAGGGTGGAATTCATCATTACGTGAGTCCTTTCAACCAATTTACGGTTCCAGAGTCTCTTTGACGATGGAGGTCTGCTCTTAACTGAGCATCTCGAAATTATTTCAGCCACTAACGCCTGAAATCCAGAACATCGCAGCAACAGCCCTCTTCCTAGCCAACAAGGTCGAAGAAAACTGTCGCAAGACAAAGGATATCATCATCGCGGTAGCCAAGGTTGCGCAAAAGAATACTAAGCTCATCATTGACGAGCAAAGCAAAGAGTATTGGCGATGGCGCGACAGCATTCTTACTTATGAAGAAATTATGCTAGAACAGCTCACATTCGACTTAATGATCGACAATCCTTACCGGCATCTGCTTGAGCTACTCGGCAAGATCCAAATGGTACACAACAAAAGCTTGCGACAATCGGCGTGGGCTTTTTGCAATGACGCTTGTCTCACATCAATCCCTCTGCTAATAGAAGCACGAGACGTTGCCATTAGTGCAATTTGCTTTGCGAGCATATACACAGACAAACAAATTGATGATATTAACGGCGAGTCATGGTGGAAGTATCTGAAGGGCGACGAGTCCATATGTGCTCAAGCCATCGAGGTGATGCGCCAGTTTTACACGGAGAATCCGCTTAGAAAGCAGAATCCATCGCTGCCATCACCACCTTTCCATCTTGAGAACACTAGAAAGCGTGACGACACCAGACCCAGCCAGCCAGACACATTATCATCAACCACCGGGACCCCACTGGAGGCCGACCGTGGTAGCCGCAGTCCTGGCACGAGCTCTAGAGTTAACGGTGCTAGTAAGGACAGCGAGGGACGATATCTTGGAGGGTCCCAATCTAAGCTTGACAAGATCGAGAGCGCCCCTAGATCGCCACTCAAGCGAAGAGAGCCAGACGAGGGCGATGACAAGAGCGAAAGAGCAGAGAAACGGGCCAAGCTCTCGGAAGACGAGGAGGGTGAGCTGGTCGAAGACTGATGGATGCTACAACATATACACAACACGGTCTTTGTAAGGTACGAAACAAAGAGGCGTTACAGGTTTCCTTGACTTCGAGACGCCCCATCCAGATAAAGTGGGCTAATCGGTGTTTTACGCATGGCAAAGGCTGGATCTGGTCGTGGAGGCATATGAGAGAACTCTCTCGGAATACGGCGTTTGGATGCAGGTGGTAGACGCCCTCGGCTACTGTACTCGGTTTTAGCTTATGACCTAGGCATCTAAATTAGATGAAATTGTTGGAAGACGATATTTGGAGTCGCATACCCAAGTTCATGATTGCATGGAAACTAGTCGTACTGGCGCTTTGCTCTTTGATGTCCTGAAATGTGACCAACGGGTTTGCTTTCTATTCGACGTCTTCTCTGCTATGATTAATGCAGCCGGTCTCGGATAGGAGCAGTAGACTGTGATGTCGGTACCATAACAAGCATATGATTATATGTTGTTGAACATCAATTTCATAGACTAGGTATATTTAGATGTCTATTATTTGTTCTTGATGCCAATCCTACCTTTTATGCATGTTATCGACTTAATCACGAGTTATCTTCGAAGTATTGTTTATCCACCAGACGAGGTATACCATTCTATAGCCATGATGGTTTCTTGTATAACCTAGGTAGGCTCATATCAACCTTTCTTCTCCTACCTGTATCTTTTTTTCTTTTTCTTTTTTTGCTTCCATCTTAAACTTGTCCAGCCTATGCTTTCCAATTATCTCAATATTAACAACGAAATTGGCCTCTTATCCTACCAGTTCATCGTCTCGGCTACCCATGCAGGCATCCCGACTCTTGTCTCGTCGCCTGATCAACCGCGAGCTGCTGCCTCAGTCATTTCTCGTCCCCAACCCAAACGCCGTGATGCGCAGCACCTGCAAAGCCTCAGGCTTCTCACCCAAAAATTCTGCCAGGTGCCCCCACTCACCGCCTTCCAGAGCCTCTATAAATTTCGAGCGCCGCCCGCTCGAGCTACGCGTCCTTCTTTCCCTTTTCTCCTTAGCTCTCTTTGCCTTTTGGCTTAGATCAAGTGTAGTATCTGTTCTTTTCAGTTTAATCTCTGAAAGGTCTCTAAGGAGACCAACATTGATTATTCCTATTTTTGGCTTTCGGGCGGTTTCCTCTGTGCTTGCATATGAACCCACCCACTGTGTCCCTGGTATTACACTGCCTCCAGGTGACGCGAACTACATGGGCTCGGTTTTTCATTGCTTACTTGGGCTTGCCCGGGTAGTGAAGAAGATCCTTCAAATCCTCTGTTTTCGTTGTGATGAACTTTGCTTGCTGTGTGTGCATGAGATGCCGCTGTATTCTATTAAACTGTGTCGTACCCCATATGGATGCTTGTGGAGGTGAATATGTTCCGGCACTGTTGCACATCAGCCTTGACCGCTGCCTACGTGCAGTTTCTCTGTGACTCGGTGTTCCTGGCTCGTTGCTCGTATATACCCTTCAGGGTAGTAGGTCCGGTCATTTTGTGCAGTCTTTCAAGATGCTCTGTGATGCGCGTAAATAACCATAACTGATGTCGAAAATAAGCGGCCCAGACGCACGATAAAAACTTAATGTCCCTTGTTGCTTAGATGTGCACCTTCTTGTCTCGCTAGGTGTGATATGTGAAGCCGCTTGTTTGCGTCGTTGTTCCTGTGATGCTTCAAGTGCATGATCGAACTACTCGAATGAATTAGGAACCAACACAGTAGGCAGAACCTGGAACAATCAGCATAGAGCCGATAGCGTGATGACTAAACCCTCCGAAATTATGATATATTATCGAGAGAATGAACAACATTACCTGCTACCCATACAGGAACACATTCAATATCACACAACTTATCAGTCGTGAAGGCTGACCTAATCAGGTCTAGTGCCTGGATACCAGAAGCTCCCCCAAAAAGTCCAACTCAGGCACCCGCAATGAATATCGGAACAGCTTCCACCGATATCCTCTGAACAAGCCCAACAATCACCTCCAGCATTCTGCGTTACCTGTATCTTGACGAATCTCTTGCATTTGAAAATATACCATAATAATTCCCACTGTGTTGCTGAGACACTCGACATCATGGCTACGCTAGGCGGATACCTCAATAGCAAGACACCCCTCCCAAGCTCTACCGACCTGATCAGCTTGCTAACATCCTTACCAGAGAAAGTCTTGATCGTCACAGCCGACTCCCGTATTCTTGTCGGAACCTTGTCAGCATGCGATCAGTCAACCAACCTAGTAGGTTTCCCAGATCCTCGCGAAGAAGCAAAAGCTCACAGTACGTGCCTAGGTCTTGAACACCGCCGTGGAACGAATCATCCGAACGCCCGACGACGATGAACCCTCTGTCCAAGTACCCCTGGGCCTGTACCTCGTTCGAGGCGATAACGTATGCTCGATCGGCCTCGTAGATGAGGCGCTCGACGATAGCATCAACTGGACAGAAGTCAAGGGTTCAGCGATCGGTGGCATAAAACATACATAGGTCACACCGTCGAAACAATGGAAGAGGTTTACGCTGCGTCTTTTTTACACAGTCATTTTGTTTGGGATACAGCATCCACAGCTGGGGGGACCAGAAGTCTCCTGCCTTGCGGCATCGATAGGATCACTTGGCGTTCGAGTACACGGAGTTCTAGACAATTCATCTTGTAGCCTTCACCACGGTATAGGCTTTTCCAATTTTGAACTGCATTTATTTGACTATCTACACTGACACAAGATTGGCGGCATCCTGGATTCTATCCGAAGATTCGCTGCATGAGCACTTCCTTAAAAATATCCTGGCCCGGAGAGTCAATGACACGGTTGAGACGGTTGCCCTTCAGGACGCTCAGCCAGGCGTGGTCATCACCAGGAACCTCGTCCAGCTTGAGGATCTCCGGGTCTTCACCGGGGTTGGCTGAAAGAGCAATTGCAGCCTCTGCAGGTTTCACCCTGAACCTACGATCAACAACATGCATTCCGTGTGTCCACTGACCGCTCGTTTCGACCCGGATGTCCTCCAGCTTCTCGGGGGTCTTCCACTTAGGGTCGTCCCGAGTAAGCATATACCAGACCGTCAACGGGTCGTGCAAAGATAGACCGGGCTCGTTCTCATCTCCCTCCATGTCCACTATCTTCTTGAATGAGCCAGTGACAAAATGTGACACCCACCTAGCAAGCGGGCTGCCAGCATTGACGTGGGCCTTGACGTGCTCGTCAAAGTAATTCTTGTTGATAAGATGGGGTGTTGTAATGTCGAGAGGGCAAAGTGTGAGCTTCAGCTGGCGAGAGAGTTTTTCAGGGTAAGCCTTCAGAGTTGAGAGCTCCTTGGGAATACTAGGCATTGTGGAGCTTGGCTTGAGTGAAGTCAGTGCGTAGACTCGCGCAGCGGCGACAGCATCAGCATAGCAATTGAACTCGGCCACAGGAGTGCAGTTGCCCTCAACGTTGACAGCTCCGCCCATCACGACAAGCTCCTTGACACGAAGGAATGTCTCAGGGTCCTCTGCAGCTGCAAGAGCAACATTGGTCAAGGGGCCAACCGCCAGGATGGAGACGGTATCTTCAGGATTCTCTTTCAGGATCCGAAGGATCTCCTTGTGGGAGGGAGCATTAGAGGGTGTGAAGAAGGGAGAATAGTCTTGGGCACTATTGGCACCATCCGCGAAGAGATCTTTCCAAGTCTCAGCAGGGGACAAATCGGGATGCGCCTCATGAACATTATGCAACCCATCAATGCCATCTACGAATATATCGCTATTAGTAAAGAGAAACGATACACGGATACACAGTATAAGACTTACGGAAGTAATCGGCCATCAATGTCTCATCGCAGAGAGGATGTTCAGGGCCAACAGCCACGATAGGTTTGTTTGCCTTCATCGCCCCAAAACCTTCGACTTTACCTGTGGACTTTCTCCATTCGAGCTCTTTCTCGAGCACATGGAAGAGGGAGACGACATTTCGAAGACAGCTACCGAGCCCGTCAGTATTATTTACGAGCTCGACAAAACTCAAAAGACTCACCTTTGCAGAGGGACGTTGCCATATGTGACAGACACCATGAGAACCTCCAGTTCCTCAGGGCTGGCACTGAGAGCGAGCAGCAGAGCTATGATATCATCGACACCTTGTACTTGTTAGTTCGGAGTCTTGTGCATTGCCTCAAAGGACGTACCTGGATCGGTATCGATGATAATCTTCTGTTTCGGAGCCATTTTTCTAATTTGAGAAGCACCTGCTTGGAGAATAGAGTGGCGGCTTGATATTGGAATGATAGGAGAGACTGGATTTGTTCAATGTGTTCCAAGAAAGTACGAGTGTCCAAAATAGTTTCAACTAGCTCTGAGTTCAAGCCAAGAACCGCACAGAAACCAAATTCTTTCCTTGAGGCTTAAGTTTTATGTTGCAAGATGAAGACAGGACCAAAGTTATTGTTCACACACGTCCATGCTGATCAAATGAGCATTTCCCCTCCTTCAGTTTTGGGCAGGTGGGGGTGACAGGTGCTGAGATAAGCCTCTCAATTGAGCTATTTCATGGTTACAGCCTTACCTACAGGTGGTGATTTAGTTGAACAAGATAACAATGGTTGTTGAGCATTCAATAGAATTTTTGATATATATTGATATATGTATGCATACGGTATCATAATACCAGGATCGATGTTAAGGTTCAATGCTTCCGAGACCCGAGCCTGAGGCACGGTAGTGCAAATGGCAGCAAGTATGTGTAACCTTGAAGCAACTCTAAGACGGAGCCAATCAAATAATTCCGGGTCGGATGTTATTAGCTGCTGTGGGAAGTGAAATATGTACCCTACCGGTACCTAGCTGGTATTGAAGATTTGGTCGTATCTGAACAGTCGTCCGTCTTTGTACCTTCCTTATTCTGCTGTAGGTAGGCGATTGAGATTAGCTGCTACACGCACGTGACTAAATTCTGTATTTGGTTGAGAACAGATCAGAGATGCAGAAGTAGAATGGTAATATAATAGTCAAATCCTCCCTCGATGAGACAGTTTAATATCTGCCTACGATAAGAAAGTCCAAAACATTTTAGATTAGTGCCTGAACAAAGGGGGTTTATGAGGGTATTTGTATCATCGTGAGCCAATCCAACCTACTCCAAAATGCCCTCAAGTATGAGATATTCTCCCTTATATCATTTTGAGTTTTTTGTCAAAGTATCAAAGAGCGCCACTCACATGTACGCCTCTTCTCAGGGCAGGTAACTAAAACACTGAATTATTTAGAATAGATTTACGTATGTAGATATGATCGAGTCTTTATGTCTCCCGCTATGGAAAGAGCTTGGGTTCTTCTGACCCGCCTGAGTAGGAGCTCTGCTATGCCCTTATGCACCCCTTGCTTCTTTCTGCAATGGAAGGTGTGACCCACTTTCATACCTGCTGTTTCGTCTCAACCTCTCTCAATTGTAATTACTGTACCTGCCACGGAAGGTTTGGAAGGAACTCGAATGATATCTCATCTGAAGACAAATAAATTAATTTTCCTCTCCTCTCACCATCTGACGACGTCTCCTCTTCCTCCCTCACAGTCGACATCAACAACGCTTGTGTCCACACTCACGCCCGACACTTATTGCATTTAAGCCACGGGCAGTTTGTTGACCATCGAAACCGCTGCCCGTAAAAGTACAGTGGCTGCCAACAGTCTTGGGTCAAATCTCTCGAGCCAAGTACCTCACCACCAGGAATTCGCCCCAGAGCTACCTCGTCTCCCCACTCCAAACCCCAACCTCAAGCTCCCCCCAGCGCAAGAGCCTACCCTTGTCCCACCTTGACCTCGGGTGCTTTTCTGACTGGACTCCCGTCAACTCCCCTGCAGTCGGAACCAATTCAGTCAATCCCGCGACCCTTCCTCGCCTCAGGTAGCCCAAAAACGACTGGTTGACTGAATTCAAGCCACCTGGTGTCTTCTGTTTGATTTGCGCCAGACTCATCAATCCTTTTTCTCAATTTCAACAGACTTCAGTCACTTTACCCCTTTCTTCTCACGTTTTCTCACCATCAAATTTCTTCAACCTCTATTATTGTTCCTGAGTCCCCATCTACTACTATCAGCACTTTCCTTAGTGCCACGATTGGCTCCTTGCTTAGGACAACCTGGCCTTATAATTGCGACAACTTCGTCGCCACTTCTTCAGCAAACCTCGCACCTCACACCTCACACGTAGCTACACCCACGCTTATTATACGTCTTCTCAGGTGTGCATCGCAATTGCTTGCATCCCCTTTATTTTATTCAAGAGGATTGACCACCCCGCCGATCAGTTCACCCCCTCGAGCTTGCGCACCTGTTTGTTACACTCCAAAGCGAACCTCGACCATCGCATCGTAGCTCGAACGAAGCTTAGAGCAGCTCTACACTGTCATCACAACACCCAGCTGCATATATCTTCCATCATGCCGGACAGCATGCTCTACACGGCCACGGCTTACGGTGCTCTTCTCAGCTTTGGCATCGTTGCCTGGTTGGTCACGCAGAGGAGGAGGAGCCAGCCTCAAGTCAGGGCTCAAATTAGGCCAGTCAAGACCACGCAGCCAGAGACCCGCAAGGAGGATCGCAAGAAGAAGCAACGTCAGGAAGCTTTTGCATCAGAGGCCCAGGAGTCCTCCAAGAAGCCTAAAGCCGAGCCAGACAACAATGCTTGGTTGAGCAATGCCAAGGATAAAGACGATAACGTCGACAATCGCGAATTCGCCAAACAACTTGCCAAAGCCAAGGAGGGAACCAAGTTTGCGGCCAAGTCTGATGGCGGCAAACAGCGAGAGAAGTCTGTAAAGCAATCTCGAGCCAACAAGGTGGCTGTTGCTGCTGAGGAGAAGGAATCGGCCCCATCATCTAATGCTGGTGCCGACGCAGACGACGATCAATCTCCCGTCACCTCCCCTGAGGTTACACCTGCAGTAGCTGTTGCCGGCGATATCTCCGATATGCTTGAGCCTGTACCTGCCCGCCAAACTGTCCTTCGTGTGACCAGTGCCGAGCCCAAGAAGGAAAACAAGAAGGCTTCTAAAGTTGAGGCTCCTGTCGAGTCCAAGAAGCAGCGCCAGAACCGCAAGAAGGCTGAGGCCGCCAAGGCTGCCCGTGAAGAGTCTGAAAAGGAGCGCAAGGTTCTCGAGGAGAAGCAACGCCGCTCCGCTCGCGTTGCCGAGGGCCGTGCAGCCAAGGATGGTTCTCAGTTCACAGCTGCTCAGAACAAGTCGTCTGCTTGGAAGGAAGGAGCCCCCAAGGCCCCCGAGCCTGCTACCGCTTCTCAGACCAACGGCTTCCACCAGCCTCTCGACACTTTTGAGAAGGCGTCCTCTTCTACCGCCACTGCTCCCAAGACCACGGGCAGCAAGTGGATTGAGTCTCTTCCTTCGGAGGAGGAGCAGATTCAGCTGCTCCAGGACGACGATGAATGGAACACCGTCAAGACCAAGTCCAAGAAGGCTGCTAAGAGTGCGCCTTCAGCTGGATCTAGCGACGAGGCTGCGGCCCGCCCCGCTGTCCAGCCCAAGCAGCCTACTGGCCCTAACAAGGTTTCTCAGCCTTCTCAGTCATATGGATCCTTCACGGCGCTGACCACTAAGGACAACGCTGCCGACGAGGAGGAGGAGGAAGAAGAAGAAGAAGAGTGGGATGTCTAAACATCATTAGCCAGACCACTGCTGCATTGCGCGTTTACAAGACGCATTGTTACAGATTTCTTTGTCACCTGTTTGTAACTTGACTATTTCTTTTCATGACCGGACTTTACTGGAAAGATTTGGATTCGAAGACGCCGTTTGCTGCCCGAACACTTGCGAGGACATGGGAAGGGTGCGACAACACAAGCGTTTGTGACTGGGAGTTTAGGTTTTATGGTCAGATTTCTACGGGGCTAGGTACGCCATTTGAAAGGTAGCTGCCTGGAGAAAAACATGACGGACGCAGTTCAGATTTATGGACGAAAAGCAAGAGGTTCATGGTGGCCGTGAGGTCAAGAAAAGAAAGACCCGCGGTTGATGCCTCCATTAACAAACAATTGGGTTTGGGGAAAGACAGGGCCGTGTATTGCTAGTCGTTTGTTTGCGATGTTAGCCGACCAAAATGAGAAGCCAAATGAAGCATAGTTCGTTAGCCATGACTGAAACATTTTAATATGCAAATGGGAATCCGCATTATGCTCTTGTGCTCTTGAATGTTCTTTGGTGCATGACTATGGACCGCATTGGTATGTCCCTAGATGGACGGAATCGGAGCTGAGGCAAGGGAGCATGCTGGGCTACAGGGCCAGGGAAGTCACGAGGAAATGGACCAGCGAGTGCTTCATAACCTAACAACTACTTTGTACTTCGTATGAAGTGAATGATGAAAGCATGATGCAGTTATGGGTGTTACAGAATTCTATTCTTTGTCGATATTTCTATTAATTGGCAAGTGAATGTGTCTTAGGAACAGCACCATTGTATAAAGCGTATGAGATAAGATATTTGCTATATCAACCAATCATAATGCTATGCGTTGATTTTGAGAACGAAGAAAAGCAAGTCTATTGTGTAAGGAATGTAGAATGCAAGGCAGTTGAATAGGAGAAGGGCCAAGTCAGGCAAGGGAGACGAGCATGTAATGCAGCGGGAATTACGAATATTAGCGTTAAGAGCGATTCCTTCTTGGTAACGAGAATGGTGTCTTTTCGTTGCCCTGAATGCTGTCATGGTATTTGGTCTGTTGTTTCTTTCACCGCTTTCCTACCATATGGGATAAGCTCATGCATGCATGATGCGTAGTGCGCAATGCGGGATGCAGAGTGCTGGACGGCTCTAGACTTTGACTGCATAAGTTCAGGACTGGGCCGATGTGGTGCATCTCCGGGCCACCGAATCTGGTATTAGCAGAGGATGGTCGAATATGGTGAGAGACCGTGATAGGCGTCGTTCGTGTTCGGCGATGCCAAGCCGGGTGGACTGGAAAGACGCAGCAAGATGGGCCGAAGTAAAGAGGGGCGAACCGGAAAACGGATGCGGGGATTTGCAGAGTGCACTGCGGGTCATGCGGGATGAGATGGCCCGGTTTCCATGACGAAAGACAAGAGAAATGGCTGGAAGAAACCGGCACATTTGGTATTTAGAGGCCATCGGTCACCGGATACGTGAGGAGTGGTATTGGTAGTAGTAACAGATCTTGATAATTAAGAGATGCATTGTCTGTGTGTGATGACTACGGTCCTCAACTTGACTATTGAATCTCAACGTGCTAACCAGCATGGTATGAGATAGTATGAGATGGCATGAGATACGCGGTGAAGAACCGAAAAGACGTCACCAGCAATTGAGTTACCTTAGTAAACTTTGCTACGTCGCAGCACAAATTTACGGAATATGGGATGCTCGGGGCTAATAAAATATGGCGTATTACAGTTTGTTTTACGGAGTACGGCGTGAACGGCGGCGACTTGGCAGTTGAAGTTTGGTGCCTCTATTTAAGTTTTACAACTCAAACAAAACAAAGGAAGATCCCGTCAAGTGGTTCGCAATAAAATAGGGACTTGGAGACAGGGTGTCAGAAATATCAGCACACTCTCCACTCAAGATCACACTATTCACACTCAACTATTTTCGTCGCCTCTCAAATCAGTGCCGGTTTTTTTGCGACCCACCTGCCCGTCAGAGGATAAGGCGGATGTTACATAAACTACACAAGCTGGACTGAATTGATCATCATTTATTGACAATGACGATACTATAGTTGTTTATATATATTCGGCCCTTAAGTCGAAGCATCTTGAGTATTCAAGCCATAGGGACAACTACCTATCTGTAGATGAGGGTTATTGTGATGCCTAAATACGTAGTGCTAAACAACTGAAAGCCAATCCCCTCTCTTGTTGAATTCCCCAATCATAATTGCAGGCAACCCACCAACATCCCCTTGGGCCTGAAGAAGTCTCAAAAGGCCTAGGCCGCTGCACCCGCTCGCACCTCTCTCACTCGATCCATGGATCGTTCCCTGGGTACCCTGGATGCCCTGGACACAACCCCACCCAGCTCCGACCAAGCGGGGGATCAGGGGATTTAGCTGCATCATTGGTGGAATGGTACGCTTGTGGGATGGTCCCTTGTGTCTCTGTGTCTCTTGTCCCTCTGTGGCTTTCCCCCCCTGTTGAAATTGACCTGTCGTTTGGTGGTCCATGTGGTATTTGATGATTTGGGTGCGCCTCTTCTTTGGATGGATTCATCAATTTCTCGGCAGAAAGAACAAGAGCTACGGGAGAATTGTTTCTAGTTTTCTGGTCATTGGATTGGGTATCCCGTATGATTGAAATCATGTAGCATGGTATTGTTTTGAAACTGCTATTTGATGAGATGCATAAAACTTCCATGCCTATCATTGCCAACTCTGCTCTATTTTCCCCTGGGGTCTTTAATTGTGAGAGCCAGCCCCCCAGAACCCTTGACTGTTACCGCAGAGCGTTATAGCGTGGAGTTGCTGTGGGTTTCTATGAGATCCATAGGGAACTGCAGCTAATACAATATGACCTACCTTATCTATTCATTTGCATGTAACCGACCTGCGCCATTTCCATTTCGACGATACTTACTGATGAATGATAATATGTCGGTCTGCCACGGCCAGCGTAAGAGAGAGTTGTTGTCGTTGGTTAGGTACCATAGCACTCAATTACTCACTCACTGAACTCCCATGTCCTCTTTCAGCCCAGTCTCTAGGTCATAATTAGCCCCCAGCCATTCAATCAATCATCCATCATCAACCACCGCCGCCACCCCAAAAACGAGCCAAGAGTTCTTCAGCACCCTTGTTCTCTCGCCAACACCCACCACCCCCCCAAAAGCCCAAGAAGACGCGACAGCAGCAGTCGTCATAAACCCTGCGTTATCCACATATCAATGAGATTGGACTTGCTCTTCCTTCCTTGCTGCTCCTCCTCGTAAAAGGACGGAACCGTATCTTACTCTCTGGTCATTTCTTATTATACGGTCGACCATTCCGTTTTCCCTCTCGCCTCTCTTAGTCCCCAGGCTATTATCGCTCTGCCCTGCCCGTCAAGTGCCCTGTGCCACCCTTAGGAGAGAGTGGCCGACCCGTTTTATCTGCTCGTCTAGTGCCCGTCACACGTCGCATCTCGCTGTGAAACGTCCTGCGCCCCCTTTACCACCTCTAGGTCCTCCCTCTTGTCCTCTATTCCTATTGTTTCTCGGCCCTGACAGTGGAAAGTGGGAGCAGAGAGGCCCTGGACTCGGTTATTACTTGTCTAGGTTGTCTTGTCTTTTCTGGCTCGTCCTCTCGACAATCTTCTCTTCTCACATTCCTGTCAAACCACTCTTCAAAACCTCTGGACCAAAGGGGGGGTCCTGCAGTACTGTAAGGGGCCTAGTTGTTAGCAAGTTAACGTTCCTGTTTCCTGAGCGTGCTGTGCTGTGGTACTATTATAATCGACAACTGGAGACCGACAAAGCCAAGCCCCAAACAACCAACGTTTTGGTCTTTTTTAGAACGGGAACGCCTCTGACGAACCTCGACCTTCTCACTTTACTTTACCTCCAACAACCTGACTCCATCGGTTTCAGCTTTACGGACGGATCCTCTAAAGCGCTTCTCCTCTTGCATTTGTTTGCCATTGCGCTGCACTGCGCTGCGCTACTCTCCACTGCAGTTGTGCAACAAGAACTGCAGCTCTCTTCCTCTTTACGGACCGTTCTGGCCACTGCTGGCGTTGGCCTAACTAGCTTCTGCCTCTAGTTTCCAGAGGCGCCGCCCAGAAACCACCACGCATCACAATCTCATTTACACCGCAATCCTCGCCCTCGCTTTATTCTCTCGTTTATCATTGTTTCTTTCTCAGCTTCCGTTTCTATTTCCATTCTCGTACAGCGATTTACGATTCTTCTCCCTCGGCCTTTTACTATCCCGACTATCAATCTGCTCATTCTTGGGCTGGACCCCTTTCTCACTGCTCCCTTGCCTTTATGTCATTGTGTCTTCTGGTGTAACATTGTCTTCCTTTGTCCATCGTTATCCCCTTTTATATAATCGTGCTCGCCGTTTTATACGCATCGTGCTAGTTGGAGCGATTCTTATGCTAGGTGTACGATATACAAAGAGACGACCACCAACATGTCTCTTCCCGTCGCCATTCAATCCGCCGTTTTCTACATTCTCGCCTGCACACCATGCGCCAAGGTCCGACATCGACAAAAGGTCCGCGAGCAATCGAAGAAGGAACGCGAGGAGAAGGCAAGAATAGTGGGAGAACAACCGGACGTCTACCAGCATCCTTCGCCATTCAACACAAACCCCTACTGGCAGCAGGAGATTAGCATGGGACCAGCTTTACCAAAGAAATCAGCCAGCAAGAACTCCAGTCAGCGCGGCCTTACTAGCCAAGGCGGCGAAAGTAGTGCACTCAGTGTATCCGAGCAAACGTTTCAAGGTGGAAGCCGTATTGATTTTGGCGCTAGCAATTCCGTCATTGCTGAAGAGGACAGCATCTCCGACGACTGGAACAGACGGCATGGATATCAACGTGAGGACGAGGAGCTATGGGGACGCCAAAAATTCATGGACGCCATATCAAAAGCGCGAGATTCTGCTGGACGACTGATCGAGTCTACACTGGGTCTTGAGAAGGACGTCACCGAACAACAACGACACGACTTTTACTTCCCTAAGAACCCACCCATTAACGAATATCATCCTCCCGTTGTCAGCAGCAAGATCCCTTCGCGAACTGCTCATCAATGGATGCTACAGCCCCCGCCATCGGCAAAGGTCATGGAGGGCAAGGTGCCCGTTAGCCGGGCCGGTAGCTCCGGCAGCAAGTCGAGTGGCAGGACCCTGGTCGGAGAGGATATTCAGCTCGGCCGTCTTGTCCACGAGAAGTTGTTCATGGAGAAGTTGAAGAAGGAGAACAGCAACCCTACCGAAACCGAACTCATCGAATCCCTCTTCCTGAACCGTACGAGCCCGTCTCTATCTAAAAACCGAACCCGAAGCCTCTCATTCGAAACATCCGACGACTCACTCGACAGTGGCTTTGCCAAGCGAAAGACTAGACTCCGACCCGTTGCCGCTCCTCCAGGATACGATTCTTCAGATGATTCAGATTCAGATGCGCCCATGCCATTTTCCCAAAGTGCTATGAACCTGAGCGCCCGCCGTACACCCTCCGGGGCCGCTCATGCCGCTCGCCGGCCCAAGCTTGAGACCATTATGAGCACATCTGGCACAGCCACCCGAATGTCTTCAAAGCGATCAAAGCGACAAAGGTCCACTCGATCCAAGAGACTCTCAGGTGCTGCATCCCCTGTTGGCGATGATTCTGACTAGATTGAACTTGAGTGAAACATACTCTCAAGCCACATCATCAAACCCCCCACACCCTCAATATCTTCATGCAAGACCGTTTCACTACATCACGTACCTCTTGACGGTCTTGTTTCCTCCCTGCAAACAACTCTCTGTCTCAGCTTGTCTTGGTCTCCTTAAGCACCGTCTTCCTGTTTTCTCCAGTACATGTTTCAGCCTGGGTTCTCCTGTCAATAAGCATTTATATGGGATTGGTTTTGGTTTTATTTTTTAGCATTGGGTCGCATAGCACTTTGGCGCCGGAGCATGTTGTATCTTTATGCTTTGTCTTTTTTTTCGCTTTGTCTCAACACTTTCGCACCAAAAAGGAGGCGATGCGTGCTCTTCAGCCGCCATTGGCGTACATATAACACTGCCGCTACATCTAGTAGCTTAAAGACATGAAGTCTCAGCAAGTCGATAGCCGAGAAATCGAAAAATAGCAAAATTGGATTTGAAATCATATCATTCGTGTCTTTCGTGACTAGTCTGCAGACTGAACCAACGTAACCATTTTCTGTCATTAAGTATTGTGTGGATTGGTTTACTTTTGGGTATCATACCATGATGTCTGTCCATTTACCAAACGCCTGTCATGCAGTGGATTTCTCACATCCATCTTGTCGATTGGTCCTTACAGGTGCATGCCTCCTTCGTCATCGTCTGTTTCCAGATCTCGCATACGTTCCTCCAGAGCTCGTCGAAGTTGTTCGTCATTCAAGCTACCGCCTTCAGGCCTGCCAGCCTCACGATCTACTTGCATCTCGCCGTTTCGAATCGTTCCGGTCTGGAAAGTCCCATCACTCCAGGCATCGTGTCGACTCTCTGTACCCGGTGCTGTAGCACTAGGCTGGGCGTCCCCGTTGACAGCAGCCGCAGCATCCTCATCATTTTTACTCGTAGTCTCATCGCGGTTCTGGAATTCTGTCCAGCTGAGACCACGTTCTTCCACCTCTGCGCGGATGATGGCGATGCGCTCGGCCATACGGTCGATGACACCCTCGTTCTCGCGGATGGCGTCGATGCAGTCCTGGTCGGGCTCTGAGGCGCCACCTGAGGGTGTGGTCTCTGTGCCCTCGGCGAATGGTTTGAGCTGGTCGTTGGAGTACTGCAAATGGGCGATCGAGTTGCGGATTTCGAGGACCTTGAGATGTAGCATGCCGATGGATAGGTCCTTCAAGGCAGCGGCGAAGCGCGCTGGGGCGATGGGCGTTGTATCGGCGGATGTGGATGTGGCGGACATTTTGGCAGAGTTAGAGAGGTATTCCGGGTGACCAGTAGACGTTTTCGCGATGCTAAAAACGGGCAGTAGACGTTATGAGTTGCCTGTTGATAATAGTTCGAGGTAGCTTCAAGAAGACCGCGGGGCAGTTGAAGGTAATGGTGGGGGTCCGGGCAGGCTTCAGTTGTCCCGCGTAGTGCGGTACGTACCCTGTACCTTGCGATCTCCCCAATGCTGTGACCAAAATTGTCGGCCTCATGCGTCCAAGATTAATTCATGCGCTAGGAACCCTCTCATCATACCTACCACCTTAGTGCCTCCCTCACTGTGGCTCTTCTGGTCTTAATCGAGCCAGCGGCTCTCTAGAGCGCATCTTGCGCTTTCATTCATTCACAATGAGTCTGTTTGCGTGCCCCAATTCCTCGCGGGTGCTGCTGAGGTCTGCTCTCCAGAGAGCAGTATTAAAGGCATCATCCTCTGCGAGCCAACCGTCTATACCAGCCCGATGGATATCCAGCTACGCATCTAGGAACCGAAATGGCCTACTACAATCGAATGCCAATTGCCGAAACACCCTTTTTGGAAACAACCATACCTCGTACGAGACCCGACGAACGATATTCTTCGATAAGACGATCCGGAACTACGAGGAACTACCGAAAGACTACCGGGACCAGGTCGGCCTACAGTTCAGAAGTAAAGATTTGTCCGAGGCGGAGGTAGTGAAGGCGTTTGGAAAGGGCATCAATGCCAAGAGAGCCAACCAATTGCTACACATTCTCCACGGTCGTCGGGTCGCCGGTACCCTCGAAGATCCAGCCTTCGCCGTTCATACATCATCCTTCACAAAGGGCCAAATTGCCAAGGGACTCGACTTCCTACGAGAAACAGTGTCCGTCGACGAAGTGATGAACGCAGGCCTTCGAGCCGAAGACGAGCTTGCACAACTAGAGGCAGAGAAAGAAGCTGCGGATAAGAAGAAGGCGAGAGCGGCGAAGAAGGCTAAGGGCGAGGCTGAGGTTGAGGAACCACCTGCTCCGGTTTATAAGCCAGACCCTGTCTACGGCCACAGCAAGCTTGACGAGCTTCGAGCGCAGAACGTCGCCAAGCGTAAGGCGAGGGAGGCTCTCGAGGAAGAAGCACGCAAGGCGGCTGAGGCGAGGGGGGAGATGAACTCTGGTCCTTTGGCCAAGCTTGACCACAAGTCAGAACGCCAGATTGCCAACCCCAAGATTGCTGAGTACTACAAGAATGCCCAGTCTGACATGGAAGCCCCTGTAGAACTCAAGACTTGGGAGCGTGTTCTCCCCTCGGCTACTTTCGTTGTTCTCGTTGTTGGATTCCTCGCCGCTGTTACCACCGTTTACGAAGAGCCTGCTCCTAGGTACCGCGTTTTCCCTGATATCTCTACTGCGCATGCCACACTAGGAGCCATTGTTGCTGTCAATGTGATTGTCTGGGCAGGATGGAAGGCGCCTCCTCTGTGGAAACTCTTCAACCGGTATATGATCATTGCCGTTGGCGCTGTTAAGCCTGTTTCGATGTTCACTGCACCTTTCTCCCACCAGTCTATGAACCACTTGGTTATGAATATGCTGCCTCTTTTCTTCGTTGGCACCGCCCTTCACGAGGATATCGGCCGTGCTGACTTCCTTACCCTCTTCACGGGCTGCGGTGCGATCAGCTTCGTGGGCAGTGTTGCTACGTACGCTATGCGAGGCATGCTGGGCGTCACTACTCTGGGCGCTTCAGCGGCGACACTGGGTGTATGCGCCGCGTACTTTTGGGACCACCGCCTTGATGGGTTCAGGTTCTTTGGACTGCCACAGGACGGTGTGCCAGGCATCATCTTCCTGGCTTTGCTGTGTGTGCCGCAACTTGCCGCTTTTGGCAAGACGGTCAAGTTCCAGATCGACATCGCATCGCACTTGTTCGGTTTGGTATCAGGTGTGCTTGGTATGGAGCTCATCAACTACACAAGAGGGGATCGTGCGAAGAAGGTGATCGATCTAGGCAACGAGCAGAAGCAAAATGCACGACTGCCTCGATACGAAGAGTCTTCCAAGGGATCTGATTAAGACAAGCTAAAGACTTGTACGGATGAATGTATTATACTATGCATATTCTTGACATACCCTAGATTTGAATGTACTACTTATGGAAATGATTTGATTTTCTACTTATTCGAAGTTGTTGGCGTTGATTCTGGATGTTTATCGTTTGTTGATAGCTGTTCCAAACCATCAAAGACGTAGCGCCAAGTTAATGCATGGGGTCAAGCGCTTATCGCGTCTAAATCTGCACTGGCATTTGAAGGTGGCAGCCCCCACTCTTGGTTAGATCGTGTGGGGTTCAAGGTTCAGGGACCAAGACCAAAGTGCCATTCTGTCTTGTCTCTCTGGCAACCGATGCGAGATGATCAATCATCAATGCTGATGTCACTGCGTGAAATTATAGTTCCCGTGCTTTCCGTTTCGGCTCGAGAGTGTTTGGTCTCGGAATACGGATACCCCTTGTGGCTATGTTTGTCTGCATTGTGGTGTGGTCGCCCTTTCATGGTGGCCGATTAGTCGTTGCAGCTATGGTGTGAGATCCAAATAGCACTTTTGATAGAACTGAACTGAACTGACATTTTAATAATACTTTTCTTACAATTCATGGCGATAACTCTCACAGCAAAGATAAGAAAGAAATCCAGTTATGCACAAACAGACAATGCCCATGCTTCGTGAACCATCGGGTGCCGAGTCTCGCGTCTAATAGTGGCAGCTGACAGTGGCGGAAATTACATGCATGTTATGCACATAAATTGCATTAGCCGGTTTAGGAAACACAAACTCCCTCCCACTCAACAGACATTGGATGTTGGCTAACACCTTGGAGAAAGGAGCATGGCAGTGTGAATAATTTAAATTGTCAGTGAAATATAGCGTATTTTCATCTTGAACACCTAGCTCTCTAAAGACAAACGCTGGAGTTAAAGGCAGAGGTTGTGATGGGCCAATGAGTGGGGTGCAAGTTGCACTTTAGCTGCCACACTGCATGTAGTTAAAGTGCTAAAGTGAATCATCTACCATCCCAGCTTCTCGGTAAAGGCAGAGCAGAATAGGGGCCGCAGTCATGATTTGTGCGCAATAATGTGATACAGTCTAGGTAAGAAGGATTTGGATGTCATGGTATTAACCGCTGTTGTGGTTTTGAAGGATACAAACTCTCAGCAGACAGAGGGCGTGTTGTTTATCCTTATTCGTTTATGTTTATGCAGGTTATGTGCCTGCAGAACAGCCCCAGCCTATCACCGCCGCCGCAACACTTGGCTATTATCCAGGGTCAGCGTCGATGACAACACAACACACACATCACAACGGACAGGGCAGGGCAGGGCATAGCTCACAGCCTCTTTGAAGTGATGTCACTCATAGGCTTTTTACGTGGGTATTTTTTACATCAAATGTAGCATAGTATTACACTTTGTTGAATATGTTCATAAACACCAGCCGTAACCCCGGATAATCGGGTCAAACTTCTTCAAGGCGAACCCCCTGGACTATCCCCACTAGGAACAAGGGCCTCTGCCGCGATCCATTATCCATCACTCGTCATGTATCATCTGCCATCTGCCATCTGCCACTGCCACTACCATCTGCCATCTATCGTCCACAAACTACCTGCAGTAGCGGTGCGGCCTAAACAGCGTTTTCTTACTTGGGATTCTGTGCTAATCGTGGCTTAAGCGCTAATTCGAGACTCGAAAGCCCTCCACTAGGTAGCCTGTCTGTTTTGCTGTCTTGTGCTGCAAAGACAAGGGCATATGCAGAGTGTGCAGACGCTGCAACACGCTACCTACTCTTTAAGTTCTTAACGCACCCCCCGAACCTGAACCCGCTTTCTGGGTCTGCAACTACAACTCTTCCGTCATTCTCCTTCCCCCGGTTTAGGCTTTGCTTTGCCTAGCCTTGACTCGGCTTGTTTTGCCTCTTGCAACTCTACTCATACTTTCGCTATTCTCTTGTTCGCTTTGTTTCACCCTCGAACAAACCTCTTTCTCCTCTTTCTTCGTCTTAACTGAACAACTCCTCCACTACCCTACCTATCATCTGCAAACCCTGCGCTCTTCACCCTGCCTCAACAACAAAGACAACCCAGCCCAACTCAACCCAGTGCAGTTGCTTCCTTATTGTTTTTTTGCGCAATGCGGTAGGATCAGAGCAAGTACACGTCGGTCCGCCTTTCCTCCTTTTTAACACTAGCCTCGCGCCTGGGGTGCTCCTCGCTTCTTGGATCTTAAACTCTCAACCCTCAAACTCCCGCGAGAGAAGCAAATCCCATCCACGATGGCTCCCTCGAGCCCTATATCCTTCGTTCCTGACGGGGAGAACTCAGCACTCTCGTCACCGCTTTCCAGCCTCTCACGTACACCATCTCTATCATCTGTACCTCCGTCTCCCGAACTCACCGATCCGACAAAGCGCTATCCCTCACCCTCAACAACCGCATCGGGTCCCCATTCTCCAGACAAGATGTGCGACCTCCCATCTGAAGACGAGATTGTCGCCAAACCTCTAGATCCCTCGAGTGAAGATCCTCCGCCTGCTAAGAAGCGCCGTATCTCGCCCCCAAAGGAACGCACCACCGAATACTTGGACCTGATGAAACCTGATGAGGAACTTACTGTCGAAGATCACCGCCAGATAAAGAGACTTCTTGACACGCTGCGCAAGAAGAAGAAGATTGTTGTCATTGCTGGCGCTGGTATCTCTGTCTCGGCTGGAATTCCCGACTTCCGCTCATCCAATGGCTTGTTCGCAACCGCCAAGAACCAACACAACCTGAAGGGTTCTGGCAAAGACCTATTCGATGCTTCGGTTTATAGACACGACGACACTACCGAATCTTTTCACACAATGCTCAGAGAAATGGCCGCAATGACCAAGAGTGCGAGCCCTACACCCTTTCACCACATGCTAGCATCCTTGGCTAAAGAAGGCCGGCTATTACGCCTTTATACGCAAAACATTGACTGCCTAGACACACAAATGGAGCCTCTGGCTACTCAAGTTCCCCTCGACCCCAAAGGCCCGTGGCCTGTCACAATCCAGTTGCATGGCGGCCTCCAAAAAACGGTGTGCACCAAATGTAGTAGTCTGGAAGACTTCAATGGCGAGGTTTTTGATGGTCCAAAGGCCCCACTTTGCACAGTATGCAAAGATATTGACGACGTTCGAACAGCCCACGCAGGGAAACGAAGTCACGGCATTGGCAGAATACGACCACGAGTTGTGCTCTACAACGAGTACAATCCAGACGAGGATGCTATCGGGAGTGTGTCCAAGGCGGATCTTAAAGCCCGTCCTGATGCTGTTATCGTTGTTGGTACCACACTCAAGATTCCTGGAACGCGTCGGCTTGTTAAGGAGCTGTGCCAGACTACACGCGGCCGAAGAAACGGTACTGCTATTTGGATCAATGTGGACAACGAGCCTAAGGATGTTTATCTGAAGAATTGCTGGGACATCGTCGTGCGGTCAAAGTGCGATAGCGTTGCTCGACTTGCAGAACTTCCTCCGTGGGATGTCGCACTTGGAAATGATTATGATGTCACTACCGGATACGCCCAGAAGAGAGAGGATCTCAACAAGACCACATTCGCTGTCAATATTCCTTCTGGCTCAACCTCGACACACTCCGATGTTGAGCACAAGGTTGCGGCTATACCAAAGCAAGTCAAACAGGCACAGGGCATTCCAACTCCTCACGCAAGCCCAAAGATCTCTGCAGTCAAAAAGCCTGCCCAAAAGAAGCAGAGCACGATCTCATTCGATGGCAAACAAGCCGATAAGCCGGCCCCGGCCCCGGCTGCTAAGCCCCGTGGACGCAAGAGAAAGAATCTACCTGATCAACCTATGCCATCCCTTAGCTCAAAGTTCAAGACGCGCAAAAACGTGACGAGCCAAGACAGCAAGGCAAAGCAACCGAAGACATCAAATAAGGAGATATCTGATCATACCTTTCCCTCCCTACGCCCCGAGCGTAGACCATTAGTAGAGAGTTTCTCGCACACATCCGAGTCTGACGAGAAAGACAACGGCCACAACTCAGGTTTTCCTTCAACTCCGGCTACTAAGAAGGAGAAGGACACAATTTCACCAGCTATTATCCCTCAATGCTTCAAGGGCCTCATTGACTAGAAAGATAAAGGGCAACATGACTCGAAGCGACGTTAGAAAAATTACCTACGTTTCATATTATTCTCATCAGTATTATTCGGTATTTATGGGGGAGTAACGGATCAGTTGATACCAGGATACATGAATTAAGCTGCCCTCGCTGGGAGGACATCAGGAGTAGCGGACGATGTATACTATCATTGGGGATGTATTTGTTTTACTTGGACCCAATTTCAGATACCAGGTTTAGGCAGAAGGTGCCCGGTTTGGCCTGGTGGAATAGAGGCGTTATAGGAACAGACCTTGAAGCTATAGCTACCTAGACAGCTCAGGTCAATCACTTAGAAGCGACGGAAGATACGCTTAGAACCAAATATTAATGTTGTATCAAAACGCAAATTATCAACGAGCTGAAACTATCGTAGCTAAAATGCAAATGTTGTGCTGTATTCCTGGGTATCATATCCTTGAGCGCCACGCCTCATTTTCCATAAGCTAATCCTCCTTTCCCAGTTCTCAAATCCATCATGTAGCTGAGGTTCCATCACTGAATATGTACTTCAATCGTGTCGTGATCTTCGATTTCAGCCTCTTCCATTTCGATATGCTCCTCGAGGCGCTCTCCATCCCACCACAAGGACACCTCCTTCTCAGAGCCGATTTGACGCTGCTTGCGGAAGACGGCAATGAGTGTATCGACAGTTGTCTCGGGCATCACCTTGCAATCAAGGGGTTCCACGTCTCGACCCTTGAGCACGATCATGAAATAGTGTCTGTCCTGCGTCTGGACCTCCTCTTCTTCGAGCAGCTCGCCGGCATCACGCCTTCGTTGCAGCTCCTCGTTGTGCTCCATCTCCTGAAACTGGTCCAGAGTCCAGGCCTCCATAGCTACTACTGTCCGGTTGTTTTGGAAGCCGTCTGAGCCTTGATCATCGGCTTCAATACGTCCGCTGCCAGCTGGACGAATGCCCAGGCCGATGAGGGTTGAAGTATTGTAGATCTTCTTTCTGCGCCATGTAAGAACCACCTCGTCGGCAACAAGAGAGAGACCCTTCTTCGCCTGATGTTTAACCCATGCATCGCGAGCTACGCGGAGAGGTTTGGTGAATAGGTACTTAACTTGCAAGATGCTGGAATTGGGTATCATGCTTGTAATCGTTATCTTGACTGTTTCCTTCTTGAGCTCCGCGTTTTCGTTGGACTGAAGCGCCCTTTGACGAGCTCGCTCTTCTTCGGCTTTTCGAATGTACTCGGCGAATTCATCTTCCTCTACTGCCGGTGATGTCGGCTCTCTCAAGGGTTTTGTTGAGCTACTATCGATGAATTCGATACTGTCACTTCGTGGCCTGTCCGTAGCGGGTCCTGCTTCAGACTCCGAGTCCGAGTCGATTGTAATGGGCTTCGTATGTTTCAGGATACGGGTTGTAATATTCTCCATCTTTGGCTTCTGACTTGGGGTCTGGGGGGTGGGCGATACCAACAGTCGTTGAGTAGGCGGTGCATCTGGGAAAGGGTCTTCGTCGTGTTCAAGTTGTCCACTTAGTATCTGAGAAGAGCTTGAGCTAATCCTTGATCGCTTCGAGGGAGGAGGAGTAACAAGTTCACTAAGAGAATCAGCATATGACCTTGAGTTATGGAGTTTATATGCGAACCTAGCGCGATCAGCTTCGTTCTGTGTTGAAGGCTGATCTACAACGTGTGCCTCTTGGCTTGGAAGGACAGGTGAAGAGCGATCGCCAGAAACATCGACGTCGGAATCTTGTTTGATGAGCTCGGCGTCTTTCATGTCTTCAGGGCTATCTTGCGATCGCTTAACCTGTGATGCTTCAAGCTGGCGCTGTTCGGCTTCCAACTCGGCAGCCCGACGTTTCTTCAAGCGCCTTTCCCGATCAGCTGCCACGATAGGCGCCATCTCCTTGGCGCGGCGAAACAAGGCAAGGCCATCGTCGTCGCTGTCCTTTGACTCTTCAGGCTGGGTTGCTGGCGCAGGCCTGCGCAACGCTGTGGGTTTGAATGGCAGTTTCTTCATATTGTCGCAGAGTCTCTCGTTAGCTTGCACAGGATGTGTATGGTAGCAAGGTGTTATTTTTTGCTCTATGGTTGTAAATCACAGAAAGCGAATAATGCGCACAGCACTACACGGGAATATTATGCTGGTGATTAAGTGTAAGGAACAAAGAAGAGCGTTATTTGAGCTGCGCTGTTGGAAAGGCGCGATGCACTTAACGCGCTTGAGAGTGGCGGGATGGTGGATGTTCGGGGAGGCTGGCTGGGGCAGGAAATAGGGACCTGTGCCGCTAAAATACCCCTCGCTAAGTGCCGCTATAACGGGATGTTAGGCCATCTCACAACGAGCGAGATGCACCACAGTGCGAAAGGACGCCAGCCTTAACAGCAGAACGAGGCATCAATCTTTTTTGGGTCTAGACCAAACAACTCCACAAGCTCAAGATCCATTATCATCAATCACCAACAGCTCAACTTCACGCATCAGCACCGCCTAAATCCCAAAAAACCACCACCGTTTCGTCACCATGGAGAACGGTGCCATTTCCCAGGGCGAGGGCAAGGACCCTTCCAGCTTCCTCAGCGACATCATCGGCAATCCTGTCACAGTCAAGCTCAACTCTGGTGTCGTCTACAAGGGTGAGTCTTAAGGTCCTACTCATCGATGTGACGATGTGACCGGGCATTGCTATGAACCGAAGAAGGCTAACTCAATAGGTGAACTCCAATCGGTGGACGGCTACATGAACATTGCGTTGGAAAAGACAGTCGAGTATGTCAATGGCCAGAAGCGAAGGGACTACGGTGACGCCTTTGTAAGAGGAAACAACGGTAAGTGTCTTGTTCTCCATTGAAATTGCTATACTAACACATGGTGATAGTCATGTATATCTCAGCAGACTCATAAAAGTTTGATGCATAATGAAACCTGACTTCTTTTACGTCTATTCTTATTTCACAACTAACCATCCCAATCTATGTCGTTCAAGGACTATCAGGACCCTCCAAACGTGAAACCCAAACGAAGAAAGTGCATCCATGAACCTCGATCTCACCCTTTTCGTTAAGCTTTCCGTCACCTTCGTTGACAATCTTGTTGAATTTCTCTCTAAACAGACGACGCTCCTCTCCTTGCCGGATGGCATTCCAGCTAAGGGTGTTGAATCTAGCCCACAATGCTTCTGGAGTTAACCAAACCGACCATGCGACCTTGTCAGTCTCGATGGGTGTGGAGAAGAATGGCTTCTCAGCCTTGGCTTGGCGTTCGAAAACCTGTTTCCACAGTAAGTGGCGGAAACGAGACTCAGTGTCTGCCTTTTCGTTGAAGTTCAGCTCACTAAGCTCCTGCTCCCAGTCTGTCGATGCAGGCCAAGTTTCGGGGCGGTTGTCTTGAGATGTTGGTCAGTCTTCAGCTGTGATTCCCAAGCAATAGGTTTTCTGGAGGATGAAATTACAGTCTTCGACGTTCCAAATCATTCCGAGCTTGGCACCGGGCTTCAGAACCCGATGGATCTCTTCAAGGGACTCTTCCTTGGCGAACCTTTGACTCTTGTCAGAACCTTCTTTGGCCCTTGAGCCGGTGACTTACCAGTGAAATGCCTTGGGAAAATGTCAGCTTGATTCTTCACTAACTCCAGCATCTTTCGAGTCAAAATGTGAAACATACCTGTGCAATTGTACAAGCATCCGCCCATCCATCTCCCACATGCTTCATATCAGCGGCTGACCCTGGTCGAACGTCCACTTTGGGGAGCTGCTTGGCTGCGAGATTGTTTCTCATCGAATCCAACGGCTCTACAGCAATGATCTCGTACTCCTCTGGTCTAGCAGCTAGAAGCTCTGTGAACTTTCCTGTGCCGGCCGCCAGGTCTAGAATACGGCAACCAGACTGGCCTTCGAGACCAAGGCGTTCCAAGAGACTGGTGACGGCAGCAGGAGGGTAAGAGGGCCGATGCGTGTCGTAAGACTGCGCATCGTTAAACCCCTTCGATGCGATATCAGGTATAACATGAGAGGCCATTTTGTAGGCGATTTAACAGACCAAGTGCCAATATCTTCGCATTGGTTAATTTGCTGTTAGTCGGCCTGTCAGTTAATTGGTAGTTATATAAGCGTGGAGTGGCGAAGAACTGAGGGCGCTCCGTTAATACGTCTTCGAACCCATTTATACATGCCACAGATTTATCTCCCCCGCGCTTCAGATCACTTGGAACTCGAATCCTATCCCCAATATTAGTATCAATGATGTGATGGGTCTTAAATCTGGCTGCCGACATCGTGAAAGGTGACGATCTGGCAAGGGTCCGACGGATTTACGACGGAAACCCGACAACCTGGAGACGACACTGGAGAAAACATTCAATGTCAACAACAGAACCATTATTACATCGGTAAGGTTCTTTCAATAATTTGATTAACTGTTTGATGACTTAGATAATAATCGCCTACTCTCTGATCTGAGAACCTTTGGTAGCCCATTTGGATATTTTGTAGTTCCCCTTGAAGGTTTGCTCACACAAGGCGCGGCACATGGCTCCTCCATGTTGAGCACTACGTTTTGTACCAAATGTCCTTGCTCTTTCTCAAAAGATTCGGCGCCGCTCGTAGTAGATTCCGATGGTGTCTGCTTAGGCGTCACAAAAACATCGTTATGGCTGCTCGAAGTTAATGAACCACTATGTCTCCAGGTCTCTTGGAGATTAGGTTGAGGAACTGGGTCTGCACGAGTATTGGATACCAGGAGATCTGGTCGGACGTTTTTTTGCTGGTCAGGAATGCTGCTCGTCGAGATAACATCACCCTGGTGCGGTACGTCCGAAAGTGCTTGGTAAGTTGGTGCAGCTTCAGGGCCGAGAGTCGCAGGTAGATACTCTGATGATCCAAGGTCAATCATCCTCCCCTTCCCCTTTGATATTCTGATTTGCCGACCAACTAGTGTCGCTGCCGGCGTGAGTTGACACGACTCCGGCGACTCAGGCCGTGAGATCCAAATACCCTCAACCTCGATGCCGTTCTGAAGAGCACGAATACCAAAGGGAATCTCGGGAGTTCTTATGTTATCGATACCGCAGTGTGCCATGAGGGATACCCGTGCGCGCTTCTCTTCGTCGATGATTTCTAGGCGGCGTGTATTGCGGTTGGACCACCATAACTTGATAAGTCCCGTAGCGAAGACAAGAACGATACAGCATCCGAGAACCTTAAGTTATTATAGTTAGTGACTGATACGATGGTATACAACCATGAAACCATAATGTGTTGAAAGAAAAGAATGTCAGAATATACGTACAAAAGTCATCTCCTGCCAGAGATCCCAATCTATAAAGAAAACGCCCATGATGAATGAGGGTTGGTGGATGATATAGAAACAGCCAGTGAGCTCCAAAAGAGAGGAAGAGAAAGAAGATAGTTCAACTTTTCAAAAACATTCAACCGAGCTGGATGTTCCAAAAATGGGAGTGATGGACGAACAACGAGTGCTACGTGGTAAGAGAATAAAGTGAAGGAAACGAGAGCAAGACCAAGGCCAAGCCTCGTAATGTTTGCTCAGAACCAAGCACATGGGATGGAGTTTACTTTGACCGTTCGAATTGCAGGTGTGATCAATAACTTGTGAGTTGCCTTACTCTGATTAACTGTGGCATCTGCAGGCAGGTGCGGGTTACTCATGACCAGTGTCACTCGGGAAATAACAGTGACAGGTTCATATGTAGTAGATACCTACATCCCTAACTAGAACTCTGTATATCTAACGAACTGAATACAGAATATGACATATAGCTTTTATAGTAGAGGGAAATGAGAGTCGTTCTGCTAGAAGAAGAAGTATACTCAATACGAGAGCAATGCGCGAACCTGCATGGGCGTTGGAGCGTTGCTTTCACTGGCCATATCGTCGTTGATTCGGATTGGACAAGAGTCAATCTAACAAACACAACAGTACCCTATCCAATGGCAACATTTTGAATATTATTTGTTTCTTGTCGGTCTGGGTGATATAAGAGTAAGGGCAGGGATCCCTTGGTAGGTTGCCTTTGTGTATCCAATCAGGAACAAAACTACGACAACTAAATCAAACATCAAATTAAACAGCGCTTGTATGCTGTGGTATACTAGCAGGCGGCATCTTCTCAAATTTATAACATTAACCTGTTGAAACATGTTTCGGGTAGCTACAGATTCCGACTAGGTGAATATGTGCCGGAATTTGGTGCAACAACATATGGAGCCTAGTCATGGTGTTGTGGCTGGTCACTCTCTTGAGTCATGAGATGGAATAAATTCTCTCATACTTTCCAATTTTTTAACCAAAGCGCTGTGATACTGCAAGTGAGCAGGAGACGGAAGAAAAAGCTTAAGATTTCTGTTGTAACCCAATCACAGTTTCTCGAATCATGCTACCATCGGCGTCGGGTGCTTTAGAAACCCGGCGCTGGATATCGGCCGGGCGCTGTTATTGTGGGTCCCTATGGCTGGCGACACCGATACAAGACCGGATCGGCGGGTCGAGCGCTTTCTGGGGACAGCCTTTTGAGAGTCGATCCACCTCTTTCGGATATCCCGGACATTACTTGACTACAGCTGCAATCACAAATTTATCGTCAGACTGCGCTGTCTATCGACATATGCGTGTGGGGATTAGAAAAAAACCAATAGACAGAAAGTAAAAACAGAGTCTTGATGTCAAGATGCCGGTTTAGCGACCCCCAACTTGGAATCAATGAGCACTTGAAACTAAGTCTTGGCGCGATTGATCCTGAATCAGGGAACCATCTACAAGCGAAGTCGTCATAGGGAACATCAAACCGCCAACGCCAACTTGAACTTCAACTTTAGCCATTTTGATCAAGATCAGGATTAGAAACAGAGTCAGGGACAATACTCCGGAAGGGGAACGGGACAGGGTCTCAGTATCCCATGAGGTAACCACATTTGGGACAGATGCCGCGCCGGGTTAATTGATTGCCCTCTTTTTCTCTCTCTCTTGATGAGAATCTGCCTTGGTCGGTGAGTGCGATGCGAATGCAAGGAGCGAGAAGCGAGGCTGTCGATCAGATGTTGTTTACCGCGCCGCACTGTCCATTCTCACTTAAATCACGCCGTAAGCACAGTGTTTTGCTCCAGAGATTATCAGGGCCGGATCTTGCTTGATGCGATGCCGTTATGCGCTGAGTCCAGTGGAGGGTAAAAGAGTTGGTGTGTGCAACGTCCAATAGGATTGATTGTCAGAAGAGGATGGACCCGATGACGGTAAGCGTTTACTTCCAGTCTTGGCCAACACTTGGTGTCAATCAAGTCAACCAAAGTCTCTCTGGTCCCTCTGGTCCCTGCGATCCCCTTCCCCGCGGGTCGCAAAGTTGGGACCTGACCCTAGTGCTGTGCTGATCTGCTGGCGAAGCTCGGCTGACATGCAGCGCATTGCAGTGCGGTCTGGTCCTTCAAGATGGCTGTGTAGTTATGGATACGCAGCAGCAGCCGCTGCGTATTCTCGACAGTGACAAACACAAACAATGTCCAATTCAGCAGTATATGTAAATTGATAATAATTACTTGTATAGTCTTGTCTACCTGCTATTGCTATACATGGTCCTAAAAATGCCTAAATCTGTAATGAGAACCCCTAAAAAGTGGTGGACATGTTCTATCTCAATCGGTCCATTCTCACAACTGACTTGACCCTCCCAATTGCTTGTTGCTTGTTTCACACCCTCTCCAACTGCAGGAATTTGACCCGACTCGGTGGTGCCACGCACACACGTATTCGTTTATCCACACATTCTCACATCCTTTCCTCACTCTGCTCGACTAATCGCCAAGTCTCACCCTTTCTCGCCCACTTACAAAGTGCTTAGCAGTTAGCACTGGATGGGACGGATCCACTGCCGGCTTCTGTCTCCAACTAATCGACAAGTCCCCAATCTATGCCCCTTCCAAATAGAAATCCATCATGTCTAATCCTGGATATTCCCTTTCTTGGGTTCCGCTTTCCCCGTCCTCGTCCTCGTGGTTCCCGGCTCTTTTAAAGTCAATTAACTCCCGTCGACTTAAACACCGGCTGCCCCCAAGTCCGTCCCCGTCCACCGTCCTTCCCGCCTTCCTTCCTTTCTTCGATTCCAGATCTCACCTTCCCTATCTTTCCTCCATACCCACCTGTACATACAGCGCATACATCCGCATCTCGAGTTCCTCACTTCGACTCTCTACCAATTCTCTCGACGACATCATCTTCTCTAATACCAACAACCAAAGTTATTCATCTGTAACGCCCACCTCTTCCTTTTTACGCCATGCCTATCCGCAACCCTTTCGCCCGTCGCCCTGGTAGTGTCGTTGTACAAGATGAAAACCAGCGCCCTGACTCGGCCCCGGGTTTTGAGAAAGTCGACACTGTCGGTTCCAAATCCACACCTGTTTTGAGTATTCGAAGTGGTCAAGGTCGCGATAACGGTGAATACAAGATGAGTGGTACGTTTATGAAGCCTTATCGCTTGGTGTCTCTCATGGCCTGCCTCCCCTCCCTCTCCTTGGTGGGGGCAAGTCGTCAAGCGGCGCATTCCACATTTTGTCACGAGACCATTCGAACTTGGCTAATTTCTATGCAACAGTTGTCAATGATAGTGGCGTCTATCTTCCTGTAAGTTTATTTCCAGCCAAACGCGCACAGCGTTGGACCCAGAACTAACGGTCACAAAGCCATCGCCCACTGAGGAGAAAGGTCAGTGGCCCCGAAAGTACCTCTCAACTCGCAACTCGACAGACACGCGAAGCAGCGTGGGCGATATCGAGCACTTTTCCATCTCCAGGGAATCTTTCGATTCTTACCGTCGATCATTTGTATGTATTTTGTGGTATCTTATATGCCCCTCGAAGCAACCGCTACAAGCGAGCATGGGTCCTTGGTATTTGATCAACATACGACTAACACCAGGATTAGGACATTTCTGCGCGATCACCCATGCCCAACTGCGATTTCCCCGCGCGTCAGAGTCTTGATTCTGCCCGTCTTCCTCGTCTTCCCAGATCTGCTGTTGAGCGATCATTCGAGCAGCCGCCAACCTATGAGGAGCGCTTCGAAGATGTTGGACTAGACGACCATAAGCAGCAGCAGCAGCCACCAGTGCACCAAGTGCAGCCCCAGAAGCGCGGTTTCTTCTCGAAATTCTCCGACTCTCGCGACAAAGACCCCTCAAGCAATCCTTCCGTTTCTCGTTTTCTCATGCATGGTCGCAAGAGAGCTCAGAGTGGCCAGGGCTCGGAGCTCACCCCAATGGACAACGGGCCGCCCAAGGTGACCGTGTCGTCAGAGGGACAGGAGATGCACTGAGGTGCACGACCAACCTTTCGCCTTCTATGTTGTATTAAAGATAAAGATACCTGGAGTTTTCATGTTATTAGTCGGCGTTATCATTAACGGGGTAGGCATAATGCTAGAATCGCATTCGCTACGAGACTATGCTGGGTAAGCTTCGATCGAAGAGTCGAGGATTTGGATGAGCTGTACAAAGAGCGGCTATGAGCCGAGGCAATTGAATTGCCCGAGCTGAATGACCAACATGTGCAAAGGGCCATGTCCCTCAAGGAGAGGACGAAATATGAGCTACATAATGGTAATGAGAAGACATATGTTTCACAGTGCACCTGTCTCATAACTTTGCGTAGTCGTTGCCTTTTTCATGTGGCTCCCAGACTAAGTGCATGATGGAAATGTCTCAATGTAAGAACAGAAAATGAAAGACATCCAACAGAGGCCTTCAAATCACGATTTATCATACTATATACCATCATGGTTATTGGGCACTATAGGGCGCACTGCGGCCGATGACGGAGATAGTCGATATCCATCGTAGTGAATTGCGTGCTGTAATGACACTTGATGCCCCGCTTCCATTTGTTACTCGGAGGGCGTCGGACAGTTCATAGCAGTATTACGAAAAGAAAGTCAAATGCATGATTCCTTTTTCCTTGCCTGAATAAATGTTGATATATTGAATCGATGAGTCAATACCGTTGGAAAACACATCACATCCGGTTTTGAGACGATTGTGTCAACCAGCTCCAGTAGCTCCGATATTAAAGGTTGCCCCTCACCTCGATCAACCACACCACTAACTCACTTCCATCTCAAAAGAAAGGAAGATCTGAGACAAAGAAAAGACTGAATCATGGCCTCCGACGAAGTTCCCACAAACCTCAAGGACGTCTCCTCCGTCCCGGATGGCATCGCCGGGGCCCGGTCCGGGCTTGAGAGCGCCGTCGCCGGACTTTCACTGGCCTCGCGCGCTGTTCACGCCGACAACGGTATTCAGTCGCACCGGGCTGTTGCGCCGGCTATGCATGTCAGCACGACTTTCAGGTACAATGATGATCCTGATGCACTTAAGGCCTGGGATAACACTGATGTGAGTGCCGATCTTTCCTTATCGTATTATATGACTGGTTTGGGGGTATAGCATGGATCGAGAATGTCATGATAGAGCCATTCTCCCGGCATGATAAAATTCTTCTAAAGCTATGAGATGAAGTGATATATACTGACTCATGTAGCCCAACAACCCCTTGGATTCTCACGTGTACTCCCGAGCAACTGGTCCCAACACCACTCGTCTCGAAGCTATCCTCACATCCATCATTGGAGCTCCGACCATCACCTACTCCTCTGGTTTATCCGCTTTCCACGCCATGTTGGTCCATATGAACCCCAAGCGCATCGCCATTGGAGATGGCTACCACGGCTGTCACGGCGTCATCAGCATCCTCACCCGCCTGACAGGCCTCAAAGTACTGCCCCTGAACTGCGCCGTCGAGGACCTCGAGCCCGGAGATGTCATTCACGTTGAGACGCCCCTCAACCCAACTGGCGAAGCACGCGATCTGGCAGCGTATGCTGAAAAGGCCAGAAAGACAGGGGCTTACTTGACCGTCGATGCGACATTTGCACCACCTCCACTACAGGATCCTTTCCAGTATGATGTTGATGCCGTTATGCACAGCGGCACGAAGTACTTTGGTGGCCACTCTGACATGCTCTGCGGTACGTTGTCTGTCAACAGCAAGCACAAAGACTGGCCGGCCGCGCTTCTCAATGATCGTATGCTCCTGGGTTCTGTCATGGGCAGTTTTGAGGGCTGGTTGGGAATCCGATCGTTGCGTACTTTTGAGCTCCGCGTCCAGCGCCAAAGTTCTACAGCTACTGCACTTGTCTCCTGGTTGGTTGAACAACAAAAAGACTCGTCATCGGCGATTGGCGCTCTAGTCGAGCGTGTCGAGCATGCTAGTCTGCAGCCTGAGGCGTCGGTAGAAGGGAGCTGGCTGCAGAAGCAGATGCCCAATGGCTACGGTCCCGTCTTCGCAGTCTATCTCCGTAACGGAGAGCTTGCCAAGCGGCTACCGTCCAAGTTGGATCTGTTCCATCACGCTACCAGCTTGGGCGGTGTCGAGAGTCTGATTGAATGGCGAGCCATGACAGATCCCAAGATTGACAGCAGACTTCTGCGAGTGAGTATTGGTGTCGAGGGTCTTGAGGACCTCAAGCAAGATTTGCTTCAGGGTCTAGAGGCTTTGAGGAAAGAAAACGTAGGTCAATGACTGAAATGATAGCAGTAGATAATTAGCCATACTGTTGGTGAAAAAGAAGATAGAGAGCTTATAGAGAATTTTAGAGAATCATAAATCAAATAGTAAGAAAAGTTGTTTCCTAGAACAACTGTGATATCTATAGACCAAGCATGCGAGAAAGGTACAATGACATGAGTCCTCTAAATAGACGCTGACAATGTTGAAAAGAGAGTGAAGATTTGCACAATATGATGAGGATTCCCGTCTGATAAAATCAAGAGAGCGCGGTTATATCGTCCGAGATAAATCGCTGTAGGAAAAGAAAAGCACTGCTCACAAATGCCGTCCAAACCGGACAGCAAGAGAGAAGAGAGGATGGAGAAGGGATATAAGAAAATTTAAGTAGGAGATGAGAAGTACGAGTCTTTTTCGGTACCTTGCTTCAAAAGGGTCGTGTCTGAAACACGTGAAATTGTTGCTTAGAATTGGTGTTGATATGATACTTGATGCTGACGAGGTTAGTCATGAGGTGGTAACCAGAGACCGAACCAGTTGCTGAGCGGCTTGTATTTGACTTCTCTGCTGTAGAATCATATGTCAGTTAAACATAAACCCACTGCTATGGTAGAGTAAACGTACCGTGAGCGGTCATTGTCAGCGAAAGATCCAATGCCTCGGAGATCTTGCTCAGCAGACCGGGGCTCCATTTGTCGATAGTCCATTGACCGGTTATCATAACGATAGGACGTCGATCCTCGAGAGGAAGACGTAGCTCCATTATGGTAGTGAGGGTCATGCTGTCGGGGCGGCACAGAATTTCTTGAAGGCGGTGCAAGGAAGTCATTAGCCACGGCATGTGTTTGATACGGCGGCGCCTCGTGAGTCCGAGACGGGAATGTGGGAGAGTCGCTAAAGGCAGGAGATGTTGTAGGAGTCGTTAGGTCAGATACACCATCCATAGCCACTGAAGGATCGTGTGTATATTGTTGACCGAGCCATTGGTTGACCATGGTCTGGCGCCTATCGTAGGCTTGAGGGCTTGGTCTCCTCCAGGCTTGGGACTGGTCTCTTGGTGATGTGTTGGCCGATGTTGTTCGTTGGTAGTTGGAGTCCCAGCTGCCCCGAACTGCCTCATCGCTCCAGTTTCTAGAGCTCTCTGTATTGTATTGTTGGCCGTGATGGCGCTGGCCCTGATCTTGCCGGCGACTCATGGTGTGTTAGTCGCGAGGGCGTTGGTGATTGGTTGGTTGGTTAGTTGAGTGTAAGTGAGTAAGAGAGTAAGCGAGTAAGTAGTATTTGAGGTAGTCAATCGGAACAATCAATAGAACCAAATTGAAGTATAATGAAATAATTGTTGAACTGGAGAGACCAATGCATCAATGTTTTGTAAACATGATATATTCATTTCCAACTCTATATCTCCCTCTCATCGGGCTCTATCACTTTGGATGCCTCTAACAAAAACCAAGCTTGAACAGAGTTAAGGCTGTGGCTAAGCTTCCCTATTCGCGGGGACGCCGGGAGGCCGCAGCCTTTAAGCCAATCAGATAAAAGCGCGCTTCGGAATCCAGTAACTAAACTGATGGTGGCCGTGCAAACTCCCCTGGAGGGCTTCCAAGGGCCTGTGTAAGACCCCTGGAGAGTCAGCGAGCTTACCTGCAAACAGCCTAGGTAGAGTTGAATGGTTGTTACAAGGGATTGAGGGTGAAGACCCCGGAAACAGACGTCAATTCTCGCAGGCCGCCGAAGAACCCCTAACCTCGTTTTGGTATCAAGAATTGATGGTGAATGGGAATTCCGTCACGAACTTGCGGCTCAGCCAATAGTAGAGACTAATTGGCTATGATAATTAAATGTTTTATCGTCACACGAGTGCTTCTACACTGTAAAAAGCGGCCTTTGCAGGCGGTTGAGGGAGCCTGTTAGTTAATGCATCATGATATGTTTCACTGAACTTCGGTCAGGCAGATTGTGCTAAATGAATGTGACGTAGAGCCCGATATGTCAATTGAGAGTTGAAACAACCGTCATATTGTCTAGAACTTCTGAACACACAAGGCGTTATCTCGTGTTAACAAAGTTCCTAGTCATAAGACATCTATGATTTCAGTCGCAATCTACTATGACATCGCATCATGATATGACTATTGGAGGCCCATCATAGATACCCAAACAACTCAACTTTTCATGACTATTTACACTGAGTACCTATTCACGCCTAATGCATCTCTCAACGGGCGCACAGATATCTATCAAAACAACGCAGCCATCCCGTGAACCAAAATGCAGCCACCAAGTATGGTGTTGAAAGCCGAAACAGCCACCTAGAGTTAGTTCCCTAGATAGAATGGCTCAAGCGCGGTCTCCCAATGCAGGTTCTCCCTTCAAGCTCGGCTGCGCTTGCAAGCTCAAATTGGAATCAAATGCTACAAGGCTTAAGCGCTTGGAATGTTTCGCCAATCTACAAAATGGCTGCTTTCTTGCTGCGCTTCAGCAGTCGGTTGGCTGTGCCACGATTCATAGAGGGGCTGTGTACCTCCCTCAGCCCTGTGCACGTCATTTCAACCCGTTTTCTGTGCCGCGCTAATTCTATTAGCGTCACGGGTCTTCACCTTCCCGCTCTGCTCTCAGTGGCCAGAACAGACGCTGCAGACGCTACAGACGCAAACAACTAAGGGCAGGGTCTGCCATGAGGCGCCATGCACGCGCTACAGCCTACAGCCTCCACCCCATGATTCCCCTTTTCGTAACCTCATTTTTTAACTTATCTCAACAACACCACACAACCAAACCCAACATCACCAACCTCCTTCACCCCCTTGAGGGAGCATGTGCAGCCTACAGAGTCTCGCTTCTGGGACTTGCGGCCGCAGCTAAGCTAGTAGCAGCAGGAGCAGCTAGTAGATGCCCCAATGGTCCGACTATCATCCCTTTTCCGCCTGCCCACCAAGCTGCGGCGCAGGGTCAGACGCAATCGAATGGCTACCCTTATAGCCCTCGTCGTCCTCGTAGGCCTCTTAGTCTTCCCCTTCTATTCTGCCTACTGCGTCTACAAACCTCCGAGATACCTCATCAATTGGCTGCGGAGGAAATACCCGGATGTGCTTTTCGAGGAACCGACCGACCAAAAGATCATTGCCTTATCGATTGACGATGCACCCTCCGCCCACACCGATGAGATCATGCAGGTTCTGGAGGAGAACGAGGCCCATGCCACATTTTTCGTCATAGGCTCCCAAGTCGAGGGTCGTAAGGAAAAGCTTGTCAAATTAGTCGAGAAGGGTCATGAGTTGGGGAACCATGCTATGCATGATGAGCCATCCAAGTCACTCAGCAACGAGAAGCTCATGGAGGAAGTCCACCTCGTCAAGGGGATGCTGACCGAGGCATATGCGGCAAATGATCGAATTCTACCCAACAATTACTTCCGCCCGGGATCTGGAATATTCAACAGACGCATGCGCGACGTCTTAGGAAACCAGGGCTTTCGCATCACTCTGGGAAGCGTCTATCCTCACGACCCTCAAATACCGTATCCCGAAACCAACGCAAAACACATCCTTAGCATGGCTCACCCAGGAGCTATCATCATCTGCCACGATAGGAGGTCATGGACAGTACCGATGCTGCGCATTGTTCTTCCAGAGTTGAAGCGGCAGGGGTATAAGATTGTTACCATCACCGATCTTGTCAAGCTTGTAGCAGCAGAGAGCCAGGTGCGATGATTTCCTGGGATTTGCACAAGTGGGCTTGTGTATTTACCTATGCATTGACCCCGAACCCCAACCCTACGATGCTGATTGTATATGCTTTTGGGGATAGATGAGTTCTGTTTATACAGTAGAATCAGAGAGTAATTTTTAATGAGCCGTCTTCTTGTATGAGCTTGGAGATGTTGTATCGGGGCGATGTTAGCCTATCATAAGTCAGTCTCCGGTTTGAAGAGTCCAAGACCAGGGTACAAACGTAGAATTGAGCGTGCCAACAACGATAGCACGGCAACCGTGGACATATCTCTTCACAAGAGACTGCAACTCCTCTTGTGCCTCGGTCTTGTTGAGCAACTTGCTTGCGGCATCGTCAAATTCGTTCACTGCAAGGCCCATCCTTTCCTCCAGTTCAGAAACCACCATACCCAACGTCATGTCCGGTTCCATTATGGCTGCAACGGCATTGATAATACAATTTGTCCGCAGTTCCTTTTTCAACGACAGCATGTCATTAAGCAAGCTCAGTAGAATGCTTACTTGTGTCCACATTTGATCGACCTCGGGAGCTGATGATACTGCTGCTGGAAGCCTCTCCTGCGTCGCATATGGCACAAGACTGCAAAGCATCCTGCCACCGACAGTGCCGATCCTCATCTTCATGTACGATTCAAAGTCCGGCATGCGATTAGCCAGGCGGAGTTCCTGCTCAGCCGCGCAACTCTTGACGAAGAAATGAATCTCATCATGTAAGAGGCGTCGTTGATCCCTTTGAGCTGTCTCGCATAATCGCGAACCAAAGCCTCGGAACACGTCATTAATTGGATCGCCATCTGCCTTGCCAACACATGTTCCGTTAAAGGCCAATGCCTCACGTACCATACGCATCGTCTGCCGCCTCCATCGGTCCGCACGTGCAAAGTCACCCGCCAGATCGCCCTCATTAGCATCAACAGCGTCGTCCCAGCACACAAGCCACGTTGTGTAGAGCGTCAGAGCCTCAATCTGCTGTTTCCAAGCCTGTGGATATAACGAGCAGGCCAGATGAGCTATGTCATCCCTTTTTCGATTAGTGATGAGCGGATAACTTATAGCCATACGATCGACCGCTTGGTCGACTATTGGTTTGACGAGTTCATGGTGGCGGTTGACTCGGCCCTTGGGGTGAGGCCAAGAACGGAAGATATTGAAGAGGTTTGGAATCCGTAAAGTTTGGCCGCGAAGGGCGCTTACTATTGCAGCTTGGTTAAGACGTGAATATTTCATGGGTAAGACATTGATGCATCACAGCGAAATAATTCGGATGTTGTATTTTGAGTAGGAGTAGACATGGGCTGGAACGGTGGTCTAGGTTAAGCCCAATCAGCCAGGCATTCCAGTCAGATAAAAACAGCACCACGGTGTCCCGAAGTGCCGGAATTAAGTGCAAGGCTGGAAGTTTGATCAGTTCGAGAACATGTCTATTTAAAATACCTAGCTCAAGTTTCATATTCGGAAAGTTCCCTATAAGCCTAGACAGCTAACAGATCTAACTTGATGTGCTACTGATATGGTTTTGGTTATTCACACACACGTACGCCAACAGGTATAAGGTATAAACCAAAAAGTCAAATGTGAAAAACCCTTAAAAGCGGTAAACAGCTACGGCAGTTCCTTTCATTTCCACCTCCCTCAACAGTAACAAAGTTTGAAGCCAGGCACGTCACAGAAAAACTCAAACCCAAACGCCACGCCTACCCGTCACGAAAACTCAATATCCTCAACGGGCCAGAGAAAGAAGCAAAAAAAAAAAAAATTCATCGGAAAAACTACGTCAATAATCAATGTTCATACCGTATCCCAAAACTTGGATACCCCGGGGCTTCCCCTTCTCCAATGATAATACCGAGTGCCGTTTGAGTTATAGTGAGGCGTGTTTCCGATCCTGCAGCGACCCTTGTTCAGTTGCCAGGGGGTGGGATTCAACAGGGAGAAACAACTACGTAGAGACTTATTAAATGCGAAAGCAAATGCATTGCATAGCATGGATTTGCTTGTTGCTGATTGATAAATGGGCAGTTTCATGATGTCTCGTTGCACAGCACACCTGAGCATGCAGATTGGTGCAATAAGTCAAGATCAGCAGTTTCATCACGATTCAAAGTACTGTAATGCATCATCACTTTTATGTGAGGAACAATTGTGAAATGTGAAAAAGAAAATATGCCGTTTGTGGCGTGTGTGTATGACCAAGTATCCATCTGGATACAACATCATGAAACAGATTCATCCAGCAAGAGAAAAGGTATCCGTCTCATGATCCATTCATCCAGTCCTTATTCCAACCCCGGACCTATCAAACGCCCAATTCGAGTTGTAATGTCCGGCCAAACACAAAGTATCGCATACAGAATACCTGGGGGACCTGACATCAACTACAGCTCATTCCTCTCAGAGAAACCAAGCCGATCCAAACCAATCCAAGATAGACGTAATAAAAAGAAAATTTTCAGTGAGTGAATAGATGTCGCTTAATAAAGCAACCAATATGTATGTATGTGCCTGTTAATCATGTCCGCCATTGTCCTTCAACGGACTCCCTTTTCATGGTCGTAAGATGTCTATCAAATATGTACTGCCGAATGAAGAAACCGGTGCCCGGCATCGAGTTTGCCCTCAGATCCATTGTGGTGTAGATGGCTTGGCGTGTGACACCTCAGGGAAGAAGCTGAGAATAAGACTCTGAACGTCACTCAGATAATCATCGGCGGCGAACTTGTTTAGACCTTTGGACCTGATGTATCGCAAGTCCTCCTCGTCCTCCCTGGATACCGGCTTCGACACCGGCTTAGACATAGGCTTGGCGCTGTACTCTTCGGCGAGCTCGGTGACTTGTGCTAATTCTTGGCCAAAGGGATGTGAGTCCTTGTGAACTCGTTGCTGGAAAGATGGCGGAGGGACTGGGACGACGGCAGGAATTGCCGGGACAGGAACAGGAGGAACCTTGTGAGCTTGGTTGGTCGAGCCATATGAGGCTGATGACGCCCTGGTCGAAGTTGATGATGACCGTGAAAAGGTAAAGCTAGCCTTGGTGGAAACTGACTGCTCTGAATCCCTGGACAGGTGCGAGATTGATCGTTGGCGGGCGAGAGCATCGATAGAGTTTTGCTTGGTGTGCGAAGGCGATCGCTTGGGAATTGCGGGAGCTTCAGAAACCTTGGGCAGGACGGCTGACTTGTCTGATACCATGAAGTAAGTTGAAAGATGGTTCTGGGCAGGAACTGGGCACTCTTCCAACGGAGAAACATCCGGACTCGTAGGCGGAGTGGACTCGGTAGTTGAAGGAGCCTCGGAGTCTTCGCCAACAGATCGCAGCGAAGACTTATTTCGGAGAGAAGGGTGCGGCAGAGGGATGTCGGGGGCGTTGTAGGAGAGCATGTTGGTTGTGTGAACAAGCTGAAGAGGACCGGAAATCTGGTGTCGCAAGATTGGGTGATGCCTATCGCGGGCCGAGTTGCTTCGATGCGGTACCTGGGCCGGCTGGTCTCCCGTCTCGACGGCCGTCTTGACCCTCCTGGTGGTGAAAGCTCGTGAGAGTGACATGATTGAAAATTTGAAAGTTGTTTTCAGTAACTACGTCTGTTTGAAGATTGGTCCGTTGTGGTGATTCTATATGTACCTTTCTCAAAATGGTGATGAGGAGTTGCTGCCAGTGAATAACCTCCTGTGATAGTGGGATCGCCAAAAGTGTCGTGCCACTGACTCAACACCAATTTACTTTGAGGTACGGGTTCCTTTTTCTGAATTGGTGCCAGAGGAGCGAGTTTTGCGAGCAGAAAAGGCGGTGCGAGGGTGATTTCAGTTGAAGTTGAATAAGTAGTGAGACAAGGAGTCCAGTCCTTTAGCGTTTATGAGATCCAGCTTCTAGAGCGGGAAGTTCAAAACGTCTGGCGTGATCCGATGAATCGGTTCTTCGAGAAAGACAGTGAGTTAAGTTGACCAGCCTTGCAGTGGACAACGATTGAAGGAACGGTCAACGTCGAAAATAGATGTATCGGTCGGTATCCGGGAAGTTTTTCTTTGGATCGATCCTGCGACGGGGAATATACCGAGCACAAAACAGGGAATTGGTAAGATAAATGAACGAATGAAAGATGTGGGTTTAGGTTCAAGAGCAGAGGCAGCAGATTCAATGCGCACAGAGAAGTAGAAGCAGACACGACCGAGAGAGCGGCGACCGTGAGACTTTGTTGGGAAGAAGTGAAAATACAAGCCTGTTTTGGCGATTTTGAGGTTGTCAAAGCAGAACAGAGCAGAGCAGAGCAAGGCGAAGGAGAGGAAGTTAGCAATCAAGAATGCCGGGATGGAATGAATGAATAAGTGAATGAATGATCGGGGAGAATCCTTGAAGGGCGGCGCGCGTGGGGACGGGGGGATGAAACAAAAGAGATGGGGCCTGACCCTCCAAGTCACAGTGGAAGACGAGTGTGCTCAGTGACCGTCTGTAGGTGCCTACAGTGTCTTTTGCACACTAATGGATGGAACTAAACCAAACTAACCTAACCTCCATCACCTTAGGTTGCCTTGGGCTTTACAACGGCCCGGCCATTCCTCCCCTTGGTGGTGTAGTCTAGCAGTCTACCCCCTGTCCATGTACCCCTGTATTCCAGCTTCCAGCCCCTGTTGGCCGATGCCCCTGGCTAAAATGGCACTTGAAGTGTAATCCTGGCCTCGCGTCAACGGCGGGTAGCCAATCGTGTGGGTGTTCTCGCCTGCCCGTTTTGATCATCCCCACTGAAATGGGGTTTCCACCCTCTACAAAGTACTCCGTAGACGGAAGAGAAAACCCACAAGCAGCGCCAACAGAGAGGAAGAAAAAAAAACCAGCTGATTATGGTCTAATTTTTAGGCTGTGAATGGCAAGGTCCATTGCGCGATTGCCGTGCAATTGTAATTGCCTCGAAGGAACCATAGGTACCTTACTTAGGTATCCTTGTTTTCTTATTCACAGCCAAATCAAGAAAGCATGATGCACATGATACACTGGTTGATGGGGAATAAGTACCCACCTACTACAGATGAAATACGATACACGATACACGCGTACTGCCATTCTTTCTTTTGCCTCATTTTCAGCTTGTAACAACTTGAGAACATCGTTGCTTTGTTTTGTTTCTTATCTCGCATTACTTACCTAGGTACGGATAGCGTTTGACTCGACCTGGAGGAGTGAGGCCTTTGTTTCCTACCTAGTCTAGCACATGCTGCGAGTCCAAGTTGCGTTCGCCTCGCGTCTTTGTCCCTAATGGAGCTCTTCTCCCGCCCGTTCACCACTCACCTCTCGCCATCACCCTCCATCTCGTCCCCAACACATCCCGCCATTAATAACGGGCCTTTATTGTGACGACCCGCGCGCTTCAACACGCGGGGCCCAATTGCAACGACGATGCTCGGACCTTGCAGAAAATTTCTATCAATCGGGTAACACCGATTTCCAGGGGATGGATGCAAGCACTCAACTGCAGGACGCAAACGCAGACGCAAACGCAGACGCAACTTTCACTTTTGGCAGCTTGGCTCACCGGATGCAGAAGACGTGAGTTGGTAATTGTGGTGGTGGTGAGTTGCCGTGCATGACCAGCGCATAATTGTTCTATGTACGGACACAGACATAAACTATCGATACCAACAGGTTGATCAATTGATAGTCCCCAAAGTCAAATATGAAGGACGTGTCGTTGATCAACGCCATGACACGTAACAGCGTGTGAACGGCAGCACGGCCTCATCAGGAACCAATTCGCAGTCGTCCCTAACTAATATCAAGACCAACCACTCCAGCCTGTGGTTGGTCGTTCCTCAATTCAATTATCCCAATGCCTCAGCAGGCCTTGATTGGGTCGACAACCTTCAACGCCATTACCGTTCTCTCCTGTTTCAGGCCCTTGTGCCTAGGTAGTGAGCCTACGCAAGCGGGCCCAATGAGCCCTTCACTGTTAATCACTGAGATGTGATGATGCTACAGTACCTACCTAGACAGGCACAGGCTGATAATAAAAGGGACGCTGTCTTAGCCTGTTCATTATGCCGTGTGTTTTGGGCCTGGTCGATCCTCCGCTTTCGATAAACGAAAGTTCACAACGATCACAAGCTGGTCATTGCGTTGGGAGCAGATCCGCTCCAACAGCCTGTGCACAGAAGCCTCATTTACATAGCAAATTACCAGCCCTCACCTCTCACTCTGAAGTCTGCTAATATTGTCTCGGCGTGTGCGATGCGTTCGCACTACGTAGTGCCACTGCCCTATTTTGGGCCCGCCTGTGACGTGCCAAATCTGTTCTCAGACAACCACAAGATGATGGGCTTGATTCGTGAGGCATCTCGGACCATCCGAGAGGACCCTTAATCTTCTCTTTCACACATATGATCATCAGGACAATATGGAATGCTTCTGTGCTTATCGTTTCATTCACTAAAAAAAGATCTATACCTGTCTGATGACCAAATCCAACTTTTCCCGTTCCTGTTAGAAATCCTCGTCTATCTAGTCGAGATGAGTCCTCCCCAATTTTCCCGCTGTGAAACAGTTCCTGTGCGCCCAGTGTTGCTTCATTCATGCAGTCAGTTTTTTCTTCTTTTGGGAGCCAGCCATCGCCATCAGAGCGGGCAAGACAATGATTCTCGCTATTATCGACCATTGCCAGTGCTCACTCAGGCTCGCCACGCCATTGTCGGATGAGACCTAAGACATGATCTCATTGAGATCTCAGTCAACCCCTCCAATTCTTGACTCAAAACCTTTGCCTTAGACAAGGGATTTGTTTAGTCCTCATCCATCGAATCATCATCCTCATCCTTGTCGTCTCCATCCTCCTCCTCGTCGCTTGAGCTGTCATCGTTGTTGACGCCAACGAGACGATCTTCGCCCTTCCCGCGCTGCTCCGGTACCCGCTGTGCAAAGGCCTTACGCACCGACGCGTTGGTGCTGGTGTCCCAGATGTGCATGGTGCCCTTGCTGCCGGCGACGGCGAGACGGAAGGCAACCTCCGGATCGGGTGCGAACGTGGTGGAAAAGACCTTTCCGACATCGAGGTTGCGCGAAACTACCACCGAGGGTCCTGTGGCCTGGATGTTCCACAGCTTGACCGTCTTGTCGGTCGAGCCGGTCACCATGTAACCAGGAACCACGGAGTTGATGTCGAACGAAGACACAGACTCGTCGTGGGCCTGTAGTGTCCAGACAGCCTTGGTGCCCGTAGGGTCGGACGGCGCATTGCGGACGTCGTGGTAGTGGATGATGCCGTTCTCTGTTGAGACGAAGAAGAAGTTAGGGTCGTGAGGATCCCACCGCACGTTCTCGACGTCACTCTCAACACCCCATCGGGGAGCCTTTGCATCCGGCGCACGCATATCGGCCGCCACCACAGTTCGGTCGTAAGAACCGCTCAGCAACACGGTAGGTTCGTTTGTGTGCCACGCCAGCGAGCACACCTTGTCAGTATGGTAAGTGTACGACTTGGCGCACTTTGTTGTGTTAAGATCCCACAGCTTGACCGTCTTGTCGGCCGAGGCCGAGGCCAGCAAGTTGCGGTGCTTGCGGTTGGCTGCCAATGACAGGACGGCATCAACGTGGTACTCATCATTGGACTTCTTTGACTTCTTCTTCTTCTTTTTCAACTTCTTCTCCTCTTCGTTGCCTCCCTGGCCAAGAATTGCGTTGGGATACATGCAGTCGATGGTGTCCAGATCCCAAACCTCAATATCGGGGTCTAGTGTGCCTACAGCGACGAAGTTGCCAGTCGCATCCTTCTCTACACCCGCCTTGTTGACGGGCATGTCGATCCACTCGACACAGAGAGGAATGGCAGGCAGCATGATGTCGTGGTGCACGTAAAGGTTGTCGGCTTCATCCTCGTAGACATACACCTCAAGATGCGCCATCTCGTCCTCCACCTTGGCAGACACAATCAGGTTGTCAGTCGCAAGAACCTGAAGCTCTTCTCGGTCCTCATCATCCTGCTCTTTGTCGGCGTCGATTGTGATGTAGGGATCGTCCTTATTCGACTCGTAGTAGGCCAGCGACTTGATGTTTCCAAACATGCCCATGCCTTCTCCGTTTCCGGGCAAATCCTCATTGTCGTCATTGTCATAGTTTTCCAAGTCGTATTCTTTTAGGTCGTCATCATTAAGGTTAATCCTGGCGGTCTTGTCAGTTTCTGGCCAGAAGTCTTCAGAGAGTCGTCACTGGATCGCATACTCGTTCTTGTCAGTAGGCTTGTCATCGTCAATCTTCATCTCCGAGTCGTCCTCCTTGTCCTCGGTCTTGTCTGCCTTTGCGCCGTTCTGGGCCGCCTCAGCTTCCTCGAGGTCTTCCTGGGCGTCGTCGAGTTGGAGCTTGGCAAGCTCTGCTATCCGCTCAAATTCGGCCTCGTCTAGGGTGTATTTCTGAGGGAAGGGCGCAGCGAAGCCCCTAGGGACCCATTGCGCGGCTGTGATCATGGTCGACATGGTGAATGTCTGGGTATCTTTAAAATGGTGTTGTTCAAGCCCAGATTCCTTTCGAAGGTGGGTGCCCAGATAAATTTCTCCCAAAATTTCTAGTGGGGTTTATCGATAAGACGCCAACCCACCAGGGACCTTCTACCTAGTGACGTTGGAGTCTGATCAAGGTTCCATCTTGGAATAATAATCAAATCCTTACTCTACCTACCTATATTGGTATACAACAACTTGAGATGGAAACTGAGAAAAATCAGAAAGAACAAGTCCGGAATAATGTTTAATATGAACATTCAATCATCTGAGTAGGTAGAAAGTTTCTTCATATCAATTCATGGATATAAATATTGTCCTCTCTGGGGAGGTAGTTGGGCGTATTGCTCCCATACGGCCGTCTCAAAGGACGGATGGGTATTTTTGTATGATCTTAAGTATAATATAATTTAAGCCATGAAATAGTTCCAATCATATTGTTTCCAGAAAGCAGAGATCTTCCCCCCTTCATCACTTACATGTCAATGTGAAAGTCGCACACACGTGATCGTTATCGGTCGGCTCTTATCTAAGCTCAAGTTTCCTATAGGTGCTCAGGTTCCTCGATCAGTTGACTTCTATACAAAAGCAGGTCAACAATATGGCGGAGGATCGAGAATACGACGGGTACAATCCCAATCCAAAGAGAAGACGCATTGAATCAGTGCGCCCGCACCAGAGATTTCAGAATGATTCCTCGCGCGCTTCAACCCCCCGAGCGCAGTCGCGTTACGCGCCCACGCCTCCTCGACAGGTTGACGGGGTAGAACCGACCGATGAAGACTCCAAGGCCCTGGATCGCGACTGGTACGGTGGTGATGAGCTCGGCGGCCATAGCTTTGGAGATGATACCCACAACCCTTTCGCCTCATACGACACATGGGAGGGCCAACAGCAGGAATCAGCTCGGCACGAAAAGATGTCTATCCGATTCGATGCGCGGCGTGAGCAAAGGAACCGAGATAACGACGCATGGGAAACGAATCGCATGTTACAATCGGGTGTTGCGCAAAGACGAGATATGGCGTCCGACTTTATTGACGACGATGACTCGACCCGAGTCCATCTTTTAGTCCACGATCTCCGACCACCGTTTCTGGACGGACGGACCATCTTTACGAAACAGATGGAGCCAGTTCCTGCCGTAAAAGACCCCCAAAGTCATATGGCAGTTTTCAGTCGAAAGGGTAGTAAAGTGGTGAAGGAAGCACGTCAGCAGCGAGAACGTCAACGACAGGCCAAAGAAGCTACAAGCATGACTGGAACCACGCTTGGAAACATTATGGGTGCAAAAGAGGAAGAAGGCGATTCGGCGTTACCAGTACCTGCTGAGGATGATGCGCAGCCAACTGAACGTAAGGGTAACAAATTCAGCGAGCATATGAAAAAGACCGACGGCGCGAGTAACTTCAGCCAAAGCAAGACCTTGCGAGAACAACGGGAGTACCTCCCTGCGTTCGCAGTACGTGAGGACCTTCTCCGTGTGATCAGGGAGAACCAAGTCGTCATCTGTGTTGGTGAAACGGGTTCAGGAAAAACGACGCAGTTGACTCAGTTCCTTCAAGAGGATGGATACGGGAAGACTGGCATGATTGGATGCACCCAACCGCGACGTGTTGCGGCGATGAGTGTAGCTAAACGTGTTGCTGAAGAGATGGAAGTCAAATTGGGAAGCACGGTTGGTTACGCGATCCGATTCGAAGACTGCACCAGCAAAGAAACGATCATCAAATACATGACCGACGGTGTTCTTCTGAGAGAGTCGCTGAACGAGCCTGACCTGGATAGGTATTCGTGCATCATCATGGATGAGGCTCACGAGCGTGCCTTGAACACAGATATCCTGATGGGTTTATTCAAGAAGATATTACAGAGACGTCGCGACCTAAAACTCATCGTAACATCGGCTACGATGAATTCAAAGCGTTTCTCGGACTTTTTTGGTGGTGCCCCAGAGTTCATTATTCCTGGACGAACTTTCCCAGTCGATGTTATGTTTCATCGATCGCCTGTTGAGGATTATGTTGACCAAGCAGTTCAGCAAGTCTTGTCAATTCACGTCTCAATGGGACCGGGTGACATTCTAGTGTTTATGACTGGTCAAGAAGATATTGAAATTACCTGCGAACTTGTTCAAAAACGACTCGACGCACTGAACGATCCGCCGAAATTGAGCATCTTACCTATTTACAGTCAGATGCCTGCAGACTTGCAAGCCAAGATTTTCGACAAGGCCGCACCAGGAGTGCGGAAGTGTATTGTTGCTACCAATATTGCCGAAACCAGTTTGACGGTTGATGGTATTAAATACGTTGTTGATGCGGGTTACTCTAAGATGAAGGTCTACAACCCCAAGATAGGCATGGATACTCTTCAGATCACGCCTATCTCGCAAGCCAATGCTTCTCAACGTTCCGGTCGAGCTGGCCGAACAGGTCCTGGAAAGGCCTTTCGACTTTACTCGGAAAAGGAATTCAAGGAAGACCTGTACCTGCAGACTATTCCAGAAATCCAGCGCACAAATCTTGCTAATACTGTTCTCATGCTCAAGTCTCTTGGCGTCAAGGACCTCTTAGACTTTGACTTTATGGATCCTCCTCCACAAGACACCATAACAACTTCAATGTTCGACTTGTGGGCGCTTGGTGCCCTGGACAATCTCGGCGAACTTACGGATCTGGGAAGAAAAATGAGTGCTTTCCCTATGGATCCATCCCTGTCCAAGCTGCTCATCACTGCAGAAGAGTATGGTTGCAGCGAGGAGATGATTACCATCGTTTCCATGTTGTCCGTTCCCAATGTGTTCTACCGACCAAAGGAGAGACAAGAAGAAGCCGATGCTGCACGTGAGAAGTTCTGGGTGCACGAGTCGGACCACTTGACTTATCTACAAGTTTACACCAACTGGAAGGCCAATGGCCATTCAGACGGTTGGTGTGTTAAGCATTTCCTGCACCCGAAATCTCTCAGACGAGCCAAGGAAATTCGCGAACAGCTTTTGGATATTGTTCGTATGCAAAAGATGGAGCTGAAGAGCTGTGGGATGGACTGGGATATTGTGCGCAAGTGCATTTGCTCAGGCTACTACCATCAAGCAGCCAAGTATAAGGGTTCAGGCGAGTACATCAACCTGCGCACCAACTTGGGCGTGCAACTGCATCCGACTAGTGCGCTCTATGCCGGACATCCACCAGACTACATCGTTTATCACGAGTTGATTCTCACTTCCAAAGTATATGTATCAACAGTAACGGCCGTAGATCCTCACTGGCTTGCGGATCTTGGTGGTGTCTTTTACTCAGTCAAGGAGAAGGGTTACTCAGCCCGTAACAAGCGCATCACAGAGACAGAATTCAATCGAAAGATGGAGATTGAAACCAAGATGGCTGATGACAAGCGGATGGACGAGGAAAGGAAACAAATGGAGGAGGAACGAAGCCAAAAGAAGCCCAAGAAAATTGGAGCAGACGGAAAGAAATTCGTGACACAAGGTGCAGTTAAGAAGCCTGTTTTGAAGCGACGTGGTAGAGGATTTTGAGCAATGACATTCAGCTGGCGTTTACATGTTGTTTTAACTGAGGACGACGGGTTGGATCATCGTGGATAGAAACAAGTATATCAGCATGAGACCAGTATAGAATTGGCAATATTATCATTTTGTTGATAGGATACGCGTATCTTGTCCCCTCACTGGTTCTGCTCAACGCGTAACTACGAAGTCATTCTCTCCATCAACAAGCTGCCTCTCCTCTTGAGATACCTTTGTCACTCGAGCAGATCTTGGGCCATTGTCTACGTCCTCGAAGAACTTTGTCAGAACCTCCTCGTTGCCTTGAGCCTCACCCTCAACCTATCCCCGCGGTTAGTACAAGGCCAGGGCTAGTGAGTGAGTGCTCATATGTACCTTTTCGTCCTTTGTGTTTCGACACCATCCCGTCACTCCGTACTCCTGGGCCTTTTTCTGTGTAAAATACCTGCTTTGGAATTAAACCCAATACTTGTTGTACTTGTTAAGTGAGTAGATCGTACCTGAAGCCCACACCTGCATGACGTCAGTTCAAGGAAAGCTCTGAAGGGACAGAGGATAACATACCTTGGACACGTCCTTCAACAGCAAAGAATACCTCTGGAGCATTAGCATTTCGTGAAGCTATTGAAGACCGTATGCGCCTTACTCGTCTCGTCATAATGACAAGTTATGTGAAATAAGTACCAGGAAAGATAGAAGTAAGATGGGTGGTTGTAGACTTGGAATGTTTGAACTAAGAGGATTGCAAGGGTGTAAAGTAGCAGAACTTTAACTTTGGTAGCCTTTACTGTGAAATAAAGGCACGTTTTTAATTGTCAGTTATGATCTAATTAACCGTTATGTCAACCACTTGATGATAATGAGTGGGCGTCTGGCAGCTTACAGGGCAGTTCCAGAGTTTATCTATTTTGGTAACTTTGATAAGATAAGCCCAGGAACTGATGTCACCTAGGCACCTTAGTGGCACTAACTTATCCAAATCAACATTCTACATTCAATCCCTTCAACTTGCGACGCGAAAAGCATTCTGCACAACCAACGCGCTCGCCCATCGACGTTTTTATGGACGCTACTTCACCTGAGACGGCTCCAGAGCCTATTCGATTCCGTGCCGGCAAGAAAAGGAAGGCTTATCGCCAGCGCGCCCAAGGAGAAGAAGACACTGTCACAGAGACAATACAACCGCCCCCTGCCGTGTCGGCATCAGTATCTAGCGATAAACCCACCCAGAGAGATACGCCAGACGACAACGACAAAGAAGATGGAGAAGGATCTGTTGCTGCCGCACTCAGGTTGCGCAATGCGCGAAGGGGACGCTTTGGAGGTGTCGCATTCCGAAATATCGGCCGCCCAGACGACGACATGAATAGCGAGCGTGCTCTTGTCCTTCATGATGTGGACGATGCAAATGCCGAATCCGTTGTAAAGGGCGTGACAGATCGTTTCACACATCAAACCGGTAGACTTGCCGATCTCAACGATAGACATATGTACGTTGGAGCTCTCCTACATCTGCGATTCATCCTCCTCGCCATGCAACAACTAATCATTCAAGGATGGACTACATAGAATCCCGACTATCTAATCGTGCGGGCGGAAACAGCTCACAGACTACTACATCCGCATCTCCGTCGGATCCCGCTCGACAACTAGCCGCAACGACATCGAATCATGAGAGCGGGCGAGCAGTGATGCAGGGTCAGCTGGTGGAGATTGATCTTGGTGATCACGGCAATGTTCCTCGCTCCGGTCATGCTGCTCAGGGAGATGGCGCCGCAGATGGTGAAAGAAGAGCCAAGAAGCCCAGACTCAGAAGAGACGGCAAGCCATGGCGTCCACGGAATCGTCGCGATAGCGATGCTGTTAAGCGCGACCAGATCGTTGATGAGATCCTCCGCGAAGCGAGACGTATGTTCCTAACCCCTCCTTGTTTCAAGGCACAAGCTAACTTACTCTCTCCTAGTCGACCTATACGAGCCCTCTCCAGAACAAACCAGCAGGACTGCTGGTGCTGACCAGGATGGCGCAGCAGACGAGCGACTCGCTGAAGAGTTCCGGCAGCAATTCCTCGAAGATGTGGCAGAGCGACAGCTTCGGAAAAAAAAGGTTGCGAGTCAAGCAGCCCGACCAGGCACTGAGGAGGTTCTCAAAGGGCCCAAGCTTGGTGGCAGTCGTAACGCTAGAGCTCAGATGAGAGATCTTCTGTTAAAGAAAGAGAAGGAGGGGAAGAAGTAACATGGATCCCTGGGCTGATTGATTAGTTTTGGTAAATACGGCGTTCGGTGGTGGTCGCTGCTGCATTGCTATTTCGAGTTGGCTAGATGATCACACAAAATCACATTATGTTGTAACGAACAGTGCAAGAACAAGTATGGTTCGATATTTTATGAGCTTTGTATTGCACAAACTGCAGAGCACTCATACTCACGTTGACTACTTAGTCAGTAACGATCGATAGCTATACATCCGTATTTAGGTATATTGATCCAGTGATCTAAACCAAAATAAATCCTGAGATAAATCCTTAGCAATAAGTTCTCGATATCGAGATGCGATATATAACCAAAAGGAAGAAAGAAGTAAATCAAGAAAAAAGAGAGAGAAAGTCAAAAACTCCTTTACCAAAAACCCGTGTAGCAATTTTCCCGAATGCGTAGAGTGAAACCTATGTAAAAATGAATGAAGAGTCGCTTGGTATAGTGATACCAACCCGATATCATGATGCGCCATCTTGCTCGTGTGCAAGATTGTTTGACTTTCGTCATATGCCATAACGCCATACCAATGTGATGTTGACCGTCGTAGTCCCATGTCTTAATTCTTCATAGCATAATATAATGTGAGTCTCAATGAACTCTTCATCTGATGTCGAGCTGGAAAGGCTTGAACCGCCCGCCAATTGTAGCACAGCGGGGACACTTCCTTCTTGCTCCGTGCTCTGTCATGAGAACTTCTACACAGGTTGGGCAAAGACCGCAGATGCATTCGGTACATGCATATGAATCTTTGAGTAGAGAGAACCCTTGGCAAGCAGCGCAGTAAATCTGAATGTTTTGAGCCGAGTATGATGGCGAAGAGTCTGAAAGCCCCCGGGTCCCCATGTGGAAGTTTTCGCCGCTCTCACCACTTTCAACTGATGGAAATGGATCTATGGCATCTTGGCCATACGACGGAGGCGTGAGAGCCTGCTGTAAGGGCGAGGCCTGGTAACTGGCTGGCTGAAATTGCGGCTGATGAGAAAGCGGTGGTAATGATGATCTGTGCATTGAGACTGGAGATTGAGGAACCTGTTTAGGTATTAGTCATTTCAACTAGAACAACGGCGAATGTAATCAAGACGTAAACTCACAGGAGTACGATCTTCATCGATGTCTCCAGCAGCAGAAGCAGCCTGGTCAGCTGCATCAATAAGATCCTCCCACCGCTTCCCGAAATCTGCGGATGGCTCAGCCGAAAGAGCTTTCCGATCGTTACCTGGTCTATATCGTTCTTCATTCTGTATTCGTCGCAGCCAATCAGTAGCAGAACCCTTCGAGTTCTTCTTCTTGTGGTGGGCCTCCCTTCCTCGCTTTGTTACAGACTGTTTACGAGGACGGTTAGGTCCGATAGGGCGCTGAAGAGGCGGCAATGTCGATGACCTTCCCGGGGGCGAGTTTGCAAGAATGGAAGGGAGAAAGTCGCGCTGCCTATTGGATTTGATTGAGGAATAAGGGTCGCTGGTAATGTCGTGATTTGAAAGATTAAGTGGCGGCAATTCAATGGATGTTCTTGGTCTACGTCGAACATCCATATCTGAATAGTATTCCTACGCATCATTAGCCCTGTCCAGGGATGATTTCGTTTGTCTAGAAGGCGTTCAACTTACACCGTCCAAATCCATTTCACGCTCACTCTTGACGCCATGGAGTTCAGCTAAGGCTGCGGCTGCACTGGCCGTGCCAAGCATCGGGCCAGAGGAAACCGGCCCGCCATTACTGAAGTCATCTATGAGGCGCGGAGTGCCTGGATTACTCGACTCATCGCGGTGGTAATTATGTCGCTCGTGAAAACCTTGGAGGTGGTCAACGGGCGGGGGCAGGCTGGACTGAGAGTGGGACAAACCCTGAGCACTTGGAGCTAAGGTCTGGTCAAGAGGACGGCGTTCCGAGGGTGGGGTATTAATCATTAGTAGGAAGCTCTCTTCGGTAGCTGGTAGCTTCGAGATATAATGCTCGGGGTGCGCGCGGCGGATATGCTCCTGCATGGAGCGATACCTCTTTTCCTGCAAATAGGCATTTAGAATCAAATCGGTACCGTTGCATGGTGTGACGGGAACGTGCTTCCTGAGTTGGGGAATAAGTGCAATAAGTGGTAAGACATGACTATACAGGGCGGGTGGGCGCAGATTGGTAATTCTATTTCATGACCAGATGCAGGCGGAACAGGGTAGAGCGGCTAGCAAAAGCAATTCCCAAGCACTTACACCAATGCATCTCTTGCGACAGCTAGAGCCATCTTGATTGCGAAGAGGGCAGACTACCTCATTGTTGGAGTCTGTGATAGAGAAGGAAGACGTCAAAGAAGATCGAGGCGGCATCTTGACCCCACCATACGCGATAGCTTGTTGGCGAGGGGTGTTGTAGCGATAAGAGAACAAGAAGCGAGATAAGACTTGATAGTGAGCTTCGAGCGAGGAGGAGATCAATTGACGATAATGAAGCTATGCAAAACCCGTAACATCTCAGAGCGCAGCGATTAACAGCGAGATAAGCTGCCCTTGGACATGTACCAGCTTTGCTACAGGAACTGTTTCGAATTGGGCTAGTTATGCGACGGTGGTTGCGTATACGATTGCGGCGTCGATTGATAATATGATTGATACGGGTTCGAAGCTGAGCAATAAGTCCAATCCGTAATGCGAAGAATAACCAAAAAAAAATCGTGTGTTTGTAGAGTCCAGATTGATTGAACCGAACAAAAATAATCGATCGAGAAGGTCGCTTCCTTGGAGAAAGGTGGGCTACAAGGAGGAAGGTAGGTATGGAGAGGAGGAAGGCGAGTGGGTGGGAGAAGAAGAAGGTAGAGAGGTAAGGTCAAGTTAGGTCGGCAGGAGCTTAGAAGGTTGTAAAAAGGAAGAGTCGGCAGAAGGTGGGAGGCAAAGATGCCTTTTGGGTAAAGTGTGTGAGTAAGTGCAAGTGAGCGAGTAATAAGAGCAACAACGCAATAGCGAAGGAAAGCAACAGCTAGAGAAGAGGCAAGAGGAGGGTGTGAGTCGTCAAGTGTGTGGTGTGCGGTGCTGCCGAGGAGCTGAGCTTGAGAAGCTGGATAAGAGCTTTTGCCGGCCTTTGACTTTAGTTACTCAGTTTTTTGCTTAGGTATACAACCATTAGCAACACCAAGACCAGGAACTTTCAGATATTGGAGCGAATCACTAATTTTGCAAAGTACTTCAAAAAAGGGAAACACACGAGGAAAAGGAAAGAGGGCCAGTAAGATATTACCAATAATTGAAGAGAAAGAGAAAAAAAAAACTCTTGCGGGAGGGCGTGTGGGCAAAACGATCAAGGCCAGTAGCGAAAGCTTCCGCACAAACAAGCTCTAACGTCCCTCGATTGCTGTCAATGCTCACTCGACAAGGGACCACAGCCTGAGCTCCAGGCTCCATGCCTCCAAATGCCATTCATTGTTAACTTATGCCATGCTTCGCCTCCACTGCTAGACATCTCAGCTGCCTCGAACGACTTATCGCCCGGGGCCAATAGCATTGACGTGCAGCTTCGGGGGTGTGGGTACAAGAAGCTCTTTAGTAGCCTTCTAGGCCCGTGAGAGAAGCAGCAGAAAAACCCTCTCCAAACTGTCATTCCAGCTTTCGCTTTCAATGCGCGCTGTTTCGCTCCGACATGGTTAGGGGACCAGTGACCCCCTGGCACATTGTCGAACCTCTCAGTCTTGACTCTTGAGTAGGCAAGGTCCCAAAAGACCCTCAAAGGCGCCTGCGACATCCAGTAGCGAAGCATAGCTTCCAAGCAGAGAAGCATCAGAAGCATCAGCAGCTCAAAAACAGCATGGCCCAAGCGCTGCGCGAACAAATCAACTGGCTACCATTGCAATGACTCGGGAGGGGCTACAGGGATCATGGCAGGGTGAAGAGGGGCGTGAGTGTTAGTGGAGCTGTCCGCTGGACGGATGGAGGTTAAAGGCATCTTCTTTGGCTGCCAGGGCTTTCCAACTCCAAGAATGCCGCCTGTAAGAGGCACTTTATTAGGCCTAAGAAGCTCCCTGGAAGAAGCAGGGGAAGCTCCCACGGTGGAGCTGGTCCCTTGTTCGGATTTGTTGAAGATCCTTTCTTCTTACTGATGCAACTGATAACTAGCGAGGCTATTATGGAAGGATCATAGGAAACAACATTGGATTTTGGATGCCGATAGCACTATCAATCGGATCCGCGCAAAGTTTACGAGTCGCATACTCTACCTTTACAGCTCTTGCCCTCGGCCAACATCATCGAGATATTCGGCTACGACAGGTCCCGATGAGCGTCGCAAGAAAAGACCCGGCGTCTCAAGGGTTGGCCATGTTTGGCGACAAGGGTCGGCGGGGCCGAAACCCAAGGTCAACTGCCACTCATGGATACCGTTCCTAAGCCAACTCCGGACGTGGTTATCACATGTACATGACAGGTACCTCTGCATGACTCTCGCCACGGATTCGTCCACGGGACCGTAGCTGAGCTACACAGAACGTTCGTCACTGTAAGCTGGAGCCCGAGCCCAAGTACTCAATGTTGGCCGCTGTACTAAACCAGAGCTGGTATCTCAAATGTTGATGTGGCGTTTGGATATCGGTGATGGGTAGGTGTGGGTGTTAACAGAGTCAGCTCAAAGGTGGTTGTCGCCGAATGGAATTTCAGGTTTTGTTTGGTTCAAGGAGCATAGATTCATCTGCGCCCAAAAAATAGTCTGCTGCTCTTTTAAGAGTGGCCGATAGTGGGCAGAAGTGCTGCGAAGACACGGGCTGAAAAGGCCCAGTAATAGAAGAACAAGCAAAGGCTGACTCTTAACAGTGGACTTCAATGTTACCAAAGGGTAAAGATGACAAGCCCTGCCACCACGTTCCCGGGTCTTCTGAGACAGTGACATCACCAGCCAGGGGGAGGATACTGTACCACCTGTCGCCTTGGAGCATGGAACTGACGGGCGTGCGCAGAGCCAGTCCGCTGAAGGGTCTTCCACCTCGATTCTATTGTTCGACTCAGAGTAACGCTATGCCGCTCACATCTACTAGGAAGGCGGTGAGTTCAAGGCCGAAACGCCCAAGCCTTCCTAGTATTTGTGGCAACATAACGGACCAAAAGCTCAGGTCGTATCTGTTATGCTAACTGGAAGACAGCGAAACAGCGAGGGAGCAGGCCTGAAAAAGGTCTAAACAAAGCGACGTAACGTCGCGAGTCGACTCCGGACGACAGCTCATACAGCCAACCAGCTTCGCGGAACCGAGGTTGATAAGTCCGGCTTTATTTTCTAGACCCTGTGAAGGCGGTGACCCCGCGCTATAATAAATAGCAGTTGGGCCACCACGGAATTTACCCCAGTGGCAATCGTAGACGAGACCTCAAAGATTATGACTACGATTGTCGCCTTATCGCAATAGGGTTCTTGAGGTTAAACTTGATGGCGAGCGTTGTTTCCAGTGGGCCATCAAGCCTCGCAGGCCACAGCGAACTTCGCAGCACGAGCTACATAGCTTGGTAGCTGTACGACTACCTACAGATACGAAAGCTCTAAGCTCCAGCTCGTACCGCATGCGACGGGGTGAACATATCCATATCCAACCGGCTAACTTGGAGCATGAGACAAGATGTGGGGGCCTCGTTGGTGCGAATACAGTGAGTACCTACCTATGCATGCATGCATACCACCTTATCATCTGCAAACTACTACTCTTACCTCCGGAGCAATTTGTTTTCAACTATATTTGTATCTGCGAACTGCAGTTAAATAAAAGCACACCGCAACTTCACAAAAAATGGAAACCCCCTTCACCAAATGTCTTGCTTGTGTCAGGCCCCGGACTCGAGCTGCGATGGCCAAGAGCTACAACAAAGATCCTCCTTGTCAAACTGCACTTATGGGCGAGGCTTGGGTCAACTTGGACCTGGTCCCATGATCACCAGAAAAGAACAAGAACCTTGGAAAAAGCCATGCATCCCATGCAAGACAGTCAACAAGCGGTTTGAAAATCCTGAGTCTTAAACTAACCCACTCCGCCTAATCGATGTATTGCACGGCTTAGTTGCTGTGAGAGCCGCAACGTATTCCTGATTGTAACAGGGTATTTATTCATACCTTTACTACGACACTTGGAAGTATGCTAGCATTGCTTTGTTAATCGAGACAACACTATTCATTTGCTTTGGCTATTACTCATTGTTTGGTTTTTTGACTCGACAACTTATTTGGACTATATTTCGTTCTATCAAACTTCTAAAACATACACAGAGATTGGCACTCAAGGCTATGATTGATCAGTCTTGAGCCATCATTTGTCAACTTTGTACCGAGAAGGAATTACCTGAACTGACTACGGGGTTACTTTTAAACCACGCCATATATCTTTCTTGCTGTCGTCATGGGCATACAGCTCGTGACATAACGCATCTGTATCAGCCTGTTGTACGAACCAGACGAAGAACAACGAGCATGTATAACTCCGAATACCTTCTACATTATCGCAATGCTATTTGGTATCCTTACATTATTCGATAACCACTGCTCTTTACTAACAGTCTTCTCGATGACCTGCATCCAAGCATAAGATACGCTATAAGGATGTGGTGGGAACTTGGAACTCTTCTACCACGAGTCCAACTAAAAATACTACCAAAAAGCTTCCCCGATAAAAATAAGATATTACGAAAAGGGTTTACAATTGCGCCTATACCAATCAAGACTTGTCATAAATTCATATCTAATTATTATGATGAAGACATGCATATATATCTTGACTCGTTCATTATAAGGCCTTGATGGATGCCCAAAGTTCAATAAATATATGTACAATAAGCCTATCCTAGGAATGAAGATACATCAGCAACTCACTCGATATAGTTTCCTAATACTATGCCCCCTACCGAGTAATCAAGGATACTCTGACTAGGTAGTGGAGATAAAGTGGCAGCGATCCGACTAGAACTAATCAAGTAGGAAACAGCACAGTAACCGTTTCTTGATTTTCATCATATAAGTTGATAAGCGCTACTCACAGCCATTTCATCTCATTTCACACTCACGAGAAACTAAAAAGATAGAAGTCAAAGTAACATAATTCATGTCTGATGTCAAGGTAAGCTTCGGTCTCTAAGCCAGGATCCAGAGACTCGACCTTGGGTATCTTTGGTTCATGCTATCCCTATCCCATCCTATCACCTCAAATCACCTAGCTTAGGTCATATCTGCCATAAATTCCGCCGTAGCATGCATACATGGTATTTCCCCTTGAGATGCAAAAAAAGAACAAATCCATATGACAGCTAGGGACCGACCCCGGTGGTCAGTTCAATCCCGCGTGCTCGCTTCCGATCCATAAATTCCAGTTTTCTCGTCTCTTCGTCATTTACTTGAGCTGCTTGAGAATCTCTGTCAAGAAGTCCTCGAAACTCAAGGTGATGTAGCCGTCGCGGTCGTCGTCGTACTTCTTGAACACATCGGTCATGCGCTTCAGCGAGATGCAGCTCTGAACGAAGAGATCGAAGCTCATGACCCCCTCATTCCTCTTATCGTAGGTGTTGAAGATCAGCTCGACAAACTGGGGACTTAGTCTGTATCGAAAAGCGACGAGAGCATTGTTGAATTCGGGTAGCGAAATATTGCCGCTTCGATCGGCGTCAAACCGGTCAAAAAGAGTCCTCCATGAAGCCAAGAAGGACCACAGACCACAGAACTCTTCAAAACCAATGGTGCCGCTTCGGTCCGAATCGAACATTCGAATCATCATGCGAACTGTATGGGGATCGAAGGCAGTCCAGTCACCGTTGACGAGTGCAGCAGATAGTTCTCTCTCAGAAAGGTGGCCAGTACCTGATCGGGAAATAGTCAGTGAACTGCAATGTAAGTTGCAAGTGTGCATTTTGCACGTCTACGAAAATGTGCATAGCAGAAGAACTTACCATCCTTGTCTACGGCACGGAACAGAGGCAGAAGCGAGGGATCGGAGCCGTTGCCATCCAATGCAGGCGAGGGAGGAGGTCGTGACTGGGCAACAGGGCGGTTGTGAGCCTGAGGTCTCGCACCACTAGTGTTTGGAGGCGGCGACATGTGGCCATAAGCAGCTTGACCTAGTGAATGGGATCGCGCATCTCGTTGGGTGGGCAGAGGCTTGTCGTATCGAGGCTGCTGCTGGTGAGGCTGTTGCTGGTGAGGCTGCTGCTGCTGGTGATACTGCTGTTGAGGGGCATATTGGTGCTGTTTAGGAGGAGGCTGATGTTGCTGCGGGGCGGGAGTCCTAGACTGTCCTGGTTTCTGAAGGGAGGATGTCAGTTTGAGCTTCTTGGTGCGGTGATGGTAGTGTGTATTGAACGTACAGGCTCAGGCTCGGCGAATCTGTATAAGTCGCATGGTCAGCTTTGTGTTGCATCGTGATATTCTTCCCTTACTGTAGGTAGCTTCTGGAGCGCAGAGCCGCAATAACAGATACGCGGGGAGAGGAGGGGCAGTTTGACTGAGCGCATAGACATGACATACCTAGGGAGGGCATCCTCGTCGTAGGGACGGTTGTAGGCCATGATGTAGGATCTTGCTATTTTTTCTTCCTGCTTCAAGGTGTAGAGGTCTTTTGAAAGGGAAAAGAATAGGAAAACGTTTGCGCGTGAAGGGGGTTTTGAAGGTTGGGCTGAGTTGGTGCGCGGCTGAAGAAGAGGAAGAAGCTGGAAGGCCAGCGTCAAATGTCCTTGGTACTGTCCTTTAGGTACTGTACGGAGTAGTACTAATGGCTTAATAGTAAACGGGCTGTAGGGATGAACGACCCCAGGCTCAGGGGAATCTCTCCAGCGCGGGGCAGTGTCGTTTGGTTGGTGGAGCGTCAGTGAGAACACAGCGTGGCTGAGTTATCTTGATAGTGGGAATTGGGTAAGACCAGGCTCGGACTTTTTCTCTGTGGTGACTCAATCAAGTCCGATTGAAGAAGATATTATTGGATAATTGGGCTCGCCGTGACATTAGATGGATAGATTTAGAGTCTCATAATATGGCAAAGTTGAAGCAAGGCGTAATGACGAAAGACTCAGTATCAAACTCCCCATTATCGGGTATAAACTGGACTCCCTGCGGCCTTATCTGCCATGAGACAGGGAAGGCACAGCTATAATTCTTACCAGGATTGAAAGCCTGACTTGGCTCCTTGCCATCTTCCGTGCCAAGACGTCGGGACCCTTAGTTCTGTGGATTCTTTTATTCCGCATCTTCAAATTTTATTGTTAATGCATTCCATTGATTGTATACGTAATTCAAGACTAATCGCCTACAGTAAGTATGAGGTTCTACTATCAAACGTAGAAAAGTCTACCCTGGAAGCGCCTTCCAATAGAAGAATCTAAAATTGGACACCACCTGCACTACTGTACTTGTACCGTATCGAAAGTGGCAGGGCCTCACTCCCATCGCTCTCGCTCTCGCTCTTGCAAGTAACGATAGACAGGAGAAGGAGGGACCCTTGGAGCAATAAGGTAGGTCCTCAGCGGTACCGTCCGGAATGTGGGTCTTCAATTGGATGGGTGACGTCGTAGGGGATCGGTGCGAAAAACAGCCACTGCAGACCCGAGAAAGGCTCAGCCACTAAAGTCGGGTATCCAATCTCAGCGGAGGCGCGGAGTTTTAGAGGTGGAGGGTTCGGGGTTCACATTTGGAGAGGAGAGAAAATTGTTCCATTTCTGTTCTACCGTTTTCTCTAACCCCTGCTACTTTCCTTTCCTAGTGGCTGCTTCTGAGCTACAGTATCACCTCATCGCATCTATCTCGGGATCCAACTGGATGAGTATAGACATCAAAAGTCACAGCTACCACTCAAACTGCGGCTCATACAGTAAACATCTGATCTCAAACTACCTAGTCATTTATATCGTATGAAGCTCCAAAGTCAATCATAATTACTGAGTAAGTTTACTGCTGGCTCATACATTAGCGGTCTAAGACATTATTAATGCTCTCCCCTCACAGTAGCTTTCACCATGACTATCACCCAGGAGTCATCACAGCCATCTGAGTTCTGGTTATACGGATACGGGTATGCCTAGCTCTTCCTCACATCAGCTTCTAGCTTCAAGCTTCTAGTACTGCGTATTGACGCCCATCTCCGTGACCTATAGGAGCTTGATATGGAAGCCCCCGCCACATTTTGGTAACACAAACGCCCGCCTCTCACATCAATGGCAGTCTCGCTGACATGTAACCTCACTCATCAGATCAAAGAATCCCTGGATGGGTGGATGGTTATGTCCGTCGCTTCTGGCAGGTCTGTTCATCTCATACTATGCCTCAAATCCCCTCACCAACTAACATGTCCTACAGGCCAGGTCAGCATTTAACGACCAGATAGTCAATTGCATCAGCAGCTAACCATAGTCCAGCGAGGATCACCGAGGAACCCCAAAAGCCCCAGGTCGTGTCGTTACTCTTATTGAGAGATCATACTGGGAACAGCTAACTGACCATCACGACTCTGCTCCAGAGCGAGTCTGGGGCGTTGCCTACCGTATCATCCCTAACAAAGTTGCCGAGGTCAAAGAATACCTCGATATTCGCGAGATCAACGGCTACACTATACACTACGCCCCGTTCCATCCTGCCGATGGCTCCTCGCCCATCCGTACTCTGGTTTATATCGGCACTCCGGACAATGAGCAGTTCGTCGGTCCTCAAGATCCCCAGGAGCTCGCGGAGCACATCTTCCGCAGTCAGGGGCCTAGCGGCCTGAACAAGGACTACCTTTTGAGTCTTGATACGGCTCTCAGTGAGCTTGCCCCTGATAGTGGCGATAACCATATTCATGATCTTGCCCGCCGTGTCAGAGAACTCGAGAGTAATAGCCATTATGAGACGAAGACCCGTAACCCAACGACGTCCACTCATCTCCAGAAGCATAGTACCGAAGAGTCAGAGGAGATTGAGGAACCTAATCATTAAGAAAAGATAGCATCCAAAAGATGTCCTTTGAGGAATGCATATAGATAGACAGCCTCAGCTAAGATAGATGCTTATGATCAGCAAGGGATGCGAATAATCGTCTCCCACGCTTTAGCCCTCGACAGACGAAAGGTGCCTATAGACAACAATTCAATTGGCACTGTTCGGATTCATGCTTTCTTCTGCCATCCCTACGAGCATCAAATGTGCCTTTTAGAGTCCAATCATGGCAGTAGTCAACCTGTAACAACCAGAAGTTATATATAATTAGTAGCACAAGTTTTCACAGCAAAGTGACAATCGGATAATCAATGAATGAAAGAAAGTGGTCGCACGCAGCGCCATTTCACATTTTCCAGTCTGCCTAGCGAGGCATCCTCCCTCATCTTTTCGCACTAGGTTCATTCGTTAAACGGCCGTGTCAAGATGGCAACCCAACCCAACCCAAAATGCCATGCCTTTATAAACTATGCTTTGACCGAAGTACCCGGGTATAATTTTGCGTTCCAATAAGCTCACCAATGCCTAATCATCCAGTCGTACAAAGGATCCGCAAGCCCAGGTGCCGAAAGTCGTCGATATCATTGGTCCTTGAATTCCAGATTTCATTATTCGAGGCCCAATGACAACATTCCAGAGCGCAATATGATATAATGCGCTCCCGTCCGGCTTCCAGTCACCTAATATCCTCTACCACCCTGGTGGTGTTGCTGTTGCTGAGGGGGCATCTGTTGAGAAGGATCAGGGTACCCGTACTGCTGCTGAGGAGGCGCGAAGCCTATGTAAGTGTTAGTCACGGTGTAAAGCAACGTCCGAATTCAATTCTCATCATACCTTGAGGAGGGCCACCGTAGCCTTGCTGAGGAGGATATCCCCGACCGTAGGGCATAGGCGCATACATGTTAGGAGCGGGCATTTGGTAGCCAGGTCCGGGGTGGCCCATTCCATAGGGAGCCGGTCCTCCGAAGCCTCCTCGTCCATAGCCACCACCTCCTCTACCGAAACCGCCGCCGCCTCGGGGACCATTGTCAGATGCCTTATCAACTCGAATGGTTCGTCCGTCAAACCTGTAAATAATTAGTTCATATACTCAAGAAGCAATAGCAAAGCTGCCGTGTGACATAAAGCTGAAGTGGCTCGTACTCGACGTTGTTCATGCTTGCGATAGCGTTCTGGGCATCGCCCTCCTGGGTGTATCGTACAAATCCAAAGCCGCGGCTACGACCAGTATCGCGGTCCTTGACCACCACCTTTTCCATGTCCATGGTTAGAAGCGGCTTCATAATCCAATCCAACAAACACCCGCATCAGAGCCACAAATATGCAGAACTAGAAGCGCATTGCTTGAAGGTAATAAAGGAACGGAATCACCTACAGCTTCTTCAACCGGGCCAAACTCCTCGAACTTCTGGCGCAGAGTGGCCTCCTCAGTATGCCATGCTAGGCCACTTGAATTGTATTAGCAGATGATATAGTCGTAGAAAAAAGCCAGATGACGAACCCAATGAAAAGTTTCGACATGATGAATCGCTGGGTCTGATAGTGTTCAAACATTAGCTTTCATTAACAGTAGAACGCCGAATGGATTGCTGAACGTTGGTCCCCTAGCTCGCAGGAACACCGTAGAGGACAAGCAGGCTTCCAGGGGCAAATCGACCAGAGCGATTGGTGTGTTTGATAGCCTCTCCAATATCAACACCATAAGACTACTTGCGCCCAAGATGCCGCGCGTCGTTCTGCGGACAGACGTGCGCTTACAGCATGGATACTGAAGAGAGGAAAGGGTAAGAGGGGTACCATGGGGGAGAAAGAGCGCACCTTTGTTGCCTCAACTATAAATGAACGCTGATGGTTCCGCCGTACGCGCACTTGAAATTGTTCTGTAGAAACTGAGCGTTGCGCTAATTTTCGATAGCAAGTCGGCAATGGAAGTGAAGAAGTTGAGGTGTAGGAAGAAGGATGGGATGGGGAGTGGAGCTTCAATACGGGAAGAGGTAGCGGATGTATTGTAGTTAAAGCAAAGTTGAAAGGCCAAGGCAAAGAAGGCCAGGTAATGTAGCTTTAACTAGCTTATATTCACTAGACGGCTTAATCCAAGGATGCGAGAGGGGTCCTGAGCATGAATAAGATGAAATGCGGGCGGAGCGTGACAATCGAAGTTATGTATGCACCCTGTCTGCACAGCAATGACAGTTTGCAGCACGCAGCACGCATCAATGCAGTGAACAGGAGGCACGTTGCTTCTCTGCAGACAGTCTGAATCGGTAGCGGCGTTAAGAATGACGATGCTTGCCAGGGGTAGTTTAGCATCTGAGGATATTGTTTCCCATGTTTAGCGACTATCTGTCTTGTGGCCGATTATATAGATTTCGCTAATCATCCTTCCTCTCTTGCCTCAGATGGGCAAGAACTGAATAAAATGCAGCCATCTTGACAACACTTGCATCGTAACTATCAACCATCTTCATAACTCAGGGCCAAGCTCCCGCCTCGGGTCGATCCCAGACCAGGTGGGCTCATCCGTGGAGGCAGTGCTGGATTGAACTGGACCGTACAGTCCCGTCACCGCGACAGGTCAACTAGACTGCCAGGGTGTCTGGTGAGGACGTTTCCGCGTCGGGTCTGGCAGGGGGAGCTTCTCCAAACAAGCTTTGGGCGGCAGAACCAAACACCAAACGCAGGGGAGCGCAAGGTGCACTAACCCACCACCCTCACCGTGGCCTTGGGGAATCGGTGCCTCCATCAGCTTCAGACGACAAAACACAAGCTCATGCGGGCCTGTCTGTGATGACGAAGGTCCTCCACATTCTAACCAAACTCCTCCCCACATCCAGTAAAAGCCAAGCACACGTCTAGGCTTAAATAGCTCTCTGCCCCTAAGACGAGCATATGTAACTGTCCGACGATCCTGTCCCTTCCCATCATACTGCCACTCTTCAATTCGCCGTGAGCATAGCCCCCTTCAACCCACTCACGCCCATGGCCCGTTCTGTCCCGTGCACTTCGGGTAGGCACATGTAGACTGTACTCGATCAGGCTGGTGCTGAATGAAGATGATATCCAAAGGGTGAGTGGTTTATAATAAAGGGTTTCCCGCCCAAAGAGTACTAATCAAGATGATACAGAGCATTCGCCGCCATGGCCTTTAACTTTTAAGGTAGTGTCCTTATCCTTGGCAATGCTGCTATTCCTCACAGAGCACTGTTGTTTGAGCCCCGCCTTACCAGAGGCCTTGTTTCCATACACGTGCTGCCCCTCTTTCTCCTTGAGATGGTGGAGGCCAGATTCAGGGGCGGGAGAAAGGTAGCAAAGGGAAGATGCATAACGCAGCACTCTTGGACCTTGTTGGGAAGATGAAGAGACGGTGGTCCGTTGAGGTCTATGTAATGTGTTGTCTCCCCTGTGACCCAAGGCTGCTGTTGTCCTCTTGAGGATCCAAGAACTTATACGAAATATGAACTCTGGCTCAATGTCTCCTTGAAGCGAAACGTACAGCGCATCAGAATTCATACCTTCGCTGCCAGGCGGGTATTGTTCTGAAACATGCGAGTATCGAAATATTGTCCCGTCGCTGCCATGTGTCCGGGACGTGCTCGCAACATCACTCGCACGTATTCTTCAACGTCAGCAGTTTGACGCTTCAATGAGAAAAGACTGGGAATCATGTTGTGAAGCGAACCTTGACAGCGGCTGCCTTGACGGATGTGCAGTAGCGTGGTGAAACGCTAGATTAAGCATTGATGCGATGCTACCTTGGCAGCGGCTTAGACCATTGAGGAACCACATGCCAAGAGGTACCCGTCGTACCAACTGTCAGGGACCGTTGCTTTTTTCAGCCCAGTGAGCGGCTCCAATGTTGTATTTAGTTGAGAATCAGCACCTGGATTGGCAACATCTTCCTATGAATAATGTTAGTATATGCAATGCTCCAAGACACGATGCAGATTGCAAGTATTGAACAAAACAGATTCCCAATTGGAGTCGTGTCAGAGAGAGTTGGTATTACATACGCTTCAGCCTGAGATAAGGTAACTTGATAATAAGTGGTGTATGAGACAAAGGAGATCACAGGTGAATCCTCATAGTGTTCTAGAGGGGCAGACGAAGAAGGTGGCCTAAAGAATACATGTACCTTCCTCCTTCAACTTGAGTACACGTCTGGGCAGGCGCTTGGCCTCTCGTCTCTTGCCGTTGCAAATATACGGCACCTGCTAACTTACATCCAGTCTCCCGATACTATGCGGAAAGAGCTGCCTATCTCTATCTTTACACTCAGCATTCTGCAAATGTGTTTCACTCTCCACAAAGAATCCCCAAATCAGCCTCTTGTCGAGCTTGAACCTCAATGAGGTCTCATCGCCATCGCCATCTTTCGAACGACCGGTACGGACATCGCCACAAGAATGAAGGCATTACAAGTGATTCCTACCCAGAGGTCGATTCCCGTGGCTTTGATACTATCCAGTCGTGGCTTGCCAAGATCAGCAATTCGGCGGACGATTATGTGCATAATGCAGACGAATCTTGTTCATCAACCAAACGCCCTGCTAGCGTTCCTGCCTGGGCAAGATCTTTAGATCCAAATCAGCTTGGTCATCAAAGCGACTGGCCTTTGATCGAAGATCAGCTGCTCGTAGTAGTACCCGAATCATTAGAAGATGATGCATACTTGAACTCGCAACACGCGCGTTGCCCTGACACCGGATCTAACAAGGAAAACCAGAAGAGATACCGTACGCATTCATGCCAGGGCTCGCTTGATGTTATCCCCGATAGGCCTCTTTTCGAGCGACGGCCAAGAAGGAAAACTCGCCCGGATCGGTATACTTCCAAAGACCAGGCAACCAAAGAGAAATCCCACACCGAGGGCGAAACCGAAAATCGAAGAAGAAAGACTCGCCCTAAAAAGCATCATCTTCGGTCGAGCAGAGATGTTATGAACAACTTTGTGTCTGGTGCCATCCCAAGCACAAGGGTAACGGTACGTGGGGAGCTGGAGTGCGTCAATATATAGCGAATAGGTTCTAATGTATCTAATATGTTAGATGAGACCAAGTCTTACTACCGGGCTTTTCCTGAACGGTCGTTCGTCTACCGCTAAACAAGGTACATTGCTCTCGGCTCAGATTTCGGACCCCTCTAACCAAAGCGTAGTGACCGACCTCTCATTCAATGATATGCCAGTCATGAAACTACGAGGGAGGTCGGGAAACGAAAAGAAAGAGCTTCATCTTAGCACGCCTACCCAATCTGATCATGACGAAGACGAGACTCTATACGACGGAAGTTATATGCAGCAGCATGCAGAATCCTCAACAGGGTCGACCGAGAACAGAAAAGAGAACAAACGACAAATTACTAACAAAGCCGTCGATACTGTGCCGCAGAACCTCTCTCTTGAGGACACTCATGGCATCCAGGATGACCTTATGTCATCGGCGGAGGTCACCCAAACATCAGACTCTGAGAGTCCGGAGGTGACACTCAGAAGACTCATTGAGACTGGCATTTTTGATGGCACGGGCATTCTAAACAAGACTGCAAACCAGATCATTCAGCAAAATTCTATCAACAGCAGCAACCTCGACCCAAGATGGAACAGCAACATTCCACCAAACCAAGATAAAGGGGTGTTGGCAGACCCTGGCATGGGCGCGCGTGTAAAATCAAGTCCCCAAATTCCACCGAACGTTGATCAAAACGACAGTCGTTATATGGCAGCATCAACTAATACAGCAGAGCGCGGACATCAAGAAAGTGAAGTACCAGTATATACCCACAGTACAACTCAAGTTGAGTCCCCAACTTTGACAAAATTATCAACTAGAAATGATGTACACGAGCATGGTGCTGAACAGCATGTTGCGGTAGAAGATGAAAAGAAAGCTGACCCCGTTGCCTACAGTCGGTGGCACTCTGTGTCTAGAACATCGGAAGGCGGCCACCATTACATACAGTGCCTGGATCAAAAGGATCTACCCGGACCTCTGATTCAGAGTATCAGGACACATCCTGCTGATGACCAACACTTATTCCGCCAAGATGTTGCACAAACTTCTGAAATTCAACACCTAGAGCAGCCTCTCCACCACAGGTATAAGTCTCATGATGAGGGGACATCGCCACTCCATGGATTAAGTTGTCAACATCCACGCCAGTCACTCTACAGGATTTTTAGTGTACCATCAGATTTTCCAACTATCCTTCCAACAGCTTATTCAGACATGCACACTATTCAAGATGAAGGACATGGCGGTAATACACAGCTTTCACGGCAACATGATAACCACGATGATGAAACTATACAGCAGTTCATCGAGAGAATTGAAGGGGAGGCAAGTTTGAGATGGGAAGAACCTCATCAAGTCGTTGACGGCAGCTTTATGGATGACATAGAAGATTCTAGCGAAAGTGAGTCCAAGAGAGCGCCAGATGGCTCTGATACCTTCCTACGCGGAGACCTGGGATACAGTGAGATAACACAACGTGCCTCACATAACGCATATCCGGACCTCTACTGCGAGCCGACCATTGAAAGACCTCAATATGAGCCAGTACATGGGAGAAAGTCGGATAACGAACAGGATTACCACTTTGCACGCAGAACTGACAGGGGGTTTGATAGTTCGGAGCCCGACATGCTTACTTTCTGGAGACCTAATCGCTTCTAGGATTATGTACCTACGTGTTGCCCTCAAGGCTTATGTATATAGGCTGACTGAATATGTATTACTCTGGTTCTTGGTCCTTCCATTTGTTCCTCAAGCTTTCAACGTCGATGCCACACTGTTCTGCCTTAGCAATGACAGCACCAGCCTTCCCACTGACAGGAGCATCAATCATTTTGCCATCGAGAGTCCAGGCGCCTCGCCCTGAGGCCGATGCTTTCTCATCGGCGATGGAAATTCGTATTGCCCATTCGACTTCCTTCTGGTCTGGAGCAAACATACGCTGGACAACTTCGACTTGACTAGGGTGGATGCATTGTTTTCCATTAAAGCCCATGGATTTTCCTCCTGCGCATTCTTCCTCGAGAGTCTTGAGCCCTTGCTCCCCCTTGTATGATGTGCAAACAAGATCAATCGCGCTCGGCAGCCCAGCAGCTCGGGCAGCGGTGACAATTGCAGATCTTGCGTAAAGAAATTCGGTCAGAGATGGGGTCCTTGTCAGAGATAAGTCGAGGGCAAAATCCTCGGCAGCGAAGATGAAGCCACTCAAATAGGGGGATGCCTTGCAAATCTGGGACAAGTCCATGACAGCTTGAGCCGACTCAATGAGGGCAATGATCTTTATGGGGTTCTTGGCGTCAGTTCCGTGTCGCTCTGGAGCAACATGTCGGAGAACATCAGTAACAAAAGTCAAATCAGCGGCGGAATTGACCTTGGGAACCACAACGGCATCAACGTGGTGAAGAGGAGCAAGTGTTGTCAGGTCTGACAGAGCGAAAGGAGTAGAGACAGCGTTGATGCGGACAGCCAGCTCAGATATCCCTGAGGGGCGGGCGTTCAGGTTGGAGATGTGCTCCCGCAGTTGGTTGCGGGCAGTATCTTTGAGGCTGGGCGTAACAGAGTCCTCAAGATCATAAGTAACATTATCTGTACTGAGACCGAGAGACTTTGTGAGCATCTTTTGTGACGAGCCCGGGACTGTAGAGAGGAATTAGTCTTGATGTAATGAATTGACGAGAAGTCGTGTTGGCTGTTTTACCGTAGAGCAATGAGCGCCGGATGATAGATGACGATCGCGCAGCCATGGTGATGGTATTATTGGTTACTTCAATGAAGTCATTCGTTTATGTTACAGCTGTGTATTAGAGGCCCAATGACCCCAGTGTACTCTGTGTGTCCTGAAAAGACCGAGGTTGATTGTTGCGACTTAGACGCCGAAACTCGGGACCCGCCCACGGATGCTCATGACGTCCCGGCCGTTGACAAGGCGGGCCCGGAGCGGAGAGTAAGTCAACCTGCCATTTCTCACCGCCTGCCATAACAAGCGCCCAGGGGTTTTTGCTGTCGCGGATCATGCTCCATCCCTTGCGCGGCTTGATGGGAGGCCAGCTTACACAGTGACAGGTAGCTTCAAGCTTTCAAGGTTCCCAACACCAACGTTTTTTTTCTCTCTCTCTTTCTTACCTACGACGCCGACACTCTTTTCTCCTACGCGCTACACGATTCGAACACGCAGAGCCTCTAGACGAATATACTGCTAGATACCTATCCTGACGTGTTACTGAATATCTCACCTATATCATGGATGCCACGCAACCACAGCCCGCCGCGCCGGGATCCCTCAGCTGGCGCCTCAGCGCACATCCCATTACGCTCCTCACGTTTCTCGGATTCCGGATATGTAAGTCTCTTGCGACATTCTCAGACTATCGCTATAGCGCAATTGCTAACTCGTCGCAGCAAGTGTCCTGATCTACTTCCTTGGCCTGTGGATCATAAAAAGCATGTGCGTATATCCTCACAGAACTTGCTCCCGAAGAGCGCAGAACACTGATAGCTTCACAGGATCATGATTTTTATCATCACTATCCTCCTCCTCGCCGCCGACTTCTACTACATCAAGAACATCGCTGGACGTCGCCTTGTTGGTCTGCGCTGGTGGAACGAGGTCGATGCTCAGACAGGAGACTCTCAGTGGGTGTTTGAGAGCAGCGAGCCAGGCACCAAGACCATCAACCCGACTGACAGCCGCTTCTTCTGGCTTGCTCTGTATATTCAGCCTATGCTGTGGGTGCTCATGGCCATCCTCGCTCTTGTGCGACTGCAGTTCCTATGGCTGCCCCTCGTTGGTACGTTTCCAGCCCTTGTCCCCTCCAGCATGCGATCTAGTCACAAAGAACATGATTTACACCCATTGTTTATCCAGCTCCGCTAACATCTCGTGCTAGTCATCGCCCTTGTTCTCACCATCATGAACACTCTTGCCTTCTCCCGATGCGACAAGTTCAGCAACGCCTCCAGCATCGCCGGTAGCGCTTTTGGCACTGGTAACCTTGCCGGTAACATCGCGAGCAACATGGTTAGCAACTGGTTCTCTCGCAGCTAATAGGTCGCCCGTCTTAAAAAAGGACAATATCCGGACAAGCTTCTGCTCGCACTCCGGGATTTTGTAACAAAAAGAAGAAGGAGAAATGCCCTTCGCATGTTCGTTTTCGACATTCTGCAAGGGAAGGCTTTGAGGCTGTCTAAGCCACCAAAGTTGTAGATTAAATAACAGGGCTTCTTCATTATTGGGTGCGGGTTTGCGGGAAAGATTTGCTGTTTCACGGCGCCAGTGGGCAAAGATGTATGGATATCAACTTGAATTCACCTATTGATCCAATTGAGTGCTACATATTCGATATTTGGCTCAAGAGAAGTCATTTACAACGAAGCGCTTTCGTTGTAGGAGAGAAACAGTAGTACCACGTCGTCTCGTCTCGAAAGTTAAATATATTAACGTGTAACCTCATGTCTTGCAGCTGCTACATCAAATGAAGATTGCCATAAATTTGAAAGATGTTTTATCCTCGCAAAAAAGAGTTCGTGGTATTTTCCCAAGCATAGATCCAGTTGGCCGTGCAACAGTTACTCCGTCATCAAGGCGAAGGATACACAGCATCACTCCAACGAACAAACCAAGCAGGCTGCATGAGTGGCCAGCCCAAAGAGCGACCGTGAGAGAATAGGATATGACATGACACAGAACTCCAAAACCCATGACGCATGAAAAAAATAGTATCTTTCGACATCTGTGGTCGATAAGGGACCATTGCTTGCACGAGATGCCACTATCGTCTCGCCGCACGTTCAATTTCGTCATCCAGTTGCCTTTCCTCTTCCTCCAGCCTCCTGATCTCATCGGCCGTCATACCGTCTTCAACCAAGTGAGCAACGTTACGTGACATACCCTGCGGCGTCTGAGCACCGCTGTTATTTCCACGATCGTGAGACCCGAATGATGAACGAGGCACGCCGGCTGGTGGAGGAGTTGGGGCCGCATCACGGTCACGGTCGAGGTTACCGAGGAAAACAGGTTGCATGTGGTTCTCGTCCGAGTATGGCGAGTTGGGTGAATCCGCAGCACGGTTATGGGTTTCCTTATCCACTGCATAGGTCTGCTGTGTAACGTAATCGTCTCCGGCCCGCTGGTTACGACGGCGTCGGCGGAGGAAAAACCATGCTAGTGCACCTATGAGGAGCGCACCGAGAACAGCACCGACAGCAATGCCAGCAGTTACACCGGTCGAGAGCCCTCCGCCGCCACCACCGTTGCTGGAACTGTCGTTGGAACTCCCGTCGGCCTCTGAGGAGGAAGAAGGTAAAGAAGAAGGACTAGAAGTTGAGTCTGTCCCGGGCGACGTGGTAGTTTCCAGGGGCTCCTGTTCTCTCTGGTCATTTTCAAGGTTGTTATTGAGCTCGTTGAGCTTTTTGTCGTCGGTGCTGTTAGTGACAGTGAAGAGTTCTGTCTTGGTGTAACCAGTAGCCCCGTCCTTTTCCCAGTCGATCTGTATAAACATGTCTTTTCCATAAAACTGGGCGGTTTCTCCTGTGAAGTTGAGCATTACAAAACTTTCTGTAACTGCGATAGTGATGTGTTAGTTCATAAAGATATAGAAGGTATGTTGAGAAAACGCACAATTGCTGACCGGTTCATCAGGCTTGGAGTCTTCGAACTTGGCCGAGTCCAGCGTCTGCTCCATGGATTTCTCTGTCTTGACCTGCCATTTTACATCCTTAAGATTAGTATCCTCGTCGGTGCGATTGAACCAGATTTGTTTTCCCGACCCGTCGGTAAGCTTGAAGACTCGGCCGTCTTTGAAATTGTCGTCGAAGAAAAGAATAACGTCGGTTGCATTATCATCACCATCCACATCACTAGCGCCCCCGCCTACGGACTTTCCATCGTCGCCTTGTCCGCCGATACCTGAACCACTATTTGAACCATTCCCAGCCTCACGAGTAGGCGATGCTGGCGAATCTTGCAAATCCTCCATGTCGCCCGTATCTCGACCAGCTTGGTTGGCCATTCGCTCCATTCTTGAAGCAGTGAAAACAAAGTTGGGGCAGGTCTGAAGATTTCGTTTGTGTAGTTCGGAATACTGATCGATCCAGAGTTATCGCACGGTTCGTCCACTCATTCAATAGCCAGTACGTCCAAGGTCAGTCCTTTGTCGCGAATCGATCGATCGTTCCCGTGATACTCGTATGTCAAATATGGTACAGTCAGGCCTGAGCCAACCTCGGAGCACCAAAGGATAACTTTTTGGGATAATAAGCCCCTTAGGACAGAGAAACAAAGTCAACACGCCAAACAACGGGTAGCAGGCAGAAAACAAGAGTAAGGATGCTTATTAGAGGAGTTTCTTCCGATAGTGAGGTCGCAAGACGGAAGAGGGAAACTAGAGGGAAGGAAACAAAGAAAGTACGGAGTTGAGCAGGTCCAACGGGCGTGAGTGAGAGTGAGTGAGAGTGTCGTTCCTTCCTTTCCCTAGTCACATTGGACCAACCATACCAGCTCACTCCCTTGTTGTATGGGCTTTTGCTGCAGCAAGTGAAAGTGGTGCAGCCCTGGCTTGACCTGGCTTGACCCGACTTGGCCTGGATGGTTGCAAATGCAGCCCAGGGCGCCTGGCTCTAGGACTCTCCCATACGAAGAGTACATTGGAGGTACCTGCTGTGTTGATTCAGGGCACTCCGCTTTTCCCTAGCGGGTAGGCCAGGTTGTTTCTGCTGTCTACTGGGCTGGACGACAAACGGCTTTGCTCCATTCGCTAATATCAAGTCTGAAACGTTTTGTGAATGCACATGTTGGTTGCCGTCTATCCCGTGCATATTGTCTCTACTGTCTCTTTTTCGAGCGTTAATTGATTGCGCTGTGAGTACTCTACTGTGTTAGATCGTCCTTGTCCATCTGCCCCAGTGTTCCATGTAAGTTGTTGACTGCCAGAGAATCAGCCCAACTTACGGATTTTCAGCTGAGAGAGAATCACCAGAATGCTCCATGCCCGTTCTGGCTTGGGCAGAACTAGGGGGTGCGCGGACCCCTGAAACCACTTGTCGTTTGTCCAAGACCCTTGAATCCCGCCTCTACTGAGAGCCGAAGGGGGCCAGGGAGCTTCTGGGCTGAGCTCCCTGCTCCCTACTCCGTATCGACGGAGTACTTCTGTAAGCACTAATGGGGTTGGATTGGTGAGTCCGGAGCTGCCAACCATTCAGTGAAGGGAAATATTTAACGGGTGGATTACTATCGGGGTGAAATCCACATTTGCTTATGCTGCAGTTGGAGTTGTAATTATTTAATAGCCACGAACTTCTCAACCATAAAGTCTTTTACATGAAGGAGACATCTCGTGTACAAACACCTTCTCTTCTGATCAACGTTCAATAGTGGAGAGGCGGAGCAGCCCAACAGCTGCTCTAATACTGCTCTAGGCGTTTTCTGCCCTATGAAACGCCAACATTAGAGCACCCGCTGTTTTCGCGACTATTCTCCAATCGTTCAAGCCCGCTGCGGCTGACAGGATGCGATCTGCATGGAGAAACCAGACGACAAAAGGTACAAGCTCTCGACTTGTTAATGCGTGCGCTAGGTACCTTGCTTGACAAGGCTTTTTTGGTGGTTCGGCTCCCGTCGTCTTACACTTGATGGCGCTAAGCCCCGTCAGCCCCAAGCACCAAGATTACTTCCATCCATCGTTACGATCCGACAAATTTGATTTTGAGAGATGGAATTATTCTTATTACTTTAAATGCTATAGGACATCGGATTTGTGTGATATATCCTACATATCCATATCTGCCTTGTTCCCCATTGCTTCTGTAGAAGAGTGATTCAATCGTCTCTGCTGATCATGTCCAATCGCCACAATTTGATAGACCACCTTAGGATTCAAAGGATGTCTGACTGAAACCACTTTCTTCCTCTCTTTCATTATGTCTTCGCCCCCTCGGCCTTTTCTTCTCCTGGCCCAACCCCAACCAACTTAACGACGATCTCGCCTATTTTCTCACACATTTGCTCCAGCAATGAGACATCTGGACATGTCGGCTCTAACCAACAGCTGAGTCTCTCACACTTGGCGGGGCATCAACTCCTTCGCTATCACTCTCACGAGCACCAAATAATTAGACTAGACCATGAAATCTAGCTCAAGTACATGAACTTAATTTTTCAGCTGCTCTTGAGCAAAACCTCGGCTTGATATTCAACGCTCAGCCCCGACCGCTCGCTCATCCGTCTTACCCTAGAGACAACTAGTAATGCTCTTTAACATTTCATCAGTTGCACAGTCAATAAGTGTACCCAACTTCTTCATGGGCCATCCTCTGAAACACGTGTACTGTACTGCATACAACTGGTTGTGTAACTGCAGCGAACCAGCGCGTACAGCAACAGGCGCTATGTTAACAAAGATCGCCCAACGGTGGTATGTGTCCACCAATGTGCCGTTTATAGAAACGGTGATCTATCCAACACCATCTTGTAACGTGACACACTGACCAATGACTTGTTTCACACAGCAAATGCAGAGGCATGATTATTCGAATTAATTAATGCTTATTCTCCACCTTATTCTCCCTCTCGTCTTCGTCGTTGCTCATACTTACTACACCAGGTATTCCAAAGGTACTATGTATAATTCGATGCACCGTCCGATTTTAATTGCGCCTTCAGGAATGCAACAACATCCAAAATATCAAGCCTCATGTCAGGGATCTAAACTCAAAGCCAAGCTCAGAGTCAGACTCCAGGCCAAGAGGCTGATGGCCCCCAGCTGTCAACCTGTAAACGCCTGCGACTCAAAAACGTAACTCCTCATAGTGCCAACTTAAGCGAATGTCATTGAAATCTCCTTCTCCTTGCCAAAATCATCATCGTCCGAATCGCCCCATGGTTCATGCAATGTCATCGCAGGCAGCGTCTGCGCCGTTTTCATCTGTGGTCGAGTTGGTGTCTCCTCATTAGGCAGTGCCGTTGTCGACCGTGAATGATCGTCAAATGAGGTATCAAATGTCATTTGAATGTCGTCCTCATCGTGCCGGCCCGAGCCATATGTGTTGCCGTACCCCGACCCAGCCCCACCGCCATACGGCGAGCTGCACCCAGGCGGTGGTGATGGTTGTTTGGTGTAACTAGGCGTGTAACTGTGAGACCGCTCCTGTGAGCCTCTCGCCTCGTGCGAGTCTCGTGCTGTCGATAGGTCTGTCCGAGATTCTGCTCTTGAACCATTGGCAGCGACAGAAGGAGAAGCCGGAAGTGATGACACATCCAATTTCATCGGAGGCAGCGTTGACTTGATTTCCTTCACCTGGAGGTCTTCGGGGCTGGCGTAGTGATCCCGAGCATCCTTAGCAATTTCTGCCCGGATGGCGTCGATGTCGAAAAGCACACCAGTGTTGCTCTCGCCCTGATCCCCTTCCTTGGGCTTCTCTTTGGCTTCTCCTTTGTTCTTTGCGTCTTCGTAGATCTCCCAATCCTGCTTCCCTGCGTTCTTTCGTCGGCCAAAGAAGCTAAACCGCCCAGACTTCTTAGCCTTACCCTCCTTTTCAAGATTTCTGCGTGCCTCCTCGATCTCATTGATCAACTCTCTCTGTCGCACATTGTGATTGTCGGGATCCGGATCCTCAATTTCGGCAAACTCCTCGCTTTCAACGTACCACCCACACCTCATCAACAACGACGGCATCTTCTGACGATAGTCCATGTGACCATTGACAAGATCCGTCACGTCCATATTCTCAACAAAAGGGCATTCATCGATCGGAGCTAAACCTGCTACCCGGCGAATACCTCCACTTGTGAGTCGAAACAGATAACCAAGGATCCAGTCGTTCCGGTTGTAAGCATTTAAAAATCGTCCAGAAACCACAGTCTTGGCCTTGATATACTCTTCTTTCTTTACCACAATGGGGGAACCAAACATGTAGACGTTCTGAATGACACCAACGGCCCCTTTCTTGCTGAGCTCCTGAAGGCATGAGAAGACGACTCGCGCTCCAATTGAGAACCCAACCAGCGTAATCGGTCGGGTTCCTAGGTTACGTTCAAGCAGAGAATCTGCCAGAATTTTGCCGGCAGAAGTGGCTCGGTCCAGAGAAACAGCCCATGGGTTATCAATAAGATAGGAGAGCTTTGTCAGAATGATCGGTAGCTGGATAGCCGACATGAGAGCAGCCAAGATGGTCGTACCCAAAATTTGTTGAATACTTGATGTGAGGGCCTTGAAGAGTGTCAGTTTCATGCCTTATCAGGAATAGGGCAATGTCTACTTACCTCGGTAGCCAGGATGTTGATCGTGTCACCCATACTTCGAAGCATCTCAGGCTCGAAGAGCACTGAATAAAGATCGCCCATGACAGGGTCCACCGTACTGAAAGGCAATCGGACATCATCCACCTTACCCGTCAGCCACCCCGAAATGGTCACAATAAGATTAACCCGCTTGTTGTTGTGGAGGGGCCGGTATTCAAATGTCTTGACCGCACCGGTTCTTCGGTTCGCAGCCCTACCTCCAATGAGACTTCCTGATGCTGCTGCACCTGATGTGATGATGGCAGCGCCTCCAACACCACCAAGGAAGCTGCTAGTACCTGTCACTCCAACAGCTGTCAAACCGGTTGCCAAGCCAGCGCCGATGACAGGAGCGAGGAGTCCTGCTGAGAGACCAATTACTAGTCCACCGCCCACTGTAGCCAAACCCATCATGACATAACGTCGAGTTAATGCCTTCTTTCTGCGAGTTTCTGTATGCTCTTCCTCGTTCCAGTTCTCCTTTTCAGCAGCCTGCTGCATCTCTAGTGCTTCTGTAACCTTCTTCTCGAAACGGCATATATCGATCCATGTGATATCAAGGCTCTCACCAACTCGTTCCAGGAGAACTCTGGAGCGTGCATCGTAGATAGAATCGGCAATCAATAGCAGAAATAGATCACAAAGTACTGTCCACCGCAGATCGATGTCAAGCTTTGCAGTAGTAGGGAGTTGTGACGGCGTTTTGACATCGGTGAGCTCTTTGCCGTCGAGTGCCTCATATGGCGGTGGTACCTCTGCAGGTTTCTCGTCCAATGATGGGGTGCCTGGCATAGAAGATTCGCCATCCGCCATGGGGTTTGCTACTCGGGAATTGGTGTTGAGAGCTGGCGACAAGTCCTGTGACATCACTCCATGCTCGGCCAACTGTTCGATCATGATCTGCTCTGCTTCGTTGATTTCCATGTGAGCGTAAAGCCGAAGCATCATCTTTTGTCCCCACATCATCATGGATTCAACAGCAACGCCGACTTCTTTCTTTGTCTTTTTGAACGATTTCATCTTCTCCTCCCCTCTCACTAGCTTGACAATTTCCAGACGGACCAATCCAACGTATGCCACCTTTTGACCTTCTGTCAAGAGATCTTTAGTGGCTTGCATCTGTTCGACAGCGTCACGCCCCTCATCATCGTCTACCATGCTGGTTCCGTTTGTCTTCTTGAAAAGATAATTCGTGTTTTCGTCCATGCTCGTCGCGGACTCTGCATCGTCATCGAGAAAGACGCGGGTATAACCCTTTCCGGCACCACCGAGCCCTCCGTACTGGTATGATTCATCCTCCTCTGGGTCATATTCCTTGGCAACTAGTTTATCGTCGTCGTTGTACATATCGTATCGGGCGTAAGAGGGCATTTCCTGCCATTCAACTTCTTCTTCACCTTCATGTTTTTCTTCTGCTTTTGTAGAAACCTTTTGGTGAGAGAATTCGGAAACTTCCCCTCGTTTGGCTTGCGTCGGTGAAGCAGGAGCTGGGGTGATGTCGGCAGGCTCAGAAGACTCCTGCTTGCCCGTAGCTGCGTTGATATCCGCCGGCTTATGAGTATGCTCTGCCTCTGGTTTTGCCTCGGGCTGTGTCTCTGGTGTTGCGCCTACAGACTCTTTCGCCTTGCTATCATGAGGAGTCGTGCTTTCAGGTTCGACATGTGCCTTTTGTTCCTCAGACTTGGTATCGGTCAGTGTGGGTGACTCTTGGGCAACATTGGTTGCTTTCGAGGCAGGGACTTTGATGGGACTCGACGGTTCAGATCGAGCATCTTCGAAAGTGTCGCTCTTATCGTCATCTGTGACAGTGTCGACAGCAGGGGTTGTCGTCTGATGGTCGGTCTTGTCGGCCTTTGCCTCAGGGGCTATCGGTTGCTCACCGCCGGTGGCATCTGCTACTGGATTCGAGGTAGTCTTCTCTTCCGTAGATGTTTCGGTAGGTTCGTCGTTCTTTGGGGTCGGATACCGCCTGATGGGCAGGCCAAAATCGTCAACATTGGCTTGCGTAGTCATGATGCCTCAATATTGACGGGCTATGGCCTTGTTCAGTCTCCGCTCAGTGGGCTTGACGGAAAGGGTATCTTCCACAACGAGGAACAGAAGTCGAGCAAGAGATACACTGGGTGGATGAAATGCGCGTCGACGGAATGAATCGAAAGGGCCGAAGGTCTCTCGACGACATTCGACCCAAGAGTGCTGGGAACGGATTGATCCTTCTGGTTCCTGTTTTTAGGTTGAAGCCGGTCACGAGTGAGACGAGATGATGTAAGCGCTCTACTGTGAGATGCCACACCCGTATCGAAGATCTAAAAGTCGAGATGTTGTAAAAGGGTGGGCTTGTTGTTCCCTCGTCCCTCTATTCCAGAAACGAACTCCTATTGAAGTGGATAACTTAGAATCCGACTTGACATTTACTCTGAGTGGGGGTCGACCCATCCCACATGAAAAGATGGCTGACGGGAGTCGAAAGCGGTTGGTGACCCCCCTTGTGGTCCTAGCTGCCAGTGCATGGCGGGACACTCACTAAATTCAGATGTCTTTAGTGGACTGTAGCTTTGGTGCAGGGCACCCATGTCGATGATGCAGGGGTTTGTTCTTGTCATTCAGATCCATATGTCCAAGCCAATTCTTCTACATGCCCTCACGCGACCGTTAATATTTCTTCATCGGGCCATGTTCCACATTGACGTGAACTGGCTTGCGCCTCCTATTCAATTGGTCCTCAGGGTAGTATTCAAGTTAAGCCAATGGCTAATAAATCACTCTGCCAATTAAACTGATGCTGTTGTGGACTCTTAACCACTATATCCTTTTTGGCGTCCCTTAACTTCTTCGCAACTCATACATGCTTTCGGGTATCGCTAACGGCGCACGCTCCCTTCGATATCCACTACCTGCTGCGTTCGCACATTTCCTGGGGATTGGCACGTGGTACTATTAGCATTCCTGTCCACAGGATTGTAAGTCTGCCCGCCACTTTGCTAGACTCCTCAGGCTTCCGCTGTGATCACTTCGGCAGCAGCAGTATCCGCTCCGTCGCCGTCTTCCGTCGCCGTGGCAGTCTTGTTCCGTCTCCGCCTCTTTCGCTTGCCGGTGCCTTCTTGTGGGTTTTCTTGGGCCTCGGACGCTTCCTCTTTCTGAGATTGCTTTCCTTCAGTCTTTGGCTTTTTCGCTTTTTGAACCGCTAAAGGATTGGGTCCCTTGGGGCCATGTCCCTTCTTCTTTTTCTTCTTTTGGTCTTCAGTAGTCTCGTCGACCTTCTTTTCGGCCTTTTCAGCGTCGTCGCCTGCATCCTCTCGCTTTCGCTTGCCGATAGTGTTCTTGATCTCTGCTCGGAACTTGCTTCGCTCTTCCTTCGCTCGCACCTGGACGCTCTCATCGGCCATAGGTTCGAGAATCATGACACTCCTCTTGATATAGATGAGGGGAACTCCTCTGATGCCTCGTAGCATCTTTCGTACCTCCTGATCCTGGCTGGCAACTACGTAGCGATGCTTGTTTTGAAGCGTATCCTTCGGGTCGACGACTGATCGAAGACAGTCTTGAGTGCTCAGGGGCTCGGGGTATTCGTTGGGGTGATGGCCGCATCGTCGTCGTTCCAGGGTCTTGGCCAGATCGATAGCCTCGTGTGCGCCTGGATCGTTTCGAGCTGCGTAGAGCTTACGGATTTCGCATTGAGTGATCACTGACTCAGTTAGCAACTGACCATAATAAGCTCGTTGTCAAGACATACTGGGCTTGACTTTGCCGTGGACAGTCCTTGAGAGGGCAGGCTCAAGATCCATCTTACACTTGGAAGAATCTCTAACCATTTCCGCATCGACTAGTTATTGTCAGCTTCGTTCAGACCTGCGCATCTTGCGACAACTTACCTAGGACCTGGTAGGGTTCGCGGAAGCCGAAAGTCTGGGAGAATTGCTCCATGAGCTTCCGGTATTGTTTTGACCTCTTTCCTCTCATCTTGAATGATTAATCTTTATAATTTGACAATGCAGTTGTTGCGCAAACTTGCTTAAACCAAATGCGACGACAAAGTTGAGGTTGACAGAAAATAAATTTCCTTATCGCGGCACGTGCGATAAGCTGGACGCGACCCGCTACCTTGCCCGTGCCCCGCCATTCCGCTTGTCAGGTCACCACCTTGGGCTTAATAAATGATGAGAGTGTTAATCGGTATTTTGGTTCACAGTGAGTTTACATATGTCTTTCATTTTGTATTAGATAACTTGTTCTATGTATGCATGGCGACTCTCTCTCAGAGCCATATGTGTTCCGTCCCATCATTAAGTCATGTAAATATATACCATATGTCGCTAGTCTACTGTAAGTTGTTCAGACGTCTCAGTTGTCCTGCAAAGAGACCACTATCAGCCCTCGTTATTCACACAGAGGGCTGCGACAACACTGATGTCGTCGAGTTTACCTGTTGGTGTTAGCTTGGCCTCCCTCTATTAGGTTCAATATGGCTTTGATTGTAACTCACCACCTTCGCTTGCCAAGCCTTCCTCGATGGCACGTTCCATGAACGGGCTTTCAGCGAAAGGATCTACAGCGATTTCTCTCGCTGCCTCCATGAGATCATTAGCTGCAATCCTCATTCCACCATTGCGACCACCAGTTCGGTCACCCTTATGAGCTTCCGGGTGTTTTCCAGATTCCCACTCTTTAACGCTTTTGAGTACCGTCGCAACAATCTCATGCTCCCAAAGATTATCGATAACTCCGTCGCTCATCGCAAGTACAACATCCCCAACTTCCAAGTCGATCTTGTCCATTACTGCATTATTGTTTGGCGTATCAGGGCTGTTGGTTCCAAGCTGTCGCGGGCAATCAAACCAATGCCATTGCTCCACCGTCTTGTATATAACTTTTCCAATGCTGGGTCGTAGAACCATGACCTGGCAATCGCCCAGGTTGGTTACATACAAGACTGGCGATGTGCGCTCTTCATTTTCGGCGCAAGTTTTGTAATGTAGTTGTGCCCCACAAGCAGTCGTTGTCCCTAACCAGTCTTGTGATATCGTCGCCTCGAGAGTTTTGTCGTAGGCACTTTGTAAACTGGCAATGGGGTTGGGTTCTCGGGTTTCTCGGGACTCTTCTTCGATTGCAGAGGACCAGAAATGCAAAATCAGTCTCGACCATAGCCTACATCCAAGGTCAGCGATTATTGTGAAGAGGTTCGGAAGTTGTCCGGCGCCTTACCCGGCATGCCCTCTCGGCCTTGTGGCCCACGCTCCCACTCCGTCGTTGGCACAAATAAAATAATCGCTCGCGTAAACAGCATCGTCACCATTTGTTCTGCCTCTGATGAGTTGCCCGTTGACAAACGCACGGCGGTCGCGACTCTGGTGATGCGTACTTAGAGGATCCGTAAATGATGTAGATGGGGGGGAAAGAAAAGGCGGCGGAAATGGACGAGGCGGTCGTTTCGCAAAGAGACCTATGCCAGTTTCGAACCGGAAAGGCAAGATAGGGACATCATCTGAAAGGTGAGTTGTCGCTGATGCGAACCCTCTCTTGCGACACGGGCGCCATGTCAAGCGTGCCAGGCGTCGCACCGGGAGCGATGGTAGGAAAGATGTCGGGACAGCCGCCAGAATCGAGGATGGTTGAATGGGCATTCCAGCTATACAAGCCTGGATCTGCCCAGTTTTGAAGGTGCCTGGCCGCAACCTGTGGTGAGATCGCTTCTATGCTCTCAGGTGCTCTCAGGTCGGAGATGACCAAAGATTGGATCTCCAAGAAGAGTAATCAACAAGTACAGAGAAAAGATCGGACCGTTGGGGATTTGCAACTACATCTCAGACACGTGATAAGTCCGATACCGCGCCGAAGACATGGTCTTCCAGAACGGGCAGTTTTTGAGTCAAAGCAACCAATGATTTACAAACACTATTATTCTCCCGCAGGAACCCGAGCTGCTTGTTGACCCCAACCGCAAGCGACACCGCTAAGTTGGACTAATGGTGAAAAAATGAGAAGCAAATCCCCCCTATTTACGCCCTTGAAGCAATTCAATCTTTGCGGTTGGCCTGCTGTTCTTGTGAAAACCCAGCGCAGAAAGGGGATGCGCCTCGGTGATCTTCCGTGAGAGTGACTGGCACCTAACAGTAGTAATGCATCAACTACAATAAATTTTGGTAAACACTCATAACCAAGCACACTCATCAAGAGTTCAGCACTTACCCTATCGCATTATTGTCCAGGAAGAACCTGAACCTAAACCAGGGAGAGACAGATGGACCGCTGTGGAATCAGGAGCCTGGCATACGGAGTACTTGCAGGACAAGCGGGCTAGTTAACGACATTGAAGCGATACTGAGAAAAGCAATTATGAAACGAATGAACACTCTGTCAATAGAGACTAGATTCCAATTGACAGCAATGAAACAGCATTCTCGAATCTTATGACTAGGTCATGTGTCGCAGTCACGCTAATAACACTGATGGCGAATATGAATGGCTTTGTCCTGTAGGCACCACGTGTTGGCGCTATGAAGAGACAAGCATTTAGACTACACGTCATGAAACGAAACACGACCTGACAAAAATAAGGTGTGCCCAATCTGAGAGGTTGCCGCACCTTGATCAAACCGATCTGGAGGACCAACCCAATCACAAATCCCATGCCAAGAGACCTGTAAGCCTCTGCCAACAAGGAGTCATGCGCCATGGCCCTCCACTACTGTGAATCATCGTTCAGGAGGCATTCATGACGCATTTTATTGAGACATTTAATTATCCATGATGTGTTTTTGACGTCTCCACGAGGAGATGAGCTAAGTTGGTGATAGTGTCTTTAACCAACGCTATGGATCCAATCTCTTGCAGCAGGATCCGTATCAGAGCTCATGACGTAGTAAGTTGGAAGCAATCCATCCTCGACTGAGCCTGCAGAGGCTCATTTCCTCATTGGGAGATTTCGCGATCTTCCTGCGGACGTGATTCTGCGGACTGCCAGATGGCGCAGTAGCGCTACTAGCTGGCATGACGATCTGCGGCTCTTGGGAGATGAGCCATGATATTATATCCATCTGCCATGAGTTGTCGGCTCTTCAAATGCCTGACGATCAAACGAAGTGGATCTGGCCGATCATACGGGGCCTTGCAGAGCCTGCGGTTGTATCGAATCTCATCCATCATCCGTTGCAGTTAACTAGGAACTTTGACGTGAGACGTGGGGACACTACGGCAGACTGTACCTAATCACAATCACAACTACATAACACAATCTGCACTTCATTCCCCATTGTTTGACGCGCAAGCTCCCGAGTCGCTCGGCGCATACGCACCAAAGAATCAAGTTTAGCCGCCTACGTAAAACAAACACCCCGTTCTGGTTGTAACATTCAATTGTATCGTATTATGCTGGCGGCTGAGTGAGCATTAGAACATGGATGATGCATGGCCAAGAGGAAGCCGATGTTGCCGGTTGGGCAATTCATCAGATTTTCGCCTTGACTTTTATTCATATGGCGCCTCAAAAGCTAAGCTATACGTCGGGGCCAATAAGAACGCGCCGTATAGATAAACACCAAGTGCTTGGCATTATGCTCATTATATGTATGGAATTCAAGAGTCGGTCTGTATATTTGCTGTACGCGTACCAAAGTACTGTACTTCGGCCTTTCTTGTCCGTGAGTTCCAAAGTCAAGGTTGTCTTCTCCAGGTTTTGAGGACCCCAACTTAACGTGACCCCTGTCCGGCTGAACCGGGCTGGGTGTCTCCTTGGAGGCCTAAAAGCGGGAGTCTGCAGAGCCCAGGGACATGCCGCAGAGCCGTACATTGTAGAAGGCCGTGGCTTAGGGAATGGCCTGACATTACGGTGTTTTTCATGAAAAGATATTACATACATAGTACTCCGTACAACCTGCACAAACTACCTAGACCAGACTGTTTATAGCTAGAGCACTCTGTGCTTCAAATGGGCATCGGCCTGCAACCCCAGGACCTCAGTATGCCAAGCTTTTTCAAGACCCCAGATAAACTGCTCAGAACCCGCTTATACGTAGAACAAGTCTCCCAATGGAACAAGTGGCTTGACGCTTACGCATATTGTCGAGCAGCACGGTGGAGTTGAATCACCAAGAGGATATCATATTGATGGTGAGGCTTGGCTAGATACTATTGAAGCAACACGAGCGTGAGCTTCCTAGCTTAGCTTACCTAGCTCCATGGCACGGTATGGTGCAATTTTGTCGGTATGGGACGGGCCCAGGGCTGTATCCGCAACAGGGCGAAACCATTGATCGCAATCGGAGTGGCTGGCTTCAGGCCACTGACACGCATCTAATGGATCCAATGGACGACGAACGGCCGTGGAGACGGCGTTAACGAAAGCCCTGATGTGAGAAAGATGGCGTTAGTGACGAGTCTTTGGCTGGGATATTCCATTTATTATCCACTTCGCAAACTGCCCATCGTTGACGCCGTTCTACGGGCAGGACGGGCCAGACGGGCTCTGGAGCGGGAACATCTCAGCCACTGCCCTGTCTGTCTACTGCCGGATATTCGTTTAATACTGGCTCACGGCCTCACGCTGTGGATGAAGAGTGATCAGCGGTAAATACTGCAGGTACCCAGGCAGCCAAGCTACCAAGTTACCTATTTTGTAACTTACCAAGTCGAGAGGAATCTGACAAGATTTGTCGCGATGCTACCTTATCTCTGCTGCGCCGCGAGTTCCAACTTCCAAGGCTGGCGAACGTCAGTCAAATCAGGTTGCGTGCTCGAATACCAAAATAAGATAGAGAGGAAGTAGATCCAAACAAAGGCATCTCTGTATGCTGATACCAGTAATAGCTGGCGCCAAGCAACCTTACTCAAGCCCTGATGCGCGCAGGCTCCTCTCATGTTGCACTACGCATGTCTCCGGATCTTGGCTCGGTCATAGACAACTGCACCAGCGTCAGTATGATTGGGTGTCATCTTTTCACTCCCATTGCTACCCGTAACTCGAACCGCCCATCGAGCAGCTCATAACTCATGAGAGGCATGTTACGAAACAAAGGCCTGTCGTAGAAGCTTACGATTGATTCTTTGTGCCTCTCTAAGCTCTATGTATTTTCTATTTTTGTCTGGTGAGGATGAGACAGTCAATTTGAAACTGGCCATCATGGCAAGTATATAGAAACCCACGATCCCCTGCCATTATGGCATGCATGTTGCGATCCTCCCTGTTTCTCACGGCATCCACGACTTTTGTCTATCTCCTTGATTGTCTTATTTGTGTTTTCGCTTTCGCTTCGAATCTCTTGGCTCACCGCGACTTGGCTTTCATTACTCGGTGTGCAGTAGAGGAAGTGCTAAGAGGGTCCTCTTAGTGAATTGAGGGTGTCAGTTCTAGACTTATTAGACTTCTCGCCCAGACTACGGCCGGCCGCTTGGGCTAGTGACGTATGCCATTGATCGGGCCCATCAGCACTCAAATCGTCCATCGCAAATCGGTTCATTGTCGACAAACCTGACCATCTTGGACGGGTACGCGGCTGCAAGAAAAGTGAATATTGTATGCAGGCGAGCAGCACAGGCAAGCAAGTTAGCAAGCAAACAAACAAGATTCGCCTAGGCCGGGACTCCAGTTAATTGCTCCGGAAAGACTCCATCTCGAGCTCAAAGCTGCTCATACGGAGGGGCACTTATCAGAAAAAAAAGGGACCCCCGCGCTGGCCGGAGATCGCAGCAACTGAACCTGGCTTGAGGCTTGTTGTTGGTCCTCTTTTTTTCAAGGAAACCTGCTCTTGACGTTTTTGATTTCTGGGGCCCTGCCAGCCTCTCATATAGATTTAAATAACCAAGCCCGCCAGTTTGGGAACCTGGAAAAGACGTACGCATCGAACGACACGTCTCCAGCTATATCTTCACTAACAGCCCGACTCAGACAACCCGGGGCGAGCAGTCACTACCAAAGAAAACGCCATCTATTTTACCGCCGCCTTCCGAGCGACGATCTTCCCATCACCGCCGACGCCGGACTCCGCGTATTCGAAGTATCACGGCCACAGTTTACAGCAAATTACCGACAGCCCCAGAGCCAAGACCTGCATCGCCTACCTATCGCTGTCGTTTATCAAGGCACTGCAGTCGCGTTTACGGTAATTCTCATTCACACCTGGCTGGCCATCCTTGGCTGGTTAAAAGTAGCAGGTACTGACTGATATGTCAGTCGCCCGAAGCATCCGTATCTGCATCCGCATCCGCACCCGCCGTAGCACCACCTTTGAATGGATACGTCCCGGCACCGAATTCTAAAGGGAGTCTAGAGTCTGGAGTCGCACGTACAAGAAGCGCCCACCTCACCTACATCTGAATCGTATTGCAACGCAAGGGCCTGTTCTTTTTCTTCCTTCTTCCTTCACCCTCGCTCTTTGAACTTCGGATTCGCCCTGGTCTTGGTAGGCCTAGCAAAACAAGCAAGTCCATCTGGAAATTACGGTACCAAGACGTCGTCAGTGTTCGTGGCTGGCGCAGCTCTTCATCTCTCGGGACATCCCTTGCGCAGTCGAATCGGATCATCGATCAACTAACCCATTTCTTCTCCCTTTTGTTCTCTTCAGCTTGAACAGGCGCGAATTGGCTCGCTTGGTTGTTTTTATTATTTTAATTTTTGTCTCAGAAGCTCCCTCCGGTCAGGACGACCATTGTCAACAAGATGGGCCGAAATCGAGGTGCGTACCTTTACACATTGTGCATTCTTGAATCCCATTCCAGTTCCTGGGTCTTGCTCGTATACGCTGTAATGCGGTTCTTGCGTTGCGCCCCGACGTGCACACCGAAAAAGACAGAAGATGGCGCTAGTGGCTCACTGGCCCTTGCCCTGGTGTTTGGTCTTGGTGGACACCCTACCAGCTGGAGACTTTTACGAACAGTGCCTACCTACGCTGCAACATCGGCCGCAGGGGGTCGTTTATGGGTACCTCCTCATAGCGGCGGGGACCACGAGTTCCACTGTCCGTTGACGTGTGGTGGCCCCAAAGTGTGCCCTTGGCTAGTCCGTTCATCTAGGGGTCCGAGTCTTCTTGGTTCGGGACTCAAAGACTGGACGGTACGAGCTGGGTCGTCATCTCCAGTCCCAGGGGGCTGCATGCCATTGCCATTCCACTCACTATATCTCACCTCATCCCGTCCCTTGCTTTGGGCTAACTCGTTGGTGCAAATACTTAGTTCTTTCGTTTATGTCCCAGTTCTCTGCGGGCACAAAGACACCTCCGCCTTCGACCTCTCCTCCTTCAGATTCGCCTCACAGACCAGGACATCGCAAGACCAATTCCGGCACTGAGCCTTTCCCCGATCACCGAGTCAGTGCCGACATCTCTCGGCCAAACACACCGCCTTCGCGGCCAGATTATGGCACACCTCTAAACGGTGGATCTCCAATTGAACCATCTGCCCGTCGACGACGAAGTTCATCTGCTGCTTCTTCACGACCCCCGTCAATGGTCCTGGGTCATCAACCAGCCATCATGGATATTACCGAGGACACGATCCCCGAGCTTCAGCCCATCTTTTCTTTTCTCAACAGCCACTCCAACAAACTTTACCAGGAGGGTTATTTCCTCAAACTCGATGACCAGAATACACGTATGCATAACCTAGCTCCCGCAACCGCTTCGTCCATTCCCTTACACCAAGTACCCCCTGCCACCCAGGCGGCTCCACATTCTACCATCCAACTATTCACACGTGCAAAGACATCCAGCTAACCATGCATCAACAGAGGGTAAACCCAACCCTGATAGAACCTGGACTGAGTGCTTTGCCCAGCTCGTAGGAACTGTTCTGTCACTATGGGACGCCGGGGAGCTCGATGCCGCCGGCGAGGATGGCGAGGTGTTGCCCAAATTTATCAATTTGACGGATGCTTCAATCAAGATGGTAATTAGCCCTCTCACGTGCCGATCATGCATCTTCTCTGGACTCAGCTGACACAAAACCTCACAGATCGAGTCGCTACCTACGAGGTCTGCTGATGAACAACCGCTACAGAATATCTTGAGTATCTCCACAGCTGGAAGAAACCGATATCTGCTTCACTTTAACTCCCGACACTCGTTGCTCCAGTGGACTGCTGGTATTCGCCTTGCTATCTTCGAGCATTCGTCCCTGCAGGAGGCCTATACTGGCGCTCTCATCGCTGGAAAGGGCAAGACCCTCAACAACATTGGTGTCATCATGGAGAGGGCACGATTCCCTACCGAAGAATGGGTTAGAGTCCGATTCGGTGCTGGTGTACCCTGGAGACGATGCTGGTGTGTCATCACCCCCCCTGATGAGAAACAGTATGCAAAGCTACAGAAGGAGCTCAAAAAGAGGTCTGCTTATGATCGATCTCCTGTCCCTACGCTTAAGGGAGACATCAAGTTTTACGATCAGAGGAAGGATGGCAAGAAGCAGAAGAAAATGCAGCCCATTGCGACAATCACCGATGCCTACTCGGCATACGCAATCTACCCCCAGAGCAAGAACTTGATTGATGCGTCGACTCTACTCAAGGTCGAGGGCAACATCGATATTCATACCGACCCACCCTCCTCCACCGAGGGTTTTGTCTTTATCATGCCCGAGACTCGTCCTGCTGTTAGTGGATTCGAGATGTTGTTGCGTTTCCTCTTCCCTACCTGGGACACTTTTGGTCTTTATGGCCGACCTGGAAGACTCGTTGCTAGTACACTTGACTCTCGATCGCTCATGTTCGCCATGCCTAAGAGCCGGCGTTATGGTTACCTCGAGAATCTCGATGTTTCGAACTTGATCCTTGAGGACGGTAGTTCAGGATGGGGTGAGCGAGACTGGCGGAAAAAGCTGAAGGAGTCCACTGGAACTCGTATGAATGCCGTTGACGATAGTCCTACAACACGCTCTCGCAGTAACAGCCGAAAGAGTGTCAGACTGAGCTTTGGTGATGGGCCTCCGAAACCCAAGAGCGGATATTCCGATCAACAAGTTCCCACTCGGTCCTCGCGATCTTTCTCTCTTAGTGAACGCACCCGAACAGATTCGGCTCCTGCAGATCCCGCACGCGTTGCCCTCGGAGGACATGGTCGTAATTCTTCCGATCCCAACCAGCTGGGTGGCCCTCCTTTCCGTCCGGATGCCAACGGTAACGGTAACAGTCCTTACTCGGGCTCACCACAGCGTGGCCAGACTCCTGTCGGCGCTCCTTACCAGAACCAGGTTTCCCGTGATCTGAGTCCTGCCTACCAAAACGAAAGACCCTCTGGTTCGCCTCCTCTGAAGGATTTGGATGGTATGCGACAGATGCACACTCCTGAGCCTGTTTCGCGACCCCCTGCCTTCAACCATGGGTCCCAGGCTCGCCCCGTCAGCAGGGCTTACCACTCTCCGGAGCTCAGACGGGCCAACAGTAGGCTTTCAGTTACTACCCTTGCTCAGCTAGCTACAGCTGGAGGCTTGGGTGAACAGAATGGTTCGCAACCCTCTGCAAGGGAAGATGAGGTGGACACAAGATCTGGACCATCGGTACTGCCACCACACGCCAACTCCGTAGGGATATCTGCTAACGACAACCGTTCGCGTGAAGGTTTAAACCTACCGAATCAGGATCCCTCTTCCAACAGTCTACCCCCTCCGGCCAACTTATCCCAGCAGCGATCCCGATCACCACTAGCCCAACCCCCTCTTGGGTCGCCTAATCCTTACGGCCGCGGGCCTAATTCGCGTCCTGGAACCTCGGAAGGTCGACGGTCCCCGATGCCTCCTGGTATGCCCCCTCAACAGCGACCTCCTCACCCCCAGAACACCAACCGTCGACCTGACATGGGTCCAGACGGACGTCGCCCTTCAGATCCCAGACGCCCTGGACCTGATGGACGACGTCCTTCTGACCCTCGAGGTCCTGGTTTTGATGGGCGCAGGCCTTCCGATCCCCGAGGCCGTGGCAATGGCCCGCCTCCGGGATACGGACCTCCGCCTCCTGGTGGCCCCTATGGTAACTACCGACCTGGACAAGGCCGTCCACCTGGTCCCCCTGGCCCTCAGGGTCCGCATGGACCGCCTGGTTCACGTCCGAATGACCCACCAGGACAGATGACGCATCGAAAGCCCGTCCCAGGACCGCCTGGTCAAGGACCACCTGTTCAAGGACCACCTGCCCCGTTCGACAATAACAAGGGAAACACCATGTCCGGCAGCAGCGCAATCACTACTAATGAGATTATCGATCACTACGCTTATGACCAAGGCCGCCAGACTCCTCGGGAAGGAACACCCAACTCCGACAGGCGACCACCACCTCCTGACAGGCAGGAAAGCCATTTGAGTAATCAAAGCAGTCACTACGACGACAATTCTCCCACTAGTAGCCTCAAGAACTTCGTGGATACTTATCAGTACAGCGAACCAAAACCGCGAGCCGGTGTTCTGAAGACTGTTGGCGGCGCCGAGGAATTAGGGCCCGGAGATCCTGGTTATGGTATTCCAAACATCAACTTTGGCCCAACCATCAACTACGCAGCCACTCAAGATCGCAACAAGTCATCGACCTCGCAAAGACCACACACGCCAGGAGGCCAAGGACCAACCCCCCCTCCACATAAGTCTTCTGGATCCCAAGGATCCCTTGGTCGCAATGAGTCTCCAGACCCGAAGCGCACTATGGCATGGCAGCCAGGCACATCAGCCCCCTCCCCCGGCTCTCACGGGCTCAGCGCGGAAGAGTTTGTACAGCAGAGGGCAGCCCATGTCCGGAGCGCATCTAGCAACACATTAGGCGGCCGATCCGGCACACCTAGTCCAGGAATGAACCGAACCAATTCTTCCGACATGCTTCAAGCTGTTCAGAACGGTCGGCACTCTCGGAGCAGTTCCGCCGATTTACTCTCGCGGCCTGGATCAAGGGGTGCTAATTCCAGTCTGAACTTTGCAAGCTCCGGTGAAACCTCAAGTCACCTCAGTGCACGGGAACAGGAACATGTTGCACGTATAACAGGCCAACCTTTGATCAACATGCCAGCCCACCAGAGACAGGGGTCCCAGGGCCCTTACACGCCTACTCATCAGAGACAAGCCTCGTCAGGCTCTGGCTTAGTGGGTGCCATCGAAGCTCGGGAGAGGGAGAAGCAACACACGAAGCAGGGAATGAACAGTCAAGCAGTTCAGCAGGCAATCAACCAACGCCAGCACCAACAGGCAGCTATGGCCTACCAGCAACAGATGGCCCAGCAACAAATGGCTCAGCAACAAATGATGCAACAGCAACTGGCCCAACAGCAACAAATGGCATATCAGCAGCAAGTTCAGCAGCAACAGAACTTCCAGCAAGGATACCAGCAACCCCATACGGGTACTGGTAATATGCCCGCATATAGCCCCATGGGTCAACCAGCTGGGCAGTACACGCCCGGTGGATCGCCGTACGGTGCAGTACCTCAACAAATGGGCGGACATGGGCAGGCTAGCAGCTTTTCGCGTCCTATGCGAGCTGCACAGCAGGTTGATCCACGTTTTGTGCCGCCGCAAGGTCAATACAGCCCAGCATCAGGAACTCAGCAGAACCCTAGAGGCGTTCATCCTCAGTATCAAGGACAAGCTTTTTAGTCGGATTGGCAAAGGGATTTTATTAGCCACTACATGATTTAGTTGATAAGGATTGGATGATTATCGCGCGATACGAAGTAAGCAAGGGGCGGGAGCATACATCACATGGCGTTTAGGATATGGGAAGATGCAATGATTTGGCGGCAACAGGTTGAAACAGCTTGCATACAATACACTCTTGGCATACAACGAGATAGCTGCATTATCTTTGGGTGGGTTAGCATACTTGGATATAGATGCGTTTTAAGTCCAGCATACAATATTTTCATTGCCTCGAATAATCATTCTTTATATAAGTGATGTTAATTGTTGGTGAAACAAACCCTGTGTATATTTATGACTAGGTATGCTGCAACCAATATCTTTCAACGAAGCATAATTCCTAAACTCAATTACATATCGATACAATGACACACCTAACCTTCAAATTAAAGAATAAAGAGAAGGAACAAAGAACAAAGAAAGGAAGAGAAGAAAAAAAGGAAGGAAAATAAAAATAAAAAGGAAAAAGCGGACAATTATTGGCTCATGGTGAAGCGTGTACTACGTTGAGACCTTTGAGCAGGCGTCGCTGTCCAGTGACTTTGCTTGACCCACTCATCTGTGAAGGCGAACCTCGAGGACAAACGTTGTTGATAGGCGCCTGACGAACTGATGTAGATTCTTGTAACTTGTAGCTTGTTGGCTGTTATTGTTAGAAAAGTGACAAGGCGCGTGACTTCAACGCGCCTCGAGTGTCATTTTGCACGCGCCCGCGTTACACGTAGAGAACGTGATGTGACCTTGTTTTGTTAAATCAGATGAGCCCATCTTTTTTTTGTCTCCCTTTATAAACTTGGTTGCTGAGGCATCCGGGAGCTGTTTCCTCTACCTGTGAAGCAAGGGGCTGTCGTTGGTGATCGCGGCAGTCAAACGGCTTCTCCCCGCTGTGGTATTTGCCTTGAACGGGATTTATCAGCCTGGGAGCGGTCACTAGAGGGTGCCTAATTCCCAGCTAATTGACAACGTGATAGGCCAGCTTGACAGTGGTAACCCAGATTCCGATTGATATCAGCCAACCAGCGTCAGCAGTGACCCTTGAGGGAACCGTCTGTCGTGACGTCCCTCGTCCCTGCCCTGCCATCCAATACTTGAACCTCAAATGTCCTTGTCGTTTCTTTTTCCACTACGTCCCCCTCTCTTGGATTCTTGATTATTCCTCAGCCTACTCTTATTCTTTACTTTCTTGCACTTTGGCATACATCATTTACTCACCGAAGCTTTGCACGACATACATCGTCCACTCGTCCATACCGAGACACTCAAACCCCGGGTTGTCCTACCACTTCTAAAAAGTTACCCTAACCTGACCTGCGCCTGCGGCCTCTCAACTTCAACCATTTGCGCCCGTGATCCCCTCGAAAAACCTTGCGACCTGCCTCGACTTGGCCTTCATTCACTTCTATAACGGCAGTCTTGCATTGCTTCGCAGCGTAGGCTGCTCGGGTCGCCCCCAATGGACGGCGACGAGCCCACGCAAGGTATGCCATGTCCCCTCTATCCCAAACCTCCTCGCCAAGCTGACCTCCTTCTGGAAGCGACGCAGAATGTCCTCGATCCGCGCCGCGTAGGAAAGCAGAACTCGGGCTTTTCAGACGAAGACATCTCCGACATAATATGCGTTCTCTACCCACACTCCGATTCCGCCCGCATCGAGCTGGAACGTCTAGAGTCCGAACACTCCCCTCATATCATTGGGAAGGATGAAGCCGACGGCGTCGAACCCGATTATGCCTTGGAAGACCAAGCCGGCCGTTTTCTTGCCAACCCGTCCAGCAACGGCAGTCATGCCATTATTCTTCGTTTGTCGTCGCAACTCAAGAATCCGTCCGCCGGTTTTGTCTTTGGCCGCAACCCGATGAGATGCGATGTTGTATTTGTCAATGACCCCTTCAAGAGAGTCAGCAACATTCACTTCCGAATCTACGTCAACGAATACGGCACAGTAATGATCGAGGATCAGTCAACCAACGGTACCATAGTAGACGACAACGTTCTGACATTCAATCCGCTAGCCAAGGGAAGAAGCGACCCGCCTATCATGAGATATGTTCTTAGTTCCGGCTCGATCATCAAGGTCTACCTACATCATGAGGCCAGAGATTTGACGTTCCGTGTCCGTATACCAAGGCGCGACAACGAGTACGATCAAGCATATACCGACAAAGTTGAAGATTTCTTCACTCGCCACAAACTTAGACGCTTAAATGAGACCATAACCGCTGGGCCTAATGGCCACGTTAATCTTTTCAAAGATCCTCAGACTCCGTTCAAGAGAGAGGAGACACGCGAGATCACTCAGCCTAACTCGCGGACATCTCAGAAGAGGAGAGAAGCCAATCGAGAATGGACAGGCTCCGGAAAGTACAACAGAATCGGATCGATCGGGAAGGGTGCCTTTGCGGTTGTTCACAGGGTCACTTCCAAGTACGACGGTTTGCCATATGCCGCGAAAGAGATCGAGAAACGTCGATTCATAAAAAATGGTGTGCTGGATCAAAAGGTTGAAAACGAAATGAAAATCATGAAGCGAGTTGAACATGTGAGATTAGCGCCCTTTGTATAGCCCATGTTATCATTGCTAACCTCTCTTTCATAGCGCCACATCGTTCGCTATATGGAGCACTTTGAGTGGGATGACCGATTGCTTATCATCATTATGGAGTTCGTCCCTGGCGGGGATCTGGGCAAACTCATCTCCGACCAGAAGGCATTGAGAGAGGATGTTGTCCGAACCATGTCAGGGCAGCTTCTGAGTGCATTGGGATACCTTCACGCCAACAATATCACCCATCGCGATGTCAAGCCAGACAACATCCTCATCAACTCTCTCAACCCAATTGACCTCAAACTTACCGACTTTGGCCTGTCAAAAATGGTCGATAGTGAACAGACCTTCTTGCGAACATTCTGTGGCACCTTGCTCTACTGCGCGCCTGAGGTATACACAGAATACTCTGAGTATGATGATGATGGCGTGCGTAGTCGGGGTAAGAAGATGAGGCGCCCCCCAGGTCAGAGATACAGCCATGCTGTTGATATTTGGTCTTTGGGTGGTGTCTTGTTTTATGCACTGACTGCGTCACCTCCTTATCCCGTTAAGAGCGGCATCAGTTATTCCGAGCTGTTACACAAAATCATGACTACCCGATTGAACATTTCGCCCTTACAACGAAATGACGTGTCAGAGCAAGCTATCGACTTCCTTTGCAGAATGCTTCAAAGACGCCCAGAAAACCGAGCGACAGTGACAGAACTTGAAGGTCACCCGTGGGCTACCGGTGTTGAGTCGATAATTAGCGCCTCGCAATCCTTCGACGAAATCTCTGATGACGATATGTTTGACAATTTTTCTCAACTTCAGGCCCGCCACTACGAAGAAGACAAAGTCAGTGACTCTGCGGACGAAGATTCGGACGAAGAGAAAATACCAGCGTCGCCAGAAACAAACCAACCTAGACTCTTTGGAGAAGTTGGCGCCTCCGCGATTGGCAGCTCGGGAGTGATCCCAGAAGACTTCCTCAACCTCGAAGCTAGCCATCCTAGCGCAAATGGGACTGACATACCCAACAAGGATGAAGATGAGGCTTATCAATCAGAGGACAACTCGACACCCAGAAACAGAAACCGTCGAACATACCGTCAAACGAACATATCCATGGCCCAAAACCAGTCTGAAGACCAGTTACAGAGTCTGGTGGAAAACGTGGCATCACAAAGCCTGGGGGGCAATGAACATAGCATACAGAAGTTTGAGATGTCGAACTATTCTTTGCAGTCGGCAGACTTCAATTCCAGTAAACGAAAGCCTTCCTCTTACGATACTAGCGACGAGTATGAAGAAAACACGCCGACGGGAAAGCCTACTATGAAGAGACTCAAGTCGGAGGGTAACATTGAAGAGTTGACGAATGATGTGGTCGAGGAATACAAATTGCTGGCCCAGGTCCCTGCAATTGGGAAACAGGCATCAGGACGTCAAATTGACCGTCCCTACAACAAGCAATGTTTCTGGGAGCAAGACAAGAAGACCTGGCACCTCAATTATCCAGAACTGACCCGCAATCAACACAAAGCCTTCGTGAAGGGCGCCGAAACAAGGGGCGAGAAATTTGAACCTGGGAAGACTGCACTGTGGGATGTGGCAATGAAATACTTCCCTCCAGTTTCCAAAGCTGGGGCTCAAATCACCGAAACTCGACGAGGCTCGCGAACGCCCCAAACTCTGGTTGATGAAGTCATAGAATTTCCCCCTACTGCGGCACCACTTGATGATTCACAAATACCCGACACACTCCCGACGCATACACAGATTATTGTCCCTATTCGTAAGGACGAAACGAACAAGACGTCCTATAGTATGTTTGAATCCCATTCAGACTCATGCATCTCTGATATCACCATTCCCGTTGCCGACACCTTGGTCTCATTTGGCCGCGGTCCTTCAAATACCCAGGTATATGGCGACGTGTATGAATCTCGAGTGCCCAAGTATGCCTTCAAGCTATTACTCTGGAAAGACGATGATGCTTTCGACCCTTCCAAGGATCCTTCGAAAGTGCCTCCCCCCTGGCTTCGAACTATTGGGGATCCAAACGAGTACGGGTTTTACATCTCAACAAAAGCATCAGTCGGTATCAGTATAAACGGATATCAGCTTCCTTCTTCCGATGCTAAGAACCACAGCGGGCCTGCTCACCATTGGACCCGTATCCACAATGGCGACACAGTAGTCATCTGGGGTTTCGGCGACAAAAAGGGCAACCCAACAAAACTTACCTTCCAATGTTTCTGGGGTGCCTCTGCTCAGGCGCGTGGAGAGAACAAAGCATTGCAGCTTGCGCCTCCGTCATTGGCCCAGAAGTTGGACGCTGCCTGCCAAAAGACAGAGAGGCGGATGAAGGAGGCTACCGAAAAGAAGAAGAGAGAAGAGGCCATCGATGCTGAATTGAAGGAACGTGCAGAGAACATCGATAGAGAACGTGAACGAAGCCGTGCTTTTGAGATGAAGAGACAAGAAGCTATCGCATACCTTGGCTCGAAACAAACCACACTATCGCGCATGGCTTCACCCGCAAGTGTGCCCCCAACAAGCCATTATTTGGGAGTACATATGGCCCGTTTAAGCCCCGACAAGGAAAACACTTTCTCAGTTCAGTAATGAGACACAGCATATACACAGGTCACTAGAGAGGAGCATTTGCATTTTTGATCTTTCGGTCCTTGCGTCGACACCAGGAAGTTCGTTGGGACCATGGAGTAATGATTTTTGTTCCTTTCTGTTTCCCTTGGCATTTTGGCAGGTATAGGGGCGTAGCACAAGGAATGACTGGTGCTACAGGAAACTCTAGTCACGACGAGATACTATTTTCAGCGGAGTTCGTGGTTCGTGGTACCCTTTAGGGCGAAAAAGGGTGTTTCTGGACGGGATGGGCCCTACTATCACGATATTTTGGAGGAGTACATATGGGAAAATGAAAACATCACAATCATATAGAAATCTAACATATCTTACATGCTAACTGTTAACTGTATTGACAAGTGAAGATTGGCCCGAACACGATGTTCGCGATCACAAAGCGCACCAATGACAAGATGATCGTGCTTTAAAGCGCGATTGGTAGTATTTACGATACATCATCCATTTAGTCGTTCTGATCCTAACAATACAATAGCAAATGGTTCCAAGGAAGAATGGTAGTCATACAATAATCCCCCATCATTCAATCATCATCATGTCTCTCACAACCAAGTTCGTTTCGACTTCCCATTCGTCATTCCGAGCCTATATCTGCGTTCAATATTCGTACATTTCCAAGTGGTTCGTAGGCGCAAGTTCTCATGTTCGTGAGAGAGCTTAATCATACGGCTCTGGTTGACAGAAAGTACGGCGCTGCTGCAGTAAGCATGTTGGTTATTGTTGTGTATTAAGCAGCGTGGCTACCGGTCACATGTCGAACAAATGGTCTATCAGGTGCTTCGTCGTTCTCATTTCCATCGCCAGATGAACTGGAGGGTGCCTCGTTGTTTTCGTCATCGACTGAAGAAACCATATCGGTGATGTTGTACTCTGCGAGGATCAAACGTTAGCAGCCAAACTTTACAACGCTGGCAATCTAGTAACTGTAAGTGTAACTTACCAAGCATATCGGCTGCACCCTCAGGGGAGGAATCGCCAACAATATTTGGCTCCTCGACTGTTGGGACAGGATTAAAAGCGTTCTTCCATGCAAATTTATCCGACTTTGTAGGAGAGGGTGGCCCCTGTTCTCGCTTGACTGACCCATCGGATCGATCAGGAGAACTGCAGTATGAAAACTCTGGGAAATTCTGCTTGCGAGGTGTATAATAGGGGTTACTTTCACCTTGACGAGAGGTCTTTTCGAAAGCTGGCCCATCATCTGTACAGCTGTACGACTCAGGGTCCGTGAAAGAAGTGTAAACATCCGAGGGGCATCCTCCTTGTTGAGGGCAAGGAGTCGTCTGGTTGTCAGTGAAACTGCGAGGGCCAAAGCGTTCCTAATTGCCTCTGGCAGTCTCGTGGAAGTTGTGATCAGGAGTGTATGAGCTCGCTCGGTTGACCGGAGGAGCGGAAGAAGTCTTATTTTTGGACTTTTTGAAGAAGGACGAGAAGATGCTCCCAGAAGAAAGACGAGATGGAAGGGAAGCAGTGGATTCCATGTACTGGCCATGATCCCCGTAATCATAAGCCTTAGGAGTCGACGTCTGATATTCCTCGTCGGCTTCATAGTTGCCACGGAAGGAATTTTCATCCGAGTAATAATCAGTATGCGAATACCGAGGGCTTCGGAAAGCATCCCAATCCTCACCATGGTCGAATTCTTTGCTGAAGGCACCTTGAGAGTAACCCTTGGCAGGAGTCCCAGCTCGAAAGTTGTCTGGCGTATGCAAGTACTCGCGATGAGCGCCCGGTCCCTTCTTCGAAGATTGGCCATAATGAGGGTGCAGATACTTGTCTGAAAACCCTTCGTCATACGAGCTGCTGCGAAAGGTACACTTCTTGCGTGAAATAAGCGGAGACCCTGGAGAGCGTAGGCATGCAGGAGTCTCTGAATCCGAGGCCGAAGCCTCTGCATCGCCGTCAAAGGGTAATGATGTGCGAATATCCACAGACTGCTTGAATCTCACAGTCTTGCTACTAGAAGATTTGGAAGAGCTTGGGTCGGAGCGGTCAGACTCGAGAGACTTCTCACGAGGTCTAGGTGACTCCTTGAAAGCCTCATCTCGGGATTTTCTAGAGCCGTCAGAAGACGACCGCTCACTAGCCAGTGCAGATTTGAGGACGAAGTCGGGAGGAAGCTTCTTCCAAGGCTCACAGACTCTGCCCCCCGACTTCTGGTCTTTCTCCTTACGGCCAGTTACGGGGCTGGGCGATTGTACCTCCACATGAGGAGTTGAAAAGGAGTCTTCGACGTATGGTGCCTGGTAGTTCCGTGGCATCTTTGACTCTTTCTTGTGAGGGCTGCGCTCAGTGCTGAAGTGCCCAGAAGACTTTCTCTCTGCTCGGCGTTCAGAGGACCCGGTTTTTCGTGAAGGACAGTAGGAGGAGTCTCGAGACACGGTACCAGTGCCAGATGGAGCGACAGACTCTCGGGAGGCTCGTGGTTCGGGCCGCCTGCCGCGAGGTTTCTCGTCATCTGAAACCTGCTTCGGAGGACTTACCTCCCTTACCTGGTCACTTTGGACTTGACCATGCCTGCTCTTGTGACTTCTATGACGATTTACAGTCAGTGAGTCCAGGTCTTCTTCCGAATCACAAGCAGGAGGTATCGCTTGGTGCGCTCCAAGGTTCTGGTACTTCTACTATGCATTAGCGGTTGATCAAACAATAGGCGCGGGTGTACTCACCGGACCAACCACGGATGCTTCCATTAGGCTTCCATTTCTTTTGAGCTCCAGGATGCACACTTCGCAATAGTTGGTTATAATGGGCTCGCCTGGCAACACTGGGTGCTGTCTATGAAAGTTCATGGATCTTGCGCTTCCGCAGTTGAAACAGAAATGATACTGTTTGATAACCCCCCGCTTATAACTGTCATCTCGGCAGCTCTCACAAAGGTTTATCTTCATTTGTTTGAGTTTGTGAACAGGGAATCGTTTATGGTAGTCCCTTGAGCGAATGTTTCCACATTCAGAGCAAAAGTGATGGCGTGTAATACGCTGAGGACTCTCGTCTCGTTGGTCATGTAACTTTGTCTGCTGATTGTCTTGACAAACACTGGCTGGTTCGATGTCACCGTGAACAGATGCAGCTACGTTGCTGCTTGCAATCTCTTGATCATAGACTGATTGAGAGAAGTTGCTGAAAGTGGAGAGTGACGACTGCCTTTGGTGTTGCTTCTTGCTGGCCGTGATGGCTTTATTCAAGGTTGAATTAAGTCTGTCTTGAAGACGGCGAAGGTCACGGCGTAAAACTCTGCTGTTGGGCTCCTCGGCCAAGTCTGCCATTTTTGCTTCGATGAGCCTCTGGAGACGTTGTACTTCCTTGCCGAAGACTTCGGATGACTCGGAGCGTTTCGACGCAGCAATTACCGGGCGATAGGTATTCCCTCCTCCCGACGGGCGTTGGGCATTGTTTGATACCACGGAAGATTTCGGTGCCTTTACCGAATCAAGGGGAGGAGGGGGTCTCGACTCGACGGGCTGAGCCACTGGGGCCATGAACTGAGGTGGGTGAACTCGCACCAGGGGTAATGGTTGGTGAGGAACATAGCTAACTTGATTCTGATAGTAGATTTGTTGCTGAGGCAGGGGCTGGTAAACTGGAGCCCCAAACGACTGGTTCAAAGGAGAAATAGGAAAAGTTGATGACTGTACAATATTACAAGGCGGCTTCGACAAATGAATAGGAAATTGGGGAGGAAATGTTGCAGAAGGTCGTACATAAGAAACGGGCTGTTGGTTAGTCATGGTTTCGACGTTTGATCGGCGGGAGATCGAGCGAGGGACCTGGTGACGAGGTAGTACTCGAGTACTGGAATGAGGCGATGGATTTGAGCGACGTCGGCGGTGATGTCGCTTTCGGGGCGAGTTCTTCTTCGAGGAAGAAGAGGACGCAGGAGGTGCAGAATGAGGCGTGGGTGGTCGATCAGAAACACGACAGCCGCGCTCTTGATGTCCTGGATCGTCTTCGGAAGACGAAGAGGATGTTTCCTCCGAGTCCGACTCGTAGCTATCGTCAGATTCTGTCTCATATATAACCTGAGAACGTCGAAAAGTCTTTTGATCTGCAGGCATGACCCCACGACGAAAAGGGAGACCAAATGCAGCGCTTAAGAGGTCAACTTCTGGACTGGCTCGATGGCGGCGACGGCGGAGGGCCTTGCTAAAGAGACCCATTGTGCCGCGGCCGGAGGGCATGGAAAAGACTGACACAGTAGGCTTTGTAATCGGTCTAGGGGAGTTCTTGTGGGGAGTGTAGACGAATAAATAAGAGGGTGAGTGATTGTGATGAAGGGAACAATGGGCGGGAAGGGGGGATGAGAGTGGGAAAGAGGTAAGAAGAAATAGTGGAAGAGCACGTTATGCGTGATATTTTGCGCAACACGTGCAATAATCACAACAGGCTCCCTTATCTTTCGCTTTTTCTTCTCGTTGAATCTGCGTGTATGCGCAGGAGAAGATGGTCGTCGTTGTCGTGCAGCTGTTGGCAGCTGGCGAGAACTGTCACTCGGTCTTGCAACTGACAACTAAGATACCAGCCTACTAAGGCTGATGGGGTAACAGGGTTTAGCAAATACAGAATAAGGTATTCTAGTATTTAGGCGATAGAGACACCAATATCAAGGGAACTCGGGAGCTCTCAGGCATGAGTTGCTGTATCACGTCCTGAAAGGCTGGCAAGGTCAGCGTCAAATCCCCTACAGCTAGAGTCGAGATGAGAAACTCACTCCTGGATCCTCGTCGCAAAGTTTTGCTTGCGCCACTTATGCTCTGAAATACTTTGGCTTCGACTCGAGTTCTGCTCAAGGCGCGGGCTGTGGGGCTTTGATGTTGTGTTGAAGTAGATTCCCACGATATTGGTTTAGCACGGAAGAACGAAGACTTTGGTAAAATTTGAGTTGTTGAAAAAGAAGAAGAGGTGTTGAAAAATTCAAGACATTCTTCTGAAAATAATCTGGTCTTGTTAAAACGTGCTCGTCAAACACTCACTTCTTGATGTTCTGCGTTTACATCAGCCTAGCCATTGTATCTAGCGTTTTCATGCTGGCAAACGGCAATATCTTTCTTCCTCCACATCAAACACATAAAGTCTGCATAGCAGTCTTTGTTACTTTTGACAGATCAATATGAGATACAAAAGCAAACATCCTATCTGATAGAATGAGTTTGACTGAGGTTTAATTTCACATTAACAAAGAAATCCGATCTCTACTTCCCGATCAAAATCTTACAAACATCTCTTGAATTTGCTTTTGTCTACATACGAGCAATGTTGGACCACTCTATCCTTTCTTCTTGGGTTCCAACAACCAATGGCGTGTCTAATCCACGCGGAGTACACGAGCACCTCGCTTCTTGTGGACCTTCTTCTTCAGCCCCCGGTTAAAGGCACCGGCAGCTACATGGTCACGGTCAAGGTTGTCAAGATCCTTGACCTTATAGATGCGAATAATCCAGTTCTCACTGGTGAAAGCCTCGTCCATAGTGTCGATAGTGTAGCTCTGGGGGGGGATCTTGACACCTCGGACTCTATCATGGCCATGTCCGTCGGGGAAAAGGGATCCGAAGTTGTTGTAAGACATCTTGTACCTGGAGGGGGTGTTAGTTCAAATGATTCTCCACGAGTAAGCGCTTACTTACATCAAGCTGTTCTTCATGGTCTCGGTAGCGCCGCCGTCGACCCTGTATTGTCCATTGTCGGTGAAGAAATTGCGCTCCTTGACCTCATCGGGCCAAATGCCTTCAGCAATGCGCACCATCCAGAGGAACTTGTTGATGTCATCTCCAGAGTAGCCAAGTAGGCCGCCAAAGACAACAAGGACGTAGTCAACCTCATGCTGGCGCATGATTGGATAGCTGACTTCCTCGCGAGAGCTCATGGCTTTGCCGACAGTGGCGATATGCGTGTTGTTCCATGTGTTGTTGTCAACAAGCGTGGGTCGGTCAGCCATGCCACCGATCTGGTAGCCGTAGTCCCACCAGGACATGATCTTGGCATCCTGCTTGGTGTTCTGGCGGAGCCACTGATACGCCTCTCGGTAGTCATCAATGATATGCTGGCTACCGTCGGGCATTCGGCTTGCCATCACGACGGAGGGGGATGAGTAGGCATTGGAGGTGACCCAAGTGCAGTGTGAGACAAACATAAGCAGGTAGACAACCATACCGGCAACGACCACGAACTTGGACATCATGCTGTAGATGCCAACGTTGGGCTTCGTGGTGGCGCGAAGAGCACCCCTGTTCTTCTTAGAGCCCTCAGTGCCCTCGACCTGAATCGCATTGGCGGGATCAGGCTGCTTGATAAGCAGATATGTGTCGAGAAGTTGAGAGACTCCCATAGCAGCGGCAACACAAACGACGGGAGTCAGTGTAAGCATGAGACGAACCATGACACCAGCAAAGTAGCTTGCAAATAGACCATAGACTACAATGAAGACGTGCTCATCGGCGAGTGTTTGGAAGCACATGTACACACCGGCTGGGAAGAACCAGATGAGAAAGTTGAGATCAAAGAAGAACGAAGGCCAAGCGGTAGGCTGATGTTCTGAGACAGATGCGATGATAGGGATATGGAGTTTGGCATATCCAGTATCGAACAACGAATAGAATCGGCCACCCCAAGGAGCAATGTACCCCAGAGAGGTCAGCAAGATCAGGCCACCAAGGCCAAGGACGACAGTCGCAATACCAGTAGTAACGACCATGACGCCAATTTGTCGGCCGGTGATGACAGACTTGACAAAGACAATAAAAGCTGTCACTTGGAGGAGGCCAAAGACACCTGTAGAGTACATTAGCACCAGAAAGCCACAATGATATCGGGATACATACCTAGCGCCGGCATGTGCTCGTTGGTCTTAACACAGAGAAAGCCGACGAAGGGAATTTGCATGCTAGCCATTGTGCCGAGGGCATACCAAGTCGTGTAACTGACGTAAAGGCGATCGCTATATCTACCCATGCAGAGAAGAACTAAAGCATGGACGGGTAGCAGGCAAGTTATGAAAGCATACCCACCCCACGACGCAACCATGTAGCCGTAGGAAAGAGCGCAAAGAGCGCCCCATAGCATTGAGCCCAGCTTCAGTGCCTTGATCCAGAAGAAGAAGGTGATAACAAGAAGGAAGATGGCGATGGCTTCGTTATCGTAGCTGCCAGCGACGGATCGAGAGATGTAGCCAGGAGCAATGCCCATGAAGATGGCTGCAAGGAGACCAGCGGACGACGAGGTGGTCATCTCGTTGGTAAGGAGATATGCTGCGTAAGCTGTCAGGCCTGAGAAGGCAGGGGCGAGAAGAACACAGATGTTTCGAATATCGACGGGAATTGTGAGGGCACGAAGAGCATGGTAGATGACGCCGCTCGTCACCATCAGGCCAGGGTAAAGCGTGCCTCCGGTAACCCGACCAAGAGGATGCCATGTTCGATCATCAAACCAATCCCAAAACTTGTAGACACCATTGGCGACGAGGTATTTCGTCGCACGAAAGTTAAACCACGGATCGACTATCATGGGGTTAGCTCGCAATCATGGGCAATATGGTTAGTACTTGGAGCGAGGAACTGACATTCGTGGATGATACTTTCGAACCCTGCGCCAGACAAGTTAGTAAAGATTGTTTTCGGATAGCGAGATGTCTTTGATATTCTTCAAAGGATAGAGCGAGAACTGGAACATGCAGCATCCGCCCATCATGGGGGCGAGGCAACTTACGAATCACGGAAAAGAGACGACTGGAGATGGCTGCGCCAGCGATCAAGAGAAGAATGATGACTTTCAGAAGAGTCTTGGTGTTGCCTCCAGCCACTCCGGCGAGGACGTCGTTGGTCTTGGCCGTCATGATGGATTGCGATTGACGACAATGCTTGACTCTGGCGTTGGTGCAACTTGTCGAAGTCGAAACCCAAGATGATATTCAACTCCACCAGAAGGACAGCTTGGAGCTTTACTGCTTGAAAGCTACAGGAGGTAAATGTGGGACCCACTCACCTAAAACTGGAGGAGGTACGTACCTATCCTTACGCGGCCGTGCAGCATCCCAAAACTTAGTGCTCTTTAAGGCCGTAATCTATTCCGGATCCGCTGTTTTCCCGAGGAAGCTCAGTATCAAGTTCAAGGACGATGATCAGGTCATTTTACGTCAATCCGATGGGTAGGCTGGGGGCTAAATATGTTATTACTTCTGCCTTGCCAATTCGTGCTTCAATCTCTAGACAACAGCTTTCGTGGGGAGCTGGAGCCGTCTCAAGTATCAAGGCCTCATATCGTCAACCTTCTTTGGCCGTAACCTGAGGTAACCAACTTTAATAGCTGCCATAGTAACACATCTCATCACTTCAGCCCAAAGTGGCAAATGTATCTTCGCTCAAGCATCTCCCATCGGCCAAATGGCACAAGCTCCAGGATATTCAAGACCATTGACGCATTTGCCGTCTAAAGTAGATATATTGTACACCTGTACACAGAGTTAAACAGGGACCTAAGGAAACATCTATGCAGGACCGCCACGTATATCCTCAATCATACACCGAGTCTGGCTCGAGGCTCGGATTATTGCCTCGGCAGGACCTGTTTCCCCACGGTTGGCCAACCTTTTTCGCCGAAACCTCCTATCGTTGAATTCCCTCCCTTCTCATATTTGCGTCCCCCGCACCTTCATTACACATTTAAGGGCTCTCCTTCTGGACCTTCAACAGCAGCTTCTCGAGATCAAACTTGGGGTCTGAGGGATCGGTGATGACTACAAGCACAGTTAGTTGGTTTGTCGCCGGATTGTGCGTCTGTATGAGCGATATGTCGTAGCCAATTGCCAGGAATGCTCTGGGGCAACAACAAGTTTGACGTACCAGAATCGCCAGATGTAGGGTTCTTCTTCTTAGAAAACTCGGCCTTGGCCTGCTGGATAAGCTTCTCCTTCTTCTCGTACTCGTGCTGCGCATGCTCGGCTTTTTGGGAAGCAGTAATCGCTCGCTGGTGGGTGAAGCCGTAAAAGATACCCAGGCCGAGGGCGGACCACCGCAAAACCTATAAATGACTCAATTAGTCTCCTGGTCCATATTCATCTGATTCTGCCGCTCAAAAGATCGCATTCTCCGGTATCGTCGAGCGCTTGGGGTTGGGATACGGTCGAGCGGCCAAATCGGGGTGGATAACACGCACGTTCACTCCGGTTGAAGCCATTGGGAATAGAGTCGCAAAAAAAGGGCGGACGGGGGAAAAGCGAAAGGATCGGTAGTGACGATGTCGGGGGTCGACAATGGCTTGTCAATGGACCCAGTCGGAGTGGCTCGAAGGATTAGATGCGTCGGCTTGAGGTGAAGAAATCAAAAGTCGTCGGGAAAAGTCGCAGTTTTTCCATTCGCTGCCAAAGAGCCAGCCCAGCCTAGCCAACCGCTGGCGGCTAGGGGAGCTCGGACAAGCTGGAGCCAGCGAGCCGGCCATTGTGATCACGTGCCTTGGCTCATCTCCCAGATAGGTACTACCTTAGATCAATGAGTGCCCGTGGATGGGAGTTCCATTGATGTGAGAGTAGGTACTACCTAATCAGATAGGTACGTACCGCCTTCAACTCATGTCCACTAGCATTCTTCAGATTTTAGGCTTGTGCAGGGGTTTCTGGGGGGTACAAGTGCCTGAGTGAGTGCCTCTGAGTCCCGGCTCGACGCGCATGGTAGGTGTCAATTGGACCCTATCGCAAGCTCATACCTTAGAGTAGGACATTTCATAACTTCTATCACTACAAACAACGACACAGCCACGTACAATCGCATCACCCTATCACGAGGCGCCTCTTATTCCTTCTCTATTCGCGTTTCAGTACTTGTCGTGCTCAGTAGAAAATTTATCGCCAAACAAATTGTCGTCGATCCCTACACCCAGCATTCATATCATAGCTTCCAAAACATCGACCAGTCCCGCGATGCGACTGTGGAACATTCGCAATGCAACAACGTCGAGATGAAATCTTAGCAAAGAAGGCAAAGCTCGCTGAGCTTAAGCGCCAGAGAGAGCTTCGAGCAAGCCAAGCGACAGCAAGTCGTCCCGGCGCTGGAGCCTCCAGTGACGTTGGTCCCCTAATACTCTACCGCCTTTAAGCCCCTCGTTGACGTTTCTCGGCCACAGTTGATATCACCAACCCCTGGAAGAGCAGACAATCGCCGCGAGATCGAATCCCTCATAAACAGCCTTGTCGGCGATAGTAGGCCCGGCTCAACCGTTACGGGAGGACCTGGCTCTCCTGCTCCTCGTGGCAGCCGTCCGAACAGTGTCCTCAGCGCCGGCGAAGTCAGCATCGACCATTCCGAAGTTACCACGCCTAGTAACATTCATATCCCTGCCCAGCCGCCCCCGAGCCTTAGTACTGGCCCCCTTCAGACGGTCTTCGAATGTCCACCATCTCCAGTAAAGGAGATCTTCTCGTACAGCAAAGGTGTTCAGACGACAGAGGAATGGACGACGCCAACCCGAACCAGGGCTCAATCTCTAATTTCAGAAGCTGAAGATGTACCTGCCATAACTTCGACGCCCAGCAAGAGGCTGAGCAGGAGGGAGCGGGACAGAGAGGAGGAACTCCGACAGAAGATTCGGGATGAGGTGGAAGAAGAGTTGAGGGCGACAAAGGAGTTTTTGAGTGACGGTGTGCTTCCTGCTGGCTCGGCATTAAATTATCCCTCAAGGAACCTTACTACTGAGGAACTCGATGCTGTTGCACAATCGGACGAGTTCGTCGACTTTCTCGAAAAGTCTACAAAGGTGATCGAGAGAGCTCTTGACCAAGAGACATACGATATCCTTACAGACTACGCTCTGCAGGGTCAGGACATAGATGATGAAGACGATGACAGCGGTAATACAGGTGGTAAAGGGCGACACAGGGTAAAGGAAGTGGCTCAATTCTTCGACGAGAGATGGTCCAAGAAGCGCATGATCAGCGGGATCGACTTCTCGCCCAAGTTCAGCGAACTCGTTCTCGCTTCTTACACCAAGAACCCGACGGCTCCTCATGAGCCAGATGGATTGGTCCAAGTCTGGAATCTTCACATGCAAGATCGCCCTGAATATGTTTTCACAGCGCAGTCGGATATCCTGACGGCCAAGTTCTCCCCCTATCACAACAATCTGATCATTGGAGGTTCATACAGTGGCCAGGTGTTGCTTTGGGATACAAGAGCAAAAGCAGCCCCGGTCCAAAAGACCCCTCTGACAGGTTATGGCCATGCTCACCCTATCTACTCTGTTGATATTGTCGGTACCCAGAACGCCAACAATATTATTTCTTGCTCAACCGATGGTGTGGTTTGTGGATGGACAATGGATGTCTTCGCTCAGCCCCAGGAACTTCTCGAATTGAAGAACCCTAGTCAGGCCAAGGTGGCCGTTGAAGACGTCAGTCCGACGTGTCTTTCTTTCCCAGCCACCGACCCTACATTCTTCCTTGTGGGTAGCGAGGAGGGTACCATCTTCCCTTGCCATCGATACGACCGTGCTGGTGCCAAGGCCGGTGTTGACAAGAAGATAAGCTACAAAGGACACACTGCCCCCGTCATGTCGGTGGACTTCCATCCCGCCAGAGGCCCGGTTGATCTGGGTGATCTTGTTATTTCATCGTCCTTAGATTGGAGTGTCAAGCTTTGGAAAGTCCGGGCACCTGCGGCTACATCTACGATCGGTTCTGGCGATGGTACTATCACGCCTCTGATTGATTTTGTACGTGAGGACGTCGTCTATGACGCCAAGTGGTCGCCTGTTAAGCCCAACGTATTCGCCTTGGTCGACGGCGCTGGTAGGCTGGAGCTTTGGGACATTGCAGTTGAGACCGAAGAACCTGTGGCTACGATCTCGCCCAGCTCTCGAAAGGAAGGTAGGACCATGCTGTCGAAGAGTCTGAACAAGCTCGCGTGGGAACCTAATGATGGAAAGCGTCTTGCTACCGGTGGCATTGACGGCTCCCTGACGATCTTTGAGGTCGCTGGCGGTCTTGGTGGCAAGGAGGGTCTTAAGAATGAAGATTGGGCGAACGTGAAGAAGCTTGTGAATCGACTGGAGGCAGTTGGTTCAAACGGTGCTGTGATAGTTTAGGGTCGGTCCTCTGTTGGATGGAGTATTGGCAGCATATTGAGCGTATGTTCTTGTGTTGTGAGATTTTGAACAAATAAATTTACCGGTATACCCGAGATTGTTAGTAAATATTAAGTTTTGAAACAACCACAATCTAATGCGATGATAATATTAATTCATGAGCCACTCTATCATCCATCAGATTCCATTGCCTTGATGCAGTGGTTAATAATGATGTCACGTGGGTCTCCACATTGAGAATATTCTCAGCTTTTCTCTTTTCTATTTTCTCATCCAAACTCAGGCTTAACTCCAAACTTGAACAACCTCAACTATAGGAGTGAACAGCTACGGACGGCCAACATTCTGGTTCAGCTAAAAGGGTCTCGTCTTCCCTGCACTTTTCATTACGACTAGATGGTCTAAAAGATGACAAACATAAATATGGTAAGTCATAATGTCTCATTTCAAACACACATTCAAACTTTTCATGATGGCATTCATTTTTTATGAATTCTGCAATTCCGAATGCCTTTTTTGTTTTGGCAACACGTGGACAACTTACAGCTGAATTTCAACGATACTCCTCATTCATTCGTTCATCATTCTCTATGATTGCATTCTAACAATATCAAGGTTCTAATAGGTATTTAAGCCTCGACTGGCGCACCATTGGAGTATCGCCTGCCTGCCTCAAACCTATGGGGTAATGGCTAGATCTCCTAGAGTGTTCATTCATTGATCTGAAAGTGGGGAGTGCTTGGTATCCTCCTCGATTCGAGCTATTATGGTTGTCAGGGGAAACTTACAAGTCATTACATTAGTTCACATATTCTATCGGAATGTGGCTGTGGTTAACTGTAGCCACAGGCACAGGGCTAAAGCCAATATCGACAGCCACCTTTCCCAACATTTTTGGCAATTTCATGTTGCTTTGTGTAAGTAGTTGTTACAAGACGTCGTAGTTTCGATGGTCTTATGATTCTGGTGCAATTGGAACACTTGCTTGAGAGTGCGGTGGCATTTAATAGTAGGTTTGAAAGCTGCACGCGAAATGACATACGGCAAGCCATGGTGGTGTCGATGGAATTGAGAGATATACCCGGTGTGGTCTGAGTCTGAACCGCGTTACCCTATGCTACTATGTGCTGAGAAGTGCTCAGACGCAAGCCTTGGCAGCCTTGTGGAAAGGGTAAGCTACTGTGGCTAAGATGAGTTTGGAATCAGTGGTATGCCACAGAAGCCCTGGTCTTGTTGTTATTTGATCTACAGGGTAATGTCATGGATGCGATGGGGTGGGGTGTTTCTTTTCCAGGCACCACATTCAGTGCCAGCTGGCGGGGGTGGTCGACTAATTTAGCGTTAATGTCAATGCTTTATAACCTGTAAAAACATCACTCTTTCCGTCGCCTTCGGGCGACACATGGTCTAGTGAGTAAAACCTCCACTCTCGCCCCGAGGGTCTAGGGTTCGATTCCAGTACTAACCATCTCGTAGTTGAAACGATACGTGAGTCTACCTTCACCTGAAGACCTCCCTTCGAACACAACTAACTTCCCATCAGAGAGAAGATTAGCATGGCCCCTGCACTAAGGATGGTAAGTTTATCACGAAGTCTTCATCCGTCGCTAGTACTAACCAGCTCATTAGACACGCTCAATCAAAGAGAAGCTACCAATTTTTTTTGTCTTTTTTTTACGCCTAGCATTAATGTGTGTTAAGTTGTATGCCTCACCCACTTCACTCTGTGCTCTATATCCGTAATAAATTATCTCTACAGGCAATGTCAAATCGCCAGCAATTGATTGTTGGATCAAACAAAATTGTGTAAAGTGAATTTTTATTTAATTCTTTTTATTAATTCAATGAAAATGAACGGCTCTGTTCCCAATGACATACATTCTCAGATGCGACAAACCACCAGAATCCATATCATATCGTTAATCAAATTCTATTAAAACGCCCTCACTTTTTCCCTTTGCCTTCGGCTCATTTTCCATATTTTCTTCTTCTTCATACTCATCCTCTGCTTCTGAAGCCTCATTGTAGTTTCTCAGCTGCACGTCTTCACGCTTTATACAAGTCTTAGCCTTCTGCTTCTTTCTCAGCTGCGCCATCATCTTCCTCGCTGTCGTTGATCTCCGGCCACTCGATACATCCGACAGGCGAAGCAACTCTAGAGACATCGGCATGAGGCCTCTTGCCTGAAGCCACCAATCAGGAAATCTCGATAGGCCAACCTCTTCAAGGCCGGTTGTCGTGGTGGGCATGGTATGCTCGTAGTGGCAGTCTATATCCCATCTACAGACTCCGTAGTGGCACCAATGCCGACATGGCGAGGCTGATGGGGATGAAATCGGCGTTGGAGATGTGGTGTTTGTCGGAAGTTCCCCGGTCTCTTTGTGAAGAGCAGACTTTTGCTCGACCTCAGCTGACTGTCGCTGCTTGTCCGGGTTGTGACGACTGGATGAGAGTCCCTGTGCTGGTTTAAGCTTGCTCTTGGGCACTAGAATGGGAGATAATCTCGACGACGAATATGTAATTGGCTTGGGCTCCACCAAGGTTTCGCCTGAAGATGTAGCACTGGGCTGCATCACATTCGACTCTTCCGAGTCATCACTGTCGCAGGGTTCATCTTCAGTGATGGCAGCGAATCGGAGCTTAAAGGTATCCGATTCCGAGTGAACGACTCCCAAGTTGCCCATGTCCTTGGTCTCTTCTGGTGATAAGCTCCGCGGGACGCCAACAACCTCTACCCACCCGGGTAAAAGGTCAATGGGAATAAGAGGCACTGCGGTTGCGGGCTGAATGCGGATTTGGCCCGTGGTTGTGATTTGCTCAGCACCTGGTCTGACCAGGAAGAATTGAGGTCTTAGAGCCATAATGAAAGAAGCGCTGTTATGTTGATTAGCAGGTGGAGATAGCCAGACGCTGGAGCAGGTCTTCGGATGGAGGACGAAAAACAAGGTAAATATCTAGTCTACCATGCTCACTTTATATGATTCAGTCATGTGGTGTTTGCCGGTCATGCTGCCCTTTGAACCTCCGTTTGTCACAACACAAACGATATAAAAATGCGCACGTATACCAGTTGCCTTTGTTTGTCATACCTATCGAGCCTCCACGCGAATTTTAACATCCATACCATCCACGCAGTAACTCAATTGTCTAGGTCCGTCCCTGAGTTCCACTTCCCTCTTTACCCATCGTCCTGGTTTGCCTGCAGCATCTTCCTCAGCAGCTTGCGCATCCAATACTTGGCGTTCCCTCTCCTCTTCGGCGTCTTCCTCATCACTGCTTTCGCCCTCTTGATCGTCAAATCCAGCTACGGGGTCCCATTCTCCTGTTTCCCAAATGAGCCCAAGCTTGAGGGGAGACAAGCCAAAAAGTCTGCCTGCAACTCCCTTGACCGCATAAATATCGAAGGAGTTGGGGATCCTGGTCGTTTTCTCCTCGCCGTCCTGAAGATGGAAATCAACAGTGACTAGCCGAGCTTCCAGGTATGCGGGATTGGCCTCTGTTTTACGAACGACGTTTGGTGTGCCGTAAATCTCACAGAGCTCAGCATAGCGAGGGTGGTGGGCCAGGACCTCATCTTCAGCGTCTTCTGATACGGTCGCAAGCTGTTTTCCGATACGAGAGAGGTAGAACATTTCGGCATTAGTCCTGTCAGCCGGTGTGACTTGGCTAAAGTTGAGGGACTTGAGTGAAGCAAGGCGAGCAACAACAAACATGTGAGACTCTTCTGATGAGGATACCTTTGCATCGGCATCGGCGGCATCATAGAAGGGGTTGTGACCGATGCGCAGCCCAACCAAACCAGGGAAATGTTTGGGAAGCTGGTCGACGAATGTCCACGACTGGATGTTGTTGTACGAAACATCGAGATATTGCAAGTTTTCTGAGAAAATCGGTCCCTCAACGCCTTCTGGGGCCATTGACGAGATGTTGTTTCCCTTGAGGTGAATGTTACGCAGCGTAGTGAGGACAGTAAGAGTGCTGAAATCAGCAAATGTTGTGAACTCGTTGATTTCAAGATTGATTGATGTCAAGGTTGACGAGAGGATGCCGTAGTCGAGGTTAGGCAGAGATGAAAACTGGTTGGATCCAGCATCAAGCGCAGCCAGAGAGGGACACTTTGTTGCGATGTGGCAGACTTCTTCCCATGACATAATGGTTTCCTCGAGCGACAATTCTTTTACCTTTTTGAGGCTGTCGTTTGATTGATTTTCCAATATGTTTTGGAATCGATTGCCACTGTAGTCATGTCAGCAAAATGTTTGTACGTCTTGGTGGATGAACACACTTGAGGGTGAGATGCTGGAGGTGTGGTAGTTCCCGACAAATGTCAAACACATGGTCAAGCCGGTCAAACAGGTTACGACTGAGGTCCAGCTGCGTGATTTTGGGACACGTCTTTGCAATTATACCATCTGCTTCATCATCTGCCCTTGCGCTGTCGACCTGAAGATCCTCAAGAATCACAACTGTGAGCTCGCCAATATTGGCCTGCTTGCGGCGGATCTTCTCAAAGCCGACCTCCTCAGCGCGCTTGCCGAAGAATACAATCTCCTCAGCCGCCCTTCTTCCATCTGGCAGTGTGTACTCGGATGCATATTTGTGGTTGACGGCTGCTAGGAAGTGACGCGGCGGGTCAGCGGGACGTGAAGGGCGCACAAATGAAGCAGCGGTGGGGGATTTGGATTTGCCTTTTGAGAGAGTTAGCTATCAATCCCAAGCAGGAGATACACATAATGTAGGGGATATTGTTTGGTCTCACAGGTAAAGTAGCGAACGCCCTTGTGACATCCGTCGTGTTTGCCTCGGGCTGAGTCGTCCCATTCTACGCCCAGCCATGTTCCTGAGGTGCCTGCGACTTCGCCAACAAACCTCACTGTGCAGAGAGCGCCATCATATGAGACGCGCTGCCCAACGTGGTGGGTAGATGTCATTTTTTCGATGTAGCGATGGTCTCTGTAAGATTTAGAGAGACGTTGCTTTGGTATTCATTTCAGAAGTTTCTGGCCAGAGATAGTGAGGAGACCCTCCGAGGCACCAGAATTGTATCGCAACGGTATAGCAGCTACAACCTCAATCGGGACCCAAATTAAATGGTTCTAGCACCAAAAACATGTGCTGTTTGCTCCTATTGTTTTCTTGTATTTTTACTTCAAGGTCATGTTTATGTCAATATTATGTGCTTCCGTGCATTCAGATTCGTGATCATTGTGTATTGGTATTTGATAGACTCAGGTCCCAAAGCTAGGCTTCATGTCTGACAAACATGAATTGATATGGTCATTGCGTCTATAAAACGGTTATTAGATGTGAGATGCAGCATTGCACCACCCTTATTCATGTTATCTCATGATCCTTTTTGAAATTGGGTGATCTGCCTCGACGAACTCATGATATTTATGACTGGAATATTCGCCACAGGGTAGGCTCATCAACCACCATCCACTTTTTATCATCTCATCAGGTCACTTACCGCTTGCATCAACACTTCCCACATACTATCAACTCACAATGTCGTCTTCTTCTATCGAATGCCAGCATCGCTGCGCCCAGATGTTCTCAATGGCAATGTTTCTACAGGATATATCTACCCGCACCAACCTACTTGATCAGAAGAGCCCCTCATCTAAATCTCAGCAACCTCGAAATGTCTCGCCATCAAATGAGCCACGCCAGGATGCTTCGGTACAACAGAGAAGCCAGTTGCCGGACAGAACAATTTAATTGTCCTGGATAGAGCTGTCTTCGATTGATGTCCGATGCATGACAATTGTTAAGAGCCACCTTACACTATTAGACTGGCCCAGAACAATAAGCATTCCCTACATCACGAACACCACGCATTCAATGCCATAGTCAACAAAATTAATGTGTATACTCAAGGAAAAGCAATTGAAAAGGCTAGTTACTGGTTCATACTAATCTAGCTGCTATTGTTTTGGTGTAGAGAGTGTCAGTCGTTAAATTCAATGCCAAATCATTGTTATATGGCATTCTGGTATCGTTTCGCTCAAAATCATTTCACTCAGCCGACTCTTCCCTTGGCCTGATCACATTCTTCCAGAAATCGGTAGATTCCCTCAAGGCCTTCATAGTCTTCCGACCGTCCAGCCTCAGAGCTAGTCTGGGGTGACATCGTCTCATACCCTTCAGTTTCAGCCAACCATGAGTTGTCATCCATCTCGTCGAGGAATGCTTCTTGAACGAAATAGTCTTCACCCAGTGTCGAAATCTCGTCAGTCTCATAGCCTTCTAGTGTTCGTCGTGATTCACTTGGTGAGAAGGCCAACTTTCCGCTGTCCGGAGCAAATGGAAACCTCAAGGCAACTGATTTACCAACTGAATCGTCAAACTCGATATCTTGGCCTACCACGCCGCGCTGAACCCCAATATCGTCGCAAAGCCGCTCAATGGTTTCAGCATCGACACCCGGGAACCGTACTCGGAGAATGTTGTGCTTCTCTAGTAAAACTGGAAGGTCACCTAAAACTGCGAGTCTGCGGAGGTCGGCGTTAATTACTTCGAGGTCCCGTAATGCTCGGCTAAAGTCGGAGGACAGAACATCAAGGAAGCCCTCGGTGTTGAGGGAAGCACCAGCAGCGGCGGCCTCAGCCTTGAAACCGGAAGTCTCGGAGGCAAAGGGAATAGCTGCAGCAAGGGGGCTAAGAGCCGTGACAGTAGGGCTGAGGTGGAAATCGACGTAAGAACCGGGAGCGGAGTTGGAGAAGGCGGAGAGCTTGTGCATCGCCTTATCTTCAACCGGTGACACCGCACGGTACTGCGGATCGCCTCGAGGTCCGACACCATCATAACGAAGCTTTTGGCCAGAGAGGAAGAAGGCTCTCATGGCTTGGGAGACGTTCTGCACAACCTGAGCCGGAGCTGCGGGGCCGTGCGAGAAGTACCGAGCACTACCTCCGAGGCTGTATCCGCCAGCACTTCGAGGAAAAGCACCACCGGTCAAGTTGGGACGGAGAGCGTTGGCAAAGGGAGCTCGGCCAGAGAACTGTGCAACACGTCGTGAAGTGTTGGAGGTCGAGAACTTGAATCGATCGAACCGGGCAGCCTTGGGCTCGGAGCTAACGAATCTCCTAATAACTCGGTTGAAATTCTGAGCAGCGGAACTCGAGAACCATCTGGGATTGCGCTTCTGCTGTCGGAGAGCAGCGATGGGGTGAATTGGTTGACGTGCAACTCTAGCGGTTCTCTGTGTAAGCTGGGATTGCAAGGGCCGCGTCATGACGACGAATTTGGTCCGAACCACGTCTGTGGTTTTATCCACGGCGACTCGAAGGAGCCGCCGGGCCATCGGACCCCACAGCGCCTGTAAGGACGCCATCATGAAGTTGTATTGTTTTCCGAGTTGGAAAGTGAGGTGTGGGAGCTGAAGTACAACGCATCCAACTGAGTTGGTATGGGGTCCTTTATGGCGGTGATAATTCGCCACACAATGCGCCACACGGAAGGGGTCGGGTGGTGGATTGCGGGGTCCATCTAGCACAGATTCAGATTAGCGCACATGTACAGTCAGCAATCATATCTTGCACCAACCATAAATTTTCTTAACTTCGTTATTTCTTTGCTCAAACCTCCCTCTCTTCACACTTCAAGGTCTGGCTCGCGCCCACGATGCGAACGCTTCGTCAATTCTGCGCGGCCATGACCTTTGTTTCCTTCTAGGTAAGACTCTGTCCTCCCTGCGATTTATTTTCTTCATATGATGAACAACCATACATGAACAATCCAAATCAGACCAGCACATGGTGATTCAACTATCTCTACTGAGAAAGCTTTGGACCTCAGCACTTGCAGGACAACTTTGTCGCGAGCCTTTTACTGACCGGTCACTAGTTTGTTTTGTTTTGTTTTGCTTGCCATGCAATGGGCGCGTCTCCCGGCTGAGCGCGTCAACTTTTGCTACAAACCCAAAAGGTTGGTAAACTTTTCTCTCTCTTTATTTTTCCTCCCCCCTCTCCGTATGATGATCAAAACGACACCTTAGGGATTCCTCATTCTTAATACACTATGTGGATACTGTTGTTATAGTTTCAGCCTTGTCTGACAGGAGATCAAATGCATTATTGCTTTGTTGCCCATCTATTCTAGCCACAATTGCTAACTCGCGTTTGTCACTAGGTAATGCTCTTTGCCTTACGCTTTCGAGCCCTCCCAGCCACTTTATGATGAAGTCTTGAACGAACGGGCGGACATAAACGAGTACTGCTGCCTCCCGCCCTAGAAAAACAAGGACGTACAAATCCTTGTGGTGGGTGTGTAGTGGGACCTCTTGTTGATACTTCGTCACCTGATCGTGGCCCTTGTGGAAATGGATTCTTGTCGATTGTCTGGTTAAGGAACCGGTGGCTGACTGAGGATCTAGGTACTAAAGAAAGAAATTTTCCCTTCCAACATGCATCTCTTTCGTGATGAGATTTCAAACTATTGTATTCACACTGTTTGACTCTTGATCTTCGGATCTTGGGACATGAACACAACATCAACTTCTGATTGATTGGTATGCTGCTGCCACTCTACTTGTTTGAGGCCATATAACTAACCCGTATAGATTTGATCTTGCACTTTTGTCATTAAGCTTCATGACGCCAGTCGCTAACTCCGTCTGTAGGTAACTGATTGGATGTGCCAAGTGCTGTGCCATCGCATCTTTAATGGTAAGACGACTTTTTTCTTCTTCTTGCACACATACCTCCCCCACCATATGATGACAACGCTTTTATCAGCTATATCCGAGTTCCTCGTGACGAACCAACCAATTCACCTTGGAGAACTGATCTGGTCCCATTTATTATTATTTCTTGCAGCTATTTGAAGAAATCAAAGCTAACCAGCTCGTCAGACTTTTACGACTTATGATTGTAGAATCTACATTGCATTATATCTCTATAAATTCTAAAAATTGCAACGCTATCTATAATGTCTACGCTTTTCCTGTGAATGCTTCCGTGTCCAGAATATCGACAACTCGTATAAAATGACAACAGCTCATCGTGATTGCTGTAAACTGAGATCACGACTCATTCGTCAATTATTTTCATGCAACCCTCAGTTGTGTACTAAGCTTGTATCTTGTGTTGCAATCGTGCATTCATTCCGACAATGCAACGAATGAGGTCCCAATCATCTTTGTGTCCCACCCAGTCAGTAACGACGACGCCAGTACTTGCTGATCCGATCTTGAGCTTGTTGGGGCCCTTGCCATCCTCACCGTGGGACGTGCAAAGGTACTCAATGACAGAAGGGTTGACCTTGGCAGCAATGCGCTCCGGCCAGCAGGTGGCATTGAAGAAATTGCTCGCTGTCAAGAAGTTGACGAAGAAGGGTGGCAGACATGCACCCTCTTTGTGGTCCGCCATGCCAGCCAGGGAAAAGGTCTGCTCAGCAGCGCGTTCGAGCTGGCGGCGACAGTAATCGATTTTTTTCTCGATGTTGTTGCTCTCGGTGACTGTGTAGAAGTCTTGGACGCGGATCAAGCCTCCGGGAACCTCTCCGTCTTCGCAGTTGTCAGGCCAAGCACCTGCATCAATACCCCAACCCCGACCATTCCAGCAGGACTCCTTCATCTCGTCGCTTATGTTGAATCGACGGACGATAATAATGCGACCTCGAGCGCCGCCCAAAGTAGGAATTTTGGGCTCGGTCCACCAGCGGCTACGTCTCTTGTCGACATAGCTGTGCTTAAGGTACTTGCCGAGTTGCTCGTCGTTTCCCCTGCCTGTTCCCTCGCGCTTGATACTCATGACAACGGTTTCGCTTGTATTTTCATCGAGGAATTTATAGATATCGTCGAGCATGTCTTTGAAGTATTTGGTGCCAGTCATAGAAATCGGGAACACGCTGTGTACAAGAGCAAGTTTGTCATCGTTGTGGCTAACGGAGACCCGAATATCCAAGAAGCGGACGCCGTTGCGAAGTTGCTCCAAGATGCCCACCGCTTGGCATCGTACAGAAGGTAGAGCGGCATAGCAGGTTGGCGAGTTATGTGTGCCAGGTATGGAGAGTAAAGTGAGTGGCCAGTCGTTGTGAAGCTCCTCCATCCAGCGATTGAGCCGAGCGGATGAAAAAATGGCGAGAAAAGCACCGTTAGGGGTGTAGACAACAGTGAGATCGTGGTTGCCGCCGTCAAGGTTCTTCATGACCGAGGATTTGCTTGAGGGGCTCGGGATATCGACTTCGTATTTGTGACCTTCATACTTGAAGGTAAGGCGAACAACCTCTTTATTCTTATCGGCAGCTCGGATTCCATAATCCTTTGTCTTGAAAGGTTCGACCTGGACAGACACCGACTCCTGGTGAATTGCATCACCTTTGGCATGGGTTTGGTGGCTACCATACTCAGTAACTCTGATGAAGCCAGTTATGTTTCTAGACATGTGAGAGAGTACATTGCTTGTCCTGACACGATCGACTTCGAACCTCTCAATCCCAATGAGCTCAATTGGTTTGGTGGTGACATTTCGAATAGTCAGGTGGGCCATGGCTCGCGGATGTTGTTGCTTGGAGTGAAAGTAAACACGATGGCAGGGTCTGTTGAGCACCTGTAAGAACCAGAAGGAGTCTAGCCCAGAAGATTTTTCATTAGGACGAAATAGGAGCACCTAAGTTTGAGGTAAACTCGTAGTCGTATCAGAACGAGCGTGTATACGGCAACTCAACGCGTATAATTATTCAAGAATTCGGGACAAGAGCCGGTGAGAGGCTCAATGAGCTGGAGCTGTCTGAGTTGGGTAGACTACCTATGGTGTGAATCAACCAATTGGACCCCTTGGTTTTCCTAGAGTGGATCCATATACTGGGCAGATTAAAAGACGGTAAGAGAGGAAGCTTAGTAGGTACAGCTTGACTTACAGTATCAAGGACAACTCAAGTTGATACTGCCTGCACTCTGTTTCCTCCATCAGTGCCGAGAAATAAGGTGTCGGAACTAACCATAGAAGGAAAACAGTCCCTTCCCTTTTTTCTTTGCTTATGTCAGTTGACGCCCGCTACATTCTCGAAGCTCCTCTAAGTTTGAAGCCAATATGAGGATCGTGTGAGCTCAACCGCCAAACGGTTTCGCTCTTGGCATGCCAACTTGGCCGGCGTGTAATCTAATCGGGGAACTGATGTTGCCAAACAAGGCCGTGTATTGAGGACGCAATAGTTGTACCTTGCCCCGAAGCAATTCTTCGAAAGCTGGCAGCCTCTTGGAGGTGAATGGGTGTCATCACACATCCATCCTAGCCGAATAGAACCGGCTCGACTTGGCTGACCCGACCCCCAGAGCTGGGACGGCTGTGGTAGAAGCCGAGAAGGGGACCAAATAACAGGATAGCCGCGTACCGCTTTTCTTTTTTAGGAAACCGCCTCATTGATTAAGCTACCATTCCATCGGAAAAGGGGGCATTGTCGTCTTATCTGCGCAATAATGAAATGTAGACGCCATAGTGTTCGTTGGAGGCGGAATGACGGCGGGAATGGCGTTGGGAGGATGCTATTGCGCCACTGAGCAAGATACCAAGATGTGCGCTAATGAGAGAATAAGAACATCGAGCGTCGTTACTGGAGAACGAATTGCCTATTGGGTGTAGGTTTGGTGGGAGATGCTCTATCGTTCTACCGTGGCTGAATCGAATAAGCTTATGAGATTTGATGAAGAATCATGTGAAGTGGGACAAAGTGACGGGTCAAATACATGAGTGAGAAGAGTAATTCAGCGGCATAATAAGCATCATTGGTTATTAAACAAGGCTGTGTATGAATTTATCAGCTCGGCTATAACTGAGACAGGATATTGAGGTTCTAAACTTCCATCAAATGGGTTCTACCTAATCCCTACATCGACTCAAGGTCGCACTTGCCTGAGAAATCAACAACAAACTCCAAGACTCATGCCTCTTCTAATCATAAATAGGCCGTAAAATCTTTTCCATCCGACACTGATATCCTCTTTCCAGACTTCTCGATACAGAAATCCAAGGATAAAGTAATGACAAGAAACGCTTGCATACACGCTACTACCGCGCCCATCGGAATGCCAACTACCTAGTTTTTGTCCTTTTTCTGTTGACCGTTTATCGACTTGATCGTCGTCTCTTTGCTGGTGTAAAGTCTTCTTCATTTTCATTCTCATCGTGGGGTCGTCGGAGTGAAGATTCAGCACGTCTTGAGACGAGCTCGCCGATAACATCTCGGCTTCCGATGATATTGCCTGTGCCTTCAACGACGAGGCCAGCATCGACCTCGATCTTCAAGGGTCGAGGACAACCGGATTCATCGATCATTGGAATACCGCACTGTCCTGAGCTTCCCTCGTGTAAAGCTTGCACAACAGCTTTGGCAATAGCATTAGCCTGCTCTGCAGGTGTAGCTACTAGACACACAATATTGTTGCTTCGTGACACATTAATAGATGTATCGATCCGCAAGCAGATGGGTGAGCTGCCCTCAGATGTCTCGTCTTGGTCATCAGAGACATCACCAGAAAGCATTGAAGTGCAGGCGGCTTGTGGATGTGGAGGCCGCTGAATGCTGCCAGAGATGTTGGTGAGTGTGTTTTGTCGTGCTTGGAACATCCGGGCGGCCAGAGAAGAAAAGTCAGGGACTCTTCGTGGAGTATAGGCAGGAGGGGGAGTGTTATCTTTGGGGATGGCAATCTGAGGGTCCTGTGATTGAGAGGTGCTGTTGGGAGCGTCCATGGTCCTGCTAAGGTGTATTGGAAGATAAGATTTCGTGAAGAAGGCAGAGGTTTGTGCCTTCGGTTAAGTGTGTGTATTCTCCTAAGAAGAAGAGAATAGAACAGAAGTTGTAACTGAAGGAAGACGAAAAGCTTGTTGCCGATATGGGAGAGTATAATCCTAGACAAGACAGGACGGTGGTATATAAAGGTTTCTCAACGATTAACCGTTAATGCCAACGGAAAGACAAGAAATTGTCCTCGCTAGAATAGGTAAGACCAAAATCAAGGTGGTGGTCGAGAGCTATGCGCCACGTTGAATAGAGTTGTCTCTGGCTTGCTAGGACTGCAGTGACGCGAGTATGAAGTGCTTTTCTAGATGGGGTTTAACAGATTCAGAGAAAGGTTGCACAGATAAACTATGGGGGAGAGAGGATCTAGATATAGTTGGTCTGAAAGGAGGACAAGAAAAGGGGGTTTATTCGCGTGGTCTGATGTTTGGAGTGTTGGATGGCACAATACAGCACTACCCGCAAAGAATAGGATATATTCTATTCAACAGCTTATTGATTGTCTTGACGTGAGGCCGCGATGGGGCTCTACTATGTACAGCACGGTAGCATAATCAACAGCAAACAACAATCAGAAGAAGAAGCCCCATCTACCCGCACGGGGAGAAGGGGGCGTGTATAAGTGTGGATGTGGGTATGAGAATGAGCAAGACAAAACAAGACAAGACAATACAAGACATGATATGATATGATATGACATGCATGGGTCCATGGCTGAGTCTGAGTCTGAGTCTGAGTCTGTTTCCCGACTCGATCACTCCGTACAAAAGGGTAGGATAATAGGTACGGCCCAGGAGGATGAATGGATCCTGCAGCCTTGTCGGTTCCTGCGAAGCTGGTTTAGTCAAGTACTGTAGGGATCAGGGAGCAAGCCACCAACATAATGCGATATGTCACAAGCAGCACAATAGACGGCCTTCAACTTGTGCGGCAGGGCGTGTTCAGCCATCAACACACCACTTGCAGCCTCTGCCGAAACTAACATCCGTCAGGGCGGGTTCGATGCATTCTGCACTGCATATCATGTATAGAATAGGTACATGCTCCTGTGAGGGATTGGATTTCGGGGTTAATCAGATGCACGTATGTATTATACCATCGTGCTACGTAGTACATGAAAAAACATATTTACATGTACACCCCAAAAGGGCTGAAACCAACGCGAGGACCACCACTCATTACCATCTCCGTGGAATGAAATGGGGATTTAGTACCGGATAGGGCAAGGCGAGTAGCTATCCGCAGGCCTACATTATCATGGATGTCTTGCTTTTTTGATTGTTTGCGGGTCCCATTGCCTATTCATCTTGCGGATGGCTGCATATTCTTCGGTGCTTCTACGTTGCCAGCTTTCTAATAGTTAGCCTAGGTAGCTTTTTATATGCAAGTTTTTGCTTGTAATAAATGATTTGTGAAAGAACTTTTGAAACAGTGTAGACCACATGTGCTCTTTCATGATATGTTGCGATTGTTGTAATTGTTGTAAAGTTTCGGGGATCAACAACAGCCACGGCAACGAATAAACAACCTCCATATCAAAGATAAAGATGATCACTTCTCCAGCGAATGAACAATATCGTTTACAATGCTATTTTTCGTCAAGGCAAAAAAAAAAACCCCCCATTGCCGCCAGCCTTAGCAAAGCACTTCCTATAATGTATTAGAGAGTGTGAATTTATCGAACCCAAAGCCGGCAACGACATCGGCGGTGGAGTGCGGGCACTCAAGGAAGGGAAGGAGGTGCCCTGGATGAGGAAGGCAGAGGTGGATAAGAATAAGAAAAAGAAAACAGCGGAAGGGGTGACGACGGCCTGAAGTGGCTGCTGGGGGCGTGGCTTGGCGGACTGTTGCTTCCTATTGTCCCCAGGTCGCGCTTGGTATTGTTGTCGAATGGCCCCCTAACCCCCCCTAGCTCCCTCCCCCCCCCCCGCCGGTGCTGGAGTCCCGACCGACTGGGCTTGGATCGAGGCACCGACACGGCGATACCTGCCGCACTGCCGCACCTGCCGTCTATTGCTACTTCTATTGAAGCTCACTTCTGGCTTAGCGTCCGTCACACAACTCCACTCTTCCGGACTCCTGCCGCCGCCACAACCACCACCAATCACCACTCACCACTCACTACTCACCATTGGGCTTTTTCTCCCTGACATCAACTCAGCCAACACACACTCACACTGGTGTACTACCCTTACCTAACAATCGACAATAGAGAATCACCTTGTACCTATCCTTTATCAGCATCGCCTCCATCCTTCCCTTGCTGGACTGATGGATACCTATGCACGACCATAAACGGCCACGGGTCACCATCATGCATCACGGCAGGGATGCTTCTCGGACACCCGCAGTCACCTCATCTCAAACCCACCTCAACTTGACCACACCATCTATTCATCTTCATATCAACAAACAATTATATCGTCTACACACACTTTCTAGAATTCGCCGAATAGCCCTGTCCGTTGAATGTCCCAGCACCGAGGCAATGCCCATGCTATCATCACCAACGCCCACCAGGTCCGCGGCGTCACATCTTGCGTCCGCTCCTCCTGCAGAACCAAGCTAGGTGAAGCGAGGCGACCTCCCGCCCGTGTTGACTGCCAAACCGGTTGCTCGGTGCTGCTATCTATTCGAGCTTGGGCCCCCTCCTCCTCCCCCTACCCAATTCCGTTTTTCTGTGCTTCGTTAACCTTCAGCGCCCAGACTGTTGATTCCAGCAGAATGACTACGCTATAACTAATGGCGTGCCGGGACGATCCTCCTCTCATCCGGCCTGCTGGGACTTGACACGCAAGATCACTCAGACATGCTAGGACTTCAAGCCTCCTGCTTACACCTCGGTTAATACCCCCAGTTGATTATTGTTGTTGTGGGTAATCGTATTGTGCAGTGCATGCAGTGCCTACATGTGGAATGGTCAAACGGAGAAAAAAGATCGTTTCATCTATTCACATTCTTGAACCTGAAAGCTTAGGAGGGTATCATCCGGGTATTCAGCCCACTCTTGATACGCCCAGCCTGAGGCCAGCTTGAACATTTTACTATAGCCTCTCGTCAGCAAGTGCCGACACCGTTGGTTGATCAGCCGCCCTTGAGTACCTAGCCCTATTCACATATCTCTTGTGTCAAACAAACAAAGATCTGCATGCACGATGAGGATAATTCCCAGCTCGGTCTTCCATCACTTCCGTTTCTGTTGGTATAACATTGGTTAGAGAACAATGCTTACAGCCGGTCAGTTGTTCCCGTGTTTCATCATACCTTTCGGAACGACGGAGAGCACACGCCCCTCCTTGAGAACCTGTTTGAACTAGCTTTCGCAACTTGGCAATAGGAGTTCAACAACTTGCTCAATTGCATATCGGAGCTTGTGAAACGGTGATCTGGAGCCATTCAACAAACATCATCATGAAGCTTCTGAACATGTCTCGTAATACCACGCTTATGTGAAGAACAAATCCGTCCCTATTTCCCCAGCCTTAAATGTGGCTCGTGGATCACACGCCCTGGCATAGGAGTCTATGTACGGGGGCCAGCATGAAACCTCAAGGAGCCTAAGTCGCATCACATGTGCAAATCCCATCAAGGCATGCCTATGGATCAGGAATTGGCCTAGTGATGCCAGAGTACCCTCTCATGGACAGGTTAAGGCTGCTCTGTTGAGCACTTCTTCGAAGCTGTCCACTCACATACATGAAGAGGGAGACCGTTACCCGACAAGCATCAATACCATGCAGATATCATGTGTGTATGCACCGCACAGAGCACCAGGGTTTCGGATGTAGCTTCCCTAGTCGTAGAGTTTGTTTCCACTTTGTGTTTATACACGTCCCCCCTCGCGATTCAGCGTTCCCGTGAATCTGAACTGTCGAAACCTGCAGAGTGATCTGATCGCCGCCAAGCACATTACGCCATCTCAAGTGTGCTTGAATAGCACGCAGAGCGTGAATCGGGTCCTTTACGTTGTGAGGACTCCATAGCAGAAGGTCACAAGTGCGTCGTCTATTGATCTCGCCTTCGACCGATACCATCCACCAACGCACGCGTCCCTCCCCCAAGTAACACACCATACAGGGAGGAAGGTATCATGTCTCACGCCAAGACCTTGACTAAAGGCACTCTTCTAACCCTTGCTTCGTCGCTCAATACCCCTTTGTCCGTGCTTTTCCCTGCTTAGAGCATGAATTATCTCAATATTTTCGTCAAGCCACTAATACATGCATGAATTCTCTTGATACGCCTAAACACCACACTTGATATTGGTCCAAGACTTCTGAGAGATGATAAAAGGTCCGGAAAAGCAGGGGTACTCCTGAAAAATAGGCTATTATAATACCTATTGTAAGATGTACTGGGAGAATTTGAGAATCCCCACACCATGTGACACAATTACCCACGAGGGAGGCATCTGTATGTACATGCTTTGGCTTCAACAATTTTTCACTCAAGCGCCAACGGCAGATTCAAACGGCCCAGAAGTACAACGGCTTCGTGTCTTTCCCAAGACGATGACCTAGTCATCGCACCTCCCATGCGGGATATCGCGGTTCGCGTCTACCAAAGGGTCGCGATTGATCATATATGGTTCCTGACGTTCCTTGAGCTTTGCGGAAGCCAAGGTTTTCGGACCCAACTCTGCCGTTCCTATTTCAGATCTCGGCTACCTGATTGTCTATGGTCGAATGCTCAGCCTCACTGATAGGGGGGTATTGGAATGAAGTTATCGTCAAGTTGTTTCGAGAAAAGTCGAATGTGTTTAAGACAAGTTTGAGAGATTCTGGGCATAGCCACAGCCTCCCGGAACGAGACGTTGATCTTTGATCAGTCAATGATGTGGCACGACAAGCCGGACACAATCAAGAGGAATAGTATCAACTTTCCACCCCTCCTTACTTGTTGCTCCGTGTGTAACAATTGGAGTGTGTTGGGGATGATGGTAACCTTCCATGAGGCCACTTTCACCCCAGAGTACCTAACTTCCTAGGTGCCACTGCAAGCCACATCGGAGTACGGCCCGCAGAACTTCACATTGAGAGCTCTGCGTTCGAGAGTTATCTCTTTTCGTCTTCATGCAAGGAGCTTCTTGCCTCACTTGAGTTACACAGGCTCCATGCACTTGGCATATTCAGGTGGCATTTTTGAAGAGCAGACATAATAGCAAACATGGCTCAGAATACAATTATTCCAGTACCCAAATCCGCACCTGCGTATTGTTCAGATCCGTTACTATCCACATGCGTCCATCTTGGCAGGCAATGATAGGCACATCACCATCCTGTTTGGGCATGTAGCCTGCCTCACTACACTTTACCCAACCATGACTTTTGACGCAAGCCCGCTTGTTGCACAAATCAAAGATCTAGTCTAGACCTTCTATTGATCAACAGCAATATCATGTGTGATAGAAGCATGACATCACTTGCAGATGGCTTTCAAGTTTAAAATGAGTACTTGCTACTCACAGGGAATGTTTCGGTAGTTTAGTAAGGCTTTCTACAATTCATACTCATCACGTCTGGTCCAAGCCCGGGAAAGCTCTGTATTCCAAGAAAAACGGGAGAAGTGGTCTGCTTGCTACAAACAGTCGATGGTTAATAGATGTCATGATGAGAAGGGATGAGACACGGGCCAACTGTGGTATTGCCGCCAGCACTATGACCAAGTGAGTGAACGTGAGCATGAGAGTTTCAGCTTTCCGTTTGCGGCCAAGGCTATCATGACACCGTCCGATATCGGATTGCGTAGTAGGTCAAAGGGTTCAAAGGGTCCAAAGGGTCCAGTAGTAACATCTAGACTTCACAAATAGAAGAGGTTCGTCATGATTCCCTTGAAATGGTTTCTTTCTTGGTTCTAGCTGCCGTCTGCATTCACGGCGACAGGGCATATCTATTATCATCCCTTCAAATCCTTCTATCTCCAAGATCGGCTCTTTGGTCGGCGATCCATCCAACCTTCACTGCATCAGCTCAGCTAGAGATCCAGGAAAGAAAAAGATGTTGAAATTCTTTTGTTTCCTCGTCAAAACGCCGCGCTCACATGGATGCGTCGTCTTTTTGTCATTCCCTTTGTCGTGGTATCGTTATAATGCAAGTCTCTTTGACTTTTTTTGCTTCGCCTCACAAATGCAGGTTTGCCCTAACATGTCTTTGTTGAAAGACGCCCACTCCGTGCCTGGTATATCGCGAAAGAATCTCCACAGTCGTGGAACCAAAATAGTTTTTTGGTAGAAATCATAAACAAAAAAAAGCCGGAAACCGACCGTCCTCCCTTCCGGTGGGAGATACACAGGTTTCGTTGAGAACCGTACGCCGCCTATAGTTGCTAAATCCAATGGACTAATTAAGCATCTGTTATGATGCATGCAGAGAGCTGTTGAATACTCTTTTGGTGACTTGACAAAACGTCATGAGTCAATTTAAAACTTGAGCTGCTTGGGCTGCTCCCAGGTGAAGGACTGGTTGGTACCGAAGTGACCGTTCTTGGCAGTCTGGAGGTAGATGGGGTGGTCCAGGCTGAGCTCACGAACAATGACACCAGGTCGGAGATCAAAGTTGCTGCGGATGATCTCAACAAGCTCCTCGGAGTTCTTCTCAGAGGTGCCGTAAGAGTCGACGTAGATGGACAGGGGCTCGGCGACACCAATGGCGTAAGAGAGCTGGACGAGGGCACGTCGGCAAAGACCGGCGGCGACCAGGGACTTGGCGATCCATCGACCGACGTAGGCAGCGGAACGATCGACCTTGGAGAAATCCTTTCCAGAGAAAGCACCACCACCGTGGGCACCCCAGCCACCGTAGGTGTCGACGATGATCTTTCGGCCGGTCAGACCAGCATCACCCTGGGGACCACCAATGATGAAGAGACCAGAGGGTTGGATCTGATGATAAGGTTAGACATTGAGTTGGTTTAAGTATGGAAAGACTTTTAACTTACGTGGTAGATGGTATCTTCACTGAGGTACTTGGCGGGGATGACCTTCTTGATGATCTTCTCCTTAATCTCCTTTCGGAGCTCCTCGGTGGTGATATCAGGAGAGTGCTGAGCAGAGACGACGACAGTGTGGACACGCTGAGGGACAACGGCACCGTTGTCGTGCTTGTACTCGATGGTGACCTGGGTCTTGGTGTCGGGTCGGAGCCAGGGGAGAGAACCGTCGCGGCGGGCGGCGGACATGGCAGCGTTGAGCTGATGGGCGAAGAGGAGAGTGAGAGGGAAGAGCTCAGGGGTCTCGTCAGTGGCATAACCGAACATGATACCCTGGTCACCAGCACCAAGCTGCTCAAGAGCCTTCTCGTAGTGGAGACCCTGGGCGATATCAGGGGACTGCTGCTCAATGGCGACGAGCAAGTTGCAGGTCTTGTAGTCAAAGCCCTTGGAGGAGTCATCGTAACCGATGTCCTTGATGGCGTCACGGACAACCTTCTGGTAGTCGAGCTTGGCCTGGGTGGTGATCTCACCGAAGACCATGATCATACCGGTCTTGGTGGCAGTCTCGCAAGCAACCTTGGAGAGGGGGTCCTCCCGGAGGCAGGCATCGAGGATAGCGTCGGAAACCTGATCAGCGATCTTGTCGGGGTGGCCCTCACCGACGGACTCGGACTGGTTGATTGTCAGCGACTGAAATAAGGGATAATGGGAACCTTGCGACAAAACCACATCGATGGATCCGATAAGGATTCGACGAGATGGCTCATGGGCGAAGGAACTACGAGATAACGTACAGTGAAGAGGAAAGAGCCCTCGTTGTAATGCTTCCATGAAGCAGGATCGGCGTGAACGCCGTTGGTGCCGTTGGTAGCAGACATTGTGAGGGTTGTGAGGAGAGATGGCGGTTAAAGATGGGCAGACACGGAGAAGTCTGTGGTGGTGACGAGGGAGATAGAGTCACTGAGGAAGCTTATTGTTAGATAAATTGGCAATGATAGCAATTCAGAATCAAGGCGAAAACATACCAAGGAATAGTAGACACCGAAGGAGGGAGAAGATAAGAGAGGATGAAGAGGATGAAGAGAAGGAGGAAAATAGAAAAAGAATCGAGCGGGAAGTAGTACCTTAAAGAAAAAGGCGGGAAGGAGGGGGATGTGCGAATACGTTGTTGCAGGCTTTATTGTGAGCGAAGTGGGGGTGGGAATTTTACTGACGGGAGGTCGGAGAGATAACTAGCTCGGCAAGGATTTTTTCTTCCTTCTCTCTACTCATGGTGCTGTCCTTTGACATGGCCAGGATAAAATCTTACTCGAGACTTGGGCAATGGCTCGATTTACCACCTGCGTGGCAGTTATCTCAATGTACCTTTTGATTCAATACTGAGCGCTACGATACAATTGAAAGACCTCTTTGGCCCCGAACTCGAAAAAGGCGGGGAGCGACAAAAAAGAAAACTGCCAATGCTTTTTTTTGTTGAACGGCCGTCGGGCGCAGCAGTCTTGGATCTACAGGGCCCCTACTCATAGGGGAGTACCTGGGCTTAGTATGAGGAGCTAGCGTCAATGCCAGGTACACACCCTATCGTGGCCTGTGAAAGGGTAGGCTTTCGGCAGCCGCTGCCCAGGACAATGGAGGGGCAAAATGACACTTGGAAGGTGAGAAAAGGCACATTGTTCGGAAGCCGAAGTTTGTGGCAGTATTGCGCCATCGCACCTGCCGTCAAGAACACCTCGACATCTTACTACCTATCTTACCTGCTTACTGCCTAGGTATCTAACCAGGGCAGTTGCAGTTCAGGCTAGGTAGGTAGGTACGGAGTACAGACTTGCCAATCCTGTTGCCGGTCTCTACTCGTACTCGTCTCTCCCCGCTTTCCCCTCCTTCAAGTTGGGATATCCGGTCGAAGGAACAATGGACCATTAGTTGCCGAACCTATCAGCCTGGATCCTCAATCCTTTGATGCAATAATCCTTGACCAATTCCCTGACTGATTGTCAGACACGTGCACCGATGTCCGGAGAAGACAATTGAGTGGATGAAAGCCACTAACAAAGCCATCATGATGGCGCAAGTTTATCATAGGCATGATAACCTAACTAGCACAGCATGGCAAAGCAAATAGATACATCTATGGAGTAGAGGCTGAGAAGCAACCCTTCTTTTTTTCTTAAACTTTTTTTTTCCGCGCCAAAGAAGGAGGGGCAAAAACGGAGGAAAGAAGGAAAAAAGAAGAAGAAAAACATCCGAATTTTTACCCCACCATTCCAGAACATGATGACCTTCCGTCGCCTTTGAGCGGGACGTCAACCATCTCTCATTGAGAAATCAGTCGAGCTAGAGTCGCGGTTAGTGCTAAATATTAACTCCTTATATCATTCACGGACGGAGTACGGAGTACAAGCACATCATTTCCTGCCCGTTGTTCTCTTCTCTTTTGCTAGGTAGGTAGATCAGCCCCTCCAAAGTGGAGCTGCTTAGAAACTCTACAGGAACTTAGCTCCCAACTTCGAACCCTGGGAGCTACCTAATCGGAAATCCTTTGTCCCTTGTCAAACCTGACGCAAAAACCACCAACTACATCATCGCCATATCTATATCTTCAAAATGAGCAAGTTCGGAGCTATGGTCATGGGCCCTGCGGGCGCGGGCAAGGTACGTGAACTTGTCATTTCCTCTTGACTCATACAAGCCTACATTTGCATTTCGCTTATTTTGTTGAGTTACCGCCTATTTGCACATCCTCGCTCCCATCATGCTGCCTCGAATTGCGTGCTTCAATATTGGCCCTGTCATTAAATTAATGCGCCTCAACTAACTCTAATTCGCGTCGCGTCTAGTCTACCTTTTGCGCCGCCCTCATCACACATCTCAACCTCAACCGCCGATCCGCCTTTTACATCAACCTCGACCCTGCCGCTGAAACCTTTGAGCACCAGCCCGACCTCGATATCAAGGAACTTATCTCTCTCAAAGATGCTATGGAAGAGGTTGGCCTCGGCCCCAATGGTGGCCTTATTTATTGCTTTGAATTCCTTATGGAAAACCTCGACTGGTTGACAGAAGCTCTGGATGGTTTAACCGAGGACTATCTCATCATTTTTGACATGCCTGGCCAGATAGAGCTGTATACGCACGTTCCCATTCTGCCCGCCCTGGTCAAGTTCCTCTCCCAGCCAGGTTCCCTCGATATCCGCATGGCCGCTGTCTATCTCCTCGAAGCCACGTTCGTCGTTGATCGCGCCAAGTTTTTCTCAGGTACTCTCAGTGCTATGAGTGCTATGCTCATGCTTGAGGTGCCGCACATCAACATTCTCTCCAAGATGGATCTTGTTAAGGGGCAGGTCAAGAAGAAGGACCTCAAACGCTTCCTCACCCCCGATGTAGGTCTCCTCGACGATGACCCTATGGAGCGCGCGCGTCGCATTACGGAGGGTCCTGAGGCCGAGGACGACGAATCGAAGGCTCCCGATGAGAAGGAACAGGTGATGAAGGGTGCTAGTTTCCGACGACTTAACCGCGCTGTGGCTGGCTTGATCGAGAGCTTCAGCATGATCAACTACCTCAAGCTGGACGTGACCAATGAGGACAGCGTCGGTGCTATCCTGAGCTACATTGACGACTGCATACAATTTCACGAGGCCCAGGATCCTAAAGAACCACATGACGAGGAATACGAAGAGCATGACGATTAGTGTGGAAATGATAGTAATGGGAAAATGTCAGGAAAAGGGAATTTGTGGTATCTCGATACTTGTATTGCATAGCGCCGGCGTTACTGTTTGCTTCACGTTCCGAGACTGAACTGAGCTTGGACACTATTTGCCGTTCTCTCAGCTCACCTCCCTAGACTGCCCGTGCCCGTCTTCCACCTCTTTCGTGATAATGATCCGAACTCTTGGATATATAATAATTACTCGTCAACCCTCAACCGGCGTTTTCGGGTTTCTCTTTTGGGTCTGCAGTCTGCACTTGAGAGTGGTCAGTCAGACGAGGCAAGGATAGAGTTCATGCCAGATATGCTTTGCCAGACCCTCCTCCGGACCATTCAAGTCCAAAGCGCAGTATTTGCCACAAATCAATTGCCGGCCCTTGTCATCTTCTTCTTAACTTCATTATGCTGGAACAGCTCCTTCATCTTGTTCAATGGGCCCAAGTATCCGGTGTCGTCTTAAACAAATATCTGCAACGCTCATTCTGCCATCTGTATTCGGATTCCCAGGTGCCGTTGTCTTCGTGAACCCATGTGAAATATGAGTTTGTTACTTTAAGGTATGGAGAAGCGTATTCCAGTGTTTATCTGATACAGGACCATATCGTTTTGTCCCATGCGGCAGTCGGGGAGGCTTTGATACGACATCAACCATATCTGGGATTCTCGTCGCCATCCTGGTATTTTTGGTTGGCCGTTCGTGATGTATGAGGAAAACTGAATGTTCTCTGTGGTGGAAAGTTGGGAATGGGTAAGAAAGTAGGCAGCTCGATGATGTATACAATTAATGGAGTATTATCCGCATGGAAAGGGGACTGCTGCCTGCATCAAGTGTCCGACTCCATGTGCTTTTAAGTGTCGAGTAAGTGATAGGAAACGTGTTCGGGCGTGTTGTGTGGAATCCATAAGTAGGTCTTTTCTGGGGGAAGTTGATGGCGTGACTGGCCTCGTTGGGGGGGGTGGGGGATGAACCAGCAACAGGCAAATTCAAGAGAGAGCATCCCTAATGCCTGTATTTGGGTAGGGTTGCTGAATGGCTAAAGTCCGAAGGAATCGACTCTGAGGAACAGATCACCTCGATCGTCGTCCGGAAGCTGTATCTCTTGTTCCACTCATGCCCTGTTGCGCCTCATAGCGATCATACTCCTGCAGCCAGACATCCTTGATGGCAGCGCCATAGCCCAGGATCTTGCCGCTTATGACGGCCATATCTCTCGCACTCTCAAACACACCACGCTCCCAGATCCAGGCCCCGAGCGCAGCCAGAAAAGCCCAGAACACGATGCGCATCGCCATGCGCGTCCACCACATAAGCAGACGGCGGATCCAGTTGAGAATAATCACAACAGTAGCGAGGACGGCCAGCGACGCGACGACGCCGACAAGGCCCTGGTTTTCTGCAAGGAGGACCATGACGCGGTCGAATAGAGGCTCAATAATAGGCGCAGCCGAGTCGAGGAGGTTCTGCGCCTGGGTGAGGACGTTGTGCGCGACGATTTGGACGGGTGAGCGTGGATGTAGGATGTGTTTTTGGATGGACTCGGCGATCTGCGGAGGTAGCAGCGCTGAGAGCAAATGCGTTGCTAGTGACGGAGGTTCCATTGAGGGCATTTTGGCGATAGTCGATGATCGATGTTTCGTCGATGTAGGGTTTGGGATTGATGCTGATGTTGGTGGGGCGTGAGAGTGAGGGTGTTTGGATTTCGTGGCTTTTCTGTGTGAACGTCCAGGGTAGTTGTGAGGGTGAAGTTGCGGTCTAAGACAGGCACTTCAATCAGGTAAGCAGTTCCCCCTTGTTCACAGTCGTGGTGTACCTAGGCAGACTAGTCTGTTGGTTAAATAAATATTCCTGGGTATTATTTAATGGAAAGATCATGTTTGAAAAACCTTGCGGTGAAGAGCCTGTTATAAACTGTCAAATTGCCAGGAAGTAATATTATGCAATGTTCCTAGATCATGCCTAGGTACCACCGGGAGTTTGACACCGTGTTGTATGACATAGCCCAAGTCACATGCAAAATGATAACCTACTTGAGCGAAACATCACAGCACGGACCATCAGCTGAAAAAATTGTCACACGAGCATCGCTAAATATGGATGTACTTCGATTGTAAGTGTAACAAATAACGAGTCGTTAACGTAAATATATACAAAGAACAAAAAAATAGTCCTCTAGAGATCATAAGGTTTTAAAAAATAAAGCAGCAATCGCTAGACTCGAAGGGTATCGAACGCAAACCTGGTCTCATCCAAGACGGGTCTCAACTCCATTTTCTCCAAACGAGCATCATCACATGTGATAATGTCCCCTATCCCCTCTCATGATGAGTGCCATGCGAGAAAAATACCAACATTTTTGAAACCCCGCGTTGTTTATAAGTGCTCAAAAATTCCTTTTCAGTCTTCAAGGCCTTCGAGTATGCGTCGGGCGGTATCAATCCTTCGGCGATACATGCGCGCCTCTGAACCGGCCCTTGAGGATTCTGTCAACCCCAAGACGCACTTCCCAAGACTGGCCACGAGCCTCTCTACCAAGATCTGACTCTCCTTGTCAAGCCCCGGCACAGCGGAAGCATTGCCGTTGTTTTGGCCGTTCTCAATGCCACCCAGGCTCGCTGCTTCATTTAGCAGATTTTGGGAGATCTGCCTGAGCTCCGAGTCGGGCGATGCCCCAGGAGTGCTGCTAGTAGGCGTCAAGATCCCGTTGGCCCCCTTGCTTTTGTCAACAAGTGGGAAGCTTCGATTTGTTCCCGTAGATCCGAACGACGACACCGAAGGCCGATGGCGTGCGTAGGTAGCTGCGCTGCTAGCAGGTCGATGAACCACTGTAGCACGCCGGGGTTGGTTTTGATGTAAATCAACAGAACCATTCCTGGCATTGGGCTTCGACAAAGGGAACTTGAAGCCCCCAAACGTCGTGCGCTTTGAACTCCGAGGCCCGCCGGAATCATCTGGTACATCGACAACGGTCTCTGTAGTATCATCAAGATTTGAACTTCGACTCGAACGACCTTCGGTGGCTGTGGTAAACGAGCTGAAGGATGACATGGTGTCAACGCTTGGCCTTCGTTCATGGTCAGAGTCGAAATCGGTAGCTGGAGCAGGAACTGGACCACGGGTTGTCTCAACAGAATCACCCGAGCACACACTGCTCCAACTATCTCGTCGATGCTGGCTCATCGATCCCATTGCTGAGTGCAAGAAGAAATGCTCGTAGTCGAAGGCATCCTCGCGATCCTCGTGAGACACAGGAACTTGGAATGCATCGTGGTATGATGACTCGCCGCTTTCGCTCTCAAAGTCCACAAACTCGTCGTCATCGTCATCGTCCATATCGTTTGCGTGCCCGCCGTTTTGTAGGTTGTGTTGTTGCTCTACTTGCTTCACCTCTTCCCCGTCTTGTTCCAAGTCCCCTTCCCATGTTTCGCCGTCATCAATCATGTCGTCGTCGTCTTGCGCGTCAAGTTTGTCTCCCAGGTCGGGTTCTGCAGCTAGTCGAGGAGACACCACATCATCGTGGATTATAGCATCGCCCGACATTTCAGGGCCGCTGGGGGTATCTTCGTACTCAGCATCCACGTACTCGTCATCTGCCGCCTTGGTTTGTTCCAACTCAGAAGCACCATTTGTATCATGCTTAGGTGAAATTTGATCATTCGTCTTATCTTGGGACTCCTGTTTCCAAGGTGGTAGAAAGGGACTAGTTTCCGGTGTAGTATCTTGGGATTTTCGAGACTCCGGAAATCCTTGATCCCATCGTGCGTGGGTGAACGGGCTGGGAGTCCTCAGACTTTGCAGACTACGGCGTTTCAAGCTGTCGGCCCTTGCCTGCTCCTTGAGGTTGGAAATCTTTCCCTTTAAATCCTTCATTTGATGCTTCAAATCGCGGACTTGAGCAACTGATGCAGATCTGGGCATATCCGTGTCTGTCATGGATCCGAAAGACGGACTAAGCTGGTTAAAATTATAAGAGCTGCGTCGACTGTCCCCGTTCGCGCCACCCTCATCTTCGCTCAAAGTTTCCAGCGTGGGATCAAGAACGCCTGTAGGACTCCTGTAAGAGGAGGCACCGTAGCCTATTCCTAGAGTATCCGCACTTCTGGATGAAGTTAATGGCTGGCGATAGCCTCCAGCAGCTCCGAGGGCACTGGCTGATCGTTGCGGGAACCCTGGGCTAGGAAGGGCGTTTTGTAAGTTGTTCTCGCTGGTATTCCTAGAATGCCCTTGAGCTGAGTCCTGTGTAGTAGACTCTCGTAAGGATGTCGCAGGCCGCACAATTGGGGGAGACGGAGTCGAGCCGTCCGACATTGGCGTATATAAAGAGCTTCTTGCTCTTGATAGATTTCCCTCCATTTTCTGAAACATTGTCAGTGCTGAACATTTGTTTCAACGATTGAACCATACCGTTAATCTTTGCTTGGCGTTTGCCAGAATCTGCTCCGCCCTTTCACCAAGAGAACTGGTCGAATAGCGTTGTTCTACGGTCTCCTGGGCACGATGTACGAGTACGTGCATGGGTTCTTGTGTAGCTGTTCCCTCAACATATGATGAAGCCATACTCTCCTCGTCGTCGCCCTGGAAGTGAACATCGTCGACACTTGCGGAGTCGTCAAAGTCGCCGAACGTTGCCGCACGGCCTTGCGATGTAATTGTGCTGTTAGAATCGATCGATGATTTTCTCTCGCGCTGCAAGATCTGTGATCTTGATTTGATGCGCGATACGCCCATGGTGGGCGAAGAGCCCAGGACGTGATCCTCATTGCTGTAAACGGACAAATGCGAGCCGCGCCGCCCCTTTCCCACCACACTCTCGACTTCTGTCACCTCTCCAATATCCGACAGCATAGTACCGTTTCCATATATGATTGGCGTAGAAGGAGTGATGGGTCCGGCGATAAATTGGTTTTGCGTGGAAGGGAGATGGAAGCGCATATCGGTAGTTTGGGGATTATTCCATATCCTGAGAGGCGACTGTGAGCGACCATCGAGGGAGACATTGCAATCGTAATCGGGTAAGATCATATCGGGGTTCGTGAGAGTTGGCGAGCCGGGGACTGGCCCGTAGCCGAGTGACGAGCCCGAGCCAGACTTGCCATGACGGACATCGCGACTGTAGTTGGGGATTGCATGTGCCGCCATGATTTCTATGCCTGGCGCTGCCGGAGACAGAAAGCGAATCGAGAATTAAGATTGTCGAATGGTTAGCCGGAAGAACAATGTCTTGTTTCGTAGCGCGCTTAAGAAGCTGCTGGGCAGGCTTTTAGAACACGGTATCAGTCCCAGCTCGGTTGCGCATGCGAGTCGGCGTCGGGTTGTAGCAGGCTTGTTGTGTTTCTTGTTTTAAGGGTGTACAAGATGGTGATTTGATGATATTAGAGATGATGTCTCAAAAGTGAGACTCTGTCAGTGGGAAGGCGGTAGCGTAGCGCAAGGAAGGAAAAAAACAAGAAGCGGGTGATGGAAACCGGGATGCCGATCGGAACAAAGAAAGGAAAGTAGGTAGTCGAGTAAGGAGCGAATGGATGAACGAGGCGTCAATTAGAGTAGAAATTAGGTAGTTTCAGCAGGTAATCAAGGAAGTTGCGAACAAAGGGAAGGTCCTGTTCGTGAAAGGCGCAGTCAGCTAGAAACCCAATTAGGCATGTCCTGAGAACCTCCGTGAACTGAGGGGAGAGAGAGTAAAGAGTCAAAAGTATCAAGGAAAAGCAAACGTAGCGCAGCAATTAGACGTGACGGCGATACCTAGATGACCTTTGGGGACGGGACGAGCTAAAACTTGGGTACGTACCGGTTTAATTGAGCACGGGTGGGCTGGACCGACCTGGACATGGACCTGCAGACGACTTCATGGACCCTCCAAGTTAATTATTAGACCCTCTATGCAAGCCTGGCAAGCTACTCTCCACCAACTATGAGCAGTTAGACAGTCCGACAACCCCCATAAACATATCCGTAGAGTGGATATATAATAGCTTGGACAATGTTTACATATAGTAGGAAGAACCCGTCAAGTCCATACATAGGTACGCAAAGTCACGAAGACTCAAGGAACCAAGGAACTCAATCGCACACGCTTAGGTTCCCCAACAGCCCAATCAATCAAATCAATCAATGCCTTGGCCTGTGGCGTCGGCGCCAGCGCCAGATTTAGAGGCAAGGAACCACTGAAGAACTGGCTGGGCCGTTGCGCAAAACGGGAAACATGGGGGGGGGGGGGGGGGGGGGGGGAGGAGGGAGGGGCCTGTTTGGCGTTTGGCGGCACTTGGCTTTTCTTTGGTATCGTTCTGAGGTTTTGATTGGCGCGCTGATCAAGTTGCTAGTCAACCAAAGAATGAAACAACGGTGCACATATAGGTAACGCCGCGCGTAGTGAACAATACTGACGATAAAAGACATAGGGACTCAAGAGTCGTACAGAGAGTTACAAGGAGAACCCGTCATACACAATAGGTACCTACATAAACACACTGCACGCTGCACGACATACTAACTGTTCTCCCCCCTCCCGAAAGAAAGGGATAGTAATTGATACATGATGATAAATGGATCCATTAACAAAGCGCAGATGCTCACCAATTAGGTTGCGTACTCCGGTACTATGGATATGAGATAGACTGAGCTGATCGACATGTTGCACCAAGCAATTTCCATCCCTATTGTTATAGACCGGGATTAGCAACCAAGAAACGCAAGGGCGCACTGGAGAAAGGGGCGCCAGCTCAACCCACTGTTATGCCGGGATATGCCTCTTTAGGAAAATTTCTAGAATGTTTACGGATATCTGGACGACTATCTTAGCTTAATTAAACTTCTCTACCCCAGGTATCAAGCCACCTTGTTTCATTACAGTAGTCCGATGAGAAAAGGAAAAAGAAAACGTGTATGAAATGAGATACGATAACTCACTATTTTCAGTAATGAAATGATCAAAATAAACAAGAGTTGAAGGTCTGCAATGTACTACGTAAATGTGGTAACGAACGCATCACACGTCATCTTGAAGATCTCTAGACCTCTGCCAGCCATTTCATCATGGCGCCCACCACAATCAGGCCGCTTTCAATAAGAGACGCCTCAAAAAGTCTATTACGAAAAGCAGGCCTCGTATTAAATCAGCTGCCCCAAAATTAGACACAAGATTCAGCTGCCAAGCCATCAGCTGCGCTCTCCAGTATTCCGCAGCCCAGGGGATACAGACATGTACACGTCTATTTCACGAATTATCGCGGCAACCATGATTTCCCCCTTCAATCATACCCTTGTTCCATTTTTTTGATATATCCCATCTATAGCAACTCCTAAATAAATATGCATATGCATTTTCCTTGTTTTCATGTCAAAGCATTGATCCCCATAACGTTTCGTTTTCCATGTCTATTCCAAATCAATCGCAACATCCGTCTCACGGAATCCATTTTTCCTTTCTCAGTTTCAGTGTGTGGAACATCTCAGCGTGTGGAACAAGCTTTTAGTCGTCGGCGAAAGCCTCAGCCCGGGCGTCGACACTCTTCTGCGACTGATCCTTGGAAGGTCGGTTGGCAATGAGGCGCTAGATAAGTTAGTATCACAAGCTATGCTATATGGCTGGTAGGGGCAACTTACGACCAGGTTCCTCAACAGGATGGCAATGGTAACCTTGCCGACGGATGGCACGTAGATAGAAGCCTTCTCCTTGATGGCGGGGCCGTCAAAGTTCCTGTACGAGGAGAAGTTGATGCAGACAGCACCGTCGCGGATGAGTTCGGTGGGGACCTTGAAAGACTCGACGGGGACACCTCCAATGACAACGTCGCTGAGAGGCAGGCAGTCCTCGAGCTTCCAGCCCTCCTTGTCTTCAACCTGGTGGCGGGCCTTCTTGATACCCTCTCCTCGGGTGAAAATCTGGACACCAGTGACGTCTACGGAGTAGACGGTGGCACCATCGTTGGCAAGGAGGGCAGCGAGAGGTCGGCCGTTGACCTCAGATCGGTTGATGACAGTGATGGTCTTGCCGAAGAGTCGGTTGCCGGATGCCAAGATGGGGTTGTAGATCTGCAGATACTCGAGGATCTTGACAACAGCGAGAGGAGTACAAGGAAGGATGGACTTCTTGAGGTTCTCGGGAGGGTCAATGAAGCGAATGTTGTGGTACATGTTGTGGATGTGCTGATGCTTAAGACCCTCGACGTCCTTGCCGAGATCAACCGACTCCTGGATGTACCTGTCGTGGGATGGGTTGTTGGGGAAGATGGGGTAGTATACGATCATGCCATCAACATCCTCGTCCTCGTTGGCCTTCATGATCTCCTCTTCGAGGATCTCCTTGTCCACAGTTCGGAGGTTAAAGTTGAAGCCGCTATGCTACAGATTAGCGCCAGGCCAAGGGGCAAGCATCACCCGATAGACAGGGCGATATGACAAGCCGTGTTGATAGAGGAATATCTCACTTCTCTTCACATGTCTTCTTGGACCACTCAGCATACTTGACAGCAGCGGGATCGCCATTGGCGAGGAAAGCAGCCAGCGTAGGGGTGCAGGGGTTGGAGCCTTGGATCTTGGCCAGTGTATCCTTGACCTCACCAAGGAAGCCTTTGGCGATGGTCTCAGCAGTGATGACCTTGCAGGTCTTTGGGATGGTTGAGGAAGCCATTGCAAAAGTTCTCAGTGTTAGACTGCGAAAGCAGGTGGTTATCTGAGATGTCATGGTCAGTTACATGTATTTCTTTTTTGTTTTTTGCAGTATGATATATCTCTTGTCTCGTCTCATATGGATACGAAGCCTAACCTCAAGGTGAAGGCACACCGAGAGCAACCCCACACTAGACTGGTCATGACAGACATGAGCCGTACTACAGCCCAGCCCTTGTGAGGGGGAGGAGACATGATGCCGTCAGGGACGGCCTTTGAGCACGTGATGAACGACTAAGACATGGCAGAAAAGTTCACATACCTTGTGGACAACAGGTTGGATTCCAACTCTGAGCAGAAGCTGGGATAATTGAAGGAGAAAGAAGAGCAACAATCACAAGTAAAACGCTCCCCCACCAGAGAATAGAGAAAATAAATCTCCTAGCGATCGGCCATGGAGGGGCATCTTCAAGCAAAATGGTTTGCGCAAAAAAAATAAAAAATTTCAGACCCTTCTGTCCTCCAGTAAGAGTTCAGAGTTCGGCCTGCCCCTCTTACTGCATAGGGTTTAGCGCTGTGATGTTGTCAGAATGCATGAATCTCTCCAAGTATTCGCAAAGCTTCTCAGGTCCAAGACTTTTAATCATTGGGAAGCCAAGCTGTGAAACTTGAGGCCAGAGGGAAAGAGGAATCATAATTCAAACCTGAATTAAAAGTGTGATGATATACATGTTCTTTTGGTGTGTAGCGACAAGCATCAATCTGTCAATGTTATTTCGCGACTATCCTGTAGGGCTCTTCTAGCCTGCATTCCTTCTGCCGACTTCGGCGTCTGGCTTAATTGACCAGTTCCACTTACGACATCATGGCTATTGGCAGCCCGAAGTGCTAGACAACTCAGTACAATACTTCCAGAAGAAAAGAAAGAATTAAAAATAAAGACTTCGACAATGCAGAAATGCCAAGGAATGTTCCAGTTCGTACGCGTCCAAGCGGACGGTTTGTGTAATTTGCAAGGTCAGCTTATTCCAATTTAACACAGCTGTCCAACAGCCTGAATGGCCACGCTGAGACGCCTTGTGGCTATTTGGCTTTCGCTAGTCGTCGAGTTATTGAAAGGATTGGCCATAACCTTACCATTACAAGCATGACGAAGCTTTTTAATACTGCGCTGGACATTCCATTGATTCTTGGGGAACAGTAAGTGTTTGTGTATTGGCGACTTGTTCACTGAGAAGCACAGTTTCTGTATCAAACAATTCGTCCATCACGCCAGCATCAATGCTCTCAATGATAGAGTCTTTGCGACAGAAGACACAGTTCGTCTATCAGAATAAAAGACTCTTCTGGGCCATTCGCAAGCCTTTTAAATGCCAGCCCAAATACAATACAGTCCCGAGTTCCGACCCCAATCCTTGACACGACACCACCACAACTTAACGCCCGCGACGAGATAGGACAATTCCCTCGCGCTTTGCCGTATATGGCTCAATCTTGACTTTGGGCCTAGGAAATCGTTCATCCAGATCGCTGCTTACCTCCGTTCTCCCCCAAGGGGCCTGTCTCCCTTTATCGTGGACGCTGCAATTATATATATGGCCTTACCCCGCCGCTCTTTGCTCCGCGGAGATTCGCATTTCAACGCCCAAAACAACCACCAAACGCCCTTATCTCTCTCCAACTGGCCTGCCTAGCCTGCCCCTGGACAAGCCACTCTACAGCGACTAGGGGATCGCATAGCCTTGCTACCTTGTCACCCCTTATCGCGGCTCTTGTTGATCGCCCGTCCTGCAGCCGTTGCACCCCCCGGCCAATGGCATGTTGGATATTTGAACACGGACGTACAGCTTATCAGAGGTGAACTGCTGCTTGGCTTGCAGCTAGGTGCTGGCCAGGTTAGTAGCTTCGGCACATGGTCGTCCAAACACCTGGGTTAGTAGCTTCGGCACATGGTCGTCCAAACACCTGGGAATGCTGCAGGCCTTATCTTGCCATGTCTACGCAAGGATGCGTCTCGCTCTCCTGATTTGCATTTCTTCGAGACATGCGTGGGATCCCAAGAAAAAAAGCACATGTCAAATACCACCCGCCTGGCCTTATCTCTACTGGGTAAATCTAGTTTGAACAATTGGCTGCCCATTCTCACTTGGTTGATTGAACCTTGACTCTTAAATCCCGTCCAAAAGCTGCCAGGGGGCTCATAAGCTGGTATTATAAAGCTTCAGAAGGAATCGCGAATATACTCTCATAACTACTGTATATACACCTACAGCAAGTGCTAGCAGTCAGTGAGCGTCAACACGTTTGGAGGCTTCGACGTTATCAACTTATCAACGACTGAGGCTCTGTAGCATTGCAGCAAAACGGCCCGCTCTTAGCCTCCGTCATCAGCCCAGTTCTTATCGGATTAACAAGCTCTCGTGTGTAGGAATCTGTGTTAAGCATCTCCGGGGCTCCGGATTATCGCTGCCCTACTCAACCCATTGCACCTCCGGATGAGACAATATGGCCGCATAGTCTTATCGATTCTAAAACCCCACAGACAAGTTCTAGGAGAATCCGGAGAAACACATCTTGATAGTCTTGACAACCTGGAGTCGCAAGATATACGATATACTTGTTCTATATATGTTCTGAGCATTGTCCTGGTCAAAGAGGTTATTCAAGCTCAACATCCACAACCAACACAGAGACAAGAAAAACTCTTTCAGCTCTTACAAATTATCTCAGTTGTTTTCAAAAGAGTCGAATTGGTTGTCTTGAGTCTTAGCAAGTCTTTTCATAACTCCGTTCAAGATGGGTTTTCAAATCGCCCACCTATGGAAGACCCCTGAGGTCAACCCCATCAGCCGAAAAGCACGAAGTGTACCAATGCTCAACCCAGTCGACGTCTATGGCAGAGTATTCACTTTCTCCTGGCTCGGTTTTATGCTTGCCTTCTGGGCATGGTGAGTTTCAAAATCCAATTCGGTGTTGTGGTATGGTGCATTGACCGAGAATGTTAGGTACACCTTTCCACCACTGTTGACTGTCACTATCAAAGAAGATCTCCATCTTACACCCGCCCAAATCGCAAACTCCAACATCGTTTCTCTCTCTGCCACTTTCTTCCTTCGCTTCTTGACCGGCCCTCTATGTGACCTGTACGGACCTCGACGTGTCTTTGCCTATTTGATTCTTCTCGGTTGCATACCCATCGGTCTCGCGCCACTTGTCAACAGTGCCACCGGTCTATACGTCTCTCGATTCTTTATTGGTATTCTTGGCGCTACGTTTGTTCCTTGCCAGGTCTGGTGTACTGGGTTCTTTGACAAGAATGTTGTTGGTACTGCCAACGCTCTTGCTGGTGGATGGGGTAATGCTGGTGGTGGCATGTAAGTTCAGTCCAAACCTCCCAGGATATGCACGACATTATGGGCCTTTAAAAAAACACTACTGACTTTGTAATAGTACTTACTTCATCATGCCTGCCGTCTTTGACTCACTGGTCGCTCGCCAGGGCATGTCTCCTTCCAAGGCTTGGAGGGTCACCTTCATCGTCCCCTTAATCTGCTTGATTATCTGCGGCTTTGGCATGCTGTTCCTCTGCCCCGATAGCCCTATGGGATCTTGGGACGACCAGGCTCAGATAGTTCAGAAGAACATGGAGGCCCATGGTATCTCCAGCTCTGGAGATGTCACCCCTAGCCGTACACCCGATCGCTCAGTGTCAGACGAGGAGAACAACCCTGGTGAGGAGAAGGATGTCAAGGTCGGTGACCATGAGCACTCCATCTCGCGCAACGAGGCCATGGAAATTGCTCGCGGCGAAGTCATTGTCAAGCCCACCCTCCGCGAAGCTCTCCCGATCACATACTCTCCTCAAACTTTCTTCCACGTCGCCACGTACGCGTGCTCATTCGGTGGTGAACTTGCCATCAACGCCATTCTGAGTTCGTACTTCAAGAAGAACTTCCCTCACCTCGACCAGACCAAGGCCAGCAACTACGCCGCCATCTTTGGCTTCCTCAACTTCCTTAACCGTCCTCTAGGTGGTGTCATCGCAGACATTCTGTACAACAAGTGCGGCCGCAGCCTCTGGCTCAAGAAGGCTTGGATTGTCGCTTGTGGTGTTTTGACTGGCGCCCTTCTCATTGTCATCGGCAAGGTCAACCCATCTGAAGCCAACGGTGGCAGCATCGGCACACTGGTCGGTCTCATCGTGGTTATGTCCATCTTCATCGAGGCCGGCAATGGTGCCAACTTTGCTCTCGTGCCTCACGTCCACCCCTCCGCCAACGGCATTCTCTCGGGCCTCACTGGAGGCGGCGGTAACATTGGCGGTATTCTCTTTGCTGTTGTCTTCCGCTTTATGCACGGTGGCAACGACTATGCCATGGGTCTGTGGGTGATTGGCATCATTACCATTGTCCTGAACCTGGCGGTGTGCTGGATCCCCCCTCTGCCAAAGGGCCAGATCGGTGGTCACTAAGTGTGCAGTGAGTGTACAGGGTGGATGAAGATAAAAAGGCCGAATGGGATATATGGGAATTTTACGAAATTATTGACTGGTTTAGGAGCCAAGCGGGCGTGCAATGGAATTGGTTACGGTGTTGGAATGGTTCAACTCTATCAGAATACACACACACATAGAGAGGGAAAACGGAATTGGAACGGCTAGGATATCCCGTCGCATCAAAGGACGATGCGACTTATTTTCTTTTAATATTATTCTATGTTTAAAACAATACCCTCCATTTGCGCTGTGCGTTTAAGGTTTCCAACCTCTTCTACTCGTAGCATCTTGAGACCTGTTGTATCACTAACGATCAACAGTTTGACAGCTGCAGATCAATTACACGTTCCACTTATACCAAGACCAAGTGACGTGAATGATGAGACATCAAATTTGAACTTGTCCCTGACGATCAAAGACAAGACGCCACAAAAGCCGCGCTCGTTTGACAGACAGACAAAGAGGCGCGCTATGGTAACACAAGACGAGAGAGTGTATCTTTTTCCCCTCTGTCTTTCTTTCTCTTTGATGTTTCTGTTTCTGCTTCTGTATAAAGAGGTTGTGAAACGGGAACACGAATGTGAGACTTGCGTACGCAATCAACGACACGCCCGGTTTTCAAGATGTCACTGCTGCTGTTACTGGACCAACCTGGTATCCAGACTCATTTCTTGTGGTTCTATATAGATGCGTTGTTACTATAATGATCAAACGTAAAGCCAGGGTTGTATTATACATACACGCACATCCTTTCGGTTTCGAAACATTTATGGATAACATCTCCATTTCGACCCAACCCAACCAACACAGCCCCCCCTTGAGCGTTATAGCACCGAAATATCCCCTTGCGCCGAGTCACAGCAAGGCCGTCTCTCTGAAGCATTTGATCTACAGGGAGAAACAAGACCGCATACCGCTTGTAGCTATCTTTAGTCGTCGGTCTGCCACGACGATCGCATTCTAGTTCATGGCAGATTGCGGCTCATGCCAAGGGCGCCACTCCCGGGAACGGTTGAAACTGACAATGACGGGTTTGCAATGTTTAAACATTCCATTTAACCACAAAGCTTGAGCCTCGGGTGTGTTTGTATGGGGCGTGTGCCTGCATGAACTTGACTTGAGATGCAGGATATGCCAGCAGAGTCCGAAAGAGCGGAGAACGGTGGATAATTCATTTTCCGTATCATGAAAGGCCCAAGATGGGCGACTATACGGCTTACTTCGAAACCGCCTTGAAAAGATGTGTACAAGGTTCCATTTTAGCGGTTTCAGATCATGCAAATCTTCACGAGGCCAACAACTACAGTTTAATCACTCAAATCCGTCAATGGCAATTCCAGTATTAAAGATCAAACAAAATGGGTATTGTAGCATTAACACTAGTCGATGAGAATACATGGGAAAACGAAGCTGAGTTATATGTCTATTCGACGTAGCGGCGAAGGTACACGAGGCAGCTACATGGGGGGAACTTGATCAAGACAAATAACCCAAATGGGTTTTATAGTTTTTCCTCAATACATTAACAATCCAAAAAAACCTTCCAGCTCGTAGATACCAACAAAAGAAGCAACGTATGTGCGCAACAAAGGCCTGATATACCCAGACTGCTCCATACCCTGTAGAAACGAGAAACCCTCTAAAATGCAGTCATGAAGTCATGACGCCACGCTCTAACTCAAGATAAAAGTTGAAACGTGACTCCGCTTACAGAGCGAAAGCGGCCATGACGAGACCAGCGACAACGGCAATGGGAGCGCCGAAGCGGGCAGCACCAGAGACGGGGACGGGGGTAGGGGTGGGCTGGCCGTAAACGGGAGGCTGACCAGCGGGCTGGGTAGGGACAACGGGAGGCTGGGCAGGAGCGGTGTAGACAGGGGGCTGGCCAGCGGGGACGGAGGGAGCAGTGCCGTTGTTGTGGGCAGGGGGAGCGGGAGGAGCAGGGTAGTGAGTCTTGATGACAGGGACGAAGGTGGTGGGAGAACCAGCAGTGGTGGTGTTGCAAGGGACGGTGACGGTCTCGTGAACAGCAACAATGGTGGTCTCAGGGCCGGGGTAGTGAGGAACGGGGGCCTTGGTGGAAGCGGGAGCAGTAGGGAGCTCGTAGTCGGCCTTGGTAGCGGAAGGCTTCTCAGTGGGCTTGTCGTCCTGCTTGCCACCCTCGATCTTGAAGGGGAAAGAGTACTGGAAAACCTCGGGGTTGCTCTCGAGCTTGAGGACGAGACCGTAGACGTTCTCGGTACCGACGGAAGAGTCGATGGTCCAGCTGTAGGAGGCAGCGTCGTTGTCAACACCAGCTGTGGAGTTTGTTAGTGAATCGGATCAGATAACGGTTGCTTTTTGAGGCTACTAACTGGCGATGGTCTTGATGGGGACCTGGGTGTTCTGGGTAGCACCACCGATCAGAGAGATGGAGATCTTCTCGCCGGAGTACTTGGGCTTAGCCTGCCAGGTGATCTCGAGGGTCTTGCCAGCGGCAACCTCCTCCCAGTTGGTGGGGGTGAGGACGGGGTCGAAGTCAGCGACCTGGGCGAGGGCCTGAGCGGCGAAAGCCATGAGGGCAGCGGCGGAGATAGTGAACTGCATCTTGAAGGTTGGATTTAGGAATTACGGTATGTAGTAATTGTATCGAAGGAAAGAGGCGAGGGGTTGGGTATTAGAAAGCTGTAAAGCAAACTAAAATATTAAGTATAGAAAAAGAGTGTGGTAGGCGCAAAGCCGAAAAGAGTGACTGGTATGAAGATGGTGGTGGTGAGGAGGGAGAGAAAAAAGAGAAGAAGCAGAGGATGAAGCTGGGGTTTTGTGATAAAATGCCAGAGGGGGACTGGGTGTGAAGGAGTGAAGCACACCTCTGAAGGGGGGTGGAGCACGTGAGTACGTACCTTCCAAAACAGTTTCCAGGCTGGGTCAGCCCCTGCGGGACCGTGGAGCGCGCCAGCGCCAAGGGGGACGCTAAGGCAGGTACCATGTTGACCCTCTAGACCCCTCCACTAAGATGCCTAGGATGCCTGAGGTGCCCACACCCACACGCTGCGAGCACAACATGCACAGCAAGCACAGCCCGTGCCTTACAGTAGCGGTAGGTCCTGTTCCTGCGTCGGTCGGCGCTTGCTGCAGCATAATCAATATTGGGTAATTATGCCCTCCCCACAGTACCTAGGCGGTTGGTCAGTGAAGGCGCATGTCCAACGGCCAACGCTAGGTGCCCTGCTGTTAGCACAAAGGGGCCCCGAAAGCCTCCAGGTCAGCGGGCGGGCAGGCATTGAATTTCTGCCACTGTTAATTAGTTTCGCAGCGGTCGTTAATGCACCCCTGAGCAACCTTGGAGAGCCGTTCAGTGCGCACCAGTCACAGAGATCGCACCCAGATTTCTCTTGCAAGCGAGCTTCATCGTAGTGTTCGTCCAATCTGTTGGTCAATCCGGGCCAGACTGATCCCGGTTAGCAGTTCATCTGCTGAGGCACATCGCCCAGGGAAATCCTCCAATGAGAAAGACAACGCTGCTACGCCATTCAGTCGTCTCATGGGTGTTATTTGCCCCTGGTGACGGATTGCGAGTCTGGCTGAGTCTCCGACCTCTGCTAACATGTCTCTGGTATTGTCTTGCCTGCTGTCTCTTCCATCCTGCCGTCTTCCCGTCAAAGTTTGCACTGGTTGATATGCAGGCCCCATCTTGGTTCTTGGTTACTCGTAGGCCCTGGGCTCGCCTGAACAAGATCGGACCATGAGGCCGAAAAACTTGGGATCCGTGCTTGCAGCTTCCGCGCATGCAGGCAGAAATGCCTTGTCAGCTTCGTCTGCTAAAAGATGGATGTAATTAAACTTGAGTGGGTGAGGCCCCGTCGATTGGCTGCGCGCGGGGATGGACATGTCGGCCATTCGGAGGACCCCTGCTTGGGCCTGGATTAGCGGTAGCCCATGGGAGCTTGTCTACTGTCTGCTTGTCCAACTCCTTTCTCTCTCGCCTGTGACTGATCTTTTGCCGACTCATGACCCATGTCGACTCTCATCGAGACCTTTTTCTACCACTTGGCAACATTAAACCTGGGATGACAATTCCAGGGATCTGTCATCTCAGGGGAAGAGGCCGGTTTCCGGGCCTGATCGCCGTGCCCCGAGATGAAATCGGGATATGGCGTTATGGTCAATTCTATTGTTGGTTGCAGACTTGCAGTCGAGATCTTTGTTGTGGTACATCCAGCTATTGTCATTGTCCTGGATTACAGCTCTTGGCAGCTACCTTTTTCTTTTCTTTTCTTGGTGCGACGTTCTATCTCACTGACACCGGCAGACAAATGACCAAACTGTCTTGCAACGCTGAAAAGAGAAACCAAACAATCCAACGTGACATAACAAGACTTTATCCGAAACCTCGGTTCTATCTATATGCTGAAATATGGTTCCCGGTCCCATAGAACAGCTTCCCCCTCCCCAGTATAGAGTTGAGGATGAAACGCTTGAGCCAAAGTCTCAGATATACGGAGTACTTTGTTAACCAACTGCCTTGCTCCCCCATAAAACGCATTGTGTTGGAAAAAAAAAATAGAACAAGGCTCTGTCTCTGTTGCCCGTCGGCAATGGGTTATTTGCCAAATGGGGGAGTCACCGAAAGGACCTCGCGGATGAGTTAAAGATCCGTGTAAGTCGCTTCTCAGTTCTCTGGCACTAAATTGATGATTCTTGAAGTTGGCTGACATCTCGATGTCACTTCCACTGTTAGCTCTGACTAACGAATCATTTCCCTTGGAAGCCCTTAATTAATTCTCTACATCAAATTGAAGCAAACACTCTCTACCTCTACCTTGCTATGATATCATAGGAATGCTTTTTCATAGGCCCTGCTTGCTCGTGCTGCCGCTGTGGCTCTCGTAGGGCTACCTATTTCTTCGCTGACCTACAGGCTGCTGACTGCTGGCATGGGCGAATCAAATAGGCGAGCTCGGTACACAACGGTTGAACGGCTCCGATTAGGACCACACGACAAATACACAATCCTACGTGGTATGTGCAGCTTTCCCGACGATCATTTGCGATGCTAAACTGGTAGGAAACTGAGGTAATTAATGAAAGCGATCGATGGGGTATTATGGCACCATCTGGACTACCCGATCTAACGGCATTGAAGACGATGATGGTGTAATTAAACTCTACCAAGATGAGCGCACTGCGAACGACACTATGCATGATATGATTGATATCCATATCTCGACGGGCGTATAACCCCTAAGATAGTGAAGCTGTCTATGTGAAATGGCTTCAGTAGTAATTAGTTGTAGAGTCGAGTCAGTCATAACATACGGAGCCAACAGCGGCAGTAGTCAGTATGCACCAAGTCAATAATACCCTCATGGCCAATGCGTTTCTTGCCCTTGTGAACATTCAAGTCTGAGAGCCTAGAGGTAGTTGATGGGTCATCTCATCTGCTAGCTAGCTCCCTTGAGGTTTGAGCAAGGACCCTCGCCCACTCCGCCCGCTTTGATAATGCGCCGACAACAACCAACATCCTCCTAATGCTCGCCTATTACCTTCTCGGCCTGAAGCTCTGGAGCCCTGAACTGTTGCCGCTGGGTTGTGCTCCATCCACCAATTGTATTGATGGCTACGCCGTATGTAATCTGCGATAGTTTGCCTCAATAGTTGAACGGTGAGTCCCATTTCAAGGCACAGGAATGACATGCTCCGAGAGGTGTGTGCTGAGTGTGATATTGAAAGCTTTTCTCCTAGGTTCGTCCCCAATTCAATCACAATATGTGATAGAATAACGAATCAGCAATTAAATCCAGCAACCATCTACGGAGTATGCATTGAACGTAGACGCCTCAGCCGTCCCCAGTCAAACGGCTTGTAGGCCAGCGTCGTTTTACCAACCGCCACAGCTGAAGGTAATTACTTACGGATGGAGCGCTGAAGAAAACATTAGCGGTCAGTAAGTATGCTTAATTGCAGCGGCCTGCCTATACTGGCTAATGTGCAATGTAAACTTACTCTTCTGTAGTCAGACTACGGATACTACGTACTCTTTTTGAAAACGGGGGTGATGGATCTGGCCAGAGGCGCTCTGGGCATCGCGATCTTAGCAGTTTTAGATCTTGGCCACAACTCAGTTTAATACCCTCGGTTTCTAGAAACGTGCCAGTGGAAAGCTTCCAAGCTACTGACTGAGCCTGAATCTGCTTGAGCTTGGAAATGTTTTCACGAGTCAATTACAAAGAACAAAAAGTGAAAACTTGGAACGAAGGAATGGCTCAACTACCCCGTTGGAATGCCAACCACGGTATTGAAATCTGACAACCGTCAGTCGCGGAATGTCTCGACCACTTGGCATGGGTCAAAGACCAAGGTTACGAAGCTGACACACAAGGGAGAGGAATCCAACTAAGACAGGCGCTGGGAATAAGCAAAATGCCCACGATAGATCTTAATGACTAGTCTCAGCCGCGACAGTAGGCAAGGTAATTGTGCTGAATGCATCTCATGCCGTAGGTAGAGTACGTAGCCCACTATTGCAAGACCTGCTGCTCTCTGTTCTGGAGTCTTTACTTGAGTCGTGGCAGTAGAAAGGGGACGCCACCAGCTGAATTTCGAAGCAACCGGCGCGGCACGCGATCAATAGCCTGAATAGCGGCTGTAACTCCCAATGTTCCCCTATTCCAGAGTTTGAAATCTGTTTCGTTATAGGTTAACATCCGAAACTCTTGACCGCCTCTGATCACAATTGTCAGATTACAATATTCTAACTTTGAATGGCGAATTAGTTAAGGGGTTTGGCTCTCAATTGACGACGGCTATAACGGACAACACACTGATACGTCGCAGAGTGAACGCCGTGGCTGAACTACTGAGCGCCTTTTTCGCCAAAGTCTCAGAAATGCCCGTGCCGAAAGCTTGTCTCTCCCAAGGAAGGAGGTTGGTTGAACTCTAAGATCATGAACTCGGATATAATCATCTTCCACCAGTATGGTGCCACCAAGGGGCCATCCTAAAGGCCTCAACTCAATATCAGGTCGGCATCTAGAACCTTAATCGCTGAACTCGTCGGCAGCATAACTGCCGAAATAATAACCTTTCGTCCTTCCCAGCATTCTCCGGAGATGAAGTCCTCTGCATTACCCGACTTGGACAATGTTCCCTTCGAGAGCCAGGGCCAATGGCTTTGCTACCCCATTTCCCCAAACTCTGGTAGCTTCCGGATCTTCAGGAGTGGCTTTTTAACCTGGCCAATAACGACTTGTCACTTAATTGACAAGAACTTTAAGTCACCGAATTGTGTGTATAATTTTGGGAGTGGTAATTTTACATGCAATGCAACCCTTGGGAAACATTTAATTTAATTATGCGCCTTCCTGTTATATGCGATGTGTCGATTACAGTAAGATTACACCTATTTTTAGCTGTATTAATTTTATGTCCTGGTTTGCCTCTTTGTCACAATGTCACAGCTGGAGTTGTGCAATTGATTCATTGGTCAGGCTAGGTGACGTCTCTCAGCCTCGTGCCCCACCTCTGTGCTTTCCCTCTCCCAACTGCGCCAACCCTGTCAGCCTCGTCCAGACGACCTCCCACCCTTGGCCGAGCATCACCAAACAATCCGGCGCCGGATCCTACCGCGATGGCCTCCGACGACGAGCGTCCTAGCGACTCACCCCGGAATAAGCGCCGCAAAACAAGTGGTGACTCTTCCCCCTCCTACGAGGCCCAACGCGACGGCGAAAACGACGGTGCCAATCGGTCGCCTAGAGACTCTGCGACTCGAGAGCTATCGATACGAGAGAATCGCCGAAATAGCAGGACTGTTAGTCCAAGTCCTGCTGAAGATGGTGCTGGTAGCAAGTACTACGAAAGTCGTCGCACTTCACGGTCGGGATCGCGGTTGAGGTCACGGTCCATATCAACTACACGCTCCGATTCTCGTTTGCGCTCTCGCTCGCGATCTAGAATATCATCACGATCGCCCCGCTCCTCACGCTCACGCTCTCGATCACAATCATCATTCCGTCGCTCTCGGACAGAATCCCCCACCCCAAATGGGGTCCAGTCAACTCCCTTTCAAGAACCCTTAAAGCCCAACTATCGCGCCCGTCTGGTCCTCCACGGCCACTCCAAGCCAATCTCACAAGTTCGGATATCGCCCAATGGGCAATTCATCGCATCCGCTTCGGCAGATGCTACTGTCAAGATCTGGAATGCCACAACTGGTGAGCATATGGACACGCTCGTCGGGCACATGGCTGGTGTGAGCTGTCTTGCTTGGACGCCCGATAGCAACACTATCGCAAGTGGCTCAGATGACAAGGCGATTCGACTGTGGGATCGCGTTACAGGTCGGCCAAAGACGACGACCCGGAAGACGGTAGCTGGTCAGGAAATGGCACCTCTAAAGGGACATCACAACTACATCCACTGCCTAGCATTCTCACCAAAGGGCAATATCCTTGCAAGCGGCTCTTACGACGAGGCTGTCTTTTTGTGGGATGTACGTGCGGGCAGACTCATGCGAAGTTTACCTGCGCATAGTGATCCTGTTAGTGGAATTGACTTTTGTCGAGACGGTACGCTGGTCGTGAGTTGCTCGACGGACGGTTTGATGTATGATCCTTGAACGTCGTTGCTAAGACCAATGCTAACAATTATATAGTCGTATCTGGGACACATCAACTGGCCAATGCTTACGCACCCTAGTTCACGAAGACAACCCAGCCGTTGCGAATGTTTGCTTCGCCCCTAACGGGCGTTTTGTCTTGGCTTTCAACCTTGACAACTGCATCCGGCTGTGGGACTATGTTTCTGGTACTGTCAAAAAGACGTATCAAGGACACATCAATGGAAAGTTTGCGGTCGGAGGCTGCTTCGGAGTTCTAGATGGGGCCCCATTCATTGCCTCGGCCAGTGAGGATGGCAGCATTGTCATGTGGGACGTCGTATCAAAGACAGTGTTGCAGCGAGTTGAAGGCCACAAGGGCGTGTGCTTTTGGGTGGACGTTCATGGGGAGACGATGGTGACCGGAGGACAGGATAACACAGTTAAGGTGTATCGGCATATCAGGGATACCCCGAAAGTAAACGGCGACGCTGGCAAGGCGGATGAGGAACCGCCAGCAGAAGCACCAGTATCACAAGAGGATGTGGTCATGGAAGAGTCCTAGATTGATACCATAAAGATATCGAAGGTGTCATACGGTTTAGGGTTGAAAAGTCAACAGAACGACATAGTCACAGTGGCGTAGGTTAGCCGCTGCCTATGATGTACTCACATCGACTATGGTCAAAGAATTCTTTTAAAAGCCTACGAACGCGTGACTAGGGTGATCGGAAGTAACATCTACCAAAAATTCTTGTTAAATCGTGAATGTTAGTGAGACTTGGAAGCTTTAGAATCATTGGGATTGAAAGCTTGCGCTAATAACATTCAGTGGTGGAAGTTTGGATCCTATACTATCTTCCATGAAAACCCATCCGTATGTGGCAATCAAATTCCGTCCCGGTAGCAAGTAAGAAGCAATAATCCATTAACATAACACATACGTTCGCCCGGTTTTCCATGAATTGTTGCCGTCATCCATATGCCAGCTCATGGCAATCTCGGAGCGGACCTCCTACCGAAACTGGACATCAACATTGTGGGCGCCAACACGTTTCCCCTGGTAGTAAACAGTAAAGTCTACAATCCCATCGTCGCACGTCATCTCAACTTCGTATTTAAGTCTGTGATAGACTTTACCCAGAGTGTTGGTGTATGTTGGAAGTGACTCGATATCCACATCCTGAGTCCAGCGAATCTCACATAGCTCCTGCACGGCTGGGTCCGATCTCTTAGGCGGTGGGAATTGGGAAGAGCTGTAGATGATAGTTTTGATTTGACCGATACGACCAGAGTAGAGATTATTGTACTCGTGCCTAACTGGCTTCTTGGTCATCATGTCATCGCCCTATAGCGGAATTCAGTATTTCGTTTGCGCGGGCCATACCATGTTACTTACCTCTTTCAGGAACCACCTCATTTGCTGCTTTGCGCGCCACTCTTGCCGGTCATCCGCCCAGAATCTATCAGAGATGTCATGTATCTTAGGATTGAATTTCGTCCTGAAACGTATCCCGTAGCTTCTTCGAGCAATTCTGGCGCCAACTCTAACCCCAACAGTCGTTGAGAGACCGTAACTGGTGATACCATGAACGACAGCACCGCGGCAGATAGCAGTCCATCTTTCCTATTTATTAGATTTTACTTGTGCCAGATAGTAGATGCATAACTCACGGCTTGTTCCCACGAGATTGCAGGACCGAGCTGCCCAATGTTGAATGCAGCTTGTTGTACAAGTACGAGCTACGCCCAAACCCACCCACAAGGATGACGTACTACACAGGTTAATATCTAACAACTTGATATCGACGATTTCTCAGGGTAGCTACCTTTGCTGGTTGACTGTACTTCGACTGGATGGCCCGGGTTTGGTGGTGTACGAGTGCCTCGATTTGATCGACAATAGGACTGTAAACTGACAGAATATCGTGCCTAGACGAAAAATCAGTTATACTCTCCAGTCATTGTTCTGATGTTACTTGCGAGCTGAGTTCGAGTGACTTCCGACGCTTCAGCTTTCGTTTGGAAGCTGCACTGCCGCAACTGTCAGGTAGATCAACTAGCCAAGTCCTGTTCTGGTTCGAGAACTGGGGTTTGATGCCATGCTCCCAACCATCATTGAGGAACTTCTTTTCGTCTGAATTGCTAACACTTGACCATGATCCTGGAGCAACTTTGCTTTTGATGAGGTCCAGGAATCTTTCATCGAGGAAAACACCTCCGCAAAGGCCCCCTAATACTTTCAGTCGCCGTTTATACCATGTCTCTCATCGGATACTCACCTTCACCTTTGACGCATTCTTTGACAATGAAGGGAGCTGTGGATTCTACCACATAGCTGATGAGATCCTGTGTCACCATTAGAAGCTTGATCACGGACTTTAAGTTGAAACAGATCTTACTACTGTCCCGCCTCCAGCATCACATATGACCATGGTATCTCCTAGCTGATAATTGTTAGCTTTGATTTCTGGGAAGCCTATTATACTTAGTCTTCTTACCTTGATGGTTGATCTCTTGGAAAGGTCCTTGATAGTAGCCAGTGCTGCTGCTTCAGGCTCCGAAATAAATCGGAGAGTAGTTTCGCCACAGGACCGAGCATCAAGTATTCCGGAGATAGTGGCAGCCTGTTTCATGCGCTGCTGTGCATATGGAGGCCAGATCGCGGGCAAAGTGATCACAACATGGAATCGCGATTGTTGTAGCAACTCGACTCCCACACTGCGGCGGATAGAGTCGATTGCATGATTCCATATCTTTCGTAGAAAGCATGCGATGACCTCGACAGGATCTTTCTTGATGCCATCCAGAAGATCTCGGGCCTTGCTTAGCTGGGAGGAGGATAGCATGTTGGCGGGGATATCGGCGGTGTCAAGCAGCAATAGTTTAAACCATTTGAGAGCATCCTTGTCAGCGGGAACAGAATAGCCCCATGTGGTGTCTTTGTCATCGTCGTAGAACAACTGGGTCGGTGCTTTCTCAACGTCTGAGCAATGGTTAAGCTCTGAGTCCCAGCTTGTGACAAGTTCGATTTCCTCAGGCTCTCGAGAATACGCCCAGGCAATTCCTGAGTAGCTAGAAGAGATTTCGAGTCAGTGATTAGGCCCTTTCCTTTCAACCTGGTTCAGGTTCGAGTATTATTGTTAGAGAACTCACGTCGTTCCAAAGTCAATACCGATGATGATGAAATCATCAACTGGCTCATTAGCCGCCATCTTGACTCTGTTTTAGTTATTCTCCAATTCTGTAGAATTTTGATCTGGAAAGGGGTAGATGTTGACTCGGGAGATTACTGTGCTGCCGTGTGGGCAGGTAATGAGGAATTCAAGTTCGTAGCTTGGCTCGACGATGAAAGGAAAACAAACTCTGCTGGCTGCTTAAAGAGAAATATTGAAGCGAGCAGAAAAGGAGTGGTGAGCTGTTTTCAGTTGTCTGAATTTACACTTGCACTGGCATGACAGTGACAGTCAGAATATTCATTACCTCTCCTTAGCCATTATTACCAGTTGTGAAAGGCAGGCAGCAGTGGGCGAGATGCGCTAGCTCATCTTTGTTTCATTTGCAAGTTTTCGTCTGATGTTAGGGTATCTCCTTGTTTTCTCCCTTTTACTTTGCCTCATTTTCCGCCTTTCTCTTTCGCATTTTCCTTCCACACCGAGGGCTGGAGCATAAGTATCTACCCGCCAACCTTGTACTCGCAGTGCTTTTGCCTTAGGAACCTCGGGTTGTTTCCTATCCTGGGGTGTTTCTTACTTCTTATAGCTTTCAACAAACATACCATGGTTAACTCTTTAGTCGGTTAGTCCACATTCTCCTTATCTGCCCCTGTACTACCCTCTATTGTCTCCTTATCAACTTATCACTCGTCACACTGAAACTATTCACTAACCACGGGTTCTCAAGGCCCGAAGCCAAAACCAGAGACTGCTCCTGGGCCCCAAACCAAAATGTCCGATCTTTCCAAGGCCGAAGTTCCACTCCATTCCGTCGTTGGCCAAACCACTCCTCTCGTCAAACAAGAAGAACAAGGCGATACCATCATGAGTAGCGATTCGTACTTGTCTTCTGATGGCCTCATTCCTAAGGAAGCAGCAGTTGACGTCAATCATTCAGTCAGCGCGCAAACCTATAGCGCAACTCCAGGTGATTGGACTGTGGAGGATATCCTTGAAATGCAGGAACTGAACCATGCTGATTTCATGGAAGAGTATCGGACTGCAACTTCCCAAGAAAATTCGAATCTCGTTCAGTTGGTGAAGAGTGAAGTGCAGACTGGGGTGCGGAATGAAGTCCGAGGCGGTATGGATCAAATCCTTAACTACATCAAGGGCTTGGTTACGCAGTCTCCTCAAACCACAGAGATTGCCGCTCTCAAGTCAAAGTTGAAAGCAGAAAAAACACACACCAAAGATCTCACCAGTCACTACAACAGACTTGTCCAGACTTCTGATAAGCAGGGAAAGGACCTCGCGAGAGCAAACGCGAAACTCAATGAGGCTCTTCTTGAACGAGACCAGCTGCGTAAGCTACAGGGAGGTGGCAATCTGGCAAACTCGGACAAAACGACAGACGACGCTATCCGGGGTAAGTGGAAAGAGCTTCAGTACAATGTTAGCTGTCTGGCTCATCTACTGGAATCTGATCCATCTGATCAACATCTTGACGATCGCGTCTCGATGCGGTTACGATTAGTCTCTCGAAGCTATCGAAGACTTTGTAAAGACAGAGACTACCGTCAGCTTCTCATGGCGGGCTATCTGTGGGTTCTTATCCAAGAAATCGTGCTCGACTCCGAGTATCCTCTCTGGGGTGGGCCTGGATCTAAGCACTTCAAAACTGTTCGGGACAACATAATTGGTGAGGAACTCTGGGAAATTCACCATTGGACTGTCACTAATATTTGTAGATCGCATCGGAGAAAGTGAGGATGTTCTAGACAAAGAACTCTCCATTCCTCACATTGCACGGTGGTTGGCTCAAGGCTCGACTATGATGGGCACGCTTTGGGACAAAGATCATACCGCCCTTCAGCGCCTGGTAAATATCGAATCCAAACGCTTGCGACCATTCTATTCTGGTGGCCAGCCAAGAAATGATAGAAGCGAGAAAAGTATTTTGGATCAACTGAGAGGCATTATGGACTCTGTTATTGAACTTGACAAGATGATGATGTGCTCAAAGGCGATCTTTCAGGTTCACTGGCGGGATCGATCACAAAAGCCGGATCTCACTCAGCGGTACAATAAGGATGTCATGGTGAGCGAGGCTTACGAAAACGACCTGTCTCAAAAGAGCCGTGTCAGGTTCTATATCTCGCCTGTCCTTTACAAGTTCGGTACAGCTGACGGTCAAAGCTATGACTCTAGGATGGTTCTAGCCAAAGGAGTTGTGGTCTGTGAGTAATACCGCCGCACTGGCTGTTCATTGAGGAGAGGAAAGTCAGATTGACCAAGGGGAACATGTGACAAAAACGCGTCGGGTGGCCCACAATCGACCAGGAGATATTTTGTAGCCAAATGGCCCAGAGGGAATGAATATCGTGAAGGGCTTAGTCGTTTCGAGGACTGGTTCAGAACATATTACGCTTACTCGACTATAGCTGTCAAATATTCAGTAGTCTGCTATCTACGAGGCAGAAAGGCAAGATCGGACCAAAATCAATTCAACTATGTGGTTCATTTAACCCCCAACGGAGTCATAGACTTATACTGTTGCAGCCATGTTGTGAAGGTCGTAATGCTATGACTTTGTCAAATTAGCGACAATTACTACAGGAACAGAAATATCGAATCTTGTCAGGAACATCTTATACTTTTAACTAAATAAATAGCAGAGAACTACATTCAAAAGATTCTCCAGCATACTCCCCTCCAGATTAACAGCGGTACCCATCGTCCAATATCCCGACATTTCATGTATGCATCTATATCACACTCTCCCACCCCCAATTAGGTATTAAACACAATCCTCAAACTCCAAATCCAAAATATGCTGTCTGTACAAAGGAGCTATGTCGTCAAAACGTTGTCGTTAATGTCTCAGGCGCCAAGTCCGAGGCCGAGCCTGATAGCCGCAGCCAGTCCGCCGTGTCGTGGTTGATCGTAGTTGGAACCATCTGGAGTAGGATAGGGTTGGAAGGGTGTAGCTGCGGCACTAGTGGTAGGAGTCTCAGTTGCGGTCTCGGAGAAAGTGGTTTCCGTGCTCATAGTCTCAACAGTGGTAGTGGTGACAGCCTCAGGGGTTGAGGTGGTAGGAATCACTGGGGGATTATCCGAGCTGGTGACAGCAGACGTTGTGGTATCGGCAGATGTCGTGGTTTCAGTGAAGGACGTCTCAGTTTCCGAAATGATGACAGGGCTCTCCGTAGCTGTTGCGGAGATAGGGTCCTGATATGTTGTGGAGATCACTGGAGGTATAGTCGAGTTGGTTGGGACGTAAGCGGTAGAGTACTCAGAAGACTCGCTGCTAATAACGGGAGGGTTGTAGACTGGTGGTGTGTAGACAGGGCTATCATTGGAGCTGGTTGAGGCGGGAGTCGTAGCATCACTAGTAACAGAGCCTGTGGGAGTCGCGATAATAGGGTCGAGGATTGAAGAGTTGCTAGGAACAACAGGGACTGTGTACACGGGCTTGGTGTAGACTGGTGGGGTATAGACTGCACCATTGCTGGTCGAAGAGATGGCTGGAGCCTCAGCAGTGGAAGAGTTGCCAGGAACCACTGGGTCAGGGTAAGCCGGCTTGGTGTAGACAGGAGGCGTGTAGATGGGAGTCTCGACAGGCTTCGTATAGGCAGGAGGACCAACAGCAGAGGAGTTACCAGGGATGATAGGCTGGGAGTATGCCGGCTTGGTGTAGACGGGAACTGAGTAGACTGGCGTATCAACAGGTGTAGTTTGCACAGGGGGGTCGACAACCGACGAGTTTCCGGGGATCACAGGCTTGGTGTAAACCGGAGGCGTGTAGACGGGGCTATCGACAGGCTTCGTGTAAGTGGGTGTCTCGACAGTAGAGTAGTTGCCAGGAAGGACAGGCTTGGTGTAAACAGGAGCCGAGTACACGGGTGTGTCAACAGGCTTGGTGTAAACCGGTGCCACGTAGGTCGAGTTGTGGCCAGCAGGGTCCGAGTACACAGGAGGCGACTGCACAGGCTTGGTGTACACAGGAGGGACGTAGCCAGTGGGTGTCCCAGTGGAGTTGCCATGAGTAGGGTCCGAGTACATAGGCTTGGTGTAAGCTGGCTTGGTGTAGACAGGAGGGGAAACTTGGCCATCGATAGTACTGTACACCGCGCTCTGTCCTGGAGTCTGGTAACCGGTAGGCGAGGCGTGCTGGTCAATGGGCGTAGAATATCCGATTGTGGAGTTGATGTAAGGATACTCATCACCAGTCTTGGTCTTGGTCTGAGAAGGCGCTGCATAGGTCGAGTTCACAGGGTGGTAAGGAGAGCCAGTGTTCTCCTCGCCGTATGGGAGAGTGGAAGCATACTTGCTAGGAGGGACCCAAATCGTGTTGCTAATAGTCAGGGTCTTGGTGCAGTCGTTACAGATGGCAGTGGTGTAGTACGAGCCATTGGAAGAAGCAGTGACGGTGACAGTAACGTCAACAGTCTTGGTAGAGGTGAAGACGTAGTCGGTAGGACATTGAACAGTTGGCCCAAGAGTAGCCGAGTGGGTTGCCGAGGTGGTCGAGTTCTTGGGAGGGATGTAGCTGTGCACAGGAGTGTAGCTTGGGGGAGTGTAGTTGGGAGCAGCGTAGGCGTCCTTGCTAGCATATCGAGCAACTCGATGTTGTTTCTGAGACTATAAACTGTTAGAACATACTTATATGTATAAGTGACGAGAATTCATACACTGCTGAACCAGCTACCACGAGGAGCAGCCTCAACCGCCGTGCCGAGAAGGCCAACGGCGCCAACAATCACAGGAAGAAGCATTTTGCAGACCGTAACTCTGTAGAAATGTTAAAGATGAGGAAGAGGAAAGGCAGCCGAGAGAGTGTAAGGCTGTTTGCGATAGTGGAAGAGATGCTGAGTCTGGTGGTGAGATCTTCGTTTCTGGGACGCATCCCATCGCGTTTAAGTACAACTTCATCTTTGTCAAGGGTTCTACAGAAGGAGTCGAGGATAAGTCGAAGGGGAGAAATATTGAGGATTACAGAATGAATATTGAAATGGTCGAGTGCAAATAAAGGGTCGTATATTGGAAGAGGGATGCTCTGAAGATATACAAGGGCGGGCTTGTAGGTGGTGAAGTGGGGGCACTCTGTCAGTTTAAGGGAGTCGCACCAACCAAAAGACACGATCTTCAATGGCACAATAGGAACAAAGGGCGGACGAAGCAATTTATTCGTTGACAAGACTAGGGAATTCAAGACAATCATGGATATTCCATTGCTCGTCAAGGCCCTAGCAATTAATATTCACAAGCCGAATTGTCCAGCGACTCAACATGAGACAAACACAAGGCACGAGTAGGATTCAGAGCGAGATGGGAATAAGAGGTCTATTGCTCATATTCATATGTCTTTGATTCGGTAAAGGGCAAGTCAACTACAAACTCGCCCGCTTGGCTCGATCATAAGTGGCACAACCTGGTTGCGCCGATAACCCCATCATAAAGTTGGGAAAGTGAGTACGAGCAAGATAACAAAGAGTGTACGCAATTCACCTTCATCGCTAAGTACAAGTCTGCCCTTAATAGCCAGGCCAGATAAGTCGGCCCAGTCTAAGGGTGTGATGTGTGAATATGCGTCTCTGCGTGTGATTTCTTCCTGTCGAATAATTCATCATGTGCAGGAATGGATGGGTATCAAGAGGGCCACGCAATCGCCGCCGTGCCCTTTGTAAAAAAATAAGTTAACAAGAAACCAACAGTAAAAATCCATATGCTTATGCCGCAAAAATCATCGGTAACCTGCCGTGGCCTGTGATGCAATCATGTAACGTGGAGAGTCTTCTCAGACTAACTCAGGCTATGTCGAGGCCGATCTTGAGATGGTTCGTCCAGAACCGTCCCTGGTTTCTGTTTCACGATCAACCAATCAATCCTCCCAGATTGTCTCAAGATCGAGATCCCCTCTTCGCTCAGCACCGCACACACTCCAACGCTTTCGCTTGTCCCTGGAGCCAAAGCCCATCGTACGTCCTCGCACCTGCCCATCTTTCCCTTTCAGGTCAGAAGAGTCATTCCCCTCGGCAGCATCTGCATCGGCTTTGAGCTGGGCAATTCTTTCAGCTTCCAGCGCCTCTTCCTCGGCATCAGGTGTGTCGGGAATTGTTTCCAAGCTGGAGATGCTGGGGCTTCGGGACCTAGTCGATGTTGGCGTGGATGGCACTGAAGAATAGGACGTTCCATAGCTTCCTGAAAGGGCGTCGTAGCTTCGATAAGAAGACGATGACGAAATTGAGGATGACGGAGTCGAGGGGAATACTCCTAGAGAGCCAGCACTTGAAGATGTCAAGCTCCGCAGAGGAGAGGATGGTCGTCGAAGTCGGGCCGGGGTGCTTGTAGAAACACCCATAATGGGAGAAGTGCTTCGTTTTTCGCCATGTCTTTGCTCGGGTTCGAGGACCGAAGTTCTAATGGGGGAGATGGGCGGGAAAGCCTCATCAGCTGGCTTTCGTGGGATTCGGACTCTACTAGGTGATCCAGAGGGGCTTCCGGGACGGTGATGGGGCAGAAACAAAATATGCCCCGAGCCATTGACGCCTGGCATGGACTGAGTGCGGGACATTGGGGGCGCGAGACTTGTTGTTGAGCGAGATCTGGTGTGAGCGCCCGAAAGCGGAGAAGTCGTGCGTGGTCGATACGGTATGAAGGGTGAGACCGACCAAGATGGTGAAGCTGGCGAAGTTGGACTGGGGTCGGTGCTTCGTCTCAGGTTGGGCGGCTTTCGGGGCAGGTCGATGCTGAGGTTAGAGATGTAGTTGGGGCTCTGCAGTCGCAGAGATGGAACCACTGGAGAGGCAGAGGGCGATGCAGAGACGGAAACAGGAGCTGGCGTAGGGGCAGGACGGAACTCCTCCATGCGCTCTGTTTCAGGAACTGGCTCCATTTCGAGATTGGTAATCGGGGGGGGGATAGTGGGAGCGGAATACGATAGAAGACGCACGGCACGGACGGGCACTGGGGAGCAACCAAACCGGTGTCGTCAGGGCATAAACGGTGGCATATGTCGACCGAAGCTTGATGGAGTGGAGGGCGAGTCTTGGCCGACGAGCTATGGCGTGGGGTTTTGGGGAGTTTATTCGTCGAGGTAGCAATGATCGTCAGCGGCGGACCTAAGAAGCTCTGCCGGCGGCTACGGCGATTCGGATCTGTTTTGGCACGCGGCGCAGCAGCAAGGGAGAAGCAATCACAAGCCAGGCCAGCGCGAATGCGTGATTGATTTGAAGTTCGCGGCAGAAAAGGCGGGGGTGGATCAAGGTTTGGGATCCGGAGGTGATGAACGCTTTTCCTTTGGTGGAGAGGGTTGCTGTGTACTAAGTGAGGTAGGTAGGTAGCTTGTAGCTCGAGGTGTTGTTGCTGTAGCTAGAATTGGGGTTGGGAAGGACAATGACGAAGGGAACTTGTATCCGCAACGTAGCTCTCGGAGGAATCGTTGCAGCTGATGAACCGAACGAAGGGGACGTTGTAGAAAGAAGACGAAGAAGAACCGAGGGTAGGGGGGGAAGAAAGAAAAGGTTAAAAGATGAGGAAACAAGGGAAAAGGTTTGAACGAGAAACGAAGGTGATTTGATAGTGATTCGAGAGGCGAGACCAGCCCCAAGGGAGAGCACAGAGTCAGAGTGACAAGCTGGGTCCAAGTGACACTGGGCGCGTGGTGCCGAATGTTTGACGGTCAAGGCCCCTGTGCCCCTGTGGTAAATGGATGGCTAATGGCTAATGGCTAATGGCTAATGGCGCGGTGAGGTACCTCCGCCTAGTGGAGGGTTCCAGGTTGAGGATGAAGGGTTATACGTACCTGGAGATGGAACGTGCGACGATGGAATCCATCCACTAGGGACCTTTTTAGCGGGCAACTCCACTGGCACTTGAGCCTGTTCAGGGTATGTAACTACCTTTTATGTGACGGACTGACGGTCAGACGGTCAGATAGAGGTGAAGGCTGCGACAATGGGAGTATCAGTTGTGGTTATAGCAAAAGACGTATAGTCATGACTGTAATTAGCAGAGTGTAAGGACAAGATATCCAACTACTCGTGTGTTCGAAATATAATTAAATAGTTAATCGGTAGGTAATTAATTAACCGCATCTCAAGTCGCATGCACGTACGCACGCACAGTAACAAGACATCTAAATCTAAAACAAAACAACAGCCAACGCCACCGCTCTCGAATGGCATGGCATACCTGACACTGTCGTGTTCATGACCCAGCAGCGCCCAGTCAGCCAGCCCAAGAATTTAAAAACAATAGCCTAGCTCAGTCAGCAGCCAGTATCTCCTAGGTTATGTCTTGTCTCGTCATGCAATACTATACTATGCCATGCAATGACATGCAATGCGACGCAGGGCATCTACATTATTCCATCGTCAACCCTCTCCCATCATTCCCCTTCAGTCACATCACATTCCGTTTCCACATCAACAACAACAAACAAACAAAAAGGGCTCACCGTAGAAGCAGAGCAACACTTCTCTAAACCACTCGGAACCTTGGAACTCTATCCCGAACTTGTTGTTGCGCCAAACAAATTGCCTCAAGGGTCCTGAGTTCTGGGTCCTTTTCGTTGACGAACAAAAGCTCCCAGTCCAGACACAGCATCGCAGTGAGACGATCCCTACGATCGGCCCAAACTAGCGGTCCTGCAACAGACACCGCCCTTCCAAAACATGGGCACTAACGTTAACGTTGCTTGACCGTTTTCAATGCTGCTGAGTTTCCCTAATCCGGTAGGCCATTCAGGGTTCTAACCGCTCCTTTAACAGCCATCCGCCACTCACGAAAATCCATCGATATTTGGCTCATTGTTCGTATTATTCTCAACATTGACGCCTCTTTTATGGTCTAATCAACTAGCTGCTGGAACTTGGAACCGGAACTGGAACTGGAACTGTTCGCTGGAGGAACCAGATGTGCCTGGGTTTCAGGGCCTCAAGCTCCGTGGACCCTTTTACGGGGGAGACCGAAGGCCCGGGCTCCCCTGGTGGGTTTCGCGGGTGAATAAGCCGGGAGGCCTTTTTGGCCGTAAATAAATGGGACTTGCGGGAGTGGAGAGCCAGAGAGGGAATAAATCGATAACAAACGCCCTCAGGCCCTCACCTCAAATGGCTCATGAAGTGTGCATGAATTGGACGTGGAGCATGCCATGCCACCTCATGCCATGTAATGCATGATAGTGCAGTGGTATCCGTAGATATAGTGCTTGTTGTGCTTTACTGCACTGTCTGTGCCTGTGCCTGGAGGCTTATATAGAGTTGGCCAATCCCCTTCCTGTCCAAGCCATTGTAGAGCATTTCCCTGCGCTTAGCGCTGCTTGACTCGCTACTGGCTACTCACAACTCGTAAACATTGGTCTTATTGAATGAAGAAAGCCAATGGCCACCCAATCTGACGTCTCTAATTCTCTCAAGCCTCGAGTCAGTCCAATCCCCAATGGCCAGTGGCCAACCAGCTCAAGCCGTTTTACTAAACGCTTGACGCCTAGACTACGCTCTGTACGGTCTGACTGGTTTAGTGAGTGCGCCCTTTACTTAGTATTCAATCACCTACTCAAGCCTCACGCCCTGATCCTGGTGAGACCCTTGCGCCAGGATGGGATGGTTCGGCTCAGGGCTGAGAGAGAGACCAGACAAAGGACAAAGAGCATGAATCCAACCCATTGGGTGCAGTATCAGTATGTGCGCTATATTATATTGAGGAATGCCTGTCCTAGTAGACCATGACGTTGGGTCTGTCAGGAAAAGGGGAGTAATCCTTTGTGTGTTGTCCGGTTATCGTCAAGAGATGGCATCATATGTGCACTCAACTCGTCATTTGACTCTCTTTCTCTCTACCTCTCTGTCTCTGTAAGAAACCGCCATTCTACTATCGTCACTCTCCAACCCCAGGTTTCATTTCTCACAATCTGGGTCCATTAAGTCAGTGACAGTCCTCTCCGTTCTCAGCTCTGGAACTTGCCTTGCGCTACTGCAGGGCAGTTCCATATTTAGCTCCCGCGAAACAGAATGCTCCGACGCCCTTCTCTAAAAGTCCTCATGTCAGCCCAAGCCAGATCAAGATATTTGTGAGCACCCATTTGCTATAAGCTGAAACGACATCCGCTCGTATAGGGAATGAATAGGTAAGTGGAGGCCTCTGGTAGTATCGCAGCTACTGTGCACTAGATGACATATGCTATTTCAAGTTGTTATTACTCTGACAAGCTAAAACTTAGACCAAGCAAATACCCTTTCTTCTCTCGACATGACCTAGGGTAGGAGCTTCGGAATTTCCGCTTGTAGCCGGATGCGATGTGGTTGTAAATGACAAAACAAGTAGAGGTCATGTGTCGGATTAATCACATTGTATCCGTGTATTCTCATTTCCGATTCACGTTTAATATTCTATTCAACTTGCACTGTCTAGGTAGATATCATGGATAGGAGACAACCATTAGCTCATCATCTGCGGAAGTCTTGAGAATCAACAGCGTAGTATCATGTGTCACATTCAACGCCACCATATCCAAAGATATCAACCAGATAAATGTACGTGATTCAAAAAGTACACACATCAGTGCTTCTTATCTTATTCCGAACTATCCCAGAAAACTCTTGGAATCCAAGCTTTCTTCTACTGAGTACCTGTTGCGCCAGGAGGTGGAAGTTGTTCGGGTCCAAAAGACATGGGTAGAAGCTACAAACAGTTAAACAAGCTCCCCGAAGCACAAACAAATGTAACTCACCTGTCGTAGCTTCACAATCACAAAATCCTCGTTCTTGTCAAACATAATAACAGGTGTATCCAATGCGCAAAACTCGCGAATACTACATCACCCAAAACACACAACTCACCTCGTTAGTCAAATCCATCTTCATCTACCTTCTCTCTAGACCCCCCGAGAGAAAGAAAAACACCACCTGTAATCAAAACTCACAACTGTCTACACATTCCACATGGACTCGCCGGCGGTGCAATATCTGTAGCGACGGCGATGGCCCGGAACCCGCGATGGCCGCTTGTCACAGCCGTGCCGAGGGCCACACGCTCAGCACACGTTCCCACGGGGTACGAGGCATTCTCGACGTTTGCGCCGCTCGTCAGCTCACCCTCACTTGAGAGAACCGTCGCCCCGACCCGGAACTGGCTGTAGGGGCAGTACGCCGTCGCCTTGGCTGCTGTTGCGCGCTGGCTAAGCTCCGAGAACTCTTTCTGAGTGATGCCGTATGCTTCACACACCTCGGCCGTCCTGGCGGTGTCGCCTTTTGAGATGGTCTCTGTGGTATTCATTTGAGGCGATTTAATACAAGTAAAATGAGGGGAAAGGGAAGGAAAAAGGGAAAGAGAGGAAGAAGAGAAGAGGAGTGATGCTTATATCCTTTGGCATGTCGCCGTTACGCAGGCGGGCCCTTTATCGTGGACGTCTCCGCATCGGCCGCTTCCGTACTGCGGGGCAGCGGGGCTGGGCGCCGATATGACGGATCTTCGGCTGCTTCCTAAGATCTTAGATACATATCAACCAAACTTGCGGATAGATACACCTCGTATTATTAATCACCAAGACCAGTTGCCGAGTTTCGACTATATATTATTAGATGTTGTCACGTATCGACTCGTGTCCTGCTTTGCCCTGTCCTGTCTATGGTCCAGTGTTGCTATCATGACCATTATGCACTTTTCCTCCCTTACTATAGTAGCCATCCATCCATTCTTATTACAAATAGGTACATGCAACGGAGCAACGCAACAAAACTCCAAACTCATCGCTCATGCATACTACCCAGCGAGCTGTTATAGACTGGTGCTTGAACGAACCCGGCAAAATCATTTCCCTTACGGTGCCTCCTCTTGTCATATCCTAACTGCAGCTGATGTCTTGAAAAGTCGTCTGAATTAAGGCGTCTAGTAGAATCCATCAGACCCTCCAAGTCTGCTCGATGTCGATCCAACTGTTGGTGTCGACTGCGCAGAGCTGCTTGATTCGCTTGGTGTCGCTGGTTCCACAACCTGGCTTCGAATCGAGTTGATCCATTCATGCTGCAACAACTCAACAGCGGTTGATCGGTTTCGGGGATCTCTTGTGAAGCACTTCTTCAAAAAGTCGAGTCCCTGGGGGCTGAGCTGATCAGAAGGCGGCAACTGCGGCGGATTTCCTTGGGCGATGTTGTACATAATCGCCCATTCATTGTCGAGTTGCGCCCACGGTCTTCTACCGGTAGCCATTTCCATAATAACGCAGCCCAGTGACCAAATGTCGCCAGCCCCAGGCTTACCGGGGTTCTCGCCCTTGATCACTTCAGGTGACATGTACATGGGTGTTCCTGTCATGGACCGGTTTGGCATCGTTGCCTGTATATCGCCAGCAAGTGTTCGGCCTTGTCGAGCAATCACCTTAGCGGCGCCAAAGTCAACGTACTTGATGATTCCGTTGTGATCAAGTAAAATGTCTATGTCGTTGTTAGTTTCAATACTGCCACAAGCTCGAGATGCAACACTTACTTTCAGGCTTGATGTCTCGGTGGGCAATGCCGCTCTCATGCAAGTAGACAAGACCCTCGAGCAGCTGAAGCGCGTAAACCATGATGACCTGCTCATCTTCAATTCGACCGTGCTCCAGGAGATTCGCCAACGATCCTCCAGAACAGAACTCCATAAAAATGTACACACGATCTCGATGCACTTCGATGCCATAATATGATACGACGTTGGGGTGATCCAAGACCTCCAGTACTCCCATCTCTTCTCTGATTTGTTCAGCGATTTGTGGGATGAGTTTGGGGTCCTGAAGTCGTATTTCCTTAACAGCCATGAGATGACCCGTGTCAAGGTTCATTGCCGCGTAGACGTTGCCAAACGTGCCGCCTCCCACGAATTGGCCTTGCTGCCAGCGCATGGTGACGTTGGTAGCTGAAGATGAAAGGTATGCCAACGATCGATCAACCTCGTTGTTGCCCTCCAAAACTCTTCCAACTCCCTGCCTCTCTGCAACCTTCTCACGTCGATATTCGTCCACTCTTTCAAGCTCCTCCATGCGCTGCTCCGTAATGAAGCGAGATGCTTCCTCATCATTCATCATACGGTTCTTGTCGAGCTTTCGGAACTGTCCAACCAATGCTTCGATTCGTTCCTTCTCCGCCTGAGCCGCCAAGTTCGATCTGGCACCCATGATATCGAAGTGGGAGATGAGAAGAGACATACATCCAGCGACCTTGGAACGAAGCTTAGCATACTCTTCCTCACCCAGCGCAAGAATGTGGCGTCCCCGCGTCATTCCCATAGCCAGCTCGAGCGCAAGCACAGCCCAGCGGAATGTCTTTCGGTCGGAAGCAATACAGTCATCACAAATGAAGCTGACCCAGTCAAGGGCAAGCTTCGTCAGCTTGAGGTTGTTCATCTGTCGTCTGTTGCTGTCCATGTAGAGCAACGAACGTTGACCAAATTCCGTAGCAAACACGAAACATGTTTGGATGAGCTCCTGGCAGTCCTTGCCTCGAGCCTGTTTCCTGATGATACCTACACTGTCCATGAAGGTATTGGAGAGCTTGTATGCCACTCGCCTGGTTTCTGTCAATCTCGAGTTGACTTTATGAATGTTAGATCTCGATTCCTGCACTAGATCCACATGCATATCGACAGCATCAAGGAATGCCCTTCGTGCGTTGTGTAGCGTTTGAGGGCTGCCAGCGCAAAGGCGGATGTGGCCTCGCTTCAGGTCGATGCTCAAGTCGCGGAGTGGCACCTCAATCACCTCGCCAAACCAGTTGATCGGATCCTCCGGTCGAAGAATAAGAAGGTACTGCTCTCCAAGCTCATCGGGAAACTGGTCCTTGGACGTGATGGCCATCATGACTGGGATGTCTTCGAGTCTCTCACGTAGCTCAGGCGATGCGATAACATAAGTGTTTTCCTGCTCGAGAAGATGGGTGTCTACCTGGAAGTGACCGGAAGCGACGAGTTGATCGTAGAACTTCTGCATCGTCTCGGGTGGGAAGGAAATACTGTAGTCAGAAGCATGCTCGTAGTTGTCGTTCAACATTCGAGTGAATCGTTGAAGCATTCGCTGACGAACTCGCACAGAGTCAAGACAAGCCTTGTATCGCTTGCTCATCTCTGATGCAGTTTCTTTGGGTTTTGCTTGTAACTCCTTCTCAAATGTCTGGCTCACTCTGTTCAGCGCCTTGAACGTCAAGGAGCTAAATTGCTCCGCAACTTCGATGTGCCCATGCTGCAAATGGCTGCCAATTTCGTTGGCAAAGTCCCACTCTTGGAACAAAAGTTCAGCTTCTTTGAAGGTGTTTTTGTTTCCGCTCAGCTTCCAGTTTAGCATCTTGAAGTAGTACTTCAACGCTTCCAATACAACTTGGTCGAAAGATTCATCGATGCAAGGTGGCAGATCCCAACCTGGTTCGGGGTTTGCAATGGAAGTGCACTCAATTTTGATCCGGATGGCAAACTTGAGCAGTAATTGGAACTGGGAGATCATCTGGTCTTGCATGAGTGGGTTTTGCTGAGCAGATTCCTTAACTCTCCTAGCATAAGCAAGACGTATCCGAGTGATCTCTTCGATGAGGCGCGATGGGAAGCTGATAAGAGTGAGAAGCTCTTCCAGGTATGGAGGTAGATGGCGTTTGCGGAACGGCTCAGAATTCCTAATAAGAGTGTCCTTGGCCTTGCTAATCACAGTGGAGATGGGTGCAAGCATTCCTTTTTCTAGATTTCCATTATCATCGTTGTAAAGAGATTGCAGTCCGTCTTCTTTCATCAATCGGTCAAGGAAGGAAGTTTCGTCGTTGCTGATGCCGTTGACAGCGGGTGATCTCTGTTTGGTCCGCGTAAAGTCGAGCTCGTCGTTTCCAACCCATTTCTTCAAAATGTTCAGCTCTGTATTGATCATTTCGTTGGTGTTGTACCAAGAGATAATGGCATCATGCGCTTCCTTAAAGGTGGCAGAATCTGCCGCCTTGTGTTCTGCTGCAAGTGAAGCCCAAGAAGGGTATAGATTCTCACACATCTCAATCTTGGCCACCATATCCTTGACTTGTTCGTACGGGGGTTTTCCAACCTCACTCTCGCCCTTTACTTGGAAGTTGATAATTTCGTCGATTGTGCGGTCGAGTGTGGATCGCGATTCCTCCAACATACGCCTTTGAACAGGAATGTGTCTTCCACAAACCTTGGAGCGGATACCTAGCCACAGTTCGGTCTTGTGAGCGCTCTTACCAGCCTGCTGGTCCGCGGATCCGATCAAACGTTTCTTCTCTTGCCGCACAACGTCTCCAGTAAGGACAGCCTCTAGCATACCGTGCCATTCAAGCCTTTCGCGATTATCTGGGTCTTTCAAGTCCTCATCTGTAGGTTGAAGGTTATCGTTGCCGTAGAACATAATCGTCTCCTGGTCGAAACGATCATCGTATGGTCCCTCGGATGAAGGAGTCTCTCCTTCTGAATCCGAATCATTTCCATTCAAGCTTGAGTATGATGTGAAATATCCTCCGTTGTGGTCCTGTCGAAGTTTCTGCACATATGCCCGTTCCTGTGCACGGAATCTGCTCTCGGTCTGCCGTGGGCGAGTTTTAGACGACGATCGGATAGACTCGGTGAAAGATGGTGTTGCTGGCGGATGGGCCGGCTTCCTCGACGTGGCGGGATTGTAGGTATTCGACGGTGTCCGCGCAGGCCCCAATGGTCGTTGTGGCCAAGAGCCATTGGGCGTATAAGCAGGGACATCGTCCGAAGTGGCGGTTCTTTGCGGTTTGGGGCCGCCGTTAATGACCGTTCCTGGTAGAAACGAACTCATTGATCCTGTGTGGCCTGATGTCTCGTACCGGGCCATGTTACCCAGCTCGTCCTGACGTTCTATCGCATGAGGGTCACCGTTGGTTTCGATCGGGGTCTCGTGCCTGTGGCTCCCGACTTTATCAGAGCGTCCATCTTCGTCCGCGCCCGAGAACCGCACTGCTCGAGGTGATGGTTCGGCCATCCTGAAGGCTGTGGCTGGGCTGGGCCCAGGTGTGTTGGAAATGTGAAGGCCCCTCAGCACTCTGTCGGGTTATTTTCTCAATCGAGGGGGAAATCGTTATATCGGTCAGCTGTAGCCAGCTTTTGTAGATTTGCGGTGCTGCTCGAGTTGTGTTTGAAGAGTTATGATGAATCAAAGATGCCCATGGAGAGAGAGGGGGTTGAGCTTGGGAGCTCTTGATACAGACAGATCGAGATGGATCGCATGGAGGAGTGGCAATTAGGAAGCGCGTGCAAATTTACAACCAATCATCGCGCTTTAATCTTACGTGGCGTATCAAGTTGTGGCCAATGTGTGGCTACACTGTGGCTAAAATATGGAGCTTTCCATGCATATCATGGAACCGTTGGGCAAGCGAATCATGACTACCACACTGAGTTAGAAGTAAATAACACCAAGCTCTTTAGGGTGAGCTTTTGCATAATACCTAGGTACCTTGGGCAAAAATCTTCGTTCTTCACCTCGTTCTTTGCATATCATCACTTAGAGATTTCATAAACTGGGAGCGTCTTGACAGTTTCCTCAGTCATGGCCATATAATGTAGCAATTAAATCTCTTAACGAAATTGTCATCTCGATTGTAATTTGTTCATGCGTCATTACTGTAGGTATCCTATGCATGACCAATGTGAGTGAGTAAGTGAGTATTAGTTGTCCATCTGTCAGACATGCAGGTCAGATTGCCAAAACTTAGACGGCCTCTATATCCATTGTCTCATATGATTGATCCCAAACAATTACACAACATGTGAAGAAAAAAACATCCCTAAATCATTGTTCCATTAATGCTCCTCTTCCAGCACCTAAAGACTGGCTCGTCCAAGCAACTCTGATATGGCCAACCAAATTCCATATGCGGACAAATACCCTATACATCACAACCTGCCAGAACTGTCATCAAGGAGGTCTCTGACCTTGACACGTGTAAAGAGAGTGTCCGCTCAGACCAGGCGGTCAGTGGTCGGTCATTTAATAGATGGTCCCTGCGGGGAAGGTAGTGGTGCAATGAATAACAAGCAGTCCAAGCTTCATGTCACTCAGTCTATTAGTCTGATTACGATGTGATGCCAAAAGGGTGAACTTTTCAACAATAACGATTGCCTTCATGCGACTGATGCGAGTACGTGTTACACCATGTAAATGTAATTAAGGAGCAATGTCCGCATTAAACAAGAGCTCCAACAAGGTACCTAGCTTCTGTCACCAAGCCATAAACATAATCATCCCCGCCAACATAGTCGTAAGATGTTGCAGGCTTCTACTCATCAGGGTCGACTCGGTCAGCCGAACCAGCCTCGATTAGCATGAGAAGAAAAAGGTCATGGTTGTTCGGTTAGAAACACTCTTGGTATGCAACCGGAGCCTAAGGTCACTAACATCCGTGGTGAAACTTAGGACAACGCTTTGACCCTAAGGACTTTGGACCCATGTACTCGTAGCTAACAAAAAACACCGATAAAGAATGATACATAGTACATAGCTAAGACTGTTGTCTTATAGACTCGGTAGGGTCTGAATGGTCTGTGGCCGCGGTGCACTTCAACTTGCATGATATTTATTTCGGCGCTCAGTCCCTATTGCAAGATTGGAGGTTCTGGAATGTTGTAATAGACCGTTGAGCATATTGGTCATATGGAACGCCAAGCTAGGGTTCCTTCTGATAAATTAGAGAGTGTGTTGACCAATGAACAACAAGGTAGAAGTTAGCAAAAGCCGGACTGTATCCAGTTCTGCCATGTGGTGACAAGGCTTGGTAACCTTCCGCCTCCATCGTGGCCACGGAGCATCGCCGTTGTTACTAGGTGGTGACGCTAAATTAGTTGCTTGACACCGTTGAACGGATCTGTTGTGCCTGCCCTGCCGAAAGCCAATAGCGCGGAACGAAATGGCAAGAATCGACAAAAGGCTTGCGTAATTAACCAATCCTTGTCCCAAAACTGATACCACGATGTTGAAGTCGGCGGAACCTTCCATATAGTCGCCACCCGCTGGACTGGACGACAGGGCTTGCGGAAATGGATGGCTCAGCTAACGGGCGCGATGTGTCCAAACCCTCGGGTTACACAAGTCCCAGGCCGAGTGCAGCAGAAACGTGTAAGCGTCAAGTTTCGTTCACGATTTCGGGATGCTTATACCTTATGAGCTCAAGATTACCACAGAACTGATTGCGCATACTAGCTTCCAGGGAAGATGTTCTTTTCAAGGCTTGACAATGGATTGGCCCTAGAATTTCTCAGTTGTCCTCGACGACATCGGTATGTCATCAAGCCATCGGAGCAAGAACGCTGCATCCTAGCCAAGTCAGCGCAGATATTTGGGTACAACTAGTGGATATACGGACCTACGAAGCGGCTGTGGCCAATGCAATTATATCACTTGGTCATCACACAACCCTGGTTGCGACGTCTTTTCTACATTCACCTGAGCATATCAAGGGATGACAAGCGTTGTTGTCGCCACTTCATGGCCTGATCCATGAAGGACATGTCCGATAATCTGATCCACCTGATGAAAGGCTAGAATCTGCATGAAGCCATTTCTGGCAGTTGGGTGTGTAGATGATGTCTGGAGTCTTTTCTGACAGTCATCTGGCGACTATAACGGAGAGTCAACATGTTTCCGGCAATACGACGAAACAGTTATCTCACCGCAATGTTTCCGATCGTCTAGCATAGCAGGTAATTTTCAGTTTGAGACAACATTGCATGTTTAACATAGGTGACGAAATCTGAAGTTGATAAGTAGTTGGAACAGCCACAGGGATTTAGGAAAGCTCTTGCATATCTGTTGACGACCATTAAGTCGTGTCGGCTCAGTGTTTCCATGTGAGAGGCCTTGGCATCGCGTGGGGTCTGGAGACCAAGATCCTTGCTAGGGCTGACCAGGGCTGCACGAAATGAGAGCTGTAGGTACCCGACGGCTGGCCTTGCTAGCTGTCGCAGCTTGATGGAGAGCATCCTCTTCACCCCGGATTCGAGCTGAGTTGAACTGACAAGCTTGACAAGGACTCCAAAGGTTGCTTCTTGATACGTGTGATGTCTGGCTGCCCCTTGTGTCGGTCGGGGGGATTCGAACCCAAGCTGTCGAACTATTTGGGCCAATGGCAACAATTCTTTTCTGACGGCGCAGACGCTCAATGTCCGGATATGTATGAACGGGCTGCTGATCTGCGTGCTCGGATCGTAACCTGATACCAACGCCAACGGATGTCGACGAGAGATCGTGAGGCGGGAAGTTGTGGACTGCAGATGGGATCAGCAAGGCGGAGTTTCCGATGAGTTACATAGGACTTGAAGAAAACTGTTCGCCTAAATTATAGTGTCAAGATCGGCCATTGAAGTTACGCGGCTGCGCGGATGAATATCATGGTGACATGAACGATTGTATGTTTTGACGATGTGAGATTGCACAGTGGAGATGGATGGTGCCGGAAGTTTAGGAAAGCCGAAAGACCACCATCGTGCACATCTCTTTCCTTAGAACATCCAGGTCCATCATGGCCGACGGCACAACTTAGAGGAAGTCGCAAAGAAGAAAGCAGGTCAGGCCCCGGGAAGCCGCAGAGGTCCGACTGAGCTGGCCCCTCCTGCCCTCAGGCGGCTGAGAGGCTCGTCCCGTCTCTACCGTGCACTGATATTGCTTGAAGACAGGCACGAACAGAGAGTAGAGAGGATTAATCAACTGATTAATGGCACGCATACTTGAGAAGTCATTCGAGAAAGGATATTCCATCATCGAATCTACACTCTTTCTACTCCTCTCTGAAGCTGTAGCTACAATAGAAGATCACCATGCAATACCTTCTTAGGTACCAAGGTTTTAAATGAAGATACTGGATGAATGTCACACTCTACACAACGAACTCAACTCCCGATGATCTAAGTCAGTTGTAACTTATCGCTGCGACGTCAACGGTTGGCTGGCGTTTCAACGTCTGCCGATACGATACCTCTCCAAAGGCATCATGAACGCACCAAAAAGGTTGACAGGGTTGCCCCGTGGCATTGACAATTGACCCCAGCACCCGCCGCTGAATGGAAAACAGGTAGAAGGTAACATCGCGAACCCGTCAGGATGCGGGAAGAGGGAATTTGCATCCACCCTACAAAAAGTTTATCCCAATTCAGTTGTGAGTGAGAGAGGTACTCAGGTACCTATCAACCTTGTACCCCCCTCTCCACCCTCCACCCTCCACCCCCTTGACACTTTGTTCTGTGTTGGGTTGAATCAACCATCGCTGATCGATCGTCAGTCAACTACGTTTTGCATCGTTCTGCGGCAGTGAGGCTGAGGAGAGGATTCATGATGAAATGCACTAAAAGTATCTCGAACCCCTTAAGAATCGGTAGCGAGATCAAAGAAGATGAAGAGCCCTTCGGCTAGTTAGTGTGCTGTGAGTTGGCCCAATCGCATCAAGAGCTTGTGAGAATCCAACCAAACACAAGTCAAGGCGGCTTGTGTCAGTGATGGTGCGTGCCCCCAAGCAGTCTACTACATATGTACTTGTGTGTTAAATGAATCGCTTTTTGTTGAAACTTGCATTGTTAAGGATCTTGCCACTCCCACTCTCCTAATTTGAAAGGATGGGAAAAGTCAGAGTTGAGTATAGCTGTTTTAGGCTCCTCCTTGTTCATCCCATTTACGGAAAATCCTACACATGCTTATTCTCCATTGATGAGACTCAGGGGTACGTCGGTTCCGCGTACCGACCCTGCAAGATGGCATGTTTCAACAGCTGAGGTTACGTTAGAAGGGCATTTTCATCCTGTCGGGTTGTTAGAGGCTTTTTTTTGGGGGCCACCGTTGGAAGTGCACACCAGCCCAGCCAATCCATGGATGAGATACCGTACCCCTCCAGGTCAGGTACCTTGCACCTGGAACCCAGAACCTAGAACTGGAGAGCTTGGCACCTGGCAACTCCATCCCTTAGTGCAACACTGCTAGGTAACCTTAGTACCTTACTAAACTACCTAAGCTACAAAACCCAACTCCACTCGCCGTCACAGACCTGGACCTGGCTTGAATTCGAGACGACAGATCAGACCCTGGACCAGGCAAAATGTCTCTAGCTTGTTTGCTTTCGGGTCCCCGTCCTGCTGAAGCAGACACTTCCGAGACAGAATCGGGGGAATGTCATGCTCTCATCTCTAAAGGCATTATACGACCCTTGATCCTCGTCCCGTCTTCCGTCTATAACCACCACGACCTCGCCCTCAATAAAAATAAATACATACATGATGCAATCCTTTCTTTTTCGAGCTACTTTCCCTTGCCTCGTTACTCAACATCTCCCCAGATCCAGTGGACTGATCTGCCGCCTCGTTTAAAGCCTAAACTCCCACTATTATTATACCCAACTCTCCACCACTAAGAAAAACTTTAAAAGTCTTTTATAAACGGCGACGGTCAATCTAATTTATCTGTGGATCCAACCTCATGATTCCTCTCAATAGTCTTCTCTTATTACGACGCTTCGCACATATCCCCACACTACCACCGCATCTAGTGTTGCTATATACTACCAGTATTGCTTCTCTCTCTTCCCTACTTGGATCGACCTAGCTCGCTTATCTCTACTGGGATTCAAGACAATCAATATAAAACAAACTTTTCAGTAAGGACTTCCTTCGACTCAAACTTTCCCGGGATCACCGTCGCAGGACCGAACTAATATATTCGTGTTAGACAAGCACTTTCAGATTCCACCATGTGCGACTTCACCAAAAACTATTACATTTACGCATCCTGCACAGATCCGGGAACCCACTTCTGCAAAACATCTATAGATGGGACTCGCGAGAAAGCCTGCTCGAAAGGTCCCCACGAGAGATATATCGTATTGCCTGAAAGTTGTCCTCTGTGTTGTGGATGAAGCAGAAAGGGATACCTTTTGAAAGAGTCAACAAGATCAGAAAGAACACTTCCCTGGCAACGTTCCTCCAAATTTTGACATAGTCAACACGAGTCATGTATAACAACAGTATGGGACTAAGACTGGGTGGCGAGAATCTAGGACGCCAAGGCTACAGGATGTTGTTCCTACATTCACGATATGGCGCGAAACATTCGAGTCCGAGAGTACAAGAGCTGGATCTCGGACCATCGCGGGGGCTTACACAAGGAAACTAAGCGGCAGATATATCATGGACTAGACAAGGAGAAGGGATAACCGATTTGATACGCAACGAGCAGCGAGGAAACCAGGAAGAAGGTTGATGCCAAAGCATCTTGAGACAGCCATTTTTGAAAGTTGAAATTAGTGCAGGATTATCAAGGCTTGCCCACACCTGTGTGCCATCAACACAAACTAATTTGACGTTATAAGCCATCGGAAAAGGCTATGGGGGATATCTATGAGCTGGCATATATGATAGGGGCTGCCTTAGTTCCCAAGCTACCGTGGAACGAGCCGTCCCGGATCAGCTGTACTGTATTGAAATTAACGGCTGTTCTGCAACATATGATAAACTGTTTTCGAGCTTATCTCCTTTCAATGATTACTGCTTCAAAATCGAAAGGATCCCTAGGATCAGGTGTTATGTGGCTACTCGCTGTCAGCGGGTCGTACAGGTTGCCACTAGGAACAGTTACCAGGCGTCTTGGCTGCTATACCTAACCAACAATGGTTATCCGTACAGATTCCGGCGACGCAGCGCCTTTATAGTCACAAACCAAACAGGGATGTTCCCAGTAGACGTGTTGAGTGGTTACATCCTAGGTTGACAGTGAGGATGCGCCGTGTTAGTGAGACGTAGCATGCCATCCCACCATCTACATGAGGCTTTGACAGGTCGCTTGTGGGAACCAGTCCCTTCTTAGCTGACCCCCCCCATTGGTCTTGGCTAAAGATTGAACAAGAGACAATATGCAAGTAAAAGAGGCGAAGATCAGATGGTAATATGGGGCTTTTAACCGGGGATACGGTTGAGGTTGCGGGGAAGATGGGGGGGCAAATAAGCGCGTCCGCCGAGAACGGCGCGGGACGCACCCTTTTTGCGAGGCGGACGGCGGGACCTTGAACCAATGGTCAAGCCTCAGGGTATGTGAGGAGAAGAGAGACAACAGGGCTCGTATGGATAATTGCAAGCTGAGGATAAGCGAGATCTGCCACATCTGCTTATCCCTGTTGCGTGGAGAGTACCATCCATTCCCGCGCTTAAGCAACGAGGCGGAACTGTTGCTGTAGGTTTGCTTAGTGCCAAGGCTGGGCAAGGCAATATATTGCCAGTAGCTGCATACGCAGCCCTACGCGCATGATTTACTGGTATCCTGTAATATTATAGTTTTGCTTCTTCATGTCCAGATTGTCCAAGAGCCGGGAATATGCCACATTGATGCCGACCTGCATAGGGAGAGTGCTGGGGATCAAGTGTTTGCCGGGGTATCCCGGTGTATAGTAGTCGGTCATATGGAGCGGCGCAGTCTTTGAAGAATTATACGGATGGTTCTGTCCGAATTGTTTGTGTCAGGCCGGTTCCTTTTCCGGTCCGTCAGCTTCTGAAAAAATAGGAGTGATTACGGAACATGATGTGGGGATGATGGGCGGAGCAAGCTGAAACAATGGAACATGTAAATATATATGCGTTATGGAGAATATACATGAGATAATGGTGAGTAGCCAAAGTATGTTATTGTATTGGTCAGTTTGTCTGTTGACGTCGTGCGGCCATTCCTCCCTTATTCAGTGTAAGACATAAGTCTCCCTTCCCTGTAAGAGATGATGAGCAAGACCTGCTACTGCCGCCGGCTAGTATCATCCGTTAACAAGAAATATGGCGATAATATCAGCATAAACACACAATATTACTGTACATATGTAGTACGGATAGTAGTACTATGATTGTCCTGAGGTTTTAAGACGGACCTTTAAACTCGGCCGAGAAAAGAAGTGGAGACAACTTAAACCCCGGATTTATCGTCTAGCTCGTGCATGTCATCTGGACCCACTATGAACCGAGGCAAGAACGGTTGTGCCGGCCCCCGAACCTTCTCCTGTTAGCCTGGCTCTCCCCTTTCAAGTTTCAACTAACCTGTCATAACTGATACTTTCCCAGATCATTATACATAACGCGCTTATTTCAACGTTCTTCTATTGATTTCACGGTCGATTGTGTAGAAGCATTCTCCCAAATCACAGCAAATTGATCTGGAATCGCAATGACCGTTCCCGAGTCCGAGTATCTCAGTCCTGTCTGGAAAGATGGCATCTTCAGTCAGTCTTGCACCATCCCCCCAAACACTGCATCGAAATATCTAACAATGTCTAGACGGACGCGTTATCTTTGTGACGGGCGGTGCGGGAAGCATCTGCAGCATGCAGACGCGTGCTTTGGTCCGCCTTGGAGCAAATGCATGCATCATCGGCAGAAGTGTCGAAAAGACCGAGATGGTCGCAAAGGACATTGCGCTTGTGAGAGAGGGAGCTAAGGTGATAGGGATTGGAGGCTGCGATGTTCGAAAGGTATGACGCGCATATTCCGACGGCAGCAATCGTGCTTATGCTAATCGACCGTAGGTCGAGAGTCTCCAGGCTGCTGCTGAGCGATGCGCAAAAGAACTTGGCGGAATCGACTTTGTTATGTACGTGTTCTCTAAGGCCTTGTTCATGCAGGACAACTAACCTACCTCGATAGTGCTGGTGCAGCCGGCAACTTTGTCGCCCCGCTAGAAGGCCTGAGCTCCAACGCATTCAAGTCGGTAATGGATATTGACGTTCTGGGAACTTTCAACACGATCAAAGCAACAATGCCTCATCTTCTACGCAGCGCTAACCCTCGTATCATCTACGTCTCTGCAACATTTCACTACACCGGCATGCCGCTCCAGGCACACGTCTCCGCAGCCAAGGCATCTGTTGACTCACTCATGGCTTCCGTAGCTCTTGAGTATGGACCACGAGGCGTGACCAGCAATGTTATCGCCCCGGGAGGCATCGAGGGGACGGAGGGTCTGGCAAGACTAGGAAGTGACGCAGAGAGTGAGAAGAAGAGATACGCAAAGAGTATCCCGTCAGGCCGCGCAGGAACCGTTAAGGATATTGCCGATGCGACTGTCTTCCTGTTTAGCGATGCTGGGAGCTACGTTAACGGACAGGTTCTGGCTGTTGATGGCGCAGCGTGGAGGCGCCAGGGAGCCTTGGGCGTGGGAACCGAGGCTGGCATGGAATATCCGGATTATCTTCTCAAGGGAGAGTTTTCGAAGAACCTGCGAGATCCACGAAAGGAGACCAGGTCCAAGTTATAGACGCTGTTGTTGCTTAGGATATAGAATGAGACGGAGGGTTTCGAAGATAGAGTATGTGGTGTACAGGATGGTAAGGCGATATATGGGGTCGAGCTATGAGCTTCAGTTCTTGAAGTAACGGGCGTCATTCAGGATCAGGTTTTTTTATCGGAAAAACGAAAGCTCCCCAAGGATTGTTGAATCGGAGGTTGCGGAGATATTTGTTCTGGGTCGATAGGTAATATCTAATCGAGGACCCGCTCCGGCATTGACATCTCCGGCAGTAGATAACCTGATGGAGTTGGGTATTCGAACCAAACAGCATAGTTAGAGACATTTAACACTTGAGATGTGCTTTGCAGCTTAGCGTGATAGTAAGATATCGTCTTTTTAGAACAGGCACGATATTGTTAAGAGAAATTGTGCATGTGCTGCATGTCTATGGCCAATCAGTCTTTTTTACACCTGGCAAACCCCCGCAAAGGCTCCATATCTCAGATCTGCCTTCTACCGATAGGAAAACCGAAGTCAAATACAAAGTTGTTCCAATAATATTCAATCTGCCCATATTGTAGGATGCGATCACCAACGACCGGAGATAACACGGCATAGCCGACCTCGTCACTAGAGCCGCGACCCGGCCGATATCCAATCACATCCGCCCCCGATGGCCGGAGACGAGCTCTTTTTTCCCTCTCATTCCACTCTTTGGAGAAAAGTTCCTGAAAATTCCAAAAGCCGATTGGTCTCTTCCCGGCTTAAATCTATCAGTCAGAGTGTGGGCTTGCATTAGTGGCCGCTAGGGTAACGCCGCTGAGGGAGGGGTAGCTAGGTACTTATCTACCCACAAGGTCTTGGCTGATAGCTCGAAGCTCTCCATCATGAGCTTTTGTTACAGGGAGAATACTATACGCATTGTGCAATTGAGCTTATGTGACGAGTTGAGACCAAGATAGATCCACCTGTAACCGTCAATTTCTTAGTGGTATGTCTCTGCACCTTGCACAATCATCCAAATGTTGAAAGCTCAAAACATAAATAAGCATGTGTCAAGCTTTATAAACAAGCTCCGTCTGCTTGCTCATCACGTCTATGGTGTGAAGCGAGTTTCCTATCCGGGTATAACTATTTCCAAAGAAGAGGGTCCAGAGAACATGATTAGCTCGGCCAGGGAATCAGCCTCTGCACCAAGAGAACTATTGCGTGTGGGACTATGCATAACCTTGTAACTGCACGGCACGTCTAAAGCCGACAGGGCGGGGGGAAGCAGCCCATATCGTGAGTCTCATGAGGACTAGGCCGTGATAAGAGAGCGCGGTGGAATATATTAAATCGGCCTGTGCGGCTTTTACGTTTCTTCTTCTTCTTCTTTTCATCTCATTGTTAGCCGTGATCTGCATAGTACCTACGAGTAAGTGGGGATAGCTTCATCCAAAGCTTCAATACAGCCAAAATGCACGCCAAGCCCCTCTCCCTCTTGTTTCTCTCTTCCCTCCCCTCCCTGGCCGTTGCTGAAGATGTTCTCGGCCTCTACATCTTCCACCGTCACGGTGACCGCACAGCTAAGGCCTGGAAGCCCGTCAACTTCACTGCCCTCGGAGCCGATGAGGTCCACTCCTCCGGCTCTTGGTACCGTGACACCTACGTGAGCGAAGATGCTCCTCGCAGGATTTCCGGCCTCAGCGCCGAGTCTGCCGTCCTATCTCAGCTCGAAGTTACTTCTCCCGTCGATGCTGTCCTTCAGAACTCGGCTCTTGTTTTCCTTCAGGGACTCTACCCGCCCACTAAGCAGGTTGAGACCCTCGCCAATGGATCTAAGGTTGAGGCTCCTCTGAGCGGATACCAGTACATCCCCATTGCCTCATCCGAGACTGCGGCCAGCGACAAGAACTCGGAGAACAGCGCTTGGCTACAGGGCAACAGCGGGTGCACCAATGCCGAGGCCAGCTCAAATGATTATTTCTCGTCTTCTGAGTATGCTCAAACATACAAGGACACGGAGGACTTCTACCAGAGCCTTCTTCCCGTTATCAAGAAGACATATGGCAAGGATGCTGCAAACTTCCAAAACGCCTACACCAGTACGTTACAGATCCGGTGATGTACGAGTTTGATACCTTGCTAATACAGCCAGTCTTTGATCTCATCAATGTTGCACGCATTCACAACTCCAGCGTCCCCTCAGATGATCTTCTCACTGAATCTACACTGGACAAGCTCTACAACCTGGCTTCTATCCATGAGTGGAATCTCGCATACAACAGCAGCGAGCCAGTCCGTGCCATTGCCGGCTCTGTTCTTGCCGGACAGATTATCGAGGCCCTCGAGCCCCTCGCCAGCGGTACAAAGGCACCCAAGGTGAACATCCAGTTCGGTGCTTACGCCGCCTTCATGTCCTACTTCGGATTGGCTGGTCTTGACAAGGCCAGCTCCGATTTCACAGGAGTCGTCGACTACGCCTCCTCCATGGCTTTTGAGCTCGTCACAAACGCGACCAAGCCCACCGCCGACGATGTCAGCGTCCGCTTCTACTTTGCCAACGGTACTGCTTCCGAGAACACCCCTAAGCTGTTCCCTCTCTTTGGTGAGGACAAGACCACCATCTCTTGGAAGGACTTCAAGAGTGGCATGTCCGAGTTTGCTATCAAGGACAACAAGCACTGGTGCAAGCTCTGCGGAAACACCGATGGTATCTGCGCCAGCAGCTCTGATAATGATGACTCTGCCTCTTCCCAATCTAGCTCTGGAGGTTCTGGCAATGGTGTCTCCAAGCCTGTTGCTGGCGTTATCGGAGCCCTTGTTACCCTGGTTGTGATCCTGGGTATCCAAGCCGCTGTTGTTTTGTTTGGCGGCCTGCGTCTCGTTAAGAAGTCGACTCTTGCAGCAGCTGGAGACTCCAAGCCTGAAGAAATCAAGGCATGAGTGATGAGAAAGATGAAGGAATAATGGAATGCTGGGCGAACAAACGTCAAGGGCTTATGTGATACGTCTATAAGGAAACTACAATAACTGATGAAATTTGTATCTTATATCCAGAATGATCCCTGCCGAGTTCCTGGTGATGTGAGGTCTATGCCTAAAGAGAGGAACCAGCTCTGCTATCTTACAAGATCTACTTTATATCTAAACATTAAGGTTTACCCAAATCATGTTTGCACACTGAAGGAAAATGTCGCGCAAGTATCAAGTTTTTATAAAGAGTCGTTGCCATTATCGAAGGCCAGTCATATCAAGCAAGTCATGACGGTAGTAGAAAGCGCGCACGCGTTTGCCATAAACATCTGGAGATTGTTAGTCAAAGGCATATATCGTGGCGGAAAATAACTAACACATTGGTATGCTAAGAAGGCATACTACAACTTGGATTGAAGCAATCGAAATCATTGTCCGTTCAATACCACCCTCGTTGATCCAGTCGAAGGCAAAGAACGTCAGGACGAAACTGAAGAAGTTCTTGAAGACGATCATGATTGTGAATCCTTCAATCGTCAAATCCCCTGCAAACATGTCAGCACTATAGACTGTGATCGACAGAGTAACATACGGTACGCGTCGACGATATACAAGGAGCTGGAAACAGCTCCGATAACCATGCCTGCAACCTCAAAGCCGAAAAAGAGCAACGGGACAGGGTACGAGTACTTCTTCTCTATAACACCGGGGGCTGTCAAGGCAAACCCGTATAGTCCAATTCCTCCGATGATCATCATGGGAATTACTAGAAGAATGCGAAACTCAGGTTCATAGATACCCTTGTTCAGCTTGGTCATGTATTTGACGCTGGAGTCGGCTAACAGGCCAGCCAAGACGAAGCCTAGGACAGCACCAATGAAGGGTCCAACGTAAGTGTATCCAGCATTTACCTCATCCCAGTAGTAAGGAGATCCAATGAACATGGCTGCCACGATAACTCCAATGAACACTGTCCAGCCGATCATGGCACCTTGGATGAGGCAGCCCCAAATAAATGCTGGATGTGCCAGGAGAGGGAATGGCCGCAAAAGAAGGACCCAGTATCGTTCGTCTGTTTTCCGTCCATCGAAAAGCGAGATCGATTGAAGGAAGTCTTTCTTTGGTGTGTTGGCGTTTCCAATGGGTTGAAGGGCATTCGAGGAGGGAAAGAACGTAAAACCTGCAGCAGGCTTGTCAAGTGGTTGAGAGGCCGAGAATCCGGACTCTTGCTGCGGTGGGGGAGTCTGATGTTTGTCTTTTGTCGTCAATTCTATTCCTAGGTCGCCTGTAGTATCAGTGTTCAGGTTCGCGTCCCGACGATAGGCCGTCTCGGGGCACAAGAAGAAAACCGCTGGCAGGGTAGCGGCAAGAAATATAGCAACGAAATAGAAGGTCCATTTCCATCCCAATGACGCGGTGATTCTACCGACCAAGATGGGAGTAAAAAAAGCGCCACCAAACACTGCCAAGTTCGTAAACGCCATCCGCACTCCTCGTTGATGAACAAAATAGAGGTCGCCGACAGCAGCATTCAATAAACTCTCATAAGGCGCACATCCGACGCCTTGGACGATCCTGGCACCAATGAAACTTCCATAATTTGTTCCGACCGACCCAGCCCACGCACTCGAGGCAATAAGAATGAGTATGCCGATGAGAAATGAATGACGCTTTCCCCAAATGCGACCGGAGGGGACGAAGAATATGGCACCAGCACCACAGCCAAGCAGAAAGTATCCTGTCAACAGAGCGACCTTGGTGAAGTCCTTGGTGAAGAGTTGGGAGATGGTAAGAGTGTTGGCAGCGAGGATGGGACCCAGCGCAGTGGCAAGTATACCGGCGAAGCAGAGGAGGAAGGTGATTAAGTCGCGTCGCAAAAGTGACCAGTTCAAGGGATCGTTTGGGTCGTCGGAGGGTTGAGGGATCTGAGATTCATGTCAGCGTCAACAAAATGATTAAAGCAGACAAAACAACATACAAGAATGATGGATTCCTTCCCAACTTGAACGCGCTTGAGGTTTCCATGATGCTCATCAGCTATCTGGGGTTGAGAAGGATCGTCGAAATACCGAGTCGTGCCTGTGGTTTAATGAATCGTCAGCTTGTCGTGGCCAGACCTGGGTGCATCGCTCTGCCATCGAGACGTGCCCGATGCCCATCGCAGCTATGACGCAAGCTACGTACCAGGAACACGCTCGATGTCCTTTGCCTCGAGAATCCCCAAGGGCATCTTGGAACGAGATCGAAGACCGATCTAGGAAGCGAGCTGAGGTGGGGCGAGGATATGCACCTCCTTGGTGAAAGTCACGAACACTCGCGACTCGGTACAGTACAGCGGAGGAAATTATTAGCGCCCAGTGAAGGATCCTTTTCCTCGGAGGAAGTTGGATAGGGCTAGAGTCGGCTTCTTCCAGACTGGTGTTGCCTGTGTCAGGTCGTCAACTTTCTGGAGATAATCAGCTTGAGGTCTTGAGCAATCAGAGGTAGAATGTGGATGGTTTGGTGTAATTATGCGGGTGGAGATGGTCCGAGGGTTCCGCATGTTTCTCCAATTGCCGTGATTACATTACTGGGGTAGGTGTTAGCACCTCTCCAGCGTACTCCATACAGGGAGCAACAGTAACATCCACAATTGCCGATCAGAAACAATTCTCTTGGCATTGTCTAATTATCGTTACGGTCTTCTTTCTACAGGCTTCTTATTTGTTATTTGTCCTCTGGCCAGACAGTAGTATCTGTTCATTGAGTCATCATCAAACACAGTACCGCATTACTGTGAATGCGTGAGCATAGGGGACGATCAGGCTGATCTTTTTTCTGTAGCACGTCAATGTCACCAAAGTATGGAACCTTATGTTGTGGCTATATCTGGACCGATGGCTGTGATCCAATGATTGCTGTAAGCATGAGCCAAGTGGCATATGATGTTATTAACCGATGCCAAATCATTTCAAGACCGAGCTGAGCTTTTGATTGTCCGTTCCATTCTGGAATTAAGTACCTTTCAGGTAATTAGGTAATTATAATAGGTAGTACCTTACTTTTGTTCCTAACCTATGGATTGAATCCGAAGGAGATAGAATTCGTAGGGCAGGCGGTATTGTATCCCATACGTATCCGTACTTGCTCAACCAATGTTAGGCACTAGGCTAATACTGGTTCTTTCCGAATCGATCTTGCATCTTGTATCTGTCGCTTCGGAGGGAGGCCCAACGAGCACTCCTTCTCAGGTAGCTTGAGTAGTAGCTCAAGCAAGAGGATGTTCGACCTCACTCTTCCCCCCTCAACTCTCAACCACCAAAGGCACAAATCTTGTCGATTTATGATATTCGTGCAAAGATTGCTTTAGTCAATGACGACGAATCAACAACAACCACTGCCAACACCCTCTTATCCTATCTTTATCACTCTCCATGTCTGACGTTCACGGCCCCAGTGTTTCCCTCCTAGACTAGGCCGCCCGTTGCGGGCCATTGACACGCATGTCATGGCATCCATGAGTAGCAGGGGTAGCAAGAGTATGTACATTGTAGCGTGCCCCTTGTCTCGGGGCAGCCCACAAGCGACCCATGTTATCCCTTGCTGGGTTTTGAGATCTATCGCTTATTCGGAGACTTCTTCAGCCATGTCTCGATCTCTCCGGCACCAAACCGGCTTTGTGGTATTCTACTCGCCTGCAGTTCAATCACAAACATAAACATGCAGTTATGCATCATTGCCGATCGCCTCGCTGCCTCCGTACTTGCAGCATACTCAACCTCGGCTCATAAAGAAGCAGGCCTTCCAAACTCTTGGGCGGTTAGAACTAAGACACAAAGCTGACAAGCTCTCATGGCCCCACACCGCACACAGCTCCGGTCCCTGGATATGACCTGTCGTCAGCAAGACTACACTGCCAGGCTCGGTCGTGATTGCTTCACTTTGAAGAGCAGTTACTGTTTGGAGGTTTTAAGGAAGTGACCGAGAGAGCAACTCGAGAAACTTCGTTTGTCTTAGCTAACATTAAAACAAAGCGACATCAGTTTCCTCGGACAGTATCTCATTCTAAGAGCGTGATCTGCACTGGTCGTTTCAGCTATCTGTCAAAAATCCAAAGGCAGTATCCTATGTCTAACAACCAACCATCACAAAAGGGTTCGCTATCGCAAGCAATGGAATCCTGTCAAGACACATCATACTACCTGGTTAATAGCTTCCATTGGGGCAGCGGCTCTACAAGCTAAGGGTGCCCTTCAATACCTTGTTCGGCTGAAAAGAGCTTGATCCCGATGTCAAACCCTCATTGCAACATCGTGGTTGGCCCGTGGCGGCTTGAACTCCGGTCCCCTGCATATTGCGGCTCTGGCCTTGTTCAACCAAATCCCACGAGTCTTTTCTTCTGCCATTTCAGCAGACAAGAGTTTGCCGATCATAGCCAACCCAGGCTGCTGCAGGAACTCAGCCTTAATACGACGGGGAGAACGCTCAGAGAAGCACATGCTCCGACCAGGGCTTATTGCGACAAATGCAGTATGTCTACTAGACGAAGGAGAGTAGTGGGGAAGATCATGGCTAGTTGTCAATTAACTGAGCATTTGCTCTAGAGCAAGCCACACAGACTATTTGCTCTCTAGCCGAGCTGGCCCCTACGCAACATCGAACTTTGGAAGCACCATTGACGACAAATGCCAATCTGTAATGGCTCTTTGATGAAATGTCATCACTTTAGGGTTCCGGCTACTGGGATTGTGCCACATTGCCATGGAAGTAAGGTTCTGCCACGGTACTGGTGGCATTCGTCATACGAGAGCCATCTGCATTATGAGGTAGAGGGTCTCTTGAGAGTCAAATCGGCGCTGTTGCGTCCTGATAGGCAGGGAAATTAAGGTATGCATTCATCGGTTCAACGCGACACAAAATGACGCCGTAACAGATCCCTTATTTAGGGCGTCTTGACCAGGGCCAGGCATAGGCTCGAATGGCTGCAGGAAACCGAGGGATTCGCTGGCTGCGCACGGTACCTACTTCCCTTTTGCTGTCTTACACGCTAGACCATGTGGGAACCGTTAAGGATGATCGCAAACCAGCTCAGCCAGTCACGATGGGAAGCGCAATTGCTGAAGGGGTGAGGTCGATAATTAGGAATGACTCCTTACGGGATGTCTCCCAGGAGAGCGGTCACGCTTTCCCCAGCTCCAGAGGCTCGGTGCAGATTACGGACGATCACATACTACGTACCGATACTCAGCAACAGCCATGACAGTGCGACACCAGACCAAACCCCTAGAAAACAAGAGCTTCCAGCGCTGTTCGTCGCAGATTTTGGTTGATTCGGGCATTGGGTGTGCACGCATATCGATCGGGTGTGTGTGGCTCAGATCTAGAAAGCTGTCATGAGGGAACCACGCCAGAGAGGGGAGCTCGATCCCCGGGTCCGTTCTGAGATCTGGCAATGACGTCCAGCGGCATGAATGCGGATGCATGCAAAACAAAGCTGTCGTCCTTAGCTAGAAACGATGGCTCGCCATGCTTCACGATGAACAGCTGAGCTCACGGCACGGTGTGGTGCGATTAGCGGTACGGTATAGCCTTCAGATGTAGTGCAGTGTGGGTGCTAAACTCGTCTGATGAACTTGGCCAGACAGGACAGGACGTTGAATCATCTTGATACCCTCCATTTCCCTGCCTCACACCCACCCGGTGGCTGCTATAAACGGGCCCTTTTTTTTTCTGGCTGCACTGACGGATTTACAACCGTTTCTAGCACCGGTACCTGACGAACTTTCGACTTAGTAAAGTTGTGTATTTGTTCGCCTGGTCTCTCGTCGGAGCCGGGCTTGGCTCCGGTCAAGTTCAGTTCACATTCTGCCAGGCCCGTTTTGCGAATCTTTTCCGCTCCCTTGCTCTTCTTGTGCACTCTAAAAAAAAAACTCTCTTCCATACGATGCTTTCTCGAATTCCAACGACAAGGCGGCCTCTCTAGCCTCCCCGTTGTTATTAACCTTCATGTCCCCTTACACACTTGGCTAATACCCACTCATCTTGACCTCAACGTCTGTTTATCCTAGAAACTTTTATCCCATTCCCCATTTAATCCCCAGTCTTCTCTTGCTGGTCACCCACCTCAGATTCCTTGTGCGTACATTCTTATTGTTCTGCCCCTCATTGCTTTATTCCCACCCACGCTTGGTAACTCGCGAAACCTTCACGACGTTGTGCGTTCCCATCCGACCAAAAGCCGCCGAGACCCTCAACGGTCAGCCATTCTTCGCCTCTGGAGGCATTGTATTCAATGGAGCCTACCGAACAAACCTGGAAACCCAATTCGTTCTACTAGGTAGCTTTTTAGAGCTGCTGCTTCATTGATTCTGCTATTATACTCACATATAAGCGCGAACGAACAGCTGGAGTCAGTATTCCAATTATGGACCCTGGGCTATCCTCGTCCAGCAACGTCTCACCCGGGTCTGGACCGCAAGTTAATCGAAAAGAACGCGGTGCTATTGCAGCTCAGGTATGTATTGCTTGGAAATTGTGCCTTGTAAACCAGACTCGAATTTGATATTCGTCCATCATACATCTCCTCCAGTTTGGGTAACTTTCTTCTATCTGGGTCGTCTATCTACCCCCCCACATAGGCATAGCTACCCTTGTTGAACAACGTGACTGACAGATACCTAGGCTTGTGAGACGTGCCGCAACCGGAAACAAAGATGCGATGAACAAAGACCAAAGTGTGGTACATGCCAAAGATTCAAGCTCGAATGTCGATATCGAGAACCTCAACCTACAAAGTATGTTTCAAGAACAGCCCGGCCGTGGCATGGTAGTGGTGTCTTTACTGCCTGAACCGACACATAACATAATCGCAGCTCGCTAAACTCTACCCACAGGAAGGACAAAACCTTGGTTGAGATCTTGGATCGACTCAAGAATGTCGAAAGCAAAATCGACAGCCTAGGTCTCCGCGACAATGCGACTTCTCCGCTCTTAACCAGTTCCCAGCCTTCTGATGTGTATTGTACAAATACGTCACTGCTGGTAGATCCCGAGACCCAAGATTCCCTTGCAGGGACATCTCTTTCACCAACAAGCCCGACACCCAACATTGACACAGGTGGCTATCGCTATGACTCGTCTGTTTCCAAGATGTCGGAATGGCCTGTCATACGCCAAATGTTTGAAAGCCTGGGCCAGAAGCCTCCATCGCCCTTGGGCGAAATCCCTGCACTTCCAGGAGGGCTCCGTGACTCTACCATTACTCTGCCCTCTGATGGTGTCCAACCAGTAGGAATACCAAGCAACAGCGCCATGCAAGTACCTTTACACCTCTCTGGCTCTTCCTCCTCGACCCTAAACCTGAGCCCTCCGAGTATAGATTGGGAAACGATGCAAAGACTTACCAAAAGCTTTTTTGATGTGATCAATATTCTTCATCCCATTATGGATCGACAATGGTTCAACTCGAATACGCTAAGCTCGATTCTTAGCAACGGGTTTCAAGAAGGGGCAATATCTTCCCTTGTACTGCTTGTCTTTGCTCTTGGAGAAGTGGCACTTACCACGTCCGAGGTGCCCATCTCGGCGTACAAACAAAGACCGTCTGGAATCAAGGGAGGAACTATTGACCGGCCGCCCGGACTTGCCTACTTTAACGAGGCACGGAAAAGAATGGGATTTGCTCTCACTGAGATCAGCCTGGAAAACGTGCAGATGTTTGCACTTGCTTCCGTATATTATTCAAGTTGTGGGCAAGCTCTGGTTGGTACCCAGTACATTTTCTGCACGTTTTGGACCTTTGATCTAACAAATTCGTAGGAATGTTGGAGAATGACTGTCTATGCATCTTTAGCCTGCCAGGCTCTCGTAACCAGGTGAGGAAGTCCAATACCAAGTATCGAGCCAGTTAGTCTAAATTCTAGTCGACAGCAAACCCAGTGAACTACATGGCCCTCGAACGGATTTGATCAAACGTATATTCTGGCACTGTTCAATTATGGAAACGTAAGTATTGCGAAAGTTACACTGTTCATATACTGACAAAGCCTGTAGCTGTTTTAATATGGAGTTCGGACTCCCCCTGACCGGGCTGGAGAAGTTCGAGGAAACCATGGGCCTCCCAGACTTCAGTGGACCGATCACTGACGAAGACTACATCTGCAATCAGGCATCGCATTTTCACGAGCATTTCGCATCCCAGATTGTACTCCGGAGACTCTCTGTCAATCTCCATTCCGTTCTGAATAAAGGTACGTTAAAACAGGTCGTACGTCGGTTGGGCTCAAATGGCTGCTGTGTGCTAATACTTAAAAGTCTTTGGCGTCGATAGATCCCTCTCCTTTCCTGGGTTTGGTCCCTTCAATGGTTCAACCAGTCCTGGCAATGCGGCCGTCATGAAACAGCTCGATGCACAACTCGATCAGTGGCGGGGCATGTTACCGAGCCATCTTCGATGGCAGGATATCCAAGATGTAGCCTTCTCAGATCCTTCACACGTTGCTTTTGGCGACGTGTATACTGGGCAACCTCTGCAAAGCAATCGCATATTTACACCAGATCTTGATACGCAGCCAGCGACGTACCCTTTCGCGGCCGACATACATATTGCCCTCCTTCGAACCCGATACAGTTACAACAAATACCTCATATACCGTCCTTGTATATTCAAAGCCCTTCATCATCCAGAGAGCCTGACTCGAGAAGATGCTGAAGGTGCGGCTGAATGCCTCAAGGCGTCCCTGAAGTGGCCCATCACTTTGTCCCCTCCTTGCACCAACAAACGGCTTGTACCAATCACATTCTTTTGGTCTCAGAATTTGTTTGGCATTCTCGTTCTACTACATTTATCACAGCAGCACCCAATGTTGCTTCGAATTCGGTCGTCACTTTGCGGACAGAACTTTGATGTGGAAGCTGCACAGACTGTTACAGTATATCTTGATTGGTTACGCGACATGAAGAAAATTGACTCGACGGCGAACTGGTGCTGGAATATCATTCGCTTGGTCTATAGATTGGACGATTAGATGGCGACAAAGAGGAAGCTAGACGGGCTCTTTTGCAGGACTAATAAATTGGGGCGAGGTTACGGGCTAGGGTCTCTCCATCTGGAAGCCAGACGAAACATTGATTGTTTTGTCATGCCTAGGGCTGACCAGCTTGCCCCATGATCTGGATTGTCATGTATTAACGAGTAAGAGGCTATAGAGATGCTCTTAAAAGATCGTGTTGACCACGTTCAAAGCGCTTAAAAAGAAGTTTGGTTTTTAATACCCATGTGACACATTCGCGCTGCTCTTAATTTTGATTTTCCTAGGTCTAGCACATGTCGTCCGGTTCGCCCTATGATTTCTTTGTATTGAGACTTTACTATTGGTTGCCTCTAACCCTAGCTTGGAAAGTCTATAGTTTTTGAAAGATCTCATGACTTCAATATAGACTTTTGCTTGCTCATGCGTAGATCTTGTTTCCTACGAGACTTGTACATAAATGGATCTGGTTCTTTTTTTCATTGAGATTTTCCTCTTCTTGAAGAACAGAACAGCAATCAAATGGCGTTTGGTAACAGCAACAAGGACAATATCAGATTGTGAGGATGTCAGCGTTGCATTTGACAAGTGACATAGTTATGACGTACATATATCGCTTCGCTGATTGCGGCATCTCCGGAAAGGTTCGGTATTCCCGGCCGGATCTGCGCCAGCCTTTACAAACATGCCGGCGTCAATCCATGTCATGATAGCGTGGGAGAAGGAAGTTCATTTGAATTATAACTACAGATTGAGAAAGGAAAATGGTGCACTTCATAGAAACGCTAAATTCTTACCGCAGTGCAGTAGTTAACTTCCATGTATATGCGACATATCACATATCCCTATTCTTGCCCTGCATATCCATATTTCGTTGATTAGGTGAGCATTCAAGCTTGTCCATGTGATGTTATGAGCTTGAACAGACGTGGACGAAGCCATCCACATCGAATCCAGGCACAATAAGCTTTCCTCCAAGAGCGGGAGGGATCACGGCTCGGCACGGGCCGGGCGGGACCACAACGGCGTTGGCGTTGTACACGCTTAATATTGTCGGCCTCTAAAGCCATTCTCGCTGTCGAAGAATGTACCACCATCTCACAGTGAAAGAATGTACATATAATTTGAACATGAGCCGTAGGACGGCGTTGGTCTCGTAGGAAAAGAATAGTTCAAGAACCAAAGGCAGTGTCTAGTCCTCATGCGTGGATAGAAAAGTCAAATAAGATTAATCTTTAAAGTTGTCTTCTTAAGCTTCTATTAGCTCTGCTTTTATCTTTCACGTATTAGTACATATATTGATGGTCAGAATACTTAAGAACACCTCTATGTTCCAGGTATGCTATATGTGCAGTGTTGACGCACTACTGCTGCCTTAATGCGCGTCGTTAAACCCGGATCATGACGTTGTAAATTATATAGAAATTCCAGGTCGGTCCACTAGGTTCCCCAAAGTCTATAAGAGATGATGACGCAATTGAAGCACAATGTGAGAGCATACATGTCATGCTGATCTGCCGTTGTAGCTGATCATATGGCTCGATAAAGCTCTTAATAGATTTTGATACTCGCTCGAATGCCTGACCAAATGTCCCAACGCCCTCTGGCTACTGCAGCACACTCGCAAACAGACTGATACGATCAAATGGGTATGATAGCATATGATATCTTTGCGATTCTTACATTTATTTGCTCTACTTTGATTCCACTACCTGGTCTTCCTCTAGAACTTGGTGTACTCCGCTTAGTCCACATGAATCAAACGCCTGGTCCGTTAATGCTGGTGGCCACTCTGAAAGATACATAGCAGTATGTCGTGCCATACTTGACAACACTCTGTTGTGCTCGGCCATCTCAAATCAAAGTTTGGCTCTCACATCGCCTTCACCAAAAGAAGTTATTCTTGTTTCGCTCTTTCATATCCTCCACAGCATCATAGGCTTGTCGGTCAGTCCGGGGACCGTGTCCATTCTCATTCGATTTGCCTACTTGGTCCATTTGACTCACCATCCTAAGCGCAGGCTCACATATGGCTTTTAAGGCGTCTTGTCGATCTAATGTCTCAGGGGTCCAGCGGGTTTTCTCGCCGAACTCGAGTCTGGAATTCTCTTGCATTACTTCGTCAACTCGCATAGACGATACACTTGCCTCGAACCACTGAGCAAGCTGGCCACCCCGTGAAGGAGCTGCCGGTACTGATTGGCCACGAAACTTGTCTCTTATGATTCCCGGAAACCTTTCGACAAGTCGTGTCATCGTGATTGTGAGGCGGCTAGGTCCTCTACCGCCGTTTCGATAATTCGCCTCGTGGTGTATCCTGACTCGATCGATGTACCATCCAGAAGAACTGGTTGGTTCAGCCTCGATCACAATTTCCCCTATCTCGTTTGTCCTAAGTTGTTAGTTGGTTGTACTAGGCGGAAAGCTTTTGTACTTACTTGATATCCATGGACCGCACTAGCGATGCAGCAAGCTCTTCAAAACCCTTTGTGATCCTTCCCATATCGATTCGTGAGACGGAAAATTTTACATCCCATGCGCGCTGGGTACAATGAACGTAAGCCTGAGAGAGTTCTTGTGGCAATGCAAGACATTCATGTCTGAAAGTATCGGCATCTACCCTAATGACGAGGGGGGCAGTTGCAGTCTCACCCACACAGAGAAACTCGTAAAAGGTTTGCTTGTTTGTTGGTAGCCAGGATGCCCTACCGCCAAACAATTGAGGAATCAAGTTGGCCTCTTCCCCACTTGTGCTGAGAATAGGATAGAACCCAACATCCAACATCTTGCTGTTTAAAGTTTTGTTAACTTCGCTGGCTGACCAGAATGGTTCTTGGCCATTGTTAACCAATGATGGCGATTCGCCCTTGAGGCAAAGTCTACCAAAGTCGGCTTTAACAATAATCTTTCCTGGAACTACCTGTACGACCTGCATCAGTTCCCGTAACTTAGCCTCAGCTTGCACAGCAATCTTGGAACAATCAACGTGGTCCAGAACAGGCATATCCATTCCTGGTACGATACGTGAGCTTTGAGGTGCAAGATTGGGTCTTGATCCACGACACTTCGTCTCATCGGTCTGAACTTGCTGCTGTGTCCGTCTCTTTGGCGTGTTGCCGACACCGCTGGCTACCTGGGCAGATGACCCATCCAGACGAGCAGGTTCCTTTTCCCCTGTACCATAAGCTTTGGGCCGACCATCGGTAACGACCTTCACTGGGACATTTCGTCCGAAGTTTCGGTGTTCTTCTTCCTTGGTAGGCTTTTTGCTCGAGGCAATATTGGCCCAAGAGGATACGGGTGCGGGCGCCTGTTGTCGCATTGTTTCGAACAGGTCTCTTGGCCTGTCGTCTTGTCTGCCGAATACAATCTCAGCAGATGGGTTCTGGGCCATTGCTGTACCTCTCTGATCTTTGTGGCGTGTGGGATAGAGTATTTCACCCAAAATTGGCATATTGATCGGGTCATCCACAGCATCCATCAAGTTCGAAGGTTGTCTATCTCTTGTCTGTACAACAACGGGAACAGGATTGCCAACTTCATCGTCTTGTAAGCCCAGGAGATTATGGCTTGGTAGCCGTTGGGCACTAGGAGCTGATGTCTGCGCTCCAGATGCCTGCGCAAGGGAAAGAATATCACCAAGACCATCCAATTGGAGTTCTGGAGGTTTTAGGGCGGGATTTGGAGTCTGAGGAAGCTTCTGAGATGCTTCGTTTGCACTGCCCTCGTGATCACTTTCCTCGCCAGTCGAAGAAGGGCATGAATCCATACTCCCTGTTTTATCTAACCAAGTGCGTATTTCCTCGGGGGAGAGGTTTGACTTGCCTGTAACCGGTAAATGGGACTGCAATGTCTGGAGATTGAAAGTGTTTCCGGCCACAATCGGGACGGCAGGGGTTTCGTGCTCTGCACCATGAGATATTGGGTACTCAGTGCTGGGGATAGTATCTGCAGCTTGGGCCGAGTCCTTTGTACTTGTCTGTGCGTTGCTTGTAAAAGGATAGCATCCTATGGATTTGTGAAACTTCTTAGCCTGGTTACCAACTTTATCCAACAAATGTGGCTGGGAACACTGGTGAGGCCTTTTGTGTTGACTAATTGCTGTCGTGCCCGAGCGCTTGTTTCCATACGTATATCCCGAGAAAGGGGTAAATTCTGTTTGCCAATTTGTGGAAGTTTTAGGCCCGATGGGATACACAGTGCTGTCAGGAACTGAGTGCCCAGAACTGTTAACAGTTTCGATTCTCAAGGCCACTGCACCGGCAATACGGTCGTATTCCTGATTTCGTTCAGAGCCGGTGGGGTCAACATAAGTCAACTTTGACAGCCCGGTATGTGTTAACCACCGGTAGCATAGTCTGGTTGGGTTGGAGGTCTCGGTAAAGAGCATATGCGAAGTAGTGGCCAAAGGGGTATCCTAAGTCTGTTAGAACGTTGTGATAGAAGTTTGCTGTGATTGGTACCATTAAGCTCGACAAGATATCGAGTTTCCGTGTGGTCGTATTTATTGCACCCGCATCCTCGTTACTACCAATATATAACAGTGAACCTTGCAGGTTGTGAGATATTTGACACTTTGTAAGCTCCCCAAGATCCTCAATGCTTGGTTCTCCTGATGAGCTTGGCCACAATAACTTGTATTTGGAAAGAAGCTTTGTGACGGTCACTCCTTCAAACAATTCGGGGCATTGCCATACTGTCTTGTAGGGAAGAGGCTTGAGATGTTCTGGGTAACGAAAGGGTTCGTATTCCTGGAGAATGTCTTTGAGGATGTCCTGAAATTCTGGGTAGGAAACGATGTGTGGTGTTTCTGTTAGTATTTCAATATCACTTCTGCCCTTGAACTCCAGGTCGCTCTCGCCTTGGTTTGCATCAACTTCGCCAGCCTCGGCTGTTAGCAAGCTATCCAGTCTGGAATGCATCCAACGGGAAACTTCAAGCCGATGCTCAACAGAAGTGATGAACTTGAACCATGGGATCTCTGGTTCGTAAAGAACTTCGATAACCATCTGTAATGGGAGTAAATACGTAAACGAGTCCATTGTTTGAGAGTGTTTATTTCACACTTACCGATTCAAGCTCTTTCATGAGATCCGTGATGATCAAAGAGACACCATTAGGGAGCAGTGGGGGGTTGCAAGATATGTAGAACTCAGTGTAGCCTTCCATAGCTGCAAGGTGAATGGGCTAGGAATGTTAGATAGGTATTGGCGAGGCATGACAGATGGGTGTAACACGTACAGGTCGCAGCTATAACTTGAGGAGTTGAGGAAGACTCTCCGATCGTTTCAAACAGGGCCTTCACACTCCTGCCGAACCGAACGAGCAATACGAGGCGATGCTTTCCTCTAGATGCTAACCAGAAAAAGTGAAAGATTAAGCACCGGCAGGATAGTTGCTCATCGATCAAGGCGTAACACTCTTAATTATGTACGCACAAAAGAAAGAGGAAGTTGATGTGAATCGATGGTTATATGAGCTGAAGTGAGGTGACTGTAGAGAAGGTTGAAAGGACAAAAGGAGAAGGCAAGAGTTGCTGGTCAATACAAAAGAAAAGAAAAGAAAAGAAAAGCAGGTGGCTTTCCTGTGCACCTTCCCGCCGGCACCTGCTGGCAGACGGCAAGCAGCAGCCTTATACATAAGGCAAATGTGTTGGCAGTGCCACTTCGCCTTTTATCTTCTCTACTTCTCGTGGTGGAAAAGCGCTAAAGGGGGTATGCAGGCAGTGAATCACTCACTGCCTGGGGTAGAAGGTGACTGTTCCTGCATGGAATGGATACCTACCTAGGTACCTACTAATGCATATAGGTAAGGGGTTATCAACAGGTTGACTTAAGTCACTAAGGTCAATGAAGTCACTGAAGTTGATCCGAGCTTGAATCACTCGGGCTCTTACAGTGAAGGGGTTATGCTTAGATCGGGATCATAATATACTTGAGCATCAAGTAAAGCAATCGCATCGGAAACATGCGTCAGCTAGGTACTACAAGTTAGCAAACATGAATGATACTCTAGATACCTAACGTTCATGCTGGTCTGGGTAGAAAGGCAAAGATGATTTAAGATTAAGAAGTGCTGTCATAGCTGCAATACATCTTCAACTCTAGAAGTCAGGGATGTTAAGCTGGCTTTAATAACTGTCGTATTAACCAGGCACTCTATCAAAGATCTATCTTCTCTTGCACTCTTTTTGTTCTCTGTTCCATTGCCCCAAAATCCGCTCCTTGATAGTAGAGTAGCCTATCTATATTTAGTATATCTTTGCCTTTCAACCGCAGAAATTTCAAGCCTCCATGCAGCACAAAAAGGGCGCACACACCCAACACCAATAACACCATAACCCGCCAATTTTCCAGTATCAGATCAGTAACTGGGACGGGCCAACCCAGAAAATTTCAAATCCAGCGTAAATCTCCAGGCCATGTATCTAAAGAGAAGAGCAACAGAGTATACAAGGAGTGGTATCGAGGTAACAGCAGTCATCAAGTGTTCATAGACGTAAAGTCGAGAAGCTGCCGGGAGCTTCAGAAAGAAGGGACTGGGGTCCAGCCAGTCGGGAAGTCAGGTTGTAAAGTTGGGAAATAGTTGGTCGAGTTGTTCATCTTGAAGCTGGGAGATGTCGTAGAATTGGGGGTTGGACCCTATTTTTGGTCGTTGGTAGGAAGGAAAACGGTAGGCTAGCTAAAGTCATTGCGCGCCTTTAACGTTTTCCTTAACCTTCAGCGCCCACTTGAGTTTGTGGAGAGTTTCCCTGGAGGCTAGAATTAAGGCTTCTTGCTCGTCCTCTCTCTTTCTAGCGTTGGTCTTGATGTCCTTGAGGTCTTGCTCCTGAGTCTTCTTGTATTCTTCAAACATGCGCGCAATCTCCTCCTTCTCGTGCCGTAGCTGCTTGATGTTGCCGTCTTGCTGATCGCAAAGGTCTCTTAGTGTTTGGATTTTGTCGTCATCTGCTCGTCGCTCCTCGTTGAGGCTGTCTATTTCAGACTTCATCTTGGAAACCGCTCGTTTCACCTCGTCTCCTTGGTCGTTCCAGTGGGAAGAAATCGTGTTGTAGCGCCCCTCCATCAACTGCGCATAGCTAGTTGCTTCCTCGACTTGAACGATGGCATCTTTGCTGGTCTTATCCATTTCATCCCTCCAATTCTTTTCGCGAAGCAGAGCATCCGTGGCTTTCTTCTTTTCTAGTTCAACGGTTGCTTGTAATGTTTCAACCTGGCGTTCTTTTCGAGCCAGCAGTGTTTTTGTCACGTTGGCTTCGAGTAGTCGGCTTTCATAATCGCTAACCATGCGCTCGAGTTTGTCTTCGACCAGCCGGGCGTCCCTCTTAGCATCTTCTGCTTTTATACGCTCGATCTTGATATCACGCTTCAGAGCCTCATTGTCGCTGACGAGTTTGTTTATCACACGGCCAGTTTTTCCCAGGCCAGCCTTGCCTATTGTCGAGTCCCACTGGCCGCCGTCTACGGCTTCAACCCCTTCTGACATGGTGGTGGTGGTGTCTGGTTCGGGTGTAGGCTCTACCACACGTGCAGCACCAGTACTCCAGCGCGAGGGTGTCGTTGGATGTTCGGGTGTGGATTTGAAGGGTGTTGGTGTGTGGTGGTGATTGTGGTGGTTGTCGGAGTTGGAGTTGGACAAAGCGCTCGTGGTACTGTTCACGCTGCTGGAGAAAGTGCTGTTTTTACTTTCAGGGCTGGACTCGGAGCCCTCAGAACTACGGACGCTTCGGATTGTGCTCGACCTGGCGATAGCCGTTTTGTAAGAGGTAGGACTCCGGCCTTTCATGCTGTTGACGGAGCCAGTAGAGGCAGGCGTCAAAGCCTTTTCCTTTTCAGAAGAAGGAGTATACGGTTCAACGGGGTTGTCTGCGAGTGCGGCGGTTGCGGCTGAATGAGGATAGATTGACGTTAGTAAGAGGATGGATTCGTTGAATTACGGCCGAGAAAAAGGAAGAGGAGAAAAGAAGGGTAAAAAGTTCTTTGTAGGTAACATGTAAATTAAAGAACAAGGCTGACGTGACCAGTTCAGCCAAGACCAACAGGCGAGACGAGCAGGAGATGGGATGAGATGGAACGGGAAGGGAAGGGAAAGCAGTTGCACCCCGGTCCCCAGCCCAGTTGAAGTGAAGTTGTGGGGAGCTGTTTCAAGTGGATAAGTCAATGGGGATAATATTTGGTTCAAAGTGCATAAACGATAATAAACGACGCCTGACATAACAAACTAGGTAGTCTCAACTACTAGGTGACAAATGTTTAAACTGACCTTTGACTGCGTCTTTGTGAATAGAAAAGTCCTGTTCTTTTTTTGGGAGACGATCTCGCATCGCAAAAGACTGGTATAACTAATGCTACTTTGTGCAAGTATTAGAAGTTAGGTAGTTACCAGGCAGCTGGCATTCTTAGGTTGCTTGGGCAATATGATGCTGCATATAAATGGGAGGATTACCAAAAGAACAAAAAATGCAGAATATGGAGTAACGCAGGACAAAGCAAAATAAAAACGAGGCAAACCCTTTGCTACTTACGGATACAGCCTTGAGAACAAACAGCCGCTTAATTGAGGTAAACACAGAATGACGACGTATCAAAGACCTTTCTTTGTTTGTTTTCATTCCAGGTTCTCATGGCACAGTACGTACTGTGGTTTATTTTATTAAGTGCTGGCCCCCGTTGGTTCCCGCGTATGTACCTGTCTCCGTTCATGCCGTTACAACGCCGTTGAAATAGAGGGATGATATATGGAGACAAGACGTAATAAACAATGACTTGCGTTAAGCTAATGCCTTTCAAAATCTTCGAATGATCAACATGATGAGGTAGATAGGACAAGTTCACGATATCAATATAAAAACACAGGCAATAATCCATTAAAAGTCAACGCCACCCACGCCTCCAATTAAGGGTCATGTCTAACAACACGTACGTATTATAGCATGACCCTGCTCTCCTGATGGCAGGGCAACGCTGCGCTGCAATGTGATCCAAGTCCATCCACGCAATCCATTACTTACGACCATGGCATTTCTAACTTTCTAACTCGGTAATGACGCCCTGTGGCCGCTTTTCCAAAGACCCACAGACCCGACATGCCGGGATGTATGTATATTGGTGCCCCTGTCGCTTTAAGAACGGTGATTACGGCGGAACGGGGGAGATACATATTACTTGTGCAAGTTTTCATTTCTAGCATAATTATACATCTGCCAGTACGATAATCTCCTTATTCGACTCGGAGCGTGTTGCTACGTTATATATCGCAATTGGGTCCGGGTCTCTGATGCTTATGTATAATTTAATACACATATGAGGAACGGTTACTACTCATTTCTACCAATACTGAAATGTCGATGCTCAGCCCAATGTATGTATGTACAGTTGCTTCAAAATTGTTTTACAGTTTCATATAGCAATAATAAGCTAACAACGGCATGTGCTATTTACCGTCGTCTCCCTGTTGGTCGGTACACTTAGTCCTGTGCCTACCCTTAAACGCCTTTGAATGCCTCGCCTCATAGTCTTGTTTTCTGTCATCCCGTGGTAGGCCTTGTTTTTTTCTTTTCATACTCATCTTTCCCGGTCTTTTCCCTTCTAGGTGATGCGTCCGTAAATCACACCTCAACCCATCACCAGCCAGTTGCTGGGCTGATCCACCGTATCATATGTGAGCGTTGCGTTTCTTATTGAATAGTAGCCATGATGGCGTATCGGTCATCTTCACATGGCCTTCTGTCCCTTGCACTCGTCGGACCGCGCTCCTCAGGCTGCAATACCAGTTGATGCAGGCTGTCCCGAGTTATCGCCTGATGCCTCTTTGCTGGCTTCCATAAACGCAGGTCGATATTTGGCCAGATATTTTCCTGCCATCGGTCTTGCTTCCTCAACTAGAATGGGTCAGTAGGCTTCTGATAAGACATTCCTCTGCAACTTACACTCAGTCCAGATATCTTGCACTGTATCTAGAGCGATCTCTTTCACAGGTGGTCGCATTATGACTAAGTACAGAAGGCTTGTCAGAGCCAGCTGGACAACGCTAGGGTCGCGACACATGTGCTTCACGCGCGACAAGACACTCTTGTTCAGCTCGGGTATTTCGCTCAAGAATCTTGTCAACACCTTGTCTTGGGGGTGCAGATATGGCAAAAAGCCATCGATCAACCGCAGACAGCACTTTTCGTAGTGCAAAGATCGATCACCGCCCTTCTTTTGTTGCAATTTGTCGTTGAACCACTCCTCGCAAAGCCAAGACACCGCCACATCAATGTGTTTTCGGAAGTCCTCCATTACGTAGGAATACATAATATCGCGGATGTTGTTACTGAGGGATTGGGGTGCAGATGAGCCATCTTCATCCTTGATGGATGGTTCCTCCAAACCAGCCACGGAGCGGGTTGCTAGTCGAGCCAGGATCGTCATCCAAGAGTCCTTGTTTCCAGAGCTGGCTGCTAATCTGCTGAAACCAGCCTTGCTCTTCTTGGCTGGATCTTCTAGAGACTTCATCATCTCAATCACACGAGTTACTGTTCCGTTACCCGCTGTCAACGCCGCTTCTGGCGTCAGAGCACTAGGCTGATGGAGGTGGAACGACCTCAATGCAAGACCATCGTCCAATGCTGGCGCCTCGTGCATCGGTGAACTATCTAGCTTGTTGAGAATCTGCTCTGTGTCCTCAGCTTGGTAAAAGTCGGGTTCGTAATCATCGTCGTCTTCTTCCACGCCCAATGGAGCAGTGTTGGGGTTCAATTCAGGGGCTGGAGCACTGGCCAAGGCATTTAGTCGGCCACGAACACCATCTACTGTCTTGGCGAGTACCTGAGGGTCAAGTCTAGCCAATGTGATGACAGCGATCCTTGCGACCAGAGGCGCTGGGACTTGCGATATATCGAAATTCCTCAGCGCAGTGTTATCAATGAGAGTAAAAACATCTGCCAGGCTGTGTGGACCTGGGCCTAGCGGTGGTATCTGAATCTGTGCCGGAGTCAATCGTTGTCGTTTGGAATCGTAATCCTCCTGTGGTACTGGTTCATGGGGGCGTTTCCGTCCAGAGTTTTCAAAAATATCGGCCATAGTACGCATCATGCGTTCGACATGCTGCTGTATTCTGGAGGCCATGGGGTTGTTGGGGTCTCGTTTCACAAGGTGGATTAATAACATTCGTGTTGTTTTCTCCATCGATCTGATCATGACGCGGGTCTTTGGTGTTAGAGGGGAGTTGGCAAGCTTCAGGGGGTTGAAGTTGAGAAGAGCATTGATGACTCGGTTTGAGGTTGTTGGGCGCGTTCTTATCAGAATAGACATGCAATTCAGGGTCGAATCTACGATCAGAGCATCGCTAAATTTTCACAAAGGGTTAGTACAGTCCGCATTGTGCAGTCAAAAGCAATCGTCTTACCAGCTCTCCTGCAGGGCTGACAACATTCGGTCTAGAAGTCCTGATGCTTCAGCCTCTAAATTTCTAGGGTCGAGGGACTGGTGATTCGGAGGGACCTTGTCCAAGGATACATCCAGAGTACCGCCATACTGATTTCGCAAATTAGCAATATCCTGCGGAAGTAGTTCACCAATTCATACTCTTAGCTCAGAACCTGTGGCAGCTGTCTGTGCCAGAACCACACGTTGCGCAAACTTGATACAGCATATTCTCACAGTAGGGTTGGCATTATCCCATATCCTGAGGACCTTTTGTTTGACAGCCACCATTCTTTCCCAAGTGATCGTATCGTAACCGTTGTTAATGCTACATGACAATGTTAGTCTCAAACGCATATTTCGAAGATCGGCATTTCATCATACATCCATCTCATCGCCAAGGGGTAAATACTGGCGACACATTGAATCACACTCCGCAATACTTGAGGATCTTCTCGTTCATTCTCCAGCATTGACTCCAAAGTTGGTAAAACATATGGTTGCATCGTCTCCTTTTCTCCATTTGGCAGAGCTGGCGTCGCAAAAGCTTCAGCCAGGAACTCGGCGCCCCATCTTCGCAGCTCAAGAGAGGCACTAGGTCCGATTATGGGCAGTATTCCTTTGACGACACTAGGATAGTATTTCACATCTCCCAAAACCAGCTTTCGTGCATCATCGAGCTGTCGGATCTGATCCGACACTGAAAGAGTTGCCGACATGATCAATTATTATATGTTCTCGGTCGCAATTTCATATATCGGCGGATCAAATGCTTATAGGATGATCGGAAGCAGGCGATGGCAGTTGTTGTCGCGGAGAAAGATGTCGATACAGCTCTTGAACCGTGGTCGCGCGACTAGGCTGAGCTTGCTTGTATACGTCTGGGCATGCTTCGCATCAAAAGCTCAACTTTGTCAAAATGTTGAAAATCGCGGGTTCCTTCTTGTGCAGTGCGCGTGCGAAGTTCCTCGCGCGTGTGTCGTCGTCGTCGCAAGGGTTGATTTGCAGAAGCTAGATTTAAAGGTTTGGCGACGCGGAAAGCAAAGAATACGGGTCGTGGAATGGATGGAAGCAGACCCTTGTAACTTTGAGCTCCACAAAGGACCTGGAACTCAAGAAGGTACAGCAGACGTCACAATCATGCCTAGGTCTAGCCGATATTTAGCCGCAAATAATCTTCCCATCTGCACAGCGGCGCATCGACACATACAATTGGATTTGATGTCGAGATAGGATCATATCTCGCAATACTACAGCAATTGGCATTTGATTGCAATACATCTGCTTTAACCCTAAGGAGACTTCTACTGTTCAAAATGCCCGCCAGGTTTGTTTGTCCAACTGTGAATTCCTGCACAGCAGAGTGGACTGATCATGACTCCGAAACAGCCCGCACTCAACATACTACGATCGCCGTCTGCGACAGGGCCCTGCGCTTCAACGAGCACGACGACCCTATCTTGTTAAAAACGCCATCACTGGTATTGGTCTCTTGGGAATTGTCGGTGGTATCTGTACGGCGGATCCTCAAACAATTGTTGACGCTTACTAACGTTGCTTAGATTGGTACACACTTAACGCTGTTGGCCAAGACAACTTCGACGATGTCAAGGTTCCCGATGCGCCCGCGAAGCCCGCTGCTTCTAAATAGACAGTTCATTTAGGTGGCTCGATTACATGTACGATTTAAGCGTTGGAATTTCAAATTCAATGGGTGCAGGTCAAATGAGAAGGCAAAGACAGGTATTGCCATTCATACCACCTGCTGCGTATAACGCCTGGTAAAACTCCGGATCCTTCAGTGTACATCATGCTAGCTAGCTATTCTGAGCAGTATGTATAAGTATGTGAGGCTCTTTGTACAATAGATCCTTTCAGCAAGCGGCCCTGTCCGCTGCCGAGTAAATGCTTCTCCTTCAACAGCACGCAATTAACAGATTGCTGTATGCTGTAACCAAACGCAATTTCTCGATCGCGCCGTAAAACCAAATAAAAAGAGTAAACCGATCCATCGGTATTTGAACCGACCATTTCCCATGGGTATCACAAAATCCGCGTACAAAAGCAATATGCTTGTCTATCAACCAAGTCCCATTGAAGGGGCATGTTCAGCCACAAGTCCCATACACTTGGCCGCTATGTTGCTGCCGTTTTTGTGCCGCGACCCAAGCCTGGGAGGCTGCCAACCCGCTTCACCTGTTGGGCTGGGCTAAGCATTGTCCGGGTCAGCTCCGGCGATTCTGATAGATGTGCCGAGATCGGGGACTGCTGTGTAATTTGAGCGGCAGCACCCAAGCTTGTCTTTAGGTCGACGCCTGGATGGCCAGTTACCTGTTGCGCACCACGGCTAGCCATATCGTCTGGTTGCGCCTCGGGTCCAGTCGTAGGGTGCATCTTGTGAATTAGGTGGTTTGGGTTGGCCCACGGTGTCTCTCTAAGGAATTGCTCGCCTGCAGGACCGAGGCGGTCGAATGGCTGAGCATAGTATTCCTCGCGTCGTTGGTTTGCCGGTTTGTGTCGTGGTCGTTTGGCTCGCTTGCGATAGTCAGCTCAGCGAGCTCGGAGAGCTGACTTGGTTCTGTTAACGTACCTCAATAGCAGCCAGGTCATCCTCAAGCTCTGACGGTGTTGCTCCCGTCATTTCGGGACCAGCAGGAAATCCTTCGTATTTGGCAATAGTAGCCAGTGCTGAGACTTCGGTATTATACGCAATCGCATTTCGAACTCGCTGCGCGGGATCCTTGGGATAAAGTAGGCCACAATCCTGCAAGCTATGCGCGCTTCGCCTTGCCGTCTGGATGTCGTACCACTCTTGGTTGAGTGTTTCCAACGTCTTTTCTCTCTTCTCGCGGACGGCTTGATAGTACTGGCCCCATATTTGTGCCCGCTGAGCAACGGATCGTCTTTCGTGGGCCTTAACGCGATATTCGTGTTCGTTATTGATCTCACGCAGCTTTTGTTCCAACCGATCATCTAAGCACTGCTTCATGTTGAGATATTCAGGATGTGTTGGCGAGCTAGAAAGTAAAGACTGTTCTTCCTCTTCAAGCCTTTGAAGCCGATCTTTGTACAACCTGAGAATGTTAGCGCAGGCATGCTTTCTTTGCAATAATGCAGCATACCTATCACGAAATACACCAAACATTTCCTCAATAACTGTCCAGTCTTTGAAAGCAGCGTGTTTGCGTTCCACTATAGTCAGGTGAGCAGGGTGTTCGAAACCACGGAAGGGCTTTTTCTTACACTCTTCGTCATGTGCAGTGACCGAGTCGATTTCTTCATCTGCATCAGCTTCAGCTTCGGCTTCAACTTCAGCTTCGTCACCGTGGTTATCAACGTCTGTTCCCCTAGCGCTATCGCGCGCACCGTCATGACTTCCACTATCGGTATCATGGTCGAGATCTGCTGCCGCTGCCGCTGCCTTTCGTTTAGATCCGCGCGTGTTCTTCTTAGCCACACGCGAGATGCGTTCTGCCAGATCAGTTTCGCGATTTGAAGACTTTTTCCTTGGTGAGGCATCAGTGTCTTCCGCGGGTGTATGGGTACCACTGCTTCCATTTGCAGGAGTGGCTACATCGTCATGCAAAGTCGTATCTTCGAGTTGCTGTGGGGTATTTACGCCAGACACATGCTCCGAACTGGCTCGTTTTCTAAGCGGCTGTTCTGTTTCCGACTGGTCGGCAGCAGGTGAGCGCTTACGCTTGCGCTCTTGAATGTCGTTTTTGTGGTCGTCTTCCACATCCACGTTGTGTGTCGTCGCATGTTTTGTCGGCGAGTCTCCACCAACTGTGGGGGAGCCGATGGAGGCATCGTCGTCATCCATGGCAGATTCGTCGTCTTCGTGGTCGTGCAGATTGGCGGTCCTGCGAAGCTTGCTGGGGGTGCGCTCATAAACCTGACCCTCATTAAACTGATCTACAACCACGTCTCTTTGCCTCTGGTGTTTCGGCGTGTCGTAAAGTCTCTCGGTCTCGGCTTCTGTGACATTGCCATCCGAGGCAACGTCAGAGTGTGCGTCGGAGAGGACGCTGTCAGAGTCTGAGGTAGCCTGGGGTTTCTTCCTAGGACTACGCCTGACGCTTTCCTCGTCTTCATGGTCGAGGTGCATGTGTTCAATATCTTCGTCGTGCTCATCTTTCGTGTCAACCTCGCTGAGGGGGCTGGAGATGATACTGTCCTCGTGGTCGGCAACTCCAAGAGCCGGAGAGGAGAGATGCGGAGGGGCCGAAGCAGTGGCAGCCATGGCCGCAAAAAACGCGATTATGTGTCTATGTGTCGCTTCTGGGTTATGTGTAGGAAGAAGAGCTTTGGTCGGCCGCAAGATCGTGGTAGCGCGTCCGTGGTGACGGGTGATGAGGGACGGTCACCAGGCGATTGAAGACCGAGTTTCTTCGACGGCCGGGTTGAACAGGTAGGTGGGAGCTAGAAAAGAGTCGATTGACTCGGTGTATCTGCAGCATGGGAGGTGCAGATGACGTGATCAATTATTCAGAGAGCTTTGGGATTCTCGTAATCAACCGTGAAAGATTGTGCTGGTGAGTGGAGGGGATACGGAGGAGAGAGGAATCTGGACGGGATGGGAGCGGTGCCGATTTGCGCTGGCTGCCATGGACCTCCCTCTGGGCTTTGGGGCACCTCAGCCACTGAAGCGGGCTGCTGAGAATGACGGGCCTGTCCAGAAGAGCGGTCATTCGTGGCAGAAATAGTCATGGCGCTGCCTCGGGCCCAGTTCCAGCGCCATGAGACCTTATCCATTGGTCTAAGCTTTTGGACCAATGGTGAGGCTGGAGTAAATCTTTGAGTGGGCCCTTCTGGCTTGAACTTTGGACTTTTTTCTGACTGCCCATACCTTTTTCCGTCGCAGATCCAAAAGAGTGCACCAGAGTCGACAACTTTGCCGATTCTTTTCAAGTACCAAATTTGACACAATGGCGAAACGGTGAGTACACTCAGGCTCTTGAATCTTGCCCGAGCATCAGAGTTCTAATTTCAAAACAGCTCAAAAGGATTGACAGCCTCTTCCAAGGCGGTAGACCCCACCCTCGATGCTCTTTTCGCGTCCAGTGTAAGTTTTGCGACACACAACCATTCTCTGCTATCCATGCTTATTATTTGCAGGTCGGTCCAGCCCAGGCTCCTGCCAAGTCAAGATACTCGACATTGTTAGATCAAAAGGTTCGGGAACCTCCCAAACCTAAGGTGCATTTGGAGGAGGATGCCGAAGAGAACGACGACGAAGTCCTCTCTGAGATCAGTGAGGAGCTAAGCTTTGAAGAGGATGGCCCCTCAGACGAGGAGGACGATGATTCACAAGCTTCCGAGCAAGAGGACGAGAGCGAAGACGAACAGGAGGAAGAGAATGGCGCAGACAAGCTCATGAAGGATGCGCCCATCGAGCTCGACGACCTAATTGATGCGACGGAAGAGAAGTCAAACAAGGATAAGAAGCGAAAGCGAAAGAACAACAACGACGATCTTGAGGGCAAGTACCTGGACAAGATCGCTGCAGAGGAGGAAGCTGAGCGTGCTGGCAAGCGACAAAAGAACGACGCTTTGAATAAGAAGACCGAGAAGCCTACCGCAGAGGAAGAGGATGCCGGCAACGACAGCGATGTTCCTGTCCACGAGACACTTGTCAAGGACACAAAATCTTCTGATTTGGACAAGGCCAATCGAACAGTCTTCCTTGCCAACGTTTCCACCGAAGCCATCAACTCCAAGTCCGCTAAGAAGACGCTCATGGTCCATCTGGCATCTGTGTTGGAGAAGGATGCTACTCCCCCTCAGACCATTGAGTCCCTGCGTTTCCGCTCAGTTGCCTTTGCAGGCAGCTCTCTCCCTAAGCGCGCAGCTTACATCACAAAGAGCCTGATGGATGCCACGACAAAGTCGGCCAACGCATACGTCGTGTACTCGACCCCTGCAGCAGCCCGTACAGCTGCCACCAAGCTCAACGGCACCCAAGTGCTTGACCGTCACTTGCGAGTAGACAGCGTCGCTCACCCTAGCCCCACCGACCACCGCCGATGCGTGTTTGTGGGTAACTTAGGATTTGTTGACGACGAGACAGTCTTGAACACCAATGCCGATGGAGAGACTACAGAGAAGAAGAAGAACAAGACCCCGTCTGATATCGAGGAGGGTCTTTGGCGAACTTTCAGCACTCAGGGCAAGGTTGAAAACGTCCGAGTTGTTAGAGATCCCAAGACTCGAGTAGGTAAGGGCTTTGCCTATGTCCAGTTTTGTGTAAGTCCAAGATCCTGTTACTTACTCTCAAAAGGCCAGCTGCTGACATGATTTTACAGGACGGCAACGATGTTGAGGCAGCTCTACTCCTTGATGGCAAGAAGTTTCCTCCTATGCTTCCCCGTAAGTTGCGAGTCACTAGGGCCAAGGACCCTCGCAAGACAGCTCTCGCTCAGGAGCGCGCCAGGGGCAAGAACATTGTCGGCAATGGTGCCACCAAGAGCACAAAATACAAGCACAAGGCCACGCCTGAGGAACAATCCATGGCTGGTCGTACAAGCAAGCTCCTCGGCCGCTCGGCCGCCGTGCAGCAACGCCACAAGAAGCGTCCCTCTACACAAGGTGCCTCCGAGGAAGCTGAGAACCCGCTTGCGGGTATCAAGGGACCAGAGCAGTTTGTCTTCGAAGGTCGCCGTGCTACAAACAGGGACGCCTTGCCGAAGGATCTTAAAGGCAAGAAGGCCAAGGGTAAGGGCAAGTCAGCCAGGCCGCAAAACCGAAGCGCTAAGAGAGCTGCGGATTGGAAGAAGAAGAGCTGATCATTGATGGCGGATGATGCATATGTCGCTTAGCCTGATAGATCAAGTGAGAGTGTGGGCTTTTTTTTGTCGCAATTGAAATAGACGGGAAGAAATTTAGTTGTTGAGAGAAAGGCCCCCGCGCCCCGGAAAAGCTGCGAGTGATTTTTTGGCCTTGACTGCCCTGGCCTGGCCGTGGGCTTAGAAGAGAAACGGGAGTACCTACCTATCAAGTAGACATGAAGGTTTTAATACAGAGTTCATGCAGTTACACAGAGTCAGTTCAATTTGAGATGTTTACTAACGGCAATTCTCACTCTTTTATTGCAATTCATATATCTTGCCTTGAATTCTTGATTTGCTATTCATTATGGCAAATCCGCCAGAGTGAGACATCACGACAAGAGGACCTCATTGAAGCTACTGTAACCGGTGACTTCTCACTCAACCATTATACGCATCACATGGACACACACCAAAACCAATCTTATTTCAATGAAAATGGATATATCATCAATTTTACGTGCCTGCTCTGCAAATAAAGGCGCCTAGGTTGAATCGAGGGATAATCTCATCTATTAGGACCTCCAGCTGGCTCCAACATACAAGACCATGCACTAATGGGGTACCCTGAGCCAAACTTTGACGCTTGGTGGCACACATCATTACCCCCAGCTGTGTGTCCACCCCAAAAATCTCGGGAATCTTAAACAACTTCCTCCGCAACCCTTTTCTGTACAGTGCTTTCGCGGGCGTGAGCCCTGTCTAAGCCATCGCTTAAAACATGCCGTCAAAGAAGTCGAAAGAGTTTATACAAACTCGCACTCGGCGATTGTCTAGTACTCGAGGTCCTCCTCAGGCTCGAAGGAGTCGGCAGCAACCTCCTCGTAATCCTTCTCCAGAGCAGCGAGATCCTCTCGGGCCTCGGTAAACTCACCTTCCTCCATACCCTCACCAACGTACCAATGGACGAAAGCACGCTTGCTGTGCATAAGATCGAACTTGTAGTCAAGACGCGACCAGGCCTCAGCAATGGCAGTAGTGTTGGAAAGCATGGAGACGGATCGCTTGACGGGAGCAAGACCACCAGCCTCAGGAGCGGCGGGGACAGCCATGGGCTTCTGGTTGTTGATACCGAGCTTGAAACCTGTAGGGCACCACTCAACCAGGTTGAATGAGGACTTGGCCTTGAGGGCGGCGATAGCGGCGTTGGCATCGCGGGGAACGACATCTCCACGGTACAGAAGAGCGACAGCCATGTACTTGCCGTTTCGGGGGTCACAGACAACCATCTGGTTGTTGGGCTCAAAGCCTGGAAGAAGTCAGTATATCAGATGATGGAGAGATATTAGGAGTATAACTTACACTGGAAGGTAAGCTCCTGGACCTTGAAGCTCTCGTGCTCGCTCTTGGCAGAAGAAATGACAGGAGCGTAGCTGATGAGAGGGTAGTGAATACGGGGGTAAGGAACAAGGTTGGTCTGGAACTCGTTGAGATCGACGTTGAGCGCACCATCGAATCGGAGAGACGAGGTGATGGAGCTGACAACCTGAGCAATGAGGCGGTTCAGGTGCTCGTACGAAGGTCGGGGGATATCGAGGTTGCGACGGCAGATATCGTAGACAGCCTCGTTATCGACGAGGAAAGTACAGTCAGAGTTCTCAATAGTGCTGTGAGTAGACAGGACAGCGTTGTAAGGCTCAACAACAGCGGTCGAGGTTCGGGGAGCAGGGTAGACGGCGAACTCGAGCTTGGACTTCTTGCCGTACTCAGTAGAGAGACGCTCAAGGAGGAGAGCACCGAAACCGGAACCAGTACCACCACCGAAGGAGTGGAAGATCAGGAAGCCCTGGAGAGACTGGCAGTTGTCTGAATACGGCATTAGCACCTGGAAGAGAGCAGCTACAGGAAGTTGGAAAACTTACCGGCAATGCGGCGAATGCGGTCAATGACATTGTCGACCATCTCCTTGCCAATGGTGTAGTGACCACGAGCGTAGTTGTTGGCGGCATCCTCCTTACCACTGACAAGCTGCTCGGGGTGGAAAAGGTTACGGTATTCACCAGTTCGGATCTCATCGATAGGAGAGGGGTCAAGATCAACGAAGAGGGATCGAGGAACATATTTGCCGCCGCTGGTCTCGGTGAAGAAGGTCTCGAAAGAGCCGGGGTCACCAATATCGGGAGCATTGGGGTCAGGTCGGCCATCGGGGCCGAGACCGTGCTCGAGAAGGTAGCTATTCACAATGCTGGTCAGCTTCAACTGTGGTCGGACGGTGGCGACGTTGGGAGGAGGCGTAGGAAGTCAACATACAGCTCCCAAGCAGAGTTACCAAGCTGGACACCAGCCTGGCCCAGGTGGAGGTGAAGAATCTATACAGCAAAGAATCAGCATCACGAGCTCGAATAGCAGCTTCATCGCATCGCGTAAGGGGGCGCCCCAGCAGGACAGCTCAGGACACCAAGTGGAACACCCTCTTTGCGCAGAACAGAGCATTGCAAAGCAAAGCAGAGAGCAACGCAGTGCAATGCACCGCAACGGGTACGACTTTGTAGCAGGAATTCGAGTTCAAACATACCTCGCCCTTCATCTTGTATGAATAAAGCTTAAGAAGCTAAGACGAGATGTTGCAGGTTGGGGAAGAAAGACGGGGAGAGAAATACTGTACGCGCGCAGCGCTTGAAGGGGGAAGGGGAAGATGGGGCCTGAGGTGGTGATGGTTTTCAGGTGGGTGCCGGGTGTTTGGAGGTTCCCAATCTGTGGGTGCAGACTTGTAGTGGGACAACTCGACAACCCAATTGGTGGCGGGGTCGTCAACAAACATGCTGGCGCGCAAAAGCTAGGTGCCAACTGGTACTTGTGCGTTGGGGGGGATTTAGGCCTGGAGATAGGTACCTGCGGTGCCTCTCACCGCCAATTGACAGGGAAGCCTGGAGGACCCCTGACAGCGGGAGAACTGCGCTTGCAAGGGGTATTCAGGTGCGATATTCTCACCCGAAATGCAATTGTTCCTGTTCCTGTAGGTTATGAACGCTACTAAGGTACTTACCCACCTATATTACTGTGGTTAATTTGAATTGATAAGTTCGTAGTTAACCTATTCTGCTATATGTATCCAGACTTTTAACGTCTCTGCACCGATAAACTTAACCACATAAACCTTCCTGCTTCCCGTTCACTGCAATATCAAAAGTCCTCTCTTGCCTAAAGGAATTCTGTTGCCTGATGATCATAACATGTTCAAGCAAGACGGCGATAAGACCACGTGGAGGTATTGGTTTTCACTACGACTCTGCATTAGTATGGAAGATCGATGTCTAAAATCACATGATCAACAATATAGCTTGTGATACTTAGGTTATATTTGCAATTGGCCAATGACGGCTGTGATAGATACGTTTGAACTAAAACAAACATTGTACAAATTCCAGTCATTCGTACTTGTTCGCTCAAAATCCATTGACGGCAACTTATGCGCTTTGGACTAGGTGTTTGGCTGTCCGTTTCTACACTACACTCAATCAGCAATTCTCTCTTCATCAGTCCCGGGCACCCTCATATCTACGAAGTTCTGGAGTCTATAACAAGGCTGCATCGTTTATTGCCGTTTATAGGAAAGCACCGGTACTGTACAGTACAGCGATGATGTTGAAGTGCAGCGATCTTGAGTAATTTGAACACGGAGATACAGATCCGACAGCGTTACCAGAGTGAGGACTTATATAATTCTTATCCAGGGGATCTGATCCGAGGGCACTCTCATATCCCCCTTGAGTTGTTTGATCTTCCATTCCCTCCATGGAGTTTTTTAAGTGGCGGTTGAGAAAGGCCTGTTTCTATTTGCCAACACAACTGCGTCTCATGTCGAAGCTACGGAAAGCGACTGTGGTGCAGAAACCATCTGATAGTAAGCAAATTTAACAACGGCACTGGATTGTGCAATAATTCATTCTAGGCTTGAATAATACATATCATGATGTTAGAAACAAGGTGAGATTTCTCAACCAATTGAGTTTTGATGCAGTTGCAAAGAGGCTGTTGACGGATTAACCAGTGAATACTCAAAGATTCAAGATTGACGCAAGCGTCGAAACGGCTTTCAAAAGAAATTGAGAACATAATTGGGTACTGCAATAAAGAGAATATAAAACTTTAATTATACTTGAAAAGGGTTTTGCCCCAAATCATATTATCATCGTCTCCAGTCGCAGCCTTGGTACTATCTTAGATCTCACTTTGCCGTACCGCTACTCGTCGGGATCCACTTACACAACACACGCACACAGGCGTTGTATAGTGAAGCCATCGAAACTCGAGTGACAGCACGCACATGCCAACTGTATTGAGGTCCCACGGGATCGCTATCCTGCCAATCAGGATATTGTCAAAGGGCATATGCATATGACCCTGGAAATCACAGTTGTTCTATCCGTGCTTTGCGGGGCGGCGCGAACTCTATTGTCCCGGTGGGCCTTGAATGAGATCGGAAGATAGAAACAAGGACAGGCCATTGGTTCTGGAAGGTTTGAACAGATATCATTGGCTCCCAGAGGTTTGTAGTTGCACACTACTAGCGTTGGGTAATGGTGATAGCTACCTTAGGTCTTGAAGGAATAGCTATCAGGACGAGCGAACAGTAATGATCCTGACCTGCCAATGTTTTTGGAGACTTGGCTGAAAATGTTGCAGAATAGGAGTAGTGTCTGAATAGCAGCTTTCTCGTTTGCTATTGATAGTTTATTGATCACCTATAAATAAGTCTGGAACGGTTGGAGAACGACATCGGTTTCACTCCATCTCAATATTAAGACTTATTACAAGGATGGTTTTCCATCATAACCGCCATACTCCAAAACCCATCAGATATTCCCAGTTGGAACAACATTGTAAGCAAAAATAAAATAAATAAAAAGCTCATAGCAGCTGCTACGGCCGCGCAAAGTGGTATCATAGGTGTAGTAGGCCGTTTCCCGTCCAAGTCATCATCTCTAGCTTCCTTCTTCTTTTCCAGATTGACTGACGTTTTCGCACTTGGGTGTAGTAAGAATTGTTTCAAGTTTGCCGGTTGTCTTCCTGCGACTGTGTTTCAGTTCGCTCCAGCTCTTCTATCCGGCGCTGAATCGCCTCTTTCTGGACCTGCAACGCTCTGATCTCCTCGTCCCGTGTTGCCGTCTCCTCGCTCAGACGACTATCATTTTCCGTCATGCTGTTTGAGTCTGTAGCGGCCTCGTAGGCGGGTGGAGGTTCTGTAGCTTGACGGTCTCTTGCTCGTCGGTGATTGGCATCAGCCGCGGCGTAGAAGTTGTCACCTGGTCCTGCTGAGTTATGGCGCATACTGTCCACGGCGTTGAGCTCGTGTGGCCGTCTCTTTTCTGTCCGTACTCTGTCTCTGCGAGTAAGCCAAAATGCTAATCCCCCTATTGCTAGCAGTACAAAGACTGCAACACCGACGCCAATGCCGATGCGTGCACCCAGGGACAGGATCTCGCTGTGATTCTCAATGCCTGGGATATCGTCTTCATCTTTTAATCCAAGTGCATCCTTGTCACTATCCTTGAATAGAGCTCGAATGGTGTATACTGCAATTGTTGCGCTGTACAGAGTTGTTGGTGAGTCTGATATGGCGTCATAAGTCTGTGCTGTACTGTTGAATGTGTAAGGAACAGCTATCACCGAAGACACTGATCTCCTGCACAGATTACCATCCAGTGTGTATTGCCTACCGCGGTTAGGATGAATGTACCATAATCAAGTTTTACTCATAACTTACGATGAGCAGCATATAGCTGTCGTAGTCTCGTCATCCCGGTTCTCGCTGCTGTCCACGCGCAGTGACACCGTAGTCCATCCATGAGGGCATGTTCCCGGGCTATAAACGCCTGTGAGGCCATCGTCAAACATGGCATCCGGATAACATGACAAAGATTTTGCCCCAGGAATTGGTTGCAGGTCAAGCATTGCGGCGAGACCTTCCATCCCAGACTTTGGCACCTTGTTCGCATCGTAAGTCCATGTGCAAGCAGCCGGGCCCGTCCAGGGCGTGGTCATGGGCGGGAATAAGTGGTCGCTTTCGAGGTCATCGGCATCGGTAGGTGATGGGGCGATCAGAAGGGTTGTCGGTGCAGGTGTTGGGTCGGACAGAGAGATGGTTGAAGACGGCGCGGCGGGTGCTATTGATGATGATCCAGACAGCGTGGACTCGTCATCCTCGATTGATGTGGACATGTTGTCGGGCGATTACGATATGTTGTAACGATTGCAAATTGCAAATGCCAGCCGACTCGACTACAAGCCGCACTTAGTGCTTTGCTTGCAGTCAGCTCGGCGATTCAAGAATGACCCTCGCTATATTCCATCCGGGCAATCCGCCAACGGTTCGTCTTCTCGTTGGATAATGGTGCAGATGTATTCGCAAGGCTGAACAGACAATGCGCAGTGGGGATTCGTGCAGAAAGGTTTAGCTATGATTTAGCTGCAGGCAAAGCACACGCGTGATCAAGATCGTGGACAGCGTCTCTGACGATGTAGAATGCCATCCGGCCCGAGGTCTTGAAAGAGAACGAAGATATGGGAATATATAACAGAAGGACAAGAAAATGTGACTAATGATGGAAAAGAAAGAGATGGCTCATACCCAAGAAACGACAAGAGGCGGCCAAGTCTGACAGCAGGACAGGTCTATACCATGCCAGCCGCAAGACGACGGGTACCGTAGCGTTGGTGTTCCCCCTTCTGAGGCCTTTGAAGGCTTGGCGAAATCTTATCACGGGTGTATGCCGAGAAACGCCAAGACCTGGATAGCACCGAACCATGGTCCACGTTGACCGCTGAGAGTCTGGGCATTCGTCGCATTGTTCTCCTCTCGTTGTGGCTCTGCAGGCTTCACAATGAGAGCTATAGCTTGTAGCTGTGCTTCAGTCGTGTAAGTCAAAGCTGGCCATCATTGCCAGGCCTTGCATCATAAGACAGTCGTCAATGCCAATATGCAAAAGCGTGGCTCATTGGAAATTTGGGGGCCCATGGGCCATGACTATGACCCAATCTGCCCAGGCGGCGCTGGCCAATGCTCATCATAGCGGGCGCGTCCAGCCAAAGTCGAGCCTTTTGGCCCCAGTGCCACGGTCTTGGCTGATGAGTTTTGGATTTCTGGGCATTTGAGGATCTCTGACGCGGGAAATGAAGACCGCCTTGGTTTGTGCCGAGGACGCCGTCTTGGAAGTCTTGGAACATGCACACCTAGCCACGACCGGGAGAAGTCATATTAATTCCCTAGATAAAACAAAGGTAAATCCCGTCTTGGCCGCAAAATTTATCAGTCATCGGATCTCCTCACCGTTCCACTTCCTCAACTCACTTGCGCCTTGTCACGGGCGAAGACCAGAATAATTGCTGATCTCTCCCAGGCAAAGCCGGAGCAAAGTCAAAGCACAACGCCCAGTAAACATGATACTCTTGGCGTTGCACCGCCAATGTAGGATGTAGGACAATGGGTGACAAGAAGCAACAATCAAACGATGCATAGAAAAAAGGCGAGCCGCGAGTCTTGGCTGAGCTTGCTCGCTTCCTCATTCCAATTAGAATCCATCTTCAAAAAAGAGATGTAGAGGGAAAGGGATGGGAGTTGCTCAGAAACACGGTTGGCTGCTGTAAGATAATTGCTGATGATGGCCAACACCTTCTGGGACCTACCGATAAGGTTACAGTAGCACATGCCAGGGGAAACACTTATGGTTAGACATCTGAAGATCCAGTGTCCCAGATCCTCACCGGCACTTGACGATCGAGTAGAGAGGCGATGATTCTACAATTTTATGGTTTCGACAATGAGGACATGCTTGAGATGATTGCTTTACCATCGCTTCAACACTTTAGCTAAAGTACCTATTGTGTTGAAGGAAATGGTCTATAAAGACGTTCTCCATGATACCACAGAGGTACCAAGTAGTTGTTGTTACAATGGCGCTTCTCAAGAACACCACTTGGATTGCATCAACAACCCCCAGCTTCAACTCAATGCCTGATCAGTGAATAACATGGGAATGCGTAGCGTGATCTTTCGAAGCTCTGATCCCTTTGACCTCTGACCTTTGATCCGGCAATGGTCAAACAGTCGGGTGGCTCCCCCACAAAACCCGGAACCCCGGCCGCTTGTTCTTCCGGCCACACAGTTTCGAAATCGAAATCACCTGACGTGGGGTGAAGGGCAAAAGAAACCCTAGGCAGAGCCACATTCTATCGCAACCACTTCTCACCATCTTGGGCATCCACAGTCATATTCGCTCCTCCGACCAGCGAATTCAATCAACACAACACCGCGATCATGGCTGACGAATACGTACGTGCTTCCCCGAGACGTTCCTCCCCTCTGGAAACAGAAAAATGCACCCGCCGCACGAACCGTGGCTCCCCTACGAATCTCCCGCCCGGCACTCACTCGCGATGACGATGGAACGATTAGAGGAAGAAAATACATAGAGAACTCTACTGACCTGTGTTCTTGGTTCAATAGGACGCCGAGCAGGCTGCCGAGCTCAAGAGAAAGAGAGCGTTCCGAAAGTTCTCCTACCGAGGAATCGACCTTGACCAGTACGTTACCACCACCACCACCACCACGAAGAATGCGCCTCGACGATGGAAGATGAAATTGCGAGGATTGCTGTCATAGCGAACAACCCCATACTGATTTGACTTTCCTCCCAATAGGCTCCTCGACCTCTCCTCCGACCAGCTCCGCGATGTTGTCCACGCTCGTGCCCGCCGCAGGATCAACCGTGGCCTGAAGCGCCGCCCCATGGGTCTTATCAAGAAGCTTCGCAAGGCCAAGCAGGAGGCTCAGCCCAACGAGAAGCCCGACCTCGTCAAGACCCACCTTCGTGACATGATTGTCGTTCCCGAGATGATCGGTAGCGTCATCGGCATCTACTCCGGAAAGGAGTTCAACCAGGTCGAGATCAAGCCTGAGATGGTTGGTCACTACCTTGCTGAGTTCTCTATCTCATAGTACGTGAAATCCCGCTCCGTCATCATTATCATCACCGCTAACCCCCCTTGTAGCAAGCCTGTCAAGCACGGCAGACCCGGTATCGGTGCCACCCACTCTTCTCGTTTCATTCCCCTCAAGTAAGAAGGTTGCGGTCTTGGGTGGTTTCTGCATGCACGGATATTTTGGGCGAAAAGGACTGGTTCTGGTAGATGGAAAAAAACATCTATCAAAATTACTTATGACAATGGGTACCATAAAGTACAATAAAGGAGCATTGTCCGCTTGATGACTACCCTTGACTCTCGCTTATGCTCTAACACTGTGATGACGCTTCCTCTCTTCTTAAAATCCCCCATACTCTCAACTAATCATGACAACTGAATGGAATGGTTCGAACCTTCAAACGTTACTTGAGGCATCTCAAACAGTATGGCAAGCAAAGCGTTTGAGCCTGCGGTTGAAACGTTCCCTCCTCGCAAGCTCTGCATTCTCTTTTGCCCTCTTTTTGGCACATTCTGAACAGATAAAGGGTAGGTTTCCCCAGTCGTCTCTGTAGTTGATAAAGATCTCTTTATTTGCTCTGACACGCTTGGTGGCTTGAACTGTGATCCGGTGCGGTTCTTCTTCGTCTACGAACCATTCTGCGTTGGCGCAATCTGTGCAAGCATGATTCAAGTGTGAAGCAACGGGGTAAATCAGAGATCTCGAGCCTGCTGGGTCTGGAAAGGCGTAATCTCTTCTGAAATTTTCGATGATCATTTCGGAGGGTTCATCTGCGACCAAAGCTCTGTCGGTAGGAATATTTGCCAACCTAGAAAATAGACTAGCGACCTCTCGGCGTGTTTTTAGTGAGGTCAGGTTCCAGTCTGCTCGCAAGGAATTACGGTCAGATGTTAGAATTGGTAATTCCTCGTCGATGATTATCCGATTGCGAGCGAGATTCCGTTGGGCAAAGACGCCGCGGCCGCGCTCAGTTCCTGTGTGGCGAATCTGAACTACAGGAGTCCTGCGTCGGAAGATGTTACGTATGAGCCCTATTGAAGCGTCAGCTTAAAAATACAACCAATAACCATTAGGAGCAAAAAGTCTTGTAATAGGAAGGAAACATTGTGATAATACATGAAAGGGGTCCGAATCTTGAAAAAAGTAAGAGGAGGACGAGTGAGCAACCACATACTTGCAATCTGCCTCGTAAATGGGGTCTCTTGGGGGTCCTGGGGCTCCTGAGGTCCCTGGACTTCCTGAATTTCGTTGGGGTTATGGGATTCATTGGGTTCTTGAGACTCTTGGGGTTCTTGATGTTCCTGAATTTCTCCGGGTTCCTGTGGTTCCTGAGGTTCTTGGAGTTCCTGAATTTCATCAGGATCCTGGATTACCTGGAATTCCTGTGCCCCAGAAGACTGAGGCTCTAGAGTTGATGAAGGCTCTAGGCTAGTTGATGAGGGCTCTTTGGGCCGCTGGAGTACTTGAAGCTCTTGGGAATTCTGTAGCTGAGGCGCCGATGGCTCTCGAGTCTTGCGGTGCGGTCCATACCACAAATGCTCTAACCTCGCTATCAGTAAAGATCATGGAGAAGACAGCAAGATCTTACCACTCAGCCGTTGGAATAATCCCTTCTCCTTCTTTGGCACCATGGTGTCGGTTTAAAGTGAGGGTTTGGTCCGGTTTGTTGGAGTGAAATGGATGAGAGAAGGGATGGTGGACTGCAAAAGACTGTTTTGGATCCAAGATGAATAGTTGTGATGAATGGTACTGATGGTAGTGATGGTACTGTAATGAGATGAAGCTGATGGGTGATGAGTGATGATAAAAGAATAAATGTGACATTGCTTCGGACAGATTGATGTGGCAGCTCATTCATCGCAGTTGCCATTTGTTCTTGAAACAGGGTAGGATATCACCCAAGGCACTTACCTTCTTCGCCAAGGGATGGGCAAGAACTAGGGGGCTCCAAATTCTTCCAACTACCTACTGTGGTTCTCTAATGTGGAAAGTGAGAGAGAAATGTTAATTGGAATACAGAAGGAGCCCTGTCGAGGAAACACATCCTCATGATGGAAATGGGAACGGCATTCAGTAACTCAATGAAAAATGAATTCATGTAACCGATTCACGTCTAGTGTACATCCCCTTATTCCTTCTTCTGAGCAAGTTTGGTCGCTTTCCTCTCCTCCTCCTTGAGGTGCTGTTGCCTGTAGTGCTCGACAACATAGTCCATGTTGGCAAGATGACCTGCAATGTGGTTTCGGCTGGCATATGAGGTCATGGCCCTGGTTATCTGGTTAGCTCTCGATAATAAGGTGTTGTTGTCGTTTTTTAGGAAAGCAAGTAGCTTCCGTCGAACAACTGCAGGAGGAGGGTTGACGAACTCGGGGTAGGCAACATCGACGAATCGATGTTTGTTACTGGCGTTCTCGAAAAGATTTCGGTCGTATCCAGCCTGCTCCATGGCCTTGGTGTGAAGAGCATTGATTTCCTCCCAGTCCCTGCCGCGCGAAGTGTGCTTGTTGATGAAGTTGAGGATAGAGGATTCCTCGCCCTCCTTGGGAACGAATTGGTAGATGAGAACAGTGCCGAAGAAACTGCCGACAGCGATGAGAGATCCGGTCTAGAGACTACGATTAGTTGGTGTTCTATAACTGAGCGTTCCTTAAGCCTCGGCGAATGGCGTGCGATCCACGATGCGGGCTGTTGAGACTCGACGTACGCTGAACGACTCGTTAACTTCGGGTGCCTTGTGGTGGGCGTGTGCGTCGGAGGCGTAGGTTCGCGCTGTCCTCTGTAGCTGTCGAGCCACGCAGGCTGCCCTCTGTCGTGCGACGAACATGTTGGGCGGGATGGGCAGCGTTCAATTGAGCGATTGATCGTGAATAGCTCGTGAGAAGAAGCCGCACCCAAATCAACCAAGTGAGGTTGTCGCCGGTCCGCGGGTGTTTACGTAAGGTAGCCAGGGTGCCAGGTTTCTGGCCAATCAAATGGTAGATGTTTACCATTCTCTCCCCCACAGTTATCTGCTCAAGCTCTAGCATTAGCCAAATGATATACATTAACTGCCATCTCTGTTGCAACTTGCAAGTAGAACTTATCATGGAGGGATAATTAGTTAGGCAATTTCCCGATACCTTGAACATTTGTTACTCTAGTCATCGACTTTTGTACACTAAATACCGATGTTGTCTTCGTATAACACGATCACAAGAGACAGGTCGATGGTTGAGGAGCTGTCCAGATTGCGCAGACGTTTATTTTCAATCTTTATATAGTGGTGTTAATTTGTTTGTTATCCTTCGCTCATCGTAGCAAGTACGTAACTGGCAACTCGCTTACTTAAAGTCCCGTCCAAAAATTCCGACAATATGACAGTTTGGCATTTCAAAATCCCTCCAAGACTAATTATACATAAAAATACAAAGTAGCCTAGAGGACCTCCGGAATGTTTCAAGGTTGATGTTTTAACAGATTTATTTAACCTGAGTAAGATTTCTTTAAGTTAGACATGGCCTTAAGTGAAGGAAATTATCGTAGCTACTGGACGCCCAATGTAAATGACGGAGCCTCAGATTGAACGCTACTTACCCTGGAGAGCAAGTGTTTTCTCTGACTTGCAGACTCTTATATGACATGACTCAATCAAAACTCCTGTGAACCATTTTTAGATGCTACTCCTGTATGGTACTGTACTATTGTTTTCACATTCACATTTGGTTTTACTCGAGTTCGAGTATATTCGAGGGATGCTCCTGAGACCAGAGGTCTTTGGTCTGGGTTTTGAATTGACCAACAGGATTCTACGTCACCCAACCTTTCGGATACTTACAACCAATCCCCAACAAGTCGACGGGTTATTATTCATTAGTGGTCCATAGCTCTGTTTGGATGTGGCGTTGGTTCATCTTGTTACGTAGTATATGACCATTCCCCATTAAGACTGCATCGAAGCAATGGCAGCCAAGTACGGTTACACTTAATGGTCAAACAACTCGGAAGTGAACAAGGATCGAAATCGGCTTATTTGATGCCCCGATTTCAAGAAAACCTGGAAGCTTCTGGGGCAGAAGTGGCTGGAGCTACCACTAGGTTTAGGAAGGTTTAGGAAGATCGATGTGGCTAGCCAATGCGCCTCATATGGCGTCTTGGGACAAACTGAAAGTTAATGCTTCCGGCATGGTGTTGCCGCAGTCCACCATGTGGAATAGAGAGTTCAACGCCGACGGACGAAAGAGAAACCAAGATCGGAAGAGAGTTTATGCCACCTCTAACCGCCAGCTACTGTACAATACAACAACACAGTACCAATGCAGAGTCTCACTCGCGAAGTATTGGGAATGGGTTCATGGGAGGCTGTCGTAGAATGTCACTCACCGGACTGTATGGAGCCAGCGAAGAGGTCATGAACATGCCCATAATCCCTTGTGTCGAAAGGCAGGGCATCATACTATCGTTCATTTGTTCGTGTAACGACAAAGAGACCAATTCGGGGTAGAAGTCAGTGTGGATGTTTGTTATGACGAGATGACGAAGCAGCTTGACCAAAGTGACACTCCGGTGCTTTGGGTTTATGCAGGTTCAAAGCATGAGCACATTTGTAAACTGTAAACCAAGATAACATAGAAACTGGACGAGATCGGGACTTTACTTGTTGATGACGAAGTTCTGACAGCTAGGTACGATCCGTAAACAGGCAAACATGATGAGATTAGGTATGATAAGTGGATATCAGGTATACGTATCCGTATCTTGGTATCAGCTGAGAGCCACGTTCTTTTGTGAGGCATGATCGAGATGGCTATTGCATGATAACGGAGATATTGGACCGGCAATCTACGTCGGAGTGAGAACATAGGAGCAATGGAAGTGCGATAGTGGTTTGTCGAATATTCACGAACAGGGCAGGACTGTAACAGCATATGCAGGCGAAGGATATCCCCCTGTCTCACGTCGATTCTACATCATCCCGTGTGTTTGACAGGCAGCAAGGGGCAATCATCCCGCAGCAAACCGCGGCTATGGGTCGTCAATCAGTTGACGAGTATGGAGTAGCTGCACTGTATTATTCATGTGTTTATGATACGCCATGACGCGACAAGAATAGAAAGTGAGGTGATTTTCTTGGTCGTGTAAGTGTTTTTGTTATTTCCGTAGATAAGAGAAATATGAGAAGAATTACCATGTGAAAAAAGAAAGAAAAAGGAACATGACCATGCGTGCCAGAGGCAAAGGCCCATCACAAATGCCAAGCCTTGGGTTGGGTTGGGGTGCGCGCCAAGTCTAATTGACCACATCAGAGAGCTTCCCCGCGATAGGGAAAAAACCCCAGCTATAGGATGAAAGGAAGAAGAAGAGGAGTAAAGGAAAAGACGACCGGGCCGGAAGGCGTGTTTCCAAGATCAAGACCAAGACCAAAGTACCATGTTTTCTTTTGTCTCTGCAGTCTGCATCGTTCCAGAAAATACGGATAGGAGAATTGCCATAGGTGATCGTAAAGTGCCTCATTGCCAATTGCGACTGCATATCCTTGCCGTAACGCCCTCAAGGCTCAAGCCAAGGTTACGTCCGTATTGATGTCCGTCCCGTACCTTGCAATTCATTAGTCAAATTTACTTACCTTTGGACGTTCGCAGCCGGTGCAATGCGGGGAAAGCTACCTATCTTTGCAGGTCACGGATGCATCGTTGGGTGGTGATTGGTTGTGTATTGGCAGAAGACGACACACGTTTTCAGAACGACAAGAGTCTCGGCTCTTGGGTGAGGCCTATTAGCCTGCCAATTCACAATCACCGGGCTGACAACAGTGAGTTGAGGCCCGACCTGTAGCTAACTTACATGTTACTTTGCTGAGCTGGCGGACGGGCTCTGGCTCTCTTGTTCTCCGGCTCTTTGGCTCTCTGACTGACTCTCTGACTCTTCAGCACACCCTCTCATTTCCCAAGGGCCTTCCTTGTTGGTGGATAACAATACCGGCTTGTTTGTTTTTGTATTCCCCCAATTCTGTTCCGAGTATTCCCTATATGGAGATATAAACAGTCATCTGATGGCGTTCTAGTTCTACCTTTCTGCAGTCATGCACACACGTACATACATGTGTACACACACACATTTACTACTACCTATCTCCAAATTTGTCTCCCCTCACTCACTCTTGGATTACTGATTCAGAACTCTCACCCGCCCTGCCTCTGGATATTTCCCCCTCTCCCTTTTCGTAAAAAACAACAACAAAAAAAACAAAGCCTAACTGTATTATCCCAACCTACTACTACCTTCCCTGTCTGCGTCATGCAATTGTCACTCGTGGTCTTTTCCCTCCGAGACTTCTAGCAACAGATACCTAAATCTCACGGAAGATCTACCAAAGGATAAAAGGGACTGATACCCCCCCTGATAATCCTGCCTCTCTCTCTCTTTTTTGTTTGGTTGAACAAAAACAATACTTCAAACAGTCATCCTTCCTATGCCTGAGATACGTCCAAGCCTCCTTCAATATCATCAACAACAATTACGGCTGCGCCCCGGCGTGCTTACGTTGTCAATACACAGCGAGGCCTCATCATTGCAGTGTTACGAAGCTAAATAACCAGGCTTTCCAACATTTCACGTTTCAACATTTATTCTTTAAAGCTTTTAAGCTAAAAGATCTTCCCTCCTGCATCTCGCTTGCACCTCCACAGCCCAACGCCCTTACATACATCACCATCCCCACCAGTCTTATACACAACTGCATACATATTACTTCCACCTCCACTACCTACCTTGTTTGCTTGCCTTCTGTACATACCGTCTGTACATACTTCGCACTACATACCGCATACTGCATACTGCATACATACTCATCGCACAACCACAACATCAAACACCATCAACATGTGCCATACCGTAATCGCCCAGCGGATGTGCAAGGATTGCCGCCACAGCCTCGGCGAGACGGTTATCGACTTCACACGCTGCGCTCGTAAATGTTCGAGCCCTTTCTACTGCCTTACCCCTGAGCCACAAATGGAGCTATGTAACCTTTGTACCGCGACATCGACATTATCTACACCGGTACTCGCACAGCATGCCCTCGAAGACGCGACCACAGCAGCAGCCGCAGCCGTTGCCGCATCAGCTCGCGCCAGACTCTACGAGCATTCCATGGCAGCACCTGGAGTAGCCCGTTCCACCGTGGCTCACTAGGATGTACGAAACACGACGACAGCGACAGCGATGGCGGTTTATGATATCGATACTTCAGGCGTTTATTTATGTAAGAACTTCAATAGGGAAATTGAAACGACGAGACGAAATTCGACAACAACAAAAAACAGACTGCGCATTAAGGAATGGGCATAGGAGTATCCGTTTGGCACGGGCAACCGACACGGGATCAAAGGCGCATCAGGACAGCATTCATCAATGCTTTGCTTACTTTACTTCATTCGATTTTATTTAGTTTCATATGTGGTGTCACATAGACACGAAACCCCCGGTGAGGACCACTCTACTGGTATGGATACAGAAAGAGAACCACAGGCCTGGTCAATGGTAACCGAGAACCGGGGTGAGGGTGTATAGAAGATTCACGATCGTTGACAGCAGAGAATTGAACATATCATCCACGAAGAAGCAATAAGAGACATGACAAGGGTGAAAGAAAAAGAGCTGTTGATAATGCCCTCATATCGTGAATTCAAGTAATATCTCCCAGTGCCTCCATTTTAGAAGACCCCCCGGTCTGCGGGCGAGCGGGCGGATGTCCGGGTACTGATCCGCTCCCGCTACTAACGTTGGAGCACATCACCTCAGCGTTGATACCAGGTGAGATAAGGTAAGGTACGGGGAGCAATTATGAGACTAGCATTGGATGTCTTGCTTGACTGGAACGTCTCCATACCTGATCTTCAATATATCCGGGTACAAAGACAGCCCATTTGACTTGAAATTCGCGCAAGCTGGACTGTATCGGTGCAATAAAAATGTGCATCATGCGCGTCCCAAACAACATCCGAGACACTTCAACTCATACTCCAACATCTGCATCTTTGCGCGAGACGAGACACGCCGACAGCCGACAGCCGCACATGGAGCAGCCCCTCGCTCAATCACAGTCACAATCTCGTCACATCCATTCACGCGCTCAAGAAATCATCTCATCAAACACATGCCTCCCTGTTGCACCAGCAATACAAGTACACAAACGTCCTTATGACTCGGCAAGGCCGCTGAGTCTCAGAATGGGGGACGATTGGCTACCTGAGTTTCATCTCAATAGACTAATCAGTACCTAAGACAGATATACGTGTCTATGCCTCCCAGAACAAATAATTGCTACCACTAACATATATTTATATCCTCCCCGAGGCATCTGGTATTTTGCATCACGATGACGGGACTTGATTGATTCACTTGCTTGCCAAACAAGCAGTGGCCACCCGAGGCTGAGGTTCACGGGCCAGAGACCCAATTGCAGTGTAGGCTGCTTCCTTTCATGGGTATTAATCTTCATCCATGCAAGCGCAAACGGATTTTTCAACCGCGGGCTTCAGTTTCCCAACAACGAACAACAAACAACGGAACGATCCTGCCTTGATCTGACCTGACCTGACTTCTCAGGAAGCGGCTGTTTGCGTCAACATCACAATTCCTTCTTTTTCCTGTCGTCATCGAAATCCACTCTATAATATCTTTACCATGGCTTCGACATTGGCAGCACAACCATCATTTCCGGCCACAGCTTCACCACGACAAAGGCCATTCTTACTTTCCGATCTCATCTGCCAAAAGCATCCGTCTACTGCAGCAGCTACCATGGACACAATGTATGGCGTTATTGAGAGAGGTAACAAGATCGATCTTCGTAGTGTCCACAAAAACATGTGGAAGTTCTACATCGAAGACGTTAACGAAGTTGTTGGTTTTGTTCGAGATGATATCCAGAAACAGATGAACTGGGGGCCCAGATTTTTTCACATACAGGACAAAGACGCTGGCGGCGAATACGATATGCGGGAGATTACTCTTATGACCAGTATTCCCCGTTTCGAAGGGGGCAAATATCCTGCTGCAGAAGCTTGCCAAAACGCTTTCATGCAGCTCTTCTCAGACAACCGCACGCGATTTCCCTGCATGGACCGGTGGCTCAGTAAGGATGATTCGGTACGGGAATTTGCTCCGATACACCTATCAGATCCCGGAAGGGGTTTCTCGATTCCTTTACCGGTGCGGGGACTCTTGGGGGTTGTCACAGTGGGTGTTCACCTCAACGTCTACAGAGTCAAGCAAGAAGGTGGCAAGGAAGTCATCGATTGTATCTGGGTCTCGCATCGTGCCACGGGCCCTGATTTCAGCTACCCTGGCATGTTGGATCAAATTGTTGCTGGCGGCGTGGATTGCAGAGATGAAATCGGCGGGCGTCTGGCACCTTGCAAAACACTGATACGTGAAGCTAGGGAGGAGGCAGGTTTTACCATCAACCTGGAGAATCGACAAGTATTCTGCAGCGACGACGTCGGGAATACCACCCTTCTCGGAATCGTGGAGAGGGTTTCCGAGGTTACCTTCTACGACTGCAAGGACAGCAGCGCAGGGGATCTTAACAAGAATCACCTGGAGCCTGGCCTACGAATCGTCTACGACCTCAAGATTATTGAACCAAGTTTTGATCCACAAGGAAAGGAGCCCGGTATTGAGAGGTTTGAGGCCATGGATGTGCCTCAAGTGATAGAAAGTCTGAAGGCTGATCGGTGGAAGCCAAATTGCGGATTGGTGATGCTAGACTTTATGGTGCGCCATGGACTCATCACCAAAGCCAACGACAGCCGTTTCAACGACATCAAGAGAGACTTGCATCGACTACTTCCATTCCAATTTATAACGGAGTACAAGAACATTATCAAAGGTTGGTAGGTGGGGTTACTTTCGCGGGGTTTAGCGAAACTATGTATTTTACAGGATTAAGGGGTAACGACAAAAGTGTGTAAAGGTTTCTCTTGTATAACTATGGGCGAGCTGGTTAATGACTCAGCAGTGAAATATAATCAATTTGGCTACCATGTTCACTGCTTCTCTCTCATCTTGAGCTATTTGGTATGATCCTCCTCAGACAGTGAATTCCTCTGCAAGCCGTCCGAAATCAGCAAAGCCATGCACCTCGAGCTCTTTGCCTTGGATCTTGACAGGATGTGAGGGCAGGAGGGTGAAGCAAATTCGAGCGACTTCGGTTCCTGTATTCTTCCAGGCGTGGTTCGTTCCTCTCTGGATGATAATATCGCCCCTGTGGAACGTCCTCGTAGCTCCATTATCAAGAACGCAGTCGATCTCGCCCTCCATCACGATGCCATAATCGACGCTGGCAGTTCGATGCATGATGGCCGGGAAGCCAGGCCAGAAGTCTACTACCCTGAGCGAAGAGCCTGAGGCTGGAGCAATGTCCTTCTCGGTCGGGTTCTCTCTGTAGGACTTGAGGTCGTTGTTGTCAGTCAGGGTGTTGGAGCTGTCTTCGTTCACCCATGAGACGTGGGTGGTGAAGCCGCCACTGCGATTGTCTTGGACTTGGATTGGGATGGTATCGTCCCAGATAGCGTTTCCTTTGTCATCATGGGTGGTGATGAATCGTCTGATGGGGGAGAGGAGCTTGGTCTCAGAAGACATGTTGATGATGGTTGTGTTGCGTTGAACGTTACTTGTTTGATTGCTTTGAAGTGAAGCTAAAAGTGACAGAAACACTTGTTCCTTTATATGCTTTTCATGACTTCATGGGAAAAGGTTTACTTCTGTGTCAATGGCGCACCTAATATGCCATTGTCAAGTAAGATGCCATTGCATTGTAAGCAACTTGGTCAGATCCACGTCATTTTCTCTGTTCTCCCCACCAATTCTTGGTTCCTCTTGACAACTTTCCATTCCATCGTGAAGCTTTGAAATCTCGCTGTTCCGTGGAGTTTTGGCTAAGGTCTGGTGTTGGAGAACCATTGGTAAGCACACCATCTATCAAGACAAGGGTCTTTCGTCTGATTCCCTTTTTGGGTAAGAGTTGTCTGTGTCATTCTCCACTCAAAACGAGTTCCCCGTTTTCCTGAGCAAAACTGGGTCGATAAGGGTCTTGTTCATTTCAGCCCCGTCTAAGCGTTTTGTTTGTCATGCGGAGACTCCGTGGACACTCTGATGATGATGAGACCTGACATGGCCATGGGAAAGCTCATATCCAGAGGTCAAAAGAATATCACTACTATCTATGTCGCGCTCAGGTCAGGATTTAGGGTACTGTGCTGTGCCATCTTTCTTTTGTTTTAGGGGCATGGCTGAGCAGACACATCCAATTCGCCCACTAGACTGGAAATTAGTCCCATATCTATTCGCGGCTTGTGGTTTGTGACAAGCCAAGATTTCAGGGCTGAAGAGCAACGTCCAACTGGAGGCCGAGTAGATGAACACCGAAGAGCTCACTACCGTGTCCCAGGCCGTGGTCATCAATATGTTCTATTTACAGCGCACAATATAAACTTCGATAGTATTGGGTCCCAATCCCACACGGCAAGGCAGTTGAATTAATTACAGAGCCCTGCTATTGCTATTCCCGTCAGTTTCAATTGCTCTTTCCGCACTATCCGTGACCCCCGGCCTCTTTCCGCTAGCGGCTGCTCAGTACTTGCCAGGTTCAGAGATCTTTGGATGTCCTTATTGGAAACATCGGACCCGACAACAACTTCGCCTCTACAACAATACGTACCTTTTTTCTCATCAAACTAACAGCGCCGTTGTTCCTAGCCAAGGACCATGAGCGCTAGACCGACCATGCAAGCCTAAGTAGTGAGACGATATGACACACCCCAGAAGGCTAGTCGTGCGCCCAAGATCCATGGATAGCAAAGATCACCTCTACTGGCTGGCCCCCTTCTGCGAGAGGAGTTGAAGAACAAGCAGCAGCGGCCAAAATCCGGTTGAAATGAGGTTCAATAATGGCTCCCAGTGTCAGATTTTAGCGACCACTGCCTACATGAACTATACGAGATTGGGCCCAGGGGCCTTTGCTTTTCAGAGGCTGCCACTCACCGATAAACTTATGCGGTACCGGTGCAGGACAAGACCCGTCACGGTTGACTGGTGCGACAGAGTCTCAGAAGCCCACACTTCTCGGCGGTGAATGAGGATGGCCCTATACTGACGTACCACAACAGCGAGGCTGGCCAGGACACAAAGAAAACAATAAATGCTCAATCGCAAACCATCTCTGCTATCATCTATGCCATCAAGCACGTGTATAGCCAAGCTCACCATTGCCAGCACGGCCTCGACTACGAAGCTTATGCAGACGCCTAGAGCATCGTTCTGCGCTGCCGGGAAACAAACACCTTTCTGGGCCACCTGTGCGAGAACCACTCATGGGCGAAGCGCATCCGGCAATCTGCGTCAAATCTACGCAAAGTTACGGAAGCCAAGTATAACTCAGCCAATGACCGAATGTTGTCATGCGGGGAGTGGAAAGTGGGCGGCTGATAATGCGCTGTAAGTCATTGCCTGGTCACAGTCGAGTATCCGTTGCTTGTCCAAGGATATCACCCTTACAAAATTGGCTCCCCATCTTTTGCTTCTGCAAGTTAGATTGCCTGCCTGCCTCAGGTGGAAAGCACAGCATTTCTGTTCCTGCTTTTCTGGGGACAAAAGCTCGATGGCTTGCGCTTGGAAACCCAGCTGTTTAATGACCTGAAATATGATGTCCACTAATATGTACAAATCATGGCACTCACCAAGGAGCAGGTAGCCAAAAATGGTTCTTTGGGCATGACCGTTGACAAACAGTATGGCACCATTTCATTGATTCGAGAACGCAGCCTCATGTGCTTCCTAGTGAGTGAACCCTGTCGATCTAAACAACGTACTTTAGCACTGCAACGTGACGGGCTTTCGACGATGGGATCGATTTGAGAGGGCACAGCCTCGACAAAATACAGTCCAAATCCGCTTGTCAAGAGCTTCACATTTCTGCGCCTACGGGTATCGGCACGTTATATCATCTCCAGTCACAGACAAACGGTATCAGCATGTACAAGAAGCAGTTCCCCTGACTGTGGAGTTGTCGATAGCTGTACTGCCGCCAAATCACCAGCCATACTTGATTTGATACTGATAGACGAGAGCGAGGCGGACTTCCAATGAGGCACACACTTACACTTTCCGTAAGGCTCAACGGCACAACCCCATTTACTACGTTGTAATTGAGTCTCCAGGTACTAGAGCCCCTATCAAACCGACATTGGCTCACACCCTAGCGGACAAACTGGGCTTCTTTTTAACCATGAATGATTGAGTTGTTTTATTTGGGGGCTGAGCTTCTCTCTCCAAACGGACCAAACCCAAAAGGTTGAACGCCCATTCCTCCCAATTCGACAGGGGTCAGTTCAGCTCCTCGCACTAGAGGTTCCTCGCACCAATGGCAACTAATTGACGACGCCATTTTTCAAGGATCTGGCGGACCAGCAGGGGCTGAGATGCTTCTTGTGGCTATTGAGCTTGTTTAGCGTGGTATGAGGGTGTCCCTGTAGTCTTTAGCCTTGTATCTGTACTGCCCGATGCACCTCCTACTGATGCTTCTCAGGCTCGAGAATGCTAGGCCAGAGGGCAAGCGGACGAGAGACAAAACCCCAATCGACCCCTGCTTTGGTGCTGTTTTCCTCTTCGTCTAACATATATTATCGTTGCGCTGCTCGAGTTGTTTTGTGTTGACTTGCTTGACGTCAGTTGGTTAGCTTCATCCTACCAAGGGGACGGAAATCATCTATACGACAAGATACTCTTACGGACCGAACCCCTTCTCGCTCCCGAAACCACAGCAAGACACACACTCACCTTGGAAAGGTCTCAGAGGAGCACTAAACCGTCGAAACCACCTGGAAACACTTTGGACCCGACATCGACTCGAAGCATACATATTTATATCACAAGCGCGATGCATCGCTCTGCCGTCCTCATCGCTCTTGGAGCACTCAGCTCACCAGCTGCCGCTGAGTGGTTCAAGTCAAACTACGAGGCATCATGGGAGCCTCCTCAACAGACGGGCATTTACGGCCCAGAAGCTGGAGAGCAAGATCAGATCGGCCTAGGATGGTCTCCAGCACCGACTGGTGCCCCCGCCCTTGAGGGTGCCATGGACATGGGATTTGCTCTGGGCAAACGAGCTCTGAAGTCAACGGTCTGTGGTTTCGGTACTTCAGGAAGTGAGTCACCATCCTTTTACTGCGGTTCTTGTCTGAGACCACGAATATACCCACGCAGTCGATAAGACCTTGGATTGCATTTCAAGCATTTGACCACTAACATGATTCTCAATAGACTCTTTCACGTGTATTAACTCCGCATCCGCTATTTGCAATTACTCTAAGGGATATGTCGGTTGTTGTGAAACGGGACGATCTTGTAACTCGATCAAGACAACTTGCGTCGACTACGCTTCATCTGCCTCCATCTGCAATTTCCTCGAGGACTTTCACACTATCTGCTGGTATGTTCTTCTTCTGTACTCAAGATATGAGTTTGTGCAATTGCTTTGTTACTAACTCCTTCCAGTTCCTCTGCAGCTCCAGCTTGTTTCACTTACGTTGGTACCTCGGATGGCGATGCCTTCACACTGTTTGATTGTTCTGCTAGCAAGGGAACCGCCAGCCTCTTGTTTTCCGACCCTCTAGCTGAGACAAGCACCACCAGCGCCGACGAAACATCAACCACAGAGGATGCCTCTTCCACCGATGATGCCTCTTCTACCTCGGGTAGCGCTGCGGCTTCTTCCTCCACAGCTGCCAACGAAGACGATAACGGTGGCGGCAGTTCTACCAACGTTGGTGCTATCGCTGGTGGTGTTGTTGGCGGTGTCGCCGCTCTGGGTCTTATTGGTTTGGCCGCTTTTCTCCTCTTCCGCCGTCGCAAGAAGACTACTCCTGCTGCTACTCCTCTCGCCGGCGATGCCGCACAGAACCAGCCTCCTATGGCCCAGAACCCACAACATCCTCAGAGCCCAGGAGGAAACAGCTTTGTTCCTTCATCGCCTTCCAACGCCGCCTACCCTTCTGGAGTGCCCTCAAACTTCCAGAACAACTACCAGCAAGGATACGATCCTTCATTGGCAGCCCCTTACGGCCAGCCTCAGGGGTATACTCAGCCCGGCTACAGCGGTTACTCTCCACAGCCTCAGGCCTTCCAGGGACAATACGCACCTCAGCAAGGATACGACCAGCAAGGCCAGTATCCCTCTCAATACGGCCCTGGCGCCTACGGGGCCCCTTCTACGTCACCTCCTCCTCAGTTCACGCCCAGCCCAGGTCCCAACAAGACCGGCCACGAGATTCCGCACGGTGGCCAGCAGCAAAATGCCCAGGAGCTGCCCGCTGTCAACCCCCTTGGAAACGAGGGTAACCGTGCGGAGCTTAGCTAAAGGTCTGGTTAATGGTATTTCAGGAGTCAAGGGAGTTTCTTTTCTTCTACGAGATGGAGGAATTTATAAAGCTGGCAGCATTTTGGAAAGAGTGGTGGAATTTCAATGCCGAGGACTCAATGGATTGCATGGCCATTTGATTGCATGAACTTGTATTATACCTCTTTTCAGTTGAGACCTAATATGGGTTTCTTAACGACGTTTAAAATATGATAATGTCTCAAACTAAGAAACAATTTTTACCGGGTGCATGTATTGCTTATCATTATGTCATATTATCCTGCCCATTCTTGAATCCCGCCTCCTCAAGTGGTCATCATCTACTCAGCTGACATCTTATACATGCCCATTAGTTCCCAACTGTTTCTCAAGACCCTCGTTCCACCAATCTTCCCAGTCAATGACCTTCCGGCCTAGTCTCGCTTCCTCGGCTGCGAAAACCATGGCATGGCTTCGCAGGACTTCGTCAAGAGTACATCCGATGAATTCATCCTGCGCACGAGGGGCCTCCCAGCCGTGGTTCCTAACTCGATCACACGCCATGACAAACTGGCGTGTAAGACCCAAGTCTCCGCCGCCGTGGCCAAGATCTTCGACTCGAGGATGATGCGTCTTTGTCTCACCTGTGTTGAAGTCTTCGACCACGATACGTCGCGAGTCGGCGTAGACCTCGCCGTGCTCGCCGTAGAAGTGGGAGTAGCGCTCGCAGATCTTGGCCGTTTGGGCTACCATGTGCAGAGTAGCTGTCTTTGCAGGCTTTCTGGATTCGGGCCAGGTAATTGTCACGAATTGGTCGTCGCAGACATTGTTGTCGGCTTCGAAGACGCAGCGGCCAAACCAGTTGCGAGATTGGATCTCAGTCTTGGGCGTAGACTCGTCGTAGTCTTCCTCAAGAGCCTTCATTACCTCTTCTTCTTTTTCTTTCTGTGTAGGATAGTCCTCAATATCATGGACAACGATACTGACGGGCCAGTTTGTGTTTCCAGCCTGGAGGCCCTTGAGTTTGGGGCCGAGGTAGATGTTCTTCGCAGAGAACTTGCAGCCTTCGTCTCCAAGGGGACATTTCGTGCAGTTAGTTACTGATCCTACCGCCTTGGGCTTACGACTTTTCTTGAAAAGGTGAATGTTTCCAGTGGATGATACCGTCGAAGGAAGATGTGGCTCGCCCTGGCCGGCCTTCTCGGGAGAACAAAGCAACCACAGCAACAGGTCGATATCGTGACAGCTCTTCGTCAACAACGATGGGGCTGTGGTATTCTCGTTGCGCCAATTTCCTCTGACGTACGAGTGGGAGAAATGCCACCAGCCAACTGGCTCAGTGTGTACAACGCTCGAAATGTCACCGATAACACGCTCCTCGACAAGGAGTTTGCGAAGCATGATATTGTGCGGGCTGTAACGTAGCACATGGCCAATGGAGAAGATCTTGGACGATTGCGAGGGACGCATAGCCTTGTACATGTCGATACAGTCTTGGAGTGAGCACGCCAAAGGTTTCTCGCACATGATATGCAATCCAAGTGGTGCAAGACCAACGATAACCTCGCGATGCATCTCATCGAGAACGCATACAAAGACTCCATCAACACCCTCTGGCACGTTCTGCTCGCCTGCAGCTTCTCTTCTTCGGCGCTGCTGCTCATACTCAAGAAACTTTTTCCAGTCATGGAACGATTGGCCTTCTCCAGGAGAACCATCCCGCCAGATATGAGCGCGACCGAGAGACTCGCGCTTGAACTTGAGAGGTTCCGCAACAGCGGCGACTACGCCGTTGGAGACACTGTCAATTGCTCCAGCGTAGTTCTGGCCTCGAGATCCTGCGCCAATGATGAGAAAGCGTGGTGGTGTCTCTGACATGTCGGGCTTGGGAGGGGGCTTGGGGACAACATTTTGTTGTTCTGAATTAGTGACCTCATCTTCAGGCGCTGTGCGCTTCGGGAGAAGACTCTGGAGTGAGTACATGATGAGAGGATAGTTGTTTCGAGAATGAAGAAATTGATTCTCTAAGCAAAACGATTCAATGATATTGTACGAGCCAAGGGAGACTGGCCAAAAATATATGCCACGAGGGGAAGCTGAGGAGTAGAACAATCAATGCAGTTGATAGCTGCCTCTTGTACAACGCCTCACAAGACGCACGACTGGTATACAACGAATTTAGGGCCAATCTTCAATGTCTACCTAGATTGAGGCTGAAAGTCGTCCCTATACGGAATTGTTTTCGTACATCGCATAGGTAGTTGAAGATGATGATATGTTTAGTGGCCAATAAGCTAGAGCCCATTAATATACGCAACGTTTCAGCGCATCAGTTCACTGTAGGACTTTATGGATGCTGTGATTAGCGGGCTCCGATCTTGAAACCCCACTATCAAGTGCAGAGGACCTCCTCAGCCTCTCATAAAGAAACTCTAGCTCTGAACAGAAACGTTACATTTCAACTTTCCAAAACTCACAATAATGTCGACAGTAGAAGCGCAGGCTGATAATCAGCCCAAGAGTGCCAGCGATGATCCTCTTGTCTGGATCGACTGCGAGGTACGTTATGATGTTACGTTGCAGAACATATCAAACTCACATGGTGAATAGATGACTGGTCTTGACCAGGACAACGATGAGATCATCGAGATATACTGCATCATCACCACAGGAAATCTCGAGATCCTCGATGAGGATGGCTTCCACGCTATCATTCATTTCCCTCAGTCTCGCCTCGATCAGATGGACGATTGGTGCACGAAGACACACGCGGATTCTGGCCTCACCGCCGCAGTGCTCGAGTCTACAACTACGCCAGAGCAGGCCGCAGATGCCCTCTACGAGTACATCACACGTTTCATCCCAGAGCGCAAGCGCGGTCTCCTGGCGGGCAATAGTGTGCACTGTGACCGGGCGTTTCTGCGACGTGAGCCTTACAAGCGTGTTATGAGACATCTCCATCATAGGATTCTGGATGTGAGCTCTATCAAAGAAGCTGCGAGACGCTGGGCGGCCAAGAGGATCGTAAACAAGGTCCCCAACAAGAAGGGACTGCACAAGGCGAGGGATGACATCTTGGAGAGCATTGAGGAGGCGAGATATTACAGGGAGGTGATCTTCAGGCCGACGTTTGATGTTGTGCCTGTTAAGAACAAGCCCAACAAGGGGAAATAATGGCTTGTTGATTATTCTATCATGAAAAAGGTGGGTTATACACTATCTTAGATGCACCATTGATCAGTGCTTGTCCCTTGTTAAGATTATATCTTCGAGTGCCACACTTGAGCTCCTACCTAACTGTAGCTCTCCCAGAAGTGGCGAGAACGGCAAATTTTCATATGCTGTGATAAACAGCTCCTTGTAGAATTCAATTGGTGGACAGCTATGGCATCAATGGCATTATATCCTGGTTCTATTACCAGGACCTGTAGTGTTTATTAGATTCCATCGTATGCTCTATCATGAGAGCTTCTATTCCATCATATTTACGTGGGAATGGTGTCTCTCAACGAAATGGTCCACACACTGTGACGGACTGTGCTGTCACAGCCTATTGTCCCTATACACACAGTGTCAATTGTGCGACCCCTCCATCAAGCTCGAGTGATATCATTCCTCCAACCCCACCACAAAGCTACCTCGAGCTCCCCTCTTTTTGTCTCAGTCGACACCCGCTACCGGTATCTTCTGATTTCTTCTCCTCTTCTTATCCTCCTCAACAAATCTTCCCTATTTGCAGGACCCTTTTATCATCTCACTCTTCTCTAAAGCTTGGTTTTTCTCTTATCAGGCAATCATGGGCGTTCAAACCGTTGAGTTCAAGCCCTTCCAGGACCAGAAGCCCGGAACGTAAGTCTCTCCGTTGACGATCCCCCACCGCCCGAGAGCTACCGATGAAATGACCTCCCCTTCAACGCCAAAGCTTGAGGGTATTCAGCCCGTTGGAAACTTAACTAACTTAGCCCAATAGCTCCGGTCTTCGCAAAAAGGTCACCGTTTTCCAGCAGCCGCATTACAGCGAGGCTTTCGTTACCAGCATTCTGCTGTCCATCCCTGAGGGAGTCGAGGGTATGTCAACAACCTCTTCTGCAACACGAGCCATGATCTGATGAATTGATAGGCTCTTTTCTCGTCATCGGTGGCGATGGCCGCTACTACAACCCTGAGGTGATCCAGCTCATTGCCAAGATTGGTGCCGCCTATGGTGTCAAGAAGCTCCTCATCGGTCACAACGGTATCCTCTCCACTCCAGCTGCCAGCCATGTCATCCGTCTGCGCAAGGCTACTGGAGGCATCCTTCTGACCGCTAGCCACAACCCTGGTGGTGAGTTTATTCTGTTTAACCCAACTTATCCCTAGAGCATCGGTATCTAACGACAGGCAGGCCCCAAGAACGACTTCGGTATCAAGTACAACCTTGCCAACGGTGGCCCTGCCCCCGAGTCCGTTACCAACAAGATCTACGAGTTCTCTAAGACTTTGACTTCATACAAGATCGCCGATATTCCCGATGTCGATATCTCCACTGTTGGCACCCAGACTTATGGCGACCTTGAGGTCGAGGTCATTGACAGCACCACCGATTACGTTGCTATGCTCAAGGATATCTTTGACTTCGACCTGATCAAGAAGTTCTTCTCCACCCACCCCGACTTCAAGGTTCTATTCGACGGTCTTCACGGTGTCACTGGTCCCTATGGAAAGGCCATCTTCGAGGAGGAGCTTGGTCTCAGCAACTCCATCCAGAACTGCGTGCCCAGCCCTGATTTCAACGGCGGCCACCCCGATCCTAACCTCACCTACGCCCACTCTCTGGTCGAAGTTGTTGACAAGAACAACATTCCCTTTGGTGCCGCCTCCGATGGTGACGGCGACCGAAACATGATCTACGGTGCCAACGCCTTTGTCTCTCCTGGTGACTCTCTGGCCATTATCGCTCACCACGCCAACCTCATTCCATACTTCAAGAAGCACGGTGTCAACGGTCTTGCTCGATCTATGCCCACCAGCGGTGCCGTTGATCTTGTTGCCAAGGCCCAGGGTCTCGACTGCTACGAGGTCCCTACCGGCTGGAAGTTCTTCTGTGCTCTCTTCGACGCTAAGAAGCTCTCCATCTGCGGTGAGGAGAGTTTCGGCACTGGCAGTGACCACATCCGTGAGAAGGATGGTCTCTGGGCTGTGATCGCCTGGCTCAACATCATTGCCGGCGTCGGTGTCCAAAACCCTGATGTTACTCCTTCAATCAAGGAGATCCAGAAAGAGTTCTGGACCAAGTACGGACGTACTTTCTTCACCCGCTACGACTACGAGGACGTCGACTCAGAAGGTGCCAACAAGGTCGTTGGCGAGCTCGAGAAGCTCGTTGCCGACTCTAACTTTGTAGGCAGCACTATTGAGGGTAAGTGACTCCTTGGCTTCGCGTAACAATACAAGCTAACTCCTCTTAGGTCGCAAGGTCACCAAGGCTGGCAACTTCTCTTACACCGATCTCGACGGCTCTGTAGCCTCCAAACAGGGTCTGTACGCCGGCTTCTCATCCGGTAGCCGTATCGTTGTTCGCCTTTCCGGCACTGGCTCATCTGGAGCCACCATCCGACTATACATCGAGCAGCACACCGATGACCCCTCCAAGTATGAGCTAGATGCTCAGGATTTCCTCAAGGAAGAAGTCAAGTTTGCCACCGAGCTCCTCAAGTTCAAGGAGCACGTTGGCCGTGACGAGCCTGATGTCAAGACCTAAAGGGGGTGCGTAATGATTTGTGTTTTGGACTGAGAAGCAAAAGAGACGGATGCAAGCTTGAGATAATTCTGAGATTCTGAAATTGTTATCGCATACAACAATATTGACAAACTGAGCGTTCTTGAAACTACCAACCAATAAACTAGAAAACAGAGGATGTGGTCTGTGAAAGAAAGGGGCACAAGTTTGTGTTAATGCCAAAACGTGAAAATGCATCCTTTGATATCATATCGTTATTTGGAAAGCACAAAATGAGCCCGTGAACTGACCATAAAGCAAATGGGCTGCAATAGATATCGTACAATCTGGTTCCCGCCACCTGAACTTAATATTAAAAAGATAAATCATTATTCGTAAATCGTCAAACTGTTATTTCTCTCATCGGGCGCCGGCGCTGGAAGGTCTCGAATAGAAGTAAAAGGCTGTATCAGCCAATATGTAATGGAATAGAGGAATGCAGGAGGTTTCGCTGATTAGATTATAGATCGCAGTTTCAAAAGGCGCTGTTGGTTATATATCGCCCTTAAGCTGTCGACTCTGTCAATGTGCTCTCGTCGGTGAGCATGGGAGCAAAGAGCTCTTTAAAGCGTTTGGCCGCTATGTTGGGTGTAAGATGGATGGTATCATATGCTCAATGGGATGAGTAACTGACCTTCTTCACTAATAAAGCGGATTTCGAATGCCCCTGCGCGGTTAATTCGCTGGTTTTGCTGTCGGTATTCTTGGCAGAAGACATAGAGCTGAATGTCGTCAAGGCGAACTCTGGTTTTGCTGACTCTCTTGATCCATTTCGGAGAGGCAGATTGATGTGTGACTACAACACGAATTAGCGTACTGCTTGATCAATGGTGGAGATAGTGAATGTTATAGCGTACCGAATGCTGTCCAGACGGGACACTGTCGAAGATCGCCGTCCCATACTGCAGCGTGAAGGCGAAGGCCCTTGGTCACAAAGTCCTCGTAGACGATCAAAGAATGCATGAACCCATCATCCACGATTCGACTATTATCATCATTATTAGAGAAAACTCGCGAGATAATCAAGGCGTCACTTACGCTTGGAATAGCTTGCGTTCACCCCAAAGGGTCAAGTCTTCCGTTGCGACCTGAACCGTTCGACTGTTGCGGGCTTTGAATGACAGGAAGCAGCAGTATACGAGAACCAATTCTGGATATATTAGCAACCCTGTTATTGCCTTTCTTACAACTGGTAACAACTCACCTTCCCAGGTCAAGAAGCAAAGATTGGCCCATCTCTTGGCGCATTGCTCATTATCACTCCATTGCCAGAACTGGAGGCTGCTCCCATTGCGTTCGACGCAGAGCTCATGTGCACCACGAAGGGAAAACCATGGAGTTCCCATGTGGAATGTTCGCAGAAGAAAGTAGGGGCTGTTGTCTCGTCCACTTTCATAGACTATTAGATTTATCTGGCGCTCATTGAATGAACTGGTTTTGTCAGTTTCTGTTGTCATCTACACATTATCGTCTTGGTCTTACCGAATGAAGAGAACCCTCGCATCGCTTGGCATTCGGACTTGTTCCCAAGGGACATGCGGACCCCATACTTTTGACCTATTTATCATGTCAGTACTAGAAGAATGTTGACCTTGTAGACGGGGGACTCACGACTGCTGATGCTTGAGGGCGGTTCGAGAAGGGAGGGGTAGAGAGAAGATCTTTTCTGCCCAGTGGACATTCTATTACAGGGTTAGAAGACAGTTTAAGACTACACATCGGATCTAAACTGACTGTTCCAATACCCGAGTCATCATCCAATACAGCCTCGGGTCGAATCGCAGAGTTCTTGCGAATAGGAGGAGGAGCTGCTCCCAATCAGTATTGATTTGATCCGAGCGTAGACATAGGTATACTTACGAATACCCCTAGCCTCCCTAAGTTTCATCAATTGGAGTCTAGTAGTTTCCATAGTGTTGAAGTCGAAGTTTGGTGTTCTTGGCTAACAGTGAGTCTTAGGTTCCTAACTACTGATGGAAGGGCAGAACCTACCTTAATAGTAACTCTCGCAGCATTGACAGGAAACGGTTGTACAACATGAATCGTTGAGGCAGCGAGAGACCTTCTGCCTCTTGCGTCATGGAGTGGTACATCTTCCGCCATCGATTCTCCTTGGTGAGAGTCCTGTCTTCGTAGTACGAGGTGATGTCCCGCAAGGATCTGGACAGGCAGGGAAGTAGAATCTCAAGATAGTCCAGCACGACAGGGACGCGGGAGAAGTGTACGTTGGAGTACTCGGCCAGTTCGCGGAGCCATTGGGCTGATATCCTGATCTCCTCCATGAGAATCAACAGATGGGAGTGGGTGCCCTCGGACAGGGCATGGCGAAGTCCTACAAGTTGAATTGCAACGCAGTCTGCTCTTTCGGCCTCCAGGCAACATCCCTGGAGGAGGTGTAGCTCAAGTTGTCCGCCCAGAACCATCTCCATCACGAGAGGTAGTAGGTGTATAAGAAGGCGTAGATATATTTCATCACATAACGAGAAGGTCCGCGGTTGACTTGCTTACCCTCCTCTGTCTTTGGTCTTGTCTTTGGAATACTTTTGTGGTCGTCTTATGAATCGAAGTGATGGATCGAGACTGTTGTATGCGGTGAGGGAATCGACGATGATGGGTAGTAGTGGGGTAGTTACTGTGAATCGGTGCTACGAGGTGGTGATGGACAGATGGTACAGATAACCGACCACAATGACCAATTGTGATTAATTCTTATGAATTCGAATTCACAGAATAAACCAAGAACAGTTTCAAGAATCGAGCGAGGGTATCAGGTTAATAATAGACTAGAAGAGGAGGGGGAAGACGGGGTGATCTGCAGGCGATTCAATAACGTGTGATCGGTGATCCGGGGAATGGAAGTCGAACTCGTTCAACACCATAAGAGAGGTGCACCCGCACCAGTCCGACCATACGCATGGTCTTCCTTGACGTGGGTTGTGTGCACGGTTCTCACCCTGAGCCTTGAGTGAGCCCATCAGGTAGATGCACGTAATGAGGAGGCTCTTTTGGGGGAGACTACAGAATCCAAAGTAAGGCCATACAAGGGACACCACCTGATGGTCAGATGCCGACGATATCTGCGGCAGACATACATAAAAACATATCGCAGTATTATCAAACCTCCGCATCACGTTGGGCGTATCTGTCTTGATGAAACCACAAATACACCCAAACCCAACACGATGCAGAGTCAAAGCGAATGAGGCATTGGGTGTCTCCCCCCAACTTCTCAGGCGCTGCCACGATAGCAAGCATGCCTTGACATGACGCCAGCCCAATGCATGCTCTCGAGTCTCGAGCTAGATTGGGGAAAATGGAGGGGGTGGACAGCAGCCCAAAGATGGCCCATTCCCAGAACAAAGCGAGCGAAGCTACGAACGAACTAGAAACCATCCATCCACTGACAGTCGACCTGCGACGTATTGATTGCTGCGATGGCGACTGCGACGGTCACGGCGACCCTAGACGTGCATCCGCGCGCGGGATGTGGACTTTGTTGTTGTGGAGAAATCTGACGATGCTGGGGGGTTTAGTTTATTAGTATGACCTCGTGCTCATACAAACATTGTCATTGCTATGGATCTCCACTTCAACAGTTTGATGAGGCTCAGCTGATATGATAGACACTTATCGTTACCTATCTCCAGATTCAATGGTTTAGACGACGTTGCACGTGCTTCCCTTACCTATTGATTATTCTGCTGCGAGTGGCCGCTCTTGATGCTACTGGTAACGTGGTTCCTCTGAACGATGCCCAACAAGCACTATCATGATCATGGTTGGATCATGAGAGGTGAGGCTGTCGAACTGGTTGGCCTCGGGTTTGGGGAGAATTCCCGGGGTAAGATGCACATTGTGTATATTGATGCTCTCATTGTACATCGAACAAGACCTGTGCAAGGCCTTGATATTACGGTTTATATGAATTGCACAGTTTAATTCGACCTTTTGTATCAGCCAGCATTGGGTGGAATTGGGTACAATAATCCCGGATTCCCCCTCCTCCTCATATTCCTTCTCTTTTAGATGTCGCCATCATCACTAGCCACCGGCAGCCACTTCAGATTGAGAGCAAGCCACAATGACATTTTTAGTTTAAAGCTTCTTGCATAGGCCAGAGATCGGCTGCCATACCAAGACTATCACAGAATACAGACGCGGAACTGTTGATGTTTTTATACGTTCAATTATTTATGCCGAAGCTCCCTAGCTTATAGATAGCATCTCGTTTGTTCGTCCCATGACCATCAGAATCTATCATCAGATTCTTTTAGTCAAAGACGCCCGTGGGAGATTGCAGCTCAACCGGCCACGCTCTGGGTCATAAAAACATGTGGAACGACCTGTACCATTGAATATCCCTAATAAAAAAACAAGGCACTTCTTCCCGTGCCATCATACAACACCACCTAGACCGAAATACATAGAAGACATCTCGAGCAGGAGAATCTGCAACACGGCGCTGAAGTGCTGAGACTAGTCCGATTCATATTTCGTCTTCTGCGAGCGACGCTTGGGTTTGACATCAGGTTCTCCTTTCTAAGAAGACTCCTCTTCCTCCTGCTCGGCCTTCGAGGTGTTAGTTTATCGTTGCCAAGTGGTTCTGGATATTAACTTACGTTGTAAGCCTGCTTCTCGTCCTCGTAACGCTTCTTGTCCGCAGCGGCCTTGGACTCATAAGGAGCGCGTTGCTTCTCGTTGAGGGCCTTCCATCGCTCACCGAGGAGCTTGCCGACCTGACCGAAAGAGATACCGGGGTTCTCCTCACGGACGTTCTCGCGCTGCTCGTTGGCGAAGAACATGTAAGCGGAGAGACCGCGCTTGGGGGCGTTGGGGTCTAGGCCAGTTAGCAGTGCTCAGCATGAGAATTTGGGGTCGCAACTTGCGAAGCTACGCACTCCGTGTAGACGCTTCTACACGAAGGCACGTAGATACAAGAACAACCCGCGATGGATCGAGAACTTACCCTTCTTGGCACGCTTGGCCTTCTCACCGGTCTTGCGCTTTCCAGCAGCGGCCTTAGGCATCTTGAATGTGTTCTATAATGAATGGTGAGCAACTAATATGATCCAGAGTTGGGCGGCGAGTGATGCGAGGAGTGTGATTTTTAATGGATAGCAGGAGTTGGGGGTGCGGTCGCAGAATTAATCGCGGTGCCAGTGATGGAGGGGTAGCTCGAGGGGAGCTAGGAGCTGAGCTTGGAGGGATGAATGATTAAGGTAGTGTGTTGAGGCGCAAACGCAATTGTGCTTTCCAACGCGTGGAAAATCGCGTTGATTGACAGTAAAAATGTGTCGTGGAGGGTTGTGCATACCTTGGAGATTTATTTAAAAACAAAGGGTATGTGGTTGTGATGTAATCTGCAATGCGCTTCTGTTAGCTATTAAGCTGTTACGCTACAAGGTGAAGATGATGCGATGCGCAGGACCAGACGTGATGCAGCTTGCACTTGAGCAACCTTTGAAGGCGATAATTTTTTTAAAAATCGGATTAAAGAGGTTGATGCAAGGCAAGTGAGGCAGTCAAACGCAATAAAAAAGGTAATGCGTTGTTGTGTTTGGTGTTTTGGTGCTGGGTGCGCGATGCATATAGGATAGATAGGATAGGACAGTACTCACCACGAAGATGTGTCGAGGCGTGTTGAGTGTAGAGACGAATTTGGGTGGGAGAATTGTATGGGAGAAAAGAGAGAGAGGAGTGTAAGGTATGGGGAGGGCCAAGGCAGCCTTTTTACTATGGGGGAGTGATTGAGAGTGATTGTGCGTGGGGAGGGAGCGCGGCCTGCCTAGCTACCACACTTGGACTGTTATGCAGTGGGCTGGGCTGGGCTAAGGTGAGAGAGAACTGGCTCCAGCTCTCCTCCTCTCTTGGTGCCTTCCGCTTCCCCCCTTCCTCTTCCCCTTGAGAAAAAAATTGGGTGCGCATTTTACTCTACTGCGGTGCTTGGGTGCTTGGATGCTTGGGAGCTTGCCCGCCCCGTAGGTGTGCACTAGTACTGTCGCAGCGGACTGGACGGTCTGTACCTGTACCGCACCTGCCTTGGGCTATTTTCTCCCTCTGGGCCTGCTGCTGGGGAGTCCGCACCTGCCTCCGACCACTCACCAGCGTCTAAGCCGGTGGTCCTTTCCAGTCTTGCCCAGTCCTGCTGCTATTGTTGTATGGTTCTGTACGGGTACAAGCCTCAAGCAGCCCGCCGCGCCGAGGTACAGTACAAAGGCCTTGTACCGCATCGCGACTGTCGCTATTCACACAGTATACCTGTGCCTCTAGGAGATGACGAGAGCACTCGCAACCAAGCCCCTCTCTGCTCTCTGCTCTGTGCTTTGTTGTGTGTGCTGTGCTCTGGTCTTTGATTATGGTACGGATACGGATACATCTTGCTCCAATCACTCGGAATCACATCAGACACGCTTACAAGTTGAGACTCTTTGCTTGAGGCTCTCTCTACCTATTGCTCAGTCGCCAGTCAACAGGCTCAATTCAGCGGGTTTAGCCATGTTCTGTTCTCTGGGTGATACTGTACCATGCCGTAGCTTCCATTTGCCTGCCTACCAGCACCTTCCTTCCTCTCTGCTCTGCGACTTGTTCTTTCTTTTTGGCTTCACATCATCTCCGTCTCCCCTTCCCCTTCCCCTACCCTTCCCAGTCACCTCCACCTCCACCTCTCTGAGGCCGCTATGCTTCATCAATCAATCTCCATCGGACCCGACTTGAAGTCGCGCTCACCACTACCACTACCTCACACTACTTACACCCTCCTCCCTGCTCCTTGCTCATGTTCACGCCATTCGGTCTCTACCACTATCATGCTCTACGTATTTTGTACTGTAGTATGTACCTACTTGTGCCACACCATTCGTTGTCCGCCGTGTACAAACACCATGGCTTGCTTCTACTCCGTACATACTTTACTGCGTGCGGCGGACTGCTCTGGTAGAATAAGCAAAAAACACGGACTCCACGGAGTACTTACACGCTTAACTAATTCCAACTCTATGGCGTCCAGTTCCTCCTTCACTAACATGGACGCCACGCCTCCTGTTATTCGCCTGTCCCTTCTCTAATCGTCTTCGACATGACATATCATCAGTCCCTCAAGCTTGAGCCTTCTCCAGGGAGGAGGACTCGACTTGAAACGCGGCTGGTCGCTTCTTCACTCCCGCACATAACTCGTCTTCTGGCAGAAAAGTGGCTCTCTCCAATCGCTGCACCAAACGACCAACGTCCGAACGGGGAGGCTGGTCAATCCATCACGAATGTGTTGCTAATACAAAGTTTGGCGCTGTTCTAGCGGAGCCAACCTCACCTTACTCTAAAATAGGGAATATCACTGTCGCACTCTGACAAGACACTTGTAATGGTGGGAACGGATCCAGTCATCGTTCTCCCAACATTGACATGAGTGCCAGCAACCGGGCAACCAACTGCAATATCCCGTTTCCGGTTCGTCTTTATTCCCAGCTCGTTCGTTATCCGGCTTGAGAGGCGTGAGCCTTGAGGGATTGTCCTCTATAAACCCCAGCGCTAAGACTATTCACTGTGCCTCCAAGACAATCTCGGGCTGTGTTTTACTTCGCTATCCTTCACCCCTGCCTGACCCCAAGACCACTGCTTCACGCATACCAACATGACAACCATACAACAATGCATCATCATCCATGTGTACATCGTACCTGGTTTGGCGCTACCTTGAGACATTGGTACATATCACTTACGCGACTCTGATAGCCAAGAACAATGAACCATGTCGATGGAGCAGGCGAAACAGTTTGGTTCTAAATGGTGACTGCGCAACCCTCGTTTACTTCCTTCTCTGGCTGCTTACTCAATGATCTCCATGCCTCATTTGTCTTTCCCACTTCTCATGTTCCGGTCAACAGGTGACTTTCAGTCAACCCGAGGGCTGTGGGTAGTCTTTCGTCAGTTCTAGACCACTTTCATTGACATCCTACTCCGTAGATGGAGCAACAATGTGCGGCAGGGTGCGGTACTTTAGCCGTGCGTGATCAACATGTACTGTCATACGAAATTTTCATGTACAGGTACTTAGACATGCGTACCCTGTCATCTCTGGATGCTTGCCTCCTCGCATGGTCATCCCTTTGTCCTTCATTACATCAAAGCAAGGAGCTGGAGGACTTTCCCGAGTAGAGGATATTCCGATTGTCCGCCTTTTCAACCTGCTTCTCACCAATGACCTATACCATTAATACGCGCCCAGATAAAGGTTGACTACGTAGTACACGTTGATCTTTTAGTAGAGGTCTGGGCAAAGTTACAGTCGCCTCCCATACTACGGTACTTCTCACTCGAGAGTACCTATGCAAGGACACAATACGGTCATAGCTTCCGCAACTGAAGGGTTGGTGTTGTGTGTCAGTCAGTGTATCACCAAGGACGGCCGACTTGTATCCTTGTTCAAGCAAAATCTGCGAACGAGACAGACTTCGCTCATATGTGCATCATTGGTGATCTGCATCATTGAGAATCAGTGATGAAACAAAGCTACAGGTAGTTACAGTATCGGTGGTTTTACTCGAATTATTCAGCAAAAATAAATATACAGGCAGCAAGGGAAGCAACCAGTCGCAAAACACGCGGAAAGGTACCTCATGACGCATACCCCATCTGCGGACATGGCGGGTACCACAAGTTGTGTCTACACAGGCTGTTGTAAATTGGGGCTTGGTCGACGGTAGCAGCAGAGCAGAGCGACAGCCTAGACTACCAGTCAGTGCCGGGCTACGGACTCAAGAGCACTAGGCAAAGGCAAGCAAGTAAAAGCACCCGGCGGTTGCGGCTTTGCCGAGCGTGCCTGGTCGCGCCGGACCAAAACAAGGTGCAAAAGGCACGCCGTTAAGTGGTCCAGGAGAGAGGTACCAGTAGAGACTTGCAGCGGGTACGCGACACACCTGTCTTTGGGTGGTCATGTAGTCCTCCTGGCACCTGATACTGTGCTGTACCTAGGCGCCGAGCCGACTCTGGGCTCACGCCAAAGCTCAGGACGGGGAGCTCAGCGTTCCCCCGCCCAAACCTATTCTCTGTGTCCCTCTCCACTCGCTCTTCTTGTCTGCTTTTCCTGATCACCCCTTTTGTTTTCCCGCCACTCGATTTTTATACTGGGTTTCTGGCGTGTTGATCCGTTCCCGTTTGTCCCCCTTCTTGGTTGGGCATTTGCCCTGCGTTGATGTGCTTTAGGGTAGCCCAAAACACAATGGTTTCTCAGTTTCAGTCTTGAGAAACCATTAAAAGCTCTCTTAATATATCATATATTCACATATATATATAAGGCAAATGATTAGCTATTCTGGTATTATTGTATAATAGTTATTCGCTTTCATTATTGCTTATTTAGTGTTGTTCGTGACCTGGTGCACTACTGAGACGAGTGATCCAAACACCACTTTGGATCGCTGCCCAACATGAGACACTAATAATGGAATCCGATTTTGTTCGGCGTGTCGATCAGAACCAGAATAAGGCAAATCCGATGCAAATATTACTGATTGCCAAGGCAGACTTCATGGGCTGGTAATACGCTTCCCTTACACAAAGTCTTCCTCTGTTCATATACGGATACTGCAATATTATTTCGTTCATGAGTTCACTTCAAGATTGCCAAGATATATCACGTGGTAGCTATGAGATGGTCATAGCTCCCTGCAGCTACTAAGCTCCATCAGGAACTCATGGTGAAATCATGGAAACCGTGTGTTGGGACCAGCGAATTGTTCCAGCTCGAGGGCGAGGATGACTGCTGAGAGAAACTTGAAACCTGGGACCTGCATGTTGTTCAGGGACACATGTAAACGGTGCGTCGCTAGTTGAAAGCATGACCATCTCTTCTGCCCCCTTGTTAAAAACCTGTGCTTGCGTTCCTCCTGGTTGAGGATCACGCGTTGTCTCCACGACGGGAGATCTCATGAGTGCCGTTCTCACCATAGTAGTACGTATATTTTCGAGCGGGACGGGACGGGAGTTGCCTTTGATTATTAGTTACCGCTCATACGGGCCAGAATGTTGGTCAACTCATAATTGAACCGCAAGAAAGCAAGCAAGTTGTCGTAGAATTGACATGAACAAGTCAAATGTAATTGTATTATGCCTCGGTCTCAGGATCAAGCACAACATCTCTTAGTTCATCATCCTGCACCCAGTCAACGCCACTACCAACAATTATACCAGCAGCCACACCTTTCATAACTCTCCATCTCTGCTTGCTCGCCTTGACACCCGTCTCAAGCTTCTCTTGCTCCTGCGCCATCTTAGAGTCGCCTGGAGGAACCATCTTCTTCAGCTTTGCTTGTTCTGCTAGATCAAAGAGCTCAGCAGCCGAGGAGACGTTCTGTCGGGATTTGCGTAGTGTATCGCTTTGCGTGGTTGTCAATGCCTTCCACTTCTTGTTAGTCTCAGCGGCCTGCTTGGCAACTGCGATAGAAGCATCGTCTCTGCGCTCAATGTAAGGTAAAAGCTCGCTGGTAAATGTTAGTGAATAGTCACGTAAGTAGAATTGAAGGACGAACCGCTCGATGGATGTTGCTCCTGTTCCACTGTGTACGGTCCTGAGAATGGGATTGGCCGTCAGAACGGCCTCAGTTACGTCGTTTCTGAGAACATATTTTGCCCTTGTCTCTTGAAGGTCTGTTTGGGCCTTTTGAACTTCCTCTTCGGTAAATGACACGGCTTCATCTGGGGAATGTAAGCATTTACGGTAGTAATTGCATGTAAAAAAAAAAAACTCTACCTGGTTGATGAGATTGCTGCGCGTTTATAATGGCGATTTCTAGTCGAAGCTCTTGTATTCGATCATATAGTGCGAGGATCCTCTCTTCGTCTTCTGAAATGGGCAGATAGGCCGCTTCGTTATACCCATCAACCATAGGAGTATCGTTTGAGTCTGCCATTTTGATCCTGGGCTTAATGTAGCTTTTCAACCAGTAAACCCTCCTTTGCTTTGCCTTGACCTCACAGACGCGTTACGACTTTGGTGATGAATGTTAATGGGATCGTGGCCGTGCTATGTGGCTGTTGCCATGTGGCGCCTCCACCAATAGAATACTGCCTGTCACAAGGCACCGGTCACGCTAACGCCAGGCTCTCATGGTCTATCAACGTCGGTGGATCTTTCGTCACGCGAAAGATAATCCTATCATTTGGTCATCCAACATCAGTTTTGCCATTTTAGTTCAGGTGATTATATCGTATTTCTACTGAAGTATCCCCTTCTCTTTTCCCGGTCGCACATTGCGGCAGAGTTTTGATTAGGAGATGTCTCGGGATGGCTCTTCAGGTGTTGATAGCCCATACGGGCCTGCGGCTGGAAGTCGATACTACACAGTTCTCCATGTAAGATCCACGAACGAGTTACCGAGATACCATCGACTAACTCGAGCGCAGCCTCGATGATCTCAAGGCCTTGGTTTCCAAAAAGACCTCGATCCCACCACAGCATATTGTCGCCTTGACCCCTCATGGTCGAAGCGTCAAGTTTACCAGTCTACATACAGAGGTTTGTCATCCAACCAGAGATAAGACGTTTCTGACTGTGATCCAGAAAGAGATTTTCATCTATGATATACGAATAAGCTCTCCCGGGAATGCGAACCTCATTACCCCCGTCACATCGCCAAAACGATATATAACTCCGAATGCGCCGAATACGATCAACGATGTACAGTCAATATCATCATGGCAGGAGCTATACAAAGAACGTCGAAACTGGGCGATGCATCTTGCGGAGGACTGCGGACAGATGAATACGGCCACCCTGGCGCGGTACAGCGAGATAGATGTCATCATAAAATGCTTGGACGCTGCTGTCGCGAATCTCGAAATTAGCATCAAGCAAATCGAGCCCAAATACAACGACCTGAAGAAATGGGTGACACCTGCATTGGAAGAGCATGGAAGCCTGGTGGAAAGATGGGAGCAGTATCTTGATCTCGCGAAGAATACATCGATTTCACCATCCATGGTCAAGTTTATGACACAACGAGAGACAAGCAAGTCAAATCCAACCTTGGAGGACCTTATCGAACTCGACACCGCGAAGAAGGCAGGGAAATTGGCCCCAACCGCCCATCGAAGGTTCAGCGACAAAGCCGACCAACTCAGCAATGCGGCATCCCAGATGTACAGGAGCTTGGAATCACTGATTGGCGATTTTGAGAAGCTCATGAGTCGCTCTGCTCTCAGCCATAGTACAGATTCTGCTCAGCTTCTTGAAGATATCGAGGCAGTGGTGAAGCAGATAGATTCTGACTATCGGGCAGCACTCGGATACGGCAACACGCAACGAGATGTAGCGCAAGCGTCCAAGACGGCTTCAGTGCATACGGAGCATCTGGTACCGACTCTTAAGAAGAGGGTTAAAGAGATGGATGAGCTACTTCACTATGCAACAGATGCGCGAAACTCGATCGCTTCGGAATCAGCAAAATTCATGCGATATGTTACCGAGATAACATCCCTACACAGCAACGTTAAGAGTCAAATTAATATACTGAACCAGTCCGAAGACGATATGACAACATTCGATTACCTCCGGCTTATTCACCAGCTTCCTTACATGTATGCAGCTTTCGTCACAGAAGCAGTTCGACGTCGTGAATGGGTCGACAAAGTCAAGACGGATTCTTCTACACTGGCAAACGAGATGGCCTTATTCCAGGACGAAGAGTACAAGAGACGGCGCAAGTGGCAAAAAATGATAGGCAGCACGTATGGACCCGACTTGGATACGAATGTTATAGGTCTCGAGGTCAACTTGCTCGGAGAAGATACACCCTGGCCAGTCGTAACCAAAGAGGACCTGGCAGATTTCGTCCGAGCACTGCAAGAACAACCTGTTGATCAGAATGTCTTGGACGACATTGTGAAGCTTGTGCAGGAGCTCGATAACCCAACAAAACAGCAATCTAAACGACTCAAGGCGTTCAAGAATGGGAGCATACATGAGGCAGCGCTTGGCAGGAGTGGTCTTATGATTCGAGGGGACGACGATCTACTGCAATCATTGCAGGAGGACAAGGGCAAATTAGAAAACAAACTCAAGACTGCCGAAAGTCGAGTACGTCGTTTGGAGGATTTACTTCATCGACAGAGCCAAGCCAGCCGTCCTGGCAATCTTTTCCAACCACAAGGCCCCCAGCAACGAGAGAGAGGTAACTCTGGATCATCCATCAGGTCAAGCCGTTTTGATGACCGTAGACGATCCTCGGATGGAATTGATCCCCTGATGCGACGCATTACTCAACTGGAGAACGAGCTACGAGAAGAAAAACAAAGGTCCAGCCGCCTCCAGCAGGAGCTCACATCTCAATCAAATCATCATGAGAATATTAAAGGTCAGCACGAAGACTTGAAAGGCCAACATGAGAATCTGAAAGGTCAGATTGCGGAAGTTAACACTACCAAACAAGATCTACTCGAAAATATGGAGGCACTCGAGCGCGAGTTCGTTGAAGAGCGCAAGAACCTAGAGAGCGAAATCAAGACTCTCCGAGCTCGCCTGGAGGACACCGAAGACGAGATCGAGCAGTTCGATGAATCTAGACAACACGAGAAAGCCGGATACGTCGTAAGAGTGGAGGAATTGGAGGCCGAGCTCGAGCAAATCAACAAGCAGCGACAGGACGACGCTCTCAAAGCGCAAGGCCAGGTTGAGTTCTTGCGAAAGGAAACCAGAATCCAAAGAGAGCAGCAAGAGGCCCTCGAGCAAAGAATGCAGTCTGCACAGGAAGAAAACCAGAACGTTTCGAGGAAGCTGAGTGTTGCCGAGGAGAGTTTAAATGATCATTGGCAAACCCTGAGAAATCTTTTTACCGAGCTTTCGCCCGATGTTGCCGTGCCGGATAACCTGGTAGACATTTCAGACACACTACTTACAAGAGCCGGCACGCTTTCCGAGAAAGTACGAAACTCGGAAACAGACATTGATTTGCTAAAATCACAAGTTGATCACTTCACAGCGATTGTTACGGAACTTCGTGAACAGATTGCGAAGAAAGACTCCAAGCTTACCGAGGATGAAATGGCAACGGTTCATCTGAGAGAAAACCTCGCTGAGGAAAAGGCAAAGGTGTCTGCTCTTGAACAAGAGCTCGCCGATGGGAGACAACAACTCACCGAGTTGCGCGCTAAGCTCAGTGATGGCGAAACTGGCCCCGAAGCTCTGCAGACAAGATTAGAAGACGAGGAGAAGAAGGTGATGACCTTGACAGAGGAGGTGGCCTCCAAGCAATCTCAAGTCGGCAGCCTAGAGGAAGAACTTCGCATGTTCCAGGAGAAGGTTGAAACTCTCCAGGGCAAGATGACCAGCCTGAACAGCCAATATGAGCATCGGGATGAGAAGACCAAGGACTTAACACAACGCCTCTACTCCCAAAACGACCGCATGTGCCGTTTGCTGGAACGCGTTGGATTTGCCATTTCCAGAAAAGATGGGGACATGACTGTGGCGAAGATTCCACGATCAGAGAGAAATGCTCAGAACCCTAACGACTCATCAGACCCGGGCTCGTCACTCCGCAAGTCGAGTACGCTTAGCCGTGTCTTGGGTGATAGTGCTGATCTCGATCTGCTCTATTGGCTTAACAACTCCGACATGCAGGCTGAGGACGAAAAGTATGCAGCTTTCATGAACAGTCTTGGCAATTTCGATGTTGAACTGTTCTCCGAAACCATCTACCGCAGGATTAAAGAGGTTGAACACATGGCCCGCAAATGGCAAAGAGAATCGCGGTCATACAGAGAGAAGGCGCATATTCTGCAGAAGGATTCGCATGAGAAGATTGCGTTCAAGCACTTCAAGGAGGGAGATCTGGCTTTGTTCCTGCCCACCCGCAATCAACAGGCCGGTGCATGGGCTGCCTTCAATGTGGGCTTCCCACACTATTTCCTTCGCGAGCAAGATGCTCATCGCTTGCGTCACCGAGAGTGGCTTGTTGCTCGTATCTCTCGAATTCAAGAACGAGTGGTAGACCTTTCTAAGAGCCTCCAGCCGAGCAGCGAGACGGAATCTATCAACGACGAGGAGAACGATAACCCGTTCCAGCTCTCGGACGGTTTACGGTGGTATTTGATCGATGCTTTTGAAGACAAACCCGGTGCCCCCTCGACCCCTGGGATGGGCAAGTCGACTGTCGCGGCTAATACGGTGGAAGCGACAGCCAATATTCATGGTACGGGTGGAAAGGGTAAGAGCCGGGACAGCGTCACTAGTATTGAAGGTATTAACAAGACTTTATCCAAGAGTCTTGAGAGCAGGCGTAGCAGTACCAACTCCAAGAAGGCCCTTCCATTTCAGCTTGGAGGCACAGCTTTGTTGAAGAACAGTGCTTTGGCCAGCGAGACCAATTCACTTCGAGCGCACCCTACGGACTCACCCTCTGGCACGAGCCCCACGCAGGGAGGGCATCTCGCGGCTACCAGTGCTAGCCTTCCACAGAGAGTTTCTGCAGAAGAACCAAAAGGCGAGCTAGCGGAAAGCACGAGCAAACTACCTTCTGACGAGCCATCAACTCAAGATAATGGCGCCAAAACGGACGAGGTACGGAATGTTGATACCCTTTTCGGACCATGAGATAGGTTGCTGACGGGTAGTTGGCAGCCTCGGAATTTTGTGCAACGAGAGGATTCGGCTGAGAGCCCAACAAAGAAGTCGGTTGTGTGGGATTCATTGTGGAGTGTTGACTATAACTATGAGAGCGGAGGTAGAAAGTAGTCCGAGGTGGTTGGCCGTATCTGGTCTGATGCGAACAAACTTTTCTTTCGTCTTAGGGGTCTTTATTATGGGAAGCGATGGGGTTTCTTTGTGTATGGCGTATCAACGGTGTGCTGGCAAATGGGGAATTGGATTCTAGGAGTATTCAGGGTTCTAAACGAAGGGGAAACAAGAGAAGGTATATGGAATACAGGTTAAGACGAGGAGTATTAGGTCGACATTTCAGCATACAATATAATTTTCAATTCATGACACTAGGTGACAAATGTTGAACATGTCAGGTTATAGTTTGCTCTATATTGACTGTTGACTACATGAACTTGGGAGATGGCAACGTGTAAGTGAAGCTGTCAGTGACGTCAGCCTTTTGATTGGCCGAATTCAACTAACAAACCATTAGCTAAATGCTCTTGAATCACTCAACCATATAACTTGTAAGTGGAATTGCGAATACCAATAAGCAACAATGTCCTTGAAGACACGGCCAGATTTGCGATGTGCTCTGGCTCCAAAACTGATCAACCATATCATCGAATCCGTCCTGCCTGGGTCCTCTAGACAACTAGGTACTTAAACGTCACAAGGACCCCGCGCGAAGGTTTCGGGAGATTTGACAAATGACAAGATAGAGGGGTTTGCTTGTCTCGGGGATTACCCGGCATTGAGCCTCCGCGATGCGCCTACAGATAGACATATGGGGAGGGTGGCGGTGGTTAATGTCCTTATAGATATTACTGTTACTTAAGGGGCATTGTCGTCGCAGTACATCGTTTATAAAGCTGGAGTTTTCAAGTTGAGCTACATTCGTGTCATGGAATAACTAGAGTCTAAGGATATATCTGGGGTATCAAAGTAAGCATACCTAATAAAGTGCAACCTCAAGTCCTCCTTTGAAAAAAACCCCGCATAATCCTAGCAATGATGGACATTACGGATGCAACGGAAACAAACATCAAACGTGCTGCAGCCGCGAGCCGCCGGGTAGTTTCTATGCCTCTTGAGCACATCCAATCGTCCTGGAAGATCGGTCGGTGGTCAGCAGCGCAAAGGTTTGAATGGCCGAAGGCTATTTTCCCGCCGAGGCAGTTCCTAAGAGAGCCCCCCGGGCCCCTGTACCCTGAGGTGACCTCCATAGGTACCAGGCGGGGAATTTACAGGGCTACGCTGACTCGTCGACTCGCTGTTTTATTCCCTGTCCACCTGCCCAAAACGGGGTGGACTTTTCCCCCCCTTCTCTTCCTTAGTTAACTTGGTAGGTGCCTAGGTAAGGCTAGTTACTGCGCAAGACCCTCCGGTTTCGGTTTCTTCCAGAAAACCCGGGCTCCATGGGCAATTGGATGTGCCCCCCGTGTTTTCCCCCGGCCGTTGCAGTTTTGTAGCTGCTGTCCAGTACTGGAGTTAGCGGGATTGTGGATGTGTGGATGCTTCCATCTCCAGACCAGACCAGACCATTTCTCGATTTCTGTTACCTACTCGCTCCCCGTGCGCTGTTTAGACGTCCACCTTTCCACGTTCCACCCTCCAAAATATACCAACCTACTTGAATTTATTTACCCAGCGTGACTTTTTGGTTCTGACTCTAACTCTGACTCTGACTTTGCCATGGTCGATCTGCTGCAACGTACTATTCTCTTAACCATTGAGAGCTAATCCACAGCCAACAAGACAAGACAAGCATAGACAAACCATCGCATTCGCTACCAAGACATGCTCATGCTCGCAAGCCACCATCCTGCTGTGACTGCTTGACCCGTCCGACACGCGCTTATTCCTCATTGTTCCTCTCCTCTGCTCTCGCGGACTCCAAATCCCGACTCTTCCGAGCCCACGGTTCGGCAAGTTGCAACTGGTGAAAATGCCCGAGAAACCGACCTCGGTCGTGTCATACGCTGCTGGTGCCTCTCTCGCCGCGGCTGCGCTCATCTACGTCTTTGCGCCAAACTTCTCCATCGACCACGATCCGACAAGCTCCAAGAAAAAATCTATCGTTGGCTTGAAAAACCAAGCCAATGATTGCTTCATCAACTCGGTTCTCCAGGCCCTCGCCGGCTTGGGAGAATTGCGCATATATCTGATCCGCGAGACCCACCGCCGCCGTATCGAAGACCCTGCCGTATATGCCAGTCTCGTCCAGCCAGAGGGCAAGGAGATCGCTCAATGGAAGCTCCAGGGTCTACAAGAAGGGCTTGTCACACAAGGACTGAAAGAGATGCTGGATGCGCTTAATGAGCGCCCCATCTACAAGAAGTCCATCTCGCCGTTCCAGTTCGTCAAGGTTCTGGAGGTCGCTTTTAAACAAAGGATCAGTCGCCAACAACAAGATGCGCAAGAGTTTCTCCAAATTGTCGCCGAGCGTCTTAAGGACGAATATCACTGCGGCCAACGAGCGAGACTACATGTGCGCAGACGAGGCCTCTTCCCGACTCCCAGTCCCAGTGACCCAAGCGTCGATAAGACGCCAGAATCCCAGGTCAATGGCAAGGACGGCGACGAGGCCTCACCGGAACAGCAACCTACAACGAACGGTGATAACGACTCAGCTATCGAACCTTCCGAAGAAACCGAGATTCCCCAGATCAACGGCCAGCTACCTTTAGAACTCGAGGAGGGCTTCCCCATGGAGGGAAAGTATGAGTCGAGCCTCGAGTGCCAGACATGCCGCTACAAGACCAAGCCCAGAGAGGAGACTTTCTGCACCATAACCTTGGCTGTACCCCAAGTGTCAGGCACAACACTGAATGCTTGTTTCGACGGCATATTCAAAACCGAGTATATCGACGACTTCAAGTGTGAAATGTGCCGATTGCTACAGACAAAATCCGACTTGGAAGCCGAGATGGCCAAGTCGACCTCAGACCATTTCAAGGCGCAAGCCAAGGAAAACATCGAAAAGCTCCAGTATGCCATTGACACGGATCCCGAGAATCCTCCGGAAGACGTCGAGCTTGGGGACATCCGGTTTGCGCCAAAGAGAAGGATCGCAAAGACGACCCGAATGTCCATATTCCCAAAGATCTTGGCTATCCACCTCTCCCGTTCCATCTACGATGTGGGACAAATAACACAGAAGAACTCCGCCAAGGTGGTCTTCCCGGAACAGCTACCGCTAGGAGGCTTGATGGATCAAAAGAAGTACAAGCTGCTTGGTCTGGTAACTCACCGTGGCGGTCACAACAGTGGTCATTACGAAGCGTTCCGACGACAGAACCTCGCCGCGCCCTTCTCCAACCACAATACCTTCCAGGCCTCCGAAGCATTTAGCAAGACGCCAACACCTATAGGGACCCCCGTGCTGGGAGGCAGACCAACGCACAGCCCTGCAATTTCCACCCCCGATCTCCTCTCCGCCTCGTCTGGCAACTCATCGACGCCTTCTTTAGAATCTCTGCCTATCCCACCTAGGAGTGTACCGGCAGACCTGCGTGGCGCAGTGAGCCTGCCTGTCATCGGCAAGCAGAAAGACCCCGAAACCAGCAGCCTTCGCTCGGTCGCGGCGTCGACAAAGTCGGCACTCTCCAAACTCACGTCGCCCAAGCAGACCAACAGCAGCTCATCAACCCCTGGACCCGTCATGTCCAACGTCTCAAAACGATCCAAGAAGCGAAAGCCGTCATCAGATAAGTGGTGGCGCGTCAACGACGAGAAGGTCAAGGAGGCAAAGACCAGCGAAGTCTTGGGCATGCAGAGGGAGGTCTATTTGCTCTTTTACGAGCTCGACAAAGATGCTTAGATGACTGGTCCGATCAGGGGAACTGGCGGATCATGTGTGATATACTGTTCTTGCTATACTTCGCACATATCTTATGGAGGGGAATCTTTTCATCTTCACTTGTCCATTTGCATAGGGAGGGCGTTTTCAAGTCACAGTCGTGGGAGTTTCATTGCATTTAGATTCCGTGGGGTTTTTCATACAGGTCTTGAACGAAGCCGTCCATCACTTGGGTAGAGAGAGGAGTTGATGAAGGAGACGATCTATGTAAAGATAAAGAGCAGCTATACATCACCACGTGAGCGCTTTTAGAGACAAGAACATAAATATAACTCGCACATAAATAATGAGACTCGGATGACAATGTGTTTTAGGTGTTTGTGTATAAATGCGTGTGAGATATCTTGACGGGACCTCAAATAGCCTCTCGATAACCAGACAACATTCGCTGCTATTCTTCAGCTATCCTTGAGTGACCAAAATAGCACAACTACAAAGGGTTGACTGATATCCATGAATACCTTATTGACGATACCTGAATAGGCTTTTGTTTCCCATGAAGGTTAACTAATAGTTCAAACAACTGACTTCATTCCTTAACCAATCACAACTTCACAACGAATGAGTCAGCATATTATGCTACAGCCCGGGGATTTAATATGTCCTTATATCACAACATTGCCGTTGATGATTGGATAAGTTGCTACATGATAGCTGCACTTCTATCTGGCCATATATTTCCTGCCTGTTAAAACCGCCACCTTCCACCCTTCCGAGTATATCTTGGCGAGACCGGCAACTCATATTAGTTTAGCTGCCTGGGCGAATATTACTGCGGGTCTGACGCGCGATCAGGAAGTGGCTATCCCCAATCCTTCGGCTGGACCTCGAAGCAGCAACCAACTGTCAAATACATCAGGTATATGGTAAATCTTATCTCATGAGCCAATTCTCTTAAGAATGTTGCGGCTGAAGAGTAAAGCCTCGATACATATCACCCAAGAGGTTCTCATCAAGGTCGGATTGTATCAGACTGACCACATAATTCATTCCATCTTTTCCACCTCTCATATAACACGGTAACTTGCCCAAAATGGCCGTTATCTCGCGACGCACAAAGCGTCGTTTACGATCTATCGCTATCCTCCTCCTCATCTGCACCTTCATAATCTACTCTATTCTCCCTCACGATTCAGCTATACGCCTGGCTCTTGTCTTCAATGTCTCGCGCTTCTTCAACTTCCTGCGCGGCACGGCAACAGATAAAGACGCATGGCTTTGGAAATCACCACGGTATACCGTTGATCTGAAGAAAGATGTGGGATATCTGATCAAAACAGGCTATGGAACGCGTCACCGAGTGGCCGAGCAGATAGCTGCCTTTAAGGCAACTGGGGGCTACCTTGGAAAAGAAGGCGAGAGTTTCCTCGTTGTGGGAGATTGGACGACAGTAAATCAGACAGATGCGGACTTGATAGGCGTGACAGTGCACGATGCTATCAAGAGAGTCATGGAAACCAAGATCAGAGGTAAGGTGGATGGCTATCCCAGGCTGGTCAAGTATAGAAGCCTTCAAGCAAGTCTCCAAGCAGGAGACGAGGATGTGGCTTTGAAAATCGGGCAAAGCTATGGGTGGGAGCTCGATGCGCTCAAGGTATGTCCCATATAACAACTCAATTGTCCATATCGCTAACAGAGATAGTTCATCATGGGTATGGAGATGATATATCATGAGCTGCCTGGTAAAAAGTGGTACATCATATTGGATGATGACACCTTCTTGATTAGACCATCTTTGGAGCTTCTCATGAGCCATATTGATTACCGGAAGCCCCAGTATATTGGCAATGCAGTAGGCGACTACAAGGCGCGCTTCGGACATGGAGGATCTGGCATTCTGATCTCCGGAGAAGCAATGCGCCGCTTGTTTGAGCATCCGGGCATCGTACAGGAAGCATATGCCGAGTCCATGACCGAGACATGGGGGGACCGGCTGGTAGCAACGACGTTACAGAAGCTGGGGATCTACATCGAGGAGGCGTATAATCATCACTTTAACGGTGAGCCTCCGTCAATCACGCGGATCTGGGGTGATCGGTTCTGTTCGCCCCTGGTTTCTTTCCACGGCCTTCGAAAACCCGGTGAGATGCGCCGAGTCGGTGAGACACTGGCAACGAGAGAGCAGCCGGTGCTATGGCGCGACGTCTGGCAGCTTTTCGGAGGGTCAGCCATATCGGCGCTTGAGAGCCGGCGGACTGAGTTGACGGCGGATCATGTGGGCAAGCCGGACGAGCACACCCGCTCGTGGGGCGACGTCAGGAGTGCCAATGCTTGTCAAAAGCGCTGTGAACAAAGCGGTCGACGCTGCTTGGCATGGACATATGAGATGGAGATTGAGAGGTGCCACACAAGTCCTTGGCTGCTACTGGGGGCGGACGGCGCTACAGGCAAGGCATCGGGGGTGAACTGGCCCCAGGTGAAGCCACTGCTGAACAGCTGCAGAAAATAAGACGTCTCTTCAGTGATAGAGAATGTAATCAGGATCTTCATTGACGAACTCTGATATCATGTTTGCTGAGTATATTCAACTGACTCTGAAGGGAAAAAAGGAAACATCATTGTAAAGGGTGAGTTAGCTGTCTCATGGCGTCTTTTCCCGGGGCTTCTTTCCGGGCTAATACATGTAATATCATATCATTTACCATATTATATCATGTATCATCATGGCACGCCCCCTTGAGCCTCATATTTGTTCCCACTCACAGTTAGACTGAAGGAGGCGCCTTATTGGAACGCATCCGAGAACTAGCGACTCGAGAGCCGACCGCTATTAACAATCGGTGTGGAGAGAAAACCGGATCGTGGATAGGCATCCGTACTGCGATACCTTCTCTGCACACGCACTCCGTAGTAAGGTAGCGAAGGAGTTAAGTTAGGGGGGGGGGGGGGGCTGAGCCAGCAAGCAGCGGTAAAGCCAATGCTAAAGCCAAAGCCCAAAGGTTCCAGTAATCCGGGAACTAATGGTAGGCGAGAGGGAGCATTTTACCAGGAAGGCGAGGTAGTGAGATGTGCAAAGGAGACCCGGTTGGCTAGACATCTCCCCCTTGTTGACGGCTTTCGCTCGCTTGCGCTTCCCGTCGCGTCTGTCAGCCGGGATTGACTTTGACAACAAGGAGGGTGACTGCCATTGCCGTTGCCCACTTGTACCTGTTGGTACAGTCCAGTATTAGCACAGGTCTATCCGTAGAGGAGGATCCGCTGCGGTAAGGTGGGATCCAAGTGGATAGAACAGTTGTCAACGAACCCAACCCTGGCAGCCTGGCTTGAGGGTGTGGAGGTTCGTCTCGCTTGTACGGGACCTTGCCGCTCAGGGTAGCCATCAGTAGTGTGTACGGGTACAGCCAGGAAACTAAAACACTGGCAGAGCAAACTGTCGGGTTAAGACATATATTCGTCTTGCTGTGCTATGGTTCACGCAGGACTAGGATCTCCTTTGGGCTTCCTGTCTCCTAGTTAGGCATTGGTCTTCTCGAGATGGAACAAGACAAGGTCGCACAGAGAGCAGGGGTATTGTATGGTGGTGAAATTGGAAGAGGGGGGAAATGACATTGAAATATCTTAAGATTGGGGAGTGGGCAACGGCAAGATTTGCAATTGTCCGTAGCCTGGCCTGGTCTGGCGGATACCTACCTACAGTATCCGTACTCCGCGAGGCACTTGTGAGAACGGCCAGCTAAAAAAAGAGGAAATAGGGGATAGATACCCTCTTGGTAATATGACGATATAACAGATGAAAAGCAATATTCGGATAATCTTGCTCAGCATGGAGTAGCTTAGCTTGACATGAGTTTCAGGATGCGATGCTTGATGGAGTGAAGACGGAGATGGTGATGATTATTCTCCAAATAGATATAAGTGGATAAGGTTGTACTTCGTACTTGCTCTTATTCCCTTAACCCGAGCAAAATGGAAAGCCTAAAGGAAGGTGCGGTAGTTGGCTTTTGGTTCTTTCCACTTGCTGGACGGGTTCGAGCGAGCGAGCATCGTCTGGTTGGTACCTCGCATTAGCGTACTCCAGTGAAGCCTTAGAAGCCAAGCAGAGTCTCTTAGGGGCCGGGCTGTGGGGTTCCGTGGCTTGCGGGGGCTAATACCTAAACATGAATGATGACAGTTTTGGAGAAACTCGGCTCGACACTGGACGAGAAAGGATACGGATACGCAAATCAGAGGATACCCTAATGGTTTAGTTTTACACTATCCGTACACTATCATGGCGGTCTATGTTTATAGCAAGGAGGAAAGAGAGAACAAATGGATAGATAATCAATCATTAGGCCCTGAATGACCTACAGCGAGTGCCTTATTACCTTTCAGGTCTAGTCCAAGCGTGAATCTCAGTCGATAAACTCACACTCACTGCTCTCCAGTTGTGAGTGTCGAGGCATCAATGAGATAGGGGTGTCTTCAGCCAACGTTAAGGCTCAATGCTCAATGCTCAGTGCTCAAGGCTAAAGGCTCAAGACGGGACGAGAACCTTGCATCCGCTAGACCTTGAGTGGCACACAATCAAGCACAAGCACAGTTGCCGCCCGCCCTGTATCGAGCTCAAGTCGGGATTGCCCAGGTCGCATAACGTACCCAGCTCAGGTATGTGCATATGCAAGTCAATACTGTAAGTTCTCATGTTGGTGTCGGTGCTCGCTTGTGCTACGTGCATTCATCCATTCATCAATCCATCCATCCATCCAAAGCTTGGTTGTCGAGTGCAATGCTAAGTTGGTGTTGCCAAGAATATCTACTTCTTACCCCTTATGCATATCTGTTCATGTCCTTTCAGCATATACATAACATAACACAACTCATTACTGTCAGCTAAGGCTTGAATATACTCTGCCAAGTCCACCTGGCACCTGGTCTTCACCCTCCATGCTATAACCTTGCTCGGTTACATAGTACGCCTCATTAGCAGGGTTGGGTAATTATTCCACAGAGCCCCGGGAGCTTCTACAGTGCTTCCAGAATTGCCAATTATCGAGATCTTGCTAGGCGAGTCGAGGAAGAAATGGGGAGGAAAAAGAAAATCTCGTTAATGGGTAGTAGCCGACTGAGTGGACGATGATCATATGCATGTGAGATGCACATAAGATTCAGAACTGCTATGAACCATGCATACAGGGAATGTCACTTCTCTAAGCCTTTTGAAGCCTTTGAAATTCGGAGGCCTTTAGGACATCAGACAGAGTACTCCCATTACTTGTCGTTGGAGAAAAGAAAGACACGATTGTGCTTGTTATTTGATACACATGCTTCCAGCTTAATCAAGTGCAGCCAACCTGGAGCTACTATTATTCCGTGTGGCTGATTTGCTGCATATCCGTAGTTTATCTGGAAGGCGGCTATCATTCTTATCCTGTCAAAGAAGATAAGGTACTTATGTATCTGGACCAGGGACACCAGAAATTCGAACTTTATCATCAACTCGACATAGCACCAACTTTTGTTTGCTTGTACCTCGAGTACTTCATCAAAGTAGTCCTTTCAATAAGCGAGAGACCCTTATCCTGTAGCCAAGCAGCATCTACAACTCATGTATGCTAGCGACCTCTGCCTTCAACTAGATCTAGGTACTCTCACTCTTAGCATTAGGTACCTACTTCTCGCCTCCAGTTCGTTTACGAACCCGTTCCATTTGTTGCATAACATAAGTTTTCGACTTTAGACTTTTGACGCAGGCTCCTCACTGGGCGAAGCTTGCGCCGCGCTTGTTCGTCGAGTATCGAATGGATCATCCTGTACATATGGATATCAGCCTACAAAGCCCGGCTCGTCTCCACTAGAAACTACAATTTACTGGGACCTGACGGCCAACACCAACACCACCACCACGGTCACCACTCCCACCACCACTACTACCACGCGGCAACCAGGCAGGGGGCGATCCAGTTATTCTGGCTATAGTGCATTCTACTCTACTGTATCGTATTGTATGGTATTGTACCTGTACTGGAAAGGTGACTTCGATGCTTGACGACGGCAGCAGCTCAGCTATTTCCCGTCTGTCCCCGATCTTGGAGCTCGAAACTTAGTCCTCGCTTCCGATCCCGCCTCTTTGGACCCCTGGGATTCGCCATCGTCTTCAACGTCTGCTGCTCGTTCAGCGCGTCGCCTGTTGCTCGTTGGTCTTGGCCCAGTCCACCATCGTGACTTTTGCCTGGCTTTCCCAGTGAAAGTTGCATCGCAGCGCAGTCGCAGTCGCAGTCGCATCGTGTCGCGGCCCCCTGGTCCCGGAGTCTGCCCCTCTTGCACGCCTTTTCTCCCCCTGCCACGCCCTGGCTGCTCTTTGATCTTCCTTGCCCAGCGCCAACACCTCGTCTTCCTCAGTGACCCAGGGTCGCGTCCCCTGGTCGGTTCTGGTTCTTCCTGACTTTGCTTTGAGGCTCCATAAAAATTTCTAATTAAAAAACAACATGGCTCAAGACGACCGTGGACAGAGTCACGGCGACTCTCCCAATAATCCTTCAGTCTCTGCTCCAACATCGACGTCTCCTTCTCTAGCTCCTATCATCGCACCCGTCACCGCTCCTCCAGCTTCCGTCGCAAGTACTGGGTCCGTGAACACTACTGCCGCCGCCGCCGACACGAGACTCCCGCCCATCACCGCGATCGCTTCGGCGCCCTTCACGCCTGTAGACCGCCCGGCCGCCTCGACGACAACTGTAGCTCTAAGCTCTGCACCGACAACCGCCGAATCCGACTCACCCGCTGTCCATTCTCTTCCCGCGCCGACTCCTTCGCCAGCCTCGGCTCCTGCTGTTTCAGCCTCTGCCGCTCCGCCCGTGGTCTCTCAGCAGAACGGCGACAGCAGGGCCCCCGAGGCTGCTTCAACACCCGCGTCCAAGCCGGAAATGTCCAACCACCACCCGGGAATGCCTCATGGTCAGCCTGTAAGCTACCCGGGCTCCTCGACGCATTACGCGTCCTCGATCGGTGCGACAACCGCCCAGTATGGCTCTTATCCCGCCGTGACGAGCCAGCCGCCCGAGCCATACCGACCCAGTCCTATGCCAATTGGTAGCAATATGTCACTACCTAGCATGAGGACAATCGAGAACCCACATGGACCATCAGTGTCAAACCCACAGGGTATGCAGATGAATATGCCTATGGCGCCTGTGCCAAACAATATGCCATTCTATGGGCATCAAGGCATGCAGATGGGTGCAGGCTACGGTATTTCTGACCCAATGGCTCGTTATGCACTTCCTCATGATCCGCGACTTTTGGGGCCTAGGGGGCCGAAAAAGGTGTGTTAAGCTTGAGCTAGGGCCTTGTTCTGATAGGTTCTGGCTAGCCCAAGGTATGGCAAGGATTTAAGGCTGACTGTGGGTGTAGGAGATCAAACGTCGGACAAAGACAGGTTGTCTGACTTGCAGGAAACGTCGAATCAAGGTAAGCCGTGATTTCGTACTCAATTCCTTTTTGCAGCTTATGGTCTCGACACGTGGGACGGGACGCGATGCTGCAAGAGGATTATGTGAAAAGGAGGCTGCGGCGAATGCATGCCATGGCTAGCAAGCCAGAGCCGGGCCATCCAGATTGATGTAATTCATCATGTTTGCGATATTCTGCAGACTTGGTTGTTTGCAGAGGAGCTACAGCGAAGCGAGCAAGACTCACATTCACGTAGCGCTCTGTGGTCCATGTTCTCCTACGTAATTCCTCTCTGTATCCGCGATTACCCGCGCCCAAGCTCGCTCAACGCCTTTGGCGAAATGACCTGCCCTGGAATTCTGAAGTTTCTCGAAGTTCCAGAAGCTTTGCAGAGCTTGCTATTGGTCGCGCTTGTTTCATTGTGCACCTCAGCTGCACAACCCCTCCCTACCTATTTCTGGCCTACTTCCTGTGGAGTTAGCACCCCCGCCCAACACCCAGCTCTAACATCTTCTAGTGTGACGAGACACACCCGACTTGCAACAACTGCAAGAAGTCAAAGCGTGACTGCCTTGGTTACGATCCTATTTTCCGACAACAAGCAGGTGGCCAGTCTTCTTCCAACATTCAACCGGCACCCAGCCAGAGGACTCCGCCAACAGTTCCAAGCTCCGTGCCTTCGAGTGTGCCTTCGTCAATAGCATCAAACCCTGCTCTGACCGCCCGGCCTACCAACTCATACGGCAGCCAGCCGTCGATGCTCCCAAGCTCTTACGCGACAGTTCACGCGACCACGGCCAGCCCCAACCCGTCTCTTACCTCGCTTAGCTACGACTCGAGTTTCTCCAACGTTGCATCGCCCCCCGTCAAGTCAGAACCGACATACGAGTACCCGTCCGCAATCGATCCAGCCCTTCAAGGATTCTCGTCAGCCTCACACGCAGAAAGCTCAAGAGCGGTTGAACAAAGGCCTCTGGCTGAAAGCAACCAAAATCTTAGAGGTGGCGCCCCCTACTATTGATATTGCCCTTGTTCGTCGTTTACTGCGCTGCTGTTGAGAACATCTGCTTACGCGTGTTTTTGACAGCCAACAAAATGAAGATCGGTGAGATTATTGACCTCTTGGGCTCTGTTCCGCCGCCCCAAGACATCGCCCATACGGAGGAAACGTTCAATGAAATCACAAAGGTCTATCATGAAATGTACGCACCTGGACTCAGTTCTTTCTTTGAGTCAGGATGGTACTACCTGACTGAAAACGGGAAGATGTCATTTCCCAGAAACCAGCGTCTAGTGGAGTTAATGGCGTCTTTTTTGAAGACCTTGGAAGCCGTGAAAGCCAACGATCATACCCAGATGGCTTACTCGGGCATTCTTGAGACACGGCTCGTGTGGGAGCTTGCTCAAGCAGTGTATGATACCCCTGCTGCGGCCACTGCCATCAATACCACGACGCTCCCACGCGAAGGTGATGCTAAGGAGACCCAAAGCCGTGTCAAAGTTGTCGAAGCACTTTTATGCGGAGATTATTTGACATCCAATCCGCTCTCTCCACCAGTCTCTGACACTGACGATTCTCGAACCCGCCAATTTGATTTCTGGTACTCTCTGGGCCAGTTCATACTCACACGAGAGAACCCCAATTCTTCGACTGCGGTCAAGGCCAGGGAGGAGGTACTCACAAGAATGCGTTATCTTCTAGATGGTTGCGAAAACCGTGATGTACTTTATTCGGTTGCTGTTGTCCGAGAGCTTGCTCCTTACTTCGACTCTCCATATGGCACATCTGCCGCCCAATACGTCGATGAAACCGACCCCCAGAACCGACTTTCAGTTGCGTCCAAATTCATTTTCGACGAATCCCAGTTACCAGGCGGGACAACCAACGTGGTGCGACGGATCAGTGACATCGCACATAGAGCCTTCGTCAACCCCGGCGTGAACATTGCTCGACGAACCTAATCAAACAACATGGGCACTTTGGGATACATGTTACTACTTCTGTTACTCAAACCTCGGCTACAGCCGTTCTTTCCTTTGTCATTCAACACACTTTGGCCACCTGGCCTTGCAATACATTTTCCTAACAAAAGCACTGTTTATCGATACAAAGCGGGCTGTCGTTCGTTGCATCTTCTGGGCATTGCGAGGGGTTCATTAAAAGTTCATTATTGGTGTTTGCTTTCAAACGGCGTTTTTTTCTCCGAAGGGGTATAGTGAGGCATTGTCTTTTTTTATTCCCCCGAAGTTCAAAGCGACTGAATCAATTGGTTCTGGTCCGGAGTTTACAGAAACTGAAACCTTGACCTCTATGGTCAAATGTATACCTTAATGCTCCTGTGATTTAGCAGTGAGGGAGAAGAAGAAGAAGAAGAGATATAGAGTTCGGCATTACCAAGGAGACCGGTAGAGGCTTATCACGGAATGGATTCTAAAGGGACCAAGAGGTAGCAAGGCGCGAGCAAGGAGCTTCTGCAGTGCCTTAGGCACACTATTGTAATGTGCTGTTGGCATTGTTTGGGTCTGTGAGCTGAAAGTGTGTGAGGATTAGACTAATAAAGGAGCGGCTTGGTCACAATTTGACAGAGCATTGCTGATTAAGACCCTGATTGGAAGCATCCTTTGCAACTGGCCATTGACTATTAGTCTGATCTGCATACTGGCCTGTCTACGCTATTACTTGGGAGGAGACTCAACATACAATAATGTTTTAACATAATTAATACTACTTAATGCATCACTGCAAATCAATACTACTATAAGCCTGAATTCTTTAGATTAGGAACTTGAGGTATCATTGTGGAGATGTACGTTGCTACAGCACTGTCACCCGCTCGCTATGCGAAGCTAAGCAGCATGATCGATAAGATACTTGTGAATATCGGATTACACACAGTTACGAATTCATGGACTCGATATCATTTCTCTGGACCAGAATCGCTATAGTACAAGCCCCCATTCTATTAATGCTTTTTGCTGCCCTCTTAGCGCCCTTCATAGCCAAACTCCATGAAGAGGACTTTTGCAAATCGGTAGGGCGTGGTCCGCTTCCGAAGGCGCTATTGCGTGACTCACTTCAACACCGGCCTATATGCCAAAGTAAGTAGGTAAAGTCAGCATTACTTTCTCGTGTTGATGGGCCTATGTATGGATCAAAACTGCCGTGCCTTGCATCCGACTTTGTGACTGTGTTGACTCACTCTTGCAGAAGCATATAAGTCGTACTTGCTACCCACTCGACAGATTCATCCTAATATTAACATCCACGATGGCTCAACCTACAATGCTGTCCTCGCCTTCACCACCCAGCGAAGAGCAGGGTACAATACTCGTCGAAACGGAGCGGCTTATAATCCGTCGTTACTTGGTCTCTGATGCAGCTGCCTTGTCCCAAGCTGCCAATAACAAAAACATCGCTGTCAACATGCGCAACACTTTTCCTTCACCTTACAAGCTCTCTGACGCGGAGAACTTCCTCACCAACATAGCATGCAAGCCAGAGGGCACATCATACCCCTACCACAATGGCATCTTTCTCAAACCTAACACGCCCGAGAACCCGTCACCAGAGCCGGTCTTCGTCGGCTCCGTGGGAGTTATTCCTAGGAAGGACATCTACTTCCGTGTCTGGGAGATGGGCTACTGGTTGGCTGAGGAGGCTTGGGGTAAGGGCTATGCGACTGAAGCTTTCGGAGCCTTTGTGAGGTGGTGCTTTCAGACATGGCCCAAGTTGAACAGGATCGAGGCATCAGCCATGGAGCACAACACAGGAAGTCAGAATGTTTTGTCCAAGTGTGGTTTCATAAGAGAGGGAAAGAGGAGGGGTTCTGTTTTCAAGAATGGCGAGCTTATAGATGAAATTCAGTTCGGACTGTTAAGGGATGATCTATAGTAGAATATGGAAATAGAGGATGGGTGTGTAATTGCCAGATGTTCATAGATTGGCGCTGTGTAGGTACGCAGCGAATACATTCAGTAATACTCAAAGACTAATATCATCGAGATGTACTACCCGACCAAGCAATCTATATTCGTTTAGATACCTATCGTATCTGGTAGGCTCTGACTATTGTACTTATATAATTAACCAATTGAAAGTTATCCAGAGGGGCTACTGCATTGATTCGTCGAAGAAAATCTTAGTTCGTGGCGATTATGATATAGTCTTGAGTTTAACGAATAAATGACGCCTTGTTAGATGTTGAAGGAAGAATGGCAACACTAAATGGTCCAAGGGTGTAATTTGATTATTGTTGATAGCAGAGCCACTGATAGAGTTGAATAGGAGATTCAATACAGTATGGCTTTACCAATAATAAGTACTTATACTGAAAATGCCTTTCTTACAATATCTTGAGATGTGACTTTCATATTGAATCTCTCGGCCGAGTGATGTGATGGAATTAGCGACAATCGTCGCTCGCCTAGTGTAAAAATCAACGAGTAATGGTTGACCCCTCATTGGCTCTGACTGCCGCAATAATGATAGTCCGGCCCACCACCCAAGAGTAAAGCTCCGTTTCAACACAGATACCCGGACCGCAGCAGATGACGGCCACTATCACGAAGGCGAATTCCCCTCCATCAACTTGCCATTGACCTCGAGCCAGAGGCCCTCTCGGGAGACTCTACATATCTCGTCGCATTCACGGCCGCTCCCTCTCTGATCTGCTCCTTACACAATGGCTACTCTCCGACTCGCCAGCCGAGGCGCCAGGAGCCTGTGCATGCGGCCAGCAACATTCGCCGCCCGCCCTTTCTCGACCACCTGTCTGCGAAAGCACGCCGCCCCTGTCGAGACCGTTGGCACCAGGCTCGTGCCCGTTGACGAAGACTTCTCCGCTGAGGATTCATACGGCCTGTCCAAGCCCCGAACTGCCGGTACCCGAAAGTCGCGCGAGAACTCGGTTCAGGACCGAAAGGTTCGACACTACACAGTCAACTTCGGTCCCCAGCATCCCGCTGCCCACGGCGTGTTGCGTCTGATTCTCGAGCTCAATGGTGAAGAAATCGTCCGAGCCGATCCTCACGTCGGTCTGCTGCACCGAGGTACCGAGAAGTTGATCGAGTACAAGACATATCTCCAGGCTCTGCCCTACTTCGATCGACTCGATTATGTCTCCATGATGACCAATGAGCAGTGCTTCTCGCTCGCCGTGGAGAAGCTTCTCAACGTTGAAATTCCTGAGCGAGCAAAGTTCATCCGAACCCTGTTTGGCGAGATCACCCGTGTTCTCAACCATCTGATGTCCGTTCTCTCTCACGCTATGGATGTTGGTGCTTTGACACCTTTCCTGTGGGGTTTCGAGGAGCGTGAGAAGCTCATGGTAGGTTGTTGTCATGCGATTAAATGGCAATGGTAATTGACGTATTTTCCAGGAATTCTACGAGCGTGTTTCCGGTGCTCGTCTCCACGCTGCCTACGTTCGACCCGGTGGTGTCCACCAAGATATCCCCGTTGGTCTTCTCGACGATATTTACCAGTGGGCCACCCAGTTCGGCGACCGAATCGACGAGACCGAGGAGATGTTGACTGATAACCGTATCTGGATTGAGCGATTGAGAGGTGTTGGTGTTGTTCCTGCTGCGGAGGCTCTGAACCTCTCCTTCACCGGTGTCATGCTCCGAGGTTCCGGTATTCCCTTCGATATCCGCAAGAACCAGCCCTACGACGCTTACGACCAGGTTGAGTTCGATGTTCCCGTTGGAACCAACGGTGACTGTTACGACCGATACCTTTGCCGAATGGAGGAGTTCCGACAGTCCCTCCGTATTATCCACCAGTGCCTCAACAAGATGCCTGAGGGCCCTGTCCGTGTTGAGGATTACAAGGTCTCTCCTCCTCCCCGAGCTGCCATGAAGGAGAACATGGAGGCCCTTATCCACCACTTCCTGCTTTACACCAAGGGTTACGCAGTTCCCCCTGGTGAGACATACTCCGCGATTGAGGCCCCTAAGGGTGAGATGGGTGTCTACGTTGTCTCTGACGGCAGTGAGCGACCATACCGATGCCATATCCGCGCTCCCGGTTTTGCCCACTTGGGTGGTTTCGATCACGTCTCCAAGGGTCACTTGCTGGCTGATGCTGTGGCGGTTATTGGTACTATGGATTTGGTGTTCGGTAAGTCTTTCCACCTCTGCTTATTCACATAACAAACTCATGCTAACAATCTTTCCAGGTGAGGTCGATAGGTAAAGCACTGTGGAAAAGAAAGAAGATAGAATAGGGTTCTTTTGTATGTAATCATAGCTGATAGGGATACCACGGTAAATACTCCCCCGATGTCGTGTCTCAGAGCGAGAAGCGAGAAGCTATGCAGTGGTGATGTGCGGTAGTAAAGTAGCAATTCATCATTTTAGCTCCATTTGCTGGCCGGTTTCACCAGAGTGATTATTTACAGATCTAATCTTACAAAACTAAAGTACATAGATGGGCTGAGAGGATCGACGTAGTATTGTGGGTTTTTATAGCAGCTTGGTACCAGTGCCAGAAGCCTGTCCCATCAAGAAGCTCTTTAGAGGTCCCAGAGCATTGACGGCCCTGAGGCCAACCGAACGCAGCGGCACCAGAGGACCACTCTCGACGGCGTATAGTTTATGAAGCTTATCACAAACGTTCAGAATGATATGGTTGGCGGCATAACGCTCGCTGTTGTATGACTCTAGGGAGAGTTGAGTTCCCAGGTCCTGGCCATGAGAAACAGCATACTCAATAGTCTTGGCCAGACTCTGAGCATCCCCTTGACCTTGGTTCAAGCCTTGGCCAGCCAGGGGATGAATGGTATGCGCGGCGTCGCCAACAAGCGCAACACGCTCGCCGGTATAGGTATCGGCATGGCGCAACTTCAGGGGGAAAGATGCGATGCTGCCCTCCTGAACGCCGACAACGGTCTGAGGAAGCGCCTCGGCATCAACGCTGGTGTGCTGTAGACGCCAGGATAGCTCCTCGTCTTGGTTGTCTTGCTGAGTGTGCATAAATCCAATGTCGACAGGGCTCAAGCGGAAGGCGGCGTTGACCATGGCGATAAAGTCCTTGGGACTGAGACTCTTGAGAAGAGAAGCCTTTTCGGGTGTTGTAGACCAGACTAGCGTAGCAAACTTGCCAGGCATAGGTAGCATCGCAACAGGGCCCGTAGGCAGAAATCGCTGGTACGCGATCTTATTGAATTGGCCGCCCCAGCCCTCGCCTTCAAGCTCTAGTGTTGCGACAACACCGTGTCTACCATAGTCCCAGCCGCGGCTGTTGATGCCAGCAAAGGTACGCACCGGGCTATTCGCTCCGTCCGCACCTACGAGAAGTCGGGCAGCTAATGATTGACCACCCGAGAGTTGCACAACTGGCCATTCACTCAGGTCCAGCTCTTCAGTCTCCTTGCCCAGGCCGATACTCTCGACCTTTGTATTGTCAAAGACGTCCACTCCGCCAAGTTCGTTTAATCTCTTGAGTAGGCCAGATGTCAAGTTTAAATTTTCGGTCATGTAGGCAATTGTCTTGTCTCCCGTCGTATTGGGCGGCCAGTCGAACTCGATGCGGGCGCCTGTCACTCCATCCCATACTTGCATCTCCTGGTACTCCTGGACACGCCCACGTTGCAGATACCGCCATGCACCGATCTTGTCGAGATACTGGGCCGATGCGGGGGTGAGGGAGCTACATCGGTTGGAGAATTGGGTCGGAGGAAGTGAGAAAGAGGAGGTCTTATAGAGATCTTGGGCTTCGACAAGGGCGACTCGGAGACCGGCGGTAATGGGATTTGTCCCTAGCATGGAATTAGACGTTGAACTAGTTGAACAATAACGAGCAACTTACGCAGAGCAGTCAACAAGCTCAGACCAGCTGGACCGCCGCCAACACATACGACATCGTAGATGTTGTCTTGGGTGGAAGTGGAAGCCCGGCGCAGTTGAAACTGATACTGCCGAACACAGCTCCGGCAAACAAAGCCAGGCTTTCCGATGACTGATCTTCGGGCCAGCATTTCAATACTAGCCTAATTAGTCCAATCAAGTCCAATTCGTACGACAAAGCGAGTTGCGACAGTAAGAAACTTACAGTGTAGCAGAAGACCTTACTTGAAGTTCCTCAGACAAATCGTGCCGCCATCGTTCGATAGCTCGCGGGACAAGTGTGGCGTAGTGTGGCGCTCCACTATATAAGTCGGTAGCTTGATGTCAGAATTATCTACAGAGCAGCCATTATAACAAGCCTGTGTATATACAAAGTGCTGTGTTGAGTTATGCTAGTAGTACCCGAATCGATATTTTATAGAGCTCTTGGACGATTGTTCTTATACCTGGTTGGCAAGCTAAACCAACTCACTCGACTAACTATCCTGCTGACTTTGACGGAGTATATCTATTAAGGTACCTAACTTGCAACTTGGAGACATTCAACCTGCCTTTAGAGACCAGGTAGTTCCCGAGAAGGCTTGCGTTAGGGCCGAAGACGGAGGATGAATCCAGTCGATTTCTTTTCTTCATGTTATTCTTTGATCAATAACCTGTGATATACCTTTCCTCTTCCGAAACGTGATAGACGTACGGATATTGTCTTTGCCTTTCACAGTTTCATCCAAGTTTGGAGGGGTTTTACCAATAGAAATCCTCGAGACACGTTTGTGCGTATGGAAATCAAGGTTTGAAATTTCTGTTAATAATAGGAAATGCTGTTTTATTTCAGTTTCTTATGTAGGTACACCAATACTAAGTAAGTTGATAAGTCTGCCGCCTAAAATGACTACCTATCTTACAGTGACTAGAGTGACTGGGTAAAAGACGTTGGATCCACTTTGTACAGTCAAATGACAGGGGATTCGCGAACTTGATTTGAGTTGCCACAGACAACCACACTATTCATTTATCATTGCGTCAGGGGTCTCTCCCGCCTCCCGCGCCTGTCATCAACAGTTCAGTTCGCCTGTCAACCCAGAAAAGACCTTTTTCTTCACGATCCATCACCCCGCTGGAAGAATTTTGCTGTATTTTGTGGCCTTTTTTGTTAAAAACGGGTTCTGTGGATTTCTTTGTCGGAAGCTACCTACACCTTGCGACAGCATCCCAGGTAAAAACGTGGTTGCCTGCACCTCTTTGTTGATCTTGTTACAACCTTGTACCATCAAGCCCAAGCTTAAAACCTACAAAACGTGCGAGGTCCCCTAGCTGCGGCCTGCGCACATCCCAGTTTATCATATCCCTCTATGCTCTGAGTTTGTTCTCGCTTATCGCACTCTTGGTTAAGCTAAGCTCAACAATATGGCCGACGTTGACGACTATCTTGAGGAGGGCTTTGACCCACGCTCTGTCACCGTCCCACGCCTACGATCAATTCTCGTCACCCACAATGTCGAGTTTCCTGGCAACGCAAAGAAAGCCGACCTCGTCGAGCTGGTCAAAACATATGTCTTGTCCCAGGCTCCCGAACTTCGGGCCCGTCGCGCGCGCGCAAAAAGATCCAGCATGGGAATCGTGAACGCCGGAAGTGCTGAAGATAACGGCACCTGGGACGATCATGACTTGGCCCCTCCATCTACAATAAAAAAGCGATCAAAGTCCCCTCGCAAGGCATCCAGCCGAATTAAGATTGAGGATGATGTCCTTGCAACTCCAGCCCCCAGAAGCCCTACCAAACGCAGCACTCGATCAGTAAGCCGCGCGCTCTCACACTCTGACGAGCATGAAGTTTACGAGGCACCTCGGTCCATTCGCCAGGCGCGAAGAACCGTCACACCACAAATCAAATACGAACCCGAACCCGACCTGGAAGAGGAAGATGAGCAGGAGGAAGATGAGCAGGAGGAGACGATACTGCCCGATCATGAAGAAAGCGTCTTCACATATGATAACCCTTTCCAGAGTGGAAGCTCACCTGCTCAAAACAAGACTCCTACCAATCGTCGTCGTACAGGCGGCGGAGATTCTGTCAGAACTGTCAAGTCAACCTCCAGACGTCGAACTCAGGGGTTCCATGATGACTACGAAGAGCCCTACGCGCCCAATACTCCCAGATATCGTGAGCCGACTCCTGAGCTTCTTGAGCCTGGCGAAGAGTTTACGCCCAACGAACAATTAGAGTTGGAGGAAGCTGCAAGCAGGGGTGAAACAGCGATTGAACCTCGCCAACCTTCAAACCAGGTTGCTCGACGGGGCGGTTTCAAAGCTCCTCTATTCGTCCTTCTCATGTCTCTTTTCGGAGCCTACCTTGCTTGGTATCGCCAGGAAAAAATAGCTGTCGGTTATTGTGCTGTTGGTGGACAGGCACGCTCGTTGGTGTCGCCAGACATGCCTATTCCCGAAGCGCTTGTTCCGTTCATTGAGCCCCAGTGCGAGCCTTGCCCTTCTCATGCTTACTGCTATGGAGACTTTTCAGTCCGTTGCGAGAGCGGCTTCATCCTTAAGCCTCATCCTCTGTCTCTAGGAGGTCTGGTTCCCCTTCCTCCTACCTGCGAGCCTGATGGTGAGAAGGCGCGTCGCGTCAAGGCTGTGGCGGACAAGGCCATTGAGGAACTCAGAGAGCGACGAGCTCAATTTGAGTGTGGAGAGCTTGTTACTGAGGATGGACAAAAGAGCGACTCCCCTGCGATTCTTGAACACGAACTTAAGAAGACTGTTAGTCGCAAGCGCTCCAAGAGACTCAACGAGGATGAGTTCGACGAACTCTGGGCTGCTGCTATTGGCGAGGTTACAGCTAGAGACGAGGTTGAGGTCATCGATGCACCACCGTAAGTTCTTCTCACTTAAACCCCTAGCTTGCACATAAGTAGACTGCAGACATCATTATTTCAACCGTTTCTGACCATGAACTAACCAGATCCACCATCGACCCTACAGATCGTCCGATTCCTCCGATCTTCCAGGTCGACACCTTTCGTCCTCGTCTCTCGCTCGCCTTCCGCTCACCTGCGCGTTCAAACGATCGCTCCGACTCGGCGTGGCAAGATATCGACTCACAATTGGACTTTTGATCGCTTCCATCTTCGGTGTCTTGTACATGCGCGCCCGATACCGGAAGCATGTAGCTACGTCAGCGAAGGTCCCTGCTCTGGTCGACCAAGTGCTAGGCAGGCTTGCTAATCAGAAAGAGTTGGGTGAAGAGGGCATTGACGATCCTTGGCTGTTTTTGCCAAACTTGAGAGACGATGTTCTTCGAGCGGTTCACTCACTTTCTGAGCGAGAACGGATTTGGCAGAAGGTCCGGGTTGTGGTGGAACAAAACAGCAATGTTCGCACCGGCCAACGCGAGGGAAGAAGCGGCGAAGTTGGTCGTGCTTGGGAATGGATAGGCCCTGTTGCGGGCGAGGGTGCGAGACGGCGACGAAGTGGCCGAGTATCACTTGGTCCTGAGCTGCATAATGAGTCTCCAGATCTCTCAAAGGTGACCCCTGAGGTCAAGAAATGGGAAGAGCCAAGACCCATCTACTAATTATCATATTCGATGCTGTTTCATTGAGTTTCGTTCTCTACGCAATTCATAATTGTTATTTCCTTCCGGTTTCGGTGGCAAGTTGTTTTGGGTACAAATTTTGAAACCATGGAGCAAATGCCCTTGGGGTTGGCGTTAAGGCATGCAGGACTTTATTATGTACGATTATTTATGTATAACTGTACAATGATTTTGTATCAATACATATTTAGATATGTTATGTTACTGACACATGCATGTGACGTTCGGCACGAGTCAAAGTATTCAATTGCTCTTTTGGGATGAAGCAGTGGTACTGATTGCTCAAAACATTGGCTTCTGGATGGTTCAGGTGTGAAGGGAGAAGTCGTTGAATTGAAACTTTTTTGATAATATTTTGCGTTGCGCCGAGAATTTGCGATGTCGGAGATTCCGACCTTTCCCGACGAGCAATTTACAGCTCCGACAAACCCAATCGAACACAATCGACCCAAATCTCGACAAGATCTCACGGGCAACAGCTTTCCAGCAGTGAAGGAACTAGGGCCTTGATTGATTCGGCTAATGCACAGGTGTTGTTATGACACAAAGGGGGTACAAAGAAAAACCGGGGAATCTAGGGATCGAGACTCTAGCGGCATGTAATTATCTATTGGGCCTTGGAGGCAACGATCTCTGTAAAAACATGTTAGTGGTGTCAACGAAATGGAAGAAGCCGGTGGCGCGTACTCTCGATATCAGCAACACTCTGCTGGAGGATCTGCTGGAGGACCTTAGGGTTCTCGAGCTCCTTCTGGACCTTGGCGACAATAGACTGAGCGAGCTCCCTCTGCTGTCGCTGCTTGACCTGGCCCTCGTATCGGACCCAAGAGTCAAGAACAGTCTTGGCCTCGGCAGCCAGAGCAGTCTTCTGCTCAAGCTCGAAAGCCTCAGACTCTAGCTTGGCGGTCTCCTACAAAACACAACCATAATCAGCCTTTACCCTGATAAGCGTCCAACGGGCATTTCGGAATTACCTTGGAAACCTCAAACAGGCTCTTGGTGATCTCAACAACGCTGCCCATCTGCTTGACGTCCTCGATACGGCCCTTGACGGCCTCGGTGTGGTCGGCACGGGCGCTGTTAAGGATGTTCTTGATCTTGTTGTTCTGCGCCTCAGCCCACTCCTTGTAGGCAGGGCCACCATACTTGATCAGAGCACCCCAGACGGACAGAAGGGAGATGGCGATGATGGTCTCCTCGTTCATGACGTAGTACTCGCTGGAGATGGCATAGATGGAGAGACCAGCGGCGGAGCTCAGGATGGCGCTCTTGCTGAGGATGCTGTTACCGGGAAGGGCGTCGATGATGCTCTGGGCCTTCTTCTTGGGGTCCTCGGCGGGAACATTGCTGTTGTATCGCGCAGCGGCAACGGAGATGGCAGGGGCAGCTCGGCGGGCGAGGACGGGTCGGAGGAGGGGAGCGCCTACGTATAGGGAGTCAGCAAAGGTCGGCGGCGCACCAATTGAGGTCGAATTGGCTCCGAGTCGAGGGGTTCGAGATTTCTCAACGTACCGACGGCGCTTCGTGCCAAGCGTGACGCCATTGTGAGATAGTTCGTGATGGGGGTATCTGGGGCTTGTCGTTGATCGGAGAGCTGGAAGTGAGGTTGAGGTTTTATCGCGCTAGTTCGGCAACAATCAAAGCCACGTGACCCATATAATCGGAGGAAGATCTGAAGCGCCGGGATTTTGCCGCGAACATCATGGTTGCATTTGATTGGCCGAAATTTCAATGATCAAGAAAGATTTCGAGATTTTACTTTCAAGATCTCTAATGAAATAATAACCTTAAGACTCCCATCACAACAGGACTTTTTTCTAAATTTGATTTTCATTATACTTAAATCTATCTAACTAAACACCTAGTTCTCAGATATTGACTTTGGGAAAATGGCCAAAGCAGCTTCTGCTGAACGCGTCAAGCGCAAGAGACCTTCAACTCATGAGCAGCCCACCACCAAGCGACGAAGGTCATCAGCATCCAGCAATGAATCCGAGGACCCCAACGCCAAAATTCTTTTGATGGAGCAAGGAATTCTGGAGTCGAAGAAGAATTACAACGACATCACCGTTTTGCTCAGTACTGCCAATGATTTTAAAAATGAGAACCCAGAGAGCATGCTTGCCACAGTTGCCTTGTGTCGAATCTTTTTACGGCTGCTTGCTCAAGGCTCCTTGATCGCCAAGAAGACCCTGTCTGAGAAGGATCTTGTCGTTGTGGGGTGGCTCAAGGGCCAGTTTGGAGAGGTCAAGAAGACTCTTGTCACTCTTCTGCGGGACGAGGAGCTGGCCCCTACAGCGCTGACTTTGTGTATGAGAACACTCAAGGCCGAGGGCGAGTTCCTGTACGACAAGGACGAGTACACCTTTCCTCGGGCTTTTCTTAGAGAAATTTTGGCCGCGCTGTTTGAGAGCGAAAACGAGGACGTGATCAAGGCCTATGTCGAGGAGTTTGTGGAGCAGTACGATGACATTCGCTACTTTACTTTCAACTCTGTCAAGTAAGTTGCTTACACGTCTGATGGTGGGATCTTTTACTAACCAACCTCAGGCACGTTATCAAGCAAGATGAAGAAGAGCCCTCACCAGAGCTTTTTGATCGCTGTTTCGCCCTCTTGTCAGCTTTAGACGGTGTTCCAGAATCCGCTGATCAACTTGAGGACTTTTACGTCCCCAAGCCCAAGAAGAAGACTCATCCTCTCCGCAATGTTAACCAGCACAAGAAGCAAGGCCAGGAGGCATGGCTTACGCTAATGACCCTCGTGGACGAGGACAAGTCACGAAAGCGAATACTCGATATCATCTCGACTGTGATTGCCCCCTGGTTCACAAAACCCGAGTTACTTTCAGATTTCTTGACGGATTGCTACAACGGCGGCGGCTCCATGTCCCTCTTGGCTTTGTCTGGTGTCTTTTACTTGATCTCAGAGCGAAATCTCGACTACCCATCGTTTTACTCCAAGCTTTACTCCCTCCTTGACCGCGATATCCTTCACTCGAAGCACCGATCTAGATTCTTCCGTCTTCTGGACAGCTTCCTTGCCTCGACACATCTTCCTGCGGCCCTGGTGGCCAGCTTCATCAAGCGCCTTGCTCGTCTAGCATTGAATGCGCCCCCTGGAGCCATTGTCTTTGTAACACCTTGGATCTACAACTTGCTCAAGCGTCACCCGACATGCACATTCATGATTCACCGCGAGGTGCAAGATCCAGAGGCGAAGAAGTACATTGACGAGCATGGCGCCGAGGATCCTTTCCTCCCCGAAGAAACAGACCCTATGCAAACACAAGCAATTGACAGCTGTCTTTGGGAGCTCGTTCAGCTTCAATCACATTATCACCCCAATGTTGCCACCATCTCAAAGATTATCTCGGACCAGTTCACTAAGCAGTCTTACAACATCGAAGACTTCCTTGATCACTCATACGCCACTGTAAGTTCTTTGCCATCAACCCTTAATACGACCATCTGCTAACATGTACCCAGCTGTTCGAAGCCGAAATGACCAAGGACGTCAAGAAGGCTCCTGTGGTCGAGTTCCAAATCCCCAAGAAGGTGTTCACACCGAACGAGGGTGAGAGTGTGGGCGAGCCGGATAGCCTGGCGGTTAAGTTGTGGGACTTTGGGGGAGGTGTAGGTACTGAGGTTGTTTAAAAGGGGGTTATAAAGCAGGTCTGCAGGATGGCAAAAGTGAGTAGTGAAATACCCAGTAGGGAACGAGGATGTTCCTCATTTCTCTTAATGTTATAGATTTAGTACCATCAAGGTTAAAATATTAAACATGAGCCTCAAGTCTAAGCATCATCCAACATAGCATATTACAATGGAGTCGTGCGATAATAAGGAATACACAAGGATAGTGTACGTGAGGCTCAGCGGCATCAAAACTCAAGGCTATACTCCGTACTCGTCTTCGTTTTAGTTTATACAACTCTCAATGATATATACATGATCACCGGAAGTATACTAATATCGAGATGGGTTTTGCAGGGTTCTGTCCCACGTTCTGGACTCGAATGACTATAAATCAATAGGGTCTACTATGTACATAACATGGTCGTCCTTTAAACGAAAGTCCACAGAATATAGGTCCTTAGAGAAACTATAGCCAGACTACCAATATAGAAGTAAACGACTCCAGTTCGTGATGCCCACCCAGAGTCACAGATCTACCAGAGGAACTGGAAAATTGGTTCAAAAATTGAGCATGATCCTTTGAGAGTCCAGCTGTGATTTAGTCGACGCGGGCCTGATTCGAACAGACGCCTCCGAAGAGAATAGATTTCTAGTCTATCGCATTAGACCACTCTGCCACCGCGCCTTGATGATGGATGTTTCAGCAGTGAATTTGGTGTAGAATAACGGTAGACTGGGGATGTCATTAGAGATGCAGGCTTTTCTTGTTATCACAAGAGGAAATCTTCACATCATGGTTGCAGAAAAGTGTTGTGATTATGACAAGTGAGGATGGCTTCCAAGACAGGCCATACAACCACTATTGCCCGTGGCTCGGGCTGTGGACTAGGTACTAAGGTACCTACCTACCTTAAAGCACTCCGTAAATAGCGACGACGTCATGTGGAAGCGCATCTAAGATAAGAGGTAACGGGACACGGCATGTCAGGTGCCGAAGGTACCTAACGATATATAATGCATGCCATAACGCGTTATTAGTTTAATATAGTTTTAACTTAATTAATTAAACTTTTATATCTATACTTAATAATTAATAATAATTATAAATTAATTTAGTAATCCCTTAGAGAGGGCTATAATATATTTTTTTATTTATTATTTTAAAAGAATTATTTACTATTTTAAAAGGATTATTAATATATTCTTTTATACTTTAAATATAATAATAATAATTTATAATACCTTTAATAAACTAAGTTAAAGCCTTTACTTATATATATTTTATTTTACTATTTAATATTATAAATTATAACTATATTAAATATATTATTATTAAGGACCTATAGCTTATTATTATCTTTATAGTAATTAATAAAAGCTTTTAATATAAATTATATTATAACTATTTAATTAATTAGGTATAGAATATTAAAACCTTTCTAACCCTTTTTAAATATTAAAAAAGAATAGTAATAATTATTATAACTTAACTTAAGAAAGTACTTACCTTAAAATATTAAGAGGTAATTATATCTATTAATAATATATTAATTAATATTATTTTAATATTTATTATACCTATTAATATAACTTTTATAATATTATTAATAATATTATATATTATATTATAAAAGTAAGTATAGTAAGATTTTAATAAGGATTATATAATCTAATTTAATTCCTTAGCCTAAAACTACCTTTAACTTTAAGCTACCTTAACTTTAACTTTAACTTTAAATATATATTCCTTTAATATATTAACCTTTTACCTTTCTGCCCTAGCCCCTTAATGTCTTATATATAACTTCTCTTTATTTTATTCCTTTACTAGCCTTAATTATTTATTTAATTTACTTTTTTAAGTAATTATATTAAGTTATATAGTTAAGCTTTAACTTAAATACCTTAATAAAAAAGGTTTTAATCTTAAAAACTAACCTTTTTAAAAGCCTTTTTTTTAGGCTTTTTAAGTTCTTAAGTTAATTTTTTATATACCTTAAACTTAATATTTTTATTTAATAAGATTTTTAACTTAACTATATATAAAAAAATACTAAAAGCTTATAACTAAAGGTAATTAATTTAATTAAGTTATAATTATTTTATTTATTATAAAAAGGTATTAACTAGCCTTAAAAATCCTACCTTATTTTAATCTTAAGGTTTTTAATTATATAGATAAGTTATTTATACTTTTCCTTATTATAGTTATTAATTACCTTATAGATCTTATTATAAATTAGGTTAAGATTTATATTATAATAAGAATTTATTATTTAAATAGTAATACTTATTATAATAATTATAAAAAAGATTAATAATATAGACTAAAAGGGAACTAAAGGTTAATTAACTAACTATAACTATAAAGATTAATTAATTAATATACTTATAATATAGATTAGTTTAAAAGGTATAAAAAGAAAGCTAGTTTTTATATATATAGCTATATAAGTTATATAAGTATTTATTTAATTAAAGTTTAGTTACTATATATAATATTTATTATCTTAATTATTAAGTTTTAACCTTAAAAGAGGTTATTTTTATTATTAATATTATTAAGAATTTTAAAAAGCCTAGGCTTAATAAAGTTAAAGGTTAAAATTAAAAATAATAAAAAAAAATAACTTTTATAAAACTAGCCCTTACTTTAATATACTTATCCTTACCTTTTATTAAATAATTAAAGTTAGGATTTTTTTTATTTTAATATTTTTTACTATTTAAACCTTATTTTACTTAAAAGTATTATTTAATTCTTTTCCTTTAACTAGATAATATCTATTTTTATAAACTTTAATACTAATTAATAATATTAACTTAATATAATTTATATTAAAATTATCCTTAAAATATAAAAACTAATTTAACTAGATATTAAAAGAATTACTATAACTTAATATAGCTGATTTTTAAGCTTTCTTATAAAAACTATTAACCTAGCCTTTTTATATAATATAATAAGAAGTTATTTTTAAATCTTTTACCTTTATATTTTTTTATTTTTTTTAGTTTAAAATATTATTATAATAGTTATAAGTATTACTCTCTTTATATATATAAAATACTTTAGAAATTAAATATAAATCTTTTATAATAAGTAATATATTATAGTTTTTTATTTTATTATAAAAATAGCTAGCTATAATTATAGTTATTATAGGTTAGGTAATTATTACTATAGTTTAGTAGTTATAGATATAAATAATTAACCTCCTGGTAGATACTATTAAATATATTTAAGGTAATAGGCCTAACGGCCTAGTATTAAAACTAGTTAATATTAACCTTTTTAACCTAAATAAGCCTAATCCTTATTATATAGGTATATTTAGTAATAATAAAAGTATAATATATATATTTTTATTTATTTTTATAAATTATTTATATTATTTTATTAAAATAAAAAGTAAAAATATAATTAAAGATATTTAAATTTAATACCTATAAAGGTAAGTATTAATATAATATACTTAAATCCTATTAGATATTAATAAGAACTACCTTAATAGTAATACTATTATAAATATTATTATATACCTTATTAATTGTTTTAAATCTACTTATAATAATATTATAAACTAAATAAAATAAATAGTATTTACTTTATATAATATTAATAAAGGTAGTAATATTTATACCTTTACCTAACCCTAGTTAATAATATTATTAATAACATTACGTATTATATTATATAGGTATAGTGGGATTTTAATAAGGGTTATATAATCTAATTTAATTCCTCGGCCTAAAGGCTACCTTAACTTTAACTTTAACTCTAAATATATATTCCTTTAATATATTAACCTTTTACCTTTCTACCCCTCCTTAATACCTTATATATAATTTCTATTACTATCCTTAATAATTATATACTTTTAGTCTTAGGCTAAAATAAGGATAGTCTTTTTATTTTATATTTTTACTAGCCTTAATTACCTATTTAACTTACTTTTCTAAGTGGTTATATTAAGCTATATAGTAAGGATTTAACTTAAATACCTTAATAAAAAAGGTATTAATTTTTAAGATTAGCCTTCTTATAAGCCTATTTTCTAGGCTTTTTAGGCTTTTAAGCTAATCTTTTATATACCCTAAACTTAATAACTTTTTTTAATAAAGGGAATCTTAACTTTATTATATATAAAAAAGTATTAAAAGCTTATAACTAAAGGTAATTAATATAATTAAATAAAAATTATTTTATTTACTATAAAGAGGTAATAAAAAACTTTTTATTTCCTATTTTATATTTATTTTAAGGTTTTTAACTTTATATTTAAGTTATTTATACTTTATTTTATAGTAGGTTTTTAATATATTATTAATCTTTTTATAGATTAGGTTAAAGCTTATAGTATAGTAAATATCTATAATTTAAATAGTAATACTTATTATAATAACTATAAAAGAAGTTAGTAATATAGACCGAAAGGGGACTAGGGGTTAATTAACTAACTATAGCTATAAAGGTTAATTAATTACTATACTTATAGTATAGATTAAGTTAAGGATATAAAGGAAGCTAGCTTTTATATATATAGCTATATAAATTATATATATATTTATCTAATTAGAGTTTAGTTACTATATATAACTTTTATTATATTAATTATATTAAGTTTTTAACCTTAAAAGAGATTATTTTTATTATTAATATTATTAAGAGATTTAAAAAACCTAGGCTTAATAAAGTTAAAGGTTAAAATAAAATAAAAATATCTTTACTTAAGGTATTATTAAAGATAGTAAAGCTATTAATTTTAATATTAAAGGCTAATTAAAAACTATTTATTAAGCCTTTAATAATATTATTAAAGATCTTTTTAAAAAACTAAATAGTAATATAATAGTTAATATATTTATTAATATTATTTACTTAAAAAAGTTAGCTATAAAAATATAAATAAAAGAACTTTACTTTAAAGTATATAAAAGAAATACCTAATAGCCTTAGACTTTAAGATATTAAGGTAATATAGCCTAAAACCTTTATAATAACCCTATATCTAATT